GGGGTGTTGGCATGAGTTTGGCTGGCAAAATTTTATGAGGTACAAAACCCACTTTTTCCACTCAAAATTGGTGCCAGAAAGGGTCAAGCTCCCTCCGGAAATTCGATCAATCTTGGTCTTGGCGCCTGGGACTTAAAGTACCGAAAAGCTGACAACTCGCCGAGTTTGAGAAGATCAGGGCCTCAAGGGTAGTACTTTTCGTAGGAGTCTTTGGTGTGGCCGGTACAGTAGGTAGTACAGCTTGGTCGATTGCTGGTGGTGGGGTGGCGGCTGGTTCTCCATAGTTGGTGTAGGGTGTGGATAAGTAAAAGGCGTGTGGATAATGGAGCACTTTCCAACGAGGTAGTTGTAGTAGAAATTTATACGGGAGGGTACCTCTTCTAGAAGGCTCCACAATCTGCCAGGCACCCTTGACAAATCCACTTATTAGTACTAAGCTAACATTAATAAATAAAAGGCAACAGAGCTGTACAGAGGCATGCTAACCAGGGCCTGGAAAATGTGGTTCAATTCCATGAAAAGTGGGTCAATTCCAGGCGACACTTGCCGATAGGGGGCGCGCCGCGTTCGCGTAGCAGTCAGTTGGCCATATCTTCCACAAAACAAAGCCGAGGAGGAAATACGCGTGCATATAGCTCAGATATACTGAATAATCGTATGCTCCTCTAGATCTGTGAGGTTTCGCGAATTGGCTGGAATATCGCGTCGTGAAGGCCGATCGGCGCGTCGATAGCGAAGTGTTATTTCTGGAACATTGTACAGATTGGCTGTAGAAAGAATATTGGGTTTTTTACTATTTTGGATTGATTTGAGAGCTAAGATCACCCCAGCTTCTTTTGAAGGGGTAGCCATAGCTTGTTGTTGTAGAATTGAGGATCAAAGATGAAGGGTCGCGTCACGGGGAAAATTCGCCGCTAGCTTATATTCGCCGCTCGCTTATAAAATACGTTAACGTAATTGCATAGCGAGCGCGCATGTATAGCGAGCGCGCATGTATAGCAAGCGCGCACTTTTCCCACCCCAATTGAACTATCGCAAAACATCGTGAATTTCTCCACGATAAAACATGCCCGCCGTACGAAATGAAGCACAAATACAGCTTGCCCTTCAAGCTATGCAACGCGATAAGAATCTTCGCCTTGCAACTGCTGCAGCCCGATATTCCGTACCCCGAAGAACACTTGAGCGGCGTTCGAACGGAATCCTCCCTCGAACAGAAATTATTGCCAATTCGCGGAATCTTGACCCCCTTGAAGAGCAGGTTATCATACGAAGGGCTCTCGACCTATACGAGCAAGGATTTTCGCCAGGATACGGTATAATAGAAGATATGGCCAATTTGCTACGCGCGACGCGTAACGCGTCACGCGTCGGACCACGCTGGGCTGCAAACTTCGTACGACGACAACCAGAGCTCAAGATGCGTTGGACGCGTCCGTACGACTACCAAAGAGCTAAATGCGAAGATCCAAAGATAATTGGCGCGTGGTTTGACCGTGTTCGTAATACAATTGCGAAATATGGGATTCTCGAGTCGGATATCTAGAACTTTGACGAGACTGGGTTTACGATGGGCCAGATCTCGTCAACACTTGTTGTTACCTCGTCCGACGGCCTTGCGAAGGTGAAGAAGATCCAGCCTAGTAATCGGGAATGGGCTACCGTGATTCAGGCCGTACGGTCGGGTGGTGATACTATCCCTCCGTATATAGTGGTTGCGGGCAAAGTCCACCTCGAGAGTTGGTATCGCGATAGCCCTTTCCCATCCGACTGGGTAGTGGATCTCTCAGAAACTGGTTGGACGAATAACCAGATTGGTCTTGATTGGATTAAACACTTTGACCAACACTCTTGCCGCCGTACGATAGGTGGAAAGCGACTCCTAATCCTTGACGGGCATGAGAGCCACCATTCGGCCGAATTTGAGGACTATTCCAAAGAAAATAACATCATTACGCTTTGTATGCCTCCGCACTCATCACATCTACTTCAGCCTCCTGATATCGGGTGTTTTAGTGTATTGAAGCGGTCGTACGGCAAGGAAATTGAGAAGTTGATGCGCAACCATATTCACCACATCACTAAGCCCGACTTCTTTCTCGCCTTCTTCAACGCATTCCACGCGACATTTGAACCCGAAAACGTACAAGGAGGTTTTCGAGGGGCAGGCCTTATTCCATTCGACCCAGAGAAGGTCATTTCCGGGCTAGATATCAAGCTTCGTACGCCAACACCTACTGGGCCCCCCGAGGCCTCGTACGATAGTTGGGTCTCTCAAACGCCACAAAATGCTACCGAAGCCTCTCTACAGTCAATACATATCAAGGATCGTATTGATAAACATCAAGGCAGTTCACCCACCCTGATTATTGAGGCCCTTGGTCAGATTGTAAAGGGTACGACGAAGGTTATGCACGAGATGGTGTTGATGAAGGCGGGCGTGCGAGAGCTTGAGGAAGCAAATGCAGCATTGAGCAAACGCCGGAGAGCTAAAAAAAAGTCGTATCCGGGCAGGAGGACCATTAACTATGGAAGAAGCGAGTGATATTTTGGCCCAAAGGGATGCGCATGCATTGGTAGAGAAGGAAAAGCGATCGAGGGGTGGTCGTACGAGGAGCAACGCAACAGGTTTACGACACTGTAGTAATTGCGGCAAAATAGGACACAACTCTCATACATGCAAGGAGGACGCGAAAATGGATGAGTAATTAGATTCTGAGTAGTTTCTATTAATTTCTTTCCTTTGTGGTGTTGGTATTTCGTATAATAGTTCAATTGGGGTAGGAAAAGTGCGCGCTCGCTATACATGCGCGCTCGCTATACAATCACGTTATCTTTTCTTCCTTATCTTTCCGTCCGTATTTTTGCCAAGGTTCTCAGAAGCGGGGGGCAGTGGGATTGAGGAGTGAGCAGCTTGGAAGTAAACACTCACCATCGGCCACATTAAAATTTGCAAAGTTTTTTGTTCGTATTGTTTCGGTGCATACCTCGTAGCCTAAAATCAGAATGCTTGTGCTGTCTTCCAGCTAAGCCCTGTTCGCTGCCTCCCCGGGAGCGTAAAGAGGGAACGACCAAGAACAATAGCAAAGAGTGAGCCAAATAACAAAAACAATAAAAAAGGGCTGTTTGTCTATCACATGCACACTTAAATTGTTGTGTTAATAGATAGCAAAGAGTAGATGGACATAAAAGGCGATGAGACGAGGTTCTCTCCAGATTCCTACTCTACTCATCGTCATACCGTCTTATCCTCTCTTTACCCGTCTTCACCCGGCCTCAGAAAGGAAAACCCAACTCAGGTAACTTGGTAAACTAAAAGAAATCAGAAGAGAAGAGCCGCACCTATCCCGCTCTCCAAGTAAAGAGCAAGCAATATGTGGAACTGCTGCAACTGCTCAGAAGATCACCGTGGCGCGAGTCCCTCGGCCAAGTGCGTTTCCTGTGGCCACGACACTGTCGACTGCATTAATTGCTTTGCGTATTAATTAGTACGCTGGGCACAGGCCAAACCTGGCTCAGGCAGGCCATGCTCAGTCTTGCTCACCAAGGGCTTGCTCACCTCTCTACTCAGCCTAATTGCCGTTTTCGGGCAAGGAAACGCTCTAATTAGTATGTCGGGAATTGCTTCGGCTCTAGCCGAGCGGGCCTAGAATTTGTCCCCGTTTTGAAAATAAATAGATTTTTGATTTGCCTTGCCTTTTCACATTTTTCGTACTGCCATTCCTTTCCTAACCAGTTCTCCCGAGGTCCCCTAATTTGATGCAGCCCACCACGCAACATGTCACGTGTGGAATCTTGAATAGTTTTGTTTCTCGAACCCTCTGCCAATCGGCTTGAACTGTCTCCAGATATGGGATATCTTTATAAAGTCGCTTGCAGTGAGCTGGTGTCGCTAGAGACACGTGTGTGGAACAGTCTAGCTCGCTGTTATAGCTATGCACTTTTCACAACGTAGTTAATCAATCTGCAGCGGTAATAGGTGCCGTTTAGTTGTTTGACTTTTTGCTATACCGCGGCAGATGCCTACGTTCACTTTTAGTATATGTGTGGCAACGGGTGTGAGCCATTTCACTCGTGACAAATTTAACAGTGGAAGTCCCTCCTTGAGCGTAGCCTGCTTAAGCAGGGGAAATAAAATGTGTCTTATTGTAGCCCTTATCGTCCTTCATAATAAAACCTGTAACTGCTTGTTTCGGGTGACTTCGCAGGTACACATTCACAGCTATGACCCTAACCCCCCTTCCTTTCGTGAGTCACGATCAGCCCCGAGCCCTGGGCTGTGTGCGTGTTATTTGGGGGGCGTCTCCGGCTACTGTAAAATCGTCCCCATCCACTGCAGGTACATAGGCCCCCATGTTTTACAACTCACCGCCCAAGAAAATACCACATTTTACAGCTAAAATTACTACATTCACTAGCTGCCCCGCCCTAAGCGCTTGATCGTAATTGTACCGCCATTGCACCTCGCCGCCGTCGCCAACGTCAACATACTTCCAAATACGGTAATTGAACCTCCCGACCGTAGATTCGCTCAACTCGTTCAAATCTGCAATACAAAGCGAAGCTGACTTTGTTGACGTTATTTGACCTATGGATGCCTATTGAAAACGGCAACCAGCATTGAGCTAATGAAAACATACATAGGCCTACCTACTCCAAGGTTTTTTTGCAGGCACCAGTGATTCCCTCCCTTTCACAAACTCACCCTTCTTTCACAAACTCACCCACCCGCCCACCCACCAGCCGCCAACAATGTTCAGAGTGTCGGAACAATATGCCTGCAATGACGGCCACGCTTGTCCTTTTGCCTGCGAACGTGGCATGTTACCTGTGTGTCTTCGTTCCGAGGTAGAATGTGGCGTTGGCCCTGACCCCGACGAGAGAGATGCCGTCATCCGCGCAGCTACATATCGCCGCCCAGAGTACGATAACGCCGGCATCAGCTTCAGTTCCGGCACTCTTGACGCCGTGCGGTCATCTCTTCGTCTCCAGTTTCCCCTCGGGCAGCAGCGCGGCTCGTCCCTCAGCATGCTTGAGTCTCTCCCTCTCGAGCTCCTGTGCGACATGTTCACCTCGCTCGACATAGGATCAATCCTCAACCTCCGACACGTCAGTCGCCGTCTTCGGGAGGCGGCGGGCGCAGTCCCGGCGTACGTGTTCGCTACCGAGCACGGCCTGGACGCCGTTCTAGCACTCTTCTGGTCCGGACTCGGGCCGCACTTCACCTTGCACGACCTGGACAACGCTCTCCGAACCGAGAACTGTGCTGTCCCACGCTGTGACAGATTCGGGCACTTCGTCTTCCTCCCCACACTAAAGAGGGTTTGCTTCGGCTGCCTTGGGCATCAACGAGAGTTCTCATTTCTACTCCTCGGCAGGGTGGACATTGCAGAGTCTCATAGTTCGGAGAAATCTGGACTGGTGCACGTCATGCACACGCTTCCTGGCTTCTATTCGGAGGACAAGACGGCGTATCATAAACAACGTCACCACATTGTTGCCGGACTCGACTCGGTCAAGCCGAGGGACCCGGACCAGGGCCACTATGGCTGGCCCTGCAGATTTCGCTATCTGGCGGCAATAGCGCTTCCATTTCTCGAATGCAGCGGGTCCCAGGTTCGTAGTCATCACACCGTCTTCTGTAATCGTTGCTCGGGATAACAAGTTGGGACCAACCGGTCGTGCGCGCTGGCTGCATGGGCGCACCAAAACGCTGCCCCAGTTGGTAAACCGGATGTATGACCACCGAACATACTTTGAGCTCTTCAAATGGTGTCGCTAGGCGCAGATACTGTGGGAAGGGAAGGAAGTTGGCTCGCTCTCCTTATGATGCGGCAGGGCCAATTCAATCTAGATAGCCCGCCATTAAGCTGACCCCACCAGCACTTGCGAGGTGCAAGACACCTGTTAGTTATTCTATTGGTATCGAGATTGGATTTGAGCTTCCAGGATTTGGAAAGTGTAGAGACAGATCTAGCAAACGTACACACAAGCCTAAACATTTCCCATTCACAGCCATTGCCACAGGCTCCACGCCCCGTTATTAATTAGAACACCAAGGAGCTAACGAGAGATCAAAGCTTTCCAAAATTAGAAGGAATTTGGCTTAGCACCGGTAGAAGAGACAAAGCAAACAACATTCGTCCAGCCAAACTAGGCACCGGGGACGGTAACCTCTAACCGGGCCCGCTTCCCCGTAACCTGGGCCATCTTGACCACATAAAAACACACTAGCACGGTTCCTGCCAGCGGCACCGTGCTCAACTCAAACCTGCACTTCTTGAACGTGCTCGACACTGTCTGTTCCAGCATGCTGAACGGCGCCGTCTCGCAGAGCAGCGTCAAGGCGACGTCGACGCTTTGTCTGCCCTGGTTCCAGGACACCACCACGGCCGACGCCCCTTCAAAGACGCAGCTGACTTGTCCAATGCCGACACCACCAGCAGCGGCGAACGGCAAGGCCCAGGGCGCCGAGTCAGAAGAACCTGCGCGCACCATAATCCTTGCACCACTCTCCAGTGTCTCGGCCGGTACGCTCGTTCGCAGCACCGCCCGCCTGTCATGGACAGCACGCGGCACGACGTCTCTGAGCTGAGCGTCAGGGGCAAGCCCGTTTACATTGCCCGCAGGAATCGTGCCCAGTTTCCACGCCAGACTCTTGCTCAAAGGCTTATTGCCCTCGACCACCAACGTCACCACGTTCCGCTCGAGATCCAAGTTGGACTCGTCCGCAATCACCAGCTCAAGCGGATACGCCACCGTCACGCTCGCCCTGGCCAGCAAACACACCGACGGCGCAGCCGAGCTCGACGTCGCGCTCACGACTACCGAAACGACCTCGCCCTCGACGACATCCACCGGCACGACCGCCATGGAATACCGGCCCTGCGCGTCCACGACGGGCGGCGCCGTCATGCCGTAGCCCACAGCCCGCTTCGTCTCCTCATGGGACATACGAATGTCCACCGAATCAGCGCCGGTCCACGACACCACGACACTCGACCCGCTCATCCGCGCCTGCACGTCGGCCGGCGCGGCAATGACGGCCAAGTTCTGGAACGACTCGACCGGCACGCTGGCATGACGCACTTTGTCGTCCCACGGCCGCTGCCGCACGCGCGCCGCCACCACAGCCGCCGGCCAGGCAGCGTTATACCCGAAGCATTCGGCCGTGACGACGAACTTGCCCGGGCCCGTCGTGTCGGCTACGGAAAAGTCGCCGCGGCACAGCACCTCCTTGCCGCCGCTGCCCGGCCGGACGAGGGCCACGTCCCAGTCGCTCGCGAGCTCGTCCACCGGCGGCACTTCGACGACAGCCGCGTCTCCCAGCGGCGTGACGCCCAGCTGCACGCCGCGCGGGGGCCGCAGCCACGGCACGTGTCCCGCCGCCGTGCGTGCCCACACGTTGGCTGCGAACTCGAATTCCCCATCCCTGGCGTACATCCTGACCCAGACGTAGGCGGCCTCGCGATACCTAAAGTCGCCGCTCGGGCACCTCAGGACTCGTTCCTTTCCGCCGAAGACGAAAAACTCGTCGCTGCTCTCCACCTCTGGCGGCCTCGCCGCCCTCTCGGCCGCCAACCAAACCTGCCACTCGACGCCGGCGTAGTCACTCTCGTGCACCCATTTCGGAAGGGGCAACACGGCACTCAGGTCGACATCGATAAACTCGTCTCCGTCCTCTCCACCACCGCCCTCAGGGACCGGCTCCACGAATGCCGCGGTAACGCCGCTGTCGAAATCCTCGTCAGCATCCCGCAGGTTCATCCTCCGCTGGATGGCGCGCTTGGTCTCTTGTTTCGCCTGCTGCGCCTTCAGCATCATGGCCAGGACCTCCTGGTACCGCTGCTCGACGGCCGCAGCCGCGTCGCCGCCGGCCTCGGCCCACTTGGAAAGCACGAAGCCCAGCCGGCCGGACCGCACGTCCTCGGGGGTGACGGCTTCGATCTTGCGCACGGCGGCGACGTAGAGCGAGATGACGGCCAGCAGGCTGTAGGTGCCGTAGTCTGGCCTCGGCGGCTGCGGGGGCTCGGGCTGGGGCTGCGGCTGGGGCTGCGGCTCGGGCGATGACGGTCTGCTTGGCTCGGGGGATGCGGATGGCGTGGGTTCGGGGCTCGCCGAGGGATCTGTGCCCGTGCCGGGCTCGCCTGGAACCGAAGGGCCTGGGTCTGGCGTGGGCACGGGGGTTGCTGGGCCGGGAGTTGGCGTGGGAATCCCCGGGTCTGGCGTTGGCGTGGGAATACCTGGATCAGGTGTGGGTACCGGGATTGCCGGACCGGGCGTGGGGGTCGGAATGCCTGGGTCTGGCGTCGGGACCGGGATGCTTGGGCCAGGCGTTGGTGTAGGAATACCTGGATCTGGCGTAGGCACCGGTATGCCGGGACCGGGCGTAGGCGTGGGGAGACCGGGGTCTGGCGTGGGCACTGGGATACTGGGACCGGGCGTAGGCACCGGTATGCTTGGGTCTGGCGTTGGTACAGGGACCGATGGTCCTGGTGTCGGCACTGGAATCGATGGGTCGGGTGTCGGCACTGGAATCGATGGGTCGGGTGTTGGAACTGGCACACTGGGGCCAGGGCCGGGGCCAGGCGTCGGGATGGATGGACCAGGCCCCGGGACGGGGATGGAAGGATCAGGAGTTGGGACTGGAGGAGACGGGTCGGGAGCTGGGACTGGAGACGGGTCGGGAGCTGGCTCTGGACCTGTGGGACTCGTCGGGCTCGTCGGACTGGCAGGACTGGTTGGGCTCGTAGGGCTCGTCGGACTAGAACTGGTTGGGCTAGACGGGCCTGACGGGAGCGACGGGATGGAAGGGATGGGAATCGGGATGGGAATCGGCGGAACTGGAGGGACCGGGAGACTTGGTCCGCTAGGACCACTGGGTCCTCCCGGTTCCGAGGTTGGGTTCGGGTTCGGGTTCGGGTCTGGGTTCTCTGGCTCCTTGCCATCGGCCTTGTCCTTCGTGTCGTCCAGGTCCTTTTGGCCGTCATCCAAGTCGTCCTTCTTGTCTTGTGTCTCTTCCTCGTGCAGCTTCTTGGCCCGCTCCTTGAGTTTCTCGGCGTCCTTGGGCTCACGGCAAACCAGCTTCTCGATCAGCTTGGGGACCAGATTCTCGAGAACCATCACACCTGTCAACTTGCCCAGCACCTCGGGCTCGAGCAGCTTCTTGCCAATCTCGGCGAGGTTTTCGGGGCTGAGCACCTTATTCCAGAGATACAACAAAAGTCCGCCGAAGGTGGGCTTGAATCCCTCAAAGGGCAAGACAAACTCAAAGTCCTGCAGGTGCAGATTGGTGCCGATGACGTGGTCCTTTCCGGTCAAGCTCTCGTTGACGGTGATGCTGTACGACCACTTGACGACGAACCGGAACCCCTTCGTCTCGCCAGTCCGGTTCTGCATGTCGTCCTGGTCCGTGGCCGGCAGCGCGAGCTCGAATTCGAACTGCATCTTGACCAATTCGCCAATGGCGAATTTGACGAGCTCGCCGCACGTCTTCTTGCTATCGTCCCGGGAGCCGAGCTGCACGGCCTTGTCCACGTCGATGGGCACGTTGTCGACGTCGTCGCCTTGCAGCAGTTTCGAAAAATCGCCAAGGGACGGCATCTTCCCCGAGTTCCAGTACGCGTTGCGCTTGATCTTCCACCCCGAAAAGCTCCACCTACCGTCCTGGTGGGCGAAGTGCACCTCGGGATCCTGGACTCCGAGGATCTCGCCCTTGTACGCCGCCAGCCCTTCAAACTTGCGATCGGACTTGGATGCGGCAGACACGTACTTGAGGCTGAAGTAGATGTTGTCAAACTCGAACAGGGTCAAGCCGCTCTCGACGCCATAGGCTAGTTTCTGTTCGCGGCACGCACGGTTAGACACGTATCGTTAATCAAATAGAGAAAAAAGAACTGGTGCAGGGCCTACCCCGTCAGTGGTCTCGAGCGATACTGTCAGACCCTCGATGTTCCTCCCTCTGGCCAAGTCCTGGAACCCCGTGAACTTGACAATGCCGAGATCTAGCGTCTTGGCATAGCTGCCCTTGAGCACAAAGCCCTGACGTCTTTCCTTGATCCTGAGCGAGCAAGAGATAGGCTGCCGGAAGATGTCAAACGATCCGTACATGTAGAATCCGGGATCGTACGCTCGCTGTCCGACGGCCACCGTTGCGCTGGTCCTGTTGTAGCTCATATACGCCTCCTTGAGCTGGAAGTCGTCGCAGTCGTCGGGCCAGGAGCCACGAGAGTCGTCAGCGCCGACGTTGGGCTGGAGGAGGTCCGAGTAAATGTCGGTCATACTGACGGTGCCAGTTTGCGTCTCGGTGAGAACTAGGGACCCGTCGTCAGGGGGTGGGCTCCTAGACACGACCTTGCGCGTGAACTCGACCACGGCAACAACAGGCTTTCCGCCCTCAAAGTGAATCAAGCCGAGGAGGCGGGCTTTGCTGTCACCGTCTGAGCCGAGCAATGCCGCACCGTAGATGGTGCACTCGCGCTTGATGCCCCCGTCCACCCTGGTCGAAGACCCTTTAATCTTGAGCCCTTCTAGCTTGACATTGAACATGCCGCCGCCGAAGGGGTTGGCGATGCTCTGGCTGGATGTTGTTTCGGTGCCGACCTCAAAGGATGTTGTCTTCTTGTTCATCTTCAGAGCCACGTCGAAAACCAACAAGTCACCATCTGCGGCATCACCTGCGGCATCCGAAAGCTGGAGGCGTAGCTGCGCGGCAATGTCGAGTTCCTGTTTCGAAGGAAGGTATTTCCCAAGCCCATCGAGCGTCGCGATGCCGCCAAAGATCTCGAGGTTGCGAATGTCGATGCCGTACTCGGTTTGCTCCCCCTCCACCTGCCCTGGGGCGGCTCCTTGTGGCTTTTTGACGACGCGAGCGTAAAGACGAACGGTTGGCGGCGTGTCGGCACTAGCATTCGACGCATCCAGCGCAACGACGCTCGTCATGCTCTTGCTATTCTGCCGTCCCAGGCTGATGTCTGCAATGAACCATGCACCGGGTTGGAGAACCATGGTCTCGGGCATGTTCGCAAAGAGCTCCTTGGCCATCCTGGCAGGTTCGGCGGTCAGGGGATCGAGAGTTGCACGGAGAGCAGTGTCACCGCCTGCAGCAGTGTCATTGCCTGCAGCAGTGTCATTGCCTGCAGCAGTGTCATTGCCTGCAGCAGTGTCACCGCCTGCAGCAGTGTCACCGCCTGCAGAAGTGTCACCGCCTGCAGCAGCATCCTTTCCTTGTTCGATACTGGTATCCGCCACTGTGATGTCCTCTCTCAGCTGCTTCAGGGTGGTCTTGTAGCCGACGACTTGGACGGCAACCCTCGAGATGTTGAATTGGTCCGTGACGTCGTCCTTGGTACTGGCCCACAGCTTGGCCAGATCTCGCACCTCGAGGAAGACGATGTATTTCCTCGCAGGAGCTCCGCCTTCCGTCTCGGCCGGCACCTCCTGGCCGAGCAGCAGAGCAGACCCGAATCCCTGGATCGCGGCTGTGAGCAAGAGCTTCTTGCTCTTGAAGTCGGCAAAGAGGAATAGTTTCGACCCCTGCTCGAGTGCCATGGGATCGCTAAACGCGGGAACCAAGTCCTTCCAGGCACTCGCTCCCGTGTCAGACGCGGCGACATCGTCTGCCACCTGCTCAAACACCTTCGCATCGCCGTTTCCGCTCTCCAGCAGGGCAGTGAAGGTGGCATTGCGTTTCGGGCCGATGGACAGCTGCGCCTCGGCGCTTGCCGCGGTCGTGTACCCCTTGAACTCGAACTTGCCCCGAAGGTATCCCTCAAACACGGCCGGGTCGCGGTCCTGCGAGCTGCCTCGGAATGCGCCCTGCGTGTAGCGGAACAAGGCTAGGATGTTTTCGAGCTCGACCTGGACGCCGCACACGTCGCCCCGCCACAGTCTGTCTCCAGAGGCCCAGACTTCGACCTTGCTGGTCGGGATCAGGCGCACACGAGCGCCGATGGTGGCCGGCGCGATCATGGTGGGAGTCATGGTCTTCTTGTCGTTGATCTCAAGCAGAGACACCGAGGTGCGGGACATGGAGGTTGCCTCGGCTAGGGCGAACAGGTCGAGGCCGCCGGGAGCATCCTCCTTGGTCTCGTCCCTCGCAGCCTCGTTCTGCGGCAGGCCAAGGACCTCGGAGAGATTGGCCTGAGCGTAAAAGACCTTCTCGCCCGTCTTGTCCATGACGTAGGCCACGTCGAGGTACACTTTGCCAATCTTGAGTTTGCCATACAGGATGCCGCCGAGGCCAGACTTGGGAGCCTCTGCGGCAGGGTCGGCAGGCGCCGTCTTCTTCGCGACATCGTATGTAAGATCGAGGCCGATTTCGAGAATCTCGATTCCAGGGTTTGTGCCCAGGACCGGAATGGACTCGGTGGTGTGGGCGGCAATGCGGAACTTTTTGAGGGACATGCTCTTCTTCTTGCTGGCGACTTGACCTTCTGGCTGCTGCTGCTGCTCGTCATCGTCGCGAGTCAGTTCGCCCTCGACGGCGTCGATGGCAACGTCAAAGACTCTGGGATACGCCTCGGGGTGAGCAAAGTCGACCTGTAGAATATTCCAACCAAACAACGTCAACAGGCGGCTCATGGTTAGGCTGTTAGTTCCCGCGGGGTAGATGCCCATGGCGAGGGTCTTGTTGTCTGGCTTCGTGATAGAGCGGATGACGATCCTGGCGCTGACGGGATTCTTCTCGATGATGGCGAGAATGTCCAGTTTTGACGACAATGACACGCCGTGGTCGCCCCCTTCAGTTCCGTCCGGTCCGTCCGGTCCGTCCGGTCCCTCGAGAGCCGGGGCTCCGCTGCTCTCGGCCACGTCATAGACGACCACGACCTGTCGGAGAACCAGCCTCTGCACTTCAAGCGTCGTCTCGTCGGCAACGTGAAAGTCGAAATGGCGAATGCTCAGCCCCCCGGCCGTGGAGAATTCGATGCTCGAGCCCTTGAGCTGCAGGTCGTCCGCGACAGGCTCCAACACAGCTAACCCAGGGAAAGCGTCCGGCAGGCAGGCCTGCAGCATCCTACCGATCGTGACCTTGTTCACTGGCTTCAGCGCAGCAGCCAGCCTGGCGATGTCGCTTCTGTAGGTGACGGTCGCTGTCAGATCGCCGCCAAACAGGTTTGTCGCCAGGAAGAGGGTCTTCTCAAACACTCCGGGCACAATCTCGCCGCCTCCGTCCTCGTCGGGTATCGCCGGAAGATACATGTCGAAGTGAAACGTGACATCCTCAAACTCGAGCGGCCCAATCTTGATGAGCGGGTGACGCAGCTTGATGGCAAAGCCGTCCACAGACAGCGGCCTGCCCGGTTCCGACACGCTCGTCGACATCTCCATCGATATGAGCTCGGTGCGAAGAACTTGGCCGACCAGCGGCACGTGGTCGAAATTACCCAGCTTGAACGCATCAAGGACCTTCTGGACCGAGACCCCGCCGGGCACATCGAGCCGGAGCTGGCCGCCCTGCGTCGTGGTTGGGCTCTGCAGAGACACCCAAATGGTGTCCGCAGGGCTGGGGAGGTTGATGGCAGCCTCGACAAACACCTCAAGCATGGTGATTTTGCGCAGCGAGATCTCGAGATCGTCCAGGACCACGCCTGGGAGCAGTTCGAGCCTCGGCAGCCAGACATCGATGCTCCAGTCGCCAAACGACCAGCTCCCGCCCTCGCGGACCAGCCCGGCCGAGACGTGCCGCACATATACCGCCTCGAGCGCGGCTGCGATGAAGGGTATATTTTCCGTCACCCCCGAGACCACCTTGTCGAGACCGACAACCTCGGTAATCTCGGCGAGCGACAAGCCCGTGGAGCTAGCGTCGATGTCGAGGCGGTACTCGTAGTCGCCGCGGTAGACGAGCGGAATAGCAGACAACGAAGCCCCGACGTGGCGGACCGTCTGGTCGGCGACGGTCAGCTCGAGGTCGAATACGACATCGGTCCGCACGCGGCGCTGATGCGAGTCGAAGGGCGATGCCACGTCAACCTGGACGGTGATGTTCTTGATAGCCTTTGGAAACCCGGCGGGAAGAAACTCCCGCCACCCCTGGAGATCTGCGGCCATGAAGACCCGGTCCAGCGTGTAGCGGCCAGCCGCGTACGACACGGGGTGCTGTCGGACGACGAACCCCAGCGACCCTGGCGTCAGGGGCAGCTTCTCGGGGCCGACGTCCTGCTTTCCGCTCCCGCCACTGAACGGCACCGGGCTGTCCCCCATCTGCGCCCCCCCTTTCCCTCTCCCCAGCATCTCGGCGATATCGGCCAGCGACGTCGCGCCGCCGACCAGAAACGTGACATCCAAGACCTCGTCGTCCACGTCCGACATATCCATGGTCATCTGCACCTCGGCCTGCGCAGCACCGCCCGCGCCGAAGACAGCAGTCGCATACATGACGACCGTCTCGTTTGCGAATCTCGGCCCGGCCACGTCGATCCACACGTCCTTCAGCTTCACGGCAAACCCGCCCATGTCGAAGCCGATCCCGGCCGTCCCGCCTAGGTCGTAGACAATCCTCGCCGTCTCGACGTAGACCTGGCCCGTAGCCGTGTACCGCGCCTCGCCGACCGACAGCCGCCAGTCGGGCTTGAGGTCGGCAAACCCATCCAGCATGACCATGGGCACGGGCACGCGATCGAACACCATCTCGGCGGCCGCCGCGTCGCTCGCCAGCAGCAGCGCCAGCGTGTCGACCACGGTCAGGGTCGCCATCCTGTCGTCGGGCACGCCCATGCCGCTCAGCGCCTTAGCCAGCCGCGCCGGGCCGACGGCGTCGGCGAGCACCTTGACGACGCGCAGCTCGCTCAGCGTCTCCAGGCGGCCCTTCTTCTCCCGGGTCGCCGCGACCAGCGCTACACGCAGGCTGCGGTCGACGCCGAACTCGAGCAGCATCTTGGCGTCGGTCACTTGGCTCGCGGTCCCCCCCCCCGGCAAGCTCAGCGCCGCGGGGGACGGGATCAGCTGCATCAGCGCGCGGTTGGGCGTGACGGCGATGCCGTCGTCCGAGTAGCTGATCCAGGATTTCTGCAGCGCGGCGTCGTAGTCGACGGCGTACGACAGCAGCTGCTGCTCGTGGGCGTCGGTGAGGTCCAGGTCCGCGGCGCTGGACGACGCGGCCGACAGGATGGCGTCGAGCGCCGCGCCGGCGGTTGCCATGTCTTTCTTTTCCAGGCGCGCGGCCGCGAAGAAGCGGTCGAAGCTGCTGCGCGGGGCCACGTCGGTCTTCTTGCCCGTCTTGAGCGAGTGTTTTATTATGGCTAGGGTTGAGTTTTGTTTGGGGGGTTTCTTGCTGCGCTTGTCCGTGGTTGTGGTTGTGGTTGTGGTAGGGTCAGTGGTTGTGGTTGTGGTAGGGTTAGTGGTAGGGGTAGGGGTAGTGGTAGTGACAGGGGTAGTGGTAGTGACAGGGGTAGTGGTAGTGACAGGGGTAGTGGTAGTGATAGGGGTAGTGGTAGTGATAGGGGTAGTGGTAGTGATAGGGGTAGGGGTGGCGGTGGCGTTGGCGGTGGCGGTGATGAATTCGACGGGTTCTTCGGCAGCGGTGATGAGTTCGACGGGTTCTTCGGCAGAGGCGTCCATGTCGGAGACGGTCGTGACGAGGGCGGATGTTTCTGCTACGAGGTCTTCGGCGGCCGCGTTGGATTGGGACTGCGACGTGGCCTCCGCGTCCATGTCTGCTGCTGTAGCCGCAAACGAGCCGTCGTCTGGGACGGCATAGACGCGGTTCATGGGCGCCACCGTGTCGGCCGAAACCGAGAGATTGGCAAAGTTCATCATCATGTTCACGTTGTTGATGGCAAGCGGGTTGACAGCCGGCGCCAAAGCTCTAAAGGGCTCGAATTCCCACGTCACTGCTTTGTATTGCAGCGCCTCGGCCTCTGCGACCTTGTACGGCGTTAGGACCCCGAGCATATTGGGCACCATGTACATGCCCCACGCGACGCTCAGTTGGGCATTGTTCACGTCCGGCTCCAACCAGGTGATGGTGTACTTGCGGACTGCTGCCGCGCTCGCCCAGTCCGTCTTGACGCGGACGGTCAGGCGGTCGGTCGAATCGGCGCCGGCGCTGAGAAAGAGCAGGTTTCTGTCCTCGACGTCCTCGCCTTCCCACGGCTCGCGAACGCGGACCGGCTCCGGGCCTACTACTGGCCGCACAGGCCCAGCAGGCTGGTTCGCATCAGGGGGCGGCACGTTGAGGCACGACGTGGGGAGGTCGGACCGCCTGATGTGGTACATGGTGGCGATCGAGGGCAACAGGGCATCCCACGCGCCGTTCTTTTCCAGCCTCTCGTGGCGTTTCTTTATCCACTCCTCGAATGTGTCGGCGACGTTGGCCGGCAGCTGCTTGTCGTTGATACTCAGAGTGCAGCGGTTGGGATCGTCGCGGTAGACATCGTGCAGGTTCTGTGCAAAGCTCCCGCCCGGGGCTCTTAGAGTGCCGTAGAGAAGACCATTCCGGGGCACATCTCGGTACACGTCGTTCGGAATCTGCGGATTGCCCGTCAGACTCATCATGTGGCGGATCTGGGGGTAGCGGAGGAACAGCACGTCCCTGAGCAGGTCGTCCGGGTCCTCGTTGAGGAGCCGGCAACAGTCTTCAAACTGGCGCTTCTTGAAACTCGATGGGTTGGTAATGTAGACTGTGGCACTGCGCTGGTCGGCCTTCAGCGCCGCTGCAAGACCGGCGAGCGTCTCTGGGTGTGGGTGAGGATGCGACCGCCAGCTCTCTAGAGGGCCGTTAGTCTCCCAGGTTAGTTGGTTAGTTGGTTCTAGTTAGTTCGCTCTGCATTCTGGACGTACGGTAGTTTGCGCTAGCCACGTAGGCATCTGCTGAAAAGGAGCGGAAGAAGGCCTTGATGTTCTGGAGCCGCGTATATCCGTCGAAGCGTCTGAACCAGATGCCCGAGCGGTCCGTCGCCTGCTTGCCGGTCCACCATAGCTGCCACCACTCGAGGAAATCGCCGTGGAGAATGGCCGCCTGCTGCGTCTTGACTGCCGTCTTTTGTTGGGCCTTTTGTCGAACCTTGGACTTTGTGATGTTGTCGTCTACCACGTCTTCGCCCTCCTTGTCCTCATCGTCCTCCGCGTCCGATAATTCCCACCACGCCTTGGTCTTGGCGTTGGCTGGCACGTCCTTTCCCTCCTGCGTTTCGTCATGTCTCTTCTTTCTTCCCAGGTAAAGGTCCATGTCTTTCTGCTCTTCGCGCTTCTCCGCCACCACCTTCTTTCGGCCGCTGCTACGGGCCGTCACATAAGACTTGTCGTGCCAAAACATCTTCCGCTTCGGATCCTTCTCGAGTCCGCCCCAGTCGTAAATCCGGCCGACCAGCGTCGCCCAAACTAGGGAGGGATCCAGCAGGCGGGCGCTGGGGTCGTTCGGTTCCGAGATGGCGTCTCCCTCCTCGAGCTTTTCCCCGGCAATGGCGCCCGTTTTAAACGCCTCATATCTTCTGACGAGCTCGTTCACCACTACCGCGAAGACGGGAGTCCAGTCGTCATCTGGCCCCATGTCGACGTATACACCCTCATCTGCCGTCATGGTTTTGATCTGGTCGACCAGGAGCCTGCATCCTTCCCATGCCTTGGATCTCTCGACCTGGAGGGCGGGACCGTCATTGGGCTGGTTCCCCTGAGCGCCGCCAGCCGCGTCGTCATCGCTGCTCTGCCCATCGTCCGGGTTGTCGTTGTCGCCGTCGCCGTTGCCGTTGTCGTTGTCGCCGTCGCCGTTGTCGTTGTCGTTGTCACCGTCTTCGTCGCTACTATCTTCTTGATCGATGCCGCCGCCGGCATTTCCGTTGCCGCCTGCATTCCCGTTGCCTGCGTTACCCTGGCCTTGCTCGTCATCGTCTTCCATGTCGTCATCGCTGAAGCCCTTGACAGCCTTGCCTGCAAGTAGGGCGATGGCTCTGCCGCCGAGCAGCTCTCTTCTCTTTTCCTTGGATACGCCATTTGGGCCTACATTCACCCTGGCCGCCAGCAAAGTCATCAGCAGGACGATTTGCCCCATGACTCCGTCGTCGACCTTGTCTTTTGCAGATTGGGTTTCGACATAATACTGCGCATCGTGATGGCTCCCGTGATGCTGGAGCTTGTAGATGCTGAAGTGGCGGGGCAGGTTGATGCCGTTTTGGTCGTTTCTCATGAATTGGTGGATGACATTGCCCGTGTTGTCGCCAGTCAGGTATATGCCCCCATTGACGTTTCCTGCAGCAGCCGGCACGTGGACTAGGAGAGAGGTCAGGTTGGGGTCCTTGCTGTCCTTGGTGCCCACGTAGCTGCCGAGCGCCTTGAGATAGTCCTTGGTCTGTTGGATTTGACGAACCAAGACGGCCTCGGCCAGGGCTTGAGGATTGTTCCCGATGTCTTCTGGCCGTCTGAGGCAGATGAGGGGAGGCTTGTCGCGAGGGTCGGCCACCTCTACGACCTCGTCGCTCAGCGGGGTATCGTTTGGGAGGACGACGTCGGGATAGTCGGTGTTGACCCTGACCTGGGGCCTCGCTCTAGGCGGGTACTCGATGGTGCCGCCGCCAAACAATGAACGGTCCCATGTCGTGATGGAGGCGCCTGGGATTTGGGGCGTCGGCGGAAGCGTGAGGCCTGGAGTTCCGGCACAGATGGAATTCCACAACCTCTTGATGTTGGAGGCCTGGGACTTGTCGAGAGCGGGCACGATAAAGCCCGTATCGAGGCCCAGGAATTCGGACGGGACCATGGTGACCATGTCGATCATGCCTTCGACGTGATCTTCGTGCAGGTGCGTGTTCAACATGGCGTCGAGCTGGAACTTGGAGGTGGCAAGGCGGCCCATGTCGTCGTACCAGATCTGCTTGCCGGCCGAGAAAAACATGCGCCAGTAGGGGCGGGCGCGGGTCGTCTTGCCGACGCCGAGGAAATTGCCGGGTCCTTTCTTCTTCTTCTTCCCCTCGCCGGCTTTTGTGGCAGCGCCTCCATAGCCCCTGGGTCCGCCGTCGACGACAAAGAGCTTGCTCTCGGCTCCTCCGGTGGGCTGGTACTCGACATAGAACGAGTCGCCGCGGCCGGCGTAGACGACATGGAGGATGGGAAGATTGCGTGCTGGCGCTGGTGCTGGCGCTGGCGCTGGGTCTTGGATATCCATCGTGGGCAGTGCTGGGGCCGGGTTCTCTTGCCCGTCTCTATTGGTGTCTCTATTGGTATTAGTATTATCCTGGCCTGGCCGAGGCTCGTGGGACGTGGTGGGTGTGGGCGTCGGCGTAGGCGTGGGCGTCGGCGTCGGCGTGGGCGTGGGCGTGGGCTCTTGGACGGGCACGCTGCCAGTGTCGCCGCCGTGCGTCGTAGCTGTCTCTCCAACTTGACTCCTCGGGCGAACACAACAGAGAAACAAGCGCATCAAGGGGCGTCCATGAGGATGAAGAGGTCAGGTTAGCGAAGGTCTCCAGCGGCCCCGGGCGATGGGGACAAGCAGAGTTTGGGCCTGGCATGGCGTGTCGCGTCCAACAATGTCTCCATATAAAGCAGCGCTTGAATCATCTCGGCCGCGTCTAGACCCAAAGACTGCATCGTACTATTGGCTGATCTTTGCCCTGTTCGGTTGCAACCTAGGTTTCTCGATCTAAACGGGGCCAATATTTGCGCGCCTTCGAGACCGTGGACAGCGCAGTCTAGGCCAAGTTTGTATGCGCTAGGTGCTTGGCATATACCCCCCTAGTAACCCACGAGGTGGCACCCCTGAAAACCCACAAATAATGCCCAAACCAGGGTCTGTTCCAATACAGGAAAAGGCTGCATTCAGGGCACTATATTATATTGACACCACTTTTTGAGGACACCCACCGCTGTAACACCCCGAGCGTGCGCATATGCACACCTCAACACCAAGGCTGAGCCCTTTGTTTACTTCGTGATCTTCCGCACAGCGCACCCAGGACCCCTCTTCCCCACAAGCCCTACACCTTATTTCTAGGGGCTTCAGCGCCCTCATGCCCTATAAGCTCGGCGCCTTCGTTCCCTACGAGGCTCTCCGCCGGACCGCAACACCAGGGGGCAGCCCTTTATTTACATCGTGATCTTTTACCCACGCCCAAATGCACGCTCGAAATGCACGCTCGAAATGCACCGTCAAAATGCACCGTCAAAATGCACCCTCAAAATGCACCCTCAAAATCTACCCTCAAATGCATCCTCAAATGCACTTTGAATGCCCGGGCGCCGTCAAATGCGCTGGGAATGCCCTCGCTTGTGTTGTTGAGTGGGTTGCCAGGCCTCGATTAGTGGCTTTTGGGGTGGTGTCTGACTTCGGCCCGCAGCGACTTTGGGCAACTAACCTACGGCGGACACTTTCCCTGGGGGGCTGGGTTTTTGGGCGCTTCGATCCTGGCCGTCCTCTTTCCTAGGATTATTAGCGTTACCTAGTTACACCCCAATCCATGATTCTGCCGCGTAGTAATTTACCACTTTTTACCGTAACGTAAACCTTTCTATTGCACTGACCTTCCCAACTAAAAGATACATCGTCGGCGCCGTTGATGAAGCGGTTCATGCGGCAGGCAAGGCAGTTAACAGACTTATTGATTGACTGACTGACTGACTGACTGACTGACTGACTGACTGACTGACTGACTGACTGACTGACTGACTGACTGACTAACTAACTAGCAGGAAGATAGGGGGCCTAACAGGGCGGGCAGGGCAGTCAGTCAGTCAGTCAGGATAGGGAGACGAAGACTGCCAAGAAAATACGAAATTACCGTTTTTGGAAGTGTGTTGACGTTGGCGACTTCGGCGAGTTGCAATTGCTGAGCAGTTGCGTCACCAGCGCTCGGGGCGATGCAGCCAGCGAATGTTGTAATTTTGGCTGTAAAATGTGGTATTTTCATAGGCGGTGAGCTGTAACGCTTGTGCCTATGTACGAAGGCTCAGGCCAAAAAAAAGGGTCACCTTGGGCGCAACAAAATCAAGCCACGGACCAAAAGAGGCATAGCAACACCACCCCCCTGGTCAAGCCAACCGAGGAAAAAGAAACAAAAGAACACAGCTTCTTCAAAATGGAAGATTTTTTAATTCTGACAACGCGTTGAGCTCGCTGCATTACCAGCTTCATTCTCGTATGCATCACGATGACTGCGCGCAAGAAAACATGGCCGCAGGGCGCTTCGAAGAAGAGTAAGGCCAATGACAAGGCTAAAGTGGATGGTGTTTTTGAGGAGAGGCAACAATTACAAGGAGGGTCGGCCAGACCCTGAAAACTGGGATGCGAAGGTAAACTGGGACCTCGATGTGATCGAGGATACAGACGTCCCAGAGCCTCTGACAGATGAAGAATCAGGCGATGAGGATGAAGCGGAAGACGACGAGTAAATTTGTCATTTTTGTAGCTAGATTGGACTTATTTTGAAGTAGTTGTGGTTGTTTGGAATATTACCTCTTTTTTCCTTTGGTCGTTATTGCGGCTATATTGAGTAGCAGTGCACGGTGGCGGTTGGCTTGGCGCGCACTGGCCAAGGTGACCCTTTTTTTGGCCTGAGCCTTCGTACCTTACCTACAGTGTAGCGAAACGATTTGAGCGCTCCAAGACTCCCGCCTCTCTTGACGAAACCAGGAATTCCGTTTATCAGGGCGTCGAACGATGAACTTGATAGTCCACGGACTCAAAACGGCGCGCAGCCATTCTATCGCTCGCTTCGAACAAACGAGACCCAGGAGACTGACCAAGTCTCATCTTGGTTCACGGAACGATGAATTAGGGTGAAATCAGTGTTGAGGAGCCCCAGAGTGAGGTGCATATCGATGAGACCTCCACGGCAGCCCACCCTAGATCTACATCCCGCAACGACGAAGGATCGCAGGGCGTCTGCATCCAGCACGCGTTGCACCAGAAGCTGCCCGGCAGGATCATGACCAAACCCGGCGCGGAAACCGCACGTGGTTGGACAGGGTCTCTGCCCTAGGCCTCCCGCTCGTGGGTTTCCAACCCTACTACATGTACATGTACGTGCCATCCCACTGTTCCATCATCGTCACCTTGCCCCCCGGTTTCCAAGGGTACTCTCGTCCCCCACCCAATCCGTTCTCATTCTTGCCTTCCTCTTGATTTTTGGCTTGTAATCAGGGCTGGATCCTCGCATTTACTGGCTGTCTGTAATAGAGATGGAATGCTCGCGCTTCAGCATGCGCGCGATTTCTAAGACACCCGTTACGCGGTTATGACTAGCACCTCAATAAATAGACGGTCGAAATGAAATGAAATGGCTTGCATACATACCTACCTACAATACATGACGGAGCCCTTTGTTGCTCTAGCCTCGGTGATCTGAAAGGGCGGGGGTAATAGCAGTGTGCAAGTCGACTGCCTACGGAAACCCAGATCACATCACTGACCGGACATGCATCCCCTATGCCAGCTCGGCACCACGCAAATTAGGTAAAAGGTCCGTCCGTCAGTGCCAAGGAAAATATAGGCCAATAATTGTCTACCAATCGAGGAGGAGTCAAGGTACGGAAAAGGTAAATTTTACACAATAGGTGTGCCACTTGTACCAGCACTCGTCAGAGTTACAGAGGGCCACCCCGCATTGTTGACAGCCAAACCGTGATGTCCCGCGCCGCGGCCAGTGATTGAGGGCATTCGTACTCACTTCCTGCAGTGAATTTCGACCAAGTAAGGCGGTCTGGCCTTTCTAATCGTGCCCTAGGCAGGCCTGACAGTCAGACTTCTTGCCCCGATGGGTTACTTGATGCTCCTGCGCCGGGATTTGTACTGTAAGAGCATTACGCTAGAGAGCCTCCTTTTCTTAGCCAGAGCCGAAACGCCATATTGATCCAACAGAAGTGTGTAAATCTCGGTCTTCCAGGCTAAGAGGGTCTAGAATCTATGCCACCAAAGAGGTCCAGGGTAGTGTAGTTGCAAGTAATAACTGTTCGTAGATTCGGTGCGGTCGGTGTGGTACGTAGAGAGGTCGAAATTGGTCGCCGCGGCGCGGTTCGGGCGGTGCGACCGGCCTGCCAGTGCTTACATCACCGGCTTCCGGCCGCGCTTCCTCTTTTGGTCGTGGGTCAGCCATTTTAACGCGTGCAAAGGACCAGAAAGAATCAAGGCATTAACCTAGGCCGTGAGAGCTTCATTCGCGTTGTTTACTTTAGTGGTTTTCGCGGTCAAATTGTTAGTAGGGGGCCCTAACAACTGCGATAACCTCAATTAGTGGTAAAAAGTGGGTAAAATTAGGTCCTCAACAGGGCAGTTTTACCAGTGCCGAGCTGGCAGTCTAGGGGATGGGCGCCTCCCGACGGGAGTCCCGACAAGCAACGTGGAAGGCGGAAACCCCTGTATGTACAGTACATGTACCCAATATTCGCAAGGTCCTGGACCTTGACACAGATCGTCCATCAATGTAAGGAAAAGGACACCCCAAACACCAACTGCGCGCACAGGGTGCGCGCCCACCACTTGTCACCAACTGGCTAGAACACTGCCAGCTGGCATACGCTACGCCGTGGCGCCACGACCGCAGACTGATGCCCGGGCCGAACCCCTGAGCAGGTATATAAACAATGGCCCTCGCCCATCTTCCTTTGCGAGGGCCAGGTTGAAGTCTTACACCAATACAAGTCATTGCTCCCCTACCTTCTTGCCTGCATTGTGACCACCTTGATCAGGCGTACCTACCTTCTCTTACAATCAAGTACAACCTACTTACACCAAGCAGCCCACTCCAAGGCCAGCCAGCGGTGACTCGGATTGCCAATTGAGGATGACCGGCCGAGCCCCGTCCTCAGCAGCCGATGCGGCTCTGAGGAAAGGGAAACAAACAGCTAGGTCGGGCCGTGGATCGACCAGGGCAACCCGCACCGCCTACCGTCGTTAGCCGCCTTCGTTGGAGACGTGAGGATGGGATGCTCGCTACAGGCGCTGGCTACAGGCGCTGGCTACAAGCGCTGAATGCAGTCTGCTGATACCTAATTAGGACCCCTGGGGTCCCAAGAATATTTCCCCGCCGAGATCCCGCCTATACGCCTCTCCCGGGATTTAAAACTATTGCACGGGATAGTGCGGTGACTTTTTTGACGACAGGGGATATAACCCTGAAATACAGGGGAGTGGAAGTCCCTTTTCCAGTAGTCCCTTTTCTAGTAGCAGGTTCTCCCCAAAAAGTCTCCAAAGGTCACGCGGTGGCTTGCGCTATGATTGCTTTTAAATCCCGGGAGATGTAGCCTGGCGGTCAGGGGCTTGTCGATGGTAGAGCGGACGGGATCCCGGATTTTCCACACCTACAGCCGTATATGCCACTCACTGTTGTTGTTTCCGTATACGAACCATATACGAACACTTTACGGACACTCACTACCCACTTTGAAACAAGAAAAGGGGGACACGATTGTCATAAGCTCAAAGCTGCGATGCTACGCCTATTCTAATTCTCATGCTTGTACATATGCACGATATCCAACCACCGGATAGCCGACAGCCGAGTATTTCCTCTTTGTAACAACAACAACAACAACAACAACAACTCTTATTACCATGGCTAGTGCATGAGCCTCGCATCCTCCCCGTCGTCATCTTCGTCCGATTCTTCTTCCTCTTCTTCATCGTCTTCCTCTTCATCTTCCTCCTCTTCGTCGTCCTCGTCATCCTCTTCCTCCTCGCTCTCCTCTTCGTCGTCACCGCCATCATCCTCAGCAAGCCAGTCATCCAGTGTCTTTGTCCCAACAGGCTCCTTCGTGCCATTCGGTTTCTTCGCAGGCGCAGAGCCGGCTGCTGCGTCCAGGCTTTCGGCCGCAGGAACAACCCTCTTCTCACGGGAGTACACGGTAGAGCCCGCTCCAGCATCGGTCTCTCTCAGCCTCGGATCCGGCTCCTTGCCATCCTCGACCCAGTCAGGCAGGTCCTCGTAGCCGCGGAGGCCGTGGATGCCGCCACCGCCGGCAAGGACAAGCGCCGAGGACCCCAGCGTGTACCCGCGCCTCGTCTCAGAGGGGCTGGGTGCCTGTGGGGCCGGCTTCGGAGCGAGGAGCATCAGGGTTGCCAGCTGCGGCACCTCTAGGAGTGCCTTGTAGAGCCTTGTTCGGTCGCGCAGGTCGTATGACGTGTCGTACCGAGCTAGAAGCAAGACGTAGCTCCAAAGCTTTGCGGTCGGGTGGTCGCCCGCCTCCAGTGATTTTAGCGGAGCAGCAACGGCTCCCCCATCGAGAAGCTTGGACTCGTCGAGAAGCTTGGACTCGTCGAGAAGCTTGAACTCGTCGAGAAGCTTGGACTCGTCGAGCTGCCGGTTCAGGTGATGGAGGTAGACCTTTGCACCGAGCAGGACAATCTGCCTCTTTGCCATCTCTGACTCGGACGCGAAGTCCTTGAGCAAGATCCTCAGCACATCAGCAGCAATATTGTCTTCGCCATTTAGCCCCGAAAACTCGCCCACCAGCCAGATTATAGTCGCCCGGGCCTGGGGGTCAGTTGCCGAGTCCAGATTCTTCGCCAGCCGAACCACAGTCGCAACGTGGGCCGCTGGGTCCTGCTGAATCAGGTGTCGAATGACGGTCAAGCTCTCAGCTGCCAGAGTACCTTCCAGGCTTGTGATCTGACCCAGCAAGAGTCGCAAGCATCTGGGTGCCGTTGCCGCGTCGGTCTGGGCACAACGCCCGATGGCTCTTACCGCCTCCCTTAGGAGTGCTTTGTTCGAGCCTCGGCTGAAGTGTTCCAGCTCGTTGAGGATTAGACTTTTTGTGTGAGGCGGCGCGTGCGGGAAAACGAGAGTGAGCAGCTCAAGCTTGAGTTCCCACACAGACTCCGTATCGGTCGCACGAACCAGGAAATGCGAAGCGTACTTGACGAAGCTGGCGGGGTGGTTTAGGCAAATGGACACAATATTGAAGAGGGCAATTTGCTGGATATCTTGCCCACCACGGAGCAATGCGACAAGCGGCCCGATGGCCAGCTGGATATACTCGGGGGTTCCCACGGCGGAGTAGCATCTGGCAACTGCCACAACCACGCCTGAGTTGCGGGATTGGAGGAGCGGCTTGATGCTGTTGAGGAGCAACTCGAGGTCCGGGTCGACGACCAGAACCTGCTCGCCTTCCGAGCTGACATGGACCGCTTCGCCATAAAAGTCTTGGAGGTTGACCACCTTCGCTTTGCTCTTGGCTGTCCTGGTCCGTCGCGGAAAGCACTTTCGGGCATACATGGCGAAAAGGCGCAACGTCGAGAGCTGGCTCCACTCGTCCATGTCCACGACCATTTTGATCAGGTTTCTGTAGTGCTTGTGCATCATGTCCATTCTTTCGGGGCAGACTTCCAGAAAGGCCGTGACAGCGGCGCCAGCAACGTAGTACTGCTTGTCGCCCAGCAGAGTCGCCAGATATTCGAGCAGCTGAGGAAGCTGCGACGGGTCGAGCCTGTAGCACTTGGGAATAGCGAGTGCTGCAGCGCGCCGCACGTACGAGCTCATGTCCCCCGCGCCCTTCTTGATCGCCAGCGAGACAATCTGGCTGATTACCGGCACTCGTATGCCCGACATGGTCCTCAGCGCCAGAGCGCGCACCTGGGGGTTGGTGTCGGAAAGCGACTTTTGGATCGTGTTGATGGAGAGGAGGGCGAGGTCGGGCTCTTGCTCGGCGTGGTGGATGAGGTAGATGTAGACGAGCTTTTTGATCTCGAGGCTGGGCGACGCGACATTCTTGACGACGGACGAGAACAGGGGCAGCGTCTTCTGCGACCGATACATCATCTGGAAGCGGGTGGCGAGGGGTTAGCACGGCGCATGGCGCAGGTTGGGGCCCGTTTGACCGCCTTCATCTGGGGAAAAGGGCTGCGCACCGAGATGACGCGCCGTAGACCGTCGAGCACATCGCGCTCGTTGCGGCTGTCGAGCAGCTTCTTGACCTGGGAGCGATCGAGCGGCTTGGACGAGCCCCTCGAGCTCCGGGCAGCCGAGGCGGCATCGAGCGTCAAGTCTCGCGCTGTGGTGCAGCGAAAACCGCGAGTTAGTTGCAGGCCAACGACTGCGCACGCGCGCTTGAGGGGCATCGGACACACCATTCTCGAGCAGCGTCGATATCCTGGCGATTGACTCCATGGCTCGTGGGAGGTTGGCGCGCCGAGGAAGAGCTGCAGCGCTGTCTACCCTCGTGGCGGGAGTTTGAATTGTCGGTCTGTTTCTTGCCTGCCCCAGGTGACGTGACGTCGGGCAATTGAAGGCTCGCCCGACCTCACCCCAAGGCACTGGACGTCAGGTGGGGGTGGGCTTCATGCAGCTAAACCCCTCCAACATTCGTGCGGGGAGGGGCTTGCGCCCGGGCAGCTTGGAGGGTGCTACAGGCTTGTCGGGGTCCAGGTCCAGGTCCAGGTCCATTACTGTGGCAGGAGCGGGTCGGTCCGCCGCCCAGATCATCCACCTGCCGAACGTCCTCGCTGGAGCCGCAGCAGCAAGAAACATCGACGGGGTTCGATCGGGCGACTTCTCATCGTTGTGGGATGTATCCGAAACAGATGGAAACCACTCATCTGCCGCACTCGACCTCGACAGGGTACTAGGTATCATTGCACTCCATCTCTCATGGCGCACCTATATCTACGGGCAGCGTAAAGGTTGCGTTCTCTGCTCAGCAGTGCTGTCACACAGGCGCGCGTTCATAGGGGACCAGGTAATTACGAGATGGCCTCGCAGCCCGTCTTCATGTCTCCCGCCCTCCCGACAGAGCTACTCTCCCATGTCATCCGCAGCTGCGCGTTTCCCACCACGCTCATAATCTGCTCCACTCGCGTCGAGTTTCTCTCGGCTCTTGCTCGCGACATCAGACAGCAACAGAGCTCCCAGGAACCGGAAGCGCCGCCACCGTCGCATGGCCCTCCAGAAGACGGCGTCGTCCCAGCCGAACAACATGGGGAGGCCCACACTCCTGCTGCACAGCTACTCGCAGCTCCGCTGTACCAGGTGGCCGTCGCACGGCATATGCGCATCGTGTTCATGCCTACCGTGTCGCACCTGCGCGCCTTCCTGGCCGTCTTCTGCGTCGAGGACTCGACGAAGGTGTCTGCCCCGCCGCCGCCCCCCCCTGCCTCGCAACGCGACATTGCTGGGGCCACGGACCCGGAGAAGGCCTCCCCCCTCTGCTCCTGGTCTATGGCTTCTTGCACATGCACCGCGACACCAGCGAGTGGAGCGTGCAAGGGCTGGGCAACACAGCCGCCGTGTTCGTCGAGACGGCCAGGCGGGTCTCGTTCCAGGCTGTCGTCGTGGAACCCAAGGCCGCCGCCGCAGACGCACGGGGCGGCGGCGTCTCGGTGTTGGAGGAGATACTGGCCGAGAGCGTCCCTATCTTAAGCGGCAGCGCAGCGAGGACGCGGCTTAACCTAGGCAGCAGCGGGTGGGCCGAGAGGACGGCCGACGTGCGCCGCGTCTTAGGACGGTGGTTTCGTTTCCGCCCTAGCGGCTGGGACGGGGGGGGTGTGCCGTGAAGATGGCAGGCAAGAAGGGCACACGTCAACCTGGAAGCTTCAGTTGTTCTGCAATATGCGAATCATGCTCATTTGGAACCGCCGAACCCGATCAAAACAGGTACATGGTATACAACAACACAATAACAATAACAACATCTTATCACCCAGCCCAGCCAACCGCCCCCCAACGCCGTCCCATGGTATCCTTGTTTTCAAACTAAACCGCAGTGCCAAACCGCAGTGCCAAACCCCAGTGCCAAACCCCAGCAAGCATTACGACATTAGATACGTCAGGTGATCAAAACATCTCAGGTGGCTTGCTCCATCTCGGTGATGTACAGCTTGATGTGCGACTCCATCTTGAGGTACTCGTCGTGAGCCGCGTGGACCTCGTTCTCGATATTCTCCTTGAGGTCCAGCATCTAAGAGACTTGGTCAGCAGGGCCTTCGCCACAGCGGGGGAAGAGGCGCTTAGACATACCTTCTTCTCGATCTGTTCTATCCGGACTCTCCTCCGCTCGACATCTTTGCCCTTCTCGGATCGCTCTTCGGTCAGCTTCTTGTGCACCGCCCGCAGCTCCTCCATCTTCTCCTTGGCCCGCTGGGCCTTTTCTTGACTCTGGGTGCGCAGAGTCTCGGTCCGGTCCGCCCACTTGGTGAGCTGCCGCCGCAGCATGCCCTCTGTCAGCTGGACCTCGCGCACGTTCGCCCCACGCTCGACAAGCGCGTCTCGCTGCTTGACGTTTCTGGCGTTTTCTTCTTCCTCCTTGGCCAACTCGTTTGCGATCTCGTCTAGGAGCTTGATGCACGACGCCACGTCCGTGGACACAACGGCGAAGGAGTCGTTGGAAGTCTGGAGAGCCCGCGCCCGCCGATCCAAAGCGTCAATGTGCGCCTTGTCCCCGCCCAAGATGTTGCTCAGCTCCGTGAGGCTCGCTTGGAGGGCCTGTGGGCTCTGGAGGGTGTAGGGGCGGAGCTTGGCGCTCTCCTGCTTGAGCGCCAGCTTGGCCGCCGTCTTCTCTTCTAGCTCGCCCGCCAGCTCGCCCTTCTTCGTCTTGGCGTCTTCGAGACGCGTAGCCGCCTTCTCCTGGCTCCGGCGCAGCTCGAGCAGCCGCTTCTTGAGGTCCTCGTTGCGGCGCGTCTTCTCTTGCACCAGGGCCTCCATGGCCCTGCGGTTGTCGCGCATGTCGTCGAGCTGGGCCTCCATGTTCTGGTTCTCGACGTACAGCTGCTCGATGCGCGACTTTGCGTTCTCGGCGCGGTTGCAGTTCTCGTCGATGACGCTCGTCTGGCTCTCGCGGAAGCGCACAAAGTTGATGACGTAGCTGAAGATCTTGACCAGGCGGTCGTGCGTCGGCTTGTACAGGTCCATAAAGTTGAAGTCGTTGACGCCGCAGTCGAGCATCAGCCGCTGCAGCGACGCGTAGAAGCCCATCAGGTTGCGCGTGTCGGGCGGCATCAGCGCGTCGCCCAGGTCGCCGCCGCACACGTCCTCGGCCGCCGCCCGCATCCCCGGGTCCACCGTCTGCCGCGTCTTGTTCATCAGCAGCTCGCCGAACCACTCGAAGATCATCTGCACCTGGATCGGGCTCGGCTTCTGCAGGTCGGCGACGGTGAACGGGATGCCCAGCTCGTTGATGCACCCGACGATCTCCCTGTCTGGCAGCCGCATGTTGGCGTAGGCCGCTTCCTCCTCCTTCTTGCGCGTGCGCGACTGCGGCTGCGCGGGCGGCAGAATCGACATTCGCGGATTGAACGCCATGTTCGCGTGTGTTTGTTGTGTATCGGAGTATGCAATTGCCTGGAAAGAGTCGTTTTTTTTCGGGGTTGCGTTCGCTCGATTGCGGTCGCGCCTACTTTTGGAGTTTTTGCTCTTGTGGCGACGGTGATGGTGCGGTAGGCGGGATCTTTCGCGCTACAGCACTGTTGACGAAACATGCACGGTGGATGCACGGTGGATGGTTGCTCCAGAAACTGGATCCACAGGGCTGTCACGTGATCTGCTCACTCTCACAGGGTTAGGGTTTTCGCCTGCGATGGTTCATGATGCAACGGGATTCATAGACGCAACCCATAATTCACTGGCTATCGATGCTAAACTTTGGTCTGAACTTTAAAATGAGTCTCCCATTTCCATAAAACCCAGTATCGGATAGGCGAACTTGACAACGTTATGCAGGTGGGAAACAGAGACCGCTGTCATGGCCCGCTCACGTTTTGGGTCCTGACAACCCCCGATCCCCAAACTTAAGCCTCGACGTTGGATGAGACAGGGGCCGCAGCAAATAATCTTAGCCCATGCGGAATATCTGAGATGTTTCGGTAAACATGTACTCAAGAGGCGCGTTCGCGCGGATAGAAGCGAGCGGAGGGGCGGGTGTACGGCACCGAGCCGCTCTGGCGCAGCGACGAGATCCGGGAGTTTGGATAAAGTGTTTGCTTTCGGGGCTAAACCGCGAGCCTGTCTAGGCACGAATACTTGGCTGGCCAGTTCACTCGCAGACAAATCTGGCTCAGGCGGCGCTTGGATCTGAGGTCCTGTTGCCTCATGTTCATGTGCTACTGCCTCTGTAACCGGCGAGCACGGCGCTTAGGGTTACTTGCAGAGGGGTGAAAGATGTAGATTCACCCCCCTTGAGCGCATGAGACTGTTGGAAGGGTGGTTCAAAGAGAAAAAACTCATCTATCGGCGAAAAAGCTGCAAAGGTCAGAGGAAGACGACACTAAACGAAAACTTATAACCCGGCTTGCGAGCAGATACTCGGAAACGAAAACCACACTGCAGTTTATTAAGCATGTGCCAAGGCCTGTGACCGTTGAAAACCGGGGGTATACCCGTCCGTCCTCTGTGGCTGGCTGGGGGATGCTGTGTGTTGTCATTGCATGACTGCTGTGAGCCTGGATTCATGGCACTGGAACAGCGCGTGTTCCCTCAGAAGGGAAAAAAGGAACACACGCGTTCCCTCAAAGCATCCCAATAAAGAAATGGGCGGGCTCCCGAGCCTATCCGACGTTTGTGCTGCATGTTGGTCATCTAACTGCCGGCTGACAGCAGATGACCCTTGTAAAAGACCCTGAAGAAAACCGCAAGACCCATGGAAATTAACATGCGCAGGCTCTTGCGCACCGCATCTCGATATTACCGCCATCACATGACAAGATCAAATCTGGGATACTGGGATCTGTCGGCCAATGCTCTTTGCCCATCTCGAGATTTTAGCTGCAATTTCTTGGCTTGTGCTGGGCTTGTGCTGGGCTTGTATCGAGTCGTGTCGACACACGCCGTCTGGCGGCGGGTTCCTGTGTCTGTGGTGTCGGACATGCAGAGATCGGCGGGCCCCAGATTTTTGTCCTGTTCGTACAAAAAGCTTCCCGTGGCACATTGAGATTCTGCTAGCTCTGTCGGTTCGCCGTTGAGTTTACGACGGCTGAAATTGCCCATCATCAGATGACACCCATAGCTCTCATGCTAATGAAGCTTGTGCTGCGCGGAAGGAAGAAACATTTCTTTCGATGCGCAGTCCAGCGCAAATGATTGGCTCTGTATTTTAAGAGGAGGGATGATCGTAAAACGTTTTGGCGTCCAGTCCACGTTCAGCCCGCTTCCAATGCCCCATGTCTTCTCATCAAACCGTTTTATTTTTCTTTGCCTGCTCCGTACCGTGGGGAAAAATGACTGCAGGGCAACGATTAGTTCCCGCATTCGAGCGCTTCAATCTTGGCCGACTGCCATTCAAGTTGGCCAAACTGTCGAGCAGCTTTGAGAATGGCTGCGGAGCATCGTCTCCATCTCAGTCGCCGATCAGGCTAGTTTTGCCATTTAAATCCCGTACACTTCTACCCTGCGGTTTCCTGTCAGTCAGTGTCTCGGGACGCCTGCGAGATAGGTGTATCCCAGCGCATTGGCCACGATGTTCCCGTGTAGTGCTCCATTGGGTTGGGCAGACATGTGCAGACTATACACGTGTCAGACTGACAAGTGACGCGGAGGTTTGCTCAGCCTTTCTCCTGCAGCACTTCGCGGGCCTGCGGCCAAGCTCAGTGCCAAGAGGTAGTATGAAGGTCCTGCAGCAGACGGACAGTGGTTCTCAATTCCACAGGAGCTGTCCTTCCCGCACAGGGAATCGACGCTCGGCGTTTCACGGCGGAGTCAATATGACCGCAAAATCGCCAGCTGCAGCACACCCTCTGCTCAAGGTAACTGTACCGTATGTCTGTTCTCGGGGATCAGCGAGGTTCGTTCCTTGGTCTCCTCAGCATCATCGCGAGGCTTTTGCAAGTTATGACGACGCCAGTGCGTGGGCGCTATCGCCAATCCAGCCCAAGCGGGCGGTGATCCTGGGCCATGGCGCCACCATCCCGCGATTCCATGACATAATTGGCTGGGGTGAAGCTCCAACTGAGGCCCCTCGCCGCCCGCCCCCACCAACGACGTCGGCTGCATGAAGCGACAGGAGGGAAACTGAACGCGATGCTGCGGATGCTCTGGCGAGTTCAGGTTCACTGTGCTCCGCCGCAGTCGCCGTCGTGACGGAACGGAATGACCTTCGGAGATAGATACGAGCGACGAAGCTGACCGAAGGGAGTGTGCCCCATCTGCGAAATTCGAAATTCCCGCACATTACGGGTTTACGGCTGGCGACAGAAGGAATAACTAAGCGTATTAAGATAATGCACGACGCGGGAATAAGCAGCCATGCGCTGGACAAGCCAACGAGTGCAACCCCGAACAACTATCGAAGTCCATGCTCTCCAGCGCTCATTCGGTGGCATCTGGATTGCATTGACTGCAACCGATTTCTCGTCTTGTGCCTGAATCCTGTGGAATCGTCAGATGGAAGTGGTTGAGGCGAAGGTGGCCTACGGAGGAGCCGTCGGTTTTGTGGCGTGACGAAGCTAGGGCACCGGGGCTGAAGCCAACAAGACCGTGGGCACGGGGACGGATTCGAGTGCGAACACCGAGGGCCTAGGACCTGCCTAGTCTCTATGATCAAGGACAAACGCTTGCAGTTGTCACCAGTTGCCGCCCAAATTGCAATTTAGCGATCTACCTAACGGGCACCCTTGACGTACTGGAACTCGAAGCAAGCAAATATCCTTTGAATGCGGTAGTACTAGTACTAGAAGTGTAAAAGAGACGGGATACAGAGTACGCAGTATTCGTACCTCTTAATGTTAACATTACCCACTGATCCGTACCTGGAGCCTTTCCAGTTTCATTTGGTTGTCCGACCGACTGAAGTTATTTGTCCGCACTACACGTGCGTGAGATGTCCTATCAACTCGGAGCTCGTCCTTGTCACGGTTTGTTCGCCAATTTCGCCTTCATCCCATTCGAAAGCACCGTCTTGCCGCCAGAGCCTACCAAATTGCGCGATAACCCTGCCTGGCCGTTGCCAATTTCGCACCGCCAGGCTTCTTTCCACAGGCTCACAGCAGACCAAACACATTGCCCAAGTATCTAGTCGCTAAAAACTAGGAAGTCAGTGGCCTCGAACTGGTCGGTTACCGGTATCGATTGATGGACCACGGGGCAGGTGGCTTGCGTTTCCAGTGGCGACTGCGTGGTGAATGGCTCAAGTGCTGGGTGGGAGGTCTGATTGAATGGCTTGGCGAGAGGCCACAGCAAAGCCCCACTACAGAGAGCACCTTCCCCTCCCCGTTTTTCCCCCTCCACTCCCTCCCCACTCGGCACCTGCGGCCTTAGTGCGTTTTCACTGTCACCTACGTAGCCCCAGCCTTAGCTCGCAGCGTGCCCCAGCAAGAGACAGGCCCGGGTACCTTGCTTGCTCCCTGCTGACGGGCCTTTCGCTCGATTCTTATATTTTTCTGGAACCCCGCCGCTCCCTGGCACACACCAGTGTGCATCGTGCCCCCTGCCCGGGCTGTCCAGGCTCTAAATACGCAGCCATCCCAAAGCCCAGCCCTCGGGGTCTCATCCCTCAGACATCCCCCCCCGCCATTCTGACACAGGCAGCAAAGTTGGGCGTCGATCATTTCTCGCGCATTCCCTTGCGACACCAAGCTCGACGACTACCTCGCGCCTTTACTTTTGCCGCCATTCCAACCGAGAGAGCAGCCGCCTAACCAAAATTGCCCGCCCTTGCGCCTTGACCAACCGCTCACCTGGCCCCGTCCGTTTGGTCTGTCACGAACAGCCAGCAGCCCAGTTCTGCGTGTTCTCAGCGCGCGTCCCTATGCAACCGACACACCTCCGGGTTTGACTCATTCGAAGACGTGAAGCATGTTTTAGAGACGTGAAGTATGTTTTAGAGACATACTCAAAGTCGGCCACTTTCCTAGACCGCAGAGCCAAACCCCATCCGCACCTCATTCCCTGCGGCCGCGACCATGATGAACCGACGACACTCCCCTCCGACCATAGACAGTATTAGCCAACAGCAGCGCACACCCCTTCGCCGGCATCTCTGAGCCCTGCAGTTTCCAGGTATTGGAAAGGGCGGTCTTCGGGACCTGGGGGAGATGGCGATGTGGCCGTTTCGGCGCAAGAGCCGGAGGAAACGCTCAAGGGCCAATACGACAGAGTTCGAGGACACTAGAACCAACCCCACTGGTTTCGAAGAATCCAGGGGCCGTGCAACTGAACAGGAACTAGCTGACTCGACATTACCTGCTGCTGCGGCTCTCTTGCAGCAGCCAGCCAAGAAGCAGCGTACGTCGCCCAACAAGTTACAACGGAGAGCCCGGACATACAGCTTCTCACCAGGCCGTAACGATGCCATCGGAGTGGACCGGCAGGGTAAAGCCAAGCGCGGGACTCTTTCCTCTGGATATCGAAATGCCGGGGACGATAGGGAGAAGGAGGGTAGGGGTGTCAGTGTCATGGACGAACATGTGTTCCAACGCGCACCAACACTACACAACAAGCGTGATGGCGATCATTTGCCCCGGAAGAAATCGAGCAAAAAACGGCGAAAGAACGACCCGCAGCGTGAGGCCGAGATCAAGGCCATGAGCAATTTCATGCCTGTTCGGCCCGCGACAGAAGACTGGACGGCCGGCCGCCCGATGAAGAAAGAGACCAGGAGGGTCCGGACGGGCTTCAGCTTTGGCTTCAAGGGCGCTGCTAGACAGGAGTGGGAGAAGCAAAACCGGTCATCTGACATCTCTTTGCCAGTTCCCGAGTCCATACACTCGAGCATGTCATCGGACTCGGAACATATTTCCTTCAGGGTCTCGGCACTAGAAGCCCTCGCACCCCGGCCAACGCTGCGATATACTACACATCCAAGGCCAAGTGCCGGTACTGGCAATGGTAGTGGAGGACTTTTCAGGCGGTCCTCTCAGCAACAGAGAAAACTCTCGGCGCCGATCCCCGAAGCAACTCTCAAGGCGCACAAGCGCATTGATGATTTTGCAGATGATCTCAGCGCCAGCGAGCTGCGCGAGCTTATGGAACGGGATAAGAGGAGGCGAGAAAGGAGAAGGCAACGGGAGCAGGAAAAGGTCGAGCAGAAGCTGGCCCGGCGGGCAGAGAAACAACGAGATGCGGCGGCTGAGGCTGTGGCGGAAGGCAGAGAATCCCCGCCGAACCTGGAGCGGGGTGTACTTGGCCGAGAAGCTGTTGGTCTGGGCATTGATCCGGCATCCGTTGTCGTCACTTCGTCAAGGAGACGGCAAACACACGAGTCCCCCATACAAACAGACAAGCATTCGGATGACAATGGCGAGGCAACAGAGGGCGATCTGCAAGCGACCCCTTTGACATCCTTCCATCGAATAAACAGCATTCCCCTACAGACTCGGCCACCTCAAGTGGAATCGGAAGAGCAACAGGTGCCAACGTTGAACAGTCCGCGGTCAAGGAGTTCCTTCCTTCGGTACGGACTTTCACGATCAAAGTCACCCCAAGAGTCCGAAGCCAAAACAGAGCACTCGGAACCCCCTCAAAAAGGATCGGAAACGAGCAGCTCCAAAGGCCCGCTCTCCTGGGCGTCTTTCTTTAGATGGGGCGGGAAGAACAAGCGAGGTTCCGCAGAGCCATCCTCTTTCTCCAACACATCGCGCGACTCGATGCAGACAATGCCACTGCCAACCCCGCCAATCTCGTTCGTACCACGCCGCCTTAGCTCGGGGGTGCCAAAGCGCACAATGTCTCGCTTCCGAGAAGATCTCCCAGAATTACCGTTGTCGCCCCCAGACTCTCGTCTTCAATCCCCGGAAGCCGACCCCATCCCCCCAACAATTGCAGAAGCTTCGCCGGCCCACGTCGATGAGGAGTCGATGACGTATGATCCGCCGGCCCCTAATGCTCGGTACGACACCCCCGCATCGGAGCAAAGGTCCATGGAGGCCATGCGCCAGACTCCCTCTACTTTTGGCCATCCGGATGAGCCAGGGGTGTCGCCCGAGCCCCAGTCAATGTCTCTCGCATCGATAGACTCCGAGGCATCTTGGCTCTCGGGCCGACTGTCCAAAAAACGAAAGTCATCGGGCATCTTACAGACATCCCCTTACATGCAGCTTCCCAGGCGAACATCGGAATCTGACAACGATCGCCCTGTCGAGCAAGATAACACGAACGAGGACATATCCATCGCCGATGACGATTACTTGTCCCGGTTTACTCAACCAAGTGCCGAGCGACGGAATCGCAAGTCCACTGGCGAGGCACGGCCGTCGAGCGATGGGGAAGAGGAAGTTCACTGGGGCTCCGTTGGAGGGCACCCTATGGTTGTCCATACCCACGTTGCCGATCGCATGAAGAGCCGCGAGGGCCTGCTAAAATCCTTTGGCGAAGAGGCCGAGAGTGAAGGTTTGCCTGCCTCTCCAAACGCCGGTTCCCCTGTGAGCGACATCGGCGATGAAGGTGAGGGCGAAGCTCTGCAGCGGGCGACAAGCATCAATCTAGGGAAAGGGCACGTAAGGCACATAAGCGCCGGCAGTGCACGACTTCTCTCCATCAGCCCACGGTCGTCGGTCGACGCGCGGCAGGCGAGCTTATCGCCAAAATCCGAGACGTGAACGAGATTGTAGTTGATGGCAAATTGAGAGAACACGCGGCACCCAGACAACCAACTGACCTTTGAGACACGACATTCGCTTGAAACATTTTCTTACGTCTGCATCTAACACGACAGCCCGACGGCATTTTCTTATCATCTTTACCAACCAATATTCGCTCATTACACCAACTTTCCATATGTCTCGAAACCCAAAATCGAAAACAGCAAAACAACTCGTCTCTGGGTCAGCTATTCTGGGTCTGCTCTAATCTTCTTTCATGCCATCTTCGCAGCCTCGTGGCAATCTCGGCCTTGAATCTCATGCATAGCACGCCACATATACGCATGTACGATACGATGACGACTTGGTTGCGTGCGATTTCTTCTCGAATTTCTCTCCTATTTCTGTCATTTTGTTTTGTGTGGATTAGGATACCCATCAAGCGCTTGTTCCGACCTCAATATTCGGAGTTTGAGGTCTTGGGATGGACGGAGTCGAGGATACCCTTGGGACTTTTTATTATTTTTCTTTCGGGTCCGGACTGGGTGGGACATGGCAGTCTAGACGTATCGTCGTACAAAACCTCACGTATTCGTTGTAATTACAATGGTGGCTGGGCCTGAGGGTTTTTCTTCTGAGGTCAGCTTTCCAGGGCCACGAGCCTCTTGCTCGTCGGCTCGTCGACTCGTCGACATGGGCGAATACCTAGTGTTTTACCCCTCGGCCATGTTTTCTTTTCGATCGGTCTACTTAGGTAGTCTACCGAGAGACGACCATAATCAGACAACCACAACTCCACGCTAATTGAGAAGTAAATCAAACCCCAAGCCCAGCCACCTCCCCCTTTGTCAACGCCTGATTAATTACTGAACTATTAATCACCATTTCGGTTCATCCCTCCCCCCTCCAGTTCCGCCACATCCAGAGAGCGCAAACGCCTCTCGCAAGCCAGCGCGTCCTGCTGGCCCGCAATGGCCAAGACCTTGCCCGAGACGTGCCACACCCAGTACCGCATGCCGTCCGTGTTGCAGAGCCGGTACCGGTTGAGGTATAAACTCAGCAAACTGCGCGCCAGCGCGTCGTCCCGGTACGCCTGGTTGTCGGTAAACAAATACTCACTGCTGCTGCTGCTGCTGCTGCTGCTGCTGCTGTTCTCTGATGATGGGGGCGCCGAAGATGTCAGCCACCGGTGGTTGATCAGGAACACGGCTATTGACGAGTGGAACGCCTCGAGCGTCTCCATGTACACGTGCTCGAGGGCGTCTGGTGGTGGGTGGCTGACGCTCTGCGGCAGGAGCTCAGTCCCGAGATGCTCGTTTTTATTCTCACTGGCCGTGCCTGCACCCGGCCTCGGGAGGTGCTGCCGCTCGCCCGCCAGCGAGATGCTGAGCAGCCCGTGGAATTTGCAGAAGCGCGCAAGCGCCCGGCACGTCACGGCCAGGTGCGGCCGGTCAAGCACCGACATGAAGTCCTTGAGGATGAGGAGCAGCAGCTCGGCTGGGAGCAGTTCCAGCCGCGATAGCGTTGATGGGCTGCTGCTGCCGTCAGGGGCTTGGCCGGCGGGTGCGCTGTCAGTGTCGAGGATCTGTTGCCGTCCGGAGTTCTTGATCAGCTTGTGGGGGCCACAGCTTACCGAAGCGGAAGCTGCTCACCTTGCTTGAGATGTGAAGCAGCGTGATTCGATCCGGGGCGATGGTCTGCGGATTTGGCATTGGGACGACTTTTGGCTGGCGGCCGTCGCCAAGCGCCAATGCGGCCGGAACAGTTTGAGTACGTCTTTCAAGAATAGCAAGTACCATCTCACACGGTTTCATAATTTGTGATTTTTTTACCTTTATTACTTTTTCCTCCCGATTTTTTGGTGACAAGCTGTGGGGGTGATTGGCTGCCGAGAGAGAGGAGGCGGTTGGCCGCTCAACTTAAGCGACGAATCTCACTTTGGGTGCCGCAATCCGTGCTTCAGTTGGTTGCTGTGAAACCTTAATTCACTCGCCCTTTCGGCTATGTTACTGAGCTAGGTCCATTTTCACCTGATATGCGTTTCAGGTTTCTCGCCAAAGGTCGGTCAGAATCCTAACTGTGCCTCTCAGAATGTCACACGGCGGATTGCCATCTCTGCTTTCTTCACCGCCCAGGTCGCGCTTAGTGAGAGGCTCATGCAGTTCTCACACGGTTTAATATGTGTTGGATTCGACACACAGATGGATTATATTGATGAGAATTTTTTGAATTGATCCCCCCCCTGCTCTCTGGCGAAGCCAGAGAGCCATTATTATAGATGGACATAGTGGCGAAGTAGGTGGCAAATAATAATGCCCTTTCGATCAAACTTGCCACTCATTAGGCCACCAACGATGATCGGCCCGTATGTAGGCCTTGATGCCTACACATCTTTTTAGGCTCCATTCAGCTGGTACGATGTAGCCAATCCAACAATATGCAACAAGTCTGGAGGTTGGCAGAGTCGCTGCTGTGCTTTGTAGCCTTTGTTCGACGTCTCACTCATATCAGCTCAGGAATTATTACCCTATGAGACAATGGTTGACTTGTATGAGGTTTATGTAGTCATCTTCAAACGACCAGAGACTGGTCTTTTTTAATATGACTAGGTAGGTTTTTTTGGAATGTTTGCCGCAATTATAGGTGGATGCTTTAAACGCAATACTACTTGGGTCGGTTGTTGTCGTTCTATTGGCCCAAGTCGAAGATGCGGGGCTGCAAAGTGCCCGGCAAAGCCCCCGTCACTTCACGTCATTCAGCAATTTCACAATTCACACCCACCCGGTAACATTCCCATCGCGACTGCCAGTCACCTGCAAGAGCGCAACAACTTAATTGCAATTAAGGCTGACTGAAATCGCAACGCCCTCTCGGCTTTAGGGGAAATGGCAGAAAGTGTAGACGATGCGGGCGACTTTGCTGGTGGCGAGTCGGCTCAGGACAAACAAACGGCGGCCCCACCGCGAAATGCCTTCACCGAGCTCATGGCTCCCAAAACCAAGCCGCCCAAGCCAGACGCAGGCAAATCATCACGAAGCGCCACCGGCAAAGGCGGCAAATGGACAGGCGCTTTGGTTGAATATATCGAGCACCCTGAGCGCTTCCCTCGCGAGGTCCTGCGCGTTACCCCCAACACGGTCCTCATTAAAGACCTGTATCCCAAGGCCACTATCCATCTCCTTCTTCTCCCGCGCGACCCTGCACGCTATCTCATGAACCCACGCGAGGCCTTTGATGATGGCACCTTCCTGTCCGTGGTGCGCGACGAAGCCGTCAGCGCTGCCCGCATAGCCGCAGCCGAGCTCTCGCGCCAGCTGTCCTCTTTCTCGGCCAGCAGCCAGGCGCAGAACGAAGCCATCGATGCCGGCGTCCTGGCCGCCGAGCTGCCGCCCGGTCGAGACTTCTTGTCCGAGATGCGCATTGGCGTGCATGCCCACCCGTCCATGGACCATCTCCACGTCCACATCTTCTCCCCGGACATGCACTCGGACAAGGTCAAGCACTACAAGCATTACAACAGCTTCAACACGCCCTTCTTCATTCCTCTAGACGACTTCCCTCTCGCCGCCGACGACGAGCGGCGGAGCACGGCCTTCCAGAACGCTAACCTGAAACGAGATTTCGTGTGCTGGCGCTGTGGAAAGGTGTTTGGCAATAAGTTCGCCGAGCTCAAGAGGCACCTGGAAATCGAGTTTGAGCTGTGGAAGAAGACGTGAGCAGGAAACGACGATGCACTGAGTCACCAGCCGTTAAAGTTATGTAATATTTCATATTTTTAAGGTTTCTTCCTGCATGGGGCCCTACAATCGTAGTTCCTTCCTATTCCTTGGTCTCTCATCATACACAAAAGGAAAGAGCAGGCTCAGACGGTCAGGCGGGCGCGCAAGCAGGGTCATCCTTATCCTTAGCCATGCTATGCATAGTGCATTGTATCCGGAAAACAGAACCGAAAAGTGGATAAAGGACTAGGAACTGACCAAAGATTTTAACTTTGTGGCCTTGGCCTCGTCCTATTCGCGACGTGAATGCAACATGGGATGGCCTTGGCCTCGTCCTATTCGCGAAGTGACTGCAATATGGGATGGCCCAGGCGTCTGTGGCATCAGGTGCACGAGCTACCGTGATTCATAGCGTCATCGAAGTGCCTCTCGGGTAGCCACCCTCCATGCTAGCTTCGAAGCGTCAACGGTAGCGGATTGCGCCAAGCTCACCAATGAAACTTAATTCTCGTTCTAGTCGCGCTAGCTAACAGTTCCCCAGCATGACAGCTGCCAGTGGACCAATTGAGAGCTTGGAGCTTAAACCAAGGTAAGTTGTGGACAGAAGCCCCGCTCCTTGCAGCCACGCTCTCTGTCTATCCCTTCCGATCTTGAAACCCTTGCATCCACAGCCAAGCTTTTCTGTCCCACCATGTGTTCTTGTGTCCTCAGCGCCACGGATGGCCAGAGAACCTTGCAATTTCTTGCTCGGATCCTGGATCGACGACAAACTTCCGAACGCTTCTTAGCGGCCCCAAACAGATCACGTCGACCCTCCCTGGCTCTGGGGGGCGAGAGGCTGTGGACCGGTTAGAAGGTGCCGGCCATCCCGCCGCACCCTGGCTGAAGATGAAGTCAAACACGCTCTCTCCGGACGAGCCCAGACATCTGGGGCCATTCTCTCTCTAAGAATAATAAAGGCCAGAGTGAAGATGGTTTCTGCGGCAAGCCGAGCACTACTCGTTTTAGCAGTCTTTGCCGGGGGCGCTCTAACAAGAAGCCCGAAGTCACCGAGCCTTCCCCGCGGAAATGTCTCGCATACATCCGTCACCATCGCCGGCGGTCGAGTCCATGGCATGATCGACCATTCAATGCCAAATGTCCGCCAGTTTCTCGGGATACCGTATGCCCAACCACCAGTCGGCAAGTTGCGCTTTGCCGCACCACAGCCTGCTCTGCCCTTTGGCGACCTGGACGCAACACATATGCCCCCGAGCTGCCCTCAGTTTCTGATGAAGACGCCCCAGAACGTCTATACAGAACACGTGCTCGAGTTCAACCTCCAAGGGGCCAATGCCACCAGCCACGAGATCAGCGAGGACTGCTTGACCATCAGCGTGTGGACGCCGACGTCCACATCCAACGTCATCCACGAGACTCGGCACCTCCCGGTTCTCATTTTCATCTACGGTGGCGCGTTTCTCACTGGCAGCGTCGACGTGCCCTACCAGGTCCCCGCGCAATGGGTCCAGCGCACGCAGGCCCACGTCGTCGCCGTCTTCAACTACCGCCTCAACATATACGGCTTTCCCCATGCCGCAGGTCTGCCCGAGGGCCAGGAGAATGCGGGACTGCGGGACCAACGTCTGGCCGTCGAGTGGGTGCGCGACAACATCGCCGCGTTTGGCGGCGACCCGGCGCGCATCACCTTGTGGGGCCAGAGCGCGGGCGCCATCGGCGCTGGCTATTACCAGTACGCCTACGCGCATGATCCCATCATAAACGCCGTCATTATGAACTCGGGTACCGAGCTACTGCCTGGCGCCACCTCCTCGTCGGCCGACGCGAAGGGCCTGACATTTAGCACCGTGGCGGCGCAGTTTGGGTGCGGCAATCTGTCTGCCACCGCCGAGCTGGACTGCATGCGCGGTGCCAATATCTCGGCGCTGAACGTAGAGGGTTTCATCGAAACCCACAATGACGCCAGCATCCTCGATTTTCTCGAGGGCAAGCCGTCCACCGTCTTTTTCTTCACCCCGGTCGTGGACAACCTCACCGTCTTCCCCGACTACACGGCTCGCGCGAGGGCAGGTGAGATAGCCAAAATTGTTAGTTCCCCTTGTCAATATTGCCTACCATTACAGCGGCCGCCTGGTAACGAGACAAATCTTGCTAACAAGTATCACGCAGCCGACAATATTGGGAACTAACAAAGAAGATGGCGTTCCATTTGTTCCTCTGGACGCCGACGGCGGAGGCGTGAACGAGACGTTGGCAATGTGGGCTACACTTGGGTCGTTCTTCTGCCCAGGCTTCAAGGCGGCAACGTGAGTGTTCCCCACCATATCATCCCGTCCGCTTCGCTAGTCTGCTTAGAGCCTTCAAAATAACAACTAACAGAAACCGCATCGCTGCCGGCGTGCCCGTTTACCGCTATTTGTATGCTGGCAACTTCTCCAACATCTCGCCCGCGCCCTTCCTCGGCGCCTACCACGCGGCGGAGCTGCCCATGATATTTGGCACGGAGAACAACTACCGCGGCCCACCAACCGATCTCGAGCTCGCGACGAGCCACGCCATGCAGGACGCCTGGCTAGCGTTTGCAAGCACCGGCGTCCCCGCGGACGGGTGGCCGCGCTACACGGACCCCGTTACCGGGCTGGCGCGAGAGTATGGCGTCGCGAGCTCGGCTCCGCTGGGCTACGTCGATATAAGCCTCCATCCAGAGGAGGCGCAGCTGTGTCCGGAAATGTACCAGCCTGACGCCCCGTAAAAGGTAATATTACCTCGATAGTCACCCCGACAATTTTTTTTGGCCAAGTCCGTATTAGGCTTGAAAACTGAGCAGAGGCTGAGGCACATTGAGCAGAGGCTGAGGCACACTGAGCATTGCGCTGAGCCGAGCTGAGTTCAGGGATGTTCGATTATACTTGCCGTGTCCAAACTGATCCAAGTTTTAGGATACCAGCCCACAACTTCCGTTTTTTTCTTACAGGTGCAATCGGCTACCGTTATCAAACCAAGTAGAACTACCATTTGTATTTAAACTGAGAATTAGTATATACTAACTTGTCTATATTCTTTTTTTTCTTAAAAAAAAAGGCGAGACTACGAGCATTTTTTTGTAAAATATCTATCTAGCTTCAATCTGTATAATTTAGGAAGCAAGTAAAAATGACTAGAGACTTTGTAACTATTAGTCTAGACGTCCGTTTCGTAACGTTTTTATCTTACTATCACGGTTAATAGGGTTCAACGGACTGTGCTAATATAGTGCCTTACTGATCTAGTATAAAGTTGTTGGAATGTGGGCCTCAGAAGGATTAGGCAAAGGGTTAGGCAGAAGATTTGCAGCCTACTTCGCGACTTCCTTCGCAGCCTAATCGTGACCTACTTCGCGGCCTACTTCGCCACCTATTTCGGCGTGCAGATACGCCCTGTTGCTTCTAGTACCGGTACCTGGTGACACCAACAAAAACCAAGCTAAAGAAGAAAAAAAGAAAAGAAAAGAAAAAAGGATCGCGCGAGTTACAATCCTTGGAAAAGGTTATCGGCGGGGTTAGTATCAATCCTGCTGGTCTCGGCCAAATTATAACGGACGGTGAAACCATGGGCATCAAAGGCATCACTAGAGAGTTTTTGGGTGGGTTTTACTCCAGAAAGCACCGTGTTTTCATGCCTAGTCCTCGACTAACGAGACACAGCGGTCGGTAACTTGGGTCATGTGGAGCAGACTTGTCGAGATAGCCATCATCTTAATTCCAGAAGAGGCTGAACAGATTATACACATGACAGATTAAGTTAGGTGGGGGGGTAAGCGAACACTACTGATTTAGAACATTCTGTATAAGCAGGAGTCCCAACTAACCCTCCAACAAAAGAAAGGGTGATCTTTTTATTTACAAAACTTCAATACAATCTTTGATATCCTCTGAATCATCCGCTTCTTCCGCATCTTCTAAAACCTCTGCTGCACGCCCTACAGCTCTCTGGGCCTCTCGAATAGTCTGAATATTCGCAAAGGTGGTATTTGGATCTTCTTCAACCTTCTTCTTCTTTCTGGCTCTTATTGATTCGAGAGTGTGTTCTAGACCTTCAATCTTTCGCTTCCTAATAGCCAGTTCAAAGGCCTGTTCATCCAAAGCCTTACCAATCTTTCTGAGGAAGAGCTTATCCGCTGGCATTGCTTTGATGATGCGTGCGAACTTCTTTGCCTGCTCAACGTAATCACGTGCCTTTCTAGGAGTCCTCCACTGCACCCCATCGTCTCCATAATCCTCCAGGATTGGCATACGGAGTGTGCGAACCTCTGGGGTAACTATAGTAGTTCTTAAGGGGCGTGAAGTATTAGAATTCTTGAGGAGGAGTGGGCTTCTTAGCGGTTTGTTGACATTCAAGGGCCAAAGGCCTGATGCCTTCCATCCTGACTTAGCATTACTCTTAGTAATTGCCTCTGTGCGTGAAATCTGGTAGCATTCCAGAAACGCACGTTTTCCGGCTACAGAAGAGTCGTCAAAGGCGTTAGCAAGAAGGTCCTCAAGCCGTCTGCGATAAAGTCGTTTTAGGGGGCCAAATATGGCCAAATCTAGGGGTTGGAGAACATGGGAAGTATGGGGAGGCAGATAAATAATGTGAATATTGTTTGTGAATGCCTCCCACATATAGTCGGCAGTTGTGTGGCTGCCATGGCCATCAATAATAAGGAGTCGTTTCTCAGAGGAGTTTGCTGGCTTGGTGAGAGGAATGAATACATTTTTTAACCATTTGAGGCTTGTCTCATCGGTAGTCCATCCTTTCTCAGTTGCTGTAAAGAACCAATCCTGAAATGGCTTCATATCCAAAGGAAACCATTGTTGTTGAACGCTTTTCCCCTTAAAAATGACCAAAGGAGGAAGGCAACGGCCAGCTGCTGAGATGCATTCGACAAAAGTGGTCCAAGTGCGGGTTCCAGGCTGTTTTTTTTGAAGCGCCTTAAAGGCACGGCTTCCAATGACAAGGCCGTTGGTTCCTCTGCCTTCCATAATACCAGATTCGTCCTTGTTCCAGCGATTCTCTGGCTTAATCGCCTTGATAGCTGGTGTTTGGAAATGGTTGAACCAAGGTCGAATTGTTGACTCTGTAGCGCAGTTGACGCGGACCGAATCGACTCTCTTGGCCCTCTGAGTCTTCAAAATTCGATTGCGGTTAAGAAAGGCACGGCACCACCTCTTTCCAAGTGGTAAGGAGTCCCCCCTTTCAGCTAGAATACGGCGTGCAAGCTCCCTGATCTGTGCATGTGTAAGGGGGCAATCCTAAATCTTGTTGAAGAAGAATCCATTCGACTAAACGATCCTCTTGGGTCTGTGTAACCCTTTGCTCATCTTGATGAGCAACATTTCGAGGTAGGGAGCCATGTAGACGGCCATAAAGGGTGGAGGGTGGAACGTTCCATTTTCGCGCGACTTTGCGTAATCGATGTGTTCTGACGGCTTCCTCGCAAGCCTTGCGGAGGTCTTCTTCTGTATATGAAACCATTGTCAAGAGAAGAATAAAACGAATTGAAGATGAAGAGAATTGGAAAAGAATTGGTTGAGTTATGGGCTTTTTATATGAGAGGGTTGGTTGTGTTCCTCGCTTATCTAGAATGTTCTGGATCAGTGGCGTTCGCTTACTCCCCCACCTAACTTATACACATGATACGAGCCGAGGATTGCCATCCACAAGTTCACCTCATCACGTACGCCTCTGCGGTTACGAGACAGATGCTGCCCTTTTCCAATCTCGATTTCTTTAGCATACTACCGCTGCCTCTAACCTGGAGTGCCCCGCAGTGGTTGAAGTCACACCTCGGGCTCCTTGCAAGGCGACTGTATTTTAAGTGGCCTGAAACCAAGGCACTGTGTCAGTTTCTGGCCGGGCACGAAGGCCTCGCCGACCCTAACGAGAGTGACGACGAGGATGAGACAGAGGACGAGAATCCCCACGAGGATGGTGTTAAAGGCGAAGGAGCTTCAAATTGTCTCTCAAAAAGGCCTTTTGTCCTCATCTCTAAACTTTTTGCAGGACTAGTTGGTCATACGTCGCTGAGGGTAAGATATCGTTCACACCCCTATGGGGTTCTTGACTCAAGGCAAGCCACTTCAGGCCAGCTACCATTCTTTGGAGGGACAACTTCACCCACGCCAATCTTTACTGTTAGCGGGGATGGTGCCACCCCGTCCGGCTCGCGTCATGATGTAAATGAAAATAATAAACAAGTCGAGGACTTTGATGGAGTTGATGACATGGGCGCCAATGTGGGGAATAGCGGCGACGAAGAGGAAGGGGAGCTTATGTATCAGGATAAAAAACTGGAGGGCTTGAGCGAGGAGAGATTGAAATGATTCTGGAGATGGATGATGATGCCGAGGTCCTGATTCACACCGTGCTTGACAAAGACACTACCGATGATAAAATTCAGTGCCTCAATAGGGCCGGAGGGCTCTACATTACTGCCGGCCCGTAGGACCGGAGGCAGAGTATCGTAGTGCTTGGGTTATACTTGAGTAAGGTAATGTACATTTCGATGGTAGCATGTTTTTGGCCTAGGAGAAGGTGATGGCATAGATATCTTGCAAGAGTCTTACACGGAAGAAGACATGGCGAGGCCCGTATTAGATACATAGTAGACAAGGGGCAGCGAGAATTCCGGTTACGGGTCAAGGAGGCGTCGAGACGTCCCCCACATTTATTAGCTTCGTCTTATGTCATCGCCAATTGTCCAACTACCATCACCCGCATATATAAGACAACAAGGTAAGCGCCCCAAGCGGGTGGTTACATAAAGGGGACTTACTGCTCTGATAGTAAACTAGATAGGAATGTGAACCTATGATTCCTTACTTGGTGGAACCAAGTCTATCTTGAATGAGTGGCTCTGCGCGCCAGTGGATATTTTTGAACGACATCCAAGTCCATCTAGAGAGTGGAATGCTTGTGCTTCTCCCTGTATACACAAGTTGAGCTCTGGGCCCGAAGCCTTCCTGGCCCCGCCCCGGGCCACAACTGTTCGGGCCCCGGCCGGAACCTTAAAGCTTCTAAGTCGGGCCACTCTTGATTAGCTGAAGCATTCTGCCTTATGACTAGTCCGGGTATGGTGGCTAGAGCCCCACTTCTGGTGCACGCCGAGATCGTGACATTGATGGATGCTAGAAAGGGTTAGATTTTGCTGTTTTTTAGTGGAGCTTGACTTGCCGCTAGATTAAGGTTGAATTAGCTAACTCAGGTAAATTGAGCTTTTTACTATGTAAATTGATAATTTACGAGGCTAATTCAATTTAAATATAGCTTCAGATTTATCTTGTTTGAGTTATTGCCAACGGTGGTCCTCGGATCTCGTTGAGCTGTTCAAACTCTTGGACTTTCGGAAGATCATGTATATCTAGCCATCCTTGCACCCAATTTTGTACTTTAAATTTTCTACGCACGCCAATTCATACTGATAAGTGAGCTGACTTGTTTACATGCCTTTCCGAGATGAGTCTGGCTTTTCTGGTATTTCAAGAACTTCGTCGACAAAGTGTAAGCCACTCGGAACTTTTCGTTGAAGGCTCTCGTTTTCTCCCACCCCTTATGCAATAGTTCATAAAATTTCTACCCGGGTCGCCAGAATGCCGCTCGCTTCATCCCGCGGAAAGCAAGAAACAGGACGTCGTCGCCAAAAGGGAACGCAAACCCGGATCACAAAGTAATTTCGGTGAAAGCGCTGAGGTCAGCCTCAGTAAGATTGCTTCTATCTCAAGACCATCGAGGACATATTTATCGAGTCAATGCGAAGTATAACACAGCAAATCCAGAACAAATGGGGCGGCTCGAGACAGACCTGACGACGTTGCGCGATGGCCAATTCTGAGCCATGCTATCCTCTATGCGTTCAATAATTGCTAGACTACACAAGATGGGGACATGCATACCATGAACCTACTTAAATAGAAGTACGCGGACAAGGGGTCAGACACCTGCTAGGTGCTCCACCGTCCGACTGGTAGCACACATACAAAATATTACAATCCAGATTCCCCGGGCAATCCTCCTTTCGAAAACAAGGAATCTCCGTTTCAGTGATGGGATTAAGGAATTTGTAACATCGTTGTTTATGCTGCGAGTCGAACCCACAATTACAGCCGTCTAGCAAGTTGCCTTGCATCCAGAAGGTGGAGCACGCTGATGCCAGCGCTGCGTCGCAACGGCCCGGGATGGTGCAGATCCAAGACACGGATGTTGGCGGTTGTGAGAATACGGTGAGGCAGAAGAAGGGTGAGGTGGTCGCTGATGTCGAGTTTGAAGTGGTGGTTGTGCTGTTGGATGATCGCGAGGGGGCTGGCGTTGCTGAGCATACGGAGGCCTCAGTACCGTGTCTCCGCCGAGCCGCGGCCATGGTGTCAGTGGTAGTAGTGGCAGGTACACTGTTGCAAGCTATCATTGTATTCGTGTTTTGGGGCGTGGTGAGCGGCAATGTGGACGGACCCGAGAAAACACACGACGTCGAGACGTCCCCGATTATTTGTTCATTGAATTCCATGATTGTGTTGAAGAAAAGAGTGTTGTCAACGATGGATGTAAGGAAATATTGATGACCGGGATCGCTCCGAAGCCTCTGCCAAACATACTCGTTGAGATTGCTATAAGCAATGCAGATATTCTGGGCGGTGGCGTTCGGGTCAAGTCCCTGAGACTCGATGAGCTGCTCAAGATAGATGAGACCGTTGAGCCCCAATATTGTGGGGCTCCAAAGCGGCACAAAATGCCACCATGTGTTGTTGAGAATACTTGCAGCCGCTCCATTAGGCGGAGGGATTAGGCCCAGCCCCCGGGAGAAGATCGAAACCAAGTCTGTGGCAGGAACCGCAGTGCCGTAGGAGTCCCTGTAATAGCCCAGCTGGCGCAGCAGGGCCACCTCGCATTCCTGCTCTGGGCTGTCGGGGTTCGGCCATGTGCATTCCCATTTGTAGAGACCGTTGACCCCTTGCATGGGTATTCCGTTGACAACATCGCCATGTGGGATGCAGTCAAACCCAGAGTTGAACCCGGGACCCACTGACAATTCGACGTCAAAGGGATCCGTCGGTGTATGCCCGCACTGGTCGAACACCACCACCTTCACCTAGTAGTCGACTGGGAAGAGGAACGGAATGTTGGCCTGCCGCTTGTTGGCTACCTGTTGAGGTCTCTGGAAAGTCCGTCTCTTCGATTTTCTAGTGCCACCACCACCGCCGCCTTGTTGAACGAGATAGTCGTAGATGACTGGCAGGACAAGAGCCACAACGCTCGAGCCATCCGCGGTCAGAACAGTGATTCCGGTGTCATTGAATATAACTGCTGTATTATCCGGATAAACAATCCCTAGCTGCATAGGGTCGCTGAGATCGAAAAGCAGATCGGTTTCAGTCTGCAGATCGCGTAGACCGAAGAGAGGCGCAACCTGTCCGAACTCGTCCAGATAAAAATGAAGTGCGTCGATAAGGCCCAGGTCGATGCTACCGTTGTATGTCGCCTTGGTAGCAGTGGCGGTCTGGATGGGGAGGCTATAGCAAGTTGAGGTTGAAGTGACAACAATTGTCTCTGCTAACTCGAAAGGATCCTGTGACCAAACAGTAGTTGCAAAACTTCCCAGCTGCAGCGCGGCGATGATTTGCTTGGAGAAAAACATGATGGACTGAAGTGTCGAGGCGGAAAATGGGGGGAGAAGCTATGGAACAATTGCTGTCTGACGGGGTGCCCACGTTGCTGGCTTAAATTCCTTTCAAGGTCACGATGAAAACGGGCATAAGAGTGCAAAAGAAAAATTGACAAGTCAATCTTGGTTGGTGGTCCATTGACTGGGGGGCAAGCTGCAGATTCGAATGCTAGTCAGGCACGGAGAATAGCTTGGGATCCATGTCGAGGGTAGCATTGTAAGCTCGTGCCTTTAAAGGAAAGCTCCCCGATCCAATTACCATCAGCCAGTGAGACAATCATCCTTCCGGCATTCTTTCATCACAGCCGCGAGCTGATCACGGCGAGGCACAGGAGGGAGGAAGCACTGCTGCTCAAGGCTCGGGCCAACGCGGATTAACTCAACGCAGATTGCCAACGCAACGCAACGCTCAACGCAACGCAGTGTAGGGAGGTGCGTTGCGCGACGCCGAGATTGTAGCCATCTCCGTGGCCGTGGCCATCGGGTACGTGGCCATCGGGGACGTGGTCCCAACGGGTGATGCTAGCGCTAGGCCACCCCGTGGCCATCTTCGTCCGGCTATTCTTCCCCGTGTGGGTGTCGCTAATCCGACAGGGCGTGCGGTGGGCCGTCGTAGCAGCGCAAAAGTCGTCGTTGTCGGGCCGGTGGCCTGGCGGGAGCTTCCACCTCGAGTCAAAGCCGGGTATCACGAGCCAAGGGCTCCCTGTAGGCAGTAAGGTGACTGTATTCTAGTTGTACGAAGAGTGCAAGATGTGTGGGAGCGCAGCTCCACAGCCATGGCAGCGGTGTTATGGCCCAAGCTCTGAGCTCTGCTACCAAGGAGGCGGTTCGCCAAGGTCTCCACTATCCAGGAGTAGGCGAAGCCTATAATACTACCTCCCTCTTATAAGTCAGGTGGTCTGCTTATGGAACACCCCTGGATTTGGAACAAGGTTTGTCATCAAGGACTTGCCGCTCGCCACCTAACTCACCTATTTCAATCGCTTGCAACTCGACCAATTCTGCTTCAATACTCATCTTCTTTTCTCCATTCAATTGAGAAATGAAAGATGAAGCGATATACTCAGTTGGATTTGCAGAATGCGCTGGCAGAATATGCAGAAACCGGCTTACTCCGTAGCTCTGCTGAAAATCACGGCATCCCCCCTACTACTCTCTTTAATCGGGTTCGTGGTTCCGAGCCAGCCTCCAAGGCCCAAATTCTTAATCAAAAGCTTTCTCCGGCTATGGAAGAACGCTTAACCGAATGGATTCTATTCCAGCCAAGCATAGGTATAATATGGATGAAACTGGCATTGCTTCTGGCATTGGAGATAACGGCCTGGTTGTTGGATCTAAGGAAAGAAAGAAATTCCAGAAAAAGAAGAAAGGAGACCGAATTTGGACCTCGATTATCGAATGTATTTCCGCTGACGGCCGGTATTTGAACCTAGTCGTCATTTTCAAAGGTGGAAGCCTTCAACAACAATGGTATCCACGCGATTTACAGCCATTTAAGGGCTGGAAGTGGAAACCCACTGAAAACGGCTGGTCTGACGATGATACTGCCGTCGCATGGCTCCGCAATATCTTTCTTCCAGAGACTCGGCCAGCTACCCCCTCGGAGAAGCGCCTCCTTATTTTAGATGGCCACGGTAGTCATACCACCGAAGAATTCATGTGGCTAGCCTTTTCTAATAACGTACAATTGTTATTTCTACCAGCCCACACCTCCCACGTTCTCCAGCCCCTGGATTTATCGGTTTTCGGCCCTCTAAAAGCCCGGTACAGAGCCAAGCATAACGAGGTTGTTTCCGGCTTCGACGAAGGCACTGTTGCTGAAAAGAGAGCCTTCCTAGAATGCTACCGGCAAGCCAGGGTCTATGGAATGACTGAATCTAATACCAAAGCCGGCTGGAAAGCTACAGGCCTCTGGCCGGTCAGCCTCAGGAAGCCCCTAAGCAACGGCCTTGTTATTAAGAATTCTAACGGCGACGTTGGTCAACTGACCTCTACGGTTTCTATAGACCTTCAAGAGGTCCATAACCCCATTCTAAATAAGAATTCGGAGGGCCGGCCTATATGGTTTACCCCTAAAAAGCCGAAGGATTTCCGTATTCAGGGGCAGGTTTTTCTAGCCGGCCAGAAACGGACTTCCAACGACCGACTTTTCATACGCAAGGCCGCAAAAGCCTTCGATTGCGTGGTTTTCCAACTAGCCAATACGGCGCATCAATTGGAGGCTGCAGAAAAAAGCCTAGAACGCACAAGAGGCCGAAAGAGAAGGAAGGTCCAAGTCGACCCTAATACGCAGTTCGCTGGAATTGAGGAGGTTCGTGCCTCACAGAGAGAGGCTGGCAGAGAGGACCTTAGTTATTCTGAAAGAGAAGAATCAGGAGAATCCGATACTGAAGACTTCATCATTGTAGCTAATTAATTGACAAAGTTGTTGGCAATTGAAGTTTGTGGTGTTGTGCGGGGTCCGATTCAGGGGCTGTTCCATAGGCAGGGGTGTTCCAAAAGTCCCCTACCTGACTTAATTAGTACTCAGAATAACGTTTTAAGGCTTAATTATAAAACTAGCTACCTACTTCAAATCTTCCTATTTTAAAATAGGCTGCCTGACTAATCAGGAAGGGGTTAGCTGAACGGAGCCTCTTTTTTTCTTGTTTTTGCCTCCGGCGGGCTGCCCTCGCTTCGCTCGAAGGAATGGGTGGCTGGGGCATTTTAGGAGCCCTCACAAATTGCTGGTTATCCGGAGGGATCCGGTCGTTCGGGGTCTCTTTAGGTAGGGTCGCGCCGTCGGGAGGCTGGCCACGGCCGCCTGGATTTGGCGCATCGGGCCGTGGGGGCTGCGGTTGAGGGACCCCACCGTAGCCATTGCGGCGGCTCGAAAAACACGCGTTCCTGGTAATATGTTAGTAGAAATTAATAGGGTAATAATCGTAAAGTATTCGGCGTGTCTGTTTATAGCTAGAAAGCGATAAATCGTACGTGCGATTGACTGAAGTTGGTTGTATTACGAGGTTCATCCGACCGACCAATTCTCACCTCCCATTGTGACACGGACGTGAACTGACTAATCTCTATTCGGGAAACATTCGGCACCCTCACGGTAATATAGAATACAGCCTCTCTCGCCACCTCCGGCTCGCAAGCTCGCCTACGGTGGCTCCGTTCAGCTGAATAAGAGAAGGCAGGTACGCCTGCCTGATCAAGGTGGTCACAATGAAGGTGATGAGGAGGGCGAGCAATGACTGGTATTGGCGCAAGACTTCAACCTGGCCCTGGCAAAGGAAGGAGGGCGAGGGCATGTGACAGCATGTGAAGTTCTCGTCCGTCGTGGTTCCTTCCCTACTGATCAGCTTTTCTACACTCCTACACTATATCTTTTTAGCTAAAATGAGATTAGTCGATCTCGAATGCAAGGCCTCGTTTATCTACCCGGCCCCTAACTCTTGTTATTTTATTCGCCTCAACTGGCGAGAGAATTGATCGGCGACAACCTCAACTTCGTTACGATATGTGTCGTCTGGAATTGACCCACTTTTCATGGAATTGGACAGGCCCTGGTTGACATGCCTCTGAGCTTCCTTCATTCTTTGTTATTTCCTTCATTCTTGACTCGGAATGTCCTCATTTCATTCGGAATGCCCTCTTCCGGGCTGATTACAACGCCTCCCTCGCCTTCTCTCCATGAGTATAAGGAAGTGTCGTCTGGAATTGACCCACTTTTCATGGAATTGGACAGGCCCTGGTTTACATGCCTTTGAGCTTCCTTCATTCTTTGTTATTTCCTTCATTCTTGACTCGGAATGTCCTCATTTAATTCGGAATGCCCTCTTTCGGGCTGATTACAACGCCTCCCTTGCCTTCTCTCCACGAGTATAAGGAAGCGTTCTTTTCTGTACTTTTAGACCTATTGAGCAGACAATTCAATGCGCTGTCAACTTCGATCGTGTTGGATTGGCTATTGTCAGATGGACAAGGGTTGCATGTGGAATAGAGCTCATCCCAGCTGAGCTCTGGTGTGGTCATCCGAGGTGAAAAGAGGCTCAGGGGAGCTGAAATGAAGTGGCCAGTTCAGCTGGTGTGGCTACTTTTGCCACCACCATTGCCACCATTTACAACTATAATAGAGGCCCTTTGGCAGGACCAAAAAGAACAAGGAGGGAGATCAAATGAAGAACGTTGAAGTGCTGAATCCAACAGATCGCGTGCAACAGTTATGAGCCCGGACTAACCACCACAAATCGCTTCCGCAACAAGCATTTCGGCACCTCATTTCCAAGCTCGTGTTCCCAGTCAACAGACCCCTCTCAACACCTTTCAAACCTTCCTTCTTCCTTCTTTTCTTCGTTGATCAACCAATTTGACGATGACTTCCTCAGCCACGGCAGCAACCACCCTCTACAAGCCCGTTCTTGCACGCCCGTCAGAATGGCCTGCATGGTACACTGCCCTGGAAAAGGTCGCCGGCGATAGGGACCTCGGTGAAGCCATCGACATCAGCAACGACGACTGGCTCCCGCTCTCTAGGGTCACCTTCAGCACCTTCGAAGACTTCCTTGATCGCCGCTACCCTCTCGACACACCCCGCACCGCCAAAGCAAAGCGCGACCTTGTCGACAACGCTACCCCTCAACAAATGCAGTCCTGGCGGTCTTTTGAGGCACAAAAACTGCGTGAGCACAAGGCATTTGAGAAGCAGGAGACCCTGATCCGAGAGATCAAGGAATGGATTCGCTCTAGCACGGCCGCCACGTACGCTAACCTCGCTGAACCTCGAAATACGGCCCTGAAGGACATTGTCAGGAAGCTTCACACCCTGGTTTCGATCTCCACAGGAGAAGAGGTCGAGAGAGCCCGGGAGGCCTACCGATCAGTCCTCAGGAAGCCAGGGAAGTCGCTATCACCCTCCAAGTGGTTGCTCCAATGGCAGGAAGCCTACAGCGAGGCCGTCAGGCTGAACATCGATGAGATCAAAGGCACCCTCGCAAGGACTTCTTCACAGCTGCAGGGACATATGACGCCAACTGGAAGGGCACCGTGATGATGGAGATCGCGAAGGCAGAAATAAAGGGCGTTGCACCCGAAGACCTGCCCTACTACGCCAACACGTTCAGACTCATCAGCGAAAACCAGGCAGGAAAAGCCACTTCCAAAAGCGCCTTTCCTACCTTCAACGGCAAGCCAGAGGCCGATCGACCAACCTACACATGCCCTTGTCGGCCTGAGCCGCCTTCCACAAACCGGAGAAGTGCTGGGCCTTGAAGGAAGTCAGCACGGGCAAGAAAGGCCGGCATCACGTTCCAAAGAAAAGGCTCGACTACGCCCGTGAGGAGCTGAAGAAGCCTGAGTGGAAAGAGCTAGCCCAGAAGATCAAGAAGGCCTCCGCAACCGAAGAGGGAGAAGAAGAAAACTGGCCAAAGGACTTAGCTGCCGTGGCCATTTCCACAGTCAACGCAATCAACGACGACCCTCACCCTCTCTCACGCTCCGTCATCTTCGATATAGGTGCTACCATCCACGTTTTTAACTCCAAGGCCGCACTAACTCCCGGCACGTTCACGCCCTCTACGAACGACTTCATACAAGTCGGCGATAGCAGCCTACCCGTTCAAGGCAGAGGCACCTGGGTCATCAAGAACGCTCTTAACTGTCCGAAAGGGAAAAACACGCTTGATCTAACCTTAGAGGATACGGCGGTCATTCCCGGCTTCCACGTTAACATCGTCTCGGGAATAATTCTCAATAAGAAAGCCAAATTCTGGTATGTGGGCCTTGATGAAACGATTCAGTACGGCACGTATGACAAGAATAAGGTCATCATTCAGCTCAAACTCATGTATAACCTGCTTGTTATCGAATATCACGCTCTTTCCTCGTGCTTTCTAGCGCTTAGCAAAGTGCCTAGAAGTGATGCAGGTGTATTCGTGCTTCCAGCAATCCAATCTCATCGCCAAAACCGGCCTTCCAGAGACCCTCTACCCCCAAGGGAGGATCAAGTGTATCTCTGGCACCTACGGTCAGGGCACCTACACAAGGAAGCCGTCAACAAGCTGGCCAACAACACAAGAGGGATCAAGATCACAGAAGACTTCAAGGACTGTGAGGCCTGTAGGCTAGGCAAAGCACACGAAATTGTCTCCCGACGAGCATCGGAAAATCGCTCAAAACAACCGTTCTGGAGGGTCTCGATGGACATCTTTGAGTACGAGGAAGGCTTCAACGGCCACCTATACCTCCTAGCCATCAAGGACGAATATAGCGGCGGCATTTGGGTCTTCTCAATGACCAAGAAGAACGACTCGGTAGATATCGCCATCAGATTTGAAGCCTGGGTCAAAAGGCAGTACGGTCTGGCGATCTGCAAGATCAGGATCGACAACGAGAGGTCGCTGGTTAACCTGGATCACTAGAGGCTCTCCTTCTTCTAAGACTGGGCCATGGACGAAGGCATCGACATCGAGAGGACCCCAGTCAGCACACCAGAACCGAATGGAGGCGCCGAGAGGGCAGGAGGTACGATCAAGACAAAAACCCGCACCATGATCATAGCCGCAAGGCTACCCGGAAACCTCTGGCCAGAGACCGCGAAAACGGCTGCCCGCTTACACAACATATCACCCTCACGAACCCACGGCTGGAAAACGCCGTACGAAGTTATCCAGGCTTGGATGAATGCACATAACCGGTTCGTCAATACGGAGCTGAAGCCGACCTGGGGTGGTATTTATGCCTACGGAGCACGCGCCTACCCTCTACAAAAGGGGTACAAACGTGAGAAACACAGCACTCACTTCGGCACCAACGCTAGGGCACACATCGGATACCTGGTTGGGTACGTTGCTACCAATATCTACAGGATCTGGGTGCCCGCCCTAGACGAAGTCATCACCACAAGAGACGTAACCTTCGATGAAACAAGGTTCTTTGACCCTGAGGAAGAAAAAAGGCTTTGTGTACCTATCCAGGAGTACCGGGGCCTGACGGAAATCCCCTCACTTCCAGAGCCACCAACGTTCAATGATGTAGCCGAAGACGACGAGATTGTGGAAGACTGCATTGTAGTCAACACCGGAGATACCCAGGGCAACAGCTCGGGGGTGGAAGAAAGCAAGGCGACTGACAACGCCGATGACGGTGGACTACCTACGCCAGCCATAACGCCGACCACATCGTACACTGATCATGACGATGCCTTACAGGTCAGGGCTGAGCACTCATTTGGCATGGAGAGGGATACCGAGGGTGCACCTACTAGTCTCCCCCAGCCACCTAACCACCTGACTACCTCGGAATCCACGGGTGGGCCTCGCGAATCCCCCGATCCTACCGAGGAATCATCAGCAGGGCCGTCAACCCTAGAGAGCGAACGCCCTGCTAGAAGAAGCAATAGGGTACGCAAACAAACTGAGAAAGGCCGGCTCTTTGAACAACAAAGCAAAAGGAAGCCGAAGGACCTGGTGAACGCTCTGAGCCTACCTCTTAATTTCGATGAAGAGGATGAAATTCAGGGGTTGCATCATACTCTCCACCACGTCTTCTCGGCAGCTGTCACGACTAACGGCATTCATCGTGACGGCCTACCGAAGCCCCTGAGGGCATTCAAAGACCTGGCACACCACCCGAAGGGAGCAGAGTTCAAGGAGGCCTGCCGCGAGGAATTACGAGCTCTCGTACGCAAAGGCACATGGAGAAAGGTTGACCGAACCTTAGCCTCAGGAAAGGTGCTTCCTTTGATGTGGGTTTTTACCTACAAATTCGACCAGGCAGGCTACCTAGCCAAGTGCAAGGCACGCATTTGTGTTAGAGGGGACCTTCAGGAGAGTAGCATCCACGATACCTACGCCCACACGCTCGCCGCGAGGTCTTTTCGGGTGGCCATCGCTATAGCCGCCCGGTTCGACCTAGAAATCCGGCAGTACGACGTCGTCAACGCTTTTCTGAATAGCAACATCAACGAAGTGGTACACGTGGAACTCCCTGACGGATTTAAGGAGCCTGGAACAGTCTTGGAGCTTGATAAAGCTCTATATGGACTACGAAGCTCACCACTTTTGTGGTATAAAGAGCTCTCGAAAGCCCTACTTAACCTAGGCCTTTCGAAGTCAACAGAGGAGGCCTGCATCTTCGTCAACGACAAAGCCCTTGTCCTCTTCACGTTGACGATATCCTGATTATGTACCGGAAGGAAGATTTGGATATAGCTCAACAACTCACTAACCAGCTCGAAAAACAATTCGAAATACGGAATGAGGGTAACCTACACTGGTTCCTAGGATTCAGGGTCATCCGTGATAGAGAGCATCGTCAAATTAGCCTCTGCCAGGACTCATACTCATACATTGAGAAAATCGCTACCAAGTTCAACGCAGGAGTAGGACGGGCCAGTTACCCTTCGATACCGATCCCCGTCAACCCTCTAACTAAGTATAGAGGCAAGGCCACCAAACAAAGCATTAAGACCTACCAGGAAAAAGTCGGTTCGATCCTATACGCCGTCGTCATTACTCGTCCTGACGTTGCTCGTGCAGCCTCTGAGCTATCAAGGCACCTGACCAACCCCTCCCCTGAACACCACAAGGCTGCTGAACAGACCATAGCGTACCTCTACTCCACACGCTTCCTTGCGATCACCTACGGTTCAGAGCCAGAGACTTTGGTCATTTGTAGCGACGCTTCTTTCGCAGACGACGAAGAAAGTAGGAAGTCCTCACAGGGCTATTTCATGACCCTCTTTGGAGGACCGATTGTGTGGAAAGCAAGCCGCCAAACCACTGTCACGACGTCAACAACTGAGGCTGAGCTCAGGGCACTACAAACAACGGCCTCGGAAGCTATTGCCCTCGAACGCCTACTCAACAGCATTTCCCTTGACCTAGAGGAACCCTTGAAGCTGTACTGTGACAACACGCAGACCATACGGCTGGTTATCACGGACGACAGAATCAACACCAAACTAAGGCATGTTGACATTCAGAATATGTGGATGAAGCAGGAATTCGGGAAAGGAAGTTTCCTCATCGACTACCTACCCACTGATGAAATGCCGGCCGATGGTTTGACAAAGAACCTCTCCCGGCAACGATTTGAGCACTTCAGAGCGATGTTGAACCTACAGGACATACAGCATTTGATTGTGATCAGGACGACTACATAGGGCTTGTGGACCTACAACACCACAGGAGACACCACCATTTCCTAATTGGGTAATAAGGCAAGTTACAGGCTTACATGCTGACCGCATACAAGCCTCGAAATAGTATATCAAAGGCCCACTGAGGAAGGAGCTCGGTTTATCAACAGCCACACGACCAAAGAAATACCTTACACTTGAAAACTATATGTACTTGGAGAAGCAGCTCCGGCAGAACGATGGATATGACTACGTACACGAAGCGTACCGAGTTTTTATTAGCGGAAAATTGAAGTGTCACGTATTCACGCCAGCTAGACTAGGTGAGATCAGTGAGGGCTCAACTAGGAGGGGTACCGGAAAAGGATTGCGTTACAAGGTAGCTATTATCACTCATGTTCATGATCGCGGGCTAATCGCTTAGGAAACGGTGATTCTGGTCGCTTGGAAGGACGGCGAGCCTGAATTAAGGTTCAGCCTGAAGAGAGAATTTGCGAAAGCAATGCATGACAAGGAACAGCAAAGGTCAGCAAAGTCTCATGTGCATGTGGCTTCGATACTAATGATTGACTGGAATAGACCGACGCACCTACTCTATGAACATCTTCCCGGCCAGCCTCTTGTCGTCAATCCAATGCTCTTTCTGCTTGCTATCTGTCTTGCGGCGGGAGCATTCAAAAACTACAAGACTCTCAAAGAGGTTTTGGACGTTAGGCCGCCGGCAAACCAAAGGTATTGGGTCCTCGAATGGTCGTCTCACGTGCTGGACCTGCCGGTATTTCCAGAAGTATCAGTAGACGGGGCGACCAACAAGATCCAAACGGGCAACTCTTTCAACACGCAGCTCAAAGCCCTCTCAATTCGAGCAGGGATAAGTCCCGTCACGGTACACAGCATGCGGAGGGAGGCTCTCATCTTGGCTACAGGTATGATATTCGCCTGCCGTTTTATTCTTCGCCTAGCTAATTTAAAGTTTAGCAAATGGTTATTCGGATAGGGAATTGATGAAATTTGCCGCACATACCAACAAAATGACGCTCACAAGAGACTATTTGAGTTCTATAACCGTTGTGGATGGTCTGGCCGGTTTTCTTAAGCTCCTCTTCGAAGCGATCAAGCGGAAGACTTCCGGTCCATGACGGTTAACCGAAATCCCGAGCTTTTGCAATCACTGCCTGCGAAGACGCACGACCAATTAAGGCAGAGAGAGGATTATGTTGCCATCACAAAGAAAATCGATGACCTGACCCTTGAGATAAGCTGCGCCCAAAAAGGGGCAGCTGCTCGGGATCTGAAGTCGGAGCGGGGCCAACTATACGAGCAAAGGCGCGTGCTCGAGGAGGAGTTGAACAGAATCGGCGGGGACCAAGAACGAATACATCCTTCAGAGCGCAAGGAAAAGGTTTACGTGGACCAACACCGTTCTCGATTCGATCGCCTTCGTCAAATGATGCCGGAGCGCGAAAGGCTTTCAGTTACGCTCTTCTGCGTTGCTCCCATGCGAAGCCCGGAGGGAGAATCGGCTATTGAGGACCTTATATCGCTCGTGAAGAATAACTGCCGAGTCGCCTACCAACCGTCGCTTCGGCCACTACGAACACAATGCGCAATGCCGTATCACGCCGCGGGGAGATGCCAAGCGCAGCACTGCGGCGTGGACATGTGCCCATACTGTGATGTAAAAGTTGAACGGTAAAGTGAATTTTAGACCTTTACACTAGTTCCTAAAGCTGACATATTTTCAGGATACCTATTGACCACCGGTGGCAACATGTCTTTGAATGCTCCTTAGCACACTACAAAGGGGAGCAGAGAGTCGTTGATTTCTGCTTCATATGCGACAACCCCGTAGCGGGTAGGAAAGCATTGGAAGTCCACTACCGGGGGCATATCGACAGACGCGAACTGCCGCTGCGCTGCAATTTTGTCAAGTTTCGCCGAGCCATTGCCTACGCCAGGATGTGCAAAACATGTATGCATAACGAAAAACTACCCGCCGGGATGTGCAAAACATGTATGCATAACGAACAACTACCTGCAACCCGACGACTGTTCGGATTTAGGAAGCAAGTTAGCTGGGAAAGGCATGTCAATGAGTGCTTCACTATTTACGCGAAGACTTCGAGAATGACGGACGCAATACCGTGTCCTGACCCCGAATGCTCTATAGCGTACGAGTCAGACCAGCAGCTCTAGTACCATCTACAAGACGCCCATAGCTATCCTTCCAGAAATAGTAAGGAGAAGACGCAAAAGAAGAGGGAAGTCTTTGTGGATGGAGGATGTTCCCCCTCCCGAAGAAAACGGCGCCGAGTTTATACTATGGAAGAGGCTGCCAACGCCAAGCTGGCATCAGCAACAGACGCCAACCCGGCGGCGGAATCCCATGGATTGATATCAAACTTTTCTATCTCCTACGGCAGTTATTCGGAAACCAGCACGTCTCCTTTCAGCACTATTGCCCTCTCTTCCGTCTTCGACGTCAATTCTCTTCAAGAAGTTTGCCCATCAGTTAATTCGAGCTCGAGGCCATCTCCCAGCTTTGTTGATGACGAGAGCCTTGGTGTCAGCGAGCATGCCGATCCCGGGGCTGCATTTCACCATCAACTACAGACCCTGGCCTGAAGGGATTGGGTGAAGGGCAAGTGTCTCGGATTAGACAGGTAGAGCTGCCTCCCGCTTACTACGACATGTCTCGAATGAACGTCGAGGAATGTAGCGATGGAATTGTGTCTAATACTCGGTCACTCCCATCTCGGATCCTCGATCTTACCGATCAGACAGACAACCTTATGGCGCAGGGCGACCAGACGACATTTCAAGAGCAATGGGCAAGCGCAAGCTCACGATCTACATCATTATCATCCACCGTTCCTGTGAACTTAATTGATCCGGAACTGCTGACCGACACGGCCCCTGCTGAGCAAACGAATGACGCTGTGACAGAGTTATGTTCAGTCGGAGGAGGGGTTGGCGATAGCAGGGGGATCCTCCCGCCCACCGCAATTGACGAGAAAAAAGACACATGGGAGGTTGAGGAATTGCTTACTAAGTGGGGGCGGGGCCGGGGAGTTTGGCTCCTGGTCAAGTGGAAAGGCTTTGGGGACGAATCCAACACGTGGGAGCCACCAGAGAACATAAGCGACCATCTTCTTGCTGATTTTAACATAAGCTACTTGAAGAACGGAGGAAATCATTCGGGAGTGGAATTGCTTAAAAAAAGATATGTAGCGGACGGATTAAGTATTTAGTGAGATGGAAGGGTCGTCCGGAAAGCGAAAATTCTTGGGTGAGTGAAGGAACTATAAGTCATGCGCGTAGGAAGGAATTCGAGAGTGCGTATGGGAGGATTAATCTGGAGTCTTGAATTCGAGAAAATGTATATAGAGTAAATTACTAAGCTATTAAAATCGGTGATAATTATCATCCATCGTGGTAACGTATTTTATAAGCGAACGGATAATTTTGCACCACCCCACCACAACTACCCTCAATTACACAACCACAACACTAGGAAATAACAATAACTGAATTAGAAATAGATGAATCGGATGATTCTGCAGCCTCCTTGCACGTGCGTGCATTATGGCCAGGCTTGCCGCACACGCCACAGCACCGAATCTTCGTTCGAGACCCCCCTACATCACCAATACTTTGTCGTATTTCCTGGGTTAACTGCTCACCCACAGCCTTCTGATCTAGTAGATCCTGTGCCTCTTGTGCCGTAAGTGACCCTCCAAGCCATATACGTGTTTTTTTAGCTCTCTGTCTCTTACTAAGCCCCTCATTGGCCTTACGTAGTGCCGAGACCTCAGTACGTAGAAGAGCTACCTCGTGCATCACAGCCATTGTACCTTTGGCTAATCAATCCACAGCAGTTAGCATTGGGGTTGGAGAGCTGCCCTGATGGTTGGAAATTCGAGTTTTAATAAACGCTGACTGTGAGGTGGTTTCTCGAGGGTTGTGTGGCGTTTGGGAGACCCAAGGTAGTGTAGTGGTTAGGCTTGAGGCTGGGGGTGTTGGGGTTCGAATGCGCACATCCAGCTTAGATATCACCCTTTCTGGGTCGTACGGCACAAGGCCAGCTCCGGCGAAGGCTCCTTGGATGTTCTTGTCGATAAAAGCTGTAAAAAATGCCTCTTTAAACGCACAAAGGAAATCCAACTTAGTGATATGTGTAATGTACATGCGCATCAACTCCTCGATTTGATCACCATAAGCCTTATTCAACGGCCCAAAACAACCAACATCTAATGGCTGGACTAGATGCGAGGGATGAGGAGGCATACAGATTGTAATAATGTTATGCTTCTTGCAATAGTTCTCGAAATCGTCGGAATGGTGGCTTTCGTGGCCGTCAAGGACTAAGAGCCGGTATTTTCCCTTCGTACGAGATGCTGAATGAAGATCAAAGTGCTTGATGAAATCGAGGCCTTTCTCATTGGTAGTCCAGCCGTTATCGGTCGTCCCGATATACCAGGTAGCTGGAAGACCGCAATCTCGGCACCAACCCTCCTGGTGGTATTTTCCTTTTAAGAGGATGAATGGTGGGATAGCCCAGCCTTGAGCATTTACCCCCTGGATAACTGTAGCCCATTCACGATTACCAGGTTGGACCTTTTTAGCTTTCCCATAGCCATCAGAAGTAGTAACAACCATCCCAGTAGTAATCATACCCATCGCAAACCCAGTCTCATCAAAGTTGTATGTGTTGGATTCAGCACTTCAACTTTCTTGATTCATCTCCTCCTTCTTCTTTTTGGTCCTGCCAGAGGGCCTCTATTATAGTTGTAAATGGTGGCAATGGTGGTGGCAAAAGTAGCCACACCAGCTGAACTGGCCACTTCATTTCAGCTCCCCTGAGCCTCTTTTCACCTCGGATGACCACACCAGAGCTCAGCTGGGATGAGCTCTATTCCACATGCAACCCTTGTCCATCTGACAATAGCCAATCCAACAGTATGTATCTTCGTCAAGGATACCGTACTTGGCTTTAGTATTATACACAAGGGCAAACCACTCGCGAATAATCTTTGGATCTTCGCATTTAGCCCTCTGGTAGTCATATTTACGCGAAAAACGCGTCCGGAGTTCTGATTGGCGTTTGACGAAGTTGTGAGCCCAGAGCTTGCCGACAGGGAGCGCGTCGCGTTCGCGTAACAGTCGGTTGGCCATATCTTCCACAAAACGAAGCCGAGGAGGAAATGCGCGTGCACGTAGCTCAGATATATACTGAATAATTGTATGCTCCTCTAGATCTGTGAGTTTTCGTGAATTGGCTGGAATATCGCGTCGTGAAGGCCGACCGACGCGTCGGTTGTAGAGAGTAGTGTAAGGAACAGAATAGATCTTTGCTGCAGCTGAAAGACGGAGTTTTGAGTCTTTTCCAAGAGCTTCAAGGGCTAAGTTTAATTGTGCTTCCTTTGAAGGCAGTGCCATATTGTGTGGTGGAGGAAAACGTTGCGAAAGGTCGAGAGGGTGGGGTGGTGTAAAATTATCCGTTCGCTTATATTATCCGTTCGCTTATAAAATACGTTAGCACATTGTAGAGCTACCGGATTAAGTTCCTTCAATCGTCGCTATTTCTATCTCGTCCAGTTATATAGGCACCATCTATTTTAAGAATTAGCCTCCAAAGAGTGATTGTGAGATAGAGTCCTGTCTCATTAACAGATAGACATTAGTTATGAATAAATGGGGCGCGATCAATAAATTGGCGTGAGCGTGGGCAGGATTGGAGCTGATTAGGTACAGCTCAAGTTAAATCAGGCAGGCAGTAAAACGTGCAAGTACCATTGACTTGCAAGGCGCTCATGTGGCACAGTGGTCTTGACAAATACGCGTAGTGTAGCTATTCAGGGCTAACCTTGTGTTCCATTGAATGGAGGCCCGAAAATGGGAAGTGACCAAGATTCGGTACCTGGTCGGTATTAATAATAAGTATCACTTCCTTGAAAAACGAAGTTAGACATTCAAGTATAGTGAGTAGTATCAATAAAGATGGTTTCTATGCGGCAGAGCAACATCGAAAGAAGACGCGCAAGGGATGAATGCCGTGAAAAGCTCTCAAAACACATTCGTAAGGGAATGAAACCTATCCCGGTAGCCAAGCTAACTTCTTTAGACCAAAGACTAGGCATTAAGGTAAAAGCCGCAGATGTTCGCCTTAACCCCCGCCTAAATGATCCATATGCTTGGAGAATTCTGCCGGGTGAGGAGCATTCCCTTTCCAGGGTGTTCGTCAAGAATTTAAGCGACCATTCTATTGGTACTTTCCGACTGCTATGTAGGGAGATTGGAAAGACCTTTGAGGCCGTGCTTTCAAGCACACAAAGCTCGTCATTAGACTCAATTGTAACTGTATGCAAAGTCGAGTAGTCTATTTCTGGCGATAGCTAACTTTTCTTTTTCCAGTTGTCTGTCCCGGAGCCTAGCTTTTCCGTGATGATAAATGAACTTAGAGAAGAAAATGCAAGGCTATACCAGGAAGTATACGAGTTGAAAAGCAAAGCAAGGGTGGAATCAGGGCAGAAGAAGCTTGTAGAAGAAGAAAATTGCAAGTTACGAAGCAGCCAAATGTAAGGAAAGGGCACCCCAAACACCAGCCGCGCGCACAGGGTGCGCGCTCACTACCTGTTACCAACTGGCCAGAACACTGCCAGTTGGCACAAGTCATTACGCCACGCCATGGCGCCCCGGGCCTGAGCCCCTGAGCATGTATATAAACGTGGCCCTCGCCCACCTTCCTTTGTGAGGGCCAGGTTGAAGTCTCACACCAATACTACTCGTTGCTCGCCCACCTTCTTACCTGCATTGTGACCACCTTGATCCGGCGTACCTGCCTTCTCTTACACAAATACGACTCTAAGCGCAGGTTCAAGGTTATGCGAATACTTTAAATCATTTTAGGAGTAATGTTACTAGATGCATCTTTGGACTAGAAAAGGCACTGCCTATATCAGAGGGCTTGTTAAGAAATGTATCTATAGACGAGGCGAGTCGGACAGCATAAATAGATTTTTTAAGTGTACTTTGCCTAATATCTTTTACTAAGCAATTAAAGCCTTGAACATCGACGGGTATCATCATATCAAAGGACCGGCTTTATATCCTTAACAAGTTATAAATATATTTATCTTATTAAGGTGCTTGCAACTCGATTAATAGTACTATATCTTCATCCAGAAGCAAAGGGAGCATGGGCCACGAGGACTCTCACCAGCAAAGGAAACCTACACGTTGTCACGACCAGGGCAAGGCATTGAGGTGAACTCAGTCCATTGGGTACTATCGACGAAGATTCTAAACTGAGGAGGGAAAGAAGGAAAAGTCCGACAACGCGTCGCGTGCTCGCGAATAAGTTTGCATCTATCAGTGGGGTAGGTGGGGCCTCGAGGAGGCTTCTGATAGGCCCGTGGGTTCTGGGCGGCTCTGGCTGCTTCAGGGCCAGTTTGGTGGACGGGTCCTCACATTACCCCCTTCCAAGCTCTGAGCGCCTGGCGTTCAGGAAGCTTGAAAGAGTACCGCGGGGGCAATTCAAGTATGCCTGGTGGCATGCTTCTTCTTTGTCCTCCCCCCCGTCGCATCGTGTTCCGCCACTTCATCATCCTTATGATCGCTACTGAAAGCATCGTCTGCCGCGTCTCGTATCCATTGCTGTAATCTCACTGGCGGACCAGCAGCTTCCGGGTGTTCTTTGTGGAAGGACTCCAGCAGCAATGGAGAGTTCTTGAGGTCGCCAGCTGGATACCAGGTTTCGTCGGGATCCAGGCCGACCCAAGACACTTGGTATTGGAGCTTCTTTCGTTGACCGAACAGTCGCGATGCCAGAACCTTCTCGACTTCCCACTCGGGTTCTCCATTGATCTCCACAGGGGGTTCCGGTTCTGCCCGTTGTTGAGGTAAAGGGTCCTCAGAAGCTTTTCTCAGCCTGTCAGCGTGAAAGACCTTACTTCCCTTGTACCATGACGGGGTATCTAGGACGAAGCTGTGGCCTTTCATGTCGACTATAGTCCAAGGTCCGGCGTTCTGGGAATCCAGCTTAGTTGTTGGTGCTTCGGTAGAGAATCCTTTCTTGCTGACATACACTGAATCTCCCACACCGAAGTCAACGGGGCGACGCTTCTTGTTAGCTTGAGCCTCCATCAAGGCCTGTGTGGCAATGGCATTTTGTCTTGCCAGGTCTTGGGCTCGCTGGGTTTGCTTGACGATATCCAAGGCCTTTTTCTGCTGATCGGTAGACAGGTCTAGCTCGGGCAATGGCAGAGACAAGGGATTCCGAGGGCTGGTTCCCAACGCTACTTCCAACGGAGACATTCCAATAGCCGAATGGTAGGCTATATTGTGGGCCAGGTCCAAGGCAGGCAAGTGTTCTCGCCATTTGGTCTGGTACTTGTCCACATAAAACCTCAGCTTTTGATCCAACTCCGCATTGGTGATCTCGATACTTCCTTGCGTTTGAGGGTGTCTCGAGCTTCCGTGGCGATGTTTGGTGCCCGTGAGCTTGTTGAGGGTATCGAGGAATTCGGAGATGAAAGGTCCGGCGTTATCGCTAATCCACTGGCTAGGGACTCCCAGGAAGCGGTAAAGATAATGGTAATACCGGGCGGCTAATATCTCCGCGGTATCCGTCTTGCGTCCGGCCAGGGTAGCGATTAGCTTGCTGAAACGACAGATGAAAGCCCAAACGTAGTCATAGCCTTCGTCGTCCGTTGGCATGTTCTTTCCGTCTACTACTACATGCTCCCAAACGTGCTTTGGGATCGGCAGCGGATGGAGAAGTCCGGGAGTCTTGTCGTGTCTGACCTTATTCCTTTGGCAGCTCTGGCAGTTTCGGATATACCGTTTGATGTCGCTATTACGGCCCTGCCACCAATATTCCTTCTTTAATAGGGCGACCGTCTTGTTCTGTCCTGCGTGAGCGAATGCCTTAGGTTCATGGGCTTCTCGAATCAGGGCAGTCCGTAGAAAGACGCTTCCGTCGGCGGTGGTCTCCGGAACAACTAACAATCCTTCTTTACGACCCAAGTTCTGCTTGGCGTTCTCGGCAATGATAGTATCGACCAAATCCGCTCCACAAAGTTCCGTAGAGGTCAGGGCGTTGATTGATCTCGCACCGTCGTTCGGCAGCCCTTCAATCTTTTCGGGTGGGATCAAGGCGAACGTTCTGTCTTGGATTTCTCGTGCTTTGACCGTCGGGTTGTCTACGGTTTTGCGAGAGAGAGCGTCGGCGGCCACATTATCCTTACCTGGGCGGTAACGGAAGGTAATGTCGAAATTGGCCAAATAGTACGACCAGCGAATCTGGCGGGCGGACAGCAGTTTCTTAGTAGACCAATAGATGAGAGCTTGATGATCAGTCTGTACAAAGAACTTGGTTCCCCATAGAGCCGGTTCAAAGTCCTTCAAGGTGTTGACTACAGCCAAAAGCTCCTTGTCTTGGATGGGATAGTTTTGCTCTGAGGCGGACATTGTCTTGGACGAGTATCCGATCGGCTTCCATTCTCCGTCTTCTTGCTGCTGCCAGATCACACCGCCCGTGGCGTTGTTGGAAGCATCGGTGTCGACTTTCACTGGGAAACCTGGCTTGTAGAATGCCAAAACTGGGGCCTCGGTAGCAAGCTTCTTGAGTGCGTCGAAGGCGGCTTTTTGCTCGGGTCCCTTCTCGAAAGCAACGTCCTTCTTCAACAGCCTGGTGAGTGGTTCGGCAACTTGGCTGGCGTGGTAACAGAAGATCCGAATGAAGTTGCAGAGGCCTAGGAATGATCGAACAGATGACTTCGACGTCAAGTCGTCCCAATCCCAATCCAGGATGGCGGCTACTTTGGCAGGGTCCACTCGCACTCCTTTTCCGGTCTCCAGAATCATGCCCAGGTAGTCGACTTCGGTCACGTTGAAAGAGGACTTCTTGATATCGCCTTGGAGTCCGGCCTTGTGAAGTCGATAGATGATCTCCTCAACGTGTTCGAAGTGTTCCTCATCATCGCCCTCTGAATAGGCCAGAACGTCATCAGCATAGGCACTAGCAAAGAGGTCCAGTAACTCGTTGAGTTGTGCATTGATAAAGGCTTGGAACCAAGCTGGCCCGACTTTCAGCCCGAAGGGCAGGACTTTCCATTGGAAGGTGCCTTGGCGAGTGGTAAAGGCGGTAAGGTACCTTGAACCGGGGTCCATCAGCAATCGATTAAAGGCACGGATGATGTCGATTTTGGTCAGGTGCTTGGCTCGCCCACAGCGGCTGATGGTGCCTTGTACGTCGGGGGCTAACACTTGTCGACCCTTAATGAAGTCGTTGACCCAGCGGTAATCCACGCAGAAACGGTGCTCTTCTGAATGGGGTTTAGGCACGAACAAGGTGGGAGCAGGTTTATCGGTCATGCACCGTTCAATGAACCCGATCTTTAGTAGTTCGTCGGTGGTCTCTTTTTCGAGTCCCAAGAAAGCGAAGGGCGTAGGGTAGCGGGACGGTCTTCCCTCTAGCGGCTTACTGAGCTCAAGAACCACATCAAAGCCAGGGCGGCTGGGAGGCAGTTGCGTTGAGGCTTTCTTCGAGAAGAATCCTTCCAGGTGAGCCAACTCGCGTGGTAGCTTGGCGCGCACTTTATTAATATGCTCGGAATCCTCTCCTGCCGGGAACGGGATATGCTTTCCGTCGAAGGTCTTGTTCCAAGCCTTGGGGTCGACGGTGAGAGCGTTGAGGCTTATGGTGGGCTGATTAGAGACTCCATCTAATGGTATGGCAGTTTGGGGCATCTTCTGCTTTTTCCATCTCTCTTGGCGAGGGTCAGTCTCAATTGCGCGGAGGCAAGCAATCATCTCGGGGCTGTGCTTCTGTTCCGTTGCGACCGCTGGAATCGCAGCGGCTACCACTGTCTGTGTGTTTGTCCTGCGCCAGGGATTTTGCAGAATCTTTTGCACTTTCAGCTTGCGTTCCTCGGCCTCCATTAGTCGATCTCGGCGGACTACCTCTGACTGGGCATTCATATCAATAGTGCTAGTGCTCGGATCGACAAGGATGCTGGGCGAGTATTGTGCTAGGGCAGGAGTATCGTCGGGCCAGCGAAGAGTACGCGAGGCGGGGTGCAGCCATACGTTCTGCTTGGTAAACCAATCCTGTCCTATAAAGACATCATTGGCGGTCGGGATGATAATGAACTTCTGACGGGGGAAACGTCTGCCGTCGATCTCGAGAGTGACCCGAACTTGATGGGTGGCGCGAGCGGCGGCGGCCCCGTTGAAATCACTAAGTACTAGCGGTTTAGGCAAGAGTTCCATCTTTGCCCCGACCTTATCAACGAGCTTCTTGGCCATCTTCGGGGTCATAGAAAGGGAAATATCGGCTCCAGTATCACAAAGAGCGTGAGTCTTAAGACCAATGCCATCGACTAACAGGTTGACCCGTTTGGTGAATGTATTTGATTTTGGTGATCTGCCGACTTTAGCTAATTGTGGTATATGGGCTATCGAGGAGACTTCCGATAGCCGAACTAGTTTTCCGACTCTAACGATCCTGAAGATTCCGACGAAGTGTCGGCAACAGCGGTCCCGTCAAGGTCAGAGCTTCCTTCATGATCGAAGCTGGCGAGGAGACTGGCCATAACCTTGCGATCAGGACATTTGCGAGCTTGGTGTCCTGGCTTCTTGCACACAAAGCAGAGGTCGGCTGCCTTCAGGGTTTCCACCTCCTTCTCTAACAACCGAGGGTTGGCTGGAGTTGCCGAGACCTCCTTCTTATATTCCCTCGAGCGGCGGCGAGGTTGGCGGTTCTCCGTTAAGGGTCGCTCCTTTGAGGGTCTCTCCTTCGACTCCTTGAAGGTCTTGCTTTGCTCGTAGGCTCTCTTCTTGGCCAGGGCTGAGTTGGCTACCTTGACCACAAACGATTCGTAGGAGATATCAGGGCTCTCGGAGGCGTCGAAAAGTTCAACGTTCAGGTTGGCCGGGATATGCTCGTACAACGTGGTCTTTCGGTCCGCCTTTGCGATATTTGCCTTATCGGCCAGGCTATTGATCTTACCGATGAACTGGTGAATGTCCATCTGTTTATCGCGGGGGTCGTACATCAGGTTACGTAGCTCCTCCCGAGCTTTCGATCCCTGGTTACGGTCGTGGTAGACTGCCTGTAGGCTAGCGACCATCTCGGCCACACTAGCGAATGGGTATTCGGTTGATTGGTATCGGCTAGAGAGGAGGTCGTTGGCGGGTCCTCTGGTTGCGGCGTGGAGGACGGCCATACGGCTACGTTCGGTCTTGAAGGTAGTATTGTCTTCCTCGAACTTGTCTGCTAGGGTGATGACCCAATGGTCGAATTCGTCCTTGTTACCCTGGAAAATACCGGGGTCGACTCCGACTTTGCGGGACTTTGGGTTGTAATCAGGGTTCGGGGCTCTCTGATCGGTGCCGTAGGCTTTGAACGCAGGGTACGCGGCGAACCCGGTTGGGGTGAAACGCTCGCCTCCGAAGGCGCTATTGGCAGAGGTCACTTCGCGAGCGGCGCTGGATTGGCGAATGGGTGTAGAGGAGCGGGCATTGAGCTCGGCTTGGAGCCGGGCAATGGTGGCTTGAAGTTCTGTAGTGGTAGGCGTGGGGGAGGCCATGTCTGCGGTTGTTGATTGTGGGGTGGGTGTACCTGTGGCGATCATCTCGTCGTCTGTTGGTGCGGGGCGGAGGTTGTAATGGGTTAATTGTCGGTTGACTTCCGATTGTTCGGTGAGGATGCTGGAGTTCGTTATCTCGACTTCGACAGAGGCGAGAGATGTATCTTGATCAGGGTCTCGCGTGGTAACAGCGGGCGATCTGCTTTCGGTGTTGCTGTTGGTAGTGACAGGTACTTTTGACTCGGGGTCACTGGGGTCTTCGGCGGGCTTCTTTAGCTCTGGGCTCGAGGGTGTATCGAGGACGGTGTCGTCTGGCACTTTGGCTGTGATACTCGATTCTCCTGTTGGGGTCCGGTCGCTGCTATCTTTTTTAGAGAGTCGATCGGATTTGCGTGTCGGTGGGCCGTAATCTTTCTTCGGCGGCATTGACTGCGCGGGGTTTCTGTGCCTTAGTTTTGCGTCGTGTACAGCCGACGTAGGGGTTGCAAATGAATGCGGGAATGAGGGAGATATATTTTACTTGCTTCGCCAGCAAGGAAGAGAAGAGTTTAGAATTGTGTCACGACCAGGGCAAGGCATTGAGGTGAACTCAGTCCATTGGGTACTATCGACGAAGATTCTAAACTGAGGAGGGAAAGAAGGAAAAGTCCGACAACGCGTCGCGTGCTCGCGAATAAGTTTGCATCTATCAGTGGGGTAGGTGGGGCCTCGAGGAGGCTTCTGATAGGCCCGTGGGTTCTGGGCGGCTCTGGCTGCTTCAGGGCCAGTTTGGTGGACGGGTCCTCACACACGTTGCTGTTCGCTGAAGACATCGAGTAATTTTTTTTTTAAAAAAAAAAAACCCAGTTTGTAGCAGTCTGGGTAGATGACTGCAATGTTCATTTAGAAGCAAAGGAAGCATAGACCCGGAAACTCTCCGATCACCGCCCGTTACAGCCAGATGAGCAAACTCGAGAACTATCACCGGCAGAGAGCAGAAGGAAGCCTGACATGCCTAGCCTCAAGTAGATCAAGGATGAGCAAGTTCCATAATAGAGACGGCGGTGGCTCATCGCACGAGTCCATTCCGGAGACCTGGGGCCGAAAGATCGTGATCTACCTTATTACCTACCTGTCGCTGTTCGCCAAAATTATCGAGTGCTTTAAACTCATTCCTACGATATCGTGCTACGGTACATTTAATAAAGAGCGCGTCTTCTGGTACCGTCAAAACCATTCCGTGCACCGTAGGTACATAGGCCGCCAAGCGTAACAGCTCACCGCCCATGGAATTACCACATTTTACAGCCAAAATTACCACATTCGCTGGCGGCCCCGCTCCAAGCGCAGTTGCATCGCAATTGCACCTCGCCGCCGTCGCCAACGTCAACACACTTCCAAATGCGGTAATTCCAGCTCAGGGCTATAGATTCGCTCAAATCGCTTAAATCGTTCAAATCTGCAGTAAAAAGCGAAGCTGGCTTCCTTCAATTCGCTTACATAACAGGGCCAAAAATGCAATAAAAACTGCATGCCTACTTACAACTACTCTCAACTGCTCACAACTGCTTGCCCTACTCATCCATACCTACCAAAGCCCGGGCGGTCAAGCGAGGGACCCTTCCACTGCGTATAGGCTTCGTAACACGACTTGCAGCCTCTACAGGGGCTGCAGAAGCTGCAGGGCGTGTTGAAGCCCGTGATGTCGTGTTGCTCCGGCTACCGCGTTACGTACCCCGGGTTCCCCTGCCTCGGCTGCCCCTGCCCCGGCTGCCCCTACCCCGGCTGCCCCTGCCCCGGCTGCCCCCCCGAGCCGTATCGAGGTCGTTGACTGTACGGCGAGGAGGCGGCATAGGATGACTGAGCTCATCAGCATCGTCATCGTCGTCGTCGATGTCATCGTCGTCATCGAGGGAGACTCCCTCCCACTGTGAGGCATTGCGGCGAACGGAGGGCATCAGTCCCAACTGCCTGCCCGGTTGCCCGGCCGGCTGAGTAGTGCCCTGCCGTGCGGTCCCGGACTAAGTGGTCGGCACACGCGGTGCGTTCGGCTCCGCGGCAAAGGCAGTAGAATAGCGGGGCCTGCCACGCAGGTATTCAACCCTATCGGGGGTTTGGTACTGAAGGTACTTATCTTCGTCAAGTAGCGACCTCTCCAGGTACTAATATGGATGAAAATCGGCTTTCTGAAGCTTGAGGGTACCTGTATTGTGACGCCGTAGAAGCTCATGAGCGCAAGGAATACCATACTGTGCGCTGAACCTCCCGGTGCAAGGCTCCAGAGGCGCCTATTACAAACCACTCCACTGTTAGGGTCGTCTGTCTGTAAGGGAGCACGGGCTCCACAGAATGCTGGGGTTGGTAATTATGAAGATAGAACAAAGGGCAAGCTCCTATCGCACGGGTAATACAGTCAAATCGGAATGCCACTCAAAATGTATGAGTGCAGCGAATGTGTATTGCTTGCTTGAAGAACCAAGCAAGAGCTATCTAAGACCGTGGCTACGGTCATCGTATTTATCTAATTCATGTAACCAATCAGAGTTCTCTCTTTGCGCTCCGTGGGCCCCGGGTGCTCTGCTCACAGAGCACGGAGGCCCCGCAGAGCGCCCACTCCGTCCGCTCTGTTGGTCTTGGCATCAGAGCGGACAGAGCGCTACCTGACTGGCTGCACCGAACCCCTGCGGGGCCCGGCCCGCCTGCCTGCCCTGTCCAATTAGCAATGGGCTTCCAGCGCCTCCTGCAGACTTGGACCAGGATCGTAACACCTCACAGTAGGAGTCTTACTCTAAGCTATAATCGAGCAATAAGGAAAACAGTATACAAGTTGATAGCTAGGGATCACTCAGAAGGAGTATTCTCCAGCTCTCCTATATAGAATTATGAATAGCCAATCAAAGTCCTCAATGGGGAGCTCAGTCGGCTCAATAGGGCCTGGTACTGAGCACACTGAGCTGTCAAGCTCAGTGTGCTCAGCGGGGTTCCACACTAATCGCACTAAGCTCCGTCCTAATTGGCTACACCAGCCATGCGAGGGCCCCGCCCTTCCAGCTACACCAGCCAATCTGCAGGGAGACTTACGGCGCCTCCTGCACACCTGAGCCGGGATCGTAACAAGACGGGAGGGTGGTTCTCCTGCATCGGGGTCGACCTCCTTCACCATTCACCAGTGTCCGATACCCCTCTCCTCTTTCTATGCACTCCTAATTCGTCGGTGGCCTTCCCGTCCTGGCGTTTGGCTACACCCCGAACTAGCAATGAAAGCTATTGGCCGCCGTGTGCAGCATGGAACAAGGGCTTTCAGCATACCCTGCAGGCAGGCCCCGCGCTTTCCGCACAGGAATCACTTTGCAGAGATGTGCTGTCCGCTGACGTGTCCCCGCACATAAACACGAAGTCTTCCGCCGACGCCGATCTGCTCAGGTCGCCTCTAGCTTGCTCTGTAAGCACAAGAGGAAAAAACGAACACCTAACAGACATCCTTCGTAGCCACACATTAGTATCTCCGCTAGATCACGTCTCCTCTAGCTAGGCATTTGATGAGCGATCCAACCATGTCCAGGCGCCATTCAACCGCAACTCGCGCCAACTGGTCAATCCAGCCGACGCGCATGCTCGATGACGATCCGTCCCCGACATGCTTGTCGGACCTATCCCACGGGCCAGCTGCCGCCCATGATCTTCTTCGACACTATTTCGGCTGCATCAAGATCCATCAGCGCGATGGTTTTCTAGATCGATCCAACGCGTTTTGGAGAGAGCGGGCTGACATTGAGTTTTCGAAGATCGTGGCAGCCACAAACGATGACGTCGAAGAGAGCGACAGGCTAGAGATGCAGTATCATGCAGACCGCCAGGTTGAAAAGGCTATTGCCGAGTTGGCTATCTCAATTGAAGCCCAGTACAAGAAAACCGGCGTGTTGCGCCGAGCCTTGAGCAAAGAAACCGTCCAGTGGCCACCACCGCGCCCGCCAACCGTAGATGGTAATCTGGTGCTCTGCATTGACCAAAGCCGAAAGGCATGGAGAGCATCTCAGGAGTATCGACAGGGAATCGAGAAGGTTCGCAGCTGGAAGAGACTGAAAAGCCTCCGTACCGACCCGGAAGCCTCGCTTGACACGGTCGAAACCGAGCCTGAATATGGGCGGCAGTCTGTCCGCGAGATCATTAGGAGGTATCGACCCCATAGTTCACTCGACGAGCGACCTTCTGATTACGATGTGGAGAGAGACGCCAAGGCATACCTGATTCAGTATACTTTCATGCCCCATCCTAAGGCAGACCACAGCGCTATGGAAGGCCAGTCTCATTCGTTTAGCGACACAATAACGCTAAATAGGCCTGCCGAACCAACTGAAGAAAAAATTGAGGACGTTCGATTTGAAGGGAGATTCCCTCACCAGCATGTATCTGTCGACTTGCTCCTGAGATCAGGTTCCGATAAAAGTCGGCGGCACGGGTTGAGCAACATTCTTTCGCGGGAACTTTGCCATCGGAAAGATCCAACACGGCTGAGATATATCCATCTCCCGTTCAACAATATGGAGGTGATTACGTTCCCTGTGGTCCCAAGACCCGCTCCCTGAATGCTAATTCTTTCTAAACCATATAATTAGTGGGTTGAGGTAGGCAGAGTCTAAGCCTTGAGATGTGGGTTCTTAATTGACCTCGAGATTCGATCAGAGTGTAATTGCCGGCTATTACGACGACCCACCTCCCGCGTTGAGTGTCAACCAGCCTGATGCGTCGATACAGACCCAGACGCAAATGCTTCTGCGTCCGGAACTCTGGCGCGGCCAGCAAAACGGCGCTTGGAGTGGAACGGCACACGCAAGGCACATGCGACCGCTCTGTGAGCGAACATCGTCAGGTAATGAGATCTTCCCTACGTGCTTTCTAACTCGGTGCGTTTTTATTCCCTGACCCCGATACCTAGAAGTCAACGACTTCGTCGAAAATCCAGAAAACATCGTGCTTTTCGTGGGTCGCCCAACGTTTTCCTCATCTAGGCCGAGGTGAAAATAGGCTACTAACCAAATGATTATTATGGTTCTCCACTGCAAGATGCCCTATATGGGTTGGGAAACGGACAGAACAAAAGAAGTTGTCTCCAAAGTTGTCGAAGCCGAATCGGAAAGGTACCGCAAACGGCGGGAGGCGTCTGCACTCGAGAAAAAGCAGGCCCATATTCAGCGCAGGCATGAGCTGGGCGGCAACGGGAAGCGGATAACCCACTCCGATTCGTTAGGCATGCCCGAAATCCTATCGAAAAGCAAAGCGCCTCTCCGCTTTCTTGCGGAAATTCCTTCCAGTTCTCCCAAACAGCCGCCCGGTAAGGTACGCATCGCTGAAGACGGGCGCCTGTTAGTAGCCAGCGCCTTGGGCCAATATCTCATAGACGCAGCAAGACTGTACGAAGGCATGTCGGCATTCCAAGATCAGCAGATGGTCGAGAAGTATCTTTATAGGGACCCGCCATTCCATCCTCGACGAACTTTAGACCAGTTCCGCCACCCGGGGTTGAAGAGGACAAAAGCGCGGGACCGAAGTCAAGTCGTGTATCGCGGCACTAGTGATATGCCAGCTTTCCGGCATAGGCTAGTACGGAGCATGCGGGAATCGGCAACGATACCTGCCGAACGCAGTCCAGCCGGCGAGGATGTGGGGCGAAACGGTCCGGAGCATCGGGACAGGGACGGAGAGGAGACCACAAGTGGCTCTCGTCGAGGAATCTTGGGAAAGCAAGATAAACCTGACCTCAGGTGGCGGTGGACTGGCCACTGGAGCGGCACTGACGACAAAGGCTGCGAGCATTGCGCAAGCGACATCAAGAAAACCCCGAAACTCATCATGGTTGATCAGCTTTGGATGTGGGTCCTTGACGAGAAGACAGTCATTACGGCTTTCCCCGGGAGATATGGTAATGGCTATGACAGGCATCTTGATGGTATACACAAGTCGATTAGGAATCGGCTAAGGAGTGCACGGATATGGTCAGCTTTTGATATTGCACTCATCATCCTTGACGAATGCTCGACCACTTTCTTTAGCCGCACCGGTATCGATGTAGGTGTTCCCTTTTCCAGAAATTGCGTATCGGCTTTAGTAAATTTTCTTATCTATCTTCGCTTCATCAACCACAACTTTCTACCCTTGATTGCTCTGCTAACTCGCACCGCAGAACAGCCAACCTCGAGTACTGGATATCTTTTCGGAAGCTATCGGTCGCGTGGCAAGTTACCGCGTCCTCGAAATTGCTCGTTTCTTTTTTGTCTTAACTGGCCATGCTTCCTGTCGAGGCTATCCTGCACTATTGTCTTATATGATGTAGGTGACTGACTAACCTCTGAATGCCTAGACAAACCTATCCACCATCTCTCTTGGCCACGTTTGGCACTGGGGCGAGAAGGCTTCTGAGATCTTCCGGTCGAAATATCGAAACAAAGAAGAATCGAAACTTTATCTGCCTCTGCTTGACATCAACGTAGAAGGGAAGCTGCTACAAGAAGTGAAGGATATCTTGGAAGAGGTGGATATTATGCTCAGTATCCTGAAACGGCAGCGTGAGATTATCCGGATATTTGGTAAAAATGTTGAACAAATAGTAGACCCCGGAAGACTATGGGCTACAGAACCAGATGGTATGAGCTCCACTCGTTTTTTCAGTGATGGCGAGGAGGGGAGGGTATATCCAGGTCAACATGCGTTCGAAGTACAGAGCAACCTGACGAGGAAACGGACCCAGCTTCTTTGGTTCCGCGTACAATCCCTAGACCTGATCAACAAAGTTTCAGACAGAATGAACGAGCTGGAGGATCTTAGGGAAGGCGCGAAGAGCACAGCGCAGGATGTAGGTCAAGCCAGTCTCGTGCACGAAAAAAAAAAAAAAAAACAACCCAGGGGCGATACAGCTAATCAGATGCAACTTAGGTCTTTGATTTACTGACGCTGAAGCAACAACAAGCAAACGTATTCCAAATCGGGAGTTTAACAAACGCCGAAGAAGCAGTCCGCCAGGGCCGTGCCGTCATGATGTTTACGGTTGTCACTATTATCTTCGTGAGTCACTCTTCATCATACTTTCTTTTGCTAATAAATGAAGCTTATATGGCGCTGTTACAGCTCCCGCTCTCATTCATGGCGAGCGTGTTTGGGATGAACAATAGCAGCTTTGGGGATGACCACTGGTCACTAGAAGACCAGTTCCGACTGATGTGTGAGTGAAGCAACGAGGAATGGGAGTTCCCAGAGGCTAATTTACAACTTTCGTAGTTCCAATCTCGTTTGGTATTGTGTTGATATCCATCGTTTTCGCGTTTTATGACTTTCTGCGTATACTCGTATGGTCTGTTTACACCTACATCATCACGTGGATTACCGTTAGAACTGGGTTGTATCATATCTGGCTGGGGTACAAAGGCGATCTGGGATCGGCGAGCCTGCAGCTGAATGCCGAGCGAGAGGTATCAATGCTAAAAGAGAGAGCGAGGATGGCGAGAAAGAGGAAGAATGAAGAAGTCGTGACTAAGAGAGTCAGCGACAGTGCCATGGAAGACGAGAACATGATGGTATAAATAAAGATCGAGCATGGTCATATGCATGGTGTTGTGCGGTGGCCATATTCGTAGCAACAACACACCACGGATCGGCTTAAAGTAGCGATAAAATATCTAGTTGTTAAAGTATGGCTTGTCACTGGGCTGTAGGGCCCTAGGTTGTAGGGCACTGCAGTTGCCGTGGTGGTGTTGTGGATGTTGTGGGCGCTATACCTAGTTTGTTCACCAAGCCCTACAGCACCTGTCAGAAAAAAGGGGGTTCTGAAAGGTACTAGGATCATGACGTTGCTACAGACGACCTGGCCGCAGGGCTGACCACCTAGCTGCAAACTGAGTCAGGCCGTCAGCCAACCGGGCCAGGGCGACCTCGCCACTAGGCCATGGCTTTGCCATACACGACCTCGCCACCAGGCCACCTAGCCGCAGTTCTGGCCACCTGGCCAGGCCAGGCCGTCAGTCATAGGCAACAGGGCCGTCAACAAGCCCTATAGACCTTCAACACTGGCCAACGAAGGCCAGCTGGCGAGTTAGAGAGAGCCGAGTTCCGTTTGACTAAGTCCATACCAGCTAGTATAATAAGGGGACTATTTTCCCACTTTTGTATCTACAGATAAGTATTACAAACCACTCGACTGTTAGGGTCGTCTGTCTGTAAGGGAGCACGGGCTCCACAGGATGCTGGGGTTGGTAATTATGAAGATAGAACAAAGGGCAAGCTCCTATCGCACGGGTAATACAGTCAAATCGGAATGCCACTCAAAGTATATGAGTGCAGTGAATGTGTATTGCTTGCTTGAAGAACCAAGCAAGAACTATTTAAGACCGTGGACACGGTCATCGTATATATCTAATTCGGGTAACCAATCAGGACTCTTCCTTTGCGTGCTCAGTGCTCCCCCTGACGCTTGGTACACCGAGCGTCTCAGAGATTACCGAGCGCCCTGCTCGGTGCGCTCGCCTGGCCGTTCCTCCTCCTCCAGCTCAGCAATAGCGGAGTCTTCGTGAGCATAGGCCTTGGTCACCCGCTCTTCGAACGTCTTCCTCTCGCGGCGCACGCGCCGTTTTTTTGAGACAACTTTCGCCATGAGAGCAGAAGCCTGTTCCTCGAGCAAGAGGATGGACTCCTCCTCGGCTTCAAGCCTATCGCGCTCCGTCTGGAAAGCGCGGTCTAAAAGGGGAGATAAGCAGGGAACCCAGTGGAGGAAAGGAAGCACGCACAGTCGGGACCCTCAAGGCCACAACGGGGGTTGCTGACTTTGAGGCATTCGGAACAGCTCTTAGCGCCGGGGGGAGCTTGGCACGATAGGCCGCGCTCCCGGCAGCGAGGGCAAGAAACCATGTTCGGGCGATGGCGGGAAAGGTCGAGGACTCGTCGGTGTCGACGGAGGGTGTTTTTCGCAAGGGTTTTCTGAGGAAAGGACCTCATGATTAGCCGTGTGCGGTTGTGTTGATTGAGGGAGAACTTACTAGGACCTTTGGTTGCCGATTGACGATTGTTGGCTTGGGACGAAGCCTGGAAGGAGGGGCATCGTGTTACGATCCTGGTCCACTGCTGCAGGAGGCGCTGGAAGCCAATTGCCAATTGGGCCCCGCAAGTGTTCAACACAGCCAATCAGGAGGCGCTCGGTGCGACTGGTCTGCCAAGACCAGGCGAGCGTACCGAGCAGGGCGCTCTGTAGTCTCTGAGACGCTCGGTGTACCAAGCGTTAGGAGGAGCACTGAGCACGCAAAGGAAAAGTCCTGATTGGTTACCTGAATTAGATATATACGATGACCGTAGCCACGGTCTTAGACAGTTCTTGCTTGGTTCTTCAAGCAAGCAGTACACATTCACTGCACTCATACACTTTGAGTGGCATTCCGATTTGACTGTATTACCCGTGCGATAGGAGCTTGCCCTTTGTTCTATCTTCATAATTACCAACCCCAGCATCCTGTGGAGCCCGTGCTCCCTTACAGACAGACGACCCTGACAGTCGAGTGGTTTGTAATAACCGGGCATTGGCGTAGATTGGCGCGTTTGGAGGCAGTAACACCAAATCACGTGTGCCTCGTCAGTCTCTCGTCTGAACTGGACGATCCATCTCAGCCGCACCTTCCCAGTTTGTGACATATACCTGTGCACCAACAGCCGAATCCCAGCAATGTTATCCCGATTCGTTTCTTTAGCGCTCAAAAAACTCGCGGATGGTTCTGGCAACGGCGGACCAGATCCAGAACCTGCGTTCCCAACCCTATCGTTCCCGCCACCGCCCCCAGCAGGACCGGGCACTCGACGCCTTTGCGCACGATGCCTCACCCTCCTCCGCCACGTCGCCTTCGCCTTTGGCGACGGAAACGCGTGCGAAAACGTCGAGATGCCCCACTCCGCAGCAATGTCCACCCTGTCTGGCTCTGTGTCCTTCTGCGTGATCTGCGCCAAGACGCTGCTGCTCTTTGACGGCATGCAGAAACACGTCTCGTTCGAGGAGACGCTGCGAACGTCGCTGCTCGCGGATTGGCGTCTGACGTGGAAGTTCGAAACCCCAGCGACCGTGTCCTGGCACCAGTTCAGCAAGCAGGCGGCCAGAGTTGCGCTCATGGTGAAGCACAAACGGGGATACAGTTGGGGAATTGGGAGCTTTATGCTGCATCCCGACCCGCGTGTTGCGCTGCCCGGCGTCGCGGAGTCTGAGCGGAAAAGCCTCCCAGAGGATTACGGCACTGTTCTGTCTCTGGATGGGGAGAGACTGCGTTCGGCTCGACTCTCAGCAGCGAAACCATGGCCAAGGTTGCCTCGTGGATGCAGGAGTGCTTCTCGACACACAAGAAATGCCAACAGCTGTTCGGGAAAGACGGTCCGGGCCTGCCTGTCGCCCATTGGTTCCCGGACCGCCTCATCCGAATCACCAGAACTGAGAGCTCGGGATCGGCTTGGCTCAACACCCGCCTTGTGCTCAAATCCGACTTGACCGACTTCCCGGCTGATACTTCCCAAGAGGGTGTGCAATACTTGTCCTTCTCCCATTGCTGGGGCCCAGAGCCGAAAGGAGGTCGCGGCGGTAGTGTGCTCACTCAAGTCACCATTAATGACTGGCACAAGGAACTGCCGTTGGACAGGATGCCTCTGGCCTTCCGACACGCTGTCAGGGTGTGCGCGTCGCTGGGGTTCGACCACATCTGGATCGACAGCCTATGCATCCTACAGGACAGCGTGCGAGACTGGCAAGAGCAGAGCGCCGTCATGGCCGACGTCTACAAATTCGCGTGGCTGAACATTGCTGCCCTGTCGACGGGGTCCGACTACGAAGGGTTCATCAACGAGGCCCGCGAGCCACGCGCCATCTTCGGCTTTCGGGCTCCGTTGGCGCCCATCCTTGGCGTCGCAAATGGAGCCTTCCAAGGACGCGCTTGTGCACTTTTGGATGGGAATGTAACGCTGCTCTGGGACATACAGCGTGATCTTCCCGGAGGTGGCGACTGGTTGGCGCCGCTGTTTACTCGCGCGTGGGTGTACCAAGAGCGAAGCCTGGCTCGCCGTACCCTTGCCTTTGCCACCCACGGCGTGTTCTTTGCCTGCGATGAGGCTAGCTACGGGGAAAACCTCAATGGCATGGATGGTGTCAGCACCAGGGGCTTCGGCTCGCGACATCTTCTGCACTCTGTGACCGACAAGGCGGCGGCGCTAGCTGCCGAGGCTGTTGCCGCCGGGAACGTTCCGTCGCCTGAGCGACTGCAACAGGAAGCCCTCAATCTTTTCAAGCGCTTTGGCAGCACCTGGAACGGTGCCGTGTCAGACTACACGAAATGCAAGCTCACCAAAGACACAGACCGGCTGGTAGCCATCTCTTCGATCGCACGAGAGCTGGCCAACTCGAGAATTCTGGGACAGAAGCGCTACCTCGCCGGCCTATGGGACATAAACCTAATCTATCAGCTAGGGTGGATGGCAAACGGACGGGACAGTCCGGGACGCCGGAAACACGTAGGCGCCGAAGGATATGTGGCGCCAAGTTGGAGCTGGGCGAGTGTTGAGGTACCCGTGACAACTTGTGGCGCCTTTTACCCTGACCCGCTCGAAGTGCGGGCTCTCACCGACGTAAGAGCCGCAGATGTCGAGCTGGCGACCGAGTTTCCCTTTGGCCCTGTCAGTGCTGGGTGGGTCCGACTCCGGGGGTGTCCAAAGGCTATCTCGGGTTCATTTACCAAGCCAAACTACGACTACGAAGGCAGCTCAGTGAGCACAAGCCTTACCGATGCAGCGACGGGAGAGAAGTTCTGGTTTGCTTCGGACACAGTTGAGGGCTACGAGATGGTCGCGTCCCGTGCCGGGCTGAGCAAGGTGGTCTGGGTGCCACACATGCTCACCGCGCACTCCAGTATGGTGTCTTGCAGCGCCCTCGTCTTCGCCGAAGTGACGCCCGGCGAAGAATCCGGGTGCGGCGGCACCTTTGTCAAGCCAGGTGAGAAGGTGTACAGGAGACTCGGAACAGGCAACTTTGGTCGGATACCAAGCTTGTTTCGGAACGACAAGCTCGTCATGGCCTTGGGGACATTTCCCGATGCCCCGAGATGAAAGATGTGGTCCGTGGGTTTGTCCGCAATGAGTCGGGATTCCAAGAGTTTGTCATTGTCTAAGGGCTCTTTCCGTATAATAGCCATTTGATGGCGAAGTACATACGCAAGATGTCCGCATGCCTTATTGGAATTTTGGGAATAATCATATGAAAGAAATTATGCCCACTCGGTGGATGATGCGGTGTCTGAGATACTCAGAGTGCCTTGATCAGAGCCGGATCGTTTTGAATAACAACATGTCACAGGACAACAATGTTCCCGTGGGGGGTTGTTAGGATAGGTGGTCATACTGTTTGGTTCTTGTGATTTCAAGGAGTTCAAGGAACAAACCCAGCCATATCCCGCTATTGTTGTGCTGATCCTAAAAGACTCCAGTGGCCGCACTACTAGGATAACGGTTCGGTTCCTTTGAACAACATAATGTGCTATTGTGCTAATCCTTTGTACCGACCGTTCTTTATTTACATGGCTATTATCGTGATTAACCATGGACGTTCTGCTATAGTATCAACGAGACGATTCGTGCGCGTACCTACCTAGTTGCCAATGGTGCCATGGCTGACTTGAACCTGCCAGAATTTTTATGAGAACAAATTAACATTATACCTAATCTATTGTTCTTAGCGTTTCACTTTACTGACTTTCAGCAAAGCTGCGAGGGAGATATTTGACCAGCAACTTTTGCTAGGAGCCTTGTATTGACACCCACAAGCCACGCAAGACACCGCGCGCATTGACAAATCTTCGCAGACGTCCATCGTACATCACAGATGTTGCACTGCAGCTTGCCAGCCCGGTAACTTAACCTCATCATCAAGGTGCGATATATTCTGTGAGATTCATGAACTTCCAACATTGACACGCTGACACATCTGCGGTATCACCGATTACCCTCGTAGGCCCGCCTAATCCGGTATAGCCTGGACGTCAAAATGCTGGTTGTCACGGGAGCCAGCAAAGGTAACAAGAACAAGACCAAAAACAAGGGCAACAACACCAGACCCGGCAACGCTGGACCCAGCAACATCAGGCTCAGCAATACCGCGCCCATCAACACCAGACTCAGCAACCCCGGATCCACGAACCCCTAGCCCAACAATATCGCGCCCAGCAACACCAGACCAGACGGCCTAGTCGACGGCCAGCCTGACCCTCCTTACAACCGGGTCTGCGAGAAGCGATGCGTCTGCAGATGGATCAAGGCCCCGAACCCGGACACGGGCGGCTGGAAGTCAAAGCTCGTGTACCGCTGCAACAAGGTGCACTGCAAGTATCCCCAGCGCAGGCCGTGGGGGCAGTAATTGGCAGCAGCAATAGAGTGGGGTTTTTGCTGTGTTTGGTTGTTTGGTTGTTTTCTTACTGCATAGGATGTATATGTGATGGTTGCCATGGATGTGAGGGATGCCGATGAAGCAGGGGTTCCGTGGGATGAGGGCTAATTATGCTGGGATGACTGTGGACACGGTGGAGACTTGTCCGGGATATTTGTGCATGTACGTCATCTCCGTTGAGGGGCAGACATTCTTCATGTTCTTGTCTGGGTTGTTGTTGCTTCGCCTGAAATTTGGCTGGGAATGAGATAGGCAGGGGCTGTGTCAGGTCATTGTCGTGGAAGCTATCTTATAAAACAACTATCAGACGATTGGACCAAAACCTGTCTGACGTGCTCTTATTCGTACGTAGATATGCCAAGTAAGTAATTAGGAGACTCAAGTCCTATGACGGTCTTTCCCAACCGCGACCAAGAAATCCCCACAACACACCACCCCTCGGCTCACAACGTCCCTCGAGAACGAACGCGGTTAATAAGGTCAGTCGTAATCGCCGCGTCGCTGCTCGACGACGCGCAGTCGGGCTTGTACGCCCCGACAACGTCTCCAGGAAATCGCTTGTCCCGGAGCTTTACGCCGCGGCGGAACAGCAGCGTGACCAATGTCGGCGAGCCGATCCTCGCCGCGTGGCGCAGCGGGTCGCCATTGCCCTTGACGCCCTCGACGGGCAGCCCGCGGTCTAGCAGCAGGCGGCCGACGTGCGCCGTCTTTTGGCGCAGCACATCGAACGCGTAGCCCAGTACCGCGACGAACTCGGCCTTGCTGTCCATGCCGCGTGCGAGAAGTAGGGTTACGATGGCGGCGTTGCCCTGCTCCGCGGCCACGCACAGCGGGTAGTGACAGTGCTCGGTGTGGTCCTGCCGCGCGCCCCGGTCAAGCAGGAGCTTGGCCATGGCCTCGTGGCCGCCGTTGACGGCGCAGTACAGCGGCGTGCCGTCGGCAGGGATCAGCAGCTCTTTGACACTGATCTTCTTCGTGGCGTCAAGGTCGGCGCCCTTGGAGAGGAGGAACTTTGCGGCCTCCAGATTCCCAGTTTGGGCGGCGTAGGCGAGCGAGTTGGGATCGGTGCGCTTGTTGTTGGTGCCGCGCTCGAAGAAGACCTTGACCAGCGCCAGGTCGTCCCGCAGCACGGCCTCGTCTAGCGGCGTGTGGCCGTGCAAGCGCTCGGCGGTGCGGTCGGCTCCCTGATCGAGGAGGAAGCGCACAACGTGCACGTGCCCGTTACTCGCGGCCTTATGCAGGGCTGTGTCGTTATAGTCGTCGCGCGCGTCGATGTCGGCCCCACCAATGAGCCGCCGTCGGACCTCCTCCAGGTCGCCGCTCCCTGCCGCGGAAACAATGTACAGCTGGTCGTGCTTGGCCCCCCTCGCGTGGTCGAACAGTGCCGCCCTGTCTTTGAATCCCTTGCCGCATTCCAGGCAGTTCGTTGCCGAGGGCTCCCGCTTGGCCTGGCCCTTGAGCGCCTCGCGCCTGAGCGCGTTGTGCTGCGAGCCGTGTCCGGCAGTACGTAGATGTTGGTACAGTGCAGGGAGGGACCCGCATCCCTGCTCGCATACCAGACACACTTCGGGGAGGTGCTTTTCGTCTTTATTTCTCTCGTGAGTGCCGGTCCTGTAGTAACCGGTGCTGTGGTCGCTTTCTGTCTCTTGTTCACTTTCCGGCTCCCAGTCGCTGTCCGTCTCCGACTCGCTTTTCGTTTCTGCGTTGCCATGTCAGCTATGATCAGCGTCGGAACAAGGGACACGGCTCCTCACCAGGACAGGATCTTGGGCCCGCTGTGGTCTCAGGGGTAACTGGGGTCGTATCTGGGGCAACTGGGGTCGTATCTGGGGCAACTGGCGTATCCGTCACGGCATCTCGCGACACGGTATCGAGCAGCTCCTTGGCATACGCCGCCGCCGTCGCGGCCGCATAGGGCTGCCAGCCCTTGTTCTTGTGCGAATCGGCATAATCGCAGATGCCGCGGATCACGAGGCAGGGGAATCCGTCCATCAGGCCGGCGGCCTCCATCTCGAAACAGTCGATGCCCATTTCCCGCCGCAGCCGGTCGCGCGTGGCGCCGTGTCTCATGACCTGGTTGCCGGACGCGATCAAGCCGAGGTGGATAACGGGGTCCGCAGAGCCACGGGGCGCGCGCGAGACCTTCCTACCCGGATCACACGCGACGCAGGTTCCGTGGCCCTCTGGGTGGTCGTACGGGCCGTCGTACAGGACGTCGTTGTCTGCGCCGGGGTGCGCGAACCCGGCCGCCATCTTGGGATGGTTCGCTGCTATGTCGACAAGATACTGCACGAAGCCCGGGTCTTGCCGGATGTGCTTAGCCTGCAGGCGCGCCAGGGCAGCGCGCAGCGCCTCGGGCGGCTTGTCCAGGGTCCCCGTCTGCACGAACCGGCCCTCCTGCACCGTTTTGCCGAAGTCGTACTGAAGGACCCCTCCCGACCTCGCGTCCGGGTGGCTGACGACGACGTCTCCCAGCCGGATGTCCTTCTCCCTGCTGGGCACTCCGCCGCCGATGCCGACCATCAGGCCGAAGCGTAGAGACCGGAAGCTGTTGGTCATCCTCGTTGCGGCCCGAGCAGCAGACACGGTCCCCGTCCCGCCCGCCAGCAGGCACATCATGACGACGTTGTGGCCGCGGATCCGGCCCATCGTGTACGAGTTGTGGTCAAAGCTGTCCTGGGCCACGGGGTTGTGCACCTCGTCGAGCATAGCCTCACTCGCCGCCATCTCCGTTGGTAGCGCACAGATCCATCCTACCGTGTAGTCCTGCCGCGAGAGGGTACGGCGGCTGTTCATGGTCATTGGTCAATGATACAGCAGTCGAACTCGTTTAAATATCATTTCACAATCAGCGACAGAGAGCCATTTGCTTTGCGCTGGTAAAATGACAGTCGGGAAAAGAAGGGCTCGTCCATGTTGAGAGCGGCCCCCTCGTGTGTCCGCTGACGCCCAGCAGCATGCCGGAAACCCTTTGGGCTGAAAAGGCACTGGAGAGGGAAAGAGTAGTCTCTTCTGGGAATGCTGCATGATGTGCTGGACAGTGAGGAGCTTCTGGGATCAAGGAAGCCAGATGAGTGGCCGTGCGAACCCATGGCGTAGGAGTGGTGTTGCGTCGAGGAAGACCATTGGGGCTCCCTCATTCGTCGAGCTCCCTGCAGGATGGCCGAGTCGGGGCAGCTGAATGGCGATTTCCTCGCGGAAGACTCGGGGAAGGGGGGTGGTATTGCATATACATATCATGCATCCCGATACGCCACAAAGCTCAATAAAAAGTTGTCGGAGGAACCACCCCTGTACTTGAGAGAGCCTTGCAAAAGCCTCACGGTCCTCGGTTCATGCTGTAATTTTGACGCTCTTGTACTTGCTAGGCATCTTCCAAACCCCATGATCATGAGAGCGTTATTTTGTGTCTTGGACAAACGGTATCGGCATAGGCTTCGAGACACTCGGCAATCCATAACTGTTCCGGGAAGGCTAATTCGAAAGTTTCAATGAGGCTATTAGGTACCCTACGCGGGACAGAGGCAGCTATACAATGCATGGGAGAACAAGTTAAGGAAGAGGCCACTGGGGCTTCTGCTGCATCCACGGATGCTGCCGCTGAATGACCGAGTCCAACGGGCCCCCGGCTGCCGAGTCCAACGGCCCCCCGGCTGCCGAATCCACCACATTCTGGTGTATCTCTGTCGTCTTGACAACACCCGGAGCCCACACCTCGCTGACGGGCTCAGGGCCGCTACTGTCGGTGCCCTTGCTATGCACGAGCTCCAGCTTGGCCTGGCTCCCAGTGTCATGTTCGTTTTGGCCAGTCTGCAGGGTGTTTCGATAGTACGGGCCCCACTCGCCCGAGTTTGGTGTGCCAAGGCGCGTGCGCGGCCAAGACGCCTCGTTCTGCGTGTCGATATGCGCCGGCCACGTGCGCTGGGCGGCGCCAGCCTTCTCGGATGAGCTGTCCTTGGAACCCCAGCCCACGCTCCTCTTCCCAGCCGTCGACAGGCGACCCCCCCACGAGCGCAGTGACGACACCAACTGCGCGAGGAAGCTGCTCTCCTTGATCCGGAACGCCTTGGACGCTGCCGGTACGTAAAGCACCAGCAGGACGCAGCTGACTTCGGAGAAGCTCCACAGGAAAATGCTCGAAACGGTCTGCGTCGTGTTCCACCCGTAGTATCCCATGCCGACCAGGTTCGAGTAGGCGTGGCCGCCGGCGCATGCAAGTGCCCTGTTTGTACATGTCAGCCCATGGTTGCATGCCAGTGTGGGAATGACGACGAGCAAAGTATTTACATCAGCCCGAGAGAAAAGATGAACGAGACGCCGATCTTGCGGGGTAGCGTCATCTTCAGCGACCAGATGACCTTCTGGGGTAGAACGAGGATGAACAGGTCGATGGCGAGGTTGAAGCACACGACGGAGCCGTGGACCGACTGGCGGTCGAGGCACGTGCCGGGGACGAAGAAGTCCCATGACTTGCGCACGGGCTTGCAGAGAAACGTGCCGGCCAAGATGGCAGCGAGGTAGATGAGCGTGTTTGCTACGATGAGCACGCGCGTGCTCCAGAAGAACCAGTTGCGGGTCCCCGTCGGCACGAAGATGTTGCCCCACTCGAGCAAGATGGCGTTCTTGGCCAGCAGCATGGTGGCCGAGTAGATGGACGGATAGGCGTAAACGACCTGGACGAGTTGGCACGGGGTAATTATGATGGGGGATCGTGGGGTGAAGCTGACCTTGGCTGCAAAGAGAAAGGTGCGCACTTGGACATTGTACTGGTCAACGAAGAAGCCGACCTTGATCATGAGCGATATAATGCCCCACATCAGGCCAACGTAGAAGACGAACGCCGCTAGGCCCAAGTCTGTGAATGTCGTCCCTTTGTCAGTGACACTGATGGGAGACGGTGCATGGCGAGTGAAGTCAAAACGCACAATCCTCAATCTTGACAGTCCGCGTGACGAAGCCGCGGGTATATACCCGCAACAGGCCACATATCGTCACCAACGCGATTCCGAGGAAGACGACGGCGCCGGCGGTGCGGTTCTTGTTCGGCGGGTCGACAAAGTTGGACGTGACACCGGGTGGAGGCGGCCGGGCCGGTTGGTTGAGGATGTACTCTTGGAGGATGGGTGGGAGACTGTCAAAGTCGAAGCCGACGAGGCTCGACACGGAGCTGCCCGACATGGTTCACAGGCAGTGTGTTTCAACTTTCAGACAAGCTGGGAAGCAAGAGACAGAGCGTGGCAGGTTGCATTGAACGCCAACCCACGAGCCGGGGAACCATCATCAGATATTAACCGCATCGCTACCTAGCCATCAATAATCAGTCTGACTGGTCTTGCGGGTGCTGCCGGCAAAGTCAAGCCACATGGCACTCACGCAGCGCACACAAGACAACCACGCAGCGCACACAAAACAACCACGCAGCCAGGCAACTGAGCAACGTGTTGCGCCCCTAATCTGCATCATGGCTGAGGGCGACTCGGGCTGCCAGAAGCGAGGAAAAAAGAGGCCATTGCTGACCACCGAAACAAACTCGCCGTGAGGTGGTCGAAATGCGCCGCAGGCGAACGGGTCGGGCGGGAAGAAAAGACTCGGCCGAGGGGAGGTACCTAGTTGATAAGCGAGAGCCCAGGTCGGTTGGATTCCGGGTGGGCGGGCGCACAACCGCTTTGGAGTCTGGCTGGCCGGGCACAAGTCGGGAACAACTTTTGCTCCCAGGGCTGCAGCTGTCAGGTGTGTCGGCCAAGCACAGTCAGGTCGGCACAGTCAGGTCGGGGGGCGTGCGCTTGGCTGCTGCAGCTGTCGGCCAAGCACAGTCAGGTCGGGGGGCGTGCGCTTGGCTGCTGGGGTGGACCAATGGCATCGGTGGATACGGTGACAAAGGTGCGCCAACCTGCCGACTGCTCTCCCCTTTTCTTGCTGACTAATCTGTACTCCATGCTCGGCTATTTTAGGAGCATGAGGTAACGCGCCGTCCACCAGCTATCGTTTCGTGCAGCGCGAATGCTCGCCCCTTGTGCACCCGATAAGCGAAGACAAGTAGATGATAAGCAGCCTGCTAATCCAAATCGTGATGGGGCAGCCGGCCGTTGCTCGGGGCGTCAAGCACAAACCCAAATGGAGAGAGGCAAGGCGAGATGGAGAAGGTGATGACTGATCAACCGGAGAATTAACAGTTTAAAGGAACGCGGCATGCCGGTACCTAGCTCTGAGCCTCTGACTGTAGGAAATGGTAGTTTGCGCACACTAGACAAGCTAAAAAAGACTGGCGAGGCTGGCATGGCAGAAAACCCGGGTTGAGCCTTCCCTCGTGCCGTCCCCCGCAACTGCCGTCACATCCATCGCAGAATGGTCTCCAAACCCGTGATGCGCCGATTAGCGACAAATGTTAGTCAGCTCCCTCCCGGATGCTGCGGTGAAAACGAATGAGGCTCGCCTGCCGGCGGGAGGCACCCCACCCAGTCCAGGCCGCCTCGTCAGGTCAGCTTTGCGACACTGGACCTGGAGGGGCGCAGCCAAGAAAAGGTGCTGCTGTCAGCAATGTGGAGTTGTTGTGCTGCCGGGGACAGCCACTTGGCACTGACTACCAAGTCTCCGATTTCTCGTCTTGGCACTGTTTCTACCAGTTTCTCTTATCCTACGGAATATCCCTGCTCTTCTTATCTCCACTTCGAAATGGGGGACTGCGCGGCAAGGCAACGTCCAGTGAAGGGATCGGCAGGAGTGCAGGAGGAGATGTAGAATAATGCACGAATTTTGTCGTTTTCCTTTTTTACATTTTCCCATCTATTCCGCGTAGACTACAAAAACAGGATAGTCGCTCAATAGACAACGTGTCGCCTACTTTTGAGCCACTTTTGAGCCACATTGTCAAGTCACATACCTGCATATCCCTGCATATCCCTTCATTCGTTACTTTCAGCCCTGATCCCTTTTTTCGGGCTCCCGGACTTCCGAATGCCCTCTTTTTCTCCCTTGCTACGGCTGAGTCCCTTACGTAGTACGACTGAACAGACTGTTGAACCAGGTTTCCTTTGTCCTTTTCTTGGAAGTATAAAAGGCCTTCTTTCCTGTATTATTAGATTGGATAGAGACAGACAATTCAAGACCCTTCAAGCCACTGTCAACTTTGATCACGGGCCAGAGTCATGAGCCCGGACTAACCACCAAAGTCGCTTCCGCAACAGCAGTTTGCAGCCCCCTCTCGAGGCTCGTGATCTTAGCCAACAAGCCCTCAGTCCCTCATTCAGTCCCTCGTTCAGTCCCTCGTTCAGTCCCTCGTTCAGTCCCTCGTTCAGTCCTTTGTTCAGTCCTTCGTTCAGTCCCTCGTTCAGTCCTTCGTTCAGTCCTTCGTTCAGTCCTTCTTCGTTCAGTCCTTCGTCCAGTCCTTCGTTCAGTCCTTCTTCGTCCAGTCCTTCGTCCAGTCCTTCATTCAGCCCTTCATCACGCCAGTCAGTAGGCCAACTCAACAATGGCTTCTGTAGCGACCACAACCGCCTACAACCCCATTCTGACGCGCCCGTCAGACTGGCCCGCCTGGTACAACAGCCTAAAGAGGGTCGCCAACGACAGAGAGCTCCTTGACGCCGTCGACATCAACAACGACGGGCTTCCTCCCCCCAAAGTCCTCCCCTACAGCTTCGAAGACTTCCTCGGCCGTCGGTACCCTCAAGCCACGCCCCGCACCGCTATTGAACTACGCGACCTAGCCGACAATGCAACCATACAGCAAATGCAGTCCTGGCGTTCGTTTGAGTCAGAACAACGCGAGAAGAAGAACTCCTACGAAAGGGAGATTGACCTGGTTCGAGAGGTTAAGGAATGGATTCGCACGAACACTGCCGCCACGTACATGAACCTCGCCGAATCCGACAGAGCGACCCTGAAGGACATTATCAGGAAGCTCCATTCCCTGGTATCGATTTCCACACGTTAGGAGGTTGAAAGAGCTCGGGAAGTACATAGGTCTATTCTCAAGAAGCCAGGAAAGTCGTTTTCACCCGCCAAGTGGCTCTTACAGTGACAGGAAGCCTACAACGAAGCAGTCAGGCTCAAGATCGACGAAGTCAAAGGCACTCTCGCCCTCAAAGACTTCTCAAGGCCGCAGGAACATACAACGCCAACTGGATGAACACAGTGGTAATGAAGAGCGCAGAGGCTGAGCTGAAGGGCTCTGAGCAAGAAGACCTGCCCTACTACGCCAACACATTTAGGCTCGTCTGCGAAGTTGAACCAAGCAGGTCCAACAGCGCCTTCTCTACCTTCAACGGCAAGCCAGAGGGCGATCGACCAACATACACATGCCCTTGTCGACCCGATGCCGCCTTCCATAAGCCAGAGAAGTGCTGGGGCCTGCGTGAAGTCATCACAGAGAAGAAGGGCAAGCACCATATCCCGCAGAAAAGGCTCGACTATACCCGGGAGCAGTTGGAGAAACCTGAGTGGAAAGACCTGACCGAGAAGATCAAGAACGGCACCACCGAAGGGAAGAAGGACTGGCCGAAAACCGCCGCCATGATCTCTATGATCAACGCTCTCAACTACGGCCCTCACCCACTCTCACGATCTGTCATCTTTGATACTGGGGCCTCGATTCATGTTGTCAACTCGAAGGCGATGCTCGCCCCCGGTACGTTCACGCCCTCCACGGGTGATGATTCCATTCAGGTCGGAGATAGCCATCTAGAAATTGACGGCAGAGGCACCTGGGTCTTCCCTCGTTGGTAGAGGGTCCTTAGAAGGCCGGTATTGGTGCTGACGAAGGCTTCGTATAGCTGGAAGTACGAACACACAACGATTGCCGTCCCAACCAACAGCATATAATAGTTGCCAGCTCCTGAGTTAACCACAAGTTTACTCGAATAATCAGGCCCCAAATGTTTGTCTGCAAGTCGGGGTAAGGTTTATTTTTGTTAATTGTGTTGACTTAATTGAGGATTGGTTGAGGGAGGCGTACCTTCAATCAGTTGCTGATACCACTTGTACCCTAATTCCCAAAGAGAGAGTCGATCCACGAATACCGGATTCCAAGCTAACGAGCGACACATGCCGCATCGTGTTACTCCTTTGGCCAGTTGTCGGTTGGGAGTTTTTGGTAGAACTGGTTCTTATTTTTGGTCGTCATCCTCGTTTTATTCGCAGCGCTCCCCCAGCGGCAGCTGACTGTTGCGTATTGTAAATACGAGGCCGCACCCAAGCCACCAGCATCGAGTACTCGAATTTTGTCGTCTTTATTGATCTCAATATCAATCAAGCGGAAATTTGTACTCGCTAAGAGACGTCCAGGCTCAGCAGCACGCCTGCATTGGCGTGCCTGCTAGTGCAGGCAGTCAGCCAGGTCTTGATGGTTTCCATGGCCAGGGGATTGAGGTTCGTGCTTGATGTTTGAACCGAGATAATTTGCGAGCTGAAAAGATGGTCTGGGCCAAGGCTTCAATCCCTTGAGCTTCTGATATCGCCAGAGGATGAGAAGGTCCGACAAATGCACAAATCCTTCGTGCCTTCATCCTACCGAAGTTGTAGAACACAACTCCCTACGTCAAGGAGCATATGTATCTTGAATGTCGTAGTATAGAGTTCTATATTTACGTCCCACGTTGGTATCCCTAGCTTCGACTTCAGGGCAGTGTCGCTGCTGTCAGGCAAGTATTTGCGAGTGCTACTCAGCAGGCCCGTCTTCCAGGTCCTGAACCTGATGATGGTTCGTGCACAGAGCTTTGGTCTGAGGTAATACCCTATCTAGTGTTGAGCATTGCATGATACGGTCATTGAACCGATATGTAACGTGGTTATTGAAGCTTCGCTTCAATTTCGTCACTGATACCTACATAGGTAAGGCGGGTTTTGGAAAAACGAATGACAAGCAGAGTCAAATTGGAGCGAAGCTCACTCATACTGGAAAACTCGCCTTAATTACGGTGCCTAGAAAATATTTCCCAGGTCGAAAGCCGACCACTCCGCTCAATTACAAGTACATTGGAATCATGAGGCTAGTGCGAGATAACTAGGGTTGGTGATACTAGTATTTGTTATATCTAATCATCTTGGTGAAGGTGGTTTGGTAAGTTATATAGGTGAAGGCGACAGGTAAGCTATGTAGGTGACAGGTAAGCTATGTAGGTGAAGGTTGTAATTAGGAAACTCTAATGGTGTCAAGTGTACAATGCAACGCTGTCTTGAATTAACATTTCTGTGCAAACCCACCAGTTACAGACGACCTTATCTAGCCCAGTTCGAGGGAACTAGGACCCCCCAAAACAGCTCGTTCGTTCGTGGATCAGGACGTCGATGACTTTTCCAAGTCCAAACCAACCCTTCTCAATCCATTTATTATCCTCCTCATCGATGTGTAGCCCAATAGCCAAGCTAGTAAGCTGGGTAATGGCCATGCAGGTGGAAGTAGGGGCTCGCCGACCCGAGATCCTCGTAATTGCCTGGCGAGGCAGGACGCGCAACCGGACTCGACCAGTGGACGTGTTGCGAGGGGCGAGATGGCTTAGGGCGGTTGGTGTTGAATGAAGAAGGGGGAGCCATGTTGCCACCCCGGTAGTAGCTCTTGACTGCTTCCAGCTCTGCCACAGGTCGATCCGAGTTGGAGATGTGGAGAGGGTCGGAATAATAGGGCTGCTCATACCCCGAGTGATAGGAAGGAACAGGCATCTGTTGTGCCTGTTGGTGGTGCTGCGGTACCCCCGAATATGAGGGCACTTGGACCTGTGCTGGGCGCCGGAAGCTGTCGGCAGCGCCTTGATTTCTTGGGCGGCTTGGAGGATTGATAGGTGTCGATGGCTGCCGCTTCTTCGCTGGCTCGGGGCATCGCTGGTCTTCGACCTGTCGCCGACGAGCTGGGGGCGACTCGGCATTGTATTTGCCCTTGGACGATCGACCACGCGTCTCACGCTCCTGTCTCTCGGAAATGCGAGATGCGGCGAGTGCTCGAGCCAGGTCGTCATCAACTTCATCCTCAATCTCTTCTTGGTTGTCACTCCATTCTTGGTCGTCCTCCGATCCAGACTCGTTACAATCGCCGCCGGGTTGCTCGTCATAGAACGGGGAGGCGCGTCTCAGCTGCCTCTTCCTGCACCATTCTTCCTGCTCCCGGACACCGGCTTCGAAGCGATCAAGCCTCTCTTCCTTGGCTCTGGTAGCGCGCCCTTTGCGTTCCTTGCGGGATTCAATGATTTGGCCTGTCTAAGCGGCGCGGGAGGAACGGTCTCTCCGATCCTGCTCTTCCCTCTCGCGGATCTTTATCTCGGCCTGCCTCGTAGCCTCTTTCTCGTCGCGCACTATCTTGCGCTGCCTGGCGAGACGGTCCTCGTCCTCTCGAGCGACCCGTTGCCTCTCCTCCGTGCGGCGCTCGTCAAAGGCTGTTAGCAGCTCGTCAACCGTCTGCGGGCTATAGGTGGCATAACGCTGCTGGGCGTATTCTTCGCCTCTACGGCGCGTCTATTCGCGCTTCTTCTCGCGAAGCATGACCTCATTCTGACGAATTGCGTTTTCCTCGGCGAGCAGTATGTCAAATCGCCTGACTTTTACGTTCTCGTCTTCTTCCTAGTGTCGTCGGTCTTGCTCGTCGCGGCGGAGCTTGAAAAACTCGTGCAACTCGCGAAGAGTCTTTTCGCGACGGCGGTCTTTTCCGTGGCCGCCCATTTTGTTGAGTGAGAGGGTTGCCCGGGTGTGGATGTGTGCAAGGAAGTTGTTGCTCCTCGGGAAGACGGGCGATTGATATGCGATTGATATGTAGAGGTGGGTAAGGTGAGGTGAGATGAGGGACTGCGATGATTGAAGGCGATATCTCAAGACGTATCTAAATAATCAAAAGAGAAAGTCGGATGTCTTGGTGAAATCTGCAGTTGTGGTAAGATGTAAGAGTAGAAAAGATTCTGTAATTCCTGGAGTGTGTGCAGGTGGTTTTTGTTGGATTCACCAGGGTACCGGTACTGGACTCAACAGGGCGTGGCTGCACGCCGAAAACTGGTGGTTCAAGTGATGGATTGTAGATGTCTGTTCTTCTCTCTAGCTTTCTGGCAATGCCAGAAAGCCCGTTCTTATACTACTATTGTGGTGGCGAAGTGGGTGGCGAAGTCTCTATCTAGAACCTTCGAGGCCCTTCTGCTTGACAAATTCCAACAGTTTTAAAGACAGGCAGACAGGCTAGCCCTGCTGTTTAGGCACGGTTACTATTGTTCAGGTATCACTGTACGGTTCACGTGCCGCTGCACAGGCAGTTACTATTGTTCGTGAAGAAGAGGTTCGAACGAAATTAGGCGAAGGGCGTCCAATTTGAGTCAAGCTCGCCCAGAAGTTGTGGTGGGGGTTGGATATAGCTGCCGTTGCCCAGACTGCCAGGCAACAGGTACTATTCTGTCTGCTGGCGTAACAGCACAGCGTTACAGAAGTTCTGTTAATCAATGGCTAAGCAACCGTGATAAATTGCTTATTCAGCTGAACGGAGCCACCGTAGGCGAGCTTGCGAGCCGGAGGTGGCGTAGTGAGGCTGTATTCTACATTACCGTGAGGGTGCCGAAAGTTTCTCGGACGGGGATTGGTCGATTGGATGAACCTCGGACAGGTTAAGCCGTGAAATGCCGCTTTGCTGTGTCGTGTTTGTGTCAGGAAGGAGCAATAACGCGGAAGGAAGGCGCGGCAGGTTCAAGGGGCCGCAGGCCAAATGCGCCGCAGGCACTGGGGGTCTTAGGGGGCTTGCCCCCTAGAAATCCAACAATTAGACCATGAACATGGAAATATCGAATTATCACGACAATTTGTTTTGGTGTTGAGGGGGTAGAATGACTGTTAGTCCGTTGTACGTGGTCCGTGCGGCACCTTCAACTTTCTACAGTACCTAGCTCCCCGCCAACAGGTGCGCAGAATGCTTCACGGCCTTCCAGCCATTGATCACTACTAATATATCATCGGGAACGCATGTTTTTCGAGCTGCCGCGATGGCTACGGTCGGGGTCCCTCAACCGTAGCCCCCCCCGCCCAATCCGCCAAATCCAGGCGGCGGTGGCCTGCCTCCCGATCGCCCGATCCTACCGAAAGAGACCCTTGATGCCGACATCCCTCCTGAATATAAGAGATGCCGTACTTGCCGACTCGTCAAACATACTGAGTGTTTTAAGCCGGGTGTGGGTGCTCGGCGCGGTGGAAGCCTCACTATTAATTGTGATATATGCCGTGGAGTTACCCTCGCGGGCAACCGCTCTAGCATTCGTGATCTATTCGCCTCGCAGTCTAAGCGAACTCCCGACGTATTGTCCTCGCCGGAAGGCCGTGCCTCACGAGCTCCCTCAATAGGTTACCGCCTTTCCGGTTCGCCGCCGCCGCAGCCGGCTTTGCAGCCGCCCGCTCTTCAATCTCGAGCATCTCTTGGATTTGGAAGCCGTCGTCTCGGTCGTGGTCGTACCTTGACGCCAATCCTTCCTCGTGGGCAGTCACCTATGCCTATACTCGGCAGTCCTCAACCTCGCAGTGCATTTCAACGCCTTACCTCGATATTCCACCGTCGAGGTCAGGTTGAAGGGTATACTCCTGAGCAACAATCAGCTTATTGTCACGGCACAGCGCATTGTGAGTTCATTGTCGCTGGCCGTGTTACGTCATCTTCCAAGAAACGCAATCAGGCTTAGTTTGTGGGTCACGTGTAAACTTCGCCCGCAAACCTTCTTTCATGGAAAAAGCCCAATTAGGTTAGTGTGTAGGTCACGTGCAAACTCTGCCTACAAACCCTTTTCTAGCGATCGAAGCTCCTGCGATCCTTCTTTCTTTCTTTTTCTTCTCTAGCTTAGTTTTACACCAAATAAATACAGTATCTTATTGTCATTGTCCTTTATAATCCTATTAACCGTGACACTCATGACGATCGGGTTGATATACAGCGCCGCCGCAGCTCCGAACGCCGTCAGGGACAGGTCCCCTCCGCGACGCCGCCCTCGCAGGAGCTTCTCGCCCGCCTACCTTCCGCGGGCGGTGATTCCGGTGATCCCGGTGATCCGGTGACCCTGGTGATCCATTCATCGAACATGACCGCCAGATGTGCCCTCGTTGTTGGCAGTATTTCCCTGAGCCTGAGTTCCAGGGCCGAGATCAATGTCCAGCCTGTTACGCCGACCTTCAATCAAGCCGGTCAGCCTCGCAGTCAACTACTTCTTCACAGAGCGATTACATGATGAGTGAGTCTAGCACTCCTCGGCCTACTCCCCGCCGTCAACGTGGTCCTGTACTTAGCAGTCAATATCGTCCCTGTGGATCTCAATCTCCCGCCGTTGAAGCCGCCGGTGTTACGAATCCCTGCGGAAATGCGTGAAAGTGGGGCACTCTCTGTTTGGTGTGGACCAATCAGAGGTGTCCCAGGGTCCCGAGCACTTGGGCCCGGGGACACAGGACAGCCCCGGAGGACCGGCGTCCCGGACGCGGGACCACGGGACAGTGGGACCATTGTTATTGGTCTAGTAGATAGATATATACAACAACCGTGCCTACGGTTCTAGATAGCTCGTGCTTGATCTCGCAAGCAAGCAATACACATTCACTGCACTCATACACTTTGAGTGGCATTCCGATTTGACTGTATTACCCGTGCGATAGGAGCTTGCCCTTTGTTCTATCTTCATAATTACCAACCCCAGCATCCTGTGGAGCCCGTGCTCCCTTACAGACAGACGACCCTAACAGTCGAGTGGTTTGTAATACTAAAGCCCGGAATAAGGCAGACTACCTGGCCCTATTCCGCCAGGACAATATTCTCCGCGACCTCGAGGCGATTCGGCTATATCTAACGAATATCATTACCGCCCAGAGCAACATCGCTCCCCCGCCACCGTCGACTGGGGCGTGTGGGGATTCCTCTCAGGTTTTCCGGTGGTAGCGCGCCGAACCCAGAGTCGTGGGACCGTGGGAAGTTGTGGCTTTGGATGTCACTGGAAGTGTAGATCGGCCGCCCTTGCTCCATATTCCTGTCTGAATAAAGCTACAAAGTTATTTAAGCGGCTTGAGCGATTTGTCCCTTGTGCCTTCCTGTATAATGTCTAAAGCTTCTTCCTTCTATAATGGAACTCCTTGCTTGCAGCTTAGCCGAGGTTTGAAGTGCAGGCACGCCTTCCAATCTGTTGCAAACCGAACTTTAATTCTGGTAAAAAGACCCCGAGTACAACTTACTCGCGATTCGTGTTTAAAGTTTGATCTTTATTTCGTGCGGCTTTTTAAATACCGTAACGGCGCGCACAGTAGAAGGAATGATTGCCATCCGTAGATCTGACATTTTGGAGTTGACCGTTGATGATGGCGATACTCGATGGTTTAGACATAATGTGTTAGACGATCGCAGGGTAACGACATTTTGCGGCCTCGCCGATCTCTAAATTTCGCAAATTTTTGTGCATGGCGTGATGCCCTGGTGGAAGTCGTAGCTTCTTATGCAGTCAGAATCGTAATGGAAAGAACTCTAAAGATAATAATTTACCGTGCGAAACAGAGACCCCACATTCTCTGTTCCTTCCCAAGCTGTAAGTCAGGCCGGGGTTTTGCTCTTTCTCATTCCCAATGTGCAGTTCATTTATTCTTGAACCTGCCATTCCGGGCAGCAAAACCAGAAATCTTCGGGAATCTTGACAATCGTCACGATAACGGGACGTGTTACCTGCAGGTGTGAAAATCCCACAAACAGCCCGATACGTGCTGTGCTCCGGACTGAAGACTCAAACAGCTGCCCAAACATGGAAGCAGTCAATATCTCAGTCCGTCCTAAATACCCACTAACCGTAGATGTTGCCTCGTCTAGTTCTCGGTCAATTGGACTCTACTACAGGGCACTTGTTGATGCCACCTTAATTCCATGAGCACGTGTCAAGTTCAAACCAAACCCCCATGGCTAAAGATGCCGTGATACGATTGTGTAAGTACTGGGAAGGTCCGGCGGGGAAGGCGAGAACTTTTACTTTTTATAAATTACATGAAGGTACGACTACGTATAAGGTGGGAAGCGCCTTCCGTCCACGACACGGAGCCATCGATGGCGTGAAATTCGAGCTTGGGACCACTCCAAACAGAAATTTTCTCCCTCTATCTGGTATTTCTTCCATCTCGTTTCGCTGTCGACGAATATTTCTGGTTTTCTTGTGCGATTTGCCGACTATACCAACACTGACTCAAGATGGTCAAGACATCCCCCTTTTTCTCTGCGTCCTGCCCGGCCTGCAACTGCAATTTCCCCGCCTGCGCTCCCTGCGCTGCCTGCGCTGCCTGCGCTCCCTGCGCTGCCTGCGCTGCCTGCACTCCCTGCGCTGCCTGCGCTGCCTGCGCTGCCTGCGCTGCCTGCCAGCCTTGCCCTCCCGTCGTGTTCCCAGCCCCCCTGGCGCCAGCCGACAACATCGCACGACGGTTAATTGAGGCAGCGGAAAAATCCGCCCAATGGGCTGAATTTCAAGGCATTGTCAGCATCGTTGGCCTTGTGGGCATCTTGGTTGGAATTCTCACCTTCCTGGATGCTGATCCACGGCGGTGGATCACCAGGGCTATCCGCCGACTTTGCCGGGCCGCCGCCGAGACCCCGGACCCGGCTCCCGCCGCCCCTCACCAAGCTCTTGGCCTTGCCGCCGACATCGCCGACATCGCCACCGCCGCCTCCACCACCCATGGAGCCGTCACCGCCCTCGCTGGTTCCGGGGACGCCGCCGCCGCCACAGCCGCCGCCGCCGCCACAGCCGCCACCGCCGACATCATTGCCGCGGCCAACAGGGCGGCCGCTCGTTTTCCCCGCTGCCAGCGTCGCCGCAGCAGCACCCGCCGCCTAGGACGGCGCAGCCGTCACGGCTGCAGCAGAGGGGGTCGGGGGGTGGGTTCTTGTCGCATGGAAGTCGCCGTAGAGCAGACTTAGAGGACTGTCTAGGAGGCCCAAGGTACGAACTCTGACAGGCCCGAGATTGTCGTGCAGGCCTCTAATATACTCTCATATACAGCCTGAAAAACCCGTCAAAGGCTGTCCGAGCAACTAGCTCGGAGACGGAGCCGCGTTAAGCGGTGTTATGGGAGGGTCCGAAGAAAATCGGGTGTGATATCGGGATATAACCCACAGACATAACCATTTAAAAAAAATAGTCACTGATCTTCCATTTTGCATATCAACCCCCTTGCACCTGACGGCCCAGAGGGCTTGTTTACCGGCGGGCTAGATGGTCGCCACTGTCACACGATCCAAGCTTACCCAGTTGTGTCCTCTCACTCCTGGGCGTAGTACGGCTGTTGTGCTGCTAGTTAGTGGGCAATGATCCGGTCTTAGCTCCGGGGAGCCTACGTTCCGAAAACCCTGTTCTTTCTGACATCTGCGGCATCTCCAGGAAGGCAGGTCAGGGGTTGGACGGCAAAATCGCACTTTACCCCTCCGCGGGGGGCTGTCTGGGTTCATCAAGACATTCGAGATGAAGCCAAGTAGAGGAGCAAATGGGGGTTGGATTCGTAACACAGGAATCGATGAAGAGTGGCACGTATCGACCAAATGGCCTTCGCAGCATTCCAGCGACAACACTGCCTACGCCTATTCTTGGCCATCTCATTCAGCTTATGCGAAAATAATCATAACAGAGCAACCATCGATGGTCCCGCCAACGTCACAGGCTGCATTTCATACCGTACTCTGGTTACTGGAAAGTTATCGGACTTTACCCTCTTTGCAAAACTCTACAGTTTGGCGCATGTTTAAGGTTTTCTCTTATAGTTCACTGGTTTCGGAACCCCCGTGGTGAGGATTTGGAGAGAAGGTTTCGGTAATAAGAGTGCAGAGTACCGAATACTTCCCACCTATATAAGGCGGGCTCGCTTCTCCCCTTGACCGGAGTGTCCAAACCAGCGAACCCACCACGGAGAGCAGCTATCACCAACCTTGTAGCGGCGTGCCGTTACTCCAGCAGACAAAACAGATACCTGTTGGCTGGCACTTTGTGCAACAGCAGTAATATGATTGCAAACCATATAGCAAGCTTGGCCATAAACATAGCAACAATTTCGGCGCTGACTAGCGGCCGAAGCCGAAACCAGCGAGGTTTACCCAAAACTGGACACCCGCCCAGCTCGGCAATGGCAGGGGCTGGAGCACTGCACACAGGCAGAGAGCAACAAAAGACCCGGGGTGCGAGATCACACGTTGCAGACGCGCCAAAGCGGGTAAGGAGACGATTGACAAAACAACCGCGTGGCAGTGCTCCGTTGTCCAAAACCAAGGGTACATCTCGTTCGGGAGCCATGGAAAATGCGAGACCGTCTAATAAGATAAGATCGCGATTGAGTCTGTCCAGGATTAAAGTTAGGGTGAAACACTTGATCCACCGTACCAACAAGAAACGTAATACACTAGAGATTTCGCGCATTAGCTGACCATGGATGACTTCAGCAATAACGCCTGTCACGATTTTGGCCAGCGCCGAAGATGGATATCCGCAATGGGAGAACGCGAATCGACAAAACACCTCCCAATGCCCGATCTACCGCCTTCCCAACGAGCTCATGGTGGCTATTATGGACATATCGGTCCACGACGACACACGCATCTGCATTGGACGCGAAGGCAGCGTGCGACTCTGCTCCCACCTGTCGGTGAACTGGGCGGAGCTCGATTTGCGGCCCCGGAGCCATGAGAGGGACTGCGTGCCATCGGAATCCGTGATTCGCTGCCTGCACCCGTCACATGAGAGCGTCGATCATATATTCGCAAGCTACCCAAGAAGAACAACACCGAACAGTACCATTTCATCCCGCCCATCGCTTGCCATATTCAAAATGTTTGACAAAGAATTCGATACCACTTCCGTCCACACGGTGAGGAGGTGCAAGATACACTCGTTTGATCTGGCTCCTTCCCGGCCAGTGACAATGAAACATCTCCAGCGGCATCTCGAGTTGCGGCAGGCGCACCCCAAAGATGGCGACTTTGCGCTTTGTCCACACGTCCCGTAGGGTGATGTTAAGCTGCTCCAAGCATTCTCGCCCACAGTATGCTGTTGCTTTGGCGACGTCGCGGCGCCATGGCGCCAATATGCTAAGACCATCTGGAGGCTACCACGAACTGACCCTTATTACATCCCTATGCTAGAGTGCCGGAATCGAGCGTCTAAGTGTCCCTCGTATATAGGGGAGTTCCTAACACCAGGGGTAATACACAGCAAAACCTGCTTGTCTTGCCGGACAGCATACCTCCGGAGTAGAGACGGAAATCGCATCTTCCTCGAGGTTAGCCATGACGGCCAATATATCGAGCATCGTTACCCGCTGAATCACAGATGGTTCGACCAATTGGATCCTAAGTCATGGGGAATGGAAGACGACGCCGAAACAAGGGAAATTCTATGGTGTCTGGACGCGAACTGCAAAACTAGCAGATCAGGGATTTGCAAGCTCCCTCGATTCGGCCGTCAGGAGCTTTTCCGGGATTCTCTCGGCAAAGCCCCGAAACACGAAGTTATCCGGAAGCGGCTAGAAGGACTCTCCAAGGATTTTGTTTTGGGAGAAGAAGCGCGCACCAGAGTCTAGGTCGCAAGAGAGTGAGAGCAGATCGATCAGGAATCAGGGACCCGAGATGGACGAAGCATGAAGTTTGAAAGTGGTTATGATACAGCTACAGGGTTATATCGCGTCGGTAGTTTACAGCACAAACACTTTATAGCAAAAGTACCTTACATTACGAGGGTACAATATGGAATTAATTACTAGAGCTACGCAGTCCGCAAGAAATGTTTCTGTTGGGTTCACCAGGGTACCGGTACTGGAATCAACAGGGCGTAACTGTACGCCGAAAGCTGGTGGTTCAAGTGATGGATTGTAGATGCGTGTTCTTCTCTCTAGCTTTCTGGCAGTGCCAGAAAGCCCGTTCTTATACTACTATTGTGGTGGCGAAGTGGGTGGCGAAGTCTCTATCTAGAACCTTCGAGGCCCTTCTGCTTGACAAATTCCAACACATACCCTCCAACCATTAAGTTGCAGCAGGGGATTGCTGATTTCTCTCTGTTATCCGAGCATTTTTCATATATCTACCCACTTGCTCTTTAACGATGCGACTGTTAAACGCCTCGACGCTCCGGCTGACGGAATTCATCGGTGATTCCGTCTCACCATACGCCGCACTGTCACACACTTGGGTGAAAAATGAAGAGTTCAGCCTTCAAGACTGGGAATAAATCCACAAACACCCACAGGGATCTAATTTCCATCCTTTTGCTCAGCGGGGAGGGTACCTAAAGATTGCCTGGTGCTGTGACCAAGCTAAGCAAGACAATCTGGAGTGGGCATGGGTTGAAACATGCTGCATCGACAAGACGAGCAGCTCGAAGCTGTCCGAGGCCATCAATTCCATGTCTCGGTGGTACCAAAACTGTCGCGTCTGCTACACCTTCTCCGACGTGTCGGACGGAGACGTGCCCCAGGCCCAGGATTCCGAGTTTCGCCGGTCTCGATGGTTCACCAGAGGATGGACCCTACAGGAGCTATTGGCGCTAGAACGCATGGTATTTTTCACCAAGTCCTGGGCCCTTCTTGGAGATTGATCCGAGCTTTGCCAGGCCATTAGTGAAGTGTCGAGGATCCCGTCAGACTATTTCTGCAGCGGCCACCGGAGTCCTATTTTCGCCGCTAGCATAGCCCAACGAATGTTATGGGCGGCATCACGATGTACGACAAGAAGGGAAGATGTGGCATATTGCCTGCTGGGTATATTCGACGTGAATATGCCCTTGCTATATGGCGAGGGCAAAAAAGCCTTTCAAAGGCTACAGGAGGAAATCATCAAGCACACCAACGACAGCAGCATCTTTGCTTGGGGCTTTGGAATGAGCGAATCCTGTGTCCAGGATTCCACCGAAACTCAGTACCTTGCGTCTTCGCCTTCCGACTTTATGGGCTGCCACAGTATCGTGATTGACGAACAGGGCAGCGGTCAACGCGTCGATGACTTTGAGGTCACCAAGAAGGGTTTGCGCATCAGCATCTCATCATTTTCCGAGATAATATAGATCTCATACGTGAATCAAAGCAAAACTGTCCTAGGCTTATTAAATTACCACCCGAGTGGCGATATATTCTACTTGATTACCATCCGCCTCGCTTGGACGAGTGGCAAGAGCAGTGAAGGAAACGAGGTTATGCGACAGAGAGGCCCTCCGCTGCTCTGGCCGAGACGTCTTGTCCGCTGGCCTAGTTTTAAAACTATCTACATAATCAAGCCGTCGGCCGCCTACGACAAACTACCTCCTGCGCAGACCGACCAGCCGGCCCTAGCTGCGAGCCCCGGCTCAATAATGATACCCGCCAGGCCTTTCTACGCTGTCGAGGCGCTAACTTCAAGTCCATCTCTTACTATACATCGCCTAGACGGCATGGATCACTACGTCGTCACCGATACGGACCTCCAAGCGCCCGCCACGGTTAAGGGGAATGCCTACTTTCGTTTCCGGCCAACAACCAGAATAGACGATTTTCAGCTCGATCTCCTCGTCAAAGTCGCATTCGAGGTCCTCCCGCGCCTTGAAATGCCCGCTGACGAGCCAATATATCCCTCCGGCCCTAGAAAGCTTCACAAGAGGAGAGGACAGGAAAGGGAGAATAAAAAGTGGGCAGCCCGCGGGCAAGCAAGTTACGCAAGATCCGATGGCGTGTATGGCCAGATCAACTGCTTCCTGTACAAGACCCCAGCAAACTTTATTGGCGGTCACGATAGCCAAGGCGGCGGCGCCGACTACTTGGAGGCCCTAACAGGTTGGAAAAAGACAACTGCGAACGGCCTCCAGACGTTTTGGCCCACGATCGAGAAGCAACAGGTCGCGGGAACTGACTGCGATATTTTGATTCTGTGTGATAACCAGATCATAGGCCAGGGGCTTTGGGGCTGGCTCGTCTACAAACTGATGTTCGGAACGGTTCTAAACTTTCGCATCGACAGTTTCTCGTGGCGTTCCACTACCAGATTTGTAGTCTTGGTCCTGTTTACATTTCTCTGCGCCTTTGGCGCCGCATCTCGCATCTCCTCCCAGGATGTTTTTGGGGGTACGGTATGTATGGGATTGAGCATGGGCTTTGCCACTACGTGTCTGAGCCAGCCGCGTTCCAGCTATGGTGTCCCCATATTCCCGCTAGTTCTTATCGCAAGTAGCGGATTCATCATGGCCATCCTTCAACAACCCCAAACGAACTGGATTATATATATATGTTTCGGGCTTACTTCGATGTTCTGTATCTTTGTAATTGTAATGGCTCCTATGCTTCACTTATATGGATACTTTATACCCTGGCGGAGAGGTGGTACAAACCAGGTTATGCCTTAACATTATATAGCTAGAAATTAAATACCTAGTTACTTTTTATGAACATAGTGATACTATTTACTTCACATTAGCTTTTGGACAAAATCTCGCAGGAGGTCAACCGGCAGTTTTCGCTGGGCAAGGAGTTCTACGCGCTGCCGCTGGAGGAGAAGCTCAAGTACCACAATCACGACGACCTGGTCAGGGGCGAGTACAACGGCTACCGGTCTTCGGCTCCCACCCGCGCGCACAGCCCGCCGTGATCTAGGAGCATATTGAAGAGGTCGAGGCGTTTATCCGCGTAAGCACCACCCCCCTTTATTACCACACCCATCCACTGCACCCATCTAACCTATCACCCTAGAAATGCCATAGCGAAGTCGTCGTCAAGCTCCTCCGGCTCTTCGCGCTCCTCCTCGAGCTGCCAGACGAAGACCAGCTGGTGCGCAACCACCTGTACGATAAGGGCGAGGACCACCTGCGGTACATGCACTACGCGGCGCGCAGCGCGGAAGAGAACGAGAAGGTGGGCGACCTGTACGCGGCGGGCCACACGGACCTGGGGACGGTGACCCCCCTCTTCCGGTAGCCGGTGGCGGCGCTGCAGATCCTCAACTCGGAGGGGAACTGGAAGTGGATCAAGCCGCAGGACGCGACCATCACCATCAACACGTACGACGCGCTTACGGCGCTGACGGGCGGCTGATCAAGTCGAGCATCCACCGTATACACGCGTCGCCGGCAGACCAATCGACGGTTGACCGGCTGGGGCTGTTGTATTTTGCCATGTAATTACCTCCTTATTGAAGCATTACCCCTTTTACCTTTTTAGCTAGCTAATACATTATGTATGGCAGGCCCAATAACCACGTCGCGCTGGATCCTATCCAGAATAGCCCGCTGCTTACTCGGCTGGGCCTGACCACTAACGCCTTCACCGAGTTGGGCCAGCACCTGATAACCGAGGGGTGGGTCATCGTGCGCCGGTCGTAGCAGCAGCGCCGCAAGGTCGAGGCCAAGATCCTCCCCGGTGGCAAGTACGAGTACAACGAGAAGGACCTCGAGATCATCCCCGGCGTAACTGCCAAGATCTACAGCTGAGGAATATTTGTCCTTATCTGTTGGAGGACGACATAGCAGTTGCTGGTGTACAAGTAGCCTAGGACACGACGGGAGCATTTGTTGGACAAACGCACTCTGGAAACTGTTGGAATTTGTCAAGCAGAAGGGCCTCGAAGGTTCTAGATAGAGACTTCGCCACCCACTTCGCCACCACAATAGTAGTATAAGAACGGGCTTTCTGGCACTGCCAGAAAGCTAGAGAGAAGAACACACATCTACAATCCATCACTTGAACCACCAGCTTTCGGCGTACAGTTACGCCCTGTTGATTCCAGTACCGGTACCCTGGTGAATCCAACAGTATGATATGATAAGGAGCCCGAGGAAAGAAACCTGGCCTTGAGAGAAATGGGCTCGTCGATTTATCATGGAACCCTTATCATTATGCTGCGCCCGGTGCTGAACATTGCGACGCCCGACGCGCTGCACGAGCGCGGATAGGGCACGAATCGTGGACGTCCCTCAGCCACTTGTTCCGCTAAGAGTAAGGGGGCCGGTGCGCCTCGCAGGGCAGACACCAAGGCGTGCAGATGCCCCCCTCCAAAGTCGCCGTGCAGAGCCTCGCCCTCGAGACAAAGGTCGAACAAGGCGCAGCTGGACCCCAGGAAGACACCGCCTCAGGGCGCGACACCAACTCGATGTTGTCCTGAATAAAGAGGTAAATCCACTTGTGAATTGACGGCTGCAAGTTCAACTGGTATACGTCCTTCGCTGCTGGGAATGGGCTGAAATTCACTTGCTCGAGAATGCAAGTCCGGCAGGAATTGGTGTGACATAGAAAAGAGGAGCCGGGTATCTGCATTGAGAGGAGGATGAAGACTTACGGTATCTACAAAGGAAAGAGTCTAATTAACCAAGGTAGTTATTTATATAAAAGTGAGAGCACAGGGGGTAAGGGGGGTTGCCCTGTGCAGTGTTTTCGAGGGCACGGCAGGGCAGCTGTGAGCATAGGGGGTATTGGCTCAAATGCTCAGGAGCCCCCTTCTCCAGGTGATTGCGCTCCACTCCTCCCCGGTAAACATGGCCGCTTGATAGGGTTCTATATCGGCACAGAATATACATGGCAGCTATTTAATCTAGAATAGTTTTATGAGTCTGAAGCCCCTACTTTGCCCCTTAAAAATATTACAAATCGAGTCCGATCAATCTATATAGATTGTTGGAACAACGCGCATTCCAGCCACATAGAGGTGGCTGTAGCAACGCATTCATCAGCCAGACAGGCGGCGGTGGAGGCCTAGGGGTCCCAGATTCCATATAAGTAGCCTACGGCCACCTCTTTCTTCTAGATACACATAGACAAATAATGACCATTACTTGAACCACCAGCTTTCGGCGTGCAGCACGCCCTGTTGTTTCCAGTACCGGTACCTGGTGATTTCAACATAAATAAGCTCCTCCCTACCAAGGAGGGTAGGGAGGACCCACCAAAAAAAACATACAACACCAGGGATTCGCTGGTCGTCACCGACCCAACTACTAGTCTGGCGGTTAGAAACCTTGTCTCTGGGACTCAAAGCGGCCGAAAATGAGGGTATACAGGAGTCGAAAATGGGGCATCTTATCTCTTATCTTAATTGAAACGGATTCCATATCGAGTTTAGCGGATATAATACCGTTTTTTTGAAACGCTTACTACTCCGTCTTGTACAGACACGTAAAATGGAATGCACCTAATTAAAACGCTACGGGATACCGTGGTAGGTGCGGGGTCGTTTCCAACGACGGTGCGAACCAAGCACGCTGTGAGATACCTCCCCAGCTAACCTCGTTGGGTGGGATGCGTTAAGAGTATAAATAAAGCGACCACGATCTCTATGAGGCTCGTGGTGAGCGCTCTAAGCCGTACGTATGGATAAAGACTTGGGAATACCTGTCTCCGCCGATTGGACGGTTCGACCCTGACTGAGTAAACGTCGACCGTGATCAAATGGATATATATACTGAGGAATGACCCAGTGGTTTCACAGGCCTTAAGCAAAAACTATGCCAGTATTGCTTACTGCTGTGCGATACTGCGTCTAGTTGAATTCTTAGCTACGATCCGACTAGCGCGTCAGACGTTTTCAGAACGCGTTAAAAGCATGTAAACTTATAAAGTAGAAGCTCGAGTACGACTTGGCCCGTAAGAACTAATTCCATTGCGATACGGATCGGGACGGTAGCCCGTACACGCTCCTCGCAACTAACCGCGTCGATATAAGCGGCGTACGAACGGGGATAGGACGAGATTATCGCTAAGTGACCAAGATAGGTTGAGGATGCTGCTCGGGGATGGACATTTTGAGAAGGTACTAAGATATATTACGCTTACCGGACACGGTGACGCCTCCGGCTACTATTGCTGCTGTCGGGCTTAGGGAGGCCTGGCAGCCTACTGCGGGTGCTGCGGTGCCGCCGAGCGTGGCGGGGGTTAAGAAGAGGGCCGAGGACTAATTAGTATTCAAGGGCTAAAGACTGGGTAGGATTGGAAGGTTGGGGATTGTATCTAATAGCGTTTATTTTTTGATTTTTTGACGGATTGGGAGTTTGGGGGAATACGGGCGGCTCGCGACATATGTTGATCATACTGTAACTAGGCTTCTGTGGAGCTTCCGTAGATATTCATTTGTCTTTAACCTTGCCGCTTCGTCTCATCAACGCGTACCGTGAGAGTTATCTGTCATTCCTGGGCTGTTGCCCGTCCCCAACATCGCATCACCACATAGCAATACTAATCGAACTAGAACGCAAATAACGAGAATAGTATAGAGTGTGCCGAAGTCAAACGCCAACATAACAAGACATTTATATCAAGGGGTACTGCAATAGACTGTCTTATCAGTTATAGAACTCACTAGTCATCTCAACACACCAATCCCAAAACTCTGCCGCGCGCCCAGTCCCGCCATCCGCAACCGGCTTTGTTGCGTTAGCCAACTCCTTCCTCAAGGGACCGTGCTCACCACCTCGGGAGGACGACCCTCCGGCAATCCTGCCCCAGGGCACAATATAGCATCCATTCTTCTCAACCGTGATGTCCAATGACAAGCCAGCATATAGCTGCGTTAGCGCCGCCCGCTCAGCAGAGTGCAGCAGCGGCCAGGCGAGATGTTTCGTTAAGGGTGTATAGCGGAACAGGTTAGTCGAGGCGGCGCCTGGGTTGAGGGCGACGCTAACGACCGAAGGCTCTCGGCGAGCGAGCTCGGTAGCAAGAAATAGATTGCCCGTCTTAGAGTTAACGTAGTTGCGCGTCGTATTCTTGGGCGGAGTGCGCAGCTCCGATATGACAATGCCCTCCTTGGGCGCCGAGAGCTCGATCATCTGGCTCGATGTCCAGACGACACGGACCGAGGCCGCATCCTTAGCGTCTTGGGCGGCGGCTGTCGACTTGAGCAGCGGCAGCAGAAGCTGGGTAAAAAGAAACGGGCCGAGGCAATTGGTGGCGAGCTGCAGCTCGATGCCTTGTTTCGACAGACTACCCAGCGGGGGTTGGGACACGCCGGCGTTATTCCATAGGACGTGTAGACGCGGCTCTAGCGCCTTGAAGTCGTCGACGGCGGCTTTAATGCTGCTGAGGTCGGCGAGATCGAGCCGCAGGAACTCGAGGGATCCTGCGGATGCCGGTGTGGCATCTTGGATAGCTTGGATGGCTTGGCGGACCTTGACTTCGGACCGGCCCGCAATGTAGATGCGGCCGTTTTTCCGGTATAGGATCTTACAGAGCTCGAGGCCAATCCCGGATGAGCCGCCCGTTACGATGAAGACCTTGGTATCCTGAGCAGGGACGTCGGCTTCGGAAAATGCGGGGGTTGGAGGGAAGAACTGCGAAAGCTGGGCCTTGAACATGTTGTCACTTTGAGAGGAAAGGAAAGACGTGCAGGTTTGGGCGAGGGAAATGGGAAGAGGATGCGGACAGCTTGGGGCTGGCGGTGCCGAAGAGCTTAGAGAGGGCTGAAAGTATGGTTGGGGTCGATAACAAGGGAAAAGAGGGGTGGTGGAGAGGAGGGAACAGGCATACTAGAAAGACGCGTATGGGGGCTAGTATCTAGAAGTACCGATTTTACCGCTAAAAAAGCCGCAAGTTTATAGCAGCTACCATAGTGGGGGTGGGTGGCATTGCAGTTAAAGGGTGCAGGGTGGGTGCGCCAAGTATTCCTCTAATTATTCCTTACTCCACTGTGCACCAACATATTACGGCGAGCTGGAGTACCGCAGCAAGAACGAGGCACAAGCTGCAAGTAAATGACGACTACATCTCGGCATTACGATGAGCCGCTTGATTCGCGCAGGCAGATAGAGGACGTGAGCCGTCTAGGCAGGCTGCGAAGATCTGAGCCTTGACGGCAGGACCTTGTGTGACGAGATGCTGACCGCTCATCGAACTGTGTGTGAGCAGAATTACACAGTGGCAGCGGCGGCCTAGCGAATTTGGAAGGAGCTTTCTTTTGTGTTTCACACCACGCCAATCTCCACTTGATAAGACCCCATTAATTGCAAAACTGCAAACCATTCGTCGAAAACACTGCGTAATAACTGAACACGCAACTGAAGTGCCTGACCTTCAGTCTCCTAGAGAGCCTGACGGTACCGCGGGCAGTAGATACTCCACACCAAATTTCCAGCGATGCTCAACAAGACGGCCTCGATATAAGCCCGCACGTCTTTGGAAAGTGCCGCATCCGTCCTTGTTCTCTCCACGATGCTACAGTACTCGTCAATGTAGTCTCTAGTCACTTCGGTACATATGGCCTTGGCTTCGTTCTCATCAACGCCGCGCTCTTTCATAATGACCCAGATGGCGTTGAAGACGTGGTCTTGATCCAATTGCTCGGCTGCCTGACGCTCCTTCTCCCACGAGTAGAGGTCATTGGTCAAGGCCAGTACCACATATCCGGGACGCGCCAGTTTCATGCAGAGATGATATTCATCATCGGGAATGGTGAGGCCCATACCATACGTTAAGGTGCCAAACCAGATTCTGGAGACGAGCTCTACGTCAGTATACAGTCCATCTATGACTAATGAAACGAGTCTCGGAAAAGGGAGCCGTTGAAACATACAGCTCTCCGCAGTCGATGACACGGGCTGGAATATACTGTGCGAGTGTGTCAAATGCCTTTAGTCTCGTCCGCGACGCGAGCTGTACAAACCGCGCCCAGGCTTCCATAGTCGTCTTGGCCCGAGGTGCGTCAATGGCTATCATCTCGGCTAGCACCCGGGCCTGTAGCCGCTTCGTGGAACTGAGCTTCCCAAGGCTACCCTCGATGTTGTGGTCCAGAACCCCCGTCCCGAACGTCTCGAGGATTCCTGGCCCTCCAGTATCGGGCAGCTGCTTGAGGTCAAGCATCTCCATCTCGTCTGCAGCCTTGAGTCAGTGTCATTTCTCTAGTTATCTGCAGCTCTCACTGGCCTCACGCACCGTCGTAGAGGAACGCATACTCGTTGGCGTATGAGACAACCTCTAGCCTCTCAGGGAGGCATTCCGGAACCGTGACTCGGATGAAGCTGAAGTGCTCCCCAAGGCCTCCTTGGTATCCATGGACGGGCGCGACATGCTCAGACCAGTCGCGCTGTGCGCGAAACGCACCAATGATCTCGCTGAACGAATCTTTGTGTCGGCGGAGGGTAACCATCTTGTTGGTAATCAGTCCGTCTGTCTCAAACAAGCTCGGGTCGACCACCTCGGAATATCGGAATTCCATGGTTATTGGATTGCCAGTTCTCAACAATAGTTAACAACGTTCCGATGCCGACAAGAGCCACTCTGAGATCTGGAGAAATTTTTAGACAACGCTCAGGTCTTATGAAGGCGTTGGGGGCCATGGGGTTCAAATCTCTCGACCTCAACGTGCTTCGCTCTTTCTAGCACTAGCGCCATCATCCCGGCGGTACCTTCTTCTCAACCCCCAACCCCCCCTCCGTAGCCGAGTCTGGTGGTAACAGGCCATGAGCAAGTAGGGTTCGGCTAAAATTATGCATGAAGGAATATTTAGGGAGTGAAGCTGCAGCCTGCTGGACCAACTTCCTGCTGAACGAAAATCAGTAGCTGTTGGCCCCCCACCCCTTGCTGCATCCTCTTTTCGCGCCGGTCCGGATCTTCTAGGACAAAGCTTGTTTCTGTTCTGCTGTCACGCTGACCAGCCTGGCTCCCTCTTGAAAGGTACCGTTTATCGCCGTCTATCATTAGCCTCTCCAGAGATGTTAATAATCGCCGAGAGAGCCATTGCGGATTGGCTTTGGGCCACAGGCGGGGTTCGATGGCCGTTTGGAAGCACTGTCCCGGGCGGTCCAGGCAAGCACAGTGCTCTGTCGTGCAATATCTTTGCCGAGCTAACAGCGTCAACAACTCAACATTAGACCTGCATTTCAGGTCGCTCGGCTCCGACAAATACCTCTTTATTGCCCTATTTTGCCCTGTTGAGTCTTCCAACATACCACGCTTCCCAGGTGTAAGTGTCTCGAAGCTCCGTCCTTTGCCATTTCTTTGCCAGAATGCGGGATCCCGGCGCCGCCCGGACGCAGCCGGGACTCGTCCACCAGCTCGGTCCTGTTCTCGCCCTTTTCTGTGTAGCCTACCTTGTCTATACTACGGGGCTCGCTGTCTACAATCTCTTCCTCTCTCCCCTGGCCAAGTTCCCGGGCTCCAAGCTGGCAGCCGCGACGAGCTGGTATGAGTTCTACTACGACTACTGGCTCGACGGCCAGTACATCTTTGAGATTGAGCGCATGCACAAAAAATATGGGCCCATCATCCGCGTCAACCCGGACGAGCTCTCAATTCACGACCCGGCCTTCTATAACGAGATCTATGTGACCGAGAGCAAGCGGCGCACAAACGCCTACGACGTCTTTTGCAAGGGCATCGACTTTGACGGGTCGCACCTCTTGACAGCGGATCACGACCTGCACCGCCGCCGCCGCAAGCCACTGGAGCCGTTTTTCTCGCGCATGGGCATCGCCCGCCTGCAGCCCATGCTGGCCGAGGTGGCGCTGCACCTCGAGACGCGCCTCCGCGACCTAAAGGGCTCCGGCAAGGTCATCCGCCTCGACCACGCCTTTTCGGCCTTTTCCGGCGACATCATTGGCCGCATCTGCCTCGACGGCGGGTCCGGCGGTAGCCGTTTTCTTGATGACCCGGACTTTGCGCCCGACTGGTATAACGTCATCCACGCCATCGTGCGGTCCATTCCGCTGTTCACAGGCTTCCCCTGGCTTGTGCGCGTCGTCAGCTGGATCCCGGAAAGCGTTTTGCTCTGGGCGTACCCCCGCGGGCAGATGTTTAACATTTTCAAAGAGGTAACTTTTTGCCTTTCTTCTCGTGCATATCCCATGACAACGCTGGATTTCTGATCAAGTATTCTTGCGTGTCAAACAGAGAGCAAAGCAACACATCCGGCGTGCCATGACGTCAGCTACAGCAGCGCACGGCGCGGAAAAGGGTCATGAAGAAGACGCATCTTCGCTCTTCCACCACATCGTCAACAAGAGCGACATGCCCGAGTCGGAGCGGTCCGAGGAGCGCCTCTCCAAGGAAGCCCAGGTGCTGCTAGGCGGCGGCACCGCCAGCACGGCGCGCACCATTGGCTTCGCGTCTTTCTACATTCTGTCCCGACCCGCCATTCGTGCTCGGCTCGAGGCAGAGCTCAGCCCGATCATGGCTAGCTGGCCGACGCGCGTGCCCTCGTGGGCCGAACTGGAGCGGTTGGCGTTTTTGCAGGCCATCATCAAGGAGTCGTTGCGGTGAGTGTTTACGCTGAAGCACGCTTCAACTGCCCCGCCTTGTGGTAACAATCTTTAAACCCCCGCCCGCAGCCTCAGTTATGGTGTCATGCACCGCCTCCCGCGCATCTCTCCCGACGTGCCCATCCAGTACAAGAACTACACGATCCTTCCCGGTGCCCCTGTCGGCATGTCGGCGTACCTGATGCACTCGGACCCAGACGTTTTTGCCTCGCCTGGCGAGTTCACCCCCGAACGATGGCTGCGACAAGACACAATTGGTAACATGAACAAGAGCTTCGTGCCTTTTTGCCGGGGCTCGCGGAATTGTCTTGGGATGAAGTAAGTTTCTCCTATCTTCTTCGGTCTTTTCCCATTTTCTTATTATAGCCCTGGAGGCTGTGGGCTTACCAGGTTACTAATACCTTTCCCCGTTTCTCCCTCACAGTCTAGCCATGGCAGAGATGAGCCTGATCCTGGCCGTCTTGTTCCGGCCCAACGGGCCCGAGTTCGACCTGTTTGAGACGGACGAGAGCGATATCAGGCAGGCACACGACTTTCTCATCCCTCTGCCCAAAATCACCACAAAGGGGGTACGCGCCCTGATTCGCTAGCCCCGGTGCGCGTCACAGATACAATCATGAACTTTGGTAGAGGAGGGCTGATGATGATACGTAATCCCGTTTGTCGAAGAAAGAGAAGCAGGTAAAAGATTGGCACATTGGACAGAGAGTATCAAATCATGGCTGCATAGAACGCCTCAACCGAACTATCAGTTTTGCCCCTGCCTGCATTCCCGTTCCAATTCGTGCGGTACGGCGCGTTGAGTTCAAGTTGTAAAGGAGGGTGGGGTGCCTTTGGTCAACCGAAACCATAGGTACAAACGTTGGGCATGCAAGGACTTGTGTGTGATGTTACCTGGTGTTACTCTTATCGGGCTGCAGTATAGTGAAAGAAAACAGATCTGCTATATTTACACGGTATACTTTAGTAGCAAGCCCTTTAATGGCTCCCGTCCGTCTGTTGTGTAACCTACTCGGTGTCGATTCAGCAGGCAGCCAACAAACCAAAGCAAGCGGCTGGGCTTTGTAATGCCATGTAAGCAAGTGCAGGTTTGGTGTCCTGTCCAGTAAGAGAGGTGGGGGAGCACATGGAGCTTCCCTCTGCCTGTCCTCGCGTTGCTCAATTGAGTGAGCCCACCCCTCCGATACCTGACTAAGGTACGGTGCAGCGAGATACGGTGTCTGCTTCAAGTGACAATCGTTATGATACCGGCCCGATATAACTGTGCCATCTGTAACGTGTCACGCGTCTCCGAGCCTCGTTTGGCGGTAGGGCGCGGGAGAAAAACACCCAAGTCGGCTCCCTGTATTCCTTCTCCTCATTAGAAGCACGGGAATGAGCAACTGGACTTATCTCTCCCACATATTGCGATTTATGCAGATTGAAACCTCCGACCATGGAAAGCATGGTTATGTTAATGGCAGGCCGTCCCAACGGCGGCGTCCAGCCTCGTCCAATCCCACTGAAGCCGGCTGTGCAGTGCTGCCGCCGCCGGTCTCCCATTTTAGAACAGGGGCTGACACGCCCTCCCCAGCGACCAAGCACACAGCCTTGGCGTGACCCCCTCGTCAAGCAAGGTCACAATGCTTGGTGTTATTCACCCGACCGGAGCCTCAGTCCTACATAGATTGGCCGTTTCTCAACCAGTAAGAAAGTTCTAAGGTCCTCCCAGTTCAACCACCTTGTCTTGTCCTCGGGCGCATCAAAGTCAAAGTTCCACACCAGCCTTGCCAGGATCAGACGCATCTCAGCCAACGCAAGATGTTGGCCCATACATGATCGCACACCGAGGCTAAAGGCCTGCATTGCCTCGGGCCTGTCACCAAAGAAGGGGGACTCCTCGTCGGTCCTGGCCTCAGGCAGCCACCGCTCAGGAAGGAACTCATCCGGCCGGCAAAAGTTGGCCGGGTCGCGGTTCATGGCGTAGGCCTGCACCGAGACGGGCGTGCCGCCAGGAAGCCAGACGCCGCAGACGGTGCTACCCCCCGCGGGCACTAGTCGAGGGAGAACCCACGGGATTGGGGTGCATAGCCTGAGCCCTTCGGACACGACGGCGTTGAGGTACGGTAGGCCGCGTAGCGCGTCGAGAGTCATACCGTCGTCGTGCTTGTCGCGCGGAAAGGCAGCGCGCACCTCGGCCGCCAGCATCTTGAGCTTGTCGGCGTGTTGGACGAGGTAGTTAGTGGCGCCGCTGAGGACCGTGGCCGTGGTCTCGCTGCCGGCAGTGGTGAGCACGGTGAAGGTGACGTTGATCTCGTCGACCGACAGCCCTCCGCCGTCTTTGTCTCTGATGACATGGGCCATAATGTCGGATCGCTCCATCTCGTAGTTGAGGCGGCGCTGGACCTTGTCGGCAATCTGTTGAAAGTGGTCGCGCTGCATCTTCTTGAGCGACGGCGGGATGCACTTCATCAGCACGTAGGCGACGGCCGGGTAGAAGCGCGTGGCCGAGACGAAGGCGGCGGCCTTGACGCTGTTGAAAAGCAGGGCGATCCACGGGTGCAGGCGCGAGTCTTGGAGGCAGTCAAACGACTCGCCAAAGCCTAGGTCGCCAAAGATGTCAAACGTGGTGAAGTTGAACCAGGGCGCAATGTCGAGCTCGGCGCGGCCCGACGGCTGAGCCTGGACCTGCTCGTGCAGGCGGCTGACAAGCAGGTTGACCAAACGCTGGATGAAGGGTTCCTGGCTCTTGAGGGCGCGCCGCGTGAAGCCAGGGGCCAGGGCCTTGCGGATGCGGGCGTGCTCGTCGGGCTCGATAGCGCTGATGAGCGACACAGGCGTGCCGGGTGGGCGCCTCCACCAGACAGGGTCTTTGAGGAGCTGCCCCTGGGGCGGGCGGAAGATGTCGTCCCATGCCTCGGGCTGCGCAAACGTGACCTCGTTGGGCGCGATGCGCAGGACGGGCCCGTACTGGCGATGTAGTTTCTGGATGTCGTGGACGATGGTACCCTTTATGAGCGAGCGGATGAAGGGCAGTCGCGTGGCCGACCAGGTGCGGGGCCCGGGGATCTTGGACAGAGGGTGAAGGTAGACATTGTAGAGGGCGCGCAGAAGGGGGTACAAGACCAGAAGCACGAGAGCCGTGCCCCAGAGGGAAGGCGGCTGCGCGTGCGCGTGCGCGTGCTCGTGCTGTTGACTCCCCATGATCCGAGGGTATGGAAGCAATGCTCGATGGCAACTATGAACAAAACTACGACAAATGGTGGGGCGGCAAGTGGTAGCGTCAAGAGATTCCGGCTTGCAACTTTGCAAGTTGGGGCTCTGAGATGTGAGATTGACAGCAACGGACGGCATCTGCCAAAAGCAATGGACATTGATGGATTGATGGCACAACTTGGCCCGTGGCAGCCGTGCCTGTGCTTGCCCGTGCTGCGCCGTGGCTTGGTTGCTTTACCTCCCGTCAGGTTGTCTGTGTATTACATGTGGTACCATATAGAGAAGAAGTTACTATGGTATGATGGGTAGGTTTTACCCCCAGTATCTATACCGGTACAGTCCCTTCCCTGCTAGCGCTGTATTGCGAATCGAAAGCGCGCTGTAATTTTCAAATCGTGGCGCGCCGGGGGGGCTATCGGTACGTGAGCAGGGGCCAACATTTTTGCTCGCAACCATAGGCGGCCGTCGTTGCCTCACAGGCGCATATTCGGCTTACACCCCCTCCTTCCTGTGACCCCAACCCCAGGTCCTCCCCCGCTGACCGGGAAGATAAGGTGGCGCGCTGCCTCCCTTATAAAATTTCCCCCCTTACTACCCCAAACTTTCCAGGAGCTCTTGGCACTAGACACTCAGGCGACATATCCCATCAGACCAAACCTGTGCCTTAGTTTCGTCTGTCTCGTTAGAGCTGTGATGGCCAATCTGTCTTCCGTCTGGGCTGGTCCAGGAATCCTACCTCCTCCTCCAGGCGTTACGCCCAACTTTATTAACCCGCCAAGCCAGCTCCAGTCCAATATCGCCCTCCATACAGTCTGTCTCACTCTGGTTACAGCCGCTGTCTGGATGCGCATGTACACGCGCCTGTTTGTCACCAACGCCAAGTTGGGCATCGATGATAGTCTGTATACCTTGCCTTGATCCTCGGACTATTGTTGCTCGGTGGCTGTGTGCTGATTCGAAATGTGATATAGTTTTCTGTCTTCTATCCTATGTTTGTTTCCACCCAGATAGGTTAACCTGGTCTTCGCCCTGACATTGCAGGCTGACTTGGGGATCTGCAGGCTTTAACCGTAGCGTTCTCCGGACTGTTGATCAAGTGTAAGTCCCTTGGGTTGCGGCAACACCAAACAGGGAGCAATGGCTTACCAACAGCACCAGGCTACACACTCGGCATTGGTCGTCATATGTGGGATGTGGAGTTGAGGTCGTTAATTCCTGCGCTCAGGGTAAGCTCTGACACCGACAAGAACAAAAGTGCAACAACTTACCAAGGAAGCTTTTTGTTACAGATTTTCACCTTCTCGCAATACATCTTCCTGCTTCTGTCCCTCTTCATCCGGCTCACCTTTCTTTTCTTCTACTATCGCCTCTTCTCGGCCGCGTCCACACGCTACAGGCACACGCTCCATGCCCTCATAGCTTTTGTCGTGGCCTTGAACCTCAGCATCTTCTTCGCCACATTGTTCAACTGCAATCCGCGGGAACGCAACTGGGATTCTACCGTCCCCGGCGAATGCCTTCCAACCAGCATTCTTCCCTGGTTCTCGGGTGCATCCGCCTCCCTGACTGACATTATCGTCCTCGCCTTCCCTCTCCCCATTTTCTGGACGATGAACTTAGCTTTCAACAAGAAAATGAGGGTTATTGCCGTCTTCAGCATTGGTATCTTGTGAGTCGCAGCCCCATCAAATGATGCGCCCAAATCGTGACAGGAGCCTAACAACATAATCTCAGTGTCTGTGCTACTAGCTTGGCTAGACTAGGAACGACCCAGATCCTTTGGCACGACCCCGACCGGAGTTGGAACATTTCCACAATTGCTATTTGGGCGTGCGTGATTCTACCTTCTTCGTGAACCCTACTTTAGAGCGCCCGACCGTTAACACGAGAACAAACAGAACCCTCGAAGTAAACGTCGGCATCATTTGCTCCTGCATGCTATTACTGCCCGCCTTCCTCCAGCGCCACCTGCCCAAGTCACTCAAGCTGTCTCTGTCACGCCTCTGGGACTACATAATCAACGCCATCGGTGGCGGCTCCAAGAAGAGCCACTCCTCGCCAGGGCCAAAGGAACGACACAATGGAACTTGGCCCGCCCACGTCAACTCGTCACAGGTGACCGAACACCATCCCTTTACCCAGATAAAGCCTACCATCAGCGAGCAGTCTGTGCGAGCGCACAGCGCACAGGGCCCAACTGAAGGATTTCCTGTCCCGGGTACAGCCGTGCTAAATCACTCGTTCCAGTTTAGCTTTGAAGAGAATGGCGGGTCCGATAGACATGAACTGCCAGGGAAGCCGTGGGCGATGCAGAACTAGACGGTTGACATGTATGTGAGCTGAGTGACTGGATTACTTTCTATATTAATTTCTTGTCTATCTAATTTAGATCTGTCCCACGTCTCTTCTGTTACGATCCTGGCGCCGTAAGCTGTCTGCAGATTGGCTGGTGCAACCTGGAGGGGTGGACCCCTCACTGCGGTTGGTATAGCCAATTAGGAACGCGCTCAGTGCGCTCAGTTGTCAAGACCAACTGAGCGCCCCGAGTAGGGGCTCAGGGTGCTCAGTAGTCAAAAGGAACTGAGCACACTGAGCAAGTAAGGAAGGACTCTGACTGGTTACTCTTAGTTCTATATAGTAGCTGGACGAACGCACTCTGGGAGACGGTTCCTCAGCTATCAACCAATGCACACAACCAGGCTGGCGGTCCATTCCATTTCCATCCACGCAGCCTCTAGTAGAATGTATGGACGTCCATTTGGGTCCACCTCAAATGGAATGGATGGAAATGGACGCTAAGAGTAGGCCCGTGGAATGGATGGACATGGAATGGAAATACGTGGACGCTAGCTATAAAGGGACGATACACGTGATCCTCCCCCCTGTTGCCTCCCGGGCTTCCGCAAAGCTCAACTCAGCCAACAGATCAGTCCCTGGCGCCTTGGCTTCTTCAAGAAGCTTCTCTGTACTCTCGATATATCCCCCACGAAGCCATGATCTCACTGTCTGTGTCATCCCGATCGTACTAGCGTCCAGCCTAGCTCGTTCGTCTCGAACCATTCGCCCGCATGTTGAGAACAGTCTCTCGACATCAGCAGACATAGGAAGGACAGAAAGCACATCGAGAGCCATTTGCGACAGACGTGGATACTCTTCCCGCCTCTCATACCAATAGCTAATAGGATCTAGGACATTCTGGTCAGACTTATGGACGTCGCGGAACCAATCGCTGTATTCGTCGCCAACAGAATGAGCTGAACCGCCGCCCACGTCCTCAGCTTGCAACAGGGGAGTCGTCGATGAAGGTAGCTGTAATAGAGTCGGGGCAAGACGGGATTCTCCACGATACTCATCAAAAGGATTCCGATATATGCGCCGCTTCTTCATGACTGGCTCGCCGCGGTCTTGATCCCGCGAGATAGTTCGCCACTCGTAGTGAGACCGGTATAGTCCCTCTACAACGGATTTTGCAGTCTGGATCCAGTCCGGGCGATCCGCCCAGACGTCCTCGAAATATCCCCAACGGTACGCCGGGTGAAGTGTAATGGCGGCGTAATAGACCGGCGTCTCGTCAAGCCGCGAGTAGTACCTGTCAAGCTTCTTCCAACAGAGGTTAATATTAACCTTGAAGTGTTCAGGGTCGGGATATCGATGAGCGGTAGCCTTGTATATCTCCATTTTACCAAGGAGGTATTCGTAGCCAAGCAGGATATCCCATGGACACCCATACGCTTCGATGTATCCTTCTTTCCGCTTGCGCTGCTGACCATCGCCTTCGAGAGTAATCAGGACGTGCTCGAAGTGTTGCAGGACCTCGTTAAATAAGGAGATAATAGCCCAGTCTTTCTCTCCGAGTTTGTTCTCGTCCCTGAGGCAAAGTGGCACGTCGCTGTTTGACTTCTTTCCCCTCAATACCAGCCCCTCCCACTCGCTTTTCTGTTCGTACCAAAGATCCTGGAGGAAGTCCTTTAGGAGAAGGGCACGCCGAATCATATAAAGAGTGGATAGCCAACGGGTGACCACATCGGTGATAACATCCAGAGGTTTCTTCGCTCGAGTCGCCGGATCATCAGACTTGCTATACGCGGTAAGCTGAAGAAATCGAAGGTGACTGGTCAGAGTGTCTGAACGGTGGATCCAGAAGACGAGGTTATGGAGTTTCCCAACCGGTCCTTTTCGTCTCCATAGCTCGTGGAGTTTCGCGTCAGGTGCCTCGTTCCCTTGAATATCGTCCTCGAAAGCCTCGGAATCATGGCCAAAGAGAAGTGCTTTGACGGCAAGATTGAGGATGTGGCCAAAGCAGCGTAATCGCCGAGTTTTACCCTCAAAACCAAGCGCCTTCCCAATTTCTTCCATCGCCGTATCGTTATTCTTAGCGTTGTCGAGTGTGAAATATCCCACCTTATGAGCTATGTCATAGCTTCGAAGGACCTCGACAACATGGGCGGCGATATTGTCGCCAGAATGGCGGTCGACCAGCTCAGGAAGGCCGAGCACGAGTTTTCCCGGCTGGCCAAGGGTGTTGAGAAAATAGCAACAGATTCCATACAAAGCGTGGCGATTATTGGACCTCCAGCCATCGAATGCAATATGAATTGACCCCGGGGCTGCCGCTAATACTCGCTTGATCTCCGCCTTGTTTCCCCGTACACCTGAAGAATCCGCCTGCGGACTGTATCGTGCGTAATATGCGCTTCGGTTGTCTTTACGAGTGGATTGAGATACTCGAAAGCGGCACGGAGGTATGGATCTTCAGTTTGTCGGAAAGAAGAGTTGCTGTTGATGATCCATGAGACAACCAAACGCTGGAACACTAGCCGATCAAAGCGGCCAATGATCTGGTTTGCGATCTGCTGCTCTCGCACGTCATGAGTATCCAGCTTCATCATCTCGGCTATATTCCTCGATGGTGTCTTCTCCTTTGCTTTGCTGGGCGGTCTCCGCTTTCCGGAAGGGTCATAGACCTTGTGGTCATTCCAGAGATGGATCTCCGCGTTCTGCGTACCGCTTGAGGCTGTCGAATGAGGGTTGGGCTTGCGACTGTCAACACAGACCTTGCAAACCCATCGCCGTTTTGTATCATCGTCGCTCTTCTCAATATCGTAGCCGAATTGCCATATCCATGATGATGTGGACGCGCAGCGTTGATATTGCGTGTATCCGGGAAAATCTTTCCAAGGGAAGAGGTCCCACGAGTCCTTCCGACTCTCCTGATCTGGCGACTTGAGAGCCATAGAGCTGATAACCGGCGTCTTAGCCATCCTACGCGGTACTCATCGAGAATGGACTCGTCTAGACGCGTTCGACGCGACACCTTTGACGCGAAATGTCCAAGACCCATAGCTGTTCTATTCTATTTAAAGATACCTTTATTTGTATATGGAAATGACCGTATTATAGGTACCTGAGATCTCGGCCAACCATGACCAAGCTTGTTTCCACCTGAATTGCAGGGGTATTGAGGGGCCAGACCAGGACCACCCCTACCCTTTCACACCCCTGCTTCCATTTCCACGCATCCACTCCACGGAGCCCTCGCGTGGATGGATGGATTATGTAACGGGCAGGTCCGTGGAATGGATGGAAATGGATGCACGGACCATCCATTTCCACGGCGTGGACGCGTGGACCGTGGACGTGGAATGGATCGCCAGCCTGCGTGACACAACTGACTACTTGCTTATCTATTATGGAGAGTGAGACTCTTGCAATCTGTGTACTACTTGATACTCCTTATTGATCAATACTTGCTTCAGCGGCATACTGCCTTCAACGCTCACCCACCCAAACCTACACAGTCCTAGGCCGGGCCTAGCTTAGTGGAGTCCCGGTTCTAGATTGTAAAACATCTCACTCACTACTCTTTGTACTATACACCTTCTATAATACAAGTCCTCTTTGTCTTCTTTAGCACCTGTCACGACCAGGGCAAGGCATTGAGGTGAATTCAGTCCATTGTGTGCTATCGACGAAGATTCTAAACTGAGGAAGGAAAGAAGGAAAAGTCCAACAACGCGTCGCGTGCTCGCGAATAAGTTTTCATCTATCAGTGGGGTAGGTGGGGCCTCGAGGCGGCTTCTGATAGGCCCGGGGTTCTGGGCGGCTCTGGCTGCTTGAGGGCCAGTTTGGTGGACGGGTCCTCACAGCACCCTCCGTTACTCCCGAAGACCTTAGCTGCAGGGCAGAGTTTCCTACAGCCTATGAGGTAGACTACTGAGTAGAGTTCTCATAGTCTAAGTGGTAGGCCTGTAGTAGAGTCCTATAGACCTGTGGCAGTCAGCTTGCTTCCCTTAGTACCTTATATAGGCTACTGTTATACTAGATGTAAGGAGAAGCACCCACACAGGTGCGCGCACATGCACAACACACGCGCGCACACCACCTGTTGCCAACTGGCATAGTATTACAAACCACTCGACTGTTAGGGTCGTCTGTCTGTAAGGGAGCACGGGCTCCACAGAATGCTGGGGTTGGTAATTATGAAGATAGAACAAAGGGCAAGCTCCTATCGCACGGGTAATACAGTCAAATCGGAATGCCACTCAAAGTGTATGAGTGCAGTGAATGTGTATTGCTTGCTTGGAGGACCAAGCAAGAACTATCTAAGACCGTGGATACGGTCATCGTATTTATTTAATTATGGCGGGCCAGTAAGAGCACAGCTCTTACTTGCCCGGCAGGAAGGAGCTGCCTGGCGCCGGGCACCGCTAGCGTGCCGGGCCATTTGCCTGGTGCCAAGACCCTTCTTGGCACCGGGCCACCTCTGATTGGCCGTCCTTCCGTTTGCCTGGTGCCAAGAGCCCTCTTGGCACCGGGCACCGTCTGATTGGCTCTCGACGAGCGGGGCCCCCAGTCTTGCCTGAGGCGCCTGCCTCCTGCAGCTGGTCCAGTACGAACCAGGTTCGTCACACATAGTCAATGCCAGCCGGCCGGGATCTCGGCGCCACACCGGCAGGGAACCCAGCGCCACACTGTGGCACCCAGAGCGTGGCACTACGGAACCACACACTCTGTATATAAGTAGCGGCCCTCGCCCACCTTCCTTTGCGAGGGCCAGGTTGAAGTCTTTCTCTAATACCACTCGTTGCTCGCTCTCTTCGCTGCCTCCATTGTGACCACCTTGATCAGGCGTACCTGCCTTCTCTTATATATGCCGACTTAGTTCTATTTTGTTGGAGATAATAACTCTTTGTTACGATCCTGGTCCAAGACTGCAGGAGGCGCTGGAAGCCAATTGCCAATTGGGCCGCATAAGTGGGCGGTCGGGCCCCGCAAGTGTTCGACACAGCCAATCAGGAGGCGCTCGGTGCGACTGGTCTGCCAAGACCAGGCGAGCGCACCGAGCAGGGCGCTCGGTAGTCTCTGAGACGCTCGGTGTACCAAGCGTTAGGAGGAGCACTGAGCACGCAAAGGAAGAGTCCTGATTGGTTACCTGAATTAGATATATACGATGACCGTAGCCACGGTCTTAGACAGTTCTTGCTTGGTTCTTCAAGCAAGCAATACACATTCGCTGCACTCATACACTTTGAGTGGCATTCCGATTTGACTGTATTACCCGTGCGATAGGAGCTTGCCCTTTGTTCTATCTTCATAATTACCAACCCCAGCATTCTGTGGAGCCCATGCTCCCTTACAGACAGACGACCCTAACAGTCGAGTGGTTTGTAATAGAAACGGATGCGCCGTGAGACGCCACACTCTTATTTGGTGCACTTCTAGAGCCCATTTTCGGGCCCCCAGCGATCACCCAGTCAACTCTTATTGAAGTTATTCTATACTTAATTACGAAATATAGAGTAGACAATATATATTTCAAATTAGAGAGAGATGTTATTCATTTATCTACCTACCTACCTAGTATACGTGAGTTGTGAGTTGTTGTAAGGAAACCACCCGCGTAACCACCATGGCCACCGCCACCAGGGCCACCCTCGCCACCATCGACACTATCGCCACCGCTAACAGGGCCACGCACTATCGCCACTACCACCCTGGCCACGCAAGGATGACTCGTAACCCCTTTTACGTGTATATAGACTATGGCCTTCGCACACCTCTTTAGCTCAGGCCAGGTTGAAGTCTTACGCCAATACCAGTCATTGCTCGCCCTGCTTGTTGCTCCTATTGTGACCACCTTGATCAGGCGTACCTGCCTTCTCTTACAGTTGTGGATAGGTAGGTTGTTGTCACGACCAGGGCAAGGCATTGAGGTGAACTCAGTCCATTGGGTGCTATCGACGAAGATTCTAAACTGAGGAGGGAAAGAAGGAAAAGTCCGACAACGCGTCGCGTGCTCGCGAATAAGTTTGCATCTATCAGTGGGGTAGGTGGGGCCTCGAGGAGGCTTCTGATAGGCCCGTGGGTTCTGGGCGGCTCTGGCTGCTTCAGGGCCAGTTTGGTGGACGGGTCCTCACAGTTGTTGTGGATGGGTAATAGTGACTTGATTGGGTGTATCCGATTAATAGTGGGTCTAAGGCTCCGGGATAAAAAAAAGTCGCTCACTCCAATAACTAAGATGGCGGTTAGAAGCCTTGTCTCTGGGGCTCAAAGTGGCCGAAAATGAGGGTATATAGGAGTCGAAAACGGAGCTCGGGAAGTGCACAGAATAAATGATTTAGTTTTTATTATATCATAAAGGAGTCAGGTGACCAGCTTTTAGACCAACCCCCTTTTAGACCACGCACTAAAATCGCCACCCCACCACATCATGAAACTTGTCACGACCAGGGCAAGGCATTGAGGTCAACTCAGTCCATTGGGTGCTATCGACGAAGATTCTAAGCTGAGGAGGGAAAGAAGGAAAAGTCCGACAACGCGTCGCGTGCTCGCGAATAAGTTTGCATCTATCAGTGGGGTAGGTGGGGCCTCGAGGAGGCTTCTGATAGGCCCGTGGGTTCTGGGCGGCTCTGGCTGCTTCAGGGCCAGTTTGGTGGACGGGTCCTCACAAAACTCAATTGCTCACAGCTTCGTCAATTAGATAGCTACGTTAATACAGCTTGCAGTGTCAGATTCCTCTTCTTCTGAAATTTCAGAATCCATAACATTCTCCCCAGCAGCTAATCTTTGTACGCGGCGGATCTCCTCAATACCAGCAAAGGCCTTATTGGGGTCGATTTCCACCCTCCTTCTCTTCCGGCCTCTCGCACATTCGAGGTCTTCCTAGGCCACTTGCAATTGTTGTTGAATGGTAGCCAATTGGAAGGCCATGTTATCGAATCCTTTGTAGGCTTTCCGCATAAAAAGCCGTTCGCTGGCAGTACGTTTAGTACTACGTAAAAAACGCTCCCCCTAAGCCGAGAAATCCTTGGCCTTTTTAGAGGTAAACCACAAAGGCCGGCCCTACGAATTCTTGCCCAGAATGGGGTTATTGAACGACTCAAGGCCTGCAGAAGGTGTGGGGGCTACCGTACTAATGCAGCCATTGGAATTCTTAATAACGAGGCTGTTGCTTAGGTGCTTCCTTAGGGAGACTGGCCACAACACTGAGGCCTTCCAACCAGCCTTGATATTTGACTCGGTCATTCCGTAGATTCTGGCGCGCCTATAGCATTCTAAAAAGGCTCGTTTTGCAGCGACAGAGTCGCTGGTTAGGCCAGAAAGCAAGTCATTCAGCTATACCCTATACTTAGCCTTCAGCGGGCCGAAAACGGCTACATCCACGGGCTGGAGAACGTGAGAGGTGTGGGCTGGCAGAAATAATAACTGTACGTTGTTGGTAAAAGCCAGCCACATAAATTCCTCAGTGGTATGACTGCCGTGGCCATCCAAAATAAGGAGGCGTTTCTCCTTGGGGTTGGCCGGCCGAGTGGCCGGAAGAAAGACTTCGCGGAACCATTCGACGGCAGTGTCATCGTCAGTCCACCCGTTTTTGGTCGGTTTGAAGGCCCAACCTTTGAATGGGGTCAAATCGCGTGGGTACCACTGCTGCTGGAGGCTCCCACCCTTGAAAATAACTAGTGAGTTCAAAAACCGGCCGTCGGCCGAAACGCACTCTAGAATGGTCGTGTGAGGGCCTGGTCCTCCAGGCCTCCCAGACGCTCTGACTAATCAGACGCCAGTTGGGTGGATCCACCCGACCAGCCAGAGCCCCACCTTGAGACGTCCTGGAAGAATCTCGCGAGGGGAGGCTTTTGAGCTTCTTTTCCCTTTTCCCTTTAGTTTAGAATCTTCGTCTATAGCGCCCAATAGAGGAGTTCCGCCCTCATTCCAAGCCGGCCGTGACAGGTCGTCCAAATTCGGTCTCCAGACTTCCTATTTTGTAAAAGCTTTCTAGATTTGGAGCCTACAATCAGACCGTTATCTCCAATGCCATTAGCTATGCCAGTTTCGTCCATATTGTACCTGTTCTCCGGCAGAATGGCCTTAACCCCTAGAAACTCCAGGGAGTCAAACCAGGGCCGAATAACGGCCTCGCAGGCTCGGTCAGCACGGTTTGCGTGGATTCTCTGTGGTCTCTTGGTAGAAATGGAAGGATTTCGGTTCAAAAAGCGGCGGCACCAGTGCTTTCCAAGGTGGGCTGGCTCTCCAGAGGCGGCGAGTATTCTGGTACCCAATTTCCGTATTTGCCTGTGGGTTGGGGGGTTGCCAATGACCCCCTGGAAGAGAACCCATTCTGCGAGACGTTCTTCCAGTGCCGGAGAAAGCTTCTGATTGATTATTTGGGAGTAGGTCGCTGGATTACTACCTTTAGATCGATAATATAAAGTATTATGGGGGATGCCGTGGTTTTTAGCCGCATCGCGGAGTTTGCCAGTTTTAGCATACTCCGCAAGGGCGTTCTGCAAATCAAACTGCGTACTTGGCTTAATTTGAAAATTCTCAAGCTATTGAAAAAGAAAGGAAACGGATTGGAATCAAATTCGTGAAGTTGTGGGCGATTGAAATAGAAGAGTTGGGTGGCAAGGGTTAGTCATCCTTCTAGAACCTTGTGGTCTAAAAAGGGGTTGGTCTAAAAGCTGGTCACCTGACTTAACGCCTGAACGTTACCCTTACCCCCTCCATATCAAATAACTGGACAAACATCAGTGCTGAACATGACGAAGATAATGACTAAGCCGATAAGCCATGGAAGCATCCCAGCCGTTTTCCGCATTAGCATCCGACTCCAGCTCTTTTCGACGATAGATTCCATTGGCCACATCCACCACGGGTTCGTTGGGTCGTCGTCGTATATGCAGTTAACGCAGTAAGCGGGAAGGTCGCGATCGAACATCTGATTAATATCGCCGGAAGGGTTTTCAGTCATAGCGGCGAAGATATGCTGCTTCTTCAATGACTGTAGGCGAAAGCTTGATAGTATCTCAATCGTACTCCCATGAAAGGTGATAGTCCCGGTCCAGCGGGACTTTGCGGCAGGTTTGTTGGGAAACTCGCGAATGCGCCAAAGCCGAGTGAACTGGTAATCCCCTTCTTTGGGGCCACATCTAAGCAAAGATTGCTCATGGACCAAATTTCGTGTGGTCCACCATAACCCCTTTCGTATATATCCCGGCCCGTCGGCAAAGTCGAACGAGAACATGACATACCAAGGGGCTTTTTGTGGTGATATTGGTGAGAATCTGTCCAAGGCACTGAGCGGCGACACCATACAGATCTTGAGGGTATATTTTTCGTCGCCATCTGGCCGACAGCTATGGTGGTCCATAGATATTGGGAGGGAGGCGCGATAGAAGGTGATGGTGAGTTGCGGTCTTGTTGGAGATTCGCAGGTGACGAAATGGATAAAATTGGCAGGGGGGCGCCGTAATAAATACATTTTGATCAGCAAGGTTCAGTGAATCCCGTCCCTATGCGCATGCAGGTGTGGCGCAACCTTATCGACGTTGTGCCGAAAGAGCTGGGTGGACTGTCAGAGGTCGACATTATGGAACTTGCCTAGGTTAGCTCTAGGATCCAAAGTGCTAACCTTATTTGCGCCAGTTGTAGCCAGATCCGAGAACCTTTCGTGTTTGACTTGTGCTTCGTGCTTCCGCTGGGTATTGACTGTTTTTCGTGACCAACTTTAATCTATATGTCACATATCCCCCAGCTTGTCAAGTCTACTAAATCCGAACGACGAGGGTAGCCAGCTAGATCGTAACGCCCTCTTAGCTGGTCGGATAATGATTTTATATTTATCATTACGAACACTTGTAAATAACCCGGGTTTAGCAGATAACAGGTTTGCAGTTCCATTGTTCGGATCCCGAAACCGACTGACACGCACTTGAGTCGTCAGCCGGTTGCCACCAATCCGCCCTTGCCTCCCTTCTGCCGGCGGCATTTTCCTTCTCTCTCGCTATTAAAAAGCCCGCCGTTTTCTTCTCTTTATTCTTTCGAAACCTGCTAGTTCCACCCTCAGCATAGTTCATATCTAATTCCACCACGGCTGACACTACCACCACGGCCGAAACTACCACCACCCACGTCTTCATCACTGGCGTGAGCTGCGGCCTGGGCCGCGCCATCGCAAAGTCCTACCTCGCCCGCCCAAACCATGTCGTAATCGGCAGCGTTCGGGACCTCTCCTCACCCTCGGCCACGTCCCTGCACTCCACAGCAGCCAAGGGCGCGGGCTCGCGGCTAGTGCTAGTCGAGATCGAAGCGACGTCGGCGGCGGACCACACCGCGGCGATGAAGCAAATTAGGACCGAGGAAGTCATCGACCGGCTGGACAAGATGGTGATCACCGCACGGGCGAGCCGACGACGGTGGTGGGCGCGGACGCAGCGGTTCTGCGGCGCGTGTACGACGTCAACGCGGTCAGGCCAGTGCTGCTAGTGCATGCTTTTCGTGAGTGTTAGGATGTGTGTGTGCTGACGAAGTATTCTGGTGCAGTTTGACAACGCGGCCAAGGAGGAAGACTCGGGCAAGTTCTTCAACCATGACCAGGCCATTATTCCCTGGTGAGGCGGCAGTCAGATCAAATTCTGGCGAGATGGGTGAACGGAGCAGATCAGTAGAAGAATAGAGTATTGTATCGCAGTTGGTTCGTTGCTCGTTTTGACGGTCTTTTAACTATATATGCTTTAGTCGTGACAATAGGGGTAGGAGGGCGCGCACGGTTCCCTTTTTCCCTTCCGCCCCCCTTTAACAGCTTGACTCATGTGAAGTTGTGAACCGAACAGCAGACATAAGAGAAACAGGAAAAACAAATAAAAAACATGGCGGGCTGTGAATTCCATGCTGCAACCACACACCGGTGACAGACTCAAAAACAAACAATCCTAGGCCGCCAGTTGCTGAGACTGCGCGACCAAAGCAATAAATACGACTAGTACGGCAGCTTACGTGGCCGTCGCCGAGAGCACCGCGACCTCGTCCGCGAGCTTGGACGACATGAGGATACCAAAGACTGACACGAACAGGGTCGTCGACCACAGCGCAACAACAGTACTATTAACCTGAATCATGAGCCACATGGGGCCGACGAGGAACGCGGCGCGACGGTGGCGACGACGACGCGCGACGCGAAGCCCCTCCACCAATTGCCGCCACGCGGCGGGACCAGTGGCCGGTAAGGACGCGTTCCAGGTGTTAGTCTATGCTTCTCAAGACAGCTAAACAGAGCAGGGTGAGGGTTATTGATTCGCCCACCAAAGTGACGCATGTCCGTGTCCAGCTCCTCCCAGCCATCGGGCTCGGTTCCTTCCGAGAGCCGCCTCGCGTGCTGGGTCAAGTTGATCTGGAGCCGCTGGATGCGCATGCGCTGCATCTCCACGATGCGGACCCGGTACGTTGAGCCGGGAGGCGGGTCCGGGTCGCCCGGCCGCGGATCGGGCGTGCCGGCGCCAGTACGCGGTCGAACAGATTGCGCTGGAACATGCCCGTGATCCATCTCGTCGGGTGCTCGAAGTCGAGGACTTTCATCCTGGCTTCGTTGGCGTTGCTCATCTTGCTGTGCTTGCTTAATCGTTGCTGTGCTCGCTTACGCCGTGAAGGAGTAAGGTGTTAGGAGGGAGACTGAGGCAGCCTGCCCGCAATGGCTGTCATATATTTGGTGTTGCCTGACTGTGCACGATCTGGTGCGTTGTTTTGCAACGACGCCTTCTCGTTTACCCTACGTGTCACATCCAACGCTGCATCAATTGAGGGCGAAAAGGTGCTTGTATTCGGAAGAAAAGGAAAGGTGGGCATCGCCGAGATACCGTAGCTATGCGGCATTCGGCTTACATAACTAGGCCGTATGTGGCCTAGCATATACGCCACCTGCCCCCACATGTGACTTAGATGCGGCTTCTTCCGACACTACGTATCCTCTCTTCTGACGCCTTTCCACACCGCACCCAAAACCGCTCGCACACAGGCAAGCGGTTGCCAAAAAAACCAGCACACCAGACCCCGCACAGTACTTCCACTACCATAGAAATTCCTACCTACAAGCAAGTCACCACAGGGCCTTCTACCACCCAGTCATCTAACCCTAGCCGGCTAACACATCTTCCATCCGCACTACCATAGAATCCACCATCTTATTGATGCTCTCCTGACTTACACGCTCCCAGCCTTCCAAAATCAGTGCCTTCAAGTCAGCTCCTATAGTATAGTGTGCACGTACGAATTGTTTTACTGCACGCCAACAGTTTTCTATGGGCGAAAGGTCTGGTGAGCCAGGCGTATTAAAATAGTGCTTGAGCTAGTGTTCTTCTTTCCACTGCCTTACAATATTAGGCTTCTTTCCTCCACCATGGCCAGAATCCCCATCTTCTTCTAGAACAAAAGAATCCCCACGTGCCAGCCAAGGACCTACCACTTCTTCCAAGATATCGCGATATACAGCCAAGGACATCTTTCCGTTGGTGTTGGTAGGAACACTATAGAAGTGAAGTGGTGACTTGAAGTTCCAGCCAACAGCAGCCCAAACATGGTATCGTTCAATACCTTTAGAAGGTTCTTCAGCATGATGGATACAGTCAGGGCAGTAACGCTCTCCAGGCTTCCGTATAATCTGGACCTTCCCTTCAGGGCATATACCAAAGTGAGATTCATCTGACAATCTTATATCGCGCCAGTTCTCAGTCAAAGGGCGATAGGAAAGTGAAAGCTTGGCTGCTTCTATCCTTTGCTTGGCGTACGCTGGCGAGACAAAGCCCTTCTCGCAAGCAATACACTTCCGGTAGTCTAGTGTACCCATTGCCCTCTCGATCGTGCGTGTAGAAACTGGCGTCAAGATGCCGGCGGCTTTGGCAAGGCCTTGCCAGCTTAGTGCCCGGGCTTGGAAACCGGATTGCTAGATAGTGCTTTCTATTGCTAGCAAATTGGCTGGCGTAAGCACCGGCTTCCGGCCCCTGGATCCACCTCTGGGTGCCGCCGTTCGCGCGCGTTGTGCAGGATCTGCCAGCCTGACCGGCGGCTTATACCGAAAGAGCTGAAAACATCGTTCTTATAGTGTGAAATCTTATGGCCTTCCAGAAAGCGAATGGCGCCAAGAACTTGTGCCTTGATAGGCGTAGTAAAGTGCGTATCACCAAGAGCTATGGAAGTGGTGGAAGTGGTAGAAGTGGTGGAAGTGGTAGAAGTAGTGGAAATGGTAGAACTGGCGGTGTGGTGCGTGGTGTGATGGAAAAGTGTAGAATTGTTAGGGGGCTTGTTAGTGCAGTGGGTCACGTGGCAGGCTTTGGTGTGCGGGTTTTTCTGGCAACCGGTTGACAGGCTAACCGGGGCATCACCACCCACTCCCCTCGACACACAACCACCTCGCCAGATGGCTTCCTTCGACCTCAGGAAAGCCCACGTCTGTATCTGTCTAATTACCTACCTGCCTAGATAGCGTTTCAGGCGACTTTGCAAGTTCCTTTCATAATCACTAATTAGCATGCCAAGGACTCAATACAAGCGGGCTTGAATCTGAGAAAGATCCACCAACACGCTGGTCTCATCCTGACCTTGAACTCCCAATCTCGACATACCCCCTAATTAACCCGTCTCCCAAACACTCGGGTCCGCAAACACGCCCCTGGCCATAGCCCTCTCTCGCAGCTGTCGATAGTTGGCCACGAACGCGTCCGAGTGGCCGTCCATCAGCGGCACGCCGCGCGCGCGCGCATCGCGGTTGACCCAGTCGACCAGGCCAGCCACGTACCGCAGCTCGGCGCCCTCGCCCAGGTAGCTATGGAAGTGTCTCCCCAGGCCTCTCTCCCGCACCCTCGCCTGGTGCTCGGCACGCATCTTCTCTCTCGCGGGCAGGCCCGCCTGCCCGCTGAACACGCGCGCCACGACCTGGGCCTGGAAGTCGAGCGTCGGGATCACGGACAGATGGAACGGCACGGCCAGGAACGCCAGCGTCGGGTCGGGCACGTAGAAGATATCCCTGTACAGATTGTGCGACATGGCGCCGTCGCCCGTCACCACGAGCTCCTCGCCGGCCCCGTCCAGCCCCGCCGTGTCCGAGTGCAGCTGCGCCAGGTACGGATACGCCGTCATGTACCCCGTCGCGAGCACCACGCTGTCCATGTCGTCGAGAATCCGGCCGTCCAGCAGCTCAACGCCGCCGGGGACATGACTCTCATCAGCCAGGCCCGCCACCCCGCTGCCAGCGACAGCCTGCTCGTGGACGATAAACCGCTTAACACCGACCACGCGCTCGGCATGCGGCGGCAGCAGGGCCGGCGCGGTATCGAACCGACCACCCCTTGCGCTCTGGTACGTCCGCGCGGCGACGCCGTCCAGCTCGCGCGCAATGTCCCCCGCCGACACGCCCGCGCCGACCAGCAGCACGTTGCGGCCGCGGAAGGGCTCCGGGGAGCGGTACTGCTTAGCGTGCGCCACGCGCGCGGGAAACCGCGCCTTCCACTCCGCCAGCCCGGGGATGCGCGGTACCCGCGCCGCCAGGTAGTGGCCCGACGCGGCGACCACTGCGTCGAACGTCCACTGCCGCTCGGCCCATCGCGCTGTGTCGCCGCCGCCGTCGCCGTCCAGGGTGAGTGTGAGCGTGCGCAGCGACCACTGCCCGCCGTCCGGGTTCTTGGTGGCCGCTTCGACGCGCGTGCGGTGCAGGACGAGCGCCTCGACGCCCGTCTCGCGCGACACCTGGCGGATGTACTCGAGAACGGTCGCGCAGCTAGCGATCTCGGGCGTGTCGGCTGGGTAGGCTGCCAGGCTCGTGGCCATCAGGCTAGTCGGGATGTTGGTCCTGAGCCCGGCGTACGCCGCGCTAGGCGGGGCGTGCGAGAGCTCAGCCGTTCCTGTGTCTTGCGTGTGGCTGTGGTGCTGTCCCGGGGCGGACGGCGTGTAGTCCCCGGCCGACGGGCGCTCGTTTGGGTACGGCGGGTTGAGGGGCGGCCGAGCGTCGTAGCTCCATACGCCTCCTGACGCGGCTGACCGCTCGAACACCGTCACCGAGAGGCCGGCGCGCATCAGGTGGGCTGCTGCCGAGATTCCGCTGATCCCGGCGCCGACCACGGCGACGGTCCGGATGGGTTTCAGGGGAAACTCCCCTGGCTTGTCTGGTGTTGTCATACTGTGCGGAGTTGTAATTCCAGGATACCCTAGTTTGAGGTGATTCTCCGCAATAGAGGTCAAGGGAACGAATAACCCGAAATCATCTCTTAGTCGGCCAGAGAGCAGCCCCTTTTTGTGACTTCTCACCCAACGAGGACGGGGCAGTGGATGCCCCGGGCCCATGTTAACAACAAGGGTCGACCGAGGTGGTGGGGGGCTCACTCAGACCCGGCGAAGACAGGAACCAGCGGCGCTTGGCCCCTTTTTGCGCAGCTTATGCAGCTTATTGCAGAACCTGAGCTCATTTGGAATGCTGGACCCGAATGCTTTCCACCCTCTCGTGCCATTGGCTCCCGGACGCTTACTCTCCGCCCGATCTAACCTCTTCTTGGTCACAACCGCGATTCTCCGGGGTTGTGGTTAGAAATCCGCTTCCCCGAACGGAATCAAATCCCTCGGAGCCGTTCCAAATCATCTAGGGCCATTATGAAACTCAGTCAATTATGACTACTTTCTCGGCAGTAACAATAATCACGCCGTGGCGGGCCATGATTACGAAGACCTTCCGGGCTCGAAAGTCTGGGAGTCACATAGGTGATTAATTAACCATAAGAATGATGACAGCAATGCCTGCGACCAGCGCAAATCAGTCAAATCAGCCATTTCCGAGGCCAGTTTCAGATGCCTGGCCTTCGATGTGACAGGGCGTTTCTCAATTACCTTTTGTTGCCATCTGAACCAGCGCGGGAACGTTCAGCTACAGTGTGTGCATCTTGGCCAACTAGCTTGGGCATGAATCGAGGGCAAAAAATAAGAGGCCATTGAAGCCGGCATCGGCAGAATCCTACAGCAACACACTGGGATTTTGCAGTGTCCGACATGCATTCGAAAGGCATGGGACCGAAATTCGACAGCGCCGGTATCCGCCTGCTGCAGAGATGCCCGGATACGGATGTCGTCCAAATTGTTGGGACAGGGGGACCAGACCAGTGGTTCCTCAAACTTTCCATCTTGCCATGTGCTTAAAACACGCTTCGTTTTCGTGCGTTGGCGGTTAGAGATGCTGTTTCATGGTGGCCATGCATCGCAGGCTCGCCTTATCCATATCACGAGGCGGCTAGTGTCACTGGTAAGCTTCCATCTGAGGGGATATCATCTAATTGGGCAACGCTCCGGGCCCAAAATACAGCATAGAAGTTAGTCTGCAATTGTAAAGAAATCGGGTCTCTGTTTTTATGAAAATGAAAAAAAGGAAAGGTAATATAGTTTTTCGTTTGTTGTGTTGAGGTTACTACAATGTTTGTCTTACCAGTTGACTCTTACCAGTTGACTCCTTCCCGTTTGCCATGAAACACTGGTTAAGAGATATATCGTCACCGGTTCTACTGACAGCGGTTTATCGTACCATATTGGGTCGATATATGTCACCCCAAGCTGATGCCGAACTTGCAACCTCTCTTGCCGGGAGTTCCACCTGGGGTCAAACAACCACGACAGCCTTTATTTGGATGACCGATAAACTATATAATTATTCGAGCAGGCTCTTCGGTAGCCCTGTAATTTCAATGCAACGGCACCGACACCGAGGGAAACAGCAGCGAATACAACAAGACATCGAGCCCAGACGGCTTGTGCCCTCCACAAGTCTTTCTCAAGACCACATCTTCCCACCCAACACCTACGCTATAGCCTCCTTCAAAAGACAGCTAAATATCGAGCACCATGGGGAGATTGATTCTGTGGAAATGCTGCAAATGCTGCAAAACAGAGATCGACATTGGGACCGACAAATGCCCCGACTGCGGCCATGAAATCTGCTAGAGCCTAGATGGCACAGAAGGAGGTTGCACTATGGTCGAACCAAGTTAACATGCCGACACAACCTCGCACTCCACACGCTTGCGGCTCCGAGCCGTTGCCCTGTATCGCCTCGTCTGTCGCATCAGCCAATATTTGGTGCTGCATCACACAAAGACCGGGGTTGGAATGCGGTCGTCAGTTGGACAGTTGGGGCGGAGACTGAGACCTCAGCATCTATCTACCCACGTTTCTGGTAGACTTTTGAAAACGGTTACTCGACAGGACATATACCGCATGGTAATCTCGTCTTTAGCAGACTTTGTTAGTTTACGGGACATGTTAGGCGCGACTAGCCCCCCCCCCCCCCCATGTTAAATGTCTATTTCGGAGCACATTGTCACAGATCTCGAGATATTTCGGGGTGCTCAACTGCATGGAGAATGGAAAGGCATACCAGACTGGTGGTACTGTTGAATGGATTAGACTATTAGAGCGGGTTACCCAGAACCCTGTACGAAGCCTATTGGACCTATGACAGTCGTACTCAATCCTTCAGTACTACCAAACCTCTGTCGCCGAAACTGAGTTTGGTGTCCCGTTGCTCGACTACCTATCTACCTTGTTTGTATCCCCATGTCAGTGTCCGTTCGCAATCCGGTCCGTAGATCATTAGTGACAGGATTCAAATCTTACGTCATTTCCTGCCTGTAAGTAATGGAAACTTTCTAGGTCAAACCCTAAGGCAACGAGGTCTTTAACATCCTAGTCGCTCGGAAAGGTCTTGCGCTAATAAACATTTAGGGATCCTCGAGAGCTTCTTCTCCATAAAAATGGACAAAGGCGGATTGACTAATGACGTGTGTCCGAGGTAATCTTAATTGTGGTTTGGCTATCCACATACCGATTGCATGTGATCGCGTAGATTTGAGACGGTTCGCGTGGTAGTTTGGTACGTATAACTGACGGAGCCGAGTACCGAATCGTAAGCGAATCAATGGCCGTTCTTCAACACATCCCCACAATTACTCCTAGCAAGACTCTTATCGATAAACAAGGTACGAATTGACACCCGTGAGCCCCTCCTTGATGCATGGAAGTGGAGCTGCGATGGCAAGGTACCTAGGGAAACTCGCGCTCGAACCGAGTTTAAGGTTCTCCACAGAATTTCTTTCAACTCTTCTGATGCGCGATGGAGTCGCTCGCCTGCGACGTCTTGCTGACAGGTCATCAATCGGCCTCTTGACTTGCCATATCACGAAACCCAACAACACCGGAGGCACAGTTCAACCCGACTTCTCGGCCTAGTCGCGCCCTCACGCCTCGCTTCTGTAGGGCCAATTCGCGTGTCTCAGCCCCGCACTCCGCTGTTCCCCGCTAACAGCCAAGTTGCAGGAAAAGAAGCAAAGAAATTTCGACATTTTTCCTTGGTCTGGTCGCCTGACAGGCCCGGGCCCCGATCTTTCTCCCGCAATGTCCGCCGAGATGGCAAACGAGATCAAGCTGATCAGCGGCCGCAGCCACCCCGACCTCAGTGAAAAGATCGCGAAGCGGTACGTCGCGAGAAACAAAGAACCCCCGAATCCCCTCGTCCTCCCGACTCCCTCGTGTCCCCAGTCCAGTCCTTGCTGACGCGCGCGCTCTGTCCCGACAGGTTGGGCATCGAAGTGGCCAGGACCATATCCCTCAACTACTCGAACCAGGAGACGTCCTTCACCGTCGGCGAGTCGGTCCGCGACGAGGATGTCTTCGTCATGCAGTCGACCGCCACAGGCGACGTCAACGAGGGACTGATGGAGCTGTTAATCATAATCTCTGCTTGCAGAACCGCAAGGTGGGACAATTCGCACACTCCTGGTTTGGGCGGTGGCTGACTTGGTTGCAACAGTGCTAGGAGAATAACGGCAGTCATGTAAGAGCTTCTCCCTTGTCGCATCGAGGGGTTTTTGGGCCGTTCGTTGGGCGCCGCTGCTGTCGACTAGCGATTCGACTGAATACATGCCGAGAACGGTGCTGACCGTCGCAGCCCCAACTTCCCTTACGCTCGCCAGGACAAGAAGGACAAGGTACGGACGGCTGGACAGTATGTGGCTATCTAGCGGGACCAGTATGCTAATCAGCACTGCAGTCGCGAGCTCCCATCAGCGCGAGACTGGTCGCGAACATGCTACAAACGGCCGGTGCCAACCGTATGCTCGCCCTCGATTAGTTCTTAGTGCAGTTCTGACGTTCTGTAGACATCGTTACCGTTGATCTCCACGCCTCGCAGGTAAGATGCTGCCCAGACCCCAAAACTAGGTCCCAGGACCGCAAAATTGTTGAACTGCGTGGCTGACCCCCGTTGTAGATCCAAGGTAAAGAGGCAGTGCCTTGAATAGTCCATTCCTTGGATGCTCATTTTGAGTCCGTCGTACTAACCCGATGTAACAGGGTTCTTCAGCGTCCCAGGTAAGATGCCACCGATGGGTTGTGGATCAGGGGCGTCGCTAATCGCGCCGCAGTGGATAACCTCTATGCCGAACCATCATTCCTTCGGTACATTAGAGAGAACTTCACGGCAGAGGATTGCGTGATTGTCTCTCCCGATGCCGGTGGCGCAAAGCGGTTCGTAACTCCAGACCTTTCAGGTTGTTGTTCGTCTCTAACCGTAGCCAAGAGCCACATCTATTGCCGACCATCTCAACACAGCCTTCGCCCTGATTCACAAGGAGCGTCCGAGGCCGAATGTCGTCGGTCGCATGGTAAGGGCCCTCGGACGCAAGAAGACCACACAACGACTAACATCGCATGTGACGTTAGGTTCTAGTTGGCAATGTCGTCGACAAAATTGCCATCCTTGTTGGTAAGTGATTCGCCTTAGTTCCGATCTCCTCTGGACCTTTCGAAATTGTAATCCCGAGCAAAGCCAAACGCTAACATGGTTACAGATGACATGGCCGATACCTGTGGTAAGTCGGCGTTCGAATAGTCTGCAATCCAATTCCGCCTAACGGTCCATAGGCACCCTGGTCAAGGCCGCTGCGGTGCTCAAGGAAAACGGCGCAAAGTCCGTCCTAGCACTAGTCACGCACGGCATTCTGTCGGGCAATGCCATCGAGACTCTCAACGGCAGCGTTCTCGAGGCGCTGGTTGTCACGAACACGGTCCCCCTCGGCGACAAGGTTGAGCGCGTATGTCTCCATTCCATCCATTCCATCCATCCCATTCATGAACCTGCCATCTCTTCATTCGCCATGACAGCGAGCTAACTAAAAACAGTGCCCCAAGCTTCGCGTCATTGACATCAGTCCGACGATTGCAGAGGTGCGTACCATGATGTTGAACCGATATTTAGAAGCTGTCACTAACATCCGGTTAGGCTATCCGCCGCACTCACAATGGTGATACTTGCTCTTCCACATCTTTAGAACGAAATACTAACAATTACAGGCGAATCGGTCTCATACCTTTTCACGCACGCGCCCGTTTAACCCGAGCGGTTCATGGGGACTCTTCCAGCTTTTACCAGGAGCCCGGGAGGATTGGTAAATTGAGCAGGACCTATATATCATCGGCATAGGCTAAGTGAAAAGGGGGGTTTGTAGGGCCGTTTTGGTTCTCATTCAGGGATCTTTTGCTGTGGAGTTTTCATATTTTACCGGTGACAAAATCAACAAACATCCATCTCACTATGACTATCAATAACCCGTCAGAGCTAGTTTGCATTCTGTCCTACTTGCATGTTTCGTTCAGTACCAGTCAGACGCATGTTTCGTTCAGTACAAGTCAGACCAACGCGTGTCCCAACCAAGACCATTTCCGATGACCACTTCCAACGACGCCCCGAGATTCTCTTTGCAGGGAAGAAACCTGATTTTCAAAGTTCCCCGCACGCCACTAAGCTGTGGCGTTTCCGGGATCCCATAATGGTCACAAAATCAGTCAAAAATCCTGTCGTACCACCGCCTCTAATAAGTGGGGTTCGACAACACTATTGAAGGATGGCTGGTCTGGAACCATGTTATCTCCTCGAGTCGCGATAAGACAGAATAATAGGCATAACAGCAGCCAACCACGGCGCACGAATGTCGAGAGGTTCGCGTCTCCACGGAGTCAATACTAGAAAGTTACTAGCGAGTTGGTCGTGAGTTACTGCTGAGCGGGCGCCGGGCTCGCTCGCTTCTGCACTTCAATGCTCTTCTCGCAAGCCCCAAAATCATCAAGGCCAACCAAACACGGGCGAGGCGAATGGTGGCCGACGCGGCATGGCGAATTCGAATACATTCTAATGCAGCTTGCCTGCCTACCGAGTGGTGCAGTCTCTGGCCAATGTGGACGCTGGGCCGTGAACGCCCAAAACTGTGCGCGCCAATTTGTAAGGTAATGTGCGATTGCGAGGCAAGAGGAGGCTTTCTGGGCTTTATGAGGTTGGTAAGGCCGGTAGTTTTGGATGAGAGCCTTTTTTTTTGGTCTTTGTCGTATATATCTCTCGTTGTATGCCGCGCCGCCGGTGTGTTCCACACGCCGCATACCTGCCTACGTACCAGGAGGTTGTCGTCTTTGAGAGAGCTGCCTGAAGCAGCCCACGATTGTCATATCGGGCGCCCTTTGGTCTTTTCCTGTCACGCCCACGGCCGGGCTAATCTGGAACCATGGATTGGTCGAGAGCCAGACTCGACCACCTCAGCACCCTTGTGCCAGGGGTTGGGTCTAAGACGGCTGCGGAACTAGCTGTTGCCGTCGTCGCTGCTGTATTGGTGGCCCTCTCGGGCTGGTCCGTGGTCGCCTGGGCAACGTCGTCCCTGAGGAAGTTTCCCGGCCCTTTCCTCGCAGGTACGTGTCTTTTTTCTTTTCTTTTTTCTTTTCTTTCTCTATGATAACTTACGGGCCACTGATGGTCGCGATAGGATGAACAAACCTCTGGCGCGTGGCGCAGAGCAGCAGGTGCCAACTGAAGGTCATGGAACTCCACGAAAAATACAGCCCGTGGTCCGCATCGGGCCGAACCTGCTCATCCTCGACTACCCGGAGCTGGTCAGGACCATCTACGGCACGGATGAAAAGTGGTGCAAGATGCGTCTCTGGCTGCCTGTTCCCTTGGGTCTGTGCTTTCTTTCCTTCACCTGTCGGTCACCTGCCTCACTCCCCCGCCGGCCGGCTGGTGGCAAATATGCCCCTCCTCCATCTCACAACAACCCAAGCCCTGGTATTTGAGGCAGCCTGCGTGGTATGTTTCGTAACAGCCGAAGAGTGGGTGGCTCTGTGGTGTAATGGCACTTAACGTTGGATTTAAAAATTGTGAGCACATGCCTGCCGAGCCCGGTTCGAGTCGCATGTGGGTTATGAATATTATATTTCAGAGGAATATTCCGCAACTCGCCTCTGGGTGCGCGACTGGTTGACTTGTCAGCGGGCGAGGCCGTGCCACGTAGTAGTGGTGCGACTGATCTCCCGGCGGAGCAGTCAAGATTCTGGTTCGAATCCAGACAGAGCGATCTTCCTCTTCGAACGGTGGATTCATTTTTTTTCTTTCTCTTTTTCCTTTTTCCTTTTCCTTTTTCCTTTTCCTTTTCCTTTTTCCTTTTTCCTTTTTCCTTTTTCCTTTTTCCTTTTTCCTTTTTCTTTCTTTCTTTTTCATGATTTTTTTTTCATATATATTTTCCACAGTCTGTATACGAGAACACTTACAGAGACAGCTAACAGCACCTTTTCTAACCACAAAGACCGAGTTCTAGAACAATTCCAGCGCGGTAATCGACGGCAAGATTACCTTCAACCTATTCATCGAGCCAGATGCGGCCGAACACACCCGCAAGAAGCGCCCTGTGGCCAAGTACTTCACCATGAGTGCCGTGCTGCGTCTCGAGCCTCACATTGATAGCGCCATCGGCGAGTTTATCGCCCAGCTGGACGAGCGGTTGTCAAGGGCCCCAGCGGCCCGAAGGAGTGCGACCTAGGCAAGTGGTTCACTTACTGTAAGTTCTTGCCTCTCCCCCATAACAAACGTCTTTACACTATAAAATCTAACCTGAACCCCCATGTTTAGTCGCCTGGGACCTCAGCAGCTCGGCGGCCTAGCCCTGCCCAGCCCCAGCACCGACCCTCTGAAAATAATCCCGCCCGGCACCCCCGTCGGCGTCAACGCGTATGCCGGCACCCCCGTCGGCGTCAGCGCGTATGTGCTAGGCCGCAACCGGTCGCTGTGGGGCACCGACGCGGTAGAGTTCCGGCCCGAGCGCTGGCTCGACGCCGAGGCCGCCGCCAAGGAGAGCGAGGACGCGCGCGCGCGGCTCTTGCGCCAGCTCGCTGCCGTCGACTTCGTCTTTGGCGCCGGCCCCCGCGTCTGTCTCGGCAAGCACCTTGCCATGGTTGAGATATACAAGGTCCTCGCGACTCTCGCGAATAGGTACGATGCCGAGCTGGCGTTCCCTGACAGGGAGTGGGCGGTGAGGAATTTCTGGCTGCTCAAGGGCGAGGGACTTGCTGTGAGGCTGCGGGTAAGGGAGTGACTGATGGATGTGTAAGGGTAGGTGTGTGTTACTTGTGGGATGGTTTCAAAACTTGGGGTTTAAAAAGGGGGTGTGGCGATGGACGAAGCTTGTCGTGTCGTCCGGGTTTCCCCCCGTTTCCTCCCCCTTTTCTCCGTCTTGCGCAACGAGGAAATCGGCATCGAAAGTGGAATATAGTAGACGTCTAATGTCGTGTACTAAGATCAAACTACTTAGGTACCTAGGTAACCAGCCCAACCCCTGAACGTTTGTTAATCAGCGGGTGACTTTTCCAATATTCTCAGCGTCTCTCTACACCTTACGGTTCGCCCTACGGGGTTTTTTGCCGAGGGAGGCAAAGGCTGTTGGAATCTCTATTATAACGTCCTGGAGGCCTCTCTCTCTCTCTCTCTCTCTCTTTCTCCCCTGGAAACATCTATCAAAGGCTTTCCTTGTGGGGTTATTTGTTGAGATCACTTTTCTTTACAAGCACCTTAGGTACTACGCCTCTAAATAAATAGGGATTGTATTGTACATGCCAACTAAACTAGTTCTCACGTGGAACTTGGACAAGGTTGTTTGCTTGGGTTTTCCCAGTGTATTAAGATTCCCTCAACAACAGTCAAGTTCCTAACAAACAGCCCAGCCTTGCAAGCGACCCAAGACCCACGTCCCACCACAACTACTCGAACAACACCCCTCTCACTCATGCTCTGGATTTAGATCCATTATTACAAGGCCGTGGTCTTCCAATCTACCCCGTCAAAGCCCAGGTCAAACGCCAAAGCCCAGGTCAAACTTCAAAGCAAGTGCAGGCCTTGTCGGCATGGAGCTAGAAATCTACACATGCACACACACACATATACATGTATATGGGAGGTTCCATTTTCACTTGACAAAGAAACCAAATCCCGCCTCTTAAAAAAAAACCAATTTAAGCTCTATTCACAACAGCTCAGACTATCGCAAAGAATCTAGAGAGGTGAGGTGTGTCAGCTAACTACGTCTGTCAAGATTGAGACAAGAGCAACACACGTAGCTAAACTTCTTATCAGGTCGGCAATTTAGGCAACCCATCTTTGGGCGAGCGCTGTTTTGGTGCCAATTATTCATAACGAGTCTACATAATTACTAGGCCCGCCTAGCGAGGATCTTTGGCCAAGATTGCTACGTTTACTTGCTTGGGTTGTCGTTGTATTCATGACCTCGACCAGTCTCTGCTAGCTTCGTAGCACATAACTGATGGACTTGGACGGCAGGCTATCTAGGTCTAGTCATGGAATATAGCGGGCCTGAGGATTTACTTCTAGCGCAGAAGGGGGTTTGCATGTGGCAGTTGAGAGGACCACCCAGCACCGTGACCTTGATCAACCTTCGGATGGCTGCAACAGAACTGAACAGATCAGATGAGTCCCCGACCAGAGAACTGGAATTCAGGATCCCACGGATAGTGTACGCAGTACTCGTACATATTGCGCCGCTATTGTAGCACCGCCTCTGACCTCACTACCCAAGGTAAGTAAGTATATACGTCCCCGGGGTAACACAACACAAATAACACCATGCTCACACGCCATGCGCCAGAATGCTTCCCGACGCCAAACCTATTCGACAATGAACCCGTGCTTTGCGGTCGCGTCGGCCGCGGCCTCGCCACCGCCCACCGGGCGGGGCTCGGGCTTGGTCTCAGGGGCAGCAGATGGCTGGCTCTTCGACCCGTCGTCCAAGGCCTCCTCGCCCGCCGGCCCGCTGATCTTGACGCCCTGCAGGGACTCGTCGTCTTTTTCGTCGCCTGCGTCCTCCTTCGCCTTCTCGTCACCCCCTTTCCCTTCGTGGCCCTCGAGCTCTAAGCTCTTGACGCTGCTGGCTTTGCTGACGCTCGCGCTGTCGGGGTCCGCGACCCTCAAGCCGAGGTGCTTGTTCGCCGTGGGGTCCTCCTTGTTGCCGCCCTTCCAGTCGGCCGGCTCCATCTGTGGCACGGGGCTGTCCTCGCCGGGCTCGTTGATGGTCACCCCCGAGGCTCCCTCGGAGCCTCCAGCTCCCTGGCCAGCACCAATCTCCGTTCCCGCCGCCCGCCAGACCACCGACAGGCGGTCACAGGCCCGTGTCCCCTTACGGCTCGACCCCTTTATCCCGTCCATCTTATCCCACTCGATCTCAAACACGCCGCTGTCGTCGGCCTTGCCGCCCTGCTCGGGACCGCTGCCTTCGAAGAACGTGTTGAACCAGACGTGGGCGACGGCTGTGACCATGGTCAGCCCCATGCTGGCAGGCGCCCGGTTTCGTCTCTCCACGGCGATGTTTATATCGCTGTTCGGGACCCGGATCGGCGTCGTGGGCTTGAAGATGACGGCCTGCCCGCCGGGCTCTGACGAGTCGGCAAAAGAGGTGCTGTTCTGTAGGCTGGTGGTAGACTGGGACTGGGGGCCATCCGACGGAGGAGCTAGCGATGCCGCCGAAGACGCCTGCGAGGCGTCGGGCATGGCAATGGTCTTGCTCTTGCCCATTTTGCCGAGGTTTTGCGAAGACTTGGCCTTTCTGCTCGATAGCTTTCTCGCCATCTTCGCCGCCTTAGAGGGCTTCAGCTTCTTCGATTCGGTCCTCGCAGGCGGCGGTGCTGCGTCGGCGCCTTTGGCCGCGTCTTCTGCGATTCCTTCGTAATCGGCATCCTCGAGGATCTCCGAGTCGTCGTCATTTCCCGCACCGAGGCCGTAGCCGGTCATGTCCGAGACTAGGTCCATAATGCCGCCGCCGCCTGGGGCGTCGCCTTCGACCACGATGCGCTCTTCGCGCTTGAAGGTGTGGATGACCTTGATCTTCTTGCCCTCCTCGGCAAAGCCCTCGACCGAGACCTTGACGCCGTGCCGCAGCCCCCAGACGTGAATCTCCATGACCTCGATCTCGCGATCGACGTACGTCTTGCCGCCTTTGGTCCACCGGTCGACGTAGCTGATCCAGCGCAGCTGGCTGGGAATCGACACGCCGGCGCCAAAGTTGGGCCGCATGCGCCTCTCGGTGAAGCGCGCCAGCGCGTCCTCGGGCGTCCACCCGCACTCGGAGATCAGGTAGCTGCAGGCCATGCTGCCGGAGCGGCCTTTGCCGGCCTTGCAGTGCACGACGACGACCCTGTTACTCGTCTTATCCGCGGCCCCGTCCTTGTTCCCATCCGCGTTTGGCCCGTGGTCCCCGTCGGTGATCTTGCCGCCGTCGAGCTCTCCGCCTGCCAGCCAATTGCGCATGCCGGCCATGATCATGGGTACGAGTCGGAACGGGGGCGGGTGGTGGTCGGGCCAAGGGTAGTGGCGTATCCTGTCGTAGACGGCAGCGTCTGGGTAGCCGGTGCCCTCGGCGCGGAACTCCCATATGGCCCACCCATCGCCGTGCTTTTCGTCGAGGAAGGTGACGAGCCGGTCGAGGGGGTTTCGATAAGCGCGCTGCGGGTACGTCTGCGAGGGGCCCGAACTGTAATATCGCGATGCACGCGCATTGTCAGCAAGCAGGTCGTTGGTTTGAGGGGAAGGGGCTTGGCGGCAGAGACAACGCACGTCGCAATGATCTTCTTGGTGACATAACAAAGGTCGAGGCCAGTCTCCTGGTGCTTTGCGCGCGGGCCGGCGACAATTTGGCGCAGGAAGGACGCCATGGCCTCCCAAGCCCAGACCTCAGGCTTGCTTCTTGGTCAGGCTTGCTTCTTAGTCAGGCTCAGATCCTTGGGTTGGTTCTTGAGATCACGGTCTGGGCCTCGCAATCGCGCTGCCAAGTCGATCTGCGCCGCCAAGTCGATCTGCGCCGCCAAGGTAACGAGGACGCTTTACTTCTGGGTGCGACGGTGCGATTGCTTTGGACATTAATTGATCGTCTTGGTTCAAACCCGCCAGGTGGTTGTCTCTGGTTCTGTCTGCTGGCGAACGCCAGACCAGTGGCCGAACGCAATGCAGCGACGTCATTGATGGATTTTGGAGGGGCTGAGACGAAGCGGGTTAGTGCGTCTTTGGTCCCCCCAAATCCCTAGCTTGGCTGGTTTGATGGCGGGGGACTCGCAAAGACGCGAAAGGCCTCACTACCCGGCGGCTTGCTCTGACGAGTTTTCCCTGAGGGAGGCAACAGAACGTTGGAGCCCTAATCGAGAATCTCTTCCCTCCTACAAATTAACTCCCTCGCAAGTGATTTTGGAAGCTGACTTTGTTTGTCACTAACCGTCAATCGAGGATTGGCTGCACTAACCTAAGGTCGAGAGCTAAGTTACCCATTCACCATCTCTCTAGGGTCTATCCCTCAACCAGCTTAGGATGTAATCCATCCCTGAATGTTGTATACGTAGTGATAGGTATGCGCCATTTCACTTCTGCGATAAATCTAACTATGGGAGTCCCTGCCGAAGTAAACCCTTATTGGAGCAGGCGAAATAATATATCCCTGAATATTTATCGCCGGGAGGGGGGAGGGGGGGGGGGGGGACCCTCTAGCTACGATACAGTCAAATCCCTAAATATTTGTTGGCACGGTACCTCAATACTTGGGTAGAATACTCCGTACACCGGCCAAAAGCCTTTAATCTAGGTACCTAGGTCTTTTTGGAGAAGAAATAGGCCTCCAAGATTCTGAGATAAGGATTCTAATAGCGTTTATCTCCCCCTGCGAAAAACATGAAGGTCGAGCCGTAAGGTATTCAGGTCTGGGAAAGTCCCTCGCTAACAAATATTCAGGGATTAGATCTAGGAAAGGGTCGAGATAGGCCTCTGGGATTCTAAAATAGGGATTCTACCAGCATTTACCTCCAAACCTGGAGGCCTTTCGAATCTTGGAAAGTCCCCATTAACGAATATTTAGAGATGCGTTGAATTGCACCTTATCTGGGTTCGTGGCAGGAGGTGATGGGGACGTGATGACGACAGCGGAACGGAATGGACGTCGGCCTGGGCTCGCGGGGGCTGGGCGGCGGCGCCCCAGCAGGCGGTTGGACGCAGCCCAGAGACCCCTGCTCAGTGCGCAGTCAGTGACGCACCAACCATCCAGAATTCCATCCTCTTCTAACTTCGCCAGCCACCTACCCACAGCTCTCCCTCTCCGCAACGAACGACGCAACATCGCGAGCTGCCTCAACGCTCAAAATCGCCCTCTACCACATCGCTAGCCTTCAGCTAGCTACAAATCGAACGCAATGGCTCCCCTGCCGCCGTCTGACCTGCCTCTGGGCGAGAGGTTGACACGGCTTGTCAAGACGCTACAGTGTACGTGTACATTTCCACAACGGAGCCCGTCCGAGCAACTCCCCCCGCATGTGCTCTCTCGCGAAATATCGCAAAGCTGACATTCGCCGCCCCATGCAGTCGCTTGGTTCATCGGGTGCGTCTCAATCTCCGAATCTCCCTTGCGCTCCTCGAAGCTTGTCGCTTAGCCGCCGACGCATCTAATGAGGCTCTGCGGTGCAGAGGCGGAGCCTTGACCTCGACCGCTCGCTCTCTTGTCCACCTTTGCTGACGTTTCTGCCCTCGCCGCTATTAGGCACGCGACACTGATTTTGTGCATCACCCGGTATTCCTTCTCGTGGCTCCGCATGAACTACTATGGTCGCCTGCCCCAGTTCTGCTATCGCCTGTCGTTCATTGCAGCCGCTGCGACCTATGGCATAGTCGTCTACAAGACGTGGAGGGCTCGCCAAAAGACGGGCGCCAAGCAGCCCGGCGCCATCGGCTACCTCGCCGACGAGAACATTCAATACCTCAGTATGTATTCTTGTATTCTTGCCTTGCTGGAGAAAGAAGTAGCCTGGGGCTGACCGGCGGTTCTAGTAATGGCTCTTGTCTGGCTCTTCATGCCACAATATCCTCTTGCGATGCTCCCTTACGGCATCTACTCCATCTTCCACGTCGCGACGTACACCCGAGCGAACCTCGTGCCGACCTTCCTCCCGCCCCAGAAAGTGGCCCCCCCGGCCGGCGCCTCGCCGAGTGCCAAGCCCCAGGTTGTGCCCCACCCGCTGTCGGATGCGATCGGCGCCTTCGTCAAGAAGTACTATGACGCTTCCATGTCGATCGTCGCCGGCCTCGAGATCGCGCTGTGGGTCCGGATACTCTTCTCAGTCATCCTCTTCCATCGCCGCTCGTGGATCCTGATCGCCATCTATACTGTCTTCCTCCGCGCCCGCTTTGCCCAGAGCCCCCACATCAGGAACTCGTTCTCGCTGTTCGAAGCCCGCATCGACAACCTTGTCGGCGCTCAGGGCACCCCCCCTGCGGCTCGCCAGGCCTGGGACACCATCAAGGGCGGCGCGAGACAGTTCCACACGGCGACAGACGTCAACAAGTACGTGAACGGCGCTGCCGCTCCCAAGAAGGCCAACTAAATCGCCCGACCGACCGAACACGAGGTCAAATGACAAGCTTGCTTCTCGCCCTATGGCGCAGCAATAGCAGCACAAGGAGACCACAGCATGATGTTTGGTGGTTCCTGGAGAGGGGAGGCCAGAGCGTTTGAGGACCTGAAGTCTCTTATCGTTTTATTATTAGATGGGGATGGACGGCAGCGGTCAGATTAGCGGTTCGGGTAGCAAGAGAGGTTGTTGTCAGCTAGGAGATGGAACTGGGGTAGTAATGGCTAGATTGGATTGTGTTGTCTACGTCATTTCGCCGTCGAGTCGACATGACACTCGACAGTGAATTACAATCACGCAAGCAGCCTCCCGCATACGCAGGACGTACGTCGCACCTTCGTAAATCAGGATGCCTTTTACCCAAGAACCACTGCGGCGTGCGGATAATATAGGGCAGAGGAAATGATACCATGCTAAAAACAATACGAGGCCGAGTCTCATCCTGTCTTGCCCCTACTGCCCGTTAAGTCCTCGGCGAATATTGATAATCCTACTCAAAACGAAGAGCTTTTGCCTTAGCATATCCGTAGACCATGGAAAAAAGAGCCACCCCCTAAATGTTTGTTGGCGCGGTGCCTAGATACCTACAAATAGGAAAGATCATAGTAAATACCTATACCGGCTAGGAAAGGACAGGCACTTCTAGGATAGAGAAAGACCTCTAGGATTCTAAAATAGGTATTTCAATAGCTTTTACATCCCTCGGCGAAAAACCTTTAGAGTAAGCCGTAAAGTATTGAGGCTTTTCAAATCCTGCTTCCTTGGTTCTTGTTTCACTTGCACGCGGGCCGCATCAATGGCACAGTCCAAAACGGCCCTGGCAGCACATGTTTAAATGCATGCAAATGGAAAAAGAAGCTACGACACAGTCCACTCCCTGAATGTTTGTTGGCGTGGAAGTAAACAGTGCCCGTGAAATCCAGCGCTGGCTCTACCACTAGCACGACAGGAGCACGGAGGTATTCCCCGGCCAGGCCCTTTGAGCGTTTCCATCGTTCCAACTCGTTTTCCTGGGCGCAGAATAAAGTTCTCGGCTCTGGAATGGACCCCTTCACCAGAGCTTGCGTTAAACAAGCCCGGGCAGGAACTACAGATCATGGAAGGAAGGGATCGTCTTGTCTGGGGCTGGGCGAGAGAAACCCGCGGTTGCACAACAGCCACGTCCGTCGGTCGGGTATCAACAGTCTTCTCGAGAGGCGAGCATTGTTGGTCGTTATTGTTCCTTTCTGCTGTGCTCATGTTTGTTGGCAAGCTACTGTCCATTGATGCGCAGGAGGAAATGGTGCTGTGCGACGACCAAAATTCGTGCAGCTGCGCTGCACAAATTAGTGCCTGCTACCCCGCCAAAATTAACCGCTATTTTGTAGCATTTCGGGGGCACAATGGACACAACTCAGAAAAGGAGAACAAAGGGTTACTTACGGACACTCTATAGCTACGAATAAAAACAAAATAACAAAATTTTCAACCTTTTACATGCACCACATCTTTAAGTAAAAATACTACGACTGTCTAATTGTCGCGTCGGGACTACTTCGTGCACAACGGTCGTTGAAAGGAGATCTTGGCTGAAAGCGAATGGTGGTTTGGTATATAACATTACAACTAACAATGTAGCCGCGCAGTCCTAGGCTTAGCGTGCTATTCGGTACGTACATGTGTATTTTATATTCCCGACGAATTAACAGCAAGTGACCTCCAAACTCCGACCAGCGGGCAAACTTCATAAATTACACAGAATTCCAACCCTTAGTTCAAAGCCATGTGGACCCTGTCAGGGGCCAGTTCGAGTCTCTTCGCTTGGGCGAGGGATTCCCAAGAGTCGACGACTGCCTCGAAGCGTACGGCCCAGCCTCGAAGGATGGCCCAGGAGAAACCCGTGGCCTGGGTTCTGGCCGGCCGGTTGAAGTGGAAGCGACTCGCTCGATGGGCTGGTCCATCGTGTACCCGTACATGCTGGCGGGCATTCCCGGCAACTGAGTGGGTAGTTGCGTGGATAGTTGCCACTCTGTCAGGCTCCGCGGCATGTCCACCATTGGCGGGCCCTGGGAGCCTGAGGCCGAGTTGTGGCTCTCGCTCCTCCCCATGTCTTCCGTCCCCTGCCGGTCTGTCTGTGTCGGGCTCGGGTGCTCCTTCACGATGTAGCTGACGATGGCGCGATCCAGCGCAGCATTGACTTCCTGCTCCTCCTCCTGCTGCTTCAGCTTCGCGCGTCGGTGTCGGATGAAGAGGTAGAACCCGAGAAGCGAGAAGATGGACGAGCCGATGACGGAGGCGACGACGGCAACCGCAGTTTGGGCTACAGTCACCGCATTGCTTTGCGCGGCCTGTACTCTGGAATCGACCTGTGTCTAGATGCACATTAGGATCGGGAGGCCTTGGAGATGGGAGCGGGAGGGTTGAACGTACCTGAAGTGTTGTCGAGCTTGTCTCGACGGCAGGAACCGACGCGATGGATTCTCGGGCGGCAGACACAGCAGAGGCAGCAGAGGCCTCGACAGCCGATATGGCACTAGAGGCCGAGGCCTGGGCATGTACGAGTGCACTCGAGAGCGATTCCGCTGAAGACCGCAGCTGGCTGATCGACGACAGCAGTTGCTCAAACATAGCCGAGGCATTGGAATCTGCCGACACGAGGGCTTTGTTGAGAGAGCTGACTGTCACAAGAAGGTTTGCTTCCTCGCGGCGGCGGCGGCGGAAGTCCAGGGCCGTTGCCATTGGACATGCTGCCGTCGTGACGGGCCCCGTCACCCTGAGAGGACGAGAAGTGGCTGTTAAAGCTGCCGTTAATACCGGTACGGACTCTTGGGCATCGCGCGTGGGTCGGCGAATCTTCACAACGACTTCGGGTTGGCATTGCGACGAAAGATCGATCGGGTCTGTGCTTGCCTCGACGACATTCATAGATATCTGACCGCCAGCGCCGCCGCTCAAAGGAGGCGGACCTCGCATCGAATGCACAGAAAGGACTAGGTTCAGAAGGAAACCCAACACCAGTGTTCGTCGCCTCGACATGGTGAAGTCAAAACGGTTAAGAAGCCATATGAAGTCGACAACATTTCTGCACATGAGAGACAGCAATCGTTGGTCTTCATGAGAGGAGATGTAAATAGTGACAGCACACAGAAGGAGAGATAACCACTTGACCTAATGCTCAAGACCGAGAAGCGAGTCGCTCCCCGTGGCGGAACGCCGGCACGGTCTAGAACGTGTTCGCGCAGCAGCAGCAAACTGACTTGGCTCGAGGGGATACTAACATGCCGGCAGGGACGCGCCATCTGATGTCCTGATTTGTCTGTGAGGTACCGTTGAAACAGCTAAACGTCTTGTCAGGAGAGCATAGGGGCAAAAACAAGTCATTGAACTCGTCCAGCAAGTTTCCAGAGCCCGTTAGGGTGACCACGTCTTCACCAGCAACAAGGAAGGCTTCTAGGAGCGGCCGACGACCTGCAGGCTAGAAGGACTCGGGTTTCTCGATGCTCCCTAGCGCGACCGACCGGGCACATATTTGAGCATGAAACTGCTAAATATCTCGGCGGCTCTATCCTCTGGGGAAAATAAGTCAAGGGCACCTGATTGCGTGCTGACTCGAGCTTTGCCCTGGACGCGACTTGGTCCGAAACAAGCAGGCCCGCAGAACATGGAAATGAGCGACGGCAGTGGTGGCACCCGCTCCACAAGCGAAACTCGGACATGTGCTCTCCGAGTCAGTCCACCTACAGCTAGGAAATCGAGCCTAGGGTGGTAAGTAAGAGTAAGTAGGAGAGAGAGACAAGACCGAAGAGCCCAAAGTCCAATTAAGGTTGTGTTTCGTCGTCGGCTGTTGCTCTGCTCAACTCTGATCTTTTGCCAGCTGCGACCATCCCGCACCAGCTGTCAGATACCTCACAAGTGCCTGTCTCGGCGCGGTTCTCCGCGCTAGCAACATCCCCGTCGCGTTCTAGAACCTACCCGCCCGAACTGGTCCCTGCCTGCACCACTCCAGGGACAGGACATTGCAACGACAGCAAACCTACAAACATACTCTTACTTGGAGCCTACTAAGGCAGTCCGCTTCCGATTTGCTGCAACAGCCGCAACAGAGCAAAATGGCGACAATTGGGACCCTAGAGCGGCTCTCGGCGTCGGCCTTGTCGAGGCTAATCCTTGCCGAGCAAGCTGCGGCCTTGGGCGACCCCACCATCGCCATCATCGACGTGCGGGATGACGGTACGTTCGCTCCCCTGCTACGTGGTTTTCCTCGGAACAACCTCCCATTTTCTTGAGAACTCTTGTCCGCATTATGCGTATCTCCTTCGCGGATATGTTAGGTTAGCTAAAAAGCTGCAAGAAACTGACCTGGGACATGCCCTTAACTCCCAGACTACATCGGCGGCCACATCCGCGGCGCGCAAAACGTGCCGTCGCGCACCATCGACGCCATGTTCCCGACGCTCGTGCGCCGCCTCCAGGACAAGGAGACGGTCGTCTTCCACTGCGCCCTGTCGCAGCAGCGCGGGCCCGGCGCTGCCCTCCGATACATTCGCGAGCGCGAGCGCTTCCTCGCCTCCGAGAACAAGAAGGCGGCAGCGGCCAAGAGCAGCGCAGCCGAGGATGACGGTGCTGCTGATGCGGTTGCGGATTCATCTGCGTCTGGCGTGGTGGGACAAGACGGTGCAGCCGGCTCGGAGGGGCAGGACAAGCCTGTCCAGCAAACGGTATATGTGCTTGACCGCGGGTTCGTGGGCTGGCAGGAGGTGTACGGCACGGACGAGCGGCTAACCGAGGGCTACCGCAAGGAGCTGTGGGAGGACGGATACTGGGGCTGAAGAGGGTGTTGCTGAGGACGTGATGAATTCGAAAACGTAATACCGCGGCCTCGCGGGCCGCCGGCGGGAGGTTGAAGTTCTGGCGAGCCCCTGAATGTGGACTTCACAAGGGCTTGGGTCGATTTACCGTATCGATGTTGGACTCGAGCCTTCGTGCCAGGAGACTGTTATTGGAAGAGACTCTTTTGACAGTGGTCCAGGTTCTGCTACCCACGGGGACGACGACCAGAGCCACAAAAGCTAGCGATGCTTGAATCGTAAGTTTGGTGATGTCAGTCTGTCTATATGACAGCAATGTCCAAGTATTGTCTTAGTCTACGGCTTCAATGCAAGAACATTGTGGTAGCCTCCCTAAGCAAACTGACGAATGACCTAGTTTGTTCAATATCAGTGCAACGTCGACAAAAGATGTTGGCCTGGAGTCGCAACTGCAGTCCCGTAGAACGAGGCATATTGGGAAGTATTATCTTATTATTCTTCCCCAAGGGTTGCACCGGCCCTTGCTAGCGATACCGCATACGACTGAAGTTCTAAGATGCTCTCGGGATAGAATAGGGACAGTGCGCGTCAACCCCTGTTACACTTCTGCCTACCCACCTGGACCCGAAAGCCGTCCAGATCTGTTACTTGCCCTCGCACTCCATGTTCACTGCTGATCCTGTTGTTGATCCAGCATTGGTCCAGGATATGCTGGGCATAGTCCCCGATCTCTGAGCACGGGAGAGAGTAAGGCGTGTCGTTGTCGTTGCACCACTAAATGCCGGCGCTCCACGAGCAGCTGACCCTCTCGCAGTGGTGTGGGGGATTGGTGCAGATGCCCGTTTTGCCTCTCAGATACGCGATCCCTTGTTCAACTCTCTTGCGGCGAAATACATGACCTGAGCCGCCAATGTAACAATCCGATCTCGTCATCTGTGGCCAGCCCAAAATGCAGTCAGCCAAAGAAAATTGGAGAATTTGCGGCGGCCGATGGCAGCTCAGTCCACCAGCCTTTTAAACCACCAAGTAACTCGACGATTCTCCACAAGCTCGCGGGTGTGTCGGTGGTATTCGAGGGGGCATAGGCTTCTGGCTCGATGTCGAGCAATGGGCTGTGGTCCTTCTCAAAAGGCGTTAACTGATGAAGAATCGAGTATTAGCTCATCACCTGTAAGTTGTGTGTCGGAGAACGGCGACAAAGACTGCCTACGTACCACGCTTGCAGTCGTTGCCCAAAGGAGAAAAGGCAGGATAACTGCAGCTGAGAGGAGCTTCATGTTGTTTGACGCCCCCTGGCCCCTGGGTTTCTTGGGCTGTTGCTGCAGCTCTTGAATATCGAGATGGCCACGAGGAGCAAAGGGTCCCTGGCGACTTTGACAAGTCGATGAAGCAGCAAAACTGGCTCGGAAGGAGAGAAACTGGAGGTCGGTGAGGGTGGATGCAAGATGGGCAAAGAAAGGGTGAAGAGGTTGGAACCCAAGGATTCCCACGGCGCTCTCGACAACAGAGAGTGGATTCTGGAGCCACAAGGGTGGCAATCGGGTCGAGGGGTTTCTCCATCCTGGAGCCGAAACCATCCACTCCAACATCTCCAAGAGGCAAGTGCAGTTCACAGCCTCGCGAGGATTCGAAATCAGACTCGAGGAAGGAGCGAAAAGCCATCTCGTTCTTAACGACACAGCAGTTCCGCCCAGTCACAAGTCCTAAAGTGCCAGTGGCAGGTGCGCCCCATTGCCGCCAACATGGAAGCTGCCCAACCAAAGGCTTCCGATCTTTCTGTCACCGTTCAGCCAAGTCAAACACCCCCAAATGACTCTGTTCAATCGATTGATGGCTTCTTCTCCGCCTCACTCTTATTCGAGCCCCATTTCGGAAAATCTGTCATTTGCTACCAAGTTGCCCTCACGTTGCGCTTGCAACCTCGGCTTGAGAACTCTCCCCTGCTTTGACATTGAACATGAGAGGGATAGGTACTTTGATCTCTGCAAGCGTGGTTTCCTCTTGCCGCCGCGTGGCTTTCGGGGACAGCACTCGATCGTACATCTCCAGTCAAGTATTCATAGATTAGCCCACGGCCAGTTCCCTGCAGCACCGCGACGATTGCTGCAATCCAGGGAACTGAAGGTAGCTATGAATCAATTGAGTTTCAACGGGGAGCGCGCCCATACTTATCAATCTCCCCGTCTCTGACTCTCTCTCGACCTCCATTGCACATTTTGCCAGGCTCTGGACCGTGGTTAACATTGCTGCCTGTCAGTGCTGACTGCGACTGGTGGCTGGGCAATCTTAGCGAACACTCTTCGAAGCTCACGCCCGGTTGTGACAAGCAAGCAGTGCCCGGATTTGGTGTGCACAGCGAGTGAGTGGAGATCCATCGACCGCGCCGGGTCAGCACATTGCGACAGTTACTGATCGAGCAGTTGCAGGTTCGCTTATCTCGTGTGCATAGGCTGATCGTATCGTACCTCTGCACGTTGAAATGATTACTCACCGAGACTGTTGGAACTTGGCGCCCGGCGGCCGTTGTTTGCGATTGATTTGCTTACTGCATCGCAACGAGATTGGCTCAACGCGGCCCGAGCCGTCCCATCGCACTCAGCCAGTCACGGGCGTTTCTTGGTCAAGCGCAACGAATGCTAGATGCCCATGGGCAAATCGCGAACACGAGGCGGCGGCCTTTCAGTTAAATGCGGGATTTAATCCGCGTCAACTACAAGGACTTTAAATCAACGGCGGACGCCCAGAGTTCCACACCATGCGGCCGTAGAAACAGTGCGGCCTTTGAACTCAATCCTGAACCTTGGCATCCGCCTTCACACATGGTTCACGCGCGTGTTTGCAGCAGCCAAGCAACGCCGGATGCCATTTCAAACGTGGCGCCCCTCCTGAACCGCCTTCCTGCGTGTTCTGGGTCTTTGGTGGCGTCTTTTAGCTCCAAAAGGAGCGATTAGAATTTGTCTGGGCTTTCGATGTGTCCAACAACGGGGCACAGTCAACGCCAAACCTGAGGCAGTCCGAGCAATCCATAGGCAGTGACCTGGAGGAGGCACAGACGAGGAGCTAGCTGTGCCGGCTGCCACATTTTGGGATCAACAAAGTGTCAAATCTCCGTTCTGTTTCAGCAACCCAGTTGACAGCGGCGAGACAATCCCCAGCCCCAGTTAACTTCCTTGTCAGCCAATTTCTGTTGGTCGTGTTGGTTGCACTAGCGTCCCATGGTATGAGTGCAAAATTGCTGTTGGGCACCGTGAGCCAACATGATCTGCAGTTGGCTACCACGAGCCAGCATGATGCTACAAGGGCAGGCGCCTCACTTCGACGGTGCATCGGGGCTGGCGTGGTGGGTTGAGACAAGCATTAAGTAAAGCGCCAGCCTCGGACCCAACTCAACTTCCACGCCATCTTTTAACTGGGCCAAGAATCAAATCCTGAGTGGGCAAATAAGACAGAGAGGTGTCGCTACCTCTTTCTGCGGCATTAATTGAACAGCACAGGCACTGTGACTGTCTGCCTTTGCCTCAGCCTCAGCCTCAGCCCCAGCTGCCGCCACCGTCTCTGTGACTTGAGCTTGGGCTTGGACCGGGATTTGTACTTTCAGCTGGCCGCTTCCCGTCTGCCTCGGATATCAGCAGACCCAGTCACCCCCCCAACCGCCTCACCAACAGCGTCGTGTCCATCCGATAGGTGCCTGCGCGGACCCGGTGCGTGCGTCGAATCTTTGTTGCTCTCATCTCAGGTTTGCATGCCGCGGCTCCTATGGCCGCGAATCAGCCCACCATGGTTTCCAAGCTTGCAGGCCTCAACAAGGTCCTGAAGAAGGCTTTCAGTCCAGAGGCAAAGTACCCATATGTTCCAGTCCAAGGCAACGACGAGCCCGAGACGACGCAAGACCTCATCGGCGATATCAAGGCGCTGGGATTCAAAGATCATCAAACCTTGCTCGCCTTTCTCAATGCAGCCGTCTCGGGGACCGTCGACGACAATGATCTCCTTCTCGAGAGCATCATCCAGCTCCTGGCAAAGCTGCCCCCAACGTCGAAGGAGGGCAAGCAGCTCACAGACGGCCTAATCACGCAGCTATGGTCTGCCCTCGATCACCCTCCCACAACTTCCCTCGGGGAGAACTTTCGGTTCCGCGCCCCCGATGGCTCAGGAAACAACGTCAACCACCCGATCCTGGGCGCTGCGAACACACCCTACGCCAGGACGGTGCCCGCGATGACGCTCCAGAGCCCGAACCAGCCTGATCCGTCCGTCATTTTCGATTCGCTCATGTCACGAGGCGACACGTTTGAGCAGCACCCCCAAGGCATCTCCAGCATGTTGTTCTACCTGGCCACCATTATCACCCACGATGTCTTCCAAACTGTGCGTCTCTCTAATAGCTCAGCTCCTCGCCGGCCATCGGGTCTTGACATGTTTCGTTGTAAGGTATTGAAAGGCTGACTCACAATATTTAGTCGTCGTCGGATTACAACATCAATCTCACCTCATCGTACTTGGACCTGTCGCCGCTCTATGGTCGAAATGAAGGCGAGCAAGCCGCCGTGCGGACTTTCAAAGACGGGCTGCTTAAGCCCGACTGCTTTAGTTCCAAAAGAATTTTGGGATTTCCCCCGGGATGTGGTGTTTTTCTCATCATGTTCAACAGATTTCACAACTACGTGGTGACACAGCTCGCAAAGTGAGTCAGCCTCTCTCCAATTTTCTACACAGAATCTGAGAAACGTTGGTTGCTGAACAAGGAGCACAGGATCAATGAAAACGGGCGCTTCAACAAACCCGACCCTTCTAGGTTGACGGACAGTGATGCTTTGGCAGCCGCCTGGAAGAAATATGACAACGAGCTTTTCCAGACGGGCCGGCTCATCACGTGTGGCCTCTACGGTAACATCATCCTGAAAGACTACGTCCGGACAATCCTGGCACTCAACCGGACCGAGTCCACATGGGTCTTGGACCCCCGCAGCAAATCGGGCAAGAACATTTTCAGCCAGCCATCGCCCTCGGGAGTCGGGAATCAGGTCTCGGCCGAGTTCAACCTCATCTACCGGTGGCATTCCACCATTTCGCAAAAAGACGAGAAGTGGACTATTGAGCTGTTCAAGCAGCTACTCGACGGTCGGGACCCGAGCCAGGCGAAGCTGGGCGACGTGCTCAAGGCGCTGGCCAGGTTTGAGCACAACCTGCCCGACGACCCGGGACAGCGCGTGTTTGCCAAGCTGTCGCGCCAGGCGGACGGCACCTTTGACGATGACGCGTTGGTGAAGATGCTGCAGGAGTCGGTCGACGACGTAGCGGGCTCGTTTGGCGCCAACCGGGTCCCCGACTGCCTCAAGACAATCGAAGTCTTGGGAATCATGCAGGCGCGGTACTGGAATGTTGCTACTCTCAACGAGTTTCGGTCCTTCATGGGGCTCACTAAGCACAGGACATTTGAGGACATCAACCCTGATCCTGTCGTTGCCAAGAAGCTCAAGGACCTGTACGACTCGCCGGATGCCGTCGAGTTCTATCCAGGCCTGGTTGCTGAAAAGGCCAAGCCCCCCATGACGCCCGGCAGCGGTCTCTGTGTCAACTACACCACCAGCCGCGCCATCTTGTCTGATGCGGTCACTCTGATCCGCGGCGACAGGTTCTACACGGTTGACTACACACCGAAGAACATCACGAACTGGGGGTGAGTCTGTTTTTCGTTGAGATGCTCACAGAACAAGAGACTGACGCAGGAGCGTGCTCACAATGACAGGTACAACGAAGCGAACTCGGACCTGACAGTCAACCAAGGGTGTGTCATGCACAAGCTGATCTTCCGGGCGTTCCCGAACCACTTTGCGCAGAACAGCATCTACGCGCACTTCCCGTTCGTGGTGTCTGCTGAGAACAAGGCTATCCACGACGGCCTAGGCACGGCCGACAAGTACTCGTGGGCCAAGCCAGAGCGCAAGCCCGAAGTTGTCGTCATACGTTCCCATCGCGCCGCCGCGGCTGTGCTGTCCAACAAGAAGGACTTTTCGATCGGCTGGACAGAGCCCGTCCTCCACAACTCGCACCCGGCCGGGAACGGTATTAGCCACAACTTCTCGCTGTGTGGTGATGGTGACGCCAACGCCACAAACCGTGCCCACACTTGCAAGGCTCTGTACGAGCTGCCCGAGTGGGCGACCGAGATTAGCGAGTTCTGTGCCACTAAGACGGCCCAACTACTGGCCAAGTACAGCATCCCGCTGGTAGCGGCCGACGACGGCGGCAAGACTACGGTAGTGCACGAGGTGGACGTGGTGCGCGACGTGGTGGGACTAGCGACGACGCACGTCATGGCCGCCATGTTCGCGCTGCCCGTCAAGACCGAAGGCCATCCGTATGGCATCTACACGGAGCAGGAGCTCTTCAGAACGCTAACGGCCATTTTCTCGAGCATTTTCTTTGACATTGACGTGGCGGCGTCGTTCAAGCTGCGCAACACGTCTCAGGCGCTCGTGCAGCAGCTCGGATCGCTCATCGCCGTCGGCGCCAAGGCCGGCCGGCTGGGCGACCTCGCGCGCAAGGTGGAGGGCGCCGTCTATGCCGGCCCCGGCGAGCTCAGCCTGCCCAGCTTCGGCAGCGCGCTTGTGGCCCGCTTCATCGAGCACGAGGCTGGATCTGTCGAGGACGCCGTCTGGGGCTCCATGATCATGGTGGTCTGCTCAGGCGTCGCTAACCAGACTCAAATCCTCAGCCAGTGCTTGGACTATTACCTCGGCACGGGCGCCGCGCATCTCCCTGAGTTGCACCGCCTCGCAAACCTGAACACAAAGGAAGCTGATCAGGCGCTGACCAAATAGTGAGTTAGCTCTCGCCACTTTCCCCTCCCTTCGCCCTTGTGTCGGACACTTACTTACCACCCAACACACAGCATGCTCGAAGGGTCCCGGCTCCGCGGCGCCGTCGCACTCTTCCGCAACGTCGAGACAGACCAGACCATCACGGACCACGCCCCATGCAAGCCCGACCCGCAGGACCCGACACTCCTCGATCCCGTGCCCAACGAGAACCCCGAGCCTACGACGCTGGCACTAAAAGCCGGCAGCCGCGTGTTTGTCGACCTGACGGCGGCGTCGCACGACGCGGAAGCGTTCCCGGACCCGGAGCAGGTCCGCCTCGACCGGCCGCTCGACTCGTACCTGCACTACGGCACCGGCCCGCACCAGTTTCTGGGCAAGGAGATGAGCCGCGTCATGATGACGGCCGTCTTCAAGGCCGTGGTGGGCCTTCCCGGCCTGCGCAGAGCCGGCGGCCCGCGCGGCGAGCTTAAGAGCTTCCCGGCCACCACGTGGAATGGCCAGGTCGGCCGCGACGCTGCTGCTAATACTCCAAAGGAGTGCAAGGGGTGGAGCGGTGTCCGCGCCTACATGACGGCCGACGAGCGCGCGTACTCGCCCCTACCTACGACCATGCGCGTGCGGTATCAGGGGTAGAAACAAGTCACTATGCAGAGTGTGTGCTTTTGTGTTGTTGTTGTTGTTGTTGTTGTTGTTGTTGTTGTTGTTGTTGTTGTTGTTGTTGTTGTTGTTGTTGTTGTTGTTGTTGTTGTTGTTGCTGTTGTTGTTGTTGTTGGGTAATTAGCTGAAATGGCTTTCAGGAACTGTGTCGGTATTGCATCTGGCTTCTTTCTCACTTTACTTGAATTAGGGCTCGGTAAAATACACTTTTTCTCTTCTGGCGTCTCAAGGTTAGTAGGTAGGTAATTGTGTATTGAGGTAGTTAGGTAGGTATTGATTGTTCAGTCATCTTGGGCATATGCGGTGGGTCACTTAGGTTGCTATTAGTGTTGGTACTTGGTTTACAATTGAAATAATCTTTTCTTTTTTGTTACACGTTCTGATTTTCGTGATTGTGTGAGATATATTTGTCAATATCTCAACACGGCTCCCGTAGCATGGGGTATGTCAGAAAAAAGGGGGGGTTCTAGAAGGTGCTGGAATCATGGATTTGTCACTATCAGAAAGAAGGGAGATTCTAGAAGGTGCTAGAATCATGAATTTGTCACTATTAGCCACAGACGCGCAATAACCTCGCCACCTGGCCATGGCTATAAGAAATGCTCTCTGGCAGAGCCAGAGAGCCTAGAGAGAGGGCAATACAATCAAGCAATTACAACCCCATTAATTCCACAAGATCCAGTGTGCAGTGTTTCTGACAGGGTAATAACGGACAAGTCATGATCGAGACGGCGTCTATATTGTGATTGATTTGCAGGTTGACTGTCATGGATCTTTGATTATTATTACTCTCCGCGAACTATGACTGTTCCTTGGAAGACCGCCAAACAGTCCCCGACTTTTAGATGATTGGTTGTTTCATGTATTGTACATGCTGAGTTGGAAAAATAGATGGCGAGCATACCGAGTTATAGAGTTTCATCCTGCTCTGGGCATGGCGTTAATAGGCATTAACTGCATCTTTATATTTGCGATTGTGGTTCTGACATATCGCCTGCCCTAGGTCCCCACTTGCGATCCAGACTACAAGATCCAGACTGCAGACCATCCTCGGCATATATATACCTAGCCGTCTTCTAGGTAGTTCCTGTCTCTACAAGCATGCAGACTTCCACCTTTCGCCTCCTAGAAAACTCCTTCACACGCCTCAATACCACACCCCTGCGCGACCAAAACAACTCAGACTGTCGCATAACAAATTACGCAGCCTCTTACTGACCAACCTCGAAAGCACGCGGACAGATCTCGAAGCAGTAACCCGGCGCGCCGCCGTCGAGGTTCCAGCACCCAAATAAGGCGATGCAGTCCATGTTGCCACCAGGGCAGTCGTCGCGGGTGTGGCAGAGAACAGGAGCCGTGGGGGACGCAAAGACGAAGCACCGCGGGCGGCCCAGCACGTTGCCGCCGCACAAGCAGCCCGAAAACTCGGGCCCGTTGCCGTTGGCGTTGGTCGTGCCCTCGAGGTACTCGCACGCCGTCGCCGGGCCGGCGTCGCACCGCGCCGGCAGCTCGCTGCACGTCGTCGCGATCGACACGTGCGGGTACGTGATGGTCGTCAGGAAGAAGGGCGTCGACGTGGTTGGTGGCGCCGTGGTTGTCGAGTTGTGCGGTGCGGTCGAGTTGCTGCTCGCCGTGGCTGTGCACGCCGACGCGCCGTCCGTGGCGCGCTTGCGCCCCACCACTCCTGCGGTGCTGGTCGGCGCGGCCGTGTTACATGCTATCATGTCGGTGTTTTGCGGCGTCGTCAGCGGCAGCGTCGACGGCGCCGAGAAGACGCACGACGTCGACGCGTTGTCGTTGCCGATGATCTGCTCGTTGAACTGCATGCTGCTGGTGAAGCGGATTCGCTCGTCGACGACCGACGTGAGCAGGTACTGATAGCCTGGCGGGTCGCGGATCTTGAGCCACACGTACTCGGTTAGGTCGGTGAACGGCAGGCAGATGTTCGCGGCCACGGCGTTCGGGTCCAGCTGCTGCGAGTTGATCAGGTCCTCCAGGTGCATCAGGTCCCTGATCCCCGTTATGGTCGTGCTCCACTCGGGCGAGAAGTACGGGCTGTTGAGAAAGGCTGCCGCTTCGTCGCTGAGCGGCGCAAGCATCCCCAGTCCCTGTGAGAGGAGGTAGACCAGCGTTGGGGCGGGGACCGCGGTGCCGAAGTCGTCGCGCGAGTACCCCAGCTGCCGCAGCAGGTCTATCTCGCACACCTGCTCGCGGCTGGCGGGGCTCGGCCACAGGCACGTCCATTTGTACAGGCCGTTGTCTCCTTGAGTCGAGGTGTTGTTGATGATGTCGGCGCGGTCGAGGCACTCGAAGCCGCCGCCCACGGTCAGCGACACGTCGAAGGGATCCGACGGGACGTGGCCGCACTCGTCAAAAACTACCACGTCAACGTAGTAGCTGACGGGGTAGGTAAGTCCAGGTATGTTCTGTCGCTTGGCCAGCTGCTGAACATCAACAAGGGACTTCTTGGCCTTTTTCGTGGACCCGCCGCCGCCGCCCAGTGCGATCAGATAGTCGTAGAACCCGGGGAGGATTAGAGAGAGCACGCTGGAGCAATCGGCCGAGAAGACGGTGATTCCGGACGCGTTGAACACGACGGCCGACTGATCCGGGTAGACGATGCCCAGCTGGACGGGGTTGCTGATGTCGAAGAGCAGGAACGCGCCCGTCTGCCCGTCGCGCACGCCGAAAAGCGGCGGCACCTGGCCGTACTGGTCCAGGTAGAAGCTGAGCTCGCTGACCAGGGTCGTGTCGACGGTGCCGTTGTAGGTTAGCTTGATGAGCTCGGCTGTCGGGGTGGGCAGGGTGTAGCAGGTGGACGTTGAGGTCGCGATGATTGTCTGTGCCGAGTCGAACGGGTTGCTGGGCTCTTGGGACGTTACGGTCGTTGCGAGGCAGGCCAGCTGCAGCGCGGCGGTGATGTACCTGGATAAGACCATGGCGCAGAGCTGTTAAGGGAGGTGGAGTGATTTGAGGTCGAAGAAGTCGACTGGACAGGGTGCTAAGCCTGCCTACAAGTCGGGTCTGCCCGATGTTATATGTTCTGATCCAACGGCCGTGCCAAGACAGCCATAACAAGACATATCTCGAGATGCTCGGCCCAGCTCCCTTTACGGTCAATTGTTTTGTCTGGGATCCAATATGACTGGAGAGTATTCCGTTGAGGCTGAGATCCAGAGTCGCATCGTAGCGACGTTGCAGTGACAGGGCCGGAGCAGATACCCGAAAGAGAGCAGGAGTATTGATTTGCACCTCGAACTAGCATGCTCTGCGATTGAACTGGCATGCTCTGCGATTGAACTAGCATGCTCTGCCATTGAACCGGCTGGTAAACCAGACGGGGTAGTTCGCCGCGCTTTTCGAGCGTGTGTTGGGATTGGTTAATCAGGTGGTGGCAATGCCACAAGTTGCGTGGATCAAAGTGCACAGGGATGCAACTGAAGAGGCGCTGAATTTAATAATCCCTGAAAGGTGTGTTAGCGATATAGAGAAATATAAGTGTTGTGCCGTTTGTTCCAAGTCGACATCCCCTCATTGAACTGCCAAAGATTGAAGGCAATGTGGATTGATTTTCATTCATCTGCCGCCCTCCCCGAGTCGCCAGAAGTCCATCACCGGGCCCATAATGCACCAAATCAGAGAAGGCGACGACATCCATAAAACTCAATGTCCATCGACACATGCAACAATGGCGGCACACTTGTACCAAGCATGAGCATCTAAGGCTTGTCCGCGTCCATCTTGCTTTCATCCGCGGCATCACCCTCAGGCTCAGCCATCGCCACATCAGCATGGGGGTTCTCCAGGAGGAACCTGTCCATGGGCGTCGTGTCGGCATGGGGGCCTTCTAGGAGGAACCTGCCCATGACCATCATGCCAGCATGGCTGGTCGCGACCTTGGCCGCGACCGTTTTGGAAAGCTCGACGCCAAGCAGTCGCATGCCTCGGAGCACGGCTTGCGACGCCGCCTCTTGCTCGGGTGTAGAGGGGGTGTTGTTGTCCCTAGTGAAGGGGACTGTGGTCATGGCTACCGTGGGTGCCGGTGTCTCGTTCTGCTTGGCTCTCACGACGTTGATGATAGGCGCAATGGTGGTGTTATTGGCGGCGTCGGGCCTGCAAGACGGTGGAGGTCAGAGCTTGGTGGACCGGTGATGCTGGCTAGTGATGGCGGATCGGGAATGGCGGTATACCGACGGCTTCAAGGAGAAGTGGATGTATAACAGCAGGGGGAGACAGACAAAACGAAAGGGGACAGGGATGCTGGCAGGGAACATTGAGGACAGAACACAAGGAGACAGGAACGAACTTGGTATCACGTCTTGTGAAGTCGAGAGACATAGGGGTGGTGTCACTCTGGCCATGCGGGTGGGTAGACGGTGACATATCGGGAGACGTGCTTCGTAGGAGCGGGAGAAGGACGAGTGGCCGGAGGTGGTGCTAAGAACTTAAGGGTGTTATGAGTAGTGGATTGCGGGCAGAGAGCACTGAAATATTGGAGAATGTGATGAGAAGCTCGAAGAAAAGCTGCGAGGATTTCGTCCAAGTCTAAGTATATATGTTCGGGCGAGCACCGCAGCCGGGCTGCAAGCCACGAACACCCCGAAGGCCGTGTTGCGAAGAATTTCCCATCCTCGCTGCGCTGGACAAGATCTAGATCGAGTGTTCTAATAAACCAAGAGCAGTGACTAGGCGCTACAGTAATATATACCTATTAAATGCTTCAGGGCGGAACCGATTTCGCCAATCAAAGCACCGCCGACTTGTTTTGGAGGTGCTGTTTTTGCAGTCACTGGCTAAGCGCAGGTACGGTGGCGCCCGCGTTTAGCCAATGACTGCAGACGCGCAAGTCACCGCCGCCTCACGTCGTTTTGCATTTTCAATCTGCTCTGCTGTCCTGGACGGCCTGTGCACGCTAGGCGTTGAAGGCAGGCAGTTGGCTGGCTGCTGAGTGACACAGCATGGCTACCCTACCTTGGGCAGCCTGCAGCATCCTCCGGACAGTTGAGACAATTTTTCCTTTTGTTGGAATGACGCGCTAGTCAGCCACACGGAGGTGGCTGTGGTGGCGCAGGGCCACAGATTCTATATAAGTGGCCGTAGGTTATCTCAGAAATCAGGCCGTCTTTCCTGGGCAGGGCTGCGGGCGGACGTGCACCCATGACAGGGGCCTTGGCGGGCCCTTGTACCAAAATGGATTAGGATGGTGGATCATACTAAAAATTGGCTGCGGCGCCCCATGATTAAGCCACAATTGACAAAGAACGCCCAAGACGTCTGAGTGCAATATTTGATCCGAACCGTGACCCCCTTCACAGGCCCCATATAACAAAACAAAACTGGTTCAATTGACGCGCAACAACATCACCATCCCGCATCGTGAGAATATACAAGCTAGCTGCGGGGCTTCGTAATTGACAGGGCTTTCTAACAGCTCCATTTTGGAGTCGTATTTATAAGGCGTTGTAGTTTTCGTATATTTAAAGCAAAAAGCACACCCCTTTCACAGCTTAGTCGCGTCTGCTAGTTACCTGGTAAACACTCAATTTTGATCGGAACTTCGTGAAAATTTTTATACACTTACTCTGCGCCGAGGGCATCCTCAGAACCTAACTTTCTTTCTCAAACAACGCACTTCCTAAACCCAGCTTTCCCACATCGTTTTCGCCGTCCTAATGGACCTCGACGAGCAAAGAAGCGCATAAACAGAGCCATTTGTGGCATCACAGGCGCTCCAGAGGCTCGCGCTGGCCAGGTGCAGGCTGTGCAGCGTTTGGTTTACCAGCATGACGATATCACCAGAAATGTCCCTAATTCGAAGCCGGTATGGATCGACGTCAACACGCATCTCAAGGTCTATTGCCCTGAGCCCCTGAGCCCTTGAATAACTTCTATTAACAGTTAACTAAAACCGGAACGTTTGGGACCAAGTCAAACACTTGCGGGGCCCGACCCCGCCCACTTGTGCGGCCCAATTGGCAATTGGCTTCCAGCGCCTCCTGCAGTCTTGGACCAGGATCGTAACATCATGTGCTTTTGAGCCCGGAACAAAACCTTTCACCGAAGTCCAAAGCCGCCCTTCGTGATCCAGCATTTCACGAAAGAATCGGGCCGGGAGCGCACCTTGAGAGGGCTGCTGCTCGAAATCTGACCCAGAAGACATGTTCTATACATGAAATTAGTACCAATCGACAGCTTGAATAGAGAGGATTCCAAAAGTACTAACGGCGTAGTTTTTGACCGATTTGCGCGTAAAATATCATGCATTCCGTGAATGCCTTCAATTGATGTGGAGGGGTCAGGACTCGGATCCACTCAGACCATCTTGGTGGTGGTTCTTTTCGTTGTGTTCTTATTGGCTTAAAAATATAGAGTGGGTCCAATTCTTAAAAAGTGGGTGCCACAGGCACCTGAGCCACACCAAGCTCGTCTGAGTTTCTGAGATAAGCCGTAGGCCACTTCCACCCTCTGTCTTCTAGATATACACCGACATCAACGAATCCATCACTTGAACCACTAGTTTTCGGCGTGCAGTTACGCCCTGTTGCTTCCAGTACCCGTACCTGGTGATTCCAACACTACCCTACCTTAGGTAGTCTGCAGCATCCTCCGGACAGTTGAGCCATTTTTTCCTCCCTTGGCTCTTTTACACGTTGAAAACTCATCAAATCACTTCGCAGTCATGGTCAAAGACTGGACCCTAGTGCACGATGAGATTTGCAGGCTCTACTACCAGGACAACAGGCCTCTTGCCGAGGTTAGGCGCCTAGTCAAGGGTAAATTTGGGGTTATTGCATCGTAAGAGCCTGCCATCGACAAACTGCTGCCGCTTCACCCAGCTGACCATTCTTCAGCGAGAGATCATATCGAACCCAGCTGGTGAAATGGGGCTACACAAAGTACAACACCCAGGCCTCCCTAAAGCTAGATAGGGCTCCGCGTTCCGTCTAGAAGTCGCGCCGCTCCGTTCGACAGCCGCCTGGTATGTCAATGGCTGCCATGGCGCCCACTCCAATTTTCACCAGCCAGAGCGGAATGGCCGGGTGAGCTCCATTCTGTACCATACCTCAACGTCGTCAACATACTTACTAAGGAAGGCGTCGACGTTAATCTTCAAGACAATGTCGGTGACACCGCTCTTCACCTGGCCGTCTCGCTTCTACATGATTTCGCAAATCCAGTCACTGGGGCCCTTTTTCTTGCCAAATCCGACCCGAACAAGAAAAACGATGCTGGCTTGACGCCCTTCATTGAGTTCTTAGAACAGGCGGCTAGGCAGCGGTCGGAACGGGCATGGGCTAAGGTACTCCGCTTGATCCCTATTTTTGTAATCAACGGCGCAAGCGCCACTACGGCAAGCCCAGGCGGCAGAACACCCTCCAGATTCTAATTTCACGCCTTGGAACCCATAATCATCTTTGGGAAGAGTCGTGCGATCGGTGGAGGTTTCCCTATGGGCGTAACGAAGAGTTTTATAACGCGGCAGTCCACTCTTTGATTGAAAATGGCGCCTGCGTCGAGACGCTGACTCTAGCCAACCAGCCAATCTCCATCCAGTTCTTCCAAGATCATTCCGGTCGGCTTTTGGGTAGCCGACCAACAGCAAAATTGGCGAAAACCATATGCGAACAGTCGAGTCCGATGGTTATCGGGAGAAACGGGGACACTCTGTTGCACGCGTCAGTCCAATATACTCCGTCCCATTCTTTGTTCAATGACGCCGAGGGAGCAGCGGCCAAGGTCGACCTTCTAGAGATTGTCCTCCGGAAAGGATCCAACCCTAACCAACAAAACAACAGCGGTCTAACACCCTCATGGCCCTCTTTGGTGCTAGGATGGATTGGGGTCTACGAAGGGATACGGTTGAGGCATATTTGTCAGTCTTACTGGCTTACAGCGCCGATCCATTAGAAGGAAACACACGGGGTCTGTCTGCTGTGTTACGCGTGGCAGGGATGAAGAGGAAGGAGGCCGCTCAAGTTATACGCTTGCTGCTCTCGGCCTGCATTTCCAGCCTCCGGACGAGTGGTAGCCAACAAGAAAGGGCGGACGGGGCTCGGGAGAGCAGGGACCAGAACTGGTGGGACGAATGGAAACGAATAGCGAGAGCGGATGAGTGGAGTGTTGTGAAGCAAGCCCTGGAAATAGTCATCAGCTCCCCACTCCAATCTACAGACGAAGTGTGGAGAAGGCCGATGGCCATGGCATTTGCCTTCTTGGCCGAGAAGCATTTGGCAGCTCTCAAGGACAGAGTTCGGAGCAACTCAAGCGGCCCGGAGGAGGTGAAAGGGCCGGTCGTGGACATTCTTCGCGACTGCCGGACATACGATCTCACTGTGGACATGGATTGTTTCGATTTTCTCCCAACTCTCTGTTGACGGATGCAATCTTGGACTCGTTGGAGAATCAGTTTGCCATTATTTTCTCCACCGTGGCATTTAATCTTACAATCAGTTCCAACTCTCGGCGTTCACCTCTCACCCACCCTTAGCTCCTTATCCGCGGACTCGCCCGGCCGGACAGTTCTGGATACGCATACTGGTTCGCGTCCAACTCGACGGGCGCCTGCGGCGGCCCGGGGTTGTATTCGGCGTATAGCTCGTGCGGCTTGTGGACCGTGTCGCCGAGCACCTCGCGCCGCGTCGACGGGATGGCGGGCATCTCCTTGGCGCCGCCGCTGCCGTCGTCGACGGGCAGCAGCGCCGCTGCGCGCTTGCGCTTGCGCTGTCTCGTCACGAAGAAGGCGGCGACGGCCAGAGCGAGAACGGCGAGCACGACGCCTATCGCGATTCCCGCTTTCGCGCCGGTGGACATTTCGCTTCCGGACGAGTCCTGGTTGGAATTTGATGACGGGGGCGCGGTTTGGGAAGACGAGGGGTCTGAGCTAGTCGAGGACGAAGCCGACGTGCTAGTGGTGCTACCCGTGCTCGCGACACTACCCGCAGACGCAGCTTCGCGGCGGAGGAGGATGGTGGTCTGGAGGAGGGTGTAAGCGGTGCCGGCAGCATTCTTGGTCGGCAGCGGCGTCGGCGTCGTGTCGCAATTGGCGCAGGCTTCGGGTTCGATCGACGTCGGCTGGGCCAAGGTGCCGAGACACCAGCCGCCGACGCCCGGCGCAAAGGACAGGATGGTCTCGGCGTAGCCCAGCCCGCTGGGGCAGCACACGGTGGCCGTCTCGCCAGGCGCCAGCTGCGGGAGGCGCGACGACGGGTCCAGCACCGTCCGGCTCCCCGTGCCGACTATCGGCTCGCCGCCCCAACCCGACGGACACGCCAGCCCCGGCATGAAATACGCCCGGATCAGTATGTCGGCCTCCGGGTAGCAACTCGTGTGGAAGACGTCGTCGTCGCCCAGCACCGCGAACCGGCTGCTCGTGGTAGAGAAGATCTTCGTGCATGCCGCTGGCGGCGTGAAGGTCGTCGTCAACGGGCCCGCATCCTTGAAGCCATCCTTGTCCTCGACCGTCTTGACCGTCACTTCGGTGACTTTTGACATGGCGAATACCGATTACTGAGTGGATGCTGTTTCTTTGCCCGCCTGTGTTTTGGCTGAGTCGAGAGACGCTTTTACCTGGTCTATGGCTGCCTTCGGTACTGCTGCTAACTGATCCCACGCGAAGGATCGTGCAAATTGGCAGCGAGGGGGCTGAGCCCCTGACGGGGGCTCGTTTCACAGTGAGATTTTGTGCCCCCACAGGCCCAGAGCTACCGGTAACGACCCCAAATAGGGAAGCATGTAACCCTCCTCTGGGCATGTAACCCTCCTCTGGACTATGCCGAAACGCTTCCCCGTCACGCTGCTGCACCTGCACCCTGCACGGGTCGGCCCTAGACGCCAAGGGTTGGAATACGGCGGCTATCTCGATGGCCCGCTACTCGCGTCGACGATACTGATATTGAGATAGCGCGACGCAATCGACCCAACAACACCTCACGCTCCTCAGCTCCTGCAATCAAGAAATCTATGCCCCTCAAATGCGCCAAGCCCAACCTCTTCACCACGGCGCCCGCCTCCCCGACCTCACAACAAGACAGCACAAGTCGGGCTCCATGCCGAGCGAATTATTCTTGTCCGAGTAATCCGGCTCAACCCAGTCAATGCACCGCGTCAATACACCGCGAGTACTGAGACTCGCCGGCTCTCCCAGGCGTTGATGTTGATGTCGAGCGCGAGCGCGCGTAGTTTGAGGACTGTTGGCTGGTCGGGGGGGGTCCAAGGGGAGAGTGAGGTCTAGGGGGAGGGTGAGGGACGGGACGCGCAACTCGTCCGAGGGGAGCTGGATTCAGACTGACGGCTCGGGTAGCACGAGGGTACCGGGCTCGAGAAACTCTGGGTCGCCGTACCACGCGTTGGCCCAGTGCGTGTGCGTCACGCCGGACGGGTGCGAGAGCCACGACCACGACGGCCAGGGCGTGCCGGAAGCGGGCACTAGAGCGGACTCGTCGCGGAGGTCGACGCGGCCAAACAGCAGCGACGTGGTGAGGTGCGGCGCCGAAGACACGGGGTGCGCGTGCAGGAAGCGCACGTCGTACGACTCGGCGAAGCGGCCCTCGAGACCCTCGAACGCGCGGTGCCGGTCGCTGGCAAACGTCAGGTTGCGCCCCGTGTACATGTGCACAACATTCTCAAACCGGCCCGTCAGCTCGGCGTCGCGCGCAGGGCCGGCCGGCCTTCGCCTCGACGGCAGCGGAATCGTGTAGCCGAACCAGCGGTCGCTGGAGTCGTTCGGGTCGACGTCGCGCGCCGTGTGCGGGTTATTCCAGCTCTCCTTGGCCGACATCTCCTTGCACACGAAGAAGGCCTCGTGGCTGCCGAAGAAGGCCTCGTGGCGGCCGAAGAAGACGGACCGCCGCGCCAGCAGGTGCTCCTGCAGCGTCCAGCCGCGCGTCGTCCACGGCGCGTACGGCATCCACATTCGAGCTCGATCAGTGGCGTGGCGACGCGCACGCCGTTGGGCAGCAGCTCGACGAGCTGCTGCGTGTTGCGGTCGCTGACGGAGCTGGTACCCGGCAGCCCGTCGTCGACGCCCGAGCTCAGCGACACGATGTCGCACGCGCCGTGAAAGCAGATCTGGTCCATTCTTGAGATTTGCGACGCGAGCACGGCGGGCTCGTCCTGCGGGATGCACATGGCGTCGATCCAGATGTACCGCTCGCGCAGCCGCCGCGCGAACGAGATCAGGTCCTCAAACGTCCGCCCGATGCGCCCGGACATCATCTCCACCGGCTGCTTCTCCAGCGACTTGATGCCCTCAGGGAACCGCCACGCGTCCTCGTGGTGCGGGTACGGGTAGTCGACCACGGCGAAGCGGCGGTTGGCCGACGGTCCCCAGACGTACGACAGGTCAGGTAACGCACCGGCGTGAGAGACTGCACGAGCATGCGGTTGACAGTACGAGTGGACTTTGAGTCTGTTCTGAAATTTCGGGCACCAGGCTAAGATGACCAACCCTAGGGAGTGCTTGGCGGCCCACGGATGGCCGATGGAACAGAAATTGCCCAGGGGACTGCATGAGGATCCAATCCATTTCAAGGCTGCTGACAAGATAGCAGGATAAGTCTTGTTTATTCAGACTCTTGGAGGCTAGTGTCTCCCGAAATCTGAACTGCTAAAATTCTTTGATTTGCTAAAATTCTTTGATTAGCGACTGTACGACCCAACTTCCGTTAGGATGAATTAAGCGACTCTTACATGGCCTGGGATAGTTACGGGGACAGAGAAGATGGTGTCAGAAATTTCTTAATCCGTCCGACCCCCTGGCCTCTCAAGGCCCGCCATATTAAACTCAGTGCTGAAGCCACGCCATCATACCCGGGTGCACATCCACGTTCAACTCATACACCTCTCCATCGTCGAGACCCCCGTCTCCGGTCTGCTCCTTCACCACAGCCCACAGACGCCGACACCTGAGCCACCGGACCCCGGCAACGACAAAGACAACCGCGAGCAAAGCAGCGCCGATGCCGGAGCAGGCGGCCCACGGCAAGACGACGTCGAAGTGGTTGCGGTAGAAGGCGAAGCCCTCCAGGTCCATGTACCCACCCCACGGGAGGTCGAGGATCGAAGACAGTGTCACGGAGCTACACCAACATGTATACATGCTGCCGCGGGCCTGTGTGTGTGTGTCGATATGTCAGTACTACCTCATACGATAGAGAGGAAAACTCACAATGATGCCCGTGATAGTCGCCAACCAGCCAAGCGCGACAAAATTCCCCACGTGCGCCACAGCCTCCATGAACCCCGGCAACCAACGCCCGACATCCCACCACCGCTTTTTAGTCTCAAGCATCCGGTACGCCGCGCCGCGTCGCGCAAATACGAACTGCACGAGCCAGTTCGCCCCCGCCGCCGCTCCCGATAGTACCGCGTACAGCAGCGCGCACCCGCTCCAGCACCCCAACCCGACTGTCGGGGTCAAAAAATCGCATGTGAAGGACAGGAGTGCTTCCGCCCATACGAGGCCGAGGGATGCGGTCGCAATCGCGTACCAGGATGCTGGGGGCCGGCCGCGCAAGAGGTCGGTTGCGATGAGCGTTGCGTGGTGTGTCGCTGTGGAGTGCGTCCATGGCTCTGTGTTATTGCTGGCGTTGGTGTTGGTGGAGGCGGTGAAGGATAGGGGCGCAGTGGATGTTGAAGAGGTGGGAGAGGTGTGTGCGAGGAATGACGAGGTGAGAAGGCTGCAGTGGCGCAGGCTGCGGCCGTGGCTGGTCAGCGAGCCGACGAGATAGGGGGCGGTGTCTTCGGCGGGTGTGGAGGGGGACCACCAGGGGATTCCCGCATCTGGGTCCGTGGCCTTCTTATCATTGTCGGCAGCGGCGTTGTGGCCATCATTGCGACTATCCGTGACATGGCCGTTGGCTGTGTCACCGTCGTCGATGTGTTCGATGGCCTCAGCATCACGGTCGATGGCCTCAGCATCGCGGTCGATGGCCTCAGCATCGCGGCTACTTGGGCGGCGGACATGGCTGTTGCGGCTGGCGATCGTGATAGCATCGCCTTGGTCCTCAAGGTCGACATCCAGCATATCGACGACCCCCTGGACATTTTCGGGAACGGCGGGTGGCGGGTGAAACCACGCTTCGATCGCGGCGTTGTTGTAGAGCCAGCGAGACAAGAGTTCCCTGCCACCGTGTCAGCATCTCGGGCACAAGCGAGACAAAACACACGAGGCCAACAACCCTCGAAGAAAGAAAATCACCAACCTCTGCCGCTCCGGCGACACGCGGTTCGGGATGACACAGGTCAGCGCCACCAGCATGGGCAGCCAGCAAAACAGCAGGCCGAGCGAGAGGATAAAGATGGTGGTGCTCTCGCCAAAGTCGCCAAACGCGAGCACCGACGCGAACACAAACGCCGCCACGAACGTCCCGAGGCTAACCAGCGTGCGCTTGACATTGCCGGCCTGCAGTGCGCGCAGCTGCGCCGCCATCTCGCCGAGCAGCCGCGCCGCCAGCGCCATCTCCTTCTGCTCTCTCTCCGCCCCTGGCCCCGTCACGTCGGGCCGCGCCGACAGCGCGCGCGCGAGCCCGTAGAACAGCGCGCGCAGCAGCACGTCGGCACGCGCAGGTGGGATGTGGAACTGGTTCGCGCACATGAGGACGAAGTAGGCGTCGCGCTGGAGCTGGGCCGAGACGCCGGCGTTGCGAGGCCGCCGCGTCCGCGCGCTGCACTGCCCGACCTGGTGCAGCTCGAACAGCGCCGACGCGAGCGCTGTTGGTGGCGAGCCAAGCCAAACTGACGTCGATGCCAGCGTGTTGTGCACTGCGCGCCAGAAGTGCCCGCCGTGGCTTGATTCGAACGGCAGGCTAAGGAGGACTGTCAGGGGGAAGACCTGTGTCCCCGGGGGCTGGTTAGCTGTGTCTGTCGTGGCATTCGTGGCGTTTGTGGCAGGGGTTCGTGCTACGTGCCCACGTCGCCACGATGCTGATGGCCGTCTGCGGCGGGTTGAGCTGCGCTCCGCCTTTGCAGATCCTCTCGCATCCTGTGGGTGTCGGCCAGGCGGGCGTGGAGTTAGCAAGGTGTTGACGGTTACAAGATTCTATGAAGATGTTGCAAGACACCCTGAGTATATGGGCGTGGCGAAACTATCAGTGGGGGACTCACCCTCCTGCGTCACGACAAAATAGGGGTCGCCCTGTGAGAAGTTGTTGGGCACCACGCTGCGGTCCCACAGCCGGTCGACGGGTCCCGAGTACAGGTAGTTTGGTAGGGTGGTGTTGTCGACGCCGCTGACGTTGTAGTTTGGGATGGCCCAGATCCTCATGATCTCCTGCTTACACTCGTCGCCGTCGTATGCCGCGGCGAGGCTGCTGGCAACGCAGAGGACGCACAGCCGGGTGCCGAGTCTTGAGGGGTGCCATCGTTGTCGAGGGGCCATGGGCGTGGCGGTTGCTGTAAGTGTGTTTCTTGCCGTGATAGGAGTGTAATTGGTGGTTTGCCACGGAGAGACAGCTCCCATAAGATCAAGATGGCCAAAGACCGCTACGGCAATAGTCCCCGAATTGTCGAGTCAAGTCCGTTATCGAGCAATGTCTTGCCATTTCCCAGTCTCCAAATACACAGAGCGAGCATGGACACAACAGCCATCTTAAGGGTGGCCGCTGTCGGCACTCAACTGCAGCCAGGATTCCCAGGGGCACGTCTGAGAGCCTTGTGGCGTCGTGTGGCGCCTGCACTCTTTATCATGAACTATCAATGCGGGCGTGGTTCAGCCTTACGAGCACATTTGCTGCTGCACGCGGCGGTTATCGGGGGTCTCTGACTGGGCGCTCGGCTGGTCAGCGCATGACCGGTGTGGTTGCACTATTGGCGTGGCTGAAACTTGCAAGCTGTGTGTTGGTTGGCTGCCAAGCTGTCAACCTGTCAATATGTCGGCAGTGGCTGTGAGCAAGCCACCCCCAATAGAAAATGGACGGGTACGGCTTTTTTTCTGTCTATCATATCTGTATCCCAGATATCATATCTGTATCCCAGCTATCTGCCTGCTGATGTATTATATTGTACATGCCGGTATCCAATATCCTGGCCCTCGCGTGGATAACTGCCTTGAGTTCCGTCACACTGCCGGTATCCTCCCAATGAGCATACACAATCCTCCCTACTCTCTATGAGCTTTGATGCACGCACCCACCACCTTTTTCCTCGCACCTACCTGGGGGTTATTGGCAGCTGGCAACAACGCAGGGACCGCTTTTTGTATGGTATAAAATGCCGTATTCCATGGCAGCCACCCAACGGCCTACCGGGCACTAAGGAAGCATACCGGGCACTAAGAAAGCCCGGCAAAGTCAAAATGACACTATTTACACTTCCACATGCCGGCATTTGTGTGCGCAGTTGGTGTTTTAAGGTCTGCAGCGGCTAGGTGGCCTTTGCAGGCTTTTCCTTTGCCAAACAACCCTTGAACACATCATCAACCTACCTTTCCGCTCACAGTCTTCGTAATGCCTTTTATAGAGATTTCCTCTGACAATTCAAGCTCCCTCGCCCTCACCGTTCCCGGCTCCGGCTCCCTCGAACTCGCTGTCCCCGGCTCCCTCGAATTCGCTGTCCCCGGCTCCCTCGCGCTGGCTGTCGCTGTCCCGTGAAGATGACCCTTATCCTCGTAGGAAGGGCGGCGAGGGGAGCCAGGTTGACATAGACTAGGTTACTAGATTGATAGAGTCAACACCAAGGAATTGCATCACTGTGTCAACAAATCAGGATTGAACAGATAGATCATTTAGGCAGCTGGGCGCCTACCATGAAATTTGGCAAATTTACGTACGAATCCGGGCCTCAGAGTTGCCATTTGCAAGTTACCTTTATTCCGAGGCCGACTCAGCAACGAAGATATCGTCAAATTAGAAAACACAACGGTAAACGCGTTTTCAGGGATTTTGAAGGTTTTGATGGCTTCAACGTCGTTGACCCGGGCGGCCGGGCGGCTGGGTTGGCACATGGGAAGCGCATGGGCGGGAAGATGGGATTTCACGATTTTACCGGCCTAAAATAGGCTCTGCGTATCTCAACTGCCAACAGCTGCCAAGGTCCCCAGGCAGGTGCGAGGAAAGAGTGGTGGGTGCGTGCATCAACGCTCCTCTTTATATATCTCTATATCTTTACAGCCACGGAACACTCACCATTGGTTAGAGTAAGCGTAAGCGTAAGAGCTCAATGACCCTACCTACCTTAGAAACGAAGGCGTGTGGAGCTTATGACTCAAGTCTTTCCAGTTTCTATTGGATTCTTTGACCCTCTGAGGTAGAATGTGGTCGCTCTTGCCATGGTTGCTGAGATGGTGAACTAGATGCAAAGATCATAACAACTGGAATTAAATCCCAGGTGTGGACAAGACCAACTTAATTCCAGAAGATCTAGATATGAAATAAAAACCTAATTAGTCCTTTATGTTGAGAGTTATTCTCTTACTGCTTGTATATAATTCCCTAGGTAATGAACCAGGTTTTAGCATCCACTGGGACAACATCACCGATGCAACAAGCGACAGTAGCTCAGTTTCTCCCGTGTCCTGACAAGAAAATTGAACAGCAACAAACCCGATAGCCAGATGAAAGACCCCCAAGAGAGGTTGGAGAAACGCGGGTGGCTATATTGACCTGCACGTGGCTAGAATTTGGTAGGTAACAATCACAAGATAAAAGGTGAGATAATTAGTCACGAGATCAACATCGGGTCTGCAAGACGCCCATGTCCCAGACCCCTTCAAGGCCAAGAAGCGCCCCACCGCGCTGCGGGGCCGCATGGCGAAAGTGAAACGCGCGAAATTCAGGTTTTGGCACAGTGCATACAGGCATGGACACGTGCTGGCTCGCTCGACAGGGTAGGGAGATAGGAAGCCCATTTTCTCGGTTTTCTTTCCAAACCCCCAGAAGTCGGAGACGCCTGTGAGCCTTAGCGTCGCCAGCGTCGCCAGCGTCTGGCGCGCCTTACGGCGAGATCGATGACGATCCGGGCGAACTAATAATAGCCGCCGAGCGAGCGAGCGGCTGCGGCCTCGCAATTGGCCAATCATAGCTGCGCAACCTCCCCCCTGACGCGGTGTGGGGCCCGCCTCACTGGACGTCGTCGTTCGAAGCCAAGAGCTGCCCTGTTTCACTTTCGAGCTGTCGCCGTCAAGTCAAGGCTTCGATCAGGGAACTTCTTTGTCGGGGACCTCTGCGACGGTCACTGTCGCGCGCGCCTTTTGCTCAGCTGCCGCTCTTTGTTTGCTCGTCTCTGTCTGCACGCGTTGCGCATTTCCGATGCCAAAAGTTTAAAAGAACTTGTTCGGCTTCCTCACTTCTCTTCACTTAATTATTCACAACAAATTTAATCCAACCCAAAAAAAGACATAGAAACCGCTGGACGGTACTCGAGCTCACGCTTTTTTTGCTTATTCGCGTATTCTCATCTTCGCATCAACTCCCCGATAATTACACCACCACCTACGAGAAACGGCATTTCTGTCCCATCCATCCTCCATTTTCTGTATCGAGGCAGACAGCCAGCCACAATCAAACATGGGTGTTTCGACATTCATCAAGCTCGGCAAGACGGCCGTCCAGGGCAAGGCCGCCCTCGACTCGTTCGACGCGCACGACGCCACACACAACGCGACCAAGCTCGGCAAGAAGGCGGCCACGGCGCCGCTGCGCGCGTGGGAGAACATCCCGCGCTGGGTGGTGCGCGGGCTGCAGCTGCTCGTGGCGCTCGTCGCCGCGGGCTTTTACGGGCGGCGCCCGGGCGAGCCGCAGGCGCCTGGGTGGGTGTACGTGTTTGGCGTCATTATCGGCGGCCTGTCGGCCGTCACGGCGGTTGCGTTCGCCGTCGCCGGCGCGCTGAGCGCCTTCAGCGCCCGCTGCCGCACGTACCGCCTGTTCGCGTGGGACGCGACGTTGTTCGTGCTGTGGATTGTTGTTTTCGGCGTCACGTACTCTATCTTCCACGGCCACGACGACAAGGGCGACGACAAGGGCGCCAGCTCCCGCACTATGAAGGGCGTAGCGTGGCTCGACCTTGCGTCGGCGGTGCTGTGGCTCGTTAGCGCCGTATATGGCGCCATCAAGACGTTTGTTGGCGGCAAGGTTGATGACGTGGCGGGACGGGTGACGGGACGTGTTGCGGGCAAGGTTGACGGCGTTCATGGACGGGTTGCCGGCAAGGTTGATGGCGTGACGGGACAGGTTGCCGGCAAGGTTGATGGCGCGACGGGACGGGTTGCCGAAAAGCTGTTTGGGCCGAAGAAGGGCCCCGACCCGGCGTCGAAGGAGGGGGGTTTCTACGAGGTTTAATACTAGAGTCGTTCTGCACACTGCATTCAAGGCGCTGGACGAAACATTCAATCCCAATATACAGCCAAGGACAATTGAACGAAGGTCACCCAGAGGCCCCTCCCTTCTCATGTAACAAGTTAACGACTCGTCACACCCCAAAACAACAAACCGCTTCACGATGAGCTGCTGCAGCAGGCTTCATGGCACAGTCCGTCCCCGACAACAGGCCCATCACCAACCCAAACCTGGTCATCCGGAAGGCTCTTGACGGAAATTTCGTACGGCGTGAGGAGGACCATGGCCTTCCAGATATCGCCTCGCTTGTTTTCGCCGATGAATTCGTCCGCAACCCACGCAAGATGCTTGTCCGTATCTCTCTCCAGTGTGTCCGTAGCGACGCGCTGCATCTCGGCCCGCAGACCCTGCTCGATTCGCTTGTACTCTCCATCCACTTTCGGGTCAGGATCGCGCTCGCCTTCCTGCAGTAACAAGAAGTCGAGCAGCTCCTTGTTGATGTCCGACCTGGAAACCTGCTCCACCATGCCCCGGAGCATGTCCAAGCCCGGCCAGATCGGGCTGGCGATCTCCGTGACTGACAGGGGGAGGCAGGCGTGCACGTGAAGCGACCCGTCATCCTTGTCCTCCTCTGTTGTCGGCTGCTGCTGCACCCGGGCGAGGAGATAGACCTCGACGTGTCCCGACAGTTTGGTGTCTTTGATCAGAGCAAGCTCGCCTCGGCACAGCTCGTTGAAGATGGGCTGCGAGGGCCGCTCCCCTTCGACCGGCTGCATCTTGTCCTCTTCGAGCAGCTCCGCGTCGCGTCTTTTCCATTCGTCCCAGGTCCAGGCCTGGATGTGCTCTCCGCGCATCTGGTTTGACAAGTTGTACCACGCCCCTGTCTCCTCATCTCGGCAAAAGAGCTGGTTCTCGACAAACTTACGCGTGAATAGGTTCCACGGCCAAAGCCGGCCGCTCTCGTGCTCGGCCCATGGCCGGAGAGCGATGCGCTTTCCCCAGGATGACACCTTTAGGCCTCGCTCGGTTACCACTCCCATCTTTGCGGTAGATTCCGCCCAGGGGTCGAGTCTGCTTGTGCGGTGTCGTAGCTGAAGCCCGTCTCGAGCTGTGGGAGCAACGTCTTGGGCGCCCATCTCCATCCGCGCAGCGATGACAGTCCAAGCCGCTGGTCGTTGTAGAAGATGACCCGTAGTAGAAAGAAGCCACCGCATTTCTCGGCCAAAAGCCTCCAGACGGTGGCCATGCGTTCCTGTCGACACGACTTCACCTCCGTCATCACTCTAGGGTCGAGCGAGAGGAGGGTGGCGATGGAGAGGGGCTCGTCGCTTGCCACCGACACGCTGCGGAAGTACAGTGATGTTTGAATTGTCTCGACTTGGTCTAGGTAGCGCCTGTTTTTTTGCCATTGAGACTCTTGGGCATCTTCATCTGATGTGGGATCGGTCGACGGTGGCAGTTGAGAGACTCCGAACTAACGAATCTGTGATTGCAGGCTATGTTAATTATCGCCATGCTTCTTCCTTGTCACAGTTCACGAGGGGATGTTTGAAGTTACCATCAGTGAAACAACTCGGTCTAGGTAACGCCTGATCTGTTGCCATAGAGACTCTTGGGCATCTGTCTCGGAAGCAGTCGGCGATGGCGGGCACAAGATATTGAAGCAACGAATCTGTGATTGCAGGTTGTGTTAAATAAGCTGTGCTGCCTCATTGGCAGTTCATACAGGGGATGTTTGAAGTTAGTTACCATCAGGGAAACGTCGTCGGCAATAGGCTTGTAGCGAAGGTCGAGCAACGCAAATTCGTGGAGCTTGTTGGACTCTTGAACCAGGCTGATTGCTCTATCCTGGAACTGGAAGTACAACGACTCGGCCAAAGCATCCTCTGTCCACATAATTATGCTGTAAACCCAAGAGCTCGGTCTCGGGTGTGGGGGGTGGGAATCTTTCTTTCGCACCTTGGAGGGTCCACAGCCGCCTCATCCACGTGGCAGATCCCACCATGCGTAAACAGTTTTCCGCCGTCTTGGTTGCGCCTTCGCCGTGGGACGGAAACGGGTATATGGACTGGTCGAGAACGAGTACATGGGCTGCATTCCGGTAGACGGCCGCTATTCGCTGGAGCGCAATCTTCTTCTCCTCGACTGATATTGGACAGCAGAGAGTGTCTATCCAAAACCAGTATTGTGGCTGGTCTTTTCCCCCTCGTGTCTTCGACGGTGACCGAGATGTCTCGGACGAGTCGCGCCAGGCCGTCTATTTGACAAGACTGGAGGAATTATCTCTTGGGTTGCCGAGGCCATCAGCCCAGACCTGTGGTGAAATCAATACTTTGTCATCACGCCTGAGACGGCGGCCACGGAAATTGGTACTTTGGGCTCTATACTTACATGCGACAGAGCAACGTAAGGCTTGTCGGCGTTGTACATCTCGACATGGATGCGAACCACCTTGCCGTCCCCGTTTTCCGAGAAGTCGAAACGGAGGACTGGGAATGCGTCGGCACTCGAGCTGCTCTTGAGAATGGACTTGACGTCTTCTTGATCAATGCCGATGATGTCACAGCCAGCACAATCTTTGACATGGGTCAGAGCGTATGTGCTGGTATTGATCTGGGCCGCGCTGCACATCTGGACGGAGCATGAGCTGTGTGAGAAGGTCCTGGGCTTCTGTAGGTGGCTTAAGAAATGCCGGGTCGCAAGACCGTAGAATGACTGGCGGATGCGCTCAATGTCGCTTCTACACCATTCTTTGTTCAGCATCTCTTTTTCAACATCACTGTCGGCCTTGAGGTAGTGTGATCCCCATATTCCTCCCACGAGCCGAGGGATTTCGAAGCGTTGTGCAAACCAGTGCAAGGTCGAGACGCAGACTTCGCCGAGGGCTGAGATGGATACAGCGATGGACGATCGGAAATCTGCTGGACTGACGTTTAAACTGCTGATGAGACCAACTGTAAAACGGAGGCTCTCGTATAAGTAATCAAGATAGTGACCAGCCGCGCCGGTATCTTCAGCGTCGACAAGGCTCCGCATCAAGTGCGTCACAATCCCCTGGTATTCTCTCTGATCGTCGAGAGGTGCGCCACTGATAATAGACTCTTGGGCGTCATGGCCATGTCTGACTGGCTGCGGGGTTGCCCTGACAAAGGTTCCATAGAACCTTTCGATCTCGACGGCTCGGTCGCGATCTGGCTTGATGACTTTGGCATGCGAGCTGCCCGAGAGCGCGACAGCCGTAAAGTCATCATTAAGACCGTAGAACTCGGCCAGAAGACCGAAGAAGAGCCAGATCTGTAGGAACGTTTCCTTCTCGCCCTGTTCGAGCGGCTTGAAGTACCTGCGGTCGCGATACGTCGCATCACGGCCGCATCATCCACTACGCTCAAGCCAAGACCCTGGGAGGATGCTCGGCGCATAATACCCTTGCGTACCTGCGTGGGACCAAGGGCAGCCAAGATCGGTGGGCTGATGCTGTCGGCGACGACAGATATAAATGGGACAACTTTCTGCCCTACTTCAAAAAGTCTTGTACCCTCTCGCCACCCAACTGGCAGAAGAGGAACAACCCCAACGCAACGTTCGAATACGACAAGTCGGCATTCGAAACAAGCGCCAAGAAGAGCGGCCCAGTCCACGTGTCCTGGGCGAACTATGTTGATTCCTCAGCACCATGGCTTGCTAGGGCACTCCAGGCGACCGGAGTCCCCATGAGCTCCCTGGGTCTCAATAGCGGCACCCAATCGGGCTTCGGCGCCTGGTCAACGACCATGATCGACCCCAAGTTCGCCACCCGATCGAGCGCAACCGAGTATCTCCACGGCGCCATCCAAGACACGTCGATCGCGGTGTACCACCGCACGCAAGCCCTCAAGCTCAACTTCGACCTAGCCACCAAAACCGCCACTAGCGTCCGCGTATCGACCCTCGGGCTGGAATACACCCTCACGGCGACCAAGGAGATCATCCTCTCGGCCGGCGTCTTCCACACGCCTCAGCTCCTGATCGTCTCCGGGATCGGCCCCACGTCCATCCCGGCCGTCGCGGCTCTCCCAGGGGTCGGCCAGTCCATCCAGGACCAACTCTCCATCTCCGTTAGCTCCGGCCTGAAAACTACCTCCGCCTCGACATTGATCAGCGACCCAGCGGCCTTCCCCGCGGTCCTCGAAGAGTATCTCACGTCTCAGTCCGGGCCGCTCAGCTCGGCAGGCAGCTACCTGTCCTTCGAGAAGCTCCCAGCGCCGTTCCGCAACAGCCTCTCCAACACCACCCTCAGCGCCCTCGCAGCCTTACCGAACGACTTCCCCGAGCTGGAATACATCGTCGCGGCCTTCCCGAGCGGCGACCCCGAAAAGATGTCCTCCATCGGCGCCATCAGCGCCACCATCCTGCACCCCTTCTCGCGCGGGTCCGTCACGCTCGCCAGCGCCAGCATGGCCGACGCGCCCGTCATCGACCTCGGCTGGCTGACCAACCCCGCCGACCAGGACCTCCTCGTCGCGTCCGTCAAGAGACTCCGACAGTTCTGGAACGCGACAGTACTGCAACCAGTGAAAACGGGCGACGGCGAGCTCGCGCCAGGCCCGAACGTCACAGAGGACAAAGACATCCTCGAGTGGGTGCGACGCACGTGCACCCCCGTCTGGCACGCGTCGGGGTCGTCGGCGATGGGGAAGGAAGGGGAGGGTCGTCGGCGATGGGGAAGGAAGGGGACCCGATGGCCGTCGTGGATGCCCAGGGCAGGGTGCTGGGCAGCGTGCGCGGGTTGAGGGTGGTCGACGCGAGCGTGCTGCCGTTTGCGCTGCCCGCGCACCCGACGGCCACGCTGTATGCGCTCGCAGAGAAGATTGCGGATGATGTTCTGAGGGGAATGCAATAGCATACATGGCTCTGGTCGTGGCCGTGTGGAAGGCTCCCGCTTACAGTGCGCTCGACACCCTAGGCCCGCCAACGGCTTGGACACATTGTCAGGAATGGCTTAAGGTTAGGTGACTAAATCTACCCTAGTCTACTTTTTAGGTCTTTTGGTATACGTTATTAAATTTCAAATACATTAATTTGTAATAATGGACGTAAGAAGGTGCAGACGCCAGTAATTAACGAACTACGGACCGGGAAGACCTAGTTAGAGCCTTGAATTTCCCTTTCGGCTGGTAAATGGATTGAATTATAGTGGAGATTCCGTATCCAGTTTTGGTTGGTGGTTTTGGTTTGGTATTGACTACGCTGCTGATTGCAGATGATCGGCGCTGACTGCGCATGATATCATCTGGCTTGTTACTCGGCCGTCTGGCCTCCAAGTTTGTTAGTCCGCCAATGGAAGGTGCAGGGCGAGATTGCTAATTAGATCATAGAGAATCCAAAAGGAGGGACCTATCTAGACAGCACTAATTAGCGCTACAATTTTGACATTCGGCCACTAACTACCCGCCTATCCCGTCCGGCACGCTTCTCAACGCCCCGGAAGAGCCCATTCCACTACCTCGATTCCTCCTCCTATTCTTCCGACTCCCCACCGTCTGCCACGTCTCTATCAACTCTATCACGTTTTTCGGCCTCGCAGGGAGTTCCACAGGCAGCGGAACGGGGCCTAGAAACAGCCCCGATGCTGATGACGCACCGTTAGTTAACGCGTCTAGGTCGGCGTTGCTCGATGGGCTCTTGGCCGGCGTCTTGGTCCCGTCTAGTTTGCCGTAGGAGGTGGACATAGAGTTTGGCTCGACGCTCGCCATCTCATCGGCCCAGTTTGACTTGATGGGCTCTGTTTTGCCGTCGAGCCGAAGGATAACGGGTGCTTCTCGCGAGGCTGCAAGTGTCGCTGGTGGTCCGGGGGAGCTTTGTTTGAGCTTGCTGCTGTAGGACTGGTTGCTACTAGTAATGGCGCTTGGCCCGGCAAGGGAAGGCGGTGGATTGAACGTTTCCGCTTCCTCCTCCAACAAGTCTTCCAGTGTATGTGGCTGGGTGCCCGTCTTGCGCCGTCTTTGGGTGAGAAGAGCGATAGTTGAATTTGAACCACCACCGCTGTTGTTGTTGTTGTTGTTGTTGTTGTTGTTGTTGTTGTTGCTGCCATTGCTACTAGACGCTTTCCAATACCCAAGGTCCCCTTTTCTAATCTCTTTCCTTCGTTTCTCGGATCTTTCCCGCTTGTCTCGCATATCCCGGTCATCTGGGGTTTGGGGTTTGTCTGAATGACAAATATAGGTAGTCAGCCCTTGCTTTATCATTCGTCGCCATCTTGGTACGCGGCCGTTGCTGGTAGAACTTACCTTTGTCCTTCTTCTTCTGTGATTGGTTGGGAACCAGTGGCGCGATGACTTTACTCTTGATGTTATCCTGTAGAAGACAAGGCATGCCGATAATGAGGTCGTAGTCCTGGACGTTGACTACCCAGAACAGGCTGGAATGCCAGCCCCCTGGGATATCCTCAAACTTGAAGTATAGTTCGACCCAGCCCAAGGGCTGAAACTCGTTGCCACTAGCATCAGTGACTCTCTCGCCGTCTCTTGATCGATCCGTCTCAATGATTTTCTCGAGCTTCAGCTTAGACAAGAAACCTAATGCGACGATGTTTGGACCTTCGTCCCCGGTGTCGATGATTGCTGTGGCGGTCTGGTGGTCTTTGCTCGACTCACCCATGACTCTTGTATCTATCCGGAACTGATTGAAGATCTGGTGCATCGAGACACGAGTTAGCTGCCTCCGGGACGGATGCAGAGGACTGTAGCTTCAACCTGCCTCCATGATCCGGTCCTTGTCTGCTTTACGCGCTTCAAAGTGACCCATGTTATCAAAGTCGAGCTTGTCTTTGCGGAGGCGAGAATTGGATATGAGGGTCCGGCGGCGGTGGCTTGGGATCGAGCGTCTGTTGTCAAAATACGCGCTGTTTTCGCGCAAGTTGGTCCCTAGAGCAAACTCCTTGTCGACAGCATTAAGTGCCTGGATCCGCAGGTTCATGTGCGCCTCAGTTTCCCGCGCACCAGCTTCAGCGAGGTAAGTGTCGAGCCAACGACCCGAGTCTTCCAACAGCATGTTGTAGTTGTCCCAGAGTTCCAGGGCCGCTGCTTTGGCCTTTTCGGCCTTGTCCTCCTCGTATTTCACCTCGCCGGAGCAGGGATTACGGTTCGGAGAACGATGATGACGAATGTATTCCCACCAGTCCATCAAACTCTGCTCCGCCTCGGCTGCTTGTGGGAGTTCGCATCTCCTGTATGTCTCGGTAAGCAAGTGCAGGGCTGCTCCAATGCGATCGCCATCGTATCCGTGTTCGCAGAGGAACTTTATCGACTGCTCGTTCAGTCTATTGGCTTCGGGAGTGCGGTCCTTTCGTGCGTATAAATCATGGAATCTGGTGATCATGGTCTCGACGTGGACCTGGAGGTTACGCATGCAGTCGAAGAAGGCGGTGGCTGCATTGGCGGACCCGCCCGGGCCATATCTTGAGGCCCCCTCTGGTCACTAAGAGGAAACAGAGAGTAAGTATCTCGGTGCGTTGTAGAGTCGAACGCTGTGAATATAATTACGAACCGTTGGTCTGGATGCTCTGTGTGTCAAAATCACGTCCGCGTCCGCTTTCTCGCCAGGCCCCACCCCGAACCCGGTTCTGTTGAAAGACACGGTCTTCAAACAATGGAAAGTCGCGCATCTTGGGGGTGAGGGGGGGGATTTGGCAGCTTGAAGACAAGGGGCAGTGGCTCAATGGTGCAGGAGAAATGCACAACTTCAGAGAAAGGTTTCGGCGCGTGTTGTGCCACACGTTTACCCAGTACTAACAAACGACACTAGGCAGGTTCAGAATTGAGGGTCCGGGGGATGGGGTATCTATGGAGATGGGATAAGGCTCTGATGAATGTCGGTGAGAGGGAAAATGCGCTTCTTCCAGTCAGTGGTGGCAGTGTCGGGATACCAGGCCAATCAGCGGCCCGGTGGGCGCAAGATTATGCAAAGACGGGGCCATGGCCACGTCAGGCGTTTTCTATCAAGGCTCTAGAGCGAAACAGATGGTAGGCTCCGAGCGGTTTACCCCACACCTCCATGAACCCGAATCACCTTCAAATCTAGTCTTGCAAACTGCGGCAACACAAAATGGAAGGCTACGCTAAACTTGCGTCCTTGATGGGAGCATATCCAGATGTTGCCATTGTCCGCCGGTTCTCCGCTTTGAACATGCAGAGGGTTCTGTATCTCCAAGCCGAGCTAGTTGAAATGGAGTTTCAGCTCAGGCGGATCGAAGAAGAAGATAAACAGTCAGCGGATGTGGAGAGATCAGACTGTGCGTTCGACTGGATTGCTCTCCGCGGCTACCGTGAACCAATACCCAGTATCCCTGAGTCTGGCGAGGTGTCAGGTGGATCTCCAACGCCGCTCGTGGGCAGCTCGGGAGCTGAGCCGCAACCCAGTTCCAACAACTTCCCCGCGAGTCGGCGATGGGCCCTCATGACTGCCATAAGCAGCAAACTGAAAGAATATAGTAGGTAATAACGGCAGATCTCGATTCGCCAGGTCTACAAGGACTACCTGTATCTCCAAGGCCTGACCAGTGAGGGCTAACAACCAGGCGTTCAGATGACGCGGTTCTTGTGCAGACCTCTATTATAAAACTCGATAAGCCGTCGGCACAAAGTCTTCAGACCCTGAGAGTGCTTCTGGCCCCGTCATCTGGAAACAACATCGGCCTATCCGGGCTTGATGCGCTAGTCTGGGAGCGGCCAGACAAGTTAGATCTACTCGTCCTCCAGCCACAAAAGTCGGAAAGCATTTTTTCCTCGCTGCTATCTAACAAGATCATCTACTGGCTCCACCAAGTAATTTTCTACCCCATAGTGAGTTTGCACTTGCTGCATTACTATCTTTTCCCTTGTCTCATGGGTTTTCGTGGCGTCCCTGTATAGAAGTTAATTAACACGGGTGGTAGAAATCCAAAGTCACCCGCTCCACGAACAGTTCCCCGGAAGAAACCTCAGACCCAACCCGGCTCGACTCGGTCCATGTAACGACTGACACGACGTACTATTCTAGTTCCACTCTGCAAAATATTGTACGTCTCATCGCCACAGCATTATCTTCGCTGCTTCCGGTCATCGCCATCGCGGTGCTCTACAACCTCAACACTACGCCGGACCGCCTCTGGGCGGTTGCAGGCTTTACTTTTCTCTTCTCACTTGCTCTGGGCATCTTTACGCGGGGTGACATTGTAGATGTTTTTGCAGCTAGCGCCGCGTTTGCAGCGGTCCAGGTCGTTTTTGTTGGGTCTGTGATCACGGCGGAGAAGGTTAATTAGTGGTGGTGTGACGGCGGTCAACAGCATCTAGGAAGAAGAGTCGCTAGTATGGCTATACCATTGTCTTAGGATTCTAAAAGTAAAGAAAGAAAGAAAGAAAGTCTACAAAGGTACGATCGAGGGTGCGGGGGTATAGTGGGCTGCCGAGAGCGCACGGGCCATTATGGTTTGCCCTGCCAAGGCTCGTGACAGGTGGCGATGGGCTTTGAAATCGGGTTCCTCGTCCGCAATCACCCTTACTTCTGGCACAAGTTGTGCTGGGGTAGCCTACAGCCACTGCAACCAACAGCAGCACATTTGCACAGTTGACTAGACTCCTAGGCACATAGGTATCCGTTTTGTCTAGCTAGCACAGCGGCACCTATTACACAAGTTCTCTCCACCCGCGTCACCTACTATCTGTCCCAGTTTTTGCTTTGTCTGGGGGGGTGGTTAGTTAGCCGGGTGCCGGACATTTCGGAGGCGACGAACCGGTGGCGGAGGGAGGGAAGGAACTATTAGAGATTTGACGCTTATTAAACTATGGATGGCCCATAGCGGCCGGCCCATCTGTAAGAGAAGGTAGGTACGCCTGATCAAGGTGGTCACAATGCAGGCAAGAAGGTAGGGGAGCAATGACTTGTATTGGTGTAAGACTTCAACCTGGCCCTCGCAAAGGAAGATGGGCGAGGGCCATTGTTTATATACCTGCTCAGGGGTTCGGCCCGGGCATCAGTCTGCGGTCGTGGCGCCACGGCGTAGCGTATGCCAGCTGGCAGTGTTCTAGCCAGTTGGTGACAAGTGGTGGGCGCGCACCCTGTGCGCGCAGTTGGTGTTTGGGGTGTCCTTTTCCTTACACCATCCTCGATTAGTGCTTACCCCCTTCAACCGCAGGGAGAAGGTAACCCGCGTGGAACCTACCTCTTTAGCGCGCTAGCCAGCGGGCTAGTCAGCGCGATACTCGCTAAGACTAGGAAGGATTACGAGATTAGAGCGGGTATGGATACGTAATTATAGCCGTAATAGGGATGGAGGGGTATAATTATAAGCTATGCTATGGTAATTGTGATGGAGGGGAGTATAATTATAAGCTATGCTATGGTAATTATGATGGAGGGGGTGTAATTATAAGCTGTGGTGTGGTAATTATGATGGAGGGGGTATAAGTATAAGCTGTGCTGTGGTAATTATGGTGGAGGAATAGGGGGGAAGGTTAAGCGATAAGTTGTCATCGAGATTAACTGTTATTAAATTCCGGCTTATTCTCGCTTCTCCTTCTAGGGCCTCGAAAGTGTCTGTTCAAAACTCATACCTCCTGTCACGGCCGCCACAGGGCTCATGTGACAGGATTGATTCTATTGGCTGCATTGTGTTTAGAGTGTGGCCTGTGCGCACTGAACACCACCTATTTCTCCGCGCCCTGCGCGGACCCCGCGATAGATTCCTTTCTCTTCCTTAGCTTTAAATCCACATTGTTACTGCCTTCAACCATTGACATCCCTACTGCGTAAGGCGGGCCGTCACACCTCCTAACTACACGGTTCAGCCACACCGTAATCAAAACTTGAGTATAGCCCCAGTCTCGCCAGGCACTCGCACAGCGACCGCAGCCGGCCCGAGGAGCGTGTAGTTGTAGTGAGCTGCCACCGAGGCCGCCGTCAGGTTCCCGGCGGGCGCGGCATCGCGCCGCCCGCCCAGGTCGTTGTCGAGTGCGATGGCGTACCTAAGGTAAGTAATCAGCGTCACAATAATCAACCTATTCAGCTCCTTTCCCTCGTTTTACGCACGGAAGCTGACTTCCTTGGCGCTCACGAATCGGAGGATAAACACGTACCCGACCTCCTTGGAGTCGACGCTCGTGATGGGCGACCTGACGTCGCGGAACGCGTTGCTCTCGGCCAGCACCTGCGCGCCCATGCGCGTGTTGATGGCCGAGCTCATGCTACATCGCCACCAGCATTATTCAGCGGGTCGGAATTACACGTCCTCGGTTGACTCTAGCTCACTCACTTCACGTAGTACGAGTTGAAGATGTGCGCGGTGCCGAAGCGAATCGACGGCCCGCGCGAGTTGCAGCTGTGCCAGTAGTTTTTAGCGTACGTTACGTGCAGCCGACCTGTGTCCTGCGCGCCGTTGCTGTCGCTGTGCCCGATGAGGGATGCCTTCCAGTGGTCGTGGAAGTAGGTGCTGGCAGTGCGCACTTGTTAGCTCTTTGTTCGCTGATAGATGGCTGGCTGATTGGAAACAGGGAGCAGTGTTTACTTCGAGACGGTGACGTAGTCTGAGCCGTGCACAATGTCGATCAGCCCGTCGTAGCGGTCTTTGTCACTGGTCTGGGCCGAGTAGAACTCGCAGTGGTCAACCCAGACATTAGTACTGTTCTGTGTCGATGGCGTGTCAGTCAACATCTCCCCCCTGTGCATCTGTGGTGGCTACCCACCTCGATTGTCAGCCCATCGCCATACGCGGCCGTGACATTGGCCGAGATGATGTTTCGCAGAATCAGATTCGTCTGCTTGCGAAAGTAGAGGCCGACGCCGTCGAATCCTGCCCGATGCAAGTCACACGTCGAGATCAGCCTCCATGCTCGACAGCAACTCCATGCTCGACAGCAATTCCATGCTCGACAGCAACTCCATGCTCGACAGCAACTCTATGCATTGAAATAAACCCCCAAACTAACCTGACCCCGGCAGCCCAATAATGGTCTTGTTGCTCGCGATGCGGACGTTGGCGGTGCCGTTGATGATGCCCTTGACCACGACGATGGCCGGCGCCGTCATGTTCTCGCGGACGGCCGCGGTAAACTGCGCCAGTGTCGACACGGTCGTCGTCACGTCGCCCTTGGACCCGCCCGACGTGCTGCACGGCCGCCCGCAGTCAGTCTCGCTCCTCTCCAATAATCAACTATGGGGCTGGGTTCTTGCCCTCCGTTCAGCGTCGCGTATCCCAGCGAAGCTACCTGTGATACTGATGCGTTCTGGAAAGGGGGGAGCTTGGTAAACACGCGGCCCGTCGTTAGGGTTGGCGTCAGCGCCGCGGACGCGAGGTTCACCAAAGGCAGAATTGCCGCAGAAAATACAGTGAGCTTCATGATGGTGAGAGCCTGAACGCGGCGATGAAAAAGATATGAAATGTTTGACTAGGTCGAGCGTGACCTGTGAGGTAGTAGAAGAAGACAATCACGCGCAATGGACACAATATCCAGGTTTGTCGGGGTCGTCCACATGCGGGCAGCAATATCTGGTATTTTTCCGGACCCGGCGGCTAGGTATATTAGCACGACCTCGGACCTGGCCTGTTGTCGGATAATAATGGTCAGTGTTACACTCGCTGGTGGACTGCGCTGGGCGACAAGAGATTACCGGGAACTGGAAACTGTACCAAATGGGTAGGGCGAGAGTGTTTTACCTCTGGGATGCAACATTGAATCGTCTTAGTGTGGTTTGAGGTAGAATGGACTCGATGACATGAGAGAAATCCATTCACGGATGTATCCCAGATTGCGGATGTATCCCAGATTACGGTGGAGTCCTAGATTACGGTGGAGTCCCAGATTACGGTGGAGTCCCAGATTACCCACCAATCACGGCGGCGCTTATCGTTTGCGAGAAAGTCTCCGAATAGTCACTATCCAATGCACACTTGAAAAGACTATCAAAACAAATTATAGTTCTGCACTCTATTGATGTATTTCTCTATAACGACAGTTTCAAAGCCCGAGGATTGGGAAGACAAAGGAATATCAGAGATAAAGAAGCAGACCAAACACGTGGGTCGTAGAAAATCTGAAAATAGAACAAAAGCTAACTGCATACCTACCTTGGGTAAGGCAAGGTATGTGTTCCTCGAAGAAAAATTAGCCGAATTGCGACGGAAAAGAAACCGATCCAGCATATTCCCGCGTGTATCACCTTCTCTCCGCCGCCCCTAAACTCTACACAGACCGGAAGCCATAGCGGCCGTTCCTACCATCAAACGCCGTCACAAACGCGCGGTACGCGTGGCGGCCCGTGTTGATGTACGTCAGCGCCGGGTCCCGGAACACAGCCGAAACATAGTCCGGATTGACATCGGGAGAACCGGGCGAGCCGAGCGTAAACGACTCCGTGGCGACAGCCGTCGATCCGGGCGCGCCAAAGTCGATGCGCACAGCGCTGGTATCGACCAGGCGCCCGCTGCGGCCCGACACGAACCGCAGCGCCGTGCCGGCCGGCATGCGCAAGTAGCTCTGGCCGATCCCCGTGTCGACGACGGCGTGGCCGGGCACGCAGGGCGTCGCGCCGTCGACGGCGATGCACGCGCGCGCCTCGCGGTACTCACCGGGGATGCTAGCGTGTGCCTCGAGTGCGTACCACGAGATTCCGGCAGTGTTGGCGTCGGTCAGCCCGACGCGCAGCCCGTGGCTGTCGAGCACGTAGCCGGCCGAGTAGGCGGTGGCGGGGTCCATGCTCTGCGTGCCGACGCTGACGATGTTGCGCAGCGGGTTCTTGTCGGGGGTGCCCTGCGGCAGGCCGTCGTACTGGCGGCCCCAGCCGACACCCATCATGCGCGTGCCGGTCGCGTTGGCGATGCGCGGCACGCTGGCGTTGGGGCAGTGGCCTGTTGTGGATGCGATGTCGAACGTCGGGCACTCTGACTTGTACATCATGGCTAGGATGGGCACGCTGGCTTTGACGACGGGGTTGGCGGGGTCGCCGACGTTGAAGTAGAAGTCCCGCGGCACCCAGCAGCCTTCGTACAGCAGGTTGCTGCTCGACAGGAACTGCCAGCCCGGCGTGCCCTGGTCTTCACAGGGGGTGTTGAAGTCGTAATCCATCTCGGGCGCTGAGAACACCATGCCCTGCGTGCCCGTGTCGACGATGGGCCGGTAGCTGTGCCCCATCGTGGATCCCATCCTCACCGTGACGTGCACATTGGTCGACCAGTCGACCCCGCTGCCCGTGGTGTCCTCGTAAAAGGGGATTAGGGCCGTGGTGGTGTATCCCGTGAGGAGACCGCGGGCTACTAGCGGCAGAGCTTTTGCTACTAGTTTTGCGAGTGCCGGTGCCATGTTGTCGGAGTGTGATGATATCTGATGGTCAAAGGGGTGTTTTCGAGTGTGCTTATGACTTAGGAGCTGATCAAGTGAGTAAGGTTGTCGGGTAAGGTTCTCGTATGCTTGAAGCAGACAACTCTTTATATCTGTGGCCGTCGCGGTGCCAAGTCGGTCTGTCGGGCGCGTTTGCTTTCCGGTCGTCTAATGGTCACGACAGCTCATTCCCATCCTTAGACACACATTACAAAGCTGTCATCTTGGCACTAGGACTTTTCCCTAGCGAACTTGAGCGGTGAGGTTTCGAGTGTGTGCAGCTTCTCAGGCGACCACCCAGCCAAGACTTCTTCATCGGCTTTGCTCACGGTGGGTGCGGTTACACGAGGCAAAGACCGAACCAAATCACCATTTGTTGATGGCAACGACGAAGAACGCCAAAGGGTGAAGCACGGCCTTAAATCGGGCAGGATTCGATCGCGTGTTGACGTCTGGCACTCGACGCATCCTGATTTCTGAGACATTGTCACAAATTTCCGGGCGGGGGAGTTCTATCTCGGCGAGCCCAATGGGGAACTATTTAGCCACTTTGATCGACATGTGAGTCAGCCGCCCCAAACCCGATGGCCCGCTCCGGCTTCATCGCGAATGTGGAGGCGGTGCATCCCATCACGCTCATAGGGCTGTAAATATACCGGATTGACCCAAGAGTCCGGGTCCGCCGCGATGCAACCCCCTGACCAAAGTCGTTTTTGGCACCTATTTTGATTGGCTTGTGGCTCGGTGAGTGTCAGCACTTATATGCGCCCTTGGAACTTTGTCTGACTGATTGTTGATCATTTGTAATCATAGGACTACAGACAGCAACTAGAACTAATTAGCTGGAGCATTTCCAAATGGAGAAAACAGCTGGTCACGACCTCTTCATCCTGATACCTCCTTTTTGTCTAGCCGATGTAGCTCCGTCTTGGCGTTGCATCACTTCAAAATCCTGCCTCGGTATGCACGATCCTGGATTCTGTGACGGTTTCGGGGCCTGGAGTGAACAGGCGTGGCAGCATAGCGGAACCCTTGGTATAATTAGCCCGCCCATAATACCAGTTTCTGCGCCACGGCAGCCTATTCAGGTTCCAAATTACCAAAACTTGCCACCAGTCGAGAGCGTGGCTGTTGGTAATAGGGGGAGGTAATACCTGTACATAATCCACCACCTCGTGCTGATAATTATTCCAGTAACATTTCGCTAGAATTCTGTCCGCCAACAATTTAGTCCGTCTTTACTCTGAAGTAGGGAATGGAATCAGATATAATTGTATATTATATTATATTTCGTCTGCTTCAATAAGACCTGCCTTCTTCAATAAGACCTGCCTGCTTCAATAAGGCTTGCCTGCTTCAATAAGACTTGCCTTGAGGAGGGACTTCCATATTTGGATTTATCCCGAAAGTGAAGTAGCTCATACCAATCACCACGTACACATTAAAGGTTGACATGGGCATTTGCCGCGGTATAGCAAATAGTTAAAACAATGGAACGGCACCGACAGAGTCGTACCGGAACCTTACCACCGCCATGCAAGATCAAAGTTTTCGCCCAGGGCACGTAGTATAATTGTATGTTTTAAGACGAAGACACTAGAAGAGGTTCGACAAGAGTTTGGCATTAAAAATTGAAAGTAAAAGACACCGTGCTCATATTTTCGCATTTTTGCCTGGAGTGAAACACGTTGCGGCAAAATGAAGGTAAGTCCCTGTGTGTTCGTTATTGATGAATGCAGGGATAGGTGTAAACTAGGGCTCCTCGTCTCTCATTGACGGCTTTGGATTACTTTCGTAGGCCTCTAAAAGTCGAAGAAGGTAACTAGCTGGCTTATGTATGCCACTAGGTGCTCAAATATGCGTTTGGGAAGTTCAAGGAGGTCTTTGGAGTAATGATACCAATTAAAAATGTTAAGTAGCATGTGCGGAAAAAGACCCTGGACGGTCTGATCAAAGCTCATATCGAGTACATAATACCTAATGACGCAGAATGTTGATAGCTGTGACGTTGATTTACCCTCCAAGGCCCTTACTCATGTCGAAGGGCTAGCAAGTCGAGACCTGTTTGCTTTAAGCCTAGTGCGTACGGGGGTGGGTGCATGCGCCAGAGATAAAGACCTCGGCAATCGCACCCGGGATGGCTAATCATAAAGCTCATACATAATCGTAAGCAATAGGATAGTGAACAAAAACGTACAGCAGTCCCTAGTGTCGGCTCAGCAAAAAGCTCTATGATCTCTCTGGGCCGACCGTCAACAAAGCCAATGCGCCAAGTCAGGTCCAATTGCCGATGCAATTCCCACCAAATTCGCTGCCGATTAGACGCTCGCAGGTAAGAGCATAACGCAACGAACGATGGAATGATAAGCAATGGGGCCTTGGAATGGCTGGACTCTCCTCGGAGTCCCTAGGTTACCAGGTAGGCATGGCGCTGGCTAGCGGCAGGAAGCTATGGCCCAGCGATGGATCCTGCTGCTGCATGCCACCGGATAAGCTTACAGCTGCGGAGGCTGCTTGCTCGCGTGCTCCGGCTCCAGTTCGCAGGCCCGTCGACCCAACACGTCGGTAGTGTAGTACGAGGCAGAAAATTTCCCCATGCAGTAGTAGTAAGCGGGCGGGTCGTTGCGTGGGGGGCCGGGGTTTTTCACGCGCCTCGGGTTTGGGCCTTGATTGTCCAAGGCACCCATCAGCTTGTCCACTGTGGTCTGTCTTGAGACCTGTAGGTGGTGTGCGCGGAATGCAGGAAGGGTTAATATCTCATGACGACAGGAGGCAAAAACGACGGGGGAAATTGGAGATGAAAGAGAATCACGGCAATCTGTGCCCGTCGTGGCGCCGACAACCCCAGGACCGTCAGCCTCACCCAGTTCTTGGACATGTCGTCGTCGGCGGCTGTTGAGAGGCGGGGAAAGGGACAACCGGCCGCTGCACTAGCACGCGGGCTACAGTAAATAATAGCCTCAAATTTTTGAGCTGACCGAGCGTGTGCAGTGGAAAAATCGGTCGAAAATGCCGCATGTCGTCTGGTTTCCGCGGGTTATTGTTGACCATGCAAACCGTGCAGCCCAGTGTGAGCTGCGCGGCTCCGTTGCCACTTTTTACTTCAGGGCGTGGGTGACTCGATGGGATCGAGTAATGCCTTCCAGGCTGGCTGATTTTGCGGGGTACGGCAACGATAGCATCCCATCCTTATCGTGCATGGGCCCAGAGCATCAAGAGATAGCGGCCCCCGGGGGCACATAACGGCCCTTCTTAGCTTCTAGGGCGGCCAGACTTGGTGATAAGAGAAGAGCTACGATTGGCCAATCAGTGCAGGTCGCACCCGCGCCTTCCCCGATCGGAGCAGTCTCCAACAAGATCTCAGTCGGCCAGCCTGTGGAAACCACCTGTGGAAACCACCTGTGGAAACCATCTGTCTACGATGCAACTCTCGACCAGCATTGCACTCCTCGCGCAGGTGGATGTTCACGGCATCCCCGAAGCAAGCAAGGCATGTGGGAGTTTGCTAAGACTTTCAAGCTCTTCCCCAGCACCATGCAGCCCGAGATGCGCGACGTTTTGCCGCCTGGCTCACGGCCAGCACCAAGACCACTACACGAACCACCAACCACCAGCTTTCGGGATTACCACTATGCAGAGTGACACTACGTAGGTGAGGTAGGTTTTCGCCTGCCCTAGCGTGGGGGAGACTTGGATTGCAGCTCTGGCCAGCTCGAGATGCGCCGCGGCCGAGCAAGAGGGGCGACCCCTCTATCGCCAGCATTGCCCCACCAAAGACGGACGATAATAAATAGATATCGGATGGCCACCGAGCAGGTGGAGAGAAAATCGGTTCTACTAGCTAGCATCTACACACCCGAGCGTCGGCTTTCCAGTCCAGGTCGCACAGCTCAAGCTTTACCTCGGCGCAGGGCCCCGTCGGTCCATCCCAAGCTTGTTTCTTCTTTGCGCCCGCTCCGGTATTATACCTCCCTCCTCCCCCCTCCCCGCAGCCGTCAGCTTCACGTGTGCCACGTGCGTCATAGCCTGTAGGGAGCCGGTATATCGTCGGACGGCTCCAAGCTCCAAACCTCCCGGCGAAGCCAGCCTTATTAACCTCTTCCTCTCCCGCCTTTCCCCCAATTTTCGGTCCGTGCGTGCCTTTTTAGGTTCCTCACCATCGCGGGATCACCGTCGGCTTCAACCAACTCGCCCGCAGCCATGGACGAAAAACCAAGCGCGCTCAGCCGCTTCGCCAAGCGGATCGAGGTCGACGCCGAGCCCGGCCTCACGACCGCCCAGTTGATGGTGCGAAAATCTTTTGTGTGCTGCTAGAAACAGTGGCGCGCCGACGGGGATGCTCCCTGCCCGTAGGCTCCACGCGTCGCGCAAAAGGCTAACGGGACCTCTCTCGCGCAGTTGACCAACCACGATCTGAAGCCTGTGGAGCCTGCGCGCCGGCAATGGGGCCCCTGGAACTTCGTCGGGTTCTGGATCGCCGACTCGTTCAACATCAACACGTGGATGATCTCGTCGTCCATGGTCGTGGCTGGGCTCTCGTGGTGGCAGTCGTGGCTTTGTGTCTGGATTGGCTATGCCATCGCCGGCGTCTTCATCTGCTTGACCGGCCGCATCGGCGCCACTTATCACATCGGGTTCCCCGTCGTTGCCCGGTCTTCGTTTGGCATCTGGGGAGCCCTGTGGCCCATATTCAACCGAGCTGCCATGGGTATGGAGTGACCCCATCAACACCGCGCTGCCAAGCAATCTGGCTAATGGTACGCAGCTTGCATCTGGTATGGCGTGCAGTCGTACATCGGCGGTCACTGCGTCTACATCATGATTAGGGCCATCTGGACGAGCTGGGTGAGTACGCCATGACAACGAAAGACTAGGCCCTGTTGCTGACAAAATGTCCAGGACCGCGCCACCATCCCGAACACGTTTTCAGCGGAATCTGGAACCACGACAGCGGACTATGTCTCGTTCTTCCTCTTTTGGTTCTGCTCGCTGCCCGCTATTTGGTTCCCCGTCCACAAGGTCCGCCATCTGTTCACCGTCAAGGCGTACTTCGTGCCCTGTGCCGGCATCGCCTTCCTCATCTGGGCCGTTGTCCGTGCCGGCGGAGTGGGTCCGATCGTCAGGCAGCCCGCGAGAGCTGAAGGTTCGGAGCTCGCGTGGCAGTTTGTCAAGGGTGTCATGAGCTCAATTGCCAACTTCGCCACTCTGATCGTCAACGACCCCGACTTTTCTCGTTTCGCCGGCAAGCCCCGCGATGCCCTGTGGTCGCAGCTGTTCACCATCCCGATTGGCTTCGCCGTTACCTCCTTCATCGGCATCATCGTCTCGTCGTCGTCCACCGTCATTTACGGAGGTGACCCGATCTGGGATCCTCTCGTCTTGCTCGAGAAATTCATCGATGACGGCGGCTCTGGCCAGCGCTTTGGCGTCTTTGTCATTGCCCTTGCTTTTGCCCTGGCGCAGCTCGGCACCAATATTGCCGCCAACTCTGTGTCTGCCGGTACCGACATGACGGCCCTGTTCCCACGCTTCATTAACATCCGCCGAGGTGGCTACATCTGCGCCGCCGTTGGCCTTGCCATGTGCCCTTACAACCTCCTCACGTCGAGCAACCAGTTCACGACCTACCTGTCGGCCTACAGCGTCTTCCTGTCCTCGATTGCTGGCGTCATCATTTCCGACTACTACTTTGTGCGCCGCGGCTATCTCGAGGTGAAGGAGCTGTATGACGCGCGCAAGTCGGGCCCCTATTACTTCCACTTTGGAGTGCACTGGCGCGCGTATGTTGCCTACGTTGCCGGCATCTTGATCAACGTCGTGGGGTTCGCTGGTGCCATTGGCCGGGACGTGCCAATTGGTGCCACGTACATCTACAACCTCAACTTCTTCTGCGGCTTCATCATTTCGTCGGGCTCCTACTGGGGTCTCTGCAAGATCTGGCCTATTCCGGCCGTCAGCGATCGGTGGATGGAGGTTGGCGACGAGATTGACGACCTCAGAGTTGCGTACGACAGCCAGAGCGGCAGCCAGGAGTTCGCCGACGATCTCGCAGTCGACTCTCCCTACAAGGGTGCGCACCAGCACGAGAAGATGGTCTAGGACTGGGACTAGGTCTCGACGCGCTAGGGAAATTTAGTTACATGTTGCCGTGTTCACATTTGATAGACACGCGGGGATAAATAGTGGTGGGGAGATGAGGTAGAAGAAGCCTCTTCTATCAAAACTATCATTGGAGTATTAGATACCATTGGGATTTGATTTTAATCAACGTTTTCGCACATTTGGTTTCCGTGAAGTCTCACCGCCACTGTGTTCCAAACGTAGGGCGTTCCGTTTGTGGCCTAGTCGTGTGCATCGCGCCCTTTGGTTCCTCGGTTGCGGGGTTGTTCCCTGCGTGTCGAGAGTTGATTGGCGTGGCTAGAATGTCACGGTATCTCGGTTTACCGAATTCAACGTGGAACGAGGTACGAAGAGGGCTATTCAGTTCGATCTACTCAAATATGCTCGTTTCTGTCTACTATCATACTTTCAAGTTGCAAATGTTATATTAAATCAAGTCAGAGAAACCCTCTAGGTTAACGCCGATAAACAAAACAAACAAACAGAGGGTGAACTGGCATTGTTACTACGAACGGTGTCTGCTTGCTTACTAGACGAGTAGTTTCCGAACCGAACTAAACCCCTGCTAGCTGGTCTAGGTAGGTTCTATTCGCTGTCTTTCTGTCTCTGTGTAATTAGTAGCCGGTTAATCCGAAAGGTGATTCTGATAGGACTCGTAGCTTAGCGAGACAGTCCGAGATGACGTTACCTACAGTCCGAAGGGATTTTCCCGCCCAACGAATAAGCGTAGCTGCGTACGGAGCAAGGCACTCCCTACGGTGCTACTCGGCCGCGTTACATTAGGGCGTGCCAAGTGCGGGGCTTGATCGTCGCAGGATTCCGTCTTGGGAGGTATGCACTTATATGGTGACAAACCGCTGTGGTGTCCTCGCGCAACTCTCTCCTCTCTACTCCATTACACCAAGACTCTCAAACTGGCGTCTTCTGCTTCACTATGGCATCAATCGCCTTCCCCCAGCTAGCCAAGAAGGTCACGCTCAGCGACGGGACGACGTACGGCTACGTCCACGTCCTCGCGGGCCCGTCCAAACCGACATTTCTGCTCATACACGGAGCGCCGAGCTCGAGCTACGTGTGGCACCACCAGATCGAGTCCCTGCAAAAGGCCGGCTTCGGCGTCGTGGCTCCGGACCTGCTCGGCTACGGCGACTCGGACCGCCCGGCCGAGGTCGAGCGGTACCAAATCAGCGCGGGCGCGGCACAGATCGCCGAGCTTGTTCGTACTGTCGTTGACGCCAACACAAAAGTCATCGGCGTCGGCCACGACCTCGGCTCACCCATCCTGTCGCATGTGTATGTCCGTAACAAGCACCTCTTCAGCGGCCTCGTCTTCATCGCCGTCGGGTTTGTCATCGTCGACGCCAAGATGGACCCCGACTTCATGAACACCGCCTCGCGCCAGCTGCTGGGCTACAGCACGTCGGGATACCTGCGCGTGTTCGTGGCGCCCGGTACGGACGCCTTGGTCGAGAAACACGACGCCGCCTTCGACTCGCTGATGTACTGTGCAGACCCGGCTGCCTGGAAGGAGCACCTCGGCGCCGAGGGCGGGCTGGAGAAGTTTCTCGACGAGGGCAAGCCGCTGCCCGTCGCCAGCTGGATCTCGCCCGCCGAGCTGGCGATGCATAATCTCATCCTCAAAGGCAGCTATACGGGTGTCTTTAACTGGTACCAGGCCGCGTACCTCGTCGACCCGCCCGCCGCGGACCGCGCGCTCACGGCTGAGGACAAGAAGGTTACAGTGCCGACGCTGCTGGTCGTCACTGGGAAGGACTATGCGGTTATTCCGGAGGCCCAGGTGCAGCTGACGCAGGCCGTGGCCGAGGATTTGACCGTCGAGCGCCTCGATGTCGGCCACTGGGCCATGCTCGAGGTCAAGGATAGGGTAGGGCAGCTGCTTGAGGATTTTGCTACGACTCGGGGGTTGTAATCACTGCATGCGTGACCAAAGTTTTGATGTCAGCTTAGGTAGTCCAAGGTACCTAGACAGGCATACAGAAGCAGACATTCGAATTGTCATGCATACATACCATCACTCGTAACCTCATCACTTGCGGCTCTCCCTGACAATCTCCTCGACAACATCCAGCTTGGTCATCTTCTTGACGAACCCCTCAAACAAATTACACGGCATAGCAAGCGCCAAGCGCGCCAACAGAACACTCTCACCACTCCAAACGACGGGCGGCGGCGGCTTGCCCCTCCAATTCCCCAACAACAACGCCGCCATGTCCTCTGCCCACACGTCGGGCTGGATCCCGCGGTGCACGAGCGCCTGCTGGCTCATGGCAGCCTCCACGACCTCGCGGGCCGGAGCATACATGGAGCCCGCCGGGAGACTATCTGCCGCCGACGAGTTGACGTTGCTGTTGGCGATCAGGTTGGTGCGCACGCCGGCCGTCTTGAGGTCGACGACGCGCAGCCCAAACGCCGCCACCTCGAGCCGCAGCGTCTCGGACAGCATGGCCAGCGCGGCCTTGGACGCGTTGTACACGCCCTGGAACGGCAGCGCCGCGCGCGAGCCCACCGATGTGTGGTTGACGATGAGCGCTTCTTGCCCTCTGCTGCCAGAAGATGCAGAGACAGTGGTGGCACGAAGTAGAAGCGGCAGGAACGCCTGCGTGACCGCCAGCTGCGCCCACACGTTGACGTCGAAGACGGCCTTGGCCGCGTCCAGCGCCGCGTCCGCCACCGGCATCGTGTAGTTGGCCGCCGCGTTGTTGACGAGCATGTCGAGTCCTCTGTCGAGTGGCAGGGCGGCGGAGACGGCGGCGACGGCCGACGCGATGGACGGCGCGGACGTCACGTCGAGCGCGAGCGTCTTGATGTCCTGCGTGGCGAGCGGTGTCAGCTTGCCGAGGTCCCGCCCTGTCGCGTAGACGTTGTGGCCCGCCTTGTGGAAGGCTACTGCCAGCGCCGCGCCCATGCCGCCCGGCGAGCAGCCGGTGATGAGGATTGTGAGGGCTTTGGACGGAGGCATGGTCTTGGAGGACGACATGGTGGTTTGTTTTAGTGGTTGTGTTCTCGGATGAGGGTGATGTCAATGAAGAGTGATGAAGGAGATAATAAACGTGCGGTTGCCGTCTTCTTATGCGAAACCGTAACCGTCGAGTATCAAGCCAGAAGTGAGTTCGGGACACTAGCACGATCTCGTGGCAGACAAATGTCCTCGGACGTCATCTTGCTGCCAGTGAACGAATGCGCATTGTGCTGGCAGCCTAATCAGCTATCCCCTTTTTCACCTTGTGCTGCGGACTTTAATTGGCAATACCACCTCGCATCGCTGTTTCCGCACCTAGGACACGGTGTTGCGGGTTTAGAGCCTGCGGTCTTGCGGTTTTGGGGTTGCGGACTTGCGGTTTTGGGGTTGCGGTTTTGGGGTTGCGGTTTTGGGGTTGCGGTTTGGGGTTGCGGTTTTGGGGTTGCGGTTTGGGGTTGCGGTTTTGGGGTTGCGGTTTGGGGTTGCGGTTTTGGGGTTGCAGACTTGTAGGTTGCGGAGTTTTGTCGTGTGGACTTCCTGCGGAGATTTTTTGTGAGCCATCTTTAGCCTGCTAGCTCGCAACTTGACAAAATCCACTTGCCGCGGCGTGGATATTGTGCCAAGCAAGATGCCGCAGAAAACAACTCTGCCTCTGCTTTGTCCCTGGCTTCTGTGTTAGCTAAGCCAGCTTGCTATTGTTGCTGAAAATAATCTTCCCCAGAGCGTGTTCAAAGAAATACAACCTCTGCCTTGAAATCAATACTTGAGGTGGCTAACTCAGCCTGACGTAAGACACCTTGCACAGAGGCACACCTAGGTCCACACGCATGCCAACCAACTCCCTTGCCAAAGACAGATGCCAAGCCAGGATGCAGCCAACAACGTTCCTTTTTCCTCGTTTCAGTCATCTGCCTCCCGCTCGTACAGATCCGAAGCCTCTAAAAAGTCCCGTAGGCCCTCGTAATAGTCGGGTGGGCGTTGCCGAAGTACGGCTTTCCCGACGGCGAGCATGCGTGGCACATTCCGTAATTGTAGACCATGACGCCAGGATGACGACGGGTTCGCCGTAGTAGCAACTATCGCACCTGATTTCCTTCTTCCCGGACTCGTATACGATACTCTAGACGCCGCAATCCCATCTCTTCCTCTAGTAGCTGCACATTGTCGCGATGGTCGTTGGTGGCGTGCTGTGGTTGATAACTATGTGATGTCTGCCAAGTGAGACTAGTGGGCAGGCTTAGTGGTGCTGTGAATGGTTTGATCGTCGAAGTTGGTAGTAGTGGTGCGAGAGTGTTGACAAGATGCTTCAAGCCGTTACGCTAGGCCCTCGTGAGGTATTTATACCCTCCTCATACCACCAAAGTACCTGGTCATAATCACGTAGTATGACATCATGGATTTGATTCAAGCCGTAAAATTGCCTCTTTGGGATATTACAGGACCAGTTAGCAAACTCTCTGCTCTGGCTCACGTACAACAAACCAAGCAGAATGCGAGCTTTACGGCCAAAAAGCAATTTATTACCAGGTGCACTGGTTAATTTAGTGAGAAAGGGAACTATGATGAGGGTTGTTCAGATGTAGCGTCTCAAGCATAGTGGAAAATAAGGCAATGTGTTTCTGGTCAAGCTAGGAGAAGAGTGTAAAACGACCAAGCCAATTTTAAAATCAAGGGGATTGATCGCCACCCCATTACGGTAGATTGTTTCGGAAGGAGAAGACTACATGGGCTAGATTACAATAGGTAACTCTTTTGGCTCTACTCCCTTTGTGTCCCCTATCCCCAAGCCAATATCCGTCTGCCTAGTTCCGCACAGCCCAAAGTCCAAAACAACGCAAACCCCCTTCCTCACACCACATTCATCACCTCATGTGAAATCTTACTCTGGTACCAGCAACGCCAAAGCACCATGGCTCAATACAAGCGGAAAAATGGCCCGATGGTGCCCCACGTATGATTCCCCGTCCCGGAGCACGAGGAGCAGAGACCTCCCGTCCAGTCGTAATAGCCACGCACGATCGGGTCTCCGCACGAGCCGTCATAGCCGCAAGTCTCGTTATGGATGCTTTGGGTTCCATAGACGCTACCACAGTTGGGGCACTTCCATCTCTCAACGAAATGGGAACACATTCTGGCGGTCGAGAGTGTTGGTAACTGATGGCGCTTTCTGTGTCCGTCTGGGTTGGTATTTTATTGTAAGGTTCTGTAGAGTGTTGACTGTTGGCTAGCGAAGATGATGTGCGAGAGCTGAATGACAACCTCCAGCCGAGTCCTCGAGGGCTATTTATGACCCTTTCAGAGCCGGGAGACCCCACAAGAACAGTCACAAACAAACACAATGACGACATGGAAGTAATCTGAGCGGTTAGAATAACACGACTAGATGCCAATTCATCTCGCTGGTTCACACGCAGTGTCAAAGCACAACCACGGCCGGCCTATATAAACCCGTCCGTACCACAGAGAGATTCAAATACTCCAAACGACCCAGCAACCCAAACGACCCAAACAATACCCTCGAAACTACCCACACTCAGACAAACACACGCATTCGACAACAAAACAGGTCACAAACCATCACCAACAACCAGCAAACGCCATGGACTGGGCCTTCGACTACACCCTGCAAGCGGCAGGACTTCCCGTCACGCCAGACCTGCACGACACGCCCCTGCTGACGGGGCTAGGCAACCTGGCGCTGCGTGCTGCGGCACCTGACGCTCAACGGGCTGTCGGGCTGTCGGGCTGGCGGGCTGGCGGGCTGACGGGCTGACAGGCTGACGGGCTTTGTAACCCACTCTACAGCAGCGACATCGCCAGCGCCGGCGGGCACCGAAGCGGCGAGGGCGTAGCTGCGGCGGCTGGGGTGGGCGATGGGGGTGGTGTCGGGGCGGGTCAGCGCGGCGGTGTGGGCGCTCGGCATACAAGTACCACACGACGGGAACCCGCAGGTGCTGTGGGACAGCATCATGCACCGGCTGGTGGTGGAGAGCACCGATGACGAGCGCATCGCCGTGGTCCAGGCGCTCTGCAATATTCAGTGCTCGAACTACGGCAGCCTGGCCGTGTACCTGCTCAACGGCGTGTCCATGTCGGCCGCCCTCGGGCGCATCGGCATCTGGCTGAATGTAAACATTTTCATAAACATAATCGTCGACGGCCTAGGCTCGCACCCTGACGTGCAATAGCTGGTTGAGCTCCACGCACTGACGTATGAGCTGAAAATCATGAACTTCGGCCTTCTTGTGCGAACGATTGTTCGCAAGCACCGGCAGGTGGCAAATTGGTAACATAATCAGAGGTGATTATGTGATATTTGGCCTGGAGATCGAGTTCAATTTCCATTTTGGACGTATTGTAGAGCTGGGAGCTGGGTAATTAGAGGTGGGATTCTACGTCAGGGAGATGAAGTCTCCTTGCTCCAGCGAAACACGAGGGGTTGTCTGTTATACAGTATTGTCTTGACTTCACTGAGATCTGATTGTAATTAGCAGCTAATTGCAGTTATCCCGCTAATAGCCAATCAAACGATCAATCTAAGTGATCCTCCAAATATCCTCGCAATGGTGAACAGTCGAGATGCTAGTCTAGTGAAAACAGTGAGCGGTTCATGGCACACTATAAACTGCCTGAGATGGCTACTTACCGGACAAGAAATCACTCCCAAACACCATTACATTGCGGCAATATTTCAGTCCATCTCTTCACATTACTTAAAAGTGGTTTGCTGCAATCCAAGCACGTGTCAGCAACTCGAAATAAGACGAGAGCAATTAAGAAAACTCACCCCAAACGGGAAACTCGACAGCTAGCGCAACAAAGTCTTTCGAAACAACCAACTCGGTGGCTCGTGGGAAGGAACCCTTGGGCAGGAAGATGTCGCGGCGCACTCCGTCAAGGTCGACGTACGAAATCTTGTTGGGCTCAACAGACTTGGTGCAGTTGTTCTGGGGCTTGGCGCGATCGGTGGCTGCGCCGGGCGCGACGGCTCGATCCAGGGCTTTGTTGGCAGTGCGCTTCGAGCCCCAGTCACATTCCCCCCAGCCACACGCCCACGATCCGCCGCACAATTCGTTTCCGGCAAAGTCTAGGCAGCACAGAAGACTGGGCCCGTCGGCGCCGGGCTGGACACACCGCTGGTGGGGATCGTTTTCGCAGCTGTCTTCTCCGATATACGTGTACAGGTAGTTGCCGCGGTTACAGCCGATACACTCCATGACGCCGCACCAGGTGCTATAGATCAGGCAGCACGTGTCCATTGGAAGGTCAATGCAGCCAGCCCAGTAACGGCTAGGGCCGCATTGGCCGCCCTGGTGGAAGACTAGGTCCACTGCCAGGCAGAGGTTGCACAAGAGGGGGGCGGCGAGAACAACCAACAGCATTTTCTGCGACATTGTTGGCGGGTTCGATTTGGTGAGGATCTGAAGTGAATTGTGGTTTGCTCTTTTTCGGTGTGTTGGTGAAACAGGGCTAGATTCGCGAGGAGGGCAAGCTTGATGGAATTTTAGCAGCTACTGACAGACACCTGGTTGGGGAAAATTTGACCAGAGTGATGGGCTGCCTGCAAGTGTGGAGCGATTTTCGTCCAACTTGAAGACAGTCGCGCCTTCCACACATCCATGGCAGCTTGGTTTGGCAAGACATGGCAAGTACCTACGCTGGCCGCTTCAACTGAAATCCACCCCAAAACTTTCTGTTGAAACAACGCGCATTCCAGCCACATAGAGGTGGCTGTAGCAACGCATTCATCAGCCAGACAGGCGGCGGTGGAGGCCTAGGGGTCCCAGATTCCATATAAGTGGCCTACGGCCACCTCTTTCTTCTAGATACACGTAGACAACAATGACCATCACTTGAACCACCAGCTTTCGGCGTGCAGCACGCCCTGTTGTTTCCAGTACCGGTACCTGGTGATTCCAACACTTTCGGCAGTCAGCCGCGCACGACAACGGGTAGAGAGCCAGAAAATGAATCCACCAACCTGCCATTTGCCTCGCCTCAAGGCTCACCGCCGATTTAGCCGTTGCATCTCGAATTATCGAGGCAGCTTTCAATCGACATCTACAATTCTTCGACGAACAGCCCCGCACTGCCTGTTGGGGTCTTCCTGACCAGGCAGGAGATACCCTGAGCCTTGTCAAATCGTGTGAGGGAGGTGGCCGACCGTGACTGTTCTTGGTGTTTGACGAGACTGTCTTTTGCATCCACAGCTTCATCGCACAGCAGCTTGCATCGAGTGTATTTCCTCCACCGCAACATCATTGGAAGTGCTTCCAAGTTCCCCTTGTCATCATTTTGTCATCGATAATTCCTCAAACCAAGCCGCCCACGATGGACGAGCCGCCCATGGTGGCGTTGCCGCCCATCAAGGAATCAGTTTCGGAATTCAACGACCTCCCTCGGCCAGAGAAAAGACCAGATGGCTCACTGAACCATTGGGTATTTGGCGCTTGCCATTTCTACCTTGATTCTGACTCGCCAGCAGATATAATCATCGCAGTCTACCCCCAGAGCGAAGACTTCAACATGGACAGGCCGGGAATGATGGTCTCGATGGAGACAGGATCAGCCCAGGCTGAAGCCACGGTTCCATATCTGCTGGCTGCTTTCCTGGACTACAACCAGGACATTCCGAACCATCCCCCGCCCTCTGCGCCCTGGACCTGGTCCATCCTAGACGCCGACAAGGCGCAGGCTGTCCAAGATGTCCTCGAAAAACACGGTGTCAGACCCGAGGTTTGCAAAGTTGGCGTCTGCTCTGAAGAGTGGGAAGTCTTAGAGAGGGTCCGAGGTGAGATGTTCCAGAAAAATACACCTGAGCCCAAGCCGACTTGTGCTTGCCACGGCGTCCTAAAGCACTTCTAGAACAAGGCAGCCAAAGATCCGGACGCTCGCGCACTGTTGAAGTCCCTGCATCTCGAGTCCTGTCCAGTCGATCAGATGCTAAACTTGCAGTAAGCCCCCCACCCCGCACGAGTGGTGGCTGAAGAAACGTGTTGACGCAATCTCTCTAGCTTACCTCTCCGCTGCCTGGTTCTCGCCGGCCAAGACATCCCGAAGAACCTAGAGCTGCTGTTTGGGCCGCATTACGAACAAGGCGTCAAAAAAGACCACGAAAACATGCGCATCGAGTGTCTGCTCGACCCGCCGCCTGGCTCTCCATCGCACGCGAAGTATGCCACTACAGACGCTGCTTCGCTCAACCAATCTCTGCGTCCGGCAACAGAGGCCGAACAGGAAAGGGTCAAGGAAGTCAGGGATATACAGGAACGGATCCGTAAAAGAAGGGCTGAAGGCGAACCGCCATCCCAAGAGGACACGCTCGCCATCCTCTGGCCAATCAGCGGCCGCAACTGGGAGGCTAAGTATCCAGCCTTCGTTCTGGCGAGGAAGACCATGATGGACCTAGGTATTGTACCTGATGGATTTCAGGGTTTATCACTATCCCCTATGTGATCGAGCTGGCTGGCAATGGCAGTGTGACGGCGGTCAATAACCAGAAGTGTGGGAAATACCAGTCAATCAGAGGATGCAGTCGCACGTGATTGGTCAACAGACTGCACAGCCTCAGTGGCTGATCAGCACGCGGGCCGCTATGCGGCACGTGCGCGAGGCGCACCCATCACGTGACCTCTGGCATCGCCAATTCCAACGCGCATCCTGTCCCCGTAGTTCGTGACCTTTAAGACATAGAGAAGACCAGAATACAACCACCACAACCACCCCATTCGCATCGGTTACTGCAGTGACTATGGAACGAATGACCTTGTCATTCCAACAAGAAGGAAACGGATCGCTAATACAGCTATCCTATTGTCTAAAGGATTCTAAGATAAAGAAGAAAGAAAGGAAAATCTACAAAGGAATTATTCGTGTGCAGGCTTTTCGTGGGAGAGCGGGGCAGCGCACGGGCCCACACCGCTTTTTGGGTGCCAAGACCTGCATTCCCGATTGGGGCTAGTGCGGGGTCAGCTGCATGGAGAGGTCTACGGTGGTGGCCGTGACAGGCAGTGTCGAGGATAATTCTGTTTATGCGCCATACCGTACAGCGCGAGCCAGGACGGGTTGAACAAGGTGTCTCCGTCGAGCGATAAAATAGCGTAGAGCGAGAATAGTGGCCCGGGCCGCATTCACGGCCGGGGCATGAGTGGATCCATGGGACCCACTACTCCAGACCATCACTCTCACATAGATATTCTGTCGTAGCCGAGCCAGCCAGACTTCCTACAAGCAATACAGTCATTGGCTATCGGCCCAAAATAGCTCTAGTTTTCCTGGTTACAATGTTTCTGCTGATTGTGAAAAGAAACCACAACTCAACTTAACAACAACAAACACAACACTAAGGCGAGCCTTACAGAGTACAGATACAGGAGGCCATAGCCGGTAAATAAAAGGCATTCCTGCGTGTACTGGTCCGGGGATCTTGATTCATGATAAAAAGACGGGATTTCATAGCAAAGTTTAGAAAAAGAAGGTAAAGGGTGATACCAACCTTTGATCAGAGAGAAGGGGGGGGGGGCAAAAAAAAGGAAAACATCGTACTAGATTACATTGGGCAAGGGTTTAAACAAACCCCTCGTCAATTATCCCAGCCCTTGAAGCCCTGATCAATATCCTCCCCTCCCTATCGCCCCTTTTTTGTTCTGCGCTTCCCCTCCGCCCTCTTCTTGCCTCTGCCACGGTCTTCCTCTGGTTTCGCCTCCAGCTCGTCCGCCACTCGCTTCTTTTGTTGGGGGCCCAATTGCTGCAGCTGCTCTCTCGTAAAAGAAAGCGCGCTCTCAAACTGTCCTAGTTCAAGTGGTGACAGCTCCTCTACAAACCATTTCTTGACCTCTATGAACGCCGGTTCTGTTTCAGGTATTCTTGTAAGGGCACGGGAAAATATCCTCATGTAAACCTGCCACGACACTGCGTTCCGGAAAGCCTGAGTAGTAAAGATAACTTCACGGAGATAAGCCATACTTTGACGACATAGATTTGTCTATAATGGTCAGTGGAAGAGCTTGGCCCGTGTGTACTAAAAGGTCCAGCGTGAGATCCATGGCCTGATCGTACAAATCAACGTATTCCGGGATCAATGGGAGTATGGCAGCTAGTGTCAGGAACCACGCCCAAGCTGGCAGCATTATAATTTCGGGTATTACTTTGGACGCATCGCTAGTCTTCTCTTTCATAACCTCTGCCTTTTCGTCAGCCCCGTGCTGCATTAGGACTGTGAACAACCTGTTCTCCAGGGCGATGGTGAATGTTTTGAGATCCGCCCTACGATCTCCGATGTCCTCTGGGGATGTGATGCCTCTCATGAGTGTTCCAATGTTTGGAGGTGTCCATTCCTGAGAATGCTAAACTCCATGTTGTCGAGTAGCGCGGCAGTCAACGCGGCGGAGGTTTCACCTCGCTGGTCCGACGTTCTCGCGTACGCGAGTCCCTTGCGGAGCCTCTCGATAAATTGATCCATGTGGGAGCGTGGGGTGCTGTTGGGGCCAGAATCAGAGCCAACTTGGTCAAGGATAATTTCGACCATGCAACGGACGCCTTCAACAGGGAGAGCGAGCTTCTAGCAGACAACTTCCAGGTGCTGCGCATTGTCGACAGTAGACCCCGAAGCAGAAGCGTAAATTTTGCGAGCGCTGTTCAGAAGACCGCCTGCAAATTGGACAAACTGGAGAAGGTTCTCTGCTACTGCGAGCACTGCGAAGGGTTCTATTTGTTGATGCGCTAACGTATTTTATAAGCGAACGGATAATATAAGCGAACGGATAATTTTACACCACCCCACCCTCTCGACCTTTCGCAACGTTTTCCTCCACCACACAATATGGCACTACCTTCAAAGGAAGCACAATTAAACTTAGCCCTTGAAGCTCTTGGAAAAGACCCAAAACTCCGTCTTTCAGCTGCAGCAAAGATCTATTCTGTTCCTTCCACTACTCTCTACAACCGACGCGTCGGTCGGCCTTCACGACGCGATATTCCAGCCAATTCACGAAAACTCACAGATCTAGAGGAGCATACAATTATTCAGTATATATCTGAGCTATGTGCACGCGCATTTCCTCCTCGGCTTCGTTTTGTGGAAGATATGGCCAACCGACTGTTACGCGAACGCGACGCGCCCCCTGTCGGCAAGCTCTGGGCTCACAACTTCGTCAAACGCCAACCAGAACTCCGGACGCGTTTTTCGCGTAAATATGACTGCCAGAGGGCTAAATGCGAAGATCCAAAGATTATTCGCGAGTGGTTTGCCCTTGTGTATAACACTAAAGCCAAGTACGGTATCCTTGACGAAGATACGTACAACTTTGATGAGACTGGGTTTGCGATGTGTATGATTACTACTTGGATGGTTGTTACTACTTCTGATGGCTATGGGAAAGCTAAAAAGGTCCAACCTGGTAATCGTGAATGGGCTACAGTTATCCAGGGGGTAAATGCTCAAGGCTGGGCTATCCCACCATTCATCCTTTTAAAAGGAAAATACCACCAGGAGGGTTGGTACCGAGATTGCGGTCTTCCAGCTACCTGGTATATCGGGACGACCGATAACGGCTGGACTACCAATGAGAAAGGCCTCGATTTCATCAAGCACTTTGATCTTCATTCAGCATCTCGTACGAAGGGAAAATACCGGCTCTTAGTCCTTGACGGCCACGAAAGCCACCATTCCGACGATTTCGAGAACTATTGCAAGAAGCATAACATTATTACACTCTGTATGCCTCCTCATTCCTCGCATCTAGTCCAGCCATTAGATGTTGGTTGTTTTGGGCCGTTGAAGAAGGCTTATGGTGATCAAATCGAGGAGTTGATGCGCATGTACATTACACATATCACTAAGTTGGATTTCCTTTGTGCGTTTAAAGAGGCATTTTTTACGGCTTTTATCGACAAGAACATCCAAGGAGCCTTCGCCGGAGCTGGCATTGTGCCGTACGACCCAGAAAGGGTGATATCTAAGCTGGATGTGCGCATTCGAACCCCAACACCCCCAGCCTCAAGCCTAACCACTACACTACCTTAGGTCTCCCAAACGCTACACAACCCTCGAGAAACTACCTCACAGTCAGCGTTTATTAAAACTCGAATTTCCAACCATCAGGGCAGCTCTCCAACCCCAATGCTAACTGCTGTGGATCGATTAGCCAAAGGTACAATGGCTGTGATGCACGAGGTAGCTCTTCTACGTACTGAGGTCTCGGCACTACGTAAGGCCAATGAGGGGCTTAGTAAGAGACGGAGAGCTAAAAAAACACGTATACGGCTTGGAGGGTCACTGACGGTACAAGAGGCACAGGATCTACTAGATCAGAAGGCTGTGGGTGAGCAGTTAACCCAGGAAATACGACAAAGTAGTGGTGATGTAGGGGGGTCTCGAACGAAGATTCGGTGCTGTGGCGTGTGCGGCAAGCCTGGCCATAATGCACGCACGTGCAAGGAGGCTGCAGAATCATTTGATTCATCTATTTCTAATTCAGTTATTGTTATTTCCTAGTGTTGTGGTTGTGTAATTGAGGGTAGTTTTAGTGGGGTGGTGCAAAATTATCCGTTCGCTTATATTATCCGTTCGCTTATAAAATACGTTAACGGGCTAATAGTAAAAGCGGGTTGACCGTCAATCATTCAGGGAGAAATCCAGGTAGAGCGAGCTTTCCCGTTTACATACTACTAGATAATACCTTAGTTACCTAGTTAATTGTAGCTCGGCCGGGCACAATTATGGCACTCGACTCAAACCCGTGTGGTGGCGGAGCATGCATGGGATGCATACATGTATCGAATCGCGGCTCAACACGGAACTCGAGGCACTTGCAGATTGTGGCACGGCGCCTGGGAAGTGCATAGCTTGCCCAAAGGGACTGAACGGCTATGGCCCAGAGGAAACTGCCTCGTGGGTTGGTGGGGCAGTGTGGACTACGCTAGGTCGCTGTTGGTTGAGACCGGCAGGCACGACTCGAACCCACTGGGCACTTAATGAGGTGTTGGGGACCATTTAAAGACGACCTAGTACTGTACCCGGGGTATTATTGGGTATTGTGGGTAGAGACCAGGCACCTTTGGACTCGAAACCCAGAAAATGAGTGGACTGAAGTCGTAAAGCAGCTCGGCCGTGACGTGCTTTTCGGCTCCCTATTCTGATACCTCAGGTATGTACCCCACCTCTATGGGAAGGTGTACGGTCTGTACTGTATCCCTAGTGTATTTCCTTGAGGTCGTAGCTCCCCAAAACATTTGTCGTTCAAATATTACGAGGACTTGGATTTCACTCCAACGCCAGCTCACAAATCCCCCCAGCGTCAAGTCCTGCTTACCACCGGCCCACCATCTCCTGCAAAGCGTCACTCGCCAAATTCCTAGTATTCACAGGGACGCGATTGTCGGCCGCAATCTGCCGCAGTCTCTCCTTCCAAAAGTCCCAGCGACTTTCCTGACTCGCCCCCTCAGCAAGCCTAGCAGTCCACAGCGGGCCGTCACGCTCAGGCACGCCCGGCTGCGGATTCCCGTCGCGGGCGCCCCAGGTCGTGTCGCTGAAGATGTCGTGCCCGGCAATGCGCAGCCACCAGATGGCGGGCTCGATGTGCTCGGCGCGCGCAGTGGTGTCCGGGTCCTCCAGCCCCGACGCGATGGTCCACAGACCGTAGTCCTCGAGCCACTGTTCTAGAGCCTCTACCGGCCTTGTGCGCTGCAGGCAGCTGAGGTGCGCCGTGAACCGGTTGAGGTTGACCCACGACGTCTGCGCTTCCTCGGGCGAGTCCTGGTACGTGCCCAAGGTCTTGGGGCCTGGATATTGTCAGCTGACATTTTCGGGCATTGCTTCTCGTACGTACCATTCCAGAGATCCCTTGCCGTCCACCCGAACCCCTTCAGCTGGCCCAGGATCTGGGAGACCTCGGCGCTAGCGCTCGCCGCTCCACATTCCGCCACGGCAACGATGAGACCTGCAAGGTTTTTGTGGTTCAGGTCGTTGCCGGTGGACATGACTGCCGAATAAAAGGCCATGGTGAAATTATACCAGGCATCGTCGGCGCCGCCAGGACCGGCTTCGGACACTAGGCCCACGACCATGTCAGCGCCTCGACGGATTCCCGTTTCGTGTTCCGCAGGCAGCTCCGCAACTTCTGCAAGGAGGGATATTGTGAGTAGCTCTTTCTCAATGACGGGCTTCAAGTTTTGCTCCGCCAGCAGCTGGCGCTCGCGGGCTGCCCACGCAAATGACATGTCTGAGATTGGGTTCCTTAGAAGTGGTGTGCCGCAGACTGCAAAGGTTGAGTAAAGGCTGAGTCGGATGTCGAATACGTAGATGAGGGAGTAAGATTCGACAAATTGCCGCGCGGAATGAGAAAACGTAATCAGATGCAGGTGGCAAATGAAGAAGGGGTATTCAGCCCCCTGCTATAATGGAGCCGGTAATAAGGCATAAAGCGGCAAAATATAGGATATCTACTATACAAACCGGGACGTTGGAAGGATCGGGGGCTAGGGCTTACCGGGCCTTGGCCCAACCAACCAACTAGCCGTATTCTGAGCGAATAATAAAGGTAGGCGAGAAAATCGTGCATGCGCAAAGACGAGACGAAAAGGATTTAACGATCCTTACTGGCAGGCCGAGATCTTCTTGAGCATGATTTGCCGCCAGCACTGCAAAGCAATTAATCATGCCATTACCATCCTCGGTGTTCACCTAATTAATTGAGATGTAATTACTCTAAGGCACAGTAGTCGTGCTGACGAGATGTCGGCCTAGGATCCTCTTCGTACTACTAAGAAAGGGGCGGAGACTACGAGTGCGTGTTGTATATAACCTCTGAGGTTTTTTCGCGGTTTTGGGCTCTAATCAACAGCGAGCACTCAACCCATCTCATCAGCTAGATCTCTAACGGCTCAACGCACATTCTCCCCTATCCAACCATGTGGACCACGCAATTCCTCGGCGTCCTCGCGGTGGCCTCCGCCGCTGTCCTGGCAAGCCCCGTCGCCGTCAACGCGACTGACGTAGAGCTCGAGGCTCGCGCCGTCAAGGGATACGTCTGCGGCACCCAGAAATACACACTCACCGCCGTGGACAACGCCATGGGCGACGGCATCCGACTGCAGAAGAGCCTGAGTTTCATCCAGCAGGTGCCCGGCCAGAAAGGGACCAGTAAGTCTAATTACCAGTGGGTGCCACCAACCAAATAAACGTACGAAAACTTACACGCGCACAAGCCCTCTGGCCTCACGAGTACCGCAACGGCAAGCCCACGAAGCTCGAGCTCGACCCGGCGCCGTGCGCCAAGCTCAATCTCTACGAGTTCCCCATCCTACCCAGCGGCGCCGACTACCTCGGCGGAGCGCCCGGCGCGGACCGCGTCGTCTTCGCCGACAGCGTCAAGACCCCTGGCGCGTACGAGCAGTGCTTCCTCATGACGCACACGGGCGCTACAGGGAATCTGTTTGTCAAGTGCAAGACTACGTGAGTTGGGGGGTGCATTTGTGTGCCTCAGCTTCGTATGTACATGTTTGGGTGTGTTCTGCAATTAGGGGGTGGATGCTTTGTTATTAGTTCTGTTGTTACGATTTCTTTGTCATATACAGGTAACTTTATAAGTTACATGACAACTATAGAGGTTAGATAATACGTTGAATATTGGGCGAGTGAGTAGTTCGGTCTTCAAGCGCTTCCTGGACCTTTCACAAGACAACAGGCTGAAAATCAGATATGTCCCTGAAAATTGTGAACTCTGCGTCTTCCAGCAACTTACCTCCTAGCAACTTTAATTCTCGTGCTCAGGTAGAGTTTCCTTTAAGGGGCTCTTCACACATTGCCTCATAATCGACTTGTTGTTGGAGGGTGCAGCCAATTAGTTGAGTATCACCCTGCAGAAGCCTGAATATCCTAGCTTCTCTGATGGCTCGTTCATGTCCGCGCCAATTATCGATCGCGGCGTCCATAGACCGCCGAGATTTCCGGAACGTTTGTGTATCCCTCGAGGGCTGGCCCCGACGACATTCGACTCCTGATACCGATCACCATCAGCCACACGTCTCTGCACTTCACACTGATCCAGGTCCCTCGAACCGCCGCTCTGCCCTACACCGCAATCTCCTACACATCCGACCGCGACATCATTCCAGACCATCTGCTTCGTTCCGCGCCCTGCCGCTCGTCATGGGCCGTCACGTCGACAAACACCCGGAACACCTGCAGCCACGGCACGACCTGCTTGTCAACCCCCGCCGGTCAGAATGCAAGGACCCGCGAGATAGGTCTTTGGCCTGCTAGGGCTCGTGACGCTCGAGGAGCTGGGCCTGTAGAGGTCATGCCGGACTCGGGCGAGCTGTTCCTCAGACTTGGCGTTCGGACGAGGAGCAGGGCGAGGCGGCTTCTAGCTTCTGCGACGGGCCAACTTGGAAGATTTGACTATCTCCCGTGACTGACGGTTTAGTGAGGCATCGGCGGCTCTAGCCCGAACGGAGATTAGAAATAATAGCGAAAATCGCCCCAGAATTGGAGATGGGCGAGGCTGCTGTGTCAACAATAGCAATGCTTAGTTTTCGGTGCGTGCTTTCAAGCAGCATGGAGGAATTCCTCCCACGCGAACCAGACGTGCTCATTCTGGTCCAAGCAAAGACGGAAATGGCTTCTGCAGCAAGCACAGCTCCGTACTTGAAGAACCGGTTTACTGATCCAACCACTGCACCATGATTGGCCGGCCTGTTGCCCGCTTATTATCTTTGTGAAGGCAGGCATAAACGAGAGCCAAGGCTGCAAGTAAGAAATGATTGAATTCGTAAATAACTGAACTAAAGAAAGGAAAAGAAGAAGAAGCCTGCGGTTCCTGCAGGCCGTGGTTTTGTGGCTGGCAGGGGCGGTTAGGCTAGTCCTAATCAGGAAGAGTAGGGCGACGGGGTGGAACCTGCAGCCAGGGCATGGTTACAGCATCACGGACCATAGTTCGGCCGTACCGTGACAATCTTCGTTTTAAATAGACCCTCGAGCTTGCGGAGCCGTCCGCCCCACCCGTCACGGTCGCGGAGTGCATGACTCTTGACAGACTGCCGAATTTACATGCCGGATGGGCTAGCCGAGCCGTCCCCCTAAATACCTGATTAGCCATCATTTATATCTACGAACGGATAGGGGCTTATGGGGGGGCCGGAATGTCGGAAGAAGATAGCGTATTCAGGGGTCAGAGGTATGCCTAGCTTAAGCGAATAGAGACGCGACAGGGCGGCTTCAGCTTGCTGAAGACTAGGTAAATAAGAGCTGTTTCAACCTTCCTAGGTACACACGCGGCTAATCTCGGAAAGCTAGTACAGCTGCACTGCTATAAGACAGTCAACCCCGCGTTTATTGCCCTTGTCCATTGCCTCCGTTTGTGATCCGATGACACAACAAATCCATTCCATAGGTTTCTCTTGACTTGAATCAGATGACGGCTAATATGGCCAAGCAGAATCTACTTGGAGCAGTTGGGACAGGTTTGGATATAGAAGACGAGGCCAAGCTGGACGCGACATGGCGGGATTCGATCTCTTGATGTTGATCAGATCAGATCTCATTCGCCCATCATGAAGACACTCGGCGCCAGTCTCACCTTAGCTCTCGCAGGCCATGTCGCTGCACATGGCTATGTGTACAAAATCTCGGTGGACAATACCGTGTATGTTACCCAGTCTCCACTACGTTCAACTCGAGGTGCAACCAATATCCCTACTGACACTCCCGTCTCCCAGATATCCCGGCTGGGACGTCTACATCGACTCGCTGGTGACGCCCAAGCCGCCTCGCATCGCCTTCGGCGGCGGCGGTGTCAACCCGATCTTTAACGTCAGCGCCCCCGAGCTCGCTTGCAACTTCGGTCCCACGCCTCCCGGCGCCATCGCCGAAGTCCGAGCCGGTAGCAACATCACCTTCAACTGGTCCCGCTGGCTGTATAGCCACAAGGGTCCCATCACGGCGTGGCTGGCCCCTTATGAGGGCGACGTCGCGAAGGTAGACGTCAACAAGCTCGAGTTCTTCAAGATTGCCGAGGACACCGTCGATGGCAAGGGCGTCTGGGCCAACGTCCGCTTGATGGACCAGTCTAACGGGACCTGGACCGCCACGATCCCGGCCGACATCCAGCCGGGGACGTATGTAATTCGGCACGAGGTATGTTCCACCTTAACCTGCGAACCCCAACTCGCAAAGCGTGTATCCAAGAAGTCTGACTCAACTCCTAACAGCTCATGGCCCTGCACTTCGCCGTGTCCACACCGCCGGGCTTCGAATGGTCGCCCGTCGGCCCGCAATTCTACATGGCGTGCTTCAACCTCAACGTCACCAGCAGCGGGACGGCCACTCCCAAAGGCGTCACATTCCCCGGCGGATACAGTCTCGCGAAGGATCCGGGGCTGAAGTTCAACCTCAGCTCGGACAAGGCGTTCACGCCCATCGGCCCGGCACTTTACAAGAGCGCGTACGCTGCGAATCTGACGCCGAAGGCTATTGTGGCCATTAGCCCTACGGGAAACGGCACAGATGCGGACAACGCGTATTATGCCACGCAGAATCAGGCTCTGCAGGCGCAGGCGGCAATGACGGAGTATTTTGACTCGATTGGAGGGTGAGAGAGGTGACTGATAAAAGGAAGAAGGGTTTAGGAACATGGACAGATTGCCAATTATGTTTTCTAGCAGCAATTTTACGATCCTTTACCGAACGTGCTTGTCTTTTTCGACTCGGAAGAATAAGCGCGTGAATATTGTTCAACGGGATATTCTAGATCTTCCAGCAGCGGCAGGACATGTTTTGTGAGTTTCGTATGCCAGTCTCGAGCGCGCGTTTTGATGGCACGGACGATGGCCCACCTGCATGGGCCATGGGAGCCAGAGTAAGACCCAGGTGGAGGAGGAGCAGGACAAGGCACTGTAACAATAACATGGAGATGGCCCAAAACAGTAACCTGTGGGTGTGATAGACAACTGCAGTCCAACCGACCAAAGTGCCCGTCTTCAGTCCCGAAAGCCCACATCTTCTTCATTATCAGTTGGGCCATCTTAGGCTAAAATAGGTATACAAGCTTGTTGATTGTGCTGCACGCGCAGGATGATAATTGGCTGCCTTATACTTCGAGTCGCCTCTTGCGCAATGGTCATGACTTGGCTGTCCAGCACGTTCGTGGACACGGTGCGTAACTCGAGCTCGATACGGGCCGACATGGTTCTGTGCGGAGATTAGCGCGATGTATGACGACACGATGCTGGAGGTATGGAACTTGCGAGTTGTGCGCTGTCAACATCTCGTTGATCCTAACCCGAACATTGCGCACTTCATCCTTGAGAGCTGCGGCCTTGGATTCGTGCAACGTCCACTTGACTCTCTGTGTTGATCGCTTTCGTTTGGCGAGAACAGTGGCAAGGCCGCTCAGCTTCACCAGAACGTCTTTGGCCTTTTCTAGCTGCGTGCTGAGCGCGGTAATGAAAACAGCGTTCTCCACCGGATCGAGCCTCTCAAGGGTATCTTTGGCACTGGCGACTCGGTCCAGAACAAGACTGAGATCATATACCTCGTTCGAGAGCACAATAATGAGTTCGGGTCCATTCTTAAGCCCCCTGTAAAGCTTGTGGAGCGGCGACGAGGTCCGGCCGGTGAGAGAAAGCAACCCACCAACGCCCGTGACGATCGAGAGGGGGTCTGCCATGGCGGCTTTGGGAAAGATTGCACCCAAGGTGGGATATTGATTGGTTTTAATCGGTTCTAGTGCTAGGGAGTGCGAACTGGAAGCAGACAAAGTTGAGTCCGTGGGTGAGTTGGTAGAGAGAAGTCGAGGAAGTAGAGCGACTTTCGATCGACGATCCTATTTCAGGTTCACTGAAGACTCGAAGAGAGAACGGCACAGCCTGGCGAGGGGCCGCATGTGCCGCCAAATTTGGCCTCGATGCTTTCAATTTAGTCTGGGCTGTCTCCCACACGAGGTTGGGGGCGGAATTCATTAAGAACCCGGAAAAAATGCGAAGGATATAGCAGCAATATGAACGGCCTGACCCTCGCCACTCATCAATCAAAATTTCGCAAATGCGCGAACGGGCTTCAGAAGCACACCCTTGACCAGGTAGATTGCATGGGCACTTGACTCCTCAACTCCCCATGCTCCTTGAATGGGACCTTTTAAGTCTTTAGCGTCATAAGGATGTCGCACCATACGAAGGCTTGGGCAGAAGGAGAGGGTCCCCTCTACAGTGACCAGAATTTGGAATGTTACGGTACCAGTTCGTCTGCCAGGTGCTGTCCTACACTCCATTAAATCCGCTCAGGGTCGTTAGACCACCCAAAATGGCCCTAAAAGTACCTAGTTATCATATTATACTATATAAAATTAGTTTATCAACTAGGCAGCTGACGATTTCAATCTAGCGTCCTTTATGACGTGCTGTTCCGATTAAACCTTACCCTAAGTAGAATAACTATTTTCTTTACCTCGGCCTCCATACATGTACAGTACATGCATTGCATAAGTGATTTCACTTCGGGGATATCTATAGAAGTTGCTCCTAGAGAAGACGAAATAAAACGTATATATGTAAGTCAGGTGGTCTGCTTATGGAACACCCCTGGATTTGGAACAAGGTTTGTCATCAAGGACTTGCCGCTCGCCACCCAACTCACCTATTTCAATCGCTTGCAACTCGACCAATTCTGCTTCAATACTTATCTTCTTTTCTCCATTCAATTGAGAAATGAAAGATGAAGCGATATACTCAATTGGATTTGCAGAATGCGCTGCCAGAGTATGCAGAAACCGGCTTACTCCGTAGCTCTGCTGAAAATCACGGCATCCCCCCTACTACTCTCTTTAATCGGGTTCGTGGTTCCGAGCCAGCCTCCAAGGCCCAAATTCTTAATCAAAAGCTTTCTCCGGCTATGGAAGAACGCTTAACCGAATGGATTCTATTCCAAGGGTCGCTCGGTCACCCTCCAACCCACGCCCAAATTCGGAAACTAGCTAGAAGAATGCTCGAAGATAACGAGACCCTCGGAAAACGCTGGACTAGCTGGTTTTTGGCTAGAAATCCATCTATTTCTACAATTAGGCCTCGGAGAATCCATGCAAACCGTGCTGATCGAGCCTGTGAGGCCGTTATCCGGCCTTGGTTTGACTATTTGAGGCCTCCAGGCGTGGAGGCTATTCCAGCCAAGCATAGGTATAATATGGATGAAACTGGCATTGCTTCTGGCATTGGAGATAACGGCCTGGTTGTTGGATCTAAGGAAAGAAAGAAATTCCAGAAAAAGAAGAAAGGAGACCGAATTTGGACCTCGATTATCGAATGTATTTCCGCTGACGGCCGGTATTTGAACCCAGTCGTCATTTTCAAAGGTGGAAGCCTTCAACAACAATGGTATCCACGCGATTTACAGGCATTTAAGGGCTGGAAGTGGAAACCCACTGAAAACGGCTGGTCTGACGATGATACTGCCGTCGCATGGCTCCGCAATATCTTTCTTCCAGAGACTCGGCCAGCTACCCCCTCGGAGAAGCGCCTCCTTATTTTAGATGGCCACGGTAGTCATACCACCGAAGAATTCATGTGGGTAGCCTTTTCTAATAACGTACAATTGTTATTTCTACCAGCCCACACCTCCCACGTTCTCCAGCCCCTGGATTTATCGGTTTTCGGCCCTCTAAAAGCCCGGTACAGAGCCAAGCATAACGAGGTTGTTTCCGGCTTCGACGAAGGCACTGTTGCTGAAAAGAGGGCCTTCCTAGAATGCTACCGGCAAGCCAGGGTCTATGGAATGACTGAATCTAATATCAAAGCCAGCTGGAAAGCTACAGGCCTCTGGCCGGTCAGCCTCAGGAAGCCCCTAAGCAACGGCCTTGTTATTAAGAATTCTAACGGCGACGTTGGTCAACTGACCTCTACGGTTTCTATAGACCTTCAAGAGGTCCATAACCCCATTCTAAATAAGAATTCGGAGGGCCGGCCTATATGGTTTACCCCTAAAAAGCCGAAGGATTTCCGTATTCAGGGGCAGGTTTTTCTAGCCGGCCAGAAACGGACTGCCAACGACCGACTTTTCATACGCAAGGCCGCAAAAGCCTTCGATTACGTGGTTTTCCAACTAGCCAATACGGCGCATCAATTAGAGGCTGCAGAAAAAAGCCTAGAACGCACAAGAGGCCGAAAGAGAAAGAAGGTCCAAGTCGACCCTAATACGCAGTTCGCTGGAATTGAGGAGGTTCGTGCCTCACAGAGAGAGGCTGGCAGAGAGGACCTTAGTTATTCTGAAAGAGAAGAATCAGGAGAATCCGATACTGAAGACTTCATCATTGTAGCTAATTAATTGACAAAGTTGTTGGCAATTGAAGTTTGTGGTGTTGTGCGGGGTCCGATTCAGGGGCTGTTCCATAGGCAGGGGTGTTCCAAAAGTCTCCCACCTGACTTACAGCAGTAGCAATACGAGTCAAGGCTCCTTCCATTCACAATATTTACAAAGTCTACCTATTTAGATTATAGACTAGACAGAAGTATTTCTAGTAAACGCATTAATACGGCATAGTAGAGAAAGTTAGAGTCAGAGTTCAGAATACTGCAGACCCAGTATAGAACACTAAGGCCCAATCATGTCGGAAGGAGCCGCATCTAAGCCACATATGGGCGCAGGTGGCGCACATGCTAGACCGTTTACAGCCTAGAGTGTGTCAGCCGAATGCCGCATAACTATGGTATTCAGGTTATACCCACCTTTCTGAACCTTCCGAATACAAGCACTTTTTGGCCCTCAATTGATGCAGCGTTGTATGTGACACATCACCCCCCCTTATCTAGCATATCCTGGGCATGCTTAGCGCCGAGCAGCGCAAACTCGGACGAGTTGTAGTAGACGGTGAACTCGTCGCCAAAGTCGGCCGAGTTCGCCGACACGTTGGCCGGGCCAAACTGCCACACTTGCTCGGCCGCCAGCCCGGACTTGACGATGGTGTCGAGCCAGGGAGCCAGCACGCGCGTGTGGTTGCCGCGCTCGGGCGATCCGTATTCCTCGAGGATCACGGGCTTGTTGGCCTGTGGACGTGTGTTGTCAGTCTTTTGCTGCTGTTGTTGTTTTCGCCGTCTCCTAGGGGGCAGAAAAGGGGGCCGAAAAGGGGACATCAAAACAAGTACTTGCCTTGGCACCCGCATCGCCGTGCTGCTGGATCCACAGATTACCCCATTCATACGGATAGCTCCACCAGCTGGGATAAGATGGAACACGCCATAGTCGAGCGTCGGAATCTTCAGATTCGTGACAAAATCGACCCCGTCATTGGCCTCGTACGCATAGTTTGATCCGCTGGGATCCGAATACCCCGCCGTGGGACCGAACCAGCCCTCGTCGCCGAGCGAGACCATGTGGAGTGGGTCGAGGCTCTTAATGTAGGCCGACACGCCGGCGGCCCACGCGGCGATGACCGACACGTCGCACTGCGAGCACCGCGGCTCGTTGCACAGCTGCCACGAGAAGACGGCCGGGCTGGCCCGGTAGCGTGTGACGAGCACGCGCACGTACGCCCGGTACACGGCCTGAAACCCCGCGTCTTCGTACCACGTCGGCTCGAAGCTGCACGCGGGCGCGTACGCCACCTCGCGCCCGCCCCAGTCGGGCCATTCGTTGACGAACGGCAGGACTAGTTTCAGGCCGAGCTGCTCCGCGCGGTGCACCACGTAGTCGAGCCGCTGCAGCCCGTCGCTGCCGTAGTTGATGAAGGCTGCCCCCGTGCCGTTGATCAGCTGGTACCAGACGCGGTACAGATCCGCCGCGTCCGGGTTTGTGGGTTTGTTGACGTCGCCGAAGCCCCACACGCGCACGATCTTGTACTTTGCCTTTGTCCGCGCCACAAAAGTCAGGCAACATGTCAATAAAAAGGGCTAAGGGAAACTTGCATCCGCGATTTGCTGCATCGCGATATCAACATCCTCGTTGCGGGTCAAGTGGCCGAGCCACCAGGCATTAGTCCCTTTCGCAGCGGTCAGTCAGCAGAAAACCCCGTCTCTACAAGTATTCAGAGCCGTGACAAACCTGCAAAGTAGCCCGTCCTGCCGTCAATCTCAAACAGTCTGCCATTGACCTTGGCAAAGGACCCGTTGGGCGCTCCAATGGCGTACACGGAAGGTATCTGCGGGTCTTGGGTCGAACGGACGAAGCTGTCATCTGCCCGTGCCAAGCCGAGGCCGAGGAACAACAGTGCCGACACCAGCATCGTCTGGGATTATTGCAGGCGACCCAACTCATGGCGGTGTCCAACAACAGGTTGCGAGTGGATGAGACAGGGCGCGGTGTGAGCCTCAGGACAGATATATCGACAATGGGCATTGGGGAGTCCGGTAAAAGGCCGCGGCTATATTACGTCTCTTGATGGGGATATGCACTCTTTGTAATTATTGGGGCCCGAGCCTGGGCGACATGAAAGTGTAAGATTTTGGGGCTTAGTGAGGCGTGTTTTATCCGTGTTGGAAAATGTGAACATGCAAATATGAGAAATGGGGAATGGTTTAGCTCTTTCCATTACCTAGACTTAGGTAACTAGGAAGTTAGGTGACTAAGGTAGGCAGGTAACCCTTTCACGCACCTATTGTTTACAATGATAGCACGGTGATTGTCACAGCTTCTTCCCCCTGCTTGTGCTAAGTCTAGTTGAGAATACTCAAGGCGTTGACATTAATAAAATTTTGAGAGCTATTTAGTTCATTCATCATACAAAGCAAAGCCATACAAAGCAAAGCCCGTCCATGATTATTTAGATGAAAGCAATGCAGCTGGCAACAGCCACCTTTAGATATTCCGACCAAAGATTCCCACTCAATGAGAACCAAACCCCCAAAAGAGATTATCCCGTTATCCGGTTTCGTTTGCATCGCGTTACAAGACATAACATCATTTATCAAGGTACCTACTCACACATATCAGTCCAGCTCGCCCGTGATGTAGCCAATCTGTCTCCGCTGGTCAACGCCTCCGCTGGCGAGCTTGGCCGCGAGGCTGCTCTGGCTGTCAACGAGCTTCTTGTGCTCCGTAATGCGCTTGACGGTGCGGGCGTCGCTGGCCGAGTCGAAGCGCTCAATGGCCTCGCGCTCCTTGATCCGGAGGGCGCTGAGCTGCTTGGCGTTGGCGACCTGCTGGGTCGCGAGCGACTGCTCCCACTCGATCATATTGTGCTGCCGGTTCGACTCGAGCTGCAGCTCCGAGTCCGCCACGAGACGCGCGCGTGTCAGTCCGGCCTGCGTCAGCTGCTGCTCGTGCGCGATGGCCGCCTCACGCTCAGCGTTGCGTCGCCGCAGCTCCGCCGCGAAGCCCTCGTCCTCAATCATCTGCCGCGCTTTGATCCCCCCAATCATTTCTTCGTGCTGCCGTCGCGCCCGTGCATCCTCCATTTCTGCCCGGGTCAGGTAAATCTGGTTCTGGATTTGCGCGATTTCCTTTGTACGGGCAAGCGCAACTTCGTGCGCCCGCCGCTCGCGCTCTGCCCTCAGGAGCTCTTCAGGGAGGTTCACGGATCCTGCAGGCTGCGCGCCCTCGTTCGCGTAGAACACATCGAGGGCGCGGTTGGCGTGGAGCAAGCTGAGGAGCTCCGAGGTCATGTCGGACTGCTTCATTACCCGTGCAACATACTGCGAGGGCGAGTACGTATATGTACCGTCGTCAAAGTGGTTGTACGACTCGTTGATGTGCTTCCACATGCCGACTTTAAGAAGCGCCCGGGTTGTTGGGATGGGGTCCTCAGACTCCAATGCGAGATGTAGCACAGTTTTGCCCTTCAGCTTTATCTTGAGATCGCTGCCATGCTGAATTAGGAGACTCATCGCCTTGACCATCACTTTCTCTTGCGCGGGCGGAATCGGCCCAGCATGGGCTGCCTTTAAGCAAATCTCGCCGAGGGCACTACGGCCGTCGTGAAGGTGGCTTGGGAAGTCAACCTCGTGCCCATGGTCAATGAGCAGGCTCATAGTCTTCACGTTCAGCTCCCTGGCTGCGTTGTGCAGTGAGCCGTCATTGACTGATGGTTCGGCCGTTAGGATCATCGATATTATAGAATAGCCCAGGTCGCCGCCAATCTTGGTCGCCATGGTCATCGGCGTATTCTCCGTGATATCCGCGACATCGACCTCAGCACCCTCAAGAAGGAGCAACTTCACGAGATCGAGACGATTTGCCTTGATAGCCAGCATGAGTGGTGTCATCTTGGACAAGGCCGTCACGAAGTTGACTTTCGCGCGACGTTTGATCAGGAGCTCAATGACGGAACTGCTGACCCTCTTCTGGGGTTGGAAGAGTGCCCAAAACAACAGAGTAACTTGCTCATCTTCGTCAATCTCGTCGACCACTCGCATGTTCGTGACCTGGTCATGATAAAACCCGGCATATAGTAGCGTTTGCAGCATTTTTGCCGAGCGAGGAAATTTGGCCAATGCGCGGAAAATGACTGGGACAGACCCAGGGGGCGTGTACAACGGGTCGAGCCGCTCTTCTCCGTCGTGATACTCAGCAAACAAGGTCACCAATAGAAGGGTATCTTCTTCCGATAGGTCCGCGTCGAAGATGTAAGGGAATGCCATAGAGATGGCACGAGAGTCTGGTTTCCGCTCGAGAACTTGCTGGATGAGTTCGGAGTCGGCAATCTTCGCCGCTTTCTGGACCACCAAGCCATCTTGGTAGCTGACGTCGGCTTTGCTGTGCAAGAGAAGACTGCCAAACCGGCGAGCTATCTCGTCGTTGTGCGACCCATAAGAGTCGATGGCGGTGCTAAGAGCCAGCGAGAGACTCTCTCCTTCGGCGCCCTTTTCGAGTAGCATCTTGGCAACCTGGAAGCCCTGCTCGGTGAGCCATGTCGACGAAGTCTCAGGAATAAAAGCCTGTTGGAATGCCCACGAAACATCCTTGGCCGGGATGTCGAACTCCAAGAGGACCGCCAAGACATCGACCAAAAGTAGCTGGGCAGCATCGGTAAGCGTCTGGCAGCCGTTGGCTAGCGGCGAGGCGCCATTCTTTAGCATGAGCCGAATGAGACGAAGGTCTGGGTCGTCCTTCACAACCTTGTTTAAAGCGGTGTGAAGTATTTCGGTGACTGGCAGTCCAACCTGGAATAGCCACTCAACGACCTGATATCTCGGTTCCCGGCTCAGCTTGCGGCTGGCCTTCAGTGCCTTCAGCAGTGTATCGCTAGAGGGATTTTGTTGGCGGTCGCTGACTCGCTCCACGCCGAGCATCAGTTTCAGGCTGCCCATGAACGTGCTGCGCGTAGCATTCCAGATGGCATCCCCGGAATTGTAGTCGACGCTGGCCCCAAACTCGAGAAGCAGCCTCACCAATGCCTCGCCATCGTCGCCGAACTTTGCGGCCGAAACCAACTGTTCGTCGACCACTTCGCCGTTGACCCCCTTTTTGAGAAGGAGACGGAAAACGTCTCCACGCCTCTTCAAGTCGCCAATCTCGGTTGCCGCTTGGAAGCCTCTTTCGAGCGTTTGCTTCTGCATCGCGACTTTGCTGCCAAGCAACATTTTGAGGACAGCCGGCGCGCCTGATCTGCAGGCTTCGACAACGGCTTGGCCGTCCTTATGCTCGGGACGAGCTCCATGCTCTATCAAAAATGCTCCGAGAGCTACGTCTCCGTCCGAAGCAGCCGTTTGTAGCGCGTCGGAAAGTGTGCTTGTTGCGTCCGAGACCCCCCTTTTGACAAGTGCTGTACAGATTGCTATTCGCGTTTCCCGGTTTTGTAGTTTTATGGCATCGAGAAACACCTTGCCAAGGACGGTGATATCGTACTTCTTGGGCGTTCTATCGAGCACGAGACTGACTAGGTCCACTCTTTCCTTCTTCAACGCCCGGGTAACGGCCTCCCCGTCCGTAGAGTCAGCATGCCCTGCGAGTAGGTTAATTAGTGAAATGTCGCAGGGCTGTTTGTCGTCGCCAGCGTATGTGTCTATGGCATATGCTAGGGCACGGTTGGTCTCGAATGCCGGAGCACCGGCCTCTATGAGCGTCCGCGTAAAAACAAGACGGTCCCCGGGGTTCTGGATATTGAGCGAGTGACGAAGAGCCAACGCTACTGATTCAGTGGTTATTGTAGTCTTGAAGAGAAGATCTGACAAGGGCGTGTCGGCAGCTCTCACGACTAAACAGAGCACTGCCGCTTGGTTGGTGTTTGGGTTGGCCCCGGCTGAAATGAGAGACTGAAAGACGGCAAGAATACGCTGGTCATGAGGCATCTTCGATAGCATTTCTGCTTCTTTGTGCAACGCGGCGTCGAGCGACTCCTGGTGTCTTGAACGTTGGAGGATTGACTTAACCTTAGCAACTTTATTAGTATCTGTGTGCATGTCACAGAGAGCCATCAAGCCGAGGTTCAGAGCCGCAAGAGTAGGTTTTCCGTGTTTCAAGACCAGTTCAAGTACGGCTGGGTTGGGATTATTGACAGCTGTGACAGGTTAGATATGGCTCGCGTGCAGTTGGATCAGGGGAACATACCGAGATTGACGGGTTTTCCTTTGTCAAAGTTGGCGTCAACTCGCCCATGCTCAAGAAGCACCTTCACTGGAGGCATGTCGATTTCCTTCTCAGCCAGAAGATGTATCAGAGCTTCTGAACCTTCTGTACCCTCCAAGCCGGCACCTGCTCCAACCAACAACCTCAGCATCTGATATCGGGTTCTCCTGTCATCCACAAGAACAGCCCTGGCCAAAGCGGCAGCTGTTGTTTGAGGTGATGGTCTGTTTTTGAGCAGGGTCTCCAGAAGGGTGATGTCCTTAATGGCAATCGCAGACAAGATGCCGGCACCGTCATTGAAATTCACGTCGGCGTTATGACGTAGCAAAAGACTTATTAAATGCTCGTCTCGTCGCGATGACTGGTCTGCGATGGCCTGATCCAAGGCAATCGAGAGACAAGGACCGCTAACGCCGGCTGAAAGGAGACACTCGGTCATCAGATAGCGATCGTTGGCCACGAGGTAACGAGTTTCGGGGAACACCAGACTGAGTGTGTCCGTAGACGGCTTTCCGACCAGGAGCTTCTTCACCATCGGCAGGCTGCCCATTCTTATCGCATTCACCAACGCCAACCCGTTCTTGTGGTCCACCGAAGCCATCTCATGCCGACTGTAGACCATCCCGCGGTTGCCATTTCGAGTGTCGGGGTTAGAGGGATGCCTCGATCCTGGGAAAAATGGCGTGACCAAAAGCTCGACTGACTGAATATCGCCGGCCTGCACGGCGTCAATCAAGGCATCGTGAAGAGCTGTCCCCGCTGCGCCCTTGCGTAACAACATGCTCAGAAGGGCGTGGCGCTCTTCCGGGGCTATCGCTTTCGGTATGACTCGGACGCATTCAGATGCCGACGTCGCGCTCAGCGTTGAGTTCTCGGTCAATAACAGGTTCATCAGACCTGTCTGTCCTCTCGAGATGGCATGCCGGAGAATGCTGGCGTCTTGGTACTCCAGTGACGCTCCGTAGGCGACGAGCAAGTTGATCATGTCATAAAACTCCGTCTTGCAAGCCTGGGACAGCGCTTCCGAGACGGGATCACCAAAGGCCCCTGCACAGAGGAAGGCCTCGGCCAAGATTAACTTCTCCTTGGGTCCCACATTAGAGCGCTCAAACAGGTCGGTGAAGCTCTGCATGAGGCTAGGGCTTCCTGCGATGGGCGGGTTGTCACCAGTGAGGATGGCAAGCGCGATATCTAGCCTGCTCTGTGCGATAGCTGTCCTCAGAGCCTCGGCGGTGTTGTGGTTGCCGTTGGCGGATGCCCTGCTCAGCCTCAGGACGGTCTCGAAGCAGCCCTTCCGTGCCGCATCAACCATACACATGCTTAGCCATTCCAACGAAGGCTTCCCTGGGGACTGCAGGATGAGGCCGATCAGGTCCGCGTAGCCCCCCAAGATACACAGTTGTCGGAAAGAGTCCAGGCCATCCTGTGTATTGGCGGCGTTGGCGCCCCGGTACAGCAGCATCTGAACAATTGCCACATCACCGGATTGTATCGCGGCCTGGAACGCGACGTCGAGAGTCTGGGAGTCTGCATACCGAGCCAACACGGCCACCATGTCGTGCTGGCGGTTCTCAATAGCCTTTCGCAAGGTGCGGCGGGGTTGCATCAACTCCATACTGCGTTTCCTTGGCAATAGACTTGATCTGTTCTTCACGTTTGACTGGTTGTTAATGTTCCCACCGGCGGCAAGCAGCTTGGCAATGATAGCCTCAGCGATGCCGGGTGACCCGCGGTTGCCGACATGAGCCTCGAGGGCCTCGAGGAGCTCCTGCGGCTCCCATGTCTTCTTGCTAGGATTTGTGCTGAAAACTCGCTTGAGGCCGTTCTGGGATTTGTCTGCGCTGGCGTTCAAGCGCTGGCGTTTCAGCAGCTCCTCGGCGTTGAAGTCGTCGTCGGGCCTCCGAACGGTCGGCGGTGGCGAGGCGGGAGAAATGGGCGCCGTCACGGGGTGGACACCACAATCACTGGCGAGCTCCTGGAGCCGTGCCCGGACATCGTGGCCCGTGTGCGACGCCATTGGCAATTCGGTCGAAAGCGATGAATTTCGTCGAAGCTCGAGATGGCGCAAAACCACGGATCGACGAGTCCAGCCGAACTCTCATCCCACCACCAAACTAGAAGGATAAAATAAAAAAAAATACAGTGAGATGGGAAACGGGAGGCGCAGGGAATAAAGCACGTTTAAAGGTGCCCAGCTTTCAACCTTAGATTGCCGAGGTAGGAGACGAGCCTAGTTTTGGTTCCAACCCGCGTCGAACAGGGAGCGCTCGCCTCGGGGGTTTCGTCCGAAGCCTACAGGGCTGTTCTCATGGCCGCTCGCAGTGTTTCGGTGGTAGGCAAACTGGCCGGCGGCCGACTGTGCCCTGGACGGCTCGCCGTTGGTCAGCTCAGCGAGCAGAAGCAAGACAGCCCAACCCCGACCTCGAAGGTTTGCGCAGCCTCGCGAGTGCGCGGTTATGTGGGGTCGAGCTGTGGCAAAGCGTCGAGCGGAGCGGCAGCGTTTCAGTCTAGAGACGTCGATGGCGATCGCTGGGCAGTGTCTCGGTGGGGGGTGACAAACAGCAAATGAAACCGAATCCAATTGCGCGAGATAGTGCGGGTAATAACTTCGAGGGAAAACAGAATTGCGATCGGGGAAGAGAGGAATACTGTTCATCGGCTGGAAGGGGAACTGGCTTGGTAATGTCCAAGCTGGACGAGGCTCTGGGGCTGGACTCCTGTCGCCTGGGGAGCACCACCCGCCGCCTGTGAGGTTCTGCACGCCCAGAACAGGGGCTTAAGCCACCGCACACGGGATGCAGGCGACAGCTGGAAGCGACGGCCCAAGCTCTGCCGGGGACCGAAGCACTGCCTCCACAATGTTATTTCACGGTTTTGAAATAGAACCTGTTGGTTCTAAGTACATGACTTCCTTGAACTTTTGTACTTTGTGAAGAAACGAATCCTCGACGGGAGTTACCGATTACTTCCATACAGAGTATCCATACGACGGTAATTGTGGTACACACGGTACACACATGCATGCGACGGCCGTGGCGAAAACGGCCTAGGACGGCAGGAGCGCCTGCACCAAAGTTTGAGCTTAGCGCGCTCTCGTCAAATGGAACGGATGCACTGCGCTGCAGCTAGATGCGCCTCTCGCCGCGTCCAGGCGAACGTGGCAGTCATATATTTGCGTGACAGCCGTGGCGGGTGCCCAGGGCGGAAGCAGGGAAGCCATGCACCTTCCTTCAGCTGGCCAAGCCATTGGAAATGCCAAGCGGGGTCGATAGGCAGATATGACGGCCCAGGGCAGATTTGAAGGACTGTCCCGGCGCGCCTAGAATGAGGCTCACTCAGCGGGCCTGCAGTACTCTATCATTCGAGCTCTTGTTGGGTTCCAGTCCCGGGCCTGGTTGCTATTCGCCGAGAGCCAAGGAAGGTGCATTTTCGTCCCCATTGAAGCGGTTCTAGAATCTAGAATCGTGCCTAAATCCCGCCAACATGCCTACCAGGGGGCAGACTTGTCTGTCTGATCATGAACAGGTCATTAGCGGATGCAGTAAGACACTAACGGCTGGAATCCCAGAACCTTGCGCACCTGTCCTCCGCATTTTTGGCCTCGCAATTCTATCCCAACGTCCATATTCTAGACATTTATGATCCTATCCCTACTCCCCCTTCTTGACGAGCGGCTAGGCTGTAGCGGGTCGAACACCTTGCACCCTCAATGACATCATTTACAAGACCATCCTGGTCATCACGTACGGGACCTTACAAAATTGCAACCCCGCGCTCCGGAGACGGGGAGTCGAGTTGCGGTAAAATGGTTTACCCTACGGACAAGGTCGTGAATTAGTAATGCCGGACCGCGACGGATGGCGAGCTCTCTCCACCAGAAGCTGCTTCCCTGATAAAGAGGGGGAGGGGGGACTATATTGCGGCAGCTATAACTAAGACAGCCGAGAATCGACCTGTCTTGTTGACCATTGCACATTTCCATCCGTGTTTGCTTGCTTGTCCTGCTTCAAAAAAACATTACACAGAAACAAGAAACAACTAGCAAGAGACAAACAAGCATCCTCCCACCCGAGACCATAATAATAACATCACTGTATGTTCTATCGCATTCTTCACGCACCGCGCGTAATCCCCAGACCACTCTCTGGCTTAGCAGCACCGTCGCACAGCCCCGCCATCGATCCCTCCACAGCACAGCAACCACAGCAGCAGCATCACAGCTCCACAGAAAAACAGACGAGTTCAAGAGAGTAGGCGCAGCAGCTACCATCAACATGGCGCCCATCCCAACCACCATGTCGGGGGTTCTCATCGAGAAGAACGGCGGCCCAGAGGTGCTGCAGTGGAGGACGGACCTGCCCGTCCCCAAGCTGCAGGACGGCGAGATCCTGATCAGGAACGAGTTTGTGGGCGTCAATTACATCGACACGTAAGCCTGCCTTTGTGGACTTCTGTTCCTCTCCAATTACAAATCACAAACACATGCTTCTGGGGTAATACCGAGAGCTATACGCGTCTCTTCTCTGTCCTGCTCAGTTTCGTTCTCCTCGGTCCGATACAATCCACCAACAAGCTTTCCACCCCCCCTACACTCTACCAAGCTACCCCTCCCCTAGCACCATACCCCTAACCCCTGGCGCAACGTCACCCCATGCATAAACACGAGGAAGAGCCCAGTACCGTACAGTGAGTGGTAGCAGGATCACAACAAAGGCAAGCTTACACAGTGTGCCCATCAGCTACTTCCGCACGGGGCTGTACAAAGCAGCGCTGCCGCTGGTGCTAGGGCGGGAGGGAGCGGGGACGGTAGTGGCATCTGCGACGGACGAATTCAAGCCCGGGGACCGGGTAGCTTACACGGGAGAGCGCGCGTACGCGGAGCTGACGTCACTGGCGGCGGACAAGGCGGCAGCCATCCCAGCGGGGATCACGACGGAGACGGCGGCCGCGTCAATGCTGCAGGGGCTGACGGCGTTGACGTTCGTCCGCGAGGCCGCCGGCATCAAGCGCGGGGACGAGGACAAGGGCCCGGGCTCCGGGCCATGGGTGCTGGTGCACGCGGCCGCCGGCGGCACGGGCGGGCTGCTGGTCCAGCTGCTGACGGTCCTGGGCGCCAAGGTCATCGGCACCGCGGGCGGGCCCGAAAAGTGCGAGACGGCCGCCAAGAACGGCGCGCAGTATGTCATTGACAGCCGCAACGAGGACGCCGTGGCGCGTGTCGCCGAGATTACTTCCGGCAAGGGCGTTGACGTCATCTTTGACGGCGTGGGCAAGGCCACCATCGACAGCGACTTTGACATGATTGCCCGGAAGGGAACGCTGGTGATTTTTGGAAACGCGGTGCGTCGTGTCTTACCACTTCCACTGCCATACACTTTGATCGTACTAACAAGGCTGACCGAATTGCAGTCTGGCTCTCCGCCTCCTATCGAGCTCGCGAGGCTTTCCGCCAAAAACATCAAGCTCATGCGCCCTGTGCTGTTCTCCTACCTAGCGACCAAGGAGGAACGGCAAGAGTACACCAAGGAGCTTTTTGAACTCATTCTCGCGGGCAAGGTAGATATCAAGGTTCACGACGTCTACCCACTAAAGGAGATAGCCCGCGCGCACTCAGACCTAGAGGGGAGAAAGACCACAGGAAAGGTTTTGCTTAGGGTCTAATAACGGGAGCCCGTGTCTCCATTACGTCTATAAACATGAATCAAAAAAGTCTGTAGAAAGAGGCAGCTGTAATACACCCAAGAAGGGAACTTATTACTCCAACGCAACCAACCGCGGAAAGCAAATGCCGATGGCCGCTGACGTCGCCGAGGTGGTTTATGTCTTCTTGGCCTTGAGGGCCTCGACAAACTCGGCCGGCGGATCTTGCCGGTAACCCTGGGGGTTGTTCTCTACCCAGCGCCAGAGATCGGCGCAGGCATTCTCCAGGGTGAGCTTGGTGCGCCACTTGAGCTCCTCGTTGGCACGCGCCGGGCGGGCCGTGAGGTCCAGCACATCGCCCTGTCTCCGCTCAACCACCGTATACGGCAGGTCGTGGCCCACGACCTTGCTGAATGCCTTGATCATCTCGAACACGGTGCTCCCGCGGCCAGACCCCAGGTTCCACGCCCGAACGCCGGGTTTGTGTTCTTGCAGGTAGTCGAGGGCGGCTAAGTGGCCGTTGGCAAGGTCTAGCACGTGGATGTAGTCGCGGATCGCCGTGCCGTCTTTGGACGCGTAGTCTGTTCCCGGGGCGCATTAGCAATCTTCTTACCGTTTCTGTTTGGACCGGCCCGCTTTCCTCGGGGTCTACTAACCATCGCCAAACACCAACAGGTTCTTCCGGTCGCCAGTCGCTACCTTGCCGAGCAGGGGGAGGAGGTTGTAGGGGACTCCCTGGGGATCCTCGCCCATGATGCCGCTGGGGTGCGCGCCGCAAGGGTTGAAGTAGCGCAGCAACGCGCCATTCCACCGCTCGTATGGCTGGCCGGCCTTCTTGCACCTGTTCCGCTCCGCCTCGACGTGGTCCGTAATTACCGTCTCGATCATGACCTTTGTGCGGCCGTATGTGTTGGTGGGGCCAATGGGGCACTCTTCGGGGATCGGGATCATGTTGGGCACGCGCGTCGCATCGCCGTAGACGGTGGCCGAAGACGAGAAGACGATGTTGGGCACATTGGCCCTCTTCATGGACCGCAGCAGCGCGATGCCACCGCCCACGTTGACATTGTAGTACTCGAGCGGGATCTCGCCCGACTCGCCGACTGCCTGTAATTTGCACCAATTGAGTTCCCACAGTTAGCAGGGCTCATGGATTACGCAATTGTCAGGGTGTGCGCCCCGGGCAGAGGATAGCAACTTGCCTTGAGCGCTGCGAAGTGGATGACGCTGTCGATTTCGGGGTGCTTAGCGAAGACCTCGTCGAGGCCTGCTTCGTCTGTCACGTCGACCTCGTAAAAGGCGGGGCGCTTCCCGCAGATGAGCTCAATGCGGTCAAGGACTACCTTTGACGAGTTGTAGAGGTTGTCGACAATCACAACTTCGTAGCCGTTCTCGAGCAGCGCGAGGGACGTGAAGGAGCCGATGTAGCCGGTGCCACTGCAAGCCACAGTCAATATATGACGCCGAGAACATTTTTTGGTCCTGCGCGCTCTCGCTGGGGGGTTCGGTTTTGTTGGCGGGGTCCATTTGCACTACAGCCTTCGCGGCTGCAGCGACTTCGGATGCGCTCGCTTGCGCCGCCGCTCTGACAAGTAAAAAGCAGACCTACCCGGTGACGAGAACTGTTCCCACAGCCATTGTAATGTTGCGCGCGTTCGTGTGCGTCTTGGAAGATTACGTGCAGGATCTGAAAAGCTTTCGAGGACTGGGGGAATAGGCGGCGGATAGGATCGAGGTTCAAAGAGCAGTCGCAAATATTAAAGGCTTGGAATCAAGCCTCAGTCCGAGTAATAATATGTACAACACGTGTGTCGCAAATCGAATCTCGCTAGACCGCAGTTTGCCGTGGGGCGGTCGGGAACAGGGGAGGGGATGCCACCTTTGCTCCCACCTTGTGGCCGGTGCAAGCTTGGTTCGAGCCCGGTTTGTGTCGTAATGACAAGTTGTACGGGTTTGGACTAAACGGAAACGCACTTGTAATTTGGCCGTCGTTCGGCGTCGGCAGTGTAGCGGAGGGACGCGGGAGTTGCTCGAGTTGCTCAAGTTTCTCAGCTCCAGGCGACCAGGGTTGATTTTACATTTAACTCGAAACCCGACTCCTCCGTAAGGTACCTGCCACTTACCTGCGTTCGGATTTACAACGGCCAATCTCTTGCGCAAAGAAAACGTGAACCAGGAGGCTACCGGCGCCTTGACGGGTCAGTACGGCACGGCGTCGGGAACATGTCAAGTCCATCAAGCGCAATATCCATGGATGGAGCAACACATTGTTGGGCCGCTGCTAGCCCGAAACAATTATATAAAGCGGCCTCGAGGCTCGGACCGAGGCGGCCCTTTCACAGGTATCATGCCGTAGTTGCAGTTGCACGGCTAGGCGACGGGTACCATCCGGCCACATGGATCGTGGCGAAACGGTCGGCCAAGGCGAAGGGGGAAGAGACCTGAAAATTTGAACCATATTGTTAGACAAGAGGGCAAACGAATCCTTTGCTTCAGACAGGGCAGCTGCGCCTGTTGCTGAGACCAAGCGGCCAGCGATGGAGCCGGATGTGCACTAGCCCTGTCTCTGCACTTCACTTGTCTCCTTCTGGAAACTCAAAACGGCCTTTTTTCCTGCGTCGTTCGGCAAGAGGTAACGTGTGAGCGGCCTCCCGGCAGTAGACTATCAGATCAGAGTTGAGAAAAAAACGACATGCACCCAATATAAATGGATGCTCCACGGATATTCCACGAATCCTCACGTTCCTGGTTCGAAATGGCGGGGCTCATTGGAGCGGCGAGATGCATATGCCGGATACAGCATTTTTCAGCATTTGCTGAGTCATCCGTCTTAAAGCACGTGCCACAGAAACACGACCCGCCACCTGCCTGGTCTTGGACAGGCCAGCTGGCTGCCCGGGGAAGTCGGTGGTTGGGCACTGGGCAGGGATCCAACAAGCTCTTGCAGACTCCACTCCGTGCACCAAAAGTTGAGCCTCGAAGGAGAAAAATGCGCCCAACCGCCAGCGCATTCCTGCTAATAGGGCCCCAGCGGACAAGTCGACGATACATCGAATGGACAATGAAATCGCAAAGAATGCGCTTTGCTGGACCTTTCAACCACGAAACACACCTCAACGTCCTCACAAAGGGTCGAGGCCGTTTTCATCCATCTGACAAACGCCTACTTTCCGCTTGCGAGCCGTTGGGCGCATTCCAGGCTTACCTTACGGAATACGTACTGGAGTGTTAAAAGTTACGCCGGCCCTGCTTGCGCGTGTCCCTCATTTTAGACGCTCGAGCTCCAACACCGCCCGCGCCCGCGACCGCGATTGCGACTGCGACTGGACCGCACCTGCAACCCCTCGCCGCGTGCGACAACCCCCAACGACCTGGAATCCCAATTCTCACGAGGAAGCAGGAGCAGGAGCAGTGCCTCGAGATGAAATAAACTCTGGCAGCTGCCAAACCCATTGCCAGTCTCGGGCCTGTGGTGCCCTGCTTGCTGGGACGTTTTGTTGGCTGGCTGTTTTGACGTGTCTTGACGCGATCTGGGGTTGGGCCTCTCAACACCAGGGGATTTGATCTGTTTTGCGACCTCGGCTGCGACTATATTTTGATCTCTGTTCACTTGTAGGTACACGTACTTTACCGTACATCGCATCTGCTCCTTGTCAATTTTCTGTTTCTCTCATTTCTCATCCCCCTCACCCATTTATGTTCCCCCTTCCCGTCTTTTTCACCTATCAATCTCCTTTCTGTCCCCTCTTGGCCGCCTTCGTTCCTCCTCTAAAAATGTCTGTCAAGCTGGAGCCTCGATCTCACCACCCGCTACATTTTGCTTCACCGACTCTGTCCTGACAATTTCAGTAGTTATTTTACCGTTTCACAGCCTTGCAACATTCACTTGAAAAGTCCCGAATTTGGGTGCGAGTGTTTTGTATCGTCTCAGCATGCCTCCAAAGCGTGCGGCCCGTCGAACGGCGAACACGCCTATCCCCGGAACGGGGCGGGCCCAGACGCCGTCCGTGACTGGTTCGATGCTTGGCACCGACCTCAATGCTTTTGCGCGCTCGCCAATGGTGGCCAAATACAGCACTTCCTATGGCTCTCCTATATCTCAGCTACCCGACCGGGCCGCGGTGAAAGGTGGCGGGAAACTCGCACAAGTCGCAGCAAATATCTTTGATGAAGTCCGGTCAGGGAACCGCGCAGCAAAGCAAAGTAGCCAGCGCCAATTGAAGACAGCAGAAAAGATCACCAAAGCCATTACGCGCTCGACGCCCGAGCCCGTTGCCAGCACAGCGGGGAGTAAAGGGGACAGCGAAGAGGAAGAAGATGAGGAGGAAGAGGACGATGAGGACCGAGCCGAGAATCGGAGAAGCCAAGAACCTGACCCCATGGACGAGAGCGAGGACGAGTTAACGGAGGAGGGAAGCTGGCGAGAGGGGCTGTCGAAGAAAGTGCAGCCTCAGTCTGTTTCTTCCCGACTACGGAACCGAGACACCCGAAAGAGGGCTCATGACGATGCCGAGGCCGAAGCCCAGGCGGAGCAAGAGCGCCTCGAGCGAGACACTCGTCGACGACGAGAAAATGAGGCTGAGTCACGACAACGTCTCTCACAGAAGCAGGCCGATGCTAGGAGGACCCAGAAAGTCACGCCTCTTGCCCCGCCACCCGCTCCATTTCCTCATAGCGGGAGAGGGACGTCTCCCGTCGCATCCACGCCGATCGCTACCACTGGGTCCACGAAGCTTGACCAGATACCGGACTCGGCTCGAAGCTTCATTGAAGAAGGCAACCTCTATCAGCACGCCGACATAGAAACCCCTGGGGCCCCTCCCCGGCCTCCCCACTTTGCAGTATCTCGCCCAGAAGACCACTCTTCACCACCTACGCAACATACGACGAGGCCGTTTAGTACTGTACAAGACTCAGCTGCACTTGACTTACCCCCCCAGACAGCCGCTCATGCGCCAATTGCGGTTGACGGCGGTCAAACGTTGTCGGTCGATGCTCCTATTCCACCCCGTTCTACAATCCCCCAGTTTCCACGCGTTCTTAGTAATGCCGGCCCCAGTTCGTCTCCGCCTCAAGCCGCGCCAGAGGGGACTTCGGCCCATCCCATCTCGTCTCTCTCTGGCTCGCGGTCACAGAGATCACCTACTCCAGGAACGACACGTCGCCGAGCAGTGGCCTTTCAACTATCCGAAGCTTTAGGGGCAGAGTCAACTTCAGTGGACAATGCCCAGCGGCAAGCTGCTCTCCGTAGGCTTCGTGGCGCCGACCCCAACGTGGATACCAACCCCAATGTCGATACCAATCCCAATCCCGCTAGAAACGTACATCAGGAACCTCACAAGCCCAAGAATCGACGAGCACGTTCGAGCGAGCCAACCCACATCCACGATGACGACGACGAGAACGGCGAGGCACTCTTGACCAGGTTCAGGAATGTCTTCCAGCCAGTGCCAATTCTCAAGTGGATGATTCCAGCCTTTCTGCTGCTAAGTGCAATGCGTTTTATGTTCATCCACGCCCGCCCCAACGTGTTTGAGCCGCCTGGGCTGAATCTCCGTTGGCACGGGTGGGGATTGCGCGGCATGGCGAGCAACGTCGGCCAGCTCTTTCCTGGGCCTCTGCTTCACTCCCCCGGAGTCTTGACGGAAAGTCAGTACGATGACCTCAAGGAGTTCATGCGGGATCGCGAAGGACCTCTTAAATCTGCGGTAGACAACCTCGAGTCCATCATCCCAAAGGTCGTTCACATGCACAAAAAAAACGGAAAGCTCGTAATCGGGGACGAGTTTTGGCACGCGCTGAGGGATCTGGTCCAAAAAGACGATTCCATTTTCACACTCGACAAAAAGGGCGACATCTCCGGCCGGCAGTGGAAATCCATCGAAGGCCGACTGAAGAGTTCTGGCCTTCTTTCGGGCTCTGGCTCGACCAAATTGTCACCCGAGGATATCGAAAAAATTGTGGAAAGACACCCGCCACAGTCTTGGGACAATTGGGTGAAGGCCAACAAGCACAAAGTAGCCGGCCTCCTAGACCAGAATTTGGAAGAGCGCCTAGAGAAAACCGAGAAGGCCATCTCCAAAATAGTTTCTACTAATGACATTAAGGATGTCGTGGTGACCAAGAAAGAGTTTCTCAAAGAGCTAGAAAAGAATATGGTCCAACACAAGAACGAGATCAATAGCCAGGTGGATGATCTCAGGTCGTCAATAAAGAATCTGGCCAGCGAGGCCCGCAAGTCTGCCTCTTCAGAGGGGCTCACAGAGGAAGAGCTCAAGCCCATCATCGAATCGGTCGTAAAAAAGGCGATTGGCAGTGCCCGGCTCAAGGCTGCTGCGCAAAGCAACATTGCCGATTTCGACGCTGAGCTGCAGCGCCGTGTAAACCATTTCAGCACAGGAAACGGCGCGATGATAGATCTGTCGCTGACATCCCCGACTTGGCAGCTACCCAGGCCCCTCATCCCCACTCGGAAGTGGTTCAGGGCGATGCGCGCGCAGCCGCAGTTCCAGCCCGAGAAGTTCGCAGCGCTAACGAGCTGGGAAGAGGCTGGGCAGTGTTGGTGCGCGGGCATCGTCGGCAAGAACAACACGCGCATCCCCGCCGACGTCGGCATCAAGCTCTCGCGCTACGTGATCCCGCAGAACATAGTCGTCGAGCACATCGACCCGGCGGCGACGGTCGACGCTGCCGCCACGCCCAGGGACATGGAGGTGTGGGCGCTGTTCGACGAGCACGCGCGCGCCGAGCGCCTCAAGGACTGGATGGCCGTCAATTTCCCCGCGCGCACGGCCGACCCGCTGTGCCGTTTAGGGTTCGTGCTCATCGCCACCTTCACCTACGACCACCATCCGGCCGACCGCGGCGTCCAGATCCACCGCCTCTCCCCGGAACTCGCCGCCATCAAGGCCGCCACCGACCACATGCTCGTCCGCGCCGTCACGAACTACGGCGCCGACCACACGTGCTTCTACCGCCTGCGCATGTACGGCGAGGAGCAGCCTGACCTGGACCAGGAGAAGAGGAGCAAGGAATGGTGATGGTTTTTTTTACTGCCGGGATGTAGGGGGAATCTATATCTATATACGCTTGCCTCGTGTTCTGTCTTTTTAGGGTTTTCTTGTTTCGAGGAATTGGAGGACACTATTTTTGTTGGGTTTTAGCATCGGCATTGGCGAGGGCGTTGGGCGTAGGTGTCTTGTTTCTAGCCTGTTGTTCTTCCCCTGTTTACAAAGGCGTAATTATACCGGGATGACGGAAGGGGGAGAGGAGCATGGAGTTGTATGTCGCATTGTTAAGGAAAGAAATGAAGGAAGGAAGAGACGAACAAAGGAGAGCATAAAATGAACACGGTGAAATACCCGACTATTGCCACACTTGGGTTTTGTTCGTATGTTGCTGACGGTGTTGTTTGACCTCTTGGATGTACTATATTCCTTTGGTAAGGTAATTAAACCTAAATTAGAGGAAGTGTGGGTTTGTGTTTCCGGAAATATTCGTGGTATTGTTTATAAAAATTTGATCCCCGAGAAAAGGAAACCTGTAACCGCTTTACAATTACGTCTTGATCTACCGTCTACAACGGCAGTAAATCCAGAAGCTAGCCCAGCACACAAAGTGCCTACATAAACCCCCGACTCTAGTCCAACAAGCCAGCAGCCAGCGCCTCGAGGTCTTGCAGATTGTCGGGCTCGTGGTCCATCTCAATGACCTTCTTACCACTCTTCTTGTTCTTGGCCGCAAGCTGGGCGCGCTCATCATCTGAGTCGTCCTGGAACCACTTCTTGGCCTTCTTCTTTGGCGGCTCGTCGTCGCCGCCATCACTGTCAACCTTGTCCCTGTCGTCGGGCATCGGCAGCGACCTCAGCAGCGCCAGGGGATCCTCGTCCATCTCGTCCTCGTCGCTATCACCCAGCCGGGCCGTCTGCTGCTCGAGCTGGGCGAGCTCCTCGCCGCGCTCGCGGGCCTTTGCGCGGTCGCGCTTCTCCCGCCGCCGGTCCTTGGCGGCCTGCTTGTCCTCGACGTCGGCCTCGCGGACCTTGGTGGCCTCGGTCTCGACGAACTCCTCACGCAGGCGCGCGGCGGGGCCCTCCTGCTTGAAGTCGTCCTCATCCTGCAGCTCGTACAGCGAGTGAGCGTTGCCGTCGTCGTCAAACACCAGCTTGGTCGGCTTATCCATGAACTTGAGCAGCTTCTTTTTGGATTTGAGCAGCTTCTCGCGCCGGTTCGAGTCGATAACCAGCTCCGACTTGCCCAGCTGGATAACCTTGGGCATGGCCTGGTCTTTGGTGCCGTCCTCGGCCGCCTTGTCCAGGTCGTCGTCGCCCAGCACGCGCTTGACCGCGAGGAAGTCTTGCTCATCGACCTCCTCGCCATTGTTGTTCTCGTCGTCATCGCCCAGAAGCTTCCGGTAATGGCTCGACAGCACGTCTTGGTTCTGCCGCTCCGCCATCTTCTGGTATTTGGTGCGCACCTCGTCCTTTTTGGATTTCTTGCCCTCGCCGCCCTCGTGGTCGCTCTCGGACCCGCTCGACATAGCCTCGCGCGACGCGTTCTTTAGCCTCTTGACGTCCTCTCCCTTCTGGAACTTAATCTGTGGTGCTCCAGCCAGACCCATGCTCGCAGCGAGGGCGTCCAGGTCCAGCTTCTTAAACTTGAAAACCTCTTTGTCTTTTTGGAGGTGGATTGAGCGCGTGTAGGAGATGAAGGCCTTTTGGCCGAGGTACTTGAGGTCGGGTGACTGGAAACAGAGACTCTGCAGTTGGTCTGTGATGCTCTTTTTCTTGGTCTCCTTGACGTTCACCTTTTGGATCGGCACCTTCTTGTGCGCGAGCCGCTTCAGGAACGCTAGCTCCGTAGGTTCGAGGAACAAGACGGCCTTGCCTTTGCTTTCGTACCTGGCCGTTCTCCCGACGCGGTGGATGTAGGTGTCGGCGTCCTCGGGGCAGTCCGCTTGGATGACCCAGTCCACGGCGGGGAAATCCACGCCTCTAGCCACGACGTCTGTCGCAAAGAGGCAGGCAAACTTTGCCGCGCCAAAGCGTGATGTGACTTCGAGCCGCGCTAGTTGCTTTTGCCGCCCGTGGAGATGCAGCAGCGAGATGCCGGGCTGCATGCGCTTAAAGCTCTCGTACACGAATCGGACCTGCTTGCCCGAGGATAAAAACACGATTATCTTGCTCTTGAGATTGGCCCGCAAGAAGCCCCATAGCGTCTCCAACTTCTCCGCCAGCGGCACGACGATATAGTGCTGCTGTAGGTTTATAGGTGTCGCCGATGTAGCCTCCTCGTGCACCGACACGTACTCCGGGTCCTTCAAGCTAAGGCGCGCCAGGTCGGACACCCTCTTGCTCTGTGTAGCGCTGAATAGTAGGGTCTGCCTGTCTTTGGGCAGATGGTCGACAAGCGCATCGACTGCCGACTGGAACCCCATGTCCATGATGCGGTCGGCCTCGTCCAGTACCAGGATCTGCAAGTTGTTGACGTCGAAGCCGGCCGTCTGGTCAAGGTGCTGCAGCATGCGCCCAGGAGTGCAGACTAGGATGTTCATCCTCCCCAATCGTTCAGCCTCTTCGAGTAGGCTCTTTCCTCCAATGACTAGGCCGGCGGAGAAGGTGTGTTTTCGGCCAATTTTCCTCAGGACCTCGAATATTTGGACTGCCAGCTCTCGGGTCGGGCTGATGATGAGGGCACCAAGGCCGTCGAGCTCGGTCCATTGCGCGCGGTAGAGGGCTTCAAGCACGGGGACGAGGAAGGCCAGCGTCTTGCCGCTGCCAGTTTTGGCGGCGCCAAGGATGTCTTTGCCCTTCAGTGCCAGGGGAATGGCGACTTTTTGGACATCGGTGAGGGTCTCGAAGTGGGAGGCGCGGAGGCCGGCAAAGGTGGCAGAGCAGAGGGGGAGGTCGGTAAAGCTCTTGATATCTGGCGACTTGATATCCTAGAGATTGAGGTGGTCAGAAATTGGGCTCGGAGACAACGATTAGCAGGACAGAAGGCGTTGGCAAGAAAACCCCACTCTCACTCACAAGTTCGTCGACGGCCTTCCGCAACTTCTCGACATCGTCCTGGTCTCTTTTCCTCTTAAGCGACCGAGCTTCGGTGTTGGCCTTGGATGGCTTGCCACGCGCTGCGGCGCTTTTGGCACCAGGCGCCATGTTGTCTTTGTTCGGAGCGTCGTTCAGAATCTGCCTCCTGCTTGTTCCAGCTGCGAGAGTATCTGGGAAAATTTTGGCGGAGAGCAATTCTGCCATTCATTGCCCCACTCACTGCACCGTGCATGCCGACCCGGCCAGCGGGGTGCCGTTGCAGACGGGGGTTAGGGTTGGCCTCTGACCATCTCCACTTACAACGACAACACATCACTAGCACCTTTCGAGCTTAGCATCCGCATCTCTCTTTTATTATATGCGTTCCAGAATAGTAAGTACTGGCAAATATTCCGAGCCGTGGCTTGGATCAATACAAAACCTCTCCAACAATTAGTCTTCATGAGCTAGCAGTTGATCTCAAACGTCGATACCTCACTCCATCCCCTTGCCGCTTCCGCTATTGTCCGTTCACAGCAGCCGAGAAATCCGCCCAAGGTAGATTCGGACCCGGAATTTCGCGGTGAGAGGGATGCTTTCGTTTGTCCACAATAGGAGAGTCTTCTACAGCTAGATCTATCATCAAAGCAAAATGGCTTAATTATAGGTACCACGCACACACTGCTATCTATATTTCGTATGATCCGAAGGTGAATATTCTCTAGACCGTGTTTCTGCTTCCTGGGTGGTTAGTGGGGACAGAGACAGGTGAGAGAGATAGTTGCGACCTTGTCCATCTTCCTATCTGGCGAAATCGGCGGGTTTTAATCCTAAGACACTATGACTGCGTTACTTTGGCCCGGATGGTGAGACCACCGGAATTAATGCCTAACTAATTACATGCTAAGCCTATTAGTACACAAACCCCCACCACCCCCCCCCCCCCCCCCCACAAAAAAAAGAAGTTGCGATTTTTCATCTGCAATGGTTTCCGTGTGCCACGGAGGCCCTCACCATTCTTCAGAGCCTTCCCCCACGTCCGAGAAAGGCACGTCGGGGGAGGAAAGTTGGGGTTGAGAGGTGAGCTAGAGTTTGTCGTCGAAACATGTCACCCGGGTTCCGATCTCTCACTCGTTGTAGGACTCAAACTTTCCTTTGCGTCTTCAAAAGACAGACTACTAGAATCCGTGTCCTCGTCTGAGCAGTCGAGATACCTTTCTAACGGATTCATAAGTCCCGACTCCATGCGGTTTTCGATCCCGTGGCTCCTCCCATGGTGCTCGGCCTCGATCCGCATGACTGATAACAGATCCTCAAACGCAGCGTCAAGCCTGTTGGAGAAGTCGATTCGTTCCTCGAGGACTTGGTTGTAGTGATCCAGGACATATGAGCTGTCCTTGCTCACGCGGAGATGTTCCGCGGCTGTAAGAAGCAAAATCGTCTCCACGTCAGCGTACTGAGCGATTATCTCTAGGAGGTTGGGTCCCGTGAGTCTTGGACACTCGGTATATTCGAACCACCGTTCGAGGAGAAGCCTAAGCACGTGGTGGTTGTTGTATTGAATTGCTGTGGTAAGCGGTGTCTGCCCGTTTTTTGAGGTTGCGTTGATGTTGGCGCCGTATTCAAGGAGGAGCATCGCGTGTGCAGCGCTGTTACCCCTTGCAACGTGCAGCAAAGGAGTGACTCCGTCCACTCCACTTGCCTCAATCTTGGCATCGAAGTCCAAGAGTGATTTCATGAGCATGGGGTCCCGTGCGTTGCGAGCTGCGCAGTTGAGTGGTGTTCCGAACTTGATGCCGGGCGGCAGTTCAGGGTCTGCAAATGCCCCAGCTTCGAGCAAAAGACGGACACACGCTGTTTGGTTTTGGTTGGCAGCTAGGGTTAAGGGAGTATTGAGCTTTTCGTCCATGTTGTTGGGATCGGCACCCCAGCTGAGAAGAGTTATCACGGCTCGCTCGTCGCCTCTTGCGGCCGCCCATTGAAGCGCCGTGCGTCCCGTCGAATCTGCGCAGTCAACACTCCGGGGATGCGAACGGAGCTCCTCTTCTAAATCTGCGCCGCAGAGCCCGAGAACGATTTTGTGAATCCGGGCAAAGTTCTGCCGCTCGATGAAATCGCTGCCTTCAGAGACAAGTCGAAGGATTTCGATGACCTCTTCTGGGATACGACCCCTGAGTATTATATCGACAGCTTTATCACTTGGGGAATCGTCGCTCTTGGCGATCGGTCTAGGTAATTAGCGTACCCACTGTCAGCAGTTCTCTTGGAAACTGGAGTGAACTGTCACAATGCACGCTCGTTACCTGTAGGTTGGATCTGCTCCCGCAGCCATGAGAAATTTGCATGTCTCATATTGTTGACCGTACAAAGCCCACTAATTTTCCTGTCAGTCTCGTGCGAAGCTATACTTGGAGACAGATTTCGCGTACCCGCAAAAGTGTGTAGCCCCTCGTAGAGCTAACATCACGAGACGAGGCTAGACCTCGGTTGAAGAGACTCTTCAAGCCGTCGATATTCCCTTCGAGTGCAAAGCTGACGCACTGTGAAGAGTCTGGGACTCGCCGTAATGTGTTGAGCTGGAGCGAGGGACCGACATTGGTCTCGTACGCGAGACTGAATCGAACAATCTGGGACCAACAGATGCCCAGCGGGAACCAGTATTCGAGGCTGACTGACGAGGTCCGCTGCCCTGTGCAGGCCGCCGAGTCGCACTTGGCGCTCAAAAACGGCCACCCGCTGAACCCGACGAAAAGCTGGCCGAGCAAACCATCCACGGACGCCGGCGTCTTTTTATTCAAAACGGAGTGGCAAGAGCACCTACAAGTGCTCTGACAGGTTGTGCGTGCCTGTCGTAATCGCATTCTGATGGAGTCGGAGCCGGCTTGGATGCGTGATGCTGAGCTTGGGCTGACTCTTCGGACTGGACGTCGTCTTGCTGGCGGTGCTGAGGTGTTGTAGAGGCGTCCAGCCTGAAAGGATTGAGCGGCGTGCATCTGCGTTGCTTGGGTCTGAAGTAATGCCTCGACCCGCTCGAGGCGCTGATCAACTTGGGAGTACTTGTGACTCATGAGTTCTGACATTGTTGTATGATGCTGCTCGAGCAGCATCTGTACGAACTTGCTGTTGGGTACCTTCAAGTCTGCGCAACTTATCTCGGTAGAGTCAGAGAACTTGAGACTCAACTTTTCAAGTTCTAGTCGAACCTGGGTCATATCTTGCCTCGATGGCCGTCAGAATCGGTCGTAATCATCGGCAACCAAGTTGTGCCGAGCAGGGGCCGCCAACTCACGAATTCGATGCGCCCAGCAGGATATTCATACTCGACTTGACCTGCTTGATTTCCTCCTGCAGTGATAACACCCGCCGCTGTTCTGTTCTCCACATCATGACTCGGGGAATGGCTTCTCGTTTCTTCAGACCCGCCGATAACAGCCTCTCGAGGATCGTTTTCAGGTCCAGCAAGGCCGTTTTGCCCCGAGCCAGCTGTGCGAGCAACGTAGGCGCGGCGTGACCATCCTGGGCTGAAAGTCTCTTTTCCTCGGCCACGATGGCGATTTGATGCAAAACCGCGTTGAAATCTTGCATCTCGTTATTGAGCGCGTGGATGCGACCGGGGAGCGAATCCCAGTCACGCCGAATCTCGGCAAGGATGTTGCAGACCTGTGCCGCGACGGTTGCAACGGCAACGACGCCTGTTGCTATCGACAATGGATCCATGCCCGACGGGTCTCCACATGTATGTGGCCAACGGAAGATGTGAATTTAAGGAAGCCGCGATTCGGACATTGATGCGGAAGCTGTGGTGAGGTGTGGGGTTGACCTCGGCTCGTTGTTAAATTGGGCACGATGGAAAGATTATCGGGGGGGACAGGACCGACTCCGAGGACTGGAAGGCAGGTACGTGTCTAAGCGCCGAGGGCAAGACGAGGCTTGAACAAAGTCAGTCGATTCGCCTAGCTCAAGTTGTACTAAACCCCTCGTGCATCGGGTTCGGGGGCACCGAGACCGCCACAGACTTTGCTGCATGCAGAATCCTCTCAGAAGCCAAAGCATGCAAAAGCGATCAAAATAAGGATATTCCAAGTGTGTGTATTGTGTTGTGTTCAAGGAATAAAAAGGCCTGTGCCTGCAGGTCCGGGAACCAGTGTTGACTCTGTGAAAAGGCGGTCTAATTAGGTGCCCTGTGCGGGCCCTGGCCGGGCCCTGCCCAGCGTCCCTAGACCATGCCGACAAATCCTGGCGTTCCCTTAAATTTTAATTGCCCCGCCCGATTAAGGTCTCTTCTCTCTTGCCACTCACTATTAATCGAGGCTGCCATGGATACACAGGGGCCCAATATCAAGGCCTCCCAATTCGGGGCCGAAATTCGCTCCAAGCATTTCTCATTCGCCGACGGATATCGGCCGCTGAATCATGGGTCATTCGGAACGATACCGAGAATGGTTCAGGACTACCAACGACAGCTCCAACTCGAAACCGAAGCACGACCAGATACCTTCATCCGCTACACTTACCTACAGCTTCTCAAAGAGAGCCGATCAGCTGTGGCACCTCTTCTTGGGGCTGACCCTGGTGAAGTTGTTCTTGTCCCAAACGCCACCACTGGTGTGAATACCATCCTTCGGAATCTGTCCTTTGACCAAGGTGATGTTGTTCTCTGCTTCGACACCATCTACGGAGCATGTGCAAAAACCATACAGGCATTATCCGAGACTTGTCCAGTGTCGTCTCATCAGATCGAAATCACCTATCCCATCGAAGATGCCGAAATCCTGCGCCGATTCCGCCTTGCCGTTGAGGAAGTCAAGGTTCAGGGCAAACAGCCCAAGCTCGCCATGTTTGACACGGTACTCACCTTTCCCGGTGCACGCTTTCCGTGGGAAGCATTGGTGGCAACTTGCAAGGAACTCGGCATCATGAGCCTGATTGATGGCGCCCACGGACTTGGCCACATCGACCTGACGAACCTCGGCGAAGTCGGACCGGATTTCATGGTCAGCAACTGTTACAAGTATGCCTGAGTTAACTATCAAGTTTGGTGCCCTGATCGCCTTAACCCAACACTGACACTTGACAGGTGGCTTATGGTCCCCAGAGGGTGCGCTGTTCTGTATGTGCCCTTCCGGAATCAAAAGCTGATATCGTCCACTCTCCCAACGTCCTGGGGCTATATGCCTAGGGATGAGCGCGCAAAGACGGACCCGCACGAGTACTTCTCCCGGCTCTTCGACAAAGTGTCGACAACGGACAACACGCCGTACTGCTGCATCCCCCTGGCGCTCAAGTTTAGGTCGGAAGTCTGCGGCGGCGAAGCCAGGATCCTCGAATATTGCAAAGATATCGCACTACAGGGCGGAGCCAGAATGGCCGAGATTCTGGACACGGAGGTCCTCGGGGGCTCGTCGAGCTCGTTTCAGCACTGTTGCCTCACTAACGTGCGACTGCCACTGACACTGGAGGAGCTCGCCATCGACGAAAGCTGTGGGAAAAAGGTTGCAAAGTGGATGCAGGAGCTAACGCCTGCCGAGTACGAGACGTATCTCCCCATCAAGTTCTACGACGGCCAGTTCTGGTGCAGGATCAGCGGGCAGATTTACCTGACGCTGGACGATTTTGAGTGGGCTGCAAGGACTCTGCTTCAGCTCTGCGAACGGGCAAGAAAAGGGGAATGGGCCGCCTGAACTCTCCTTGATTTCCCTGAGCCTAGCTTAACCCAGCGTGCAGCCACTGAGAAGAACCAGAGGGCCATTTTCTATTCCCATAAGCTTCCAAGAAGTAACTCGTGGGAGTTTGTTACACATACACACGAGTAATCCTCCACCTATTTTCTCTTGGCTAGTCTATAATTTACTTGATTGGTCGCGTATGCCAATGTCCGAGGTAAAGCTGAAGCTAGGTGAGTAGCTCCTGCGTTTCAAGCATTCCGGACACATCCTTCCACCAGTTAAATTTGTAACGAAAAGTGAAATGGTTCATTCCCGTCACCGCGCAGCAAAATCAAGCATTAAGCGTAATTCGGAGAAAAGTTAAACAGTTTAACGGCAGGTACTAACAGAGTTAAATCGAACTACTCACGTAACTTCCATACCACCCACCGACATGCAAGACTTCCTGCTCATAAAATATCTTACTTCCCCTTCCTCCTTCCTTCCCCTAACATTCACACGCGCAACTTCCCCTCTGGCAACTTTCACTCTGGCAACTTTCCCTCTAGCAACTTTCCCTCCGGAAACTTCCCCTCCAACGACTTACCCTTTAGCACCACATTGCTTCCTGTTTCTTTTCAGGCCCATTTATCGATCGGGTTTCGCGTTGAGGCCGAATATGGAAATTTAGCGGCCCATCAGAGAAACCAAGAGGCCTCTTATTAAATAACACAGCCCTAGAATAGAATGCCAAAGCCGTGTGTCCTCCTTACTTAGACAAGGAATCAATTATTCAAGAGGATTGCTCGGTGTACCCACCCCCTTTGCTCGGGACACCCACCCCCTGATAAAATCATAGCCCTGGCACTTGACATAAACTGCCCGGCTTTTACCGTAGTAAATTCGGGCTTTTAGATGAAGCCGGCCATGCATCGGATCCTTGCCTTGCAGGGCACCCTAGCTTCAGCCAGGATATCACCCACACCCAAATTTGCAGTAACCTGTATCACCGGGCCGGCTTTGCAGCCGCAATGAAGGTCGCCGTGATGAAGAAAAAAAGGCAGGCCAAATCGTTCAAAAACGCAGCCTTCGCAAATTGAACACGAATTCTAGTCAAAGTGGGGCTAGTCAGGGCTTGCATACAGGCTCCATTGCGGGCTCCCACAAAAGTATAGTAAATAAGGCGGGAAATCCTACAACAATCTTGCCAGTCACCAGGCATACGAATGAGGCACAGGAAATGTAGTTGAAGCCGTAGAATGCAAGGTTTCCGTAGTGGTGATATTTTCTATGGTGGTGCGCATTTTGCAGAGCCGCATCGTCCCTGCAGAGTCTCGATATGGTGCCTCAGTCACCGGATGGACGAGCAAGCGAGCGCTGAAAATAGCTTCATGTGCGTTGGCAGCCGTTGCACGAAAATTGCCATATTTTACAGAGGCTCAACACATTAGCCGAGGCTCAACCGGCAGGGAGACCCCCCCCCCCCCCTCCCCCTCTGTCTCTTCGGAATAGCTTCATAATTGACACAGGGTTGACCCTACCATACGGCGGGGTAGTTGCATGGCTAGTTGCATTGAAAGTGGGCATTTTTACGTACAAAAAGGTGGATTTTTTTGCCGGCTGCCAGGCCTACGATTTTAGGGATGGTGCGTGTCCCGGGCAAAAGGGGTGGGTGCGCCGAGCAATCCTCTTATTCAATGTGTCATTATTCGCATTAGACGCCAAAGAGATTCCGAAACGAGCAACTGAACTCATCGTGCAGTTCTGTAAGGATAACCCGGAGGATCTCATTTACACCATCGTTGCTCTGTAAAAGACATTGTAATGATGCCATATAACGAGCAAAGAAGAGCAAGGAATCGAAGCGTTTGTGGGCTCTGCAACTCGTCCTGAGCCAGCAAATCGGCTTCCATAGATCAAACCCAAAGAGTGGCTCGCGTATACCTAGTCACCTCTATCAATCGTTTCATTTATAAACCACCATCATGGTTAAAGATCATGAGCATGCTTGCAACAACTCTCGATGAAATTGAGTATCCGATAATCTCACGTCCTGTATCAATTCCCTACAGTCTAGTACAATCCGGCTCCCCTGCACCAGTATTAGTTGCCTGTCTATCCTACCACCCAGTGTCCGAGTCGCTATCTGAGTCGCTACCCGAATAGTCAGACTCAGTGAAATCCGAGTCAGACTTGCTCATCATGGAGTCGTTATCAAAGTCGGAGTCGTCAAAGTCGCACAGTCCCTCATTCAAGCCGTCACTACCATCAACGTCAGCCACCGCGGAGCCTATACGGACTAGAACCACGTACCTCGTTATCTCCGCCATGGCCCGCCAGTCAGAAGGGAGACTATTCTTGACACCGATGGCCTGGGCTGCATCACGCAGTCCCCTCCAGAACTGCTGAATGTTTGGCTCTCTAAAACGATATCGCGGCCAGCTGTGAAAGTTCTAATTACGAGAGATCAGCTCCACTCCAGTCAAGACACCACTTGTGACGAGGCGGGTAGCGGTCACCGGGCAGGCACACTCACTTGGCTGATGCAGAAATGGGCAAACGCCACCACAAATGCAATCCACCGCTTCGTCCGGACCGGGCCTCGCAGATCCCTGCCCCCGCGGAACTCGACCGACCCCGACTTGCCGTCGAGCACATTGTCAAAGTTCCACAGCACGTAGCGGTCCTTGCTCGACCCCGTGCGGTACTGCATCAGGTCGCGGATCTCGCGCCGCGAAGTCGTCCGCCGGATCGTGTCCCAGACCTCCACCGGCGTCACGTCGTCGTCGTCGGCGATCTCCTGCAGCGCGGCCGAGTGCTCCGAGTTCGGCTGGCAGTAGTTGTTCTCGCGGCGGTACCAGGGCAGCAGCTGCAAGACTTCCTCTTCGTAGTAGACGACGCCGAACGCAAGGCCCTGAAGCTGGGCGACGGTGAAGCGCTTGGACGGGGACGGGGACACGTGCACGTGGCTTCCGCAGAGGCGCGAAGAGTCGGGTATGCGGAACACGCAGTTCCACGCGTTCCAGAAGGTGTCGATGTCGCGCTCCCAGAAGTACGCCGTGTCGAGGATGGGGGAGACGGCCTCCAGGGGGACTAGTGGTAAGGTCAGTGGATGGATACTAATGATGGGATCTGCTCGCTTTCAACCCATCATATTGCCGCATGTAAGACAAGACAAGATAGGACTGACTTAGAGGATGATCGGGGTTCCCTAGCGAGCCGTCCTTGGTAATCCACCACTTGTCATAATGCTCTGGATGCTTGGCGTAACTCCCGTCAAGCCTGTCGGCAGCAGCCCGGGCCCCTCGGGAGCGGAGCTCGGCGGCGAGCTTCTCATAGTACACGGCTCGTCCGGCCCGGTACTGGGCCCGGTGAGGCGCCGCGATGAGCTCGATCTCAACACCGAAGCTGTACGAGTCGCACATTGCTTGACAGGTGAGAAGAAAGGGAAAAGACGATTGACGCAGAAGATGGGCTTGTAATTCGTTATCGAAAAAGGCGGGCCGTGACACGGCCTATCTCTATGGCCATTGCTAAGGGTTATTATAAGAACGTGGCATTCCGGTCAAGCTGGGCTCAGAGGGCTTGAAGCCGCCCGCCATGCTGATAGTCTCCAACGTGGCTACCCCCCAAGACCAACCCCCCCGGCAAGGCTCTGGGCTCGACTCGAGTGAAAAAAAGGGGGTTTCATTAATCTGAGGCGGAGGTACTTGTGAGGCTTCATGTGCACAAGGCTCTCGCACTGTGCTGGGAGCCTATCAGCCCGAGCCCGAACATATGCATGCACAATCTCTGGGGCTGCCGCAAGTGATTGGACAAGAAAACTAGCCTGCAGGATAAGCCCAACGCTAAAGTCAAACAGCATTTATTGGTCGGGGCAGCACACCGTGACAGACGCCTATTGCCTGACGCATATTCTGGGCAGCAGCAGCTACCTTGTAGGTATTGGGCGCAACCCTCACCGAAATTTAGGTATGACAAGTCATTGCGTGGCGGCATGAGCACGCAGTGCGGACGGTCGTGGCTTTACCTGTGGGAACGATTGGTTCCTTCTGCGTAAAGCTCGAGAGGACGCTTGGCTGCTAGTTTGGTGTGCCCTACGAGGCCGCTCTGCAGTTTGCATCAGACGTTAAATGGCTGGAGGTGTTAACCAAGGCCGGAATTCGCCAGCAGTCCGACCTGACGGCCGCCTATGCGCATGTGCAGAACACAGCCACTAGGTAGGTAGGTTGAACCGGTTTTAGGCCTTGGTGCAACCACAAGCAATGCCTCAATAATGTGGGGCCGTTGGCTCATGACATCCGCACTTTTCCCAAACCAATTATTCCCTCTTCAACCAGTAATTATTCCACACACACACTACAATCGCCTCATCCCAACCAAACTCAACTTATCAGCCAAGAGCATCACCCAGTCCGCCCGGAGGAGGGAGAAGAAGAAGAAGAAGAAGAAGAAGAAGAAGAAGAAAAAGAAAAGAACAACCACCCTCAAGCAGCCTCATCTCAAGAAAAAAAAAAGAACAGAATATGGGCACCCGCCTCTACTTCGCCTACGGCAGCAACCTCTCCCTGGACCAAATGGCCGCGCGCTGCCCGCAATCCACGTTCCGCGGCCGGGCCGTGCTGCCCGACTTCCAGTGGCAGATCAACCAGCGCGGCGTGGCCAACATCGTGCCGCGGGCCGGCAGCAGCGTGCACGGGCTGGTGTACGAGCTCGGGGCCGGCGACGAGAAGCGGCTCGACCGCAACGAGGGCGTGCGCGCCGGCTTCTACAGCAAGGCACTACTGCCCGTCGTGCTGCACCCCGCCACCGATGCGCTGCAGATGCGCACGGCGCGCATCGTCACCATGGGCGGCGCCGCCGGCGTCGTGCACGACTTTGACAAACTGGTCGGACTAGGAAGCCGCCCGCGGGCGAGGTTGGAGCCCGAAGTGCTTGTCTATGTTAGCGAGACGTACGTGCAGACGGGCGAGCCGCGCGACGAGTATGTGGATCGCATGAATAGGGCGATGGAGGACGGGGTTGCCATGGGGATCCCCACGGCTTTTTTCCTGAATACCGTGCGCGAGCATATCCCGAGCCGGCCAGCGCCGGCGCCAGCCCCGAGCCCGCGCCCTGCGTACCGGCCGCAGCCGAGGGAGAGGTCGTGGCCGCCGATGGCAGCGGCGGTAGAGAGAGAGGCGAGGGAGAGAGAGGCGAGGGAGAGAGAGGCGAGGGAAAGAGAGAGAGATTGGGATGCTGATCGTGAAAGAGATCAGCCCCGCGCTCCCGATGGGTACACGTACAGAAGACCTACGACACTGGGGAGGAGGACTGGTGGGGACGACGCATACGAGTACGAGTACGAGCATCCACGGCGCCCACTGTCGCGGGCGGCGAGGGATTATGTCTATACTTCCTACTATGCTGGCACTCCGGTCATTCGGACGGTGTCGCCGGATGCTAGCCAGTATCCCGCTAGGGGCCGCTGGAGCTCTGCACTGTGACTTTGGGTCGTCTTATCTCACATGCATACTTTTTTACTTTTAGCATAGATTAAGCGTTTGGCTCCTCTCTCCCGCTGGCGGGCCTAATGTAACGTTGTGAGGCCCGGAGGTGTTACTTGTCTTCTTCCCGTGTCCCACCGCGAGTGCTCAGGCCTAGCCTTCGTCGCATTGAAGACATCAAATATTCAACGTGTCTTCAAATTCAATGGGCTCCATCGGTAGGTATCTAAACATGGCTTCTTGTTCCCGTATCTATCTGCTTGAGCGACTTCGTCCTTCTGTTCCCAGTGCGTACTGCTGTATACAAGAAGACGCTGAGGCATTCAGCACGGAACATAACATATCTATATTACCTAGATAAGCTTGGCCCTCGCAAAACAACCACGCCCCCTAAACATTTCAATAGCGAGCGTTCATAATTCATCTGGACATATCTCCATCCAACCTTGGCTTTTCCAAAACAGATCACCCCAAAGCATCTATTAGACGGACCTATTGAAAACATCAGCCATACTGCCTACTTAACTTTCATCCTTCCAAGATGGTACACTTACGGCAGCGTCTCGTTCAGGACACCAAACTTCTTGGGCAAGAACTCTCCCATGCCCAGCTCTTGCGCGGCCCTCTTGATTTCGGAATACAGGACCGCAGTGCTCCCGGCCGAAAGACCGTTGGTGGCCAAGTCGTTCTTCAAGGGTGTTAGCCAGGTTGCGGGTCGCCAATAATCAGCGTGAGTGGAGATGAATGAGGAAGCGAAACTCACCATCCGAAGCATGGCGTGGATGAAGGCCACGGCAAAGGTCATCCAGCGCTTCGTACGCACCTCGCCGCGCAGGAACCGGCCACCGCGGAACTCGATGGTGCCCGACTTGTTCGCGGCGACGTTGTCGAAGTTCCACAGCACATACCTGCTGTTCTGCATGATGTCCCTCAGCGCCTCGGGCGTGGCGGCGCTCCTGATCATGTTCGCGATGAAGACGCGGTTGCCGCCAGCGCGCTGCAGCTGGAACGAGTTCTTGCTGTTGGGCTTGCAGTACGCGTTGTCCTGGCGGTAGGCCATGAGTAGGTCCATGACCCGGTCCTCGTACACGACGATGCCGTAGGCGATGGTCTTGAGCTCGGCGAGCGTGAACCGCACGTTGCGGCCCCGCGACACGTGGACGTGGCTGCCGCAGGTTCCGGCCCGCTGCGGCATGTGGAAGACGGCCCGCATGGCGTCCCAGAAGACGTCGATCTCTTGGTCCCAGTCCGTGGCCGTGTCGAGGATGGGTGAAACGGCCTCTGTGGGAACTAGGCCGCCGAGACGTTGGTACATGCGTCTGGAGGGGGGAAAGGTGCTTGAACATGGGGGAACTCACTGAGGTTGGCCGGGTTTCCGAGAGAGCCATCTCTGGTGATGTACCACTCGTTGTAGTTGCTCGATCGCCACTCTCTCTGCGTCAAGTCGTTGTGTTGTGCCTTGAGGCCTCTGTTCCGGAGGGCTTTGGCCAACAACTCGTAGTAAAGGGCGTGCTTCTCCTGTAGCGGCGGCCTGATCTTGTGGGGTTCTACCAGCACCTCGATCTCGACGCCGAGAGTGTATCGTGGGGTGGGGCCGGCCATGGCGAAGAAAGAAAGAATATGACAAGAAATACTACAAGACAATAAGGTGGAGAATGTCAATGACGTTGGTATCGATAGAGTTAGAGGGTCAATCGCCCTCCGCGGGACTTATGAGATGCTCAAGGCCGCCGACATTTTGATGTAAAAAGGGAGGCGCTTCGACATATAGCTCAGCCCAACCTACCTCACGGTACGGAGCCTCGGGCAAGAAGATGGGGTCACCCATCGTGGCGAGCAAGTCTAGGACTCCCACAGGCGTACCAAACAGCCTACCAGGTGTCGTCCTAGGGAGCTGGCGGGCGAGGCTTAACCATTTCTGGAATGCGGCATGCTGAAATGGGAAGGAATTGAGGAGCTATTCTTTTTGCCCAAGCCCCCCTCGTAGCGGTACGGACGCCAACTCATCTCACAAACTCGTGGCACCATTTAGTGCCCCTCCAATCTTCGACTCCCCAGCCCTGGATGGGGGGGCCGTGGGCTATGTCAATGCGAGGCCGCCAAATTCCATTTTGTGTGGTGGAACAAAGCCCGAATCCTAGCCTTGGGTGAAGGGTCTAACCATCAAGCCTGCCACACCTACCCGACGTCCTCTTAAGGTTCCTTGTAACTCAAATACAGCCAAAAGAAAGAGTGATCGCTATCCAATGAAAGGTGGGGCGGTCGGCTGTCTTGACTGCTGCCTGACACGCCTGGTGGTGGGGGTTGCCTGGAGCCCGTCACAGTCGATTGTTGGATAATTACACACTGTGAGGCTCTGGTCGCACCTCCCTCGACTGCCAGCTCAGGCGCCTTTGCATTAGGCCTGACGCCGGACCAATCACCTCCATTGGGCCGCGCTTCGGGTGTCGGTCCCTAGAGGGGGATCGGATTCTCCTCACTCCCGTGGTGTCAATTTCCCCAAGTCACCATTTCATCGTCGCGACGATAATTACAACATTTTGATCCTTCGCTGACAGCCTTCCTTGTCCTGAACAACCCTACGACCCAAAAGATCCACAACAACCACGGCAGAATGGCATCTCGCGGCTCCGCCGGCGGCAGCCTCTACTTCGCCTATGGCAGCAACCTTTGGATCAGCCAGATGGCCAAGCGCTGCCCCGAGAGCTCCTTCAAGGGGAAGGGCACGCTGGAGGGCTACCGGTGGCAGATCAACCAGCGGGGCGTGGCCAACGTCGTCAAGGCGCCCGGCCAGTCCGTCGAGGGCCTCGTCTTCTCCGTCACGGCGTCGGACGTGAGGACACTGGACCGCAACGAGGGAATCTCGCGCAAGTTCTACGAGCGCCAGTTTCTGCCCGTCATTCTGGAGGAGCACCCGCTCCTCGCGAACCAAAAGACGTCTCAGGTGGCGCGGTGGCTGGAACAGAACCGCGACGACAAGGACGTCAAGATAATGTCGGGCGCATTCGAAGAGCGCTACCCCGCCGTCGTCTATGTCAGCGAGAAGTTCAAGGACGACGGGCAGATCCGCACGGAATACATCAAGCGAATGCAAAGCGCCGCTGCCGACGCCATCGCCCTCGGCGTCTCCACCTCGTGGGTCAACGGCGCCATGGGCCGACACATTAGCCCGGCAAAGGCCGAGCCACCTGCCGCGCCAGCCCAGACCCCAAGCCAGCCGGCGGCGAGATTGGAAAGACTGGGCGAGGGCGGGGCCCGCAGAAACGCTGCCGCCACCGGGGCGGCGTCTGGGGAAGACACGGCATCGAGCGGTAAGAAGCCCAACAGCAATTCGTCCTCCTTCCGGTGGCTGGGGTTTTTTGACATGTTTCTGCGCAGGCGCTGGAAGACCACCTCGTCAAGCTTCCGCCGCCGGCCTGCCCACGTACCAGTCCGACCCCATCAACCTGCGAGACTTGCGAGAGGCGAATCGCAAGAACGGCGCCGACTCCGGCGTCGCGTTTCCGCCGACCATGCTCGAAGGCGTGAAGAGATCGAGCGGGCTCGCGGCCCAAGACGAAGGGGATGAGCGGGTCTACCTCGTGTTTGTCTCCAAGAGGCTGGCCCGTCCTGGCGCGGATCCCGACTCCAACGGCGCCGTCAGGGTGCACTGGTCGACAATGGATCTGGAGCTTGCGAACGAGCTGGCCATGTACCGTTTCCGGAGCCTGTGGTCAAGGATCTGCGCCGACTCGCTGGAAGGCGGATTCCCGCAGTGGGGGAGGGTGACCAGGGGCGGGCAGCGCGCTCCGGGGTTGAGCTGGGACCTGAGTGATGATGCGTGTCTGAGCCTCTATGGCTCGGTGGGGGAAACGACTAGCGCGACGGTTTGGGTTGAGCCGCAAACTTTGATTAGATCATGTACGTAATGTCGAGTTAGACGTGTATTCTATCTCCCTACTGCAAGATTCCCTTGCCGGAGCCATCTATGCCTCTTCATGCCTTGTGCAGTTCCCTGATTGACATTCTCTGCAGCGCAACAACCCCATGAAATGGCGTCTAACCTGGCCACCACCGGCCTCTTCTCCTTCTTCCTCGGGTGGGGGGCATATTTCTCCTGGAGAGCGCTCGCTGCCTGATTCCTCCCTGGTGCGCCATTCCTCAAATCACGGTTGAAATAAGTTTTCTTTCGAGTATATAATCTTCATGTATAATTTCGTCTGCGCAAGGAGAGACTTCCAATTAGATTTATCACAAAATACTACCAATATTACAGAATAGCAAGTTTCGAACCCTATCCTATTCTGGTCACAACCCACGCACCTATTGTAGTGGTGGAAGCTCTGCCTTCCACGACAAAACAAGCTCAAGGCGAGCCTCAAAGGTAAGGAAAAGTCATATCAGGTAACTAGTCACAGTATGGCCCTATGGCCATGTGCCGTCAGCCACGCTAGGATCTGAATCCTTTGAGCGTTAATCCGAACTCCGTCTCGCCTTGAGGTTGTTCACAAAGCATAAGGTGCTAAGGGTAAATTGCGACTGATTTAGCTCTCCGTATTATCCAAACCGACTCAGAAGCATATCAACAGTCTGTCCTAATCCACGCCTTCGCTTGTTCTCGAGATCCTAAGCTCCATCATTCTTTCTATTCTTCGTTGACGGTTTACCAGACCCGCCCAGTAGACTGTCTCCAGAAGACATAGAAGATTCACCATTTTGGCCACCTCCGAGACTGCTTGAAACAAGCGGTGTGCTCTCAGGCGGTGAGAACAAGTTTGCCCGGTCGCTTCAACGCAGAGCCCAAACCGCGGCCCTCGCTTCAAACTAGGCCGATTTCTTGGCCCATGACCTGTAAAATTAGAATGGGACAGTTTCGGGTCTTCGAAATTTGTAAATTGGTAGCCCGAGACTTGAACTTTGCGTTCTCACTTCAAATGTTAACTAACTCCTAGCAACCTCTAGATAGTCTTGTCAAGGCAACTTTGATCGATAAGATGGCGTCAACACGAAGAAGCAACGCTGAAAGACGGCAGGGAAGAGATGAATGCCGTGAGGAATTTTCAGATCATATTCGTATGGATGATACGCAACTATTAAACCCTGATACATTACTAACATCAGCTAGGCCAGAGGCTGGGCATTAGAATAGAGCCCACAGAAGTCCGTCTTAAGCCTCGTATACAAGACCCATATGCTTGGAAAGTTCTACCAGGCAAAGAGGAGTTCTTCTCGGGGATATTTGCCACAAACTTGAGCAATCATTCCATTACCACGTACCGAATCCTCTGCCGAGAGTTTGGGAAAAGTTTCGAAGCTGTACCTTCCGATTCAGGGTTCGCAACATCCGATGCTATTACCCCTGTAAGTGGAGCGTTTCGTTGCCTTCTACGTTACATGATTAACGTAATATAGCTGTCTTTCACAGAACCCAAGTTTCAGACAATGATCGATAAGCTGAAAGAGGAAAACTCAAAACTTCTTCAGGAAATGCATCAACTAAAGATCAGTAAAGATGCAGAGTTAAAGCGAAGAGAGCTCACAGAAGCGGAAAACCGTCAACTCCACCTAACTAAACAGCAGCTTCAGTTACAAATGCAAAAATACTCAGATACTGTGGATTATCTCAGAAATATCATATCTAAGTATAACCTCGGGCTAGATAAAGTATTACCTATGTTGGAAGATTTGAGAAGGGAAGCCTTACTAGACGAAAAGATTTACAAAAATGAAGCGCATGAGAATATATTTAACTACGATATGGAACAAATATAGCTGATATGCCTTGTTATCACATAACTTAAGCAGTCATATATTTGTTACAGGCCACGCGCATGTTACTGATCTGCGAAGAGACCTCCATGACCCAAAATCTGCTGTCACGACCCTCATGACAACAGGCCGCTGCGGCCCGAGGCAGCAACGCCACCTCAATCACTGGGCTATGGGGAAAGTGACAGGTGACAATCCTGTGTCCGATACTTGCGACGATCTTTGTTCCCTCACTGTCCACGTAAGGCGTCCTGCTTACACTTTACATACCATTTTCCTCATTCTTAGTCTTCATCTTGTCCTCTTCCACTCCAGAGGGTCGGCTTTCCTGAGATCTCGCTGTTTCCCTATCGACTAACAGCAATAACAATGTCTTGGAGCATGTGCTTGAGTATGGAGAAGTGGGCCTATGAAGTTAGATTTTATAAGGGGTTGCAGGTGATCGATGAGGACAAGGAGGGCAAGGAAGGGGGGGGGTGCATACAGGGTGGTGGGCCTGGCCCCAAGCCTGGTTCTGGGCATTGTAACTCTCAAGAGCTTGGAGGCCATCAACCCCAATGTTGAGGTAGGTGACATACAAGACTATGTGAAGGGTTCAGCAAGTTTTCATGAGATGGTGGAGTTGTGTGTGTTTGTGGCTGGTGGCTTACGATCGTCAGCTGTGATATTACTGTTATCAGTGTACTTAAAGATCTCTAGCAACTCCTTATTGTTCATGAGGTATTCGGAGACCAAAATGGCACGGCACTCCTCCACGGTACCAGCCAAGCCCCCAAATACACTGTTCCACGTCTGACTGGGCAGGTAGTGCGAGGTCACAGCTTCTCGAGTGAGAGGGCTGATTGGCGGGCTCTGCTTGTCGAAGTTGTACGTTCCTGGCTGAGTTTCACTGAGAAGCTTACCACTTCCGTGGCCGAGAAGCTCATGGATGGCCGTAGTGAGAAATCTGACAATGTGCGTACTGCTTTTGAAGCGCTTCAACTCGGAGGGCTTGACCCAGGGACAAGGGAGATTGGGGTTGTGGTTGACTGCGAGACGATTCGCGAAAACAATGTTTTCGAAGCCGTAGTTCTCCCGAATGTGGTTGTACTAATTACTTGGCATTAGTTTCATTCACAAATAAAGTGGAGCTATGTTTACTTGCGTTGGGAAGATTGGAAGCTTCGAAGACGACGCTCCGACAGACGGCAAGCGCTGAGGGAACTTTGATTTTAGTTGATTTCTTCAACGTGAGGACTGGGAGGCAGACCAACCGTGGAGACATGTGAAGTCCGGGGCTTCGAAATGACCCTTCTCAAACGGTCCTTTGCCGTCATTTACACCTTCAAGCGCCCACAGAAGCTGCCAAATGATGGCAGTTGAGCTCTCAACCAGGCGCTTCAAGCTCGCCACCTCCCCTGGGTCAGCGATTCCTATCATTCCCTCCCATTCTGATCTGATGCCAGCCGGATCGCGGTAAGGTTCTATGAAGCCGATCACGTTTTCCACTCTCGCAGCCACATCCTTCACCCATGCCTTTTGCGACTCTTGGAAGGCCATCATACTTCCGGTGCGGAAGGATTCGATGTAGCGTGTCAGGACCTGGAGCTGGTTGCTGTTGCTAGCATACTGCTTTGCCCTTTCTAGGTCTATGCAAACCGTGGACAGTTCCTCAGCGTGGCCACCTTTGACGAGAAAGATGCCCCTTGCGAGTTCCTGGGGCGTGTTGGAAATATCCTCGGTCTCGGCAGAAGAAGCTTGCAGCAGGTGGTAGATTGGGTTTCCATCCTCGGCCGGTTTTCGGATTCGAGTATTCTCCGGCCCAATGGAGTGCTTTTCCATCATGTCGGAGACCTTCGCAATCTCCTCTTGGGAAATGAGCCCCGCGCCAGGATAGTAGTTTGACTGCGCGTTCTTGCCTGGGTAGCCAAGAGCAAATGGAGGGACTGCCAGCAGAGGGTTGAGGATTGTCTCCAGTCTGCTCTTAGTCTCTGAGGAGATGGCTGCAAGCTTGCGTAGAGATTCCGCGGTCAGATCCGGAATGAACTTTTGATCGCCTTCGCCCTGCTAGAAATCAGCGCTGAGAAAATGAGACAAATTTACAGCAATGAACTTACGTAGAAGTTGCCCAAGTTGCAGGGAAACGTGGCAGTGTACTCCAGAAATGCATCTAGTTCCTCGGGGAGAATCTCGCATTTCAGCGGATACCTGCCGCAAGATGATTCTGCTTCCGTGCCAAGCCGCCCTCGCCATATGGTGCTAGTTGAGGCCGCAGCACAGTTGGGCGGTCTAGCTCCATTTCACAGAAAGCACCGTCCTTGGCAACGCTAGGTGTGATGGGAGAAAGTTGGTTTGTGGACCGTAAAATGGTTGGTGACAAGGGCAGGTGGGGTCAAGGGCAAGGCAGATGCGACCAACCCTCCAAAGCGGCACTTGACGCGTGTGATGAAAGACACCAGATCGATCGCGGATTGCCAGAATTCCGGCTTGGTGGCATCTAAAGGTTTTTTTGCGCACTCCGATTTGGCGGACCCCACACGGGATCAAGCAATCTGACGTGCCCAGCGGCTCTTTGGCGGAATGTGGCGACTCCCTTCCGTAAGGGAAAGTCAAAGCTGCCATCTTGTGAACGATTGCACCGCTGGCCGACATGTCGCCATGAAAAAGCGCGCAAAGCACCTCATGTGGCGCCTAAAACGATTGGCTATGGATGCGATGGATGTGTTGTCGGGGAAGCGGCGCTTGAGCCCGAAAGAAGGGCTGGTGACATTCAACTCGCCTCTAACTACCCCGACTTCCTCTCTCTAACGACTTCGCAGAGATAAAGTGGTTGGAGAAAGGATCGGCGTGGCATTGGAGGTTGCAGGCCCGTCTATGGAAGTTTAGTGAAATTCCACGTTCAGCTTTTCAGCTATTCGCAATGGGCACATTCCAAAACAATACCATTAGCTTTGAGCTGGTCGGGTATTCAGGTGTCACCCAAGTCGGCGTCGGAAGTTGCAGCAATCCTGGAGTGATTACGAATGCAAATGGCACTTCTCAAACGGCTTTTTGTTGGGCGTTTCTCATTCCGGACATCTATACTGGTCTCATCGATGTGACCTGGGTGGCAAATACCCTAGTAACTGTGACAGGTACGTCCATATAGGGTGAAGCGCGTTTTCCTATGATCCTTTGTAACCATTGGAATATAGGCCCAGTTGGAGATGGCATCACCTACACTGGTTACATTCAACCAGGCGGAGAGAAACAGTCTGTGCAAGTCTCATTGGACAAGTCCGTTCGAGATTTGGAGGAAAAGGAAGCTAAGGAGCTTAGATTTGACTCTCTAGAGCATGCTCGAGGTTCTGTTAAAGATGGCCCGTCGGGATAATTAGGTAGGGATCCCAGTGGTGAAAATGGAAGGCCAACAGGGCAGGGGTACCCAAATGCGAGCGGTCTTATTTTTCAGCTTTGAAGCTTGAACTTGCAGGCTGCACTATGGTGACGTAGTGGGCGCGATAGGAAAGTTTAAGTCAAGAACGTGCTTGAATGAATCTCCCATCATTTGCTCATCTTTATAAACCGTGAAATTGCCCCGCTCGCCCTCCCTAACTATTTCCGACATCGACTCTGACTTCCTTGCATCTACTCGCAACTTTATTGCCAGCCTGCACGCGCGCCTCCCTTGAGTGGGACGTCCCCACGTAAATTCTTGCCCACGATTCTTCGGCTTGAACCGCCGCGGAGGCCAAGCTGTTGATGCCGGCAGCGGCGTGACACAGCTGCCAGGGCCGGCCCGCCAAACAATTCATTAGCTATTAGTCTGCAGGAGGATGACGAGAACGGGCAGATCGATGCATTTTTACTGACGTGGCCAGCAGGCTCTGAAAACACTGTTGGGCGATGTTGTCTTTGGCTGCCGCCCTAATCTCTGATACCTGTTACTGTATATCTTGACCAGTTTCGCCGTTGGGTTGCAGTTTCCCTCGAAGAGATCTCCAGGCGTCCGAGCAGTCGTGTTGTTGGAGCCGAACTTGTGTTTCTTCTTATTTGCCGAGAGGCTTCTTCATAATGCCTGAAACTCCGGTCCGGAATTAGAAGATGGAAATATTGATCTTGATGTTCTGAAACGCAACTTAGTTGCGGTAATCCGTAGTGCGCCAAATGAACCGCTAAATTCTCTCTATCAACCGACTTTCTCAGATATCAGTGTCCTCCGTTTCATCTAAATCGTCTCTCCTGTCGTCCACTATATCTTTCAACTCATCTACACTCTCCAGTATAGAACTTAGCATATCCCCTATATCGTTCACGGCATCCTCGGCCTCGTCCACCATGTCTTTCCACTTATCTAAACTCTCAACTATAGAGCTTAGCCTATCCTCTAATTCGTTCAAGGTATCCTGGGCGTTGTCCAGTATACCTTCCATTTCATCTAAAGCCTCTTGAGAGCTTCCCGTACTTTCAATTTTACTTAAAAATCTCAAAACTTGATCCCCAAGATCCTTCAGCTCACTCAAAGCCGTCCAGATATCGTCTATACCCTGCTTGCCTATATTCTTTGACAAAAAGGTAGAGGGTTCTGGCATGGTAACTTGTCCTGGCCAGGTCTGCTAAGTATTACAAACCACTCGACTGTCAGGGTCGTCTGTCTGTAAGGGAGCACGGGCTCCACAGAATGCTGGGTTGGTAATTATGAAGATAGAACAAAGGGCAAGCTCCTATCGCACGGGTAATACAGTCAAATCGGAATGCCACTCAAAGTGTATGAGTGCAGTGAATGTGTATTGCTTGCTTGAAGAACCAAGCAAGAACTACCTAAGACCGGTGCCACGGTCATCGTATATATCTATCTAAGCTGGGCCAATTGGAGCGTTGCTCTGTTGCTCTCTGACAGAGCTACAGAGCATTGCTCTGTTGCTCTCCGACAGAGCTACAGAGCAGCCAACCAAACTGTTGCTCTGTACTCCACCGTGCAGAGCAAATGCGGGTCCTTCTGCTCTGTTCTCCACCGAACAGAGCAACTGTGGGTCCAAGCCCCTCCTTTAACGTGACTAGCCGAGGCGGGTCCAGCCACCCCTGCCCTGCTTCCCAACCAGTACGAACAGGGATTCGTGACATGTCCCTAGAGGCTTGGTAGGACAGGTAGTCGCTTGGGTTAGACCGTGAGAGGTCCGAGTAGAAAGGCGAACGCTAATAAGCAAACTTATAAACAGGAGAAAAAAACGGCAATAATTATGCCTAAATCCATAATGGTACCTGTCACGACCAGGGCAAGGCATTGAGGTGAACTCAGTCCATTGGGTGCTATCGACGAAGATTCTAAACTGAGGAAGGAAAGAAGGAAAAGTCCAACAGCGCGTCGCGTGCTCGCGAATAAGTTTTCATCTATCAGTGGGGTAGGTGGGGCCTCGAGGCGGCTTCTGATAGGCCCGGGGTTCTGGGCGGCTCTGGCTGCTTGAGGGCCAGTTTGGTGGACGGGTCCTCACAGTACCTTGGATGCCTAGTACTGCGTAGAAGAGGACGTCGTGCTAGTACTAGGTGTGATAATGATAGAAAATAAGTTGAGGTTCATCTTTTCTGGGTCACTTTGTTCGAAATTTATACATTTTGGTCATACGGTATAGTGTTACGATCCTGGCACAGGCGTGCAGGAGGCGCCTTCTTGCTCCCTGCAGATTGGCTGGGGCAGCCAGGCGGGGTAGACCCACCTAGGGGCTAGTGCAGCCAACCAGGAGGTGGTCAGTCGCGATGAGCCGCCAAGGCCCGACTGACCACCACTTGCAGGACGGCCAACCAGTCAGGAAGCGGTCAGTGTGATCAGTGCGATCAGTGTAGACTGATGTAAGAGAAGGCAGGTACGCCTGATCAAGGTGGTCACAATAGGAGCAACAAGCAGGGCGAGCAATGACTGGTATTGGCGTAAGACTTCAACCTGGCCTGAGCTAAAGAGGTGTGCGAAGGCCATGGTCTATATACACGTGAAAGGGGTTACGAGTCATCCTTGCGTAGCCAGGGTGGTAGTAGCGATAGTGCGTGGCCCTGTTAGCGGTGGCGATAGTGGCGACGGTGGCGAGGGTGGCCCTGGTGGTGGTGGCCATGGTGGTTACGAGGGTGGTTTCCTTACAACTGACCGCAGTGTTACGATCCTGGTTCAGGCGCGCAGGAGGCTGCACGGAGCTTCCCACTATTGGCTGACGCAAGGAAGTGGGGTAGTTCCCCGCTTCGCTCAAGTGCAGCCAATAACGGGGCGGTCAGTATGATCAGCATGGTCAGGGCGATCAGTGAGGAAACTGATCGCACTGAGCACACTGACCGCACTAAGCTCACTGATCACCTAGGACCAACTCTCTGATTGGTCCGCCTTAGATAGATATATACGACGACCGTAGCCACGGTCTCAGATAGTTCTTGCTTGGTTCTTCAAGCAAGCAATACACATTCACTGCACTCATACACTTTGAGTGGCATTCCGATTTGACTGTATTACCCGTGCGATAGGAGCTTGCCCTTTGTTCTATCTTCATAATTACCAACCCCAGCATTCTGTGGAGCCCATGCTCCCTTACAGACAGACGACCCTAACAGTCGAGTGGTTTGTAATACGCAGTGATCGCCCTGACCTTTGGAGAAGGACTCTGATTGGTCCGCCTTAGATAGATATATACGACGACCGTAGCCACGGTCTTAGATAGTTCTTGCTTGGTTCTTCAAGCAAGCAATACACATTCACTGCACTCATACACTTTGAGTGGCATTCCGATTTGACTGTATTACCCGTGCGATAGGAGCTTGCCCTTTGTTCTATCTTCATAATTACCAACCCCAGCATTCTGTGGAGCCCGTGCTCCCTTACAGACAGACGACCCTAACAGTCGAGTGGTTTGTAATATATAGCTCTAGTGGTGAGAAACCAGCAAGTTCCCTTTCAGGGATATATGTGGCTATGTTTCTCGTCTGGAGGTCCAACGAATACTTAAAGAAGGTCTATAAACGAGGCTTTGTTGCAGAATCTACCTTACCATCAATTCAAGAAGGCTGAGGACATCAGACTCGTATGAACTGTAAGGTAGTATTGGGGATCTTCAAGTCACGAGGTCTCCCTTTCGTAGCTCTTTCCTTCTGGGTAATAGATCATGCGCAAGCTAGGATTCAACGAAGGAAAGACATCAAGACGCGTCTTTATGCATCAATACATACAGGGGAAAGTCTTAGGATCCATGCTTGTAGGATCATGTTAGGCGTTTTTGCTCGGTGAAGGTCAAACCAGTGGGTCTGTTGACTCCGCGAATCCTCGCCATCTTAGAGCACGTGTTGACTTCACTCATTGCCTATAAAACTCACTTCTCAACCACCCATAACAATAATTCAGCAAAAGATCACCATCTTCAAAAGGCTTTCCAACTGATGCACGAAAAGTGTAAATAGCTTCATTAATTATGTGAAGCGCTGGTGGGAGCCCCACTAATAGCGTTCGCGCTAGCACGTGACATAGCGGGGTCTGGGGATTTCCTACCTTAAGGAAATCCGCCGCGCCCACCTAGCCTTAGAAAAAGCATCACCTTTTACACTTTTTTGCTTCCTTCTCGGTTTTACCGCTTCATCAACATTTAATTCAAGTCACGAGATCATATTTAGCCATCATGGCCACCTACGGAAAGTACAAACTTACCGCGGATCAAGTCAAGCTCATCCAGGACGAAACAGCCTCTGTGCACGATGGAGTCGAATTTGAACTCGGCCTCGAATGCTCGGGCTCCATGAGCGACCTAGCAGAGCCCGGAAAACTACGTAGCCGGTTTGAGCTGTGATGGCCATGGACGACAGAATTGGGGTTTGGGCCATAAAACTCAGGACCGGTCAGCATTTCGTTCGCCAAACTAAGTTAGGTGGGGGAGTAAGCGAACGCCACTGATCCAGAACATTCTAGATAAGCGAGGAACACAACCAACCCTCTTATATAAAAAGCCCATAACTCAACCAATTCTTTTCCAATTCTCTTCATCTTCAATTCGTTTTATTCTTCTCTTGACAATGGTTTCATATACAGAAGAAGACCTCCGCAAGGCTTGCGAGGAAGCCGTCAGAACACATCGATTACGCAAAGTCGCGCGAAAATGGAACGTTCCACCCTCCACCCTTTATGGCCGTCTACATGGCTCCCTACCTCGAAATGTTGCTCATCAAGATGAGCAAAGGCTTACACAGACCTAAGAGGATCGTTTAGTCGAATGGATTCTTCTTCAACAAGATTTAGGATTGCCCCCTACACATGCACAGATCAGGGAGCTTGCACGCCGTATTCTAGCTGAAAGGGGGGACTCCTTACCACTTGGAAAGGGGTGGTGCCGTGCCTTTCTTAACCGCAATCGAATTTTGAAGACTCAGAGGGCCAAGAGAGTCGATTCGGTCCGCGTCAACTGCGCTACAGAGTCAACAATTCGACCTTGGTTCAACCATTTCCAAACACCAGCTATCAAGGCGATTAAGCCAGAGAATCGCTGGAACAAGGACGAATCTGGTATTATGGAAGGCAGAGGAACCAACGGCCTTGTCATTGGAAGCCGTGCCTTTGAGGCGCTTCAAAAAAAACAGCCTGGAACCCGCACTTGGACCACTTTTGTCGAATGCATCTCAGCAGCTGGCCGTTGCCTTCCTCCTTTGGTCATTTTTAAGGGGAAAAGCGTTCAACAACAATGGTTTCCTTTGGATATGAAGCCATTTCAGGATTGGTTCTTTACAGCAACTGAGAAAGGATGGACTACCGATGAGACAAGCCTCAAATGGTTAAAAAATGTGTTCATTCCTCTCACCAAGCCAGCAAACTCCTCTGAGAAACGACTCCTTATTATTGATGGCCATGGCAGCCACACAACTGCCGATTATATGTGGGAGGCATACACAAACAATATTCACATTATTTATCTGCCTCCCCATACTTCCCATGTCCTCCAACCCCTAGATTTGGCCATATTTGGCCCCCTAAAACGACTTTATCGCAGACGGCTTGAGGACCTTCTTGCTAACGCCTTTGACGACTCTTCTGTAGCCGGAAAACGTGCGTTTCTGGAATGCTACCAGATTTCACGCACAGAGGCAATTACTAAGAGTAATGCTAAGTCAGGATAGAAGGCATCAGGCCTTTGGCCCTTGAATGTCAACAAACCGCTAAGAAGCCCACTCCTCCTCAAGAATTCTAATACTTCACGCCCCTTAAGAACTACTATAGTTACCCCAGAGGTTCGCACACTCCGTATGCCAATCCTGGAGGATTATGGAGACGATCGGGTGCAGTGGAGGACTCCTAGAAAGGCACGTGATTACGTTGAGCAGGCAAAGAAGTTCGCACGCATCATCAAAGCAATGCCAGCGGATAAGCTCTTCCTCAGAAAGATTGGTAAGGCTTTGGATGAACAGGCCTTTGAACTGGCTATTAGGAAGCGAAAGATTGAAGGTCTAGAACACACTCTCGAATCAATAAGAGCCAGAAAGAAGAAGAAGGTTGAAGAAGATCCAAATACCACCTTTGCGAATATTCAGACTATTCGTGAGGCCCAGAGAGCTGTAGGGCGTGCAGCAGAGGTTTTAGAAGATGCGGAAGAAGCGGATGATTCAGAGGATATCAAAGATTGTATTGAAGTTTTGTAAATAAAAAGATCACCCTTTCTTTTGTTGGAGGGTTAGTTGGGACTCCTGCTTATACAGAATGTTCTAAATCAGTAGTGTTCGCTTACCCCCCCACCTAACTTACTTCAAAGACAACTTCGGATCTGTCGGTGCTGTCCGGAAATATCTTAATGGACTCACATGCGGCGGGGTTACCCCTCTCCGCAAGGTTCTCGAGCTAGCTGCTACATCAGTCGCCCGGAGAAAGATCCGAATACCAAGCCCTTCAACTTAATCATCGCCGGTACGGCCATGACGGCGAAGTTACCGACAGAATTCAAAATGCAGCCGGGCGAGGTTGGGAGTTTACACGGCAAGACCCCCGCAAGAAACTTGGGATCCAGTTCATCCTCGTGACCATGGATCACAAGGTGGTTAAGACAGCTGATGGGTTTGACAATACCATTGCTTATAAATACGGTGATCATACCATCGAGGCCAATACTGTTGACGTGACCACCCTTACCCGGATCAATGAAATGGGCGGCATCGACTCGTTGCTATGCCAGGACCAGATTCGGTGGCGCTCTTAGTGAATCCCTAGACAACATGCTGAAGGATATGGAAAAGCCTCAGAACTAGACGACCTACACGTAATTCTGTACCTACATCATGAAAGGACCGGTTTAGACTCAGTCGTGGGAGCCTGATTGGAAACACTAAAATATGCAGGCCGTGTCATGGAGAATAGGATTTTTTTCGACTGAATACTTGCAGCGGGACTTTACTAATTGCAATGTGAGTAAGTCTCGGGAAGATAGTGTACAACTACGTTGACAACGTCACGGTCCTAGCACCGGACGCTGTGGAAATGATGGTAGTCTACCCTTGACGGAGGACTGCTGGCGGATGCTGCTCGGGTAGCTTTAGCCCTCCTACCACACAGACCTTGTCGCAGAGTCTGCCGAACAATATCTTCAGTTCTAGTTTCTTGGCAAACGGGAAGAAAAGGCTGTGAACGGGATAAGGAAATGCAGTTTAAGGAAGGTGCAGCTTAAACATTAGTGCTATCCCAGGGCACTAGTATATTCTAGGACATCCCATCATGTACTGGTATACTGTAGGACATCCCATCAGTGCTGTCCCAATTTCGGGCTGGGGTACTATATACCATCTTATCAGTGCTGGTACATTATATACCATCCCAAATTCCGAGCTAGGATATTATATACTATCCCAAATTCTGAGCTAGGATATTATATACCATCCTAAATTCTGAGCTGGGATATTATATACCATCTGTGACGGCGGTCAACAGCATCTAGGAAGAAGAGTCGCTAGTATGGCTATACCATTGTCTTAGGATTCTAAAAGTAAAGAAAGAAAGAAAGAAAGTCTACAAAGGTACGATCGAGGGTGCGGGGGTATAGTGGGGTGCCGAGAGCGCACGGGCCATTATGGTTTGCCCTGCCAAGGCTCGTGACACCATCCTAAATTCTGAGTTGGGATATTAAATACCATCCTAAATTCTGAGCTGGGATATTATACCATCCTAAATTCTGAGCTGGGATATTATATACCATCCTAAATTCTGAGCTGGGATATTATATACCATCCTAAATTCTGAGCTGGGATATTATATACCATCCTAAATTCTGAGCTGGGATATTATATACCATCCTAAATTCTGAGCTGGGATATTATATACCATCCTAAATTCTGAGCTGGGATATTATATACCATCCTAAATTCTGAGCTGGGATATTATATACTATCCTAACTTTCTGAATGCCTTCCGATAGATGTTGGCTTTGCTCCAGCCGCCAGGTCTCTATCCTGCGGTTTCACTCGATTTTTTGAGCTGTTTGTCTGATAAGCTCTAAACATGTCAGGTCAAACCTCTCTTTTCCACATTTAATGCCTTCGGGGCTGTATTGCCCAAATGTAGATAGTTGATTGTACCCTTGAATATCTTTCCTCGGCCGTCGGTTCCAAATGAGCCTGGGCCATTGTGAGCCGGAAATATGTATGATGTACGTGATACGCCGTTTTTTTGTACGTAGTGGTCCGAGGAAGTATAGAGAATAGATCTAACGGATGATTATCGAGATCATCCGGGTTAACGTCGCTCTCTAGCTCCGAGAAAAGTGTAGAGCTGTCCGTAGAGTGAGTGTTGAGTAGGTTGCGGATCATTGACATTCTGGGACTGTTTGTGAGTGGTAGTATGAGGTTTTTTTTAGTAGATCTGGTAGTTCTCAAAATACGGCCTGGTGCATAAGAACAAAAGAGAGATTAGCTTTGGCGCCGTAATGAATTTTTGATGCTAGGATTGTCGGTCGGGCGCGGATTGGAAAGTTGTGATGATCTTGTAGCTGTGATGACCTTTGCAACCCGAACCCTGAGGACAGAGTTCCTGACTATGGCTGACACAAGAGAGGTGAGTACACAAGAGGCTGAGTGCAATGAAGCGTAATGTTGGTCACAGAGGTCGTGAGTAGTCAAGAGATACTCCAAAGCAGTATTATTATCGTTACTGTCGTAACTAAGAAGCTATCCAAAGTGCCGTTGGGCAGTCCTATATATCTCCATATGTCCCGAGATGTCATGTCCCGAAGGCCGGGACATGTTCCTTCGGTTCTGCTGGTCATTGGCCTGGTCATGTCTCGAGCCTCAACTGTCCTGCGCTCGGGACCACTTTGTCCTGGGACATTCCTGATTGGCTGCTTCCTGGGATCCCCATTGGTGGATGCCTCAGGTTAGAGCGGTCCTCCTCGTATCACGTGAGGTGACCTTCCTCATTAGTCGTGACAGTAGCCTGAACGTCCTGTCCTAGCGGAAAGTTCCGAAGCCTGAGGCAGCAGAAACAAGATCTGGGCTAGAACTGGGTCGCTCAAGCTGGGCGGTAAGTTTCTGCCGGTAGAAAAGGTACCTAGCGCACGGTAACAGGGATCAAATATGGGCTCGTGGCCGAGAACACTGGGTGGCTGACACTGGCGGTAAGTTTCTGCCGGCAGAAAAGACACAAAGCCGACGGCAGCAGGGACAAAATATGGGCCTGTAGCCAAGAGGTCGCTGACACTGGGAGGTGAATTTCTACCGGCAGAAAAGGTACATAGTCTGCGGTATCGGGGACAAAATACGGGCTCATGGCCGAGAACTGGATCGCTGACACTGGGTGGTGAATTTCTGCCAGCAGAAAAGGTACATAGTCTGCGGTCTCGCGGACAAAATATGGGCTCGTTGCCGAGAACTGGGTCTCATATTCTGCCGGTAGACACGGTGCAGAATACGGAGGAACGAGAGTTAACGCTGCATTATGTTCTGCCGGCAGAATAAGTGTGTACCTAGGAGAATTATCCGCACCTGAGTATCGACGAGGTCGGGAATTCTGTCGTGCAAAGATGAAAACTTTATCACAAACTTAACCACTCACGTCACTAAATTCTCTGACATCTCGCTAGCAGGAACCGAAATTTAAAAGACAGGCTATATATTCCTAATAGTACTATAGAGAATGACTTATCAACCAGATAAGGGCACAGACAGGTGACGTTGCTGTTGTCGCCAGCGACTTCATCCGGACCGCATCCTTCTCTGGCGTAGCATAGTGATGCTAAGGGTTGAAATTGGTGTGATTGGATCGTTTTGGTTTGTTTTGAGTTTTTGGTAAGCATGGGTTGCTCAGCTTTGACAATAGGCTTACAGGCCGAGTCACACGCGCGTTTGCGCCGTGATTGGAATTATTGCCTGGGAGCTATCCTTACAGATTACGCGTCATCTGCTTTCCATCGAGAGGAAAGTCTAGCCGGGGGGAGGACTGAAAATGGGCCTCTGAGTCTGCGGCGGCGGTGTCCCGGATCACCCCAGCTCAGGGAAGAATCAGGGAGAGCTCAGGACAAATCAGCCACAGCTCATCCCAGCTCACCCCAGCTCAGGATTGCGAACGAAAAAGGAAATTTCGCGTGCCCAGATTCGTCTCAGATAACCAGGCTGTTATGTTACATCCTCCGTGGCACAGACCAGCAGAAATACCCCAGGCGTTATATAGTCTGACAAACGATTTTATCTCAATGCCACGGCAAGGAGACTCATTGCCACAACAACAAATATCCGCGGGAAAAATCGCCACACACTAGTCATCCCCGACCTCGATAAACAACCCGGTCAAGCTGTCTCAAAAGTCTCCTTACCCCAGCCGTAAGCCCTAGCCAACTGCCGCGCGTAAATCGGGACCAAATGTCCCTCGATATGCGGCCCATGTGGCCGGTGCATCGTTAGTGGTTTCTGCGTGTCCATGGTCTGCGGTGGAAAGAAGGTAAAGACCGATCCGAATTTCGGCATGAGCGAGAACCCAAGCTCAGTCATGGCCGCCGTGAATGCCGTCCAGCTGACGGAGCCGCGAGCAAGGGACTTGTCAAAGAGCGTAGAAAAGACCTGAGCCGTAGATGATCTAACCTTGAATTTCGGCAGGACCTCGGTCGTTTTGTCATTTTCAGCGGCAGTTGCACCCTTTTTAGGAGGCAAGATATCAAAGACGGTCGTGGTCGAAGGTCTGGTCTTTTCCTTCTCCCGACGCTGCTGGATGCGCTCCTCGGGCTGCTCCGGGATGACAAAAGGCTGCGGTGCTGGCGGCTCCACCTTTGCTAGCTTGGCCTTTAGCTTCTGGTCAAGATCGTCTAGACAATCCTGGATCAGGTCCTGATACAAGAAGCCCAGCTTCGTCCCGGCCTTGGCCACGATAAACTCGTCCAGCCTTTTAAGAGCGCCTTCGGTCATGCCAGGTTCTAAAAGGTTATCGATCGGGACCGCGAAATCGCGAAGATCAACTTCCTTCTTGAACTGATCCAATTCGGCCTCGAGACCCTGAGACCGCGACACAAACATCTGGCCTTGCTTGCGAGAGAGGGGTGGCATTGAGATAGTGGGGGATAAATCCGAGATGAATCCAATGATGATGGCCAAATTCCCTAGAGCCTCGGTCTCTCGCTCCTCGAGCTTCTCTCGCTCCTCGGGATGCGAGTTGTGCAGGTCGCTAAGTTTCTTGATCCAGTCGACGGCCTTGGCAGCGGTTGTTTCGGGCTGGCAAAGGCGAAGCATGTAGTGCAGCTGAGGGTCCAACCTGGTTAAGTCCTCGACATTCCCCTTAATATTCACACGGGCGTCGCTAGGCTTGTCGTAAACACCAGACACGCGCTTGAACCACTTCATACCCGAGGCAGTCTGCACGTTGCGCTTGAAGGCCTGCTGGGCACGAGCATACTCCAAGTGGCACATATTTGACAATTCTTGCACAAGAATGGGCCGATAAGCCTTGTCTGGGTTCGAGCTGAGGAGCTGGAGGAGCTGGTCGATGTATCTCCAGATGGCAGATTCCTGTACCACGTTGTGAATGACCTCAAACACGGCGGCGCTGATGTACTTGTCCGTGTGCACGCCCATTGATCGGCCTTTCTCATCAGGGACAAGTTCTGGCCGACTGTAAAAGCGGAAGTTGGTGTCATGTGCCAAGACAACAGGGTCTGATGACACAAGACTCAGACGTTCCTCGAGAGCGGCTCGCCGGTCCTGAGCTGTAGCAGTTAGGTCTGGCAGTGACAGGTTAGCTGGTCCAGGCTGGATATTGAGCTTCGACAATTCTCCAGCCAGCGTTGTGTCGGGCTTTGGCGGCTTGTTCGTCGGCTGCTTTCTCGTCTTCGAACCCTCATCCAGGATGTCGTCGACAATGGTGACGAGAGTTTGCAGTAGAGTGCTCTGTCTCTGGAGGACCAATTCGCCATGGGACTGGGGAATGCATAGACCAGCCCTGATGGCTGGAGCAAATCCTGCCATTGTCTGTTCCCTCTCCTTCATAATCCTGACGGATCTGCCGTAGGTCTCATCGTTGAGGAAAAAGGTGAAGCAATCCTTGAAGCTGTCAACGTGGCGCAGCCCTTTGTTCTGGATCATATCGGCGATGAGATCGCAATCGCCTGGGCCCCCGTTGACGCCCTCTGCGTATTGCTGCACGAGAGTAGAGGAAGCGCGATACTTGAGGATATCGAGGAGGAGATCGGAGTCGGCGGCTGTGATGTCGCGCAGATTCCATTCTGGAATGAACTTGTAGACATTTCCGAGTGATCGGTCAAGACTGTGCTTGAGGACGGCACCGTCTGCTACCCCGGCCTTCATGCATCTTGCCCGCTGCTGGCTGTCAAACGAGCGCCAAAACTTGATGATCGATGGGCCATGCTGCTTGTACCGACGTGCGAGGTCGTCGTGCAGCTCGCGTATGACATCGCCGTGGCTAGGTTCACTCATCGTGCTGTCTCTCTTGCTCGAGTGATGTTAATGCGTTGCTGTGATGCTAAGGCAGTTTGGCGTGGTGGGGTCAAGGCAGTCTCCCAATTCTGCGGTGGTTATGTACCCCCCTTCCAGGAGCCGTCTGCAAGATCCACTGTACGTAATCAATCACAAGACCACCCCGCCCCAAATCTCCACACGTAACTTTGATTGGCCTTGAAAACTACGATTGGTATGTGCACAGTGCACGAAAAACTGGCCCCACAAGTATAGGAAAACCAATAGAATTAGCCCGTTGGCCAGAAAAGCCCAGAATTTGTCACATACAACACTGCATTGATTTAAGGCAAAAAGAGTGCTTGCGTTGCCCAGAAGTAAAAGAAGGCAGTGCAGGTGCTCTGCTATATAAGGAAAAAGAAGTCTTTGTTCGTTGAGTGGCTGGAAATGGTCAGCCGCATTACGTGACGCGGCTTCTACCGACAGAATTTGCTTGGACCTATTTTAGAGCAGAATTGACTAGAATTCGGGCTTTCGAAGGCACACATGAGTAAACACGTGCCCCTGAGAGGTCTCCGAGTGTTGAATGTAATAACACCAAAATACCACATCGCTAGTTGACTGCCCTGACTGCCTGCCCTGCTTATTGACAATACGATGCCCTACAACGCCTTCGAAAGGGCGTCACGAAGGAGGCTGCAACGTATGAGACGCATACGGCTATGTGCCATCAACGAACAACCTGTTAGCATCCCAGCCGAGCTGGGGGGAAAGCAAAAAGTTCATGGCGGCGGACGGAATGGTAACGAGATTTTTCGGTAATTAAGCAAACCAACTCTCCATATGTTATGGCTGTGCACCGGCAAGTTCCTACTTACCGACCCTAGCACGCGACACAACCAGATCAGAACTCTATACCGAGTTAAGGCCAGCCGACCAGCTCAACTTGGTTGCATCGAGGTTCGGCCCCGAGTTTGACCCCGAACGAGCTCTACTGCCCATGACGGTCAAGGTGCTGGGTGTGGAGCTGGACAGGCTCCCGGGCGAGGTTGTGCCCAGGGAGCTCGTTGTGGCAAGGGGATCTAGTTTATAGGGCAAGATGGCCTGGAGCGAAGTGCTAGTACGCAATAATCTTCTTTAGCGTCAAGGTCCTTACTTCCTCGCAGTTCTGTTGCGGGAGGCAAGGCCTATTCATGCCAAGTGGAAGACTGGTCCCGGTACGTGAAGGCCTACTCTGTTGGCCCGATAAGGGCGGCCACCTATATTCTATGATTGGATACATTTTTGCACTGTGTTGTCTGCAGTGACCCGCTTCAGTTGAGTGAGTCACGCCTCCTCACGAAGGCCTCGCGGCCACTCATTCTGTTGCCGCCCTATTTCTGGGGTTGCACAATTGTGAAGGCAGGCAAATACGAGAGTCAATGCTGCAAGTAAGGAATGGCTGTATTCGTAAAATAACTAAGCTAAGGAAAAGAAAAGAAAAGAAGAAGCCTGCGGTTCCTGCAGGCCGTGGTTTTGTGGTTGAGTGGTGGGGCAATTGGGCTAGTCCTAATTTGGAAGAGGGGCTGCGAGGTGGTGCCTGCAGCCAAGGTCTGAGAACAGTGGGGCTGCAGTGTGGGTCCTGCAGCCAGTGCATGGTTGCGGCACCACGGTTCGGCCGTGCCGTAACAACAGTCTTCCCGTAGGTTGATTGCCTCTGTCTTGCCCTCTTTCTAGGCTCTCTGGCTCTGCCAGAGAGCATTTCTTATAGCCATGGCCAGGTGGCGAGGTTATTGCGCGTCTGTGGCTAATAGTGACAAATTCATGATTCTAGCACCTTCTAGAATCTCCCTTCTTTCTGATAGTGACAAATCCATGATTCCAGCACCTTCTAGAACCCCCCCTTTTTTCTGACAGCCTCTGCAGAGGGTGACCCGTATGACACCCGTCCACTCCGCGGCAGAGAATGACGGCATCCGCTGCTATGCGATGACGGCATCCGCTGCTATGCGCAAGATCCGCAGTACCAGGATGCTGAGCAGGACATCCTAGGAGAGGTCGGCATCACGGTCCTGGACAGCCTGCGCGCGTTTCTGGAGGTGGACGACGCCACGGCCGTAGTCTCCCTTGTGCCAGAGACACCCGTGCGCGCCAGATTGTTGCTGACATTGCAATGCCCGTGCTGATGGTCTGGGACAGATGTGAGCTGCAGGGGCTGCGTGAGTGCGAATGGCTTGGTCGGCCGGACATGTGAGTTTGCCCTCCCTCGTCCCTTCCCTTTTGGCCCCAGCCCAAACCCTCGAATGTGCATCGACAGAAGCCAACTCTTCGAGTACACACTGACGGAAGACACGAAACAGGTCTGATAACGATTCCCCTCGGCTAGAGAGGATGATCCGGTCCCGTTACACGGAGCTGCCGTTTCCCGAGGACGCAGAGGGCTTTGCGTCCCTCCCGGCTGTTTACGTCAGGAAGCACTGAGTGACTGTTTAGATGAATCACCTCGGTGCCCTGCCTAGCTAGGATTTGACGGGATGCATGTCGAGATATTTTTATTTATCCCCACAGCGTGTATCAATCAGCCAGTGCGACTCACGATAGCTAAAGGTCATCAGATCCAGGTAGGAACACACACCACCTCGTCAGATACCTTTTTCAAGATATATCCGGTACAACCGAAACACCAGGAATAGAAGACACCATCCATCCATTCCCCATACATCCATCCCATCCCTAGACAGGCCAAATTGCATATCGTGGAACGAAACACATTTCCAGCGAGTGGGATGAGTTGCATTTTTTACTGTCAAAGTATGGCTAGTTAGCGGGGTTGCAGGCACAGACTACCTATAGGGTCCTAAGGTGTAGGACACTACAGTAGTTGTGTTGGTGTGGTTGGTGTTGTAGGCACTATACCCAAATTGTGAACCAAGCCCAACAGCACCTTCTCGAACCCCCTACAAGCCCACTAGAAGACTGTCAGATACAGGGCCACTTACTTAGCCCGACCAAGGTGTTCCTGATCGGTAAGCCAAAGGCGTCCACCGCACGCATTTTCCCGTCGACGTCAGACATTCTGCCCAGGACTTCTTATCCGGACGAAACTCAATTGATCACTTTGCGGAGGGTCTTAGCCTCAACAGCAGACGCGTCAACTAGTCCACAGAGGAAGAGGAGGAAGACTCAAACGACAACGGCGAGAGGGATTTGGGAGAAGGGGACGAAAACGCCTCCATATCATCCAGCAGTCACGCAAAATAATCAAGCTTGGAACTCATCGCTGTCGATCCACAAGAGGAGAAGCAGATTAGACGCTTCCAACGCAGACAAGAACAGACAGCCCGTCGACGAAGACGCAAGATGGCAGCCCCGCCACCCATCATCCAGCCAAAGGTCTCATACGGAAGAACCTATGAGGCAGACCTAGGCGTACATGCAATCATCCTGGCATCGATGAGGAAGGATCTCGCCTACAAGCGACTCGACGCATTCGTTGACGCATTTGGACGCTTCCACGCGGACCATGACGCCAATGAGATCCATTTCCAACTGAGCAGATCCAAGTCACGGACAAATAGTAGCTACTACCTGTGGCGCAAGGTCCGCTCAGCCCAGAAAATATGCAGGAATGGATTAACCAAACGCATGGAGATGCGACGTATGCCGAATCCGTCGCACAAGGATATGCCTTGCCTGCTATCGGTCGCCCCATTGACTGGTTAGCGATCAGGGTACTCGAATCGACCGAGGAAGACGCAGATACCGGAGATCTGCAAGAGAAAGGAGTTCGTATGCCGGCAGATATGAACAACTATTGGTCTCCGGTCAAGTTGGACTGGGTACTCACCAACGGTGCGCCACACAAGTATTGGGTCGGGGCCGACTAGAACAACGAGGATTGGCGGTCGACCAATTGCCCCGACAATTTCCACAGCCAAGGATCTCCCCCACAACGGGCTCGAATCAACCTCAATGACGTGTTTGGCAACGCGTCCGAGTACAATATCCCGATTCTAGATTACGACAACGAGCGAAACGTCGTAACCGGTTCGGAACCCGGCGCGGATAAGCCAGACGTTCACCCGGCAGTTCCCAAGACTACAACCATTGATGGCGGCGCATCCTACAAGACCACCATCACCAACTTGAACCAAAAACGTTTCAGGGAGGTAGAACGGTTCACAAAGAACCCGAACACAATGCTGGAGAATCATGATAAGCGACTGAATGACATCGCCGACGCAGTCAAGTCCCTGAAGGGACTGGTGAAGCAGCAACAGACCCACATTGACGCCTTCCACACAACGTACGCAGCAAAAAGCGAGGTCAATAACGTCAAAGACGATATTCTGCTCAACATAAACAATAAATGGCAGGAGGGCCGGAACGTGTTGCGGGGCGGATACAACACGTACATGGCTAACATGAAAATCCGTAACGAGCAAATGCGCGAGCTCCTTGCAAAAACGCCTGCCGTCTAGACAAAGCCAAATGACATGTCAAAGCCGCTTATGCCTATCATCCAGACGAAGCCGTCTGTGATGCACCACCAAAGACGACAGCTGACGCCCCGACCGCCAAGTCAAAGGGCCAGAAGAAACGAGAACGAGCGAAAAAACCAAAGCAGGTGGAACAGGCGGGCGAAGAGGACGCAAAGAAGGTCAAGAAGGAGGAAATACGGGGACACACGCTAAAGGGCATAGAGACCCGTTGAGGTCACAGGGACACGTCAAGGGAGCATGAGGAGCATTGCCGTTTTTTTTCTCTCGCGCATGTACAATACACAACACGTTGATTAGGATGTTGGGAGGATAAATACATCAGAAGGCGTCGGAAAAAGGGTCCCGTTGAGGGCAACGGGACGAGCGAAGAGGGCAGTTGGTACGGCTTTAGTCACCAGGCTGTGCGTCCACAATCACGTAACCCACAAACTGCCTACTTGACCTTCCTCCAGTAGTTAGCCTCTTAGCTCGATCATCCATTTTCCATTCCATGTTTCTCGCATCACTCAACAACCCTTTCAGCTACTTCAAGGCCGGCTACTTGCAAGGCGACTGTCCGTCTGGGGTGCACTTCTTTGGTCTCCACGCCGCGCACAACGAGGGCGACATTGGCGCCGCTGCACTAGCAGCACCGGCCCTTTTAAGTGGGGGCGTCCTTCTGTCGGCTGGTGGCAGTGGTTCTAGTTTGGGATTGGGACCCTTTAATATGAGACTCCCCCCTGACTATGCGGCACCCACCAACCCACAAAAAACCGCCATGGCGGCTTGCATCAACTGTAGGCTTATTTAGCGGTAAAACCTGTACTTTTTTGATACTGCCCCAGTCAACAGAGCCAGTTAACTATGCTTGTTGATAGGCTCAATACCAAAAAAAAAAAAATTACCACCCTGTTCAATCGGTCTTATATGCATACATGTACTTAACTATATACAAATAGGGCTATTCCAACGCCTTAGCCAATACCCAGCTCAACACGCTGATTTACACCAAATTTGGCCAGTTTTCCTGGGCAGTCATAATGCGCGTATATTAATAAGTTGACAGTCTTGCTGACCAAGGCCTGAAAATGAACATAATTGACGAAAACCCCCGAAAACGCGTTTTCAAGCCTCTTCGCATTCGGTTGATTTGCCCGACATCTAGAAGGCCAAAAATCTGCATATGGGGGCAGTATCCAGAAGTACCGATTTTACCGCTGAAAAGGCGGGTTCTTGATACAGCTGCCAAAGGTGGATTGATGAGTGCTCGCATAGTTAGAGGGGGTACCCCAATAGAGCCTTTTTAATACCCAGGCCGTTCTCGACCACACCGGGTTGCCCACCCCCCCTCCGCCTCCTCCGTCATCCCCGCCCCCTTCGTCGGGGAGCGGTGGTTGCGGAGCAACAGCACCAAGCGTCGCATCTAACACAACCACAGTGTTATTGTTAGCCACGGTCTCCAACTGCTGTGCGTCGTTGAAACCATCAAACTCGGTACGCCTGATAGCTGCCACAATTCTATCAACAACCAGGCCGTCGGCAGCTTCTGGCAGGCCAGCGGCTTCTTCATGTTCGGGAAGAGCATTCACATCTTTTTCTACGCGCAGGCAGATTGCCAGGGCGCATCAGTCGATCTTGACTTGGCCATCAAAGCTGGCTGCCAGGCGGGGAATGCGTTCCTGAGCTTCAAGTCATCCTCGACCGGAGGCGGGGGCAGCGGCGGTGGTGGTGGCTCCGGAGGCGGCAGCGCGTCTAAAGGATCATGCCCCAACTCGGTGTCACAGCCAAGCAACAGCGGAACCAATACAGTGACGCTGGCGATGTACTCGGCTTCGTGCTGCAGCGGCGGTGCAGCCTTTGAAACAGCCACAATTGGGTCTTTTGGCATCTGCCACAAGGCCAACGTTGGGTTCAAGAGCTTCACGCAAGCAGTCTAGTCCGGCCTGTTCCTACACATCTGGGCATCCACGGACTCGGCATGCGGCGGCAGCTCAAAGTTTGTGACGGACCTGTCCAACGACCCGGCATGCTACCGAATCAAAGGCAAACAGGTAGTAGATGTCGACCAAGGCGACTCCTAGCCAACCTATTACGAGGAAGATGGCGATGACCTGTTCGTTTGAGGATGAGTCTTAGTCTGGCGTAACCACGGAGAGTAATTGTACGGATAATGGGAGAGATATATCGGAAGGAGAGGGCTACATCTTACACCCGGCGGTCCTCCAGTATCCTAAGATGATAATGGAAGCATATACTGCCACGTACGGCCGATACTAACACGTTCTTTAGCTTCATGGTGGTGGCGGGCTCGCGCTCGCCGCCTGGCACTGGCTCGTCATGCGGCGGCAGCAACGGGCCGGATCAGCCTCCCAAGAAGAACGACAACAACGTGTCTCTCGAGTTTTCAGCGACGACTGCTGCACGTCACTCAGCATGACAGCGTTAAGGACGCTAAGCGACTGCCATGTAGCTCCAAGCGCTAACGGCCACAAAGCCTTCTCAGGCCTGACGCAGACCGTGGGCGCCACATGTTTGGCCGGGGCATCCACATTTGGCTGTATCCGGACTCGAGTTCGTGCCAGGGAGAATCGGTCGCCGTGACGCTATCCGATGAAGACAGGTGCTATGGCCTCGGTTCCGGCAACAACCGGGTGGCGTTTGTCAGCTACGACACGGGCAGCCTAGCCGACGGCTCAGGATCATCCTCGTCCAGTGGAAGTGGAAGCGGAAGCACAGGTGGAGGCGGATTTGGGGGCAACTGTGCGGCACCGCCGCAGCCCTTCAGCGACACGACGGTGCAGCTCGTCCGGTACGAGGACGCAGGCTGCTGCCAGCCCTTTGGGACGATCCATCTCGGGAACCTAGGCGGATGCCACAACGCCATCGACGGAAAGACGATGACAAGTTTGCCCAGGCGCCAGGAAGCGGCTTGTTCGGCCAGGGCATCCATCTCTGGCTGTTTACGGGTGCCGACTGCACGGGGACCTTACACCTTCATCCAGTTCCCATCGCCGCAGGGATGCGTCCCCGGCAGGGGCGGCACCTTCTTGACCTATCGCATCGCCAAGCAGAGCTCGTGCATCGCGCTGGGCATGGGCTTCCAGGCGTCCATAATCAAGTCCCACTACGCCGCGTGGTTCGGGGGCACGGATGCCTACGCCAGCGCCATCGTCGTGCCCAACCAGTTCACCAGCGTTTACAATAGCAACGGCGGCGGCAGCGGAAGCCAGCCGTTCGACCTCAACTTCTTCAGCGACGTGCTGTCGATCGATTCCGAGGCACAAGCACAGAATCGCAGCCTGAGCGGTCTACGGGTGACGGGCTGCGATGGCTCCGAGGCCCAGCCAAATCTTCACATTGTCAACGATGTGGGCGGCTTGTGGACTTGTCAAAGAGCGACCAACTCAAACGCGGCCTGCTTCTCCGAGATTGGTTAGTATCAGAAATAGTGGGTTTGCTCAGGGAATTGCGTCAACTGTCCCATATAAAAAGGGTCAGTCGGCGAAGAAGAATAAATGGGGCTACGGAATAATCGGAGAGGTTTGAATTCCTGAGAGCGTATCCATACTGAGGTGCTTAATGACGGAAGTAAGGAACTTACGCGACCAACGTCCAAACAGTAGAGACATCGTGATTTTGGGTTGTGTGACGCGTAATCAAAATCCCGCCAAGCCATGATCCCTAAGTAATTGCGTGGAGATTCGATCCCTCAAGGCGTACTCACTTCTTGGCCCCCAATGAAACATTGAGAGATGTTTGGGAAGAGGACCTGCTCCCTGTTCAGCGCACAAACATTTCCAAGATTAGGGTAGGGTGCCACAAGTAGATACCTTATTCCTTGAGAACCTGATGCTGAACATGCATAGCCCCCGATTTCAATGTTCAACAACGGGTTACCGGAAAATAGGCCAAAGGTCCGTCTTAGGGAACCAGGGCATAAATATAAAGGACACTTGTGAGTGGTCGCAGTGGACTTATCCTGCACATAATGTTGTGCCGCAAACTCGGTCCAAGGACTAGAACCAACCTTTAATGCATAAAACCCAATTCGTATTGGGGTGGGGTGGTCTGCCTGGCCTGCCGCTTTGCAACCACATGAGAGAGCTGACGACGCCCAGCCAAGTGCTGCGGGCCGCAGCGCAAACGCCTCCAATCAAAATGGTCGCTGCGTGTGACAGACACTGACAGCACCACCCAACGCCCCCTGAATCCTTCCAGCCTCGACAGTCGACCCTTCCGCGACGCCTGTCAACCCCGCTTAAAAATCAATCCAGCTCCCCCTCCTAGCTCTGGATTTGGGTGCCACCTATTTGACGCCGTTGGTGAACTTGCCGATTCATCATTCACTTCAAAAGCTAATCACTGCACCACTGCGCTGCATGCTCGCACATCTTCCATCTCATTCTCTTTGACCATTTTGGCTTTATGAATATTTAATTATCAAATTGATTCCCTTCAGCCGCGACTTGCGATTTACGACAGTGACATGATGGCCCGCGCCTTGGATATCTCGTCGTTTTCCCTCCCATACACAGATATGTCTCTGCCAGCCGACCAAGAACCGCCCCTGGTAATGCCAGACCCAGGCCACTGTAGCGGACATGATTATTGCGGTGTTCCATGCACATTCGAGTGGCAGCATGTGCTTCCATTGTCATCTCAGGATACTGGAGGACCGGGTGTAAGATGCAGCCCTCTCCTTCCGACACATCCTCCTTCTCCCATCATCCGTCTACTCTGCGTGGCTACGCCAGACTAAGACTTATCCTTAAACAAACAGGTCATCGCCAGCTTCCTCGCAACGGGTTGGCTAGCAGTAGCCTTGATCGTCATCTACTACCTGTTTGCCTTTGATCCCAAACAGCTCTCGAGAGCCAGCAAGTACGCGGTCGTGAATCCCGTCGACGTGGCCGTCACTGGCCTCGCCAGACGCGCCATTCCATCCTCGTGGTTCGGGTCGAGGTGGAATGCCTTTGTCAAGGCAAGTCTAGTCCCTAAACCCGACGACTCTTTTGCTGTATCTGCCGTGCTGACCGTCTGCCGCAGGCGATCCTCACCATCTCCGATGTCCAGACCCTCATGGGTTTCGCTGCCGCTTTCACCGCCATTTTCAACCTCTGGAGTGGCATTTCGACCTATCACTTCATGCTTATAGTCCAATGTGTCTGGTTCTCCCACGTTGCCCAGCTCACCGGGCTCACCATCCAGCGATACCACCCGAGATCCGCCACCGCGGCATACACCAGGCTCTTGTTCACGCTCGCCCTCACGGGCCTGCTCGTCACGGGCATAGTCGGCACCTTCTTCTACAACTGGGCCTACCAACGGCACACCGGCTTTACGTACCCCGACTACCGCGCTCTTGCCAACATTGTCGGAGGATCAGCCAGCCTCCCCGGCTCGTATGCAGTCTGTTTTTGGAACACGGCTCGCAACATTCAATGGCATCAAGCCTCTTCCACCTTTGCCTACACTTTCAATGACACTCCCGCCTACGGGTCGGGCATTACAGCCATCGTTCTCGTTGTCGTGAACCTGGCAGCTCGCATCATCAGAATTCCCGTCCTCGAAGACGCCATCACGTCTACCCGTCAAATGCTTAGCAAGTCGTGGAGGTCCCTGTTTGCCGGAGTCTCTGACAACAGCCAACCGTCTGGCTTGATTCAACGTCTTGTCCTCTCCATCGGCTTGACTACTCTCTTCACAGCCAGGCTACTCACCGACCTACTCCTGTCCACTCTCACAGAGGTACGCATATTTCCTCCCCATCCATATCAACCGTCCTGCGTTTCTTTTACTCGGCTTTGCTAGCTAACTCGGCTTTGCTAACTAACTCGGCTTTGCTAATTAGATCTACTGGGTCCTCATCCCCGCCATCTGGGGCACCATCACCCTTCTCCGCGCCCACAACATCATCTCACCCAGTGGCTCCGAGAAATGGGCCTACGCGCAGGTCCTAGCGTGGTTCGTTCTCGGCGCAGTCGTCCTCGTAACCATCTCATACTTCTTCAAACCCTCCGCCACCGTCTCCGACCTACCTTCCCACAACAACCCCGCCGAACCCGCCAGCGACGAGGGCGACATCCTAGAACAAGGCTCCAGCGCCGTCCCCGCCGCCAACCCCAACCCCGGCTTTATCGACCAAGCCCTCACTTTCCTCGAGGACGACGACAAGAAATCGTCCCCGGTGTGGGTGCCCGCCGCTCTCTCCCTGGCCCTCTTCCAGGTCGCAGCCATCACCGCTCTCTTCTTCGACAAGTACTCGGACATCGTCCCCAACGCGGCGACAGGCCTGGCTCTCTTCGTGGCCGTCCCTCTCCTGGTGGGCGTGCCTGTGTCGAGCTACGTGTTTATTCTCTCCTGCGTGGCGTTGCAGAGGAATCAGTCGTCTGGGGGAGCGAAGCAGCCGTGGGTCGTGGCGAGTGGCGCGATCGTCGGCTCGGGGCTGCTGTATCTCTTGGTGCCGCAGGTGTCGTGGAATGGGCTTCAGATTGCTGGGTTGGTGTTCATTGGCGTGGGCGGTGCGATTGTGCTGGTGAATCTGGCGGCGCTGGTTGTTGTGCTGGCGGGTAGGCGCCGGTATGGGCCCATCAGCTTGGGGAACTGAGCGAGGTGCCAGCCAGCGAAGGAGCCGGCCGTCACTCCGTAACCCTTAAGGGCTGACCCGACCCGAGACAGAGGCCCCTTTTCACTTTACATTCCCGCCCACTCATCCCTCAGTCATCATTCCCTCACCAATTTCTCACCACTTTCTCGTAACAAATTTCGTTCGCAAAGCACAATCCCAAGAATTAAGTTGACCATGCCTATTTTGGCCCAGCCCACTTTTGGCCCGTGCTGAGCCGCCCACTGACATGAATGACACCCTACATTGAAGCATGTAAAATATCGCCAAATCAACCAATTACTATACAATTTTTGACTTCCTCTTCTTCCGAGCTTTCTGATTCGTCAGAGCTGTCAATATCGCGCCCCACTGCTCTCTGCGCGCGCCGAATGTCTTTTATTGAGGCAAACTTGAAATTTGGGCTCAATTCCACCTTCTTCCTCTTGGTTCCCTTTTTGTTCTCAAGCTCAGCTTTCAGAGCCTCATTTTCGTGTCTGAGCTTAGCCATCTCAAAGTCCCTGAGGTTGAATGCCTTCCTGACCTTCCTGAATAGCTGGTGACGTGCCCTGCGGGCCGGGGAGCTGATGTTTACTTTGGCCAAAGCAACCGTAAGGTCCGTAACCTTATTAAGAGTCTTCCAAGTGCCGTAATCGTCAAGCAACTGTTGTTGTTGATGAGCCGTATCCCTCTCTTCCTCGAGAGCAGCTAAAGCCGTACTTTTACCGGCTTTGTTGCTATTTTCTAGCACTTGAGGGCTCGTGAGTGGCTTGAGCTTGTTTACCGGCCACAAGCCGGTAGCATACCACCCTGCCTTGCAGTTTTCTTCCTTGAATGCTTCTTCCCGGGCAGCCCGGTAACAGGTCAACATAGTGCGCCGGCCGGAGACCGTTGAATCGGAGCACCGGGGTAGAGAGTTAAACCTCTTCCGGTATGCCCGCTTCAGGACCGAGAAAACCGTCAAATCAAGCGGCTGAAGGACGTGTGATGAGTGTGCCGGTAAGTAAAGAAGCTGAATGTTATTTTGGAAGCAGGTCCACATATAATCATCAGTTGTATGACTACCGTGGCCGTCAACAATGAGGAGCCGGCGTTCGTTGTTGGCCGTACGGGTGTTAGGAAGGAAGACTTCCTGAAGCCATTTTAACGCACTCTCATCGTCAATCCAGCCTTTTTCTTGCGTGTGGAACTTCCAACCTTTGAAGGGACCCATTTTATTTGGGTAGTGTTGTTGTTGTAAGGTTTTCCCCTTCATGATCACCAAAGGAGGTATTGACCTGCCCGTTGCAGAGATGCATTCCACGAACGTGGACCAATTCCGTGATCCTGACTGCTTTTTCTTCAACTTCTTGTTGTTGGCCCTTTCCTCAGATCCAAGAACCATGCTGTTGTCACCCTGGCCTTCAAGAAGGCCAGTCTCGTCTTTATTTCAACGGTTCTCCGGCTTGATCAGCTTGATAGCCGGGAGGGCCAGGTAGTTGAACCAAGCCGTGATTACCGGGACCGTGGCGCCGTTGAGCCGGGCCGCATCCATGCTTTGTGCCCGCTGGGTCCGAATTGACGGGTTCCGGGCCATGAAGCCGCGCAACCACTTCGGTCCTACGTATTCCGGCTTGCCTCCGTCCACGGCCAGCCGGCGGACAAATTCCCTGACCGTTGCATGCGTTGGAGGTAGGCCGAGAGCGCCCTGAAGGATGATCCATTCGGTGAGCCAGGCTTCCGTTGTATGCGGAAGAACCTGCATGTGTTCGAATGCAATATGGCGGGATTTGTGGCCGGCCATACGGTTGCGAAGGGTAGTCCTTGGAACGCCACATTCTTCGGCCGCGCGCCGCAACGGAATGCCTTCTCGGACTTTTGCATGGCCTGCAGCATTTCCAATTCGTTATATTGAGGCATCGCTAGAAATATTATTGAAAGGGCTCTCGAATGTAGTAGAATTGAAGGAATTCGGTGTTGTTTTGAGGAAGTTGCGGTGTGTTGAAGAAAAAGGATCGATCACATGTGGTGTAGGTGCATGGTGGCTTGCGCATGGGCCAAAAGTGGGCTGGGCCAAAATAGGCATGGTCAACTTAAAAGGCCTTAACACCTTACGGCCAGCCCTCGAGGTTTCTCACCGAGGCAGGTAAAAGGTATTAAAATCCCTATTTTAGAATCCAGAGGCATACCTCTTCTCCAAAAACACATATCTAAGCATCATCAAGTCCAGTACGAAAAAACGTAGGTCGAGAGAGCGGTTCACTTTACATCCAGGTCCTCCTGACCTTCCTAGGAGGCTCCTTAGTACGATTCCGAGCTCATACCTAGGCCATAGGATGTGTGATGCAGAACAGAGCTGTTAGAGCCCTTGTCTTTGCTCTCTCCGTCCAGCTCTATTTACTTTGTTAATATAAAATTGTTCAGCGACTTTTTCTCATCTATGAGCGCTAGTAGTATTGCTGGGGTACTTCTTTCTTCCGCCATATGAGTTTTTTTGCCAAATCTTTTGGCCTCCTTATTTGATTCCATCTTGGTCGCTACCGTTACCGACTTTACTCCTATCACATCAGGCATTCTACTTTTCGCTACAGGCTTCGAGGATCCCTTCTTGCCATGCCTAGGAGCTATCCCTAGTCTCCAAACGCTGGTCCAACAGTACTGCCAAAAACTCATTGGAGCAGTCCTAGCCATTTCACGATTTGGCGCAGTCTTGCGCTCACGAGGTCCGCCTCAGATGGCTTCTGAGGGCGAAGCCACTCAGGATGGTGCCTCTCTAGACGCTCATAGTACACCTGACGTACACTTTCCAACCGATGAAAATTTCTGTGACGAAAACACAGAAGGGGTGCCTCTACTACCCACTATGTCTGCGGACGCATCAGTCCGCCCTAGTTCTAGTGACAGGACGCTGGGACATGAATAGTCCCACGCCTCAATTGAACCCACCAACACGCCTGGGGACAATACCAACACTACAATTACCAGTGATCATGAGAACCATATGGGTGATCAAAAAATGAGCGGCAACAGCCGGATGCAATCCTCATTACGATGATGCTGAGAGCGAGAGTGGAGGCACTCTTCGTTCCTCAGCCCGGGAATTTGCGATCGAAAGAGGGAATTATCGACCTCACTGACGAACCTAAGTCAGCGCTCATGCGCACGAGGCTCAGCCCCCTGTCGCTGTTGCCAAGCCACCCGTCAGCACTAGCACGGCGCGATCCCGCAGAGAAGCCCCCGATCTGCACACCGATCTGCCTGATTGGGTTGGTCATGGCACCGAGACGGAACGCACAGATCATCGGCGCCGGCCAGTCCGAAACATCAATACGGAGTACTATCAGTCCGTATCTATGGCTGCCCGGGAACTGTATCCCTGACCGAATAACGCGCCCACCTATCATATTTGATCACCATCCCCGATTTCAAGGCTAGATCATGGCCGCCTGGTTTTCATTGACATACCTGGCTTAGGTCGGCTCACATTTCCTACATAGAAGGAGACTGATTAATCAACCCGCAAACAAGTTTTGTACATCCAAGAGTCAGGAGCCTAGTCGTGTAGGTGATTCGAACCAAGGGGGTCTCAGTTCCAGGCTACTAGCCGAGATCGCCCGTGCTATCGATGCCCGCGGGGATTAGGTCGCTCGGCCGTACGCGTCGGTCCGTGGTGTCGGTTATAGCAATCGACGCCCACCACCGGCCGCGGCTGGCGCCCGCTACGGCCGCAAGCACGCAGCTCACAGCCATTACTTTGGCAGTAGCATGCTTCATCGTGAGTGTAGGAGACTACACAATAACAACAACAACAATAACAACAACAACTTCACCAACAACTTCAACAACTACCGGGAAATTGTCGACATTTAACGCTCTCCTGTCTCCTCAGGGGCCCATGTCCCCGCACGCGTTAGACGGAATAATTATGGAAATCCGTCCGCCCAGTTAAGCTTGACCAGAAGCGACATTTACCAGTATCTGCCAGTTTTTCCTGCCAAGGATTTTTTTATTCAACTTGACGGAGCATCACAAAGCTTCTAGTCATTGGTTTTACCACTTCCATGACGAGTCTACACAACACTAAGACCGCCACGCAAAGCCCCGACTAACCAACAGCTGCCAAGCAGAACGAAAGGGAGGAAAGGAAGACAGCACACATTTGCCACACAAAGGCGTGCCCCCTCAATCTCACAATCAATATCACAGGTCAATGGAGCCGCAGCAGAATAGAGACTCCATTTTGCTTATGCTGTTGTCTTGTTTTCTTAAAAGAGAGCAACAGAAGAAAAGGGGCGGTAGGTCGGCGATATCTTGGACGTGATGAGCTGCCGGGAGAAGGGGACCTGCTGGAGAATGAGAGTGCAGACTCTTGCCGACAAACACGTACCCTGGACGCCTTCTTATGCTCGTATCGGACCATTTCCTGCCCACGGATGCCCACTTCCACCCCGATAGGCGTGCTAGAGAATCTGCCTGACTCATGATTGGGTTGTTTCATTTTGAGGCCTAGCATACGGCATCCCTTGGCTCCATATCGAGAGAAAAACCACCGTCCTAGCTGGTCACATGTGGGATGCCGTATTATCGCCCGGGCTTGAAACCTAATTGGGTGACTCGGTTCGGGTCTGTCGGTTGCCGGCCCTTATTGGGCCGTATGCTATGAAAATGCTGCCTTGATGCAGCTCTGTTTTTTGCACCGTGGTGTACAGCTGCCCCGACGATCCAATCAGTCCTCGGGCCTCGAGATGCGGGCGTTATTGTGATATGCCCGGGGCCGAAGCATAAGAGAATAGTCTTCCTACCCTTTTTATCTTTCGTCTTTCCCCCTTTTCTCTCATCACGATCGGCCCTAGTGGCGTAACCGCGCCCGCTCTTTTCTCCTATTTTTCCCCCCCGACCGTTCTCCTTCATTTTTCTAGCGTCTCTGGCCATCCTCTCTCCTCCTCTCTTCCTTACCACGCCCAGTCAGCCCCGGTCTCTCCAACCTACTCTTGTTGGTAGGTCCTTACACTTCAGCTCAGATCCCTCCAGGGCCAGCCGGACTTGAATAATAACACCTACCCTATGCTGCTCCCCTCCCGTTCATCGACCATACTTGGCTTCAGCCCGGGAATTGGGGTCCTCTCCCGGAGTTTATCTAGAGTTCCACGGAGCCTGCTGGACAGGGTAGTGGAGCGGAGGAAGAGACTTGGTCAGAGCAGATTCCATCACACAGCACCCCCAACAATGTCCCCAACAGCATTCCAACAGCATCCCCAAAAGCATCCTCAACAACACCTTCCGCCATCAGCCAACCCAGATCCTTATAGTCCGAGTCAACCTACTTCTCCCAATGCCGCTCTCCGCTACAATGAATGTCAAGACACATTCCCAAAACAACACCTCCTACGGTAAGCCCTAACCCACCCCCCACGGAGCGTTCCCCCTGAATATTGTGCTGACTGGAAGCGACGAACACAATTGGCTGCAGCACCCACATGAAGAAGCACTCCCTCCCGTTCAAGTGCACCGAAACCACCACACAAGCAGCCGGTGGCGGTGGCGGCACGACGAGGAGGGACAACCACGACCGCCATGTTCGGCAGCAGCATCCTCGTCGCCAGCACGAGGATGAGCGGGAGGAAGACACTTGTGATATTAGTGCAGGCAGGTCCGAGCTATAGCTGTAATTAGAATCTCGAATGCAGGTGCCCGGTTGTCTCGGCGGAGCCAAGGCACGACTAATTATTGAAAAGGTTCTAGCTTCTGTAATTAATCCGTGCGTATCATCTCACAGGTACTACGCGCATGGCTCACAACAAGGTGCGGCTGTCGGGCATGAGACACAAATTTCATCTCGAGGTTTTCAGGATCGAGAGGACGGTCGGCGTCTTCAAAGACCCACGCATATAGGCCTCGCCGCGTCGCCACGAGCCCGAAGTTCCCTTGTCAACCCCCGGACGCAGTTTTAACCGCGCCTTGCCTCCAGTCTAGCCAGAACCCAGACTTGGTCGTCAGCAATCGCTTTCGGCACGTGGTTTCGTGGGGTTCTCTTTTCTACTGACCCGGGTGACCAATTTGGAGGTCGCCCCAGCTTGCAAACTTCAGAAATTCTTCGCCTTTCCAACATCGCGTCTCCGCACTCACAGTCGCCATCAACTATCTTCGCAAACGAATTCTCGGTTCTTACGATAGCGGTTGTATTTGAATTAGACAAGCAGCGAAAGTTGATGGAGATGATCCATAAGGCTGTTGGCGACGCTCGAGGTTCTGGCGTGAAGTATAGAGAACCTTTAGCTGTCCTTTTAGCTAGTGAGTACTTTATGATGCGTGTTCTTTACAGCTCCGTCTAATTAGACACTAGGATATCGTGGCAAACCCATCACTTTTGTCTAAATCGGAGAATTCAATCACAACAAGGCCAATGAGGCCAAAGATGCCCCCAACGAGACGGGCGAGGGCTCCTCTAATACTCTCAAGGAGGGCGATGATTTCGACGCATTGGCAAAGAAAGCCATATCTACATTAGAGAAATTGGTGACCAAGTCTTCCCACGCCGTCGCCAAGTGCAATCTACTGCTGGCCGTTTCAGGTCCCTGCGCGGGCTTATTGTATCTATATAACTGCCATTTAGATGATCTCAGATTTCTCCCGCTCCCCGCCCTCTCGAGAGAGCCGTGTAATTATGTTTCCTGCGCCTGCAGCCGTACCCGAGCAACAGCAGCAGCAGCTGGCAGATGATTAAACTAGGGTGTCTCTTGTTTGGCGAGTGCGGAGACTGTAGCTGGTCGGGAAGCCGCTAGGCCTAAACACGATTTGTTGCTGGTGCGAGAAGAATTTTATATAAAAGGTACTGTGGCCGAAATGCCGTGGTAGAGATCTACGCTAATCCTGATAACTTAAGTACCTCTAATATAGCAAGGGAACAATGCAACGCAGAAATACCAAACTTAAGGCGAGCGGGAAGGCCAAAAGAAACAGCTTCTATGCTGATAAGCGGTAAAAACTCGACTATAACCGTACGTCATTATAAGAACTCTGAATCCTGAAGTTTGTCACATCATCCCTTCGCCGCCAATTCGATAGAGAAACCTAAAGGGCTATAGGAGAACTGCATTCGGCTTGTGACGCGGCTACACGTAGTAGAGAAACTGGACGATTAAAGCGACCAGGCCTTCGAGAACCGGGTTCATTCTTTGTTCTCGTCCGAGATTAGAGTCAGTGACAGGCACTAGAACACCATTTCACTCGCGCCGACCCTCTAAAGCTGGTGGGGAAAGGCGTGTTTTGACCTCAAGTGCCTCTGCACCAAGAGACGTCAATTCTAGTGATCTGGTAGTGAAATTAAGCTACAGTCCACTGTCCAAGAGATTACAGAGCTCGAAAAGAAATTGGGGGAGCTGGCAAACTAGAAACCCGTCGATGGCATCACTACGGTCGAGTCGTCGGCACTCTCACTTGATGAGTGGGAGAATGTCGGGGTCGGACAAACAGCAAAGACATCACCTATTGAGAACATCTCTCTTGCTGTAGATGATTTGTCGGTAGCAAAACCAACACGAAAGAGGAAGCCGGGCCACGAAATCCAGAACATATCCAAAAGGCCAAAGGCGGGCCTGAAACAACCCAACCGAAGACCAAGGATCGTGGCAGAAGACATCCTTGATATGCTCAAAAACTATGACCAGTTCGCAGCAGGAAAGCAAACGGCACAGCTTGAAGCCTTGCCGGAAAGCACCGCAACCAAGGCCAAGGAGCAAGATGACTATATCAAGGCTCTCATTGTCAAATACCTTCGATAGGCATTGACAGTCACCCCTGTTCAGAACAGACAGATGGGTAATTGATAATGCTCCAAACATTTTGACATTTAAATCAATGCTTTTCTCATGCAGAAATCTGCCCCTATGCTCATTTCTTGAGTCGAGAACTCGGAGACACCATCCGTTTTTAAGATCAAGTACCGTCTAGCCGGTCCGCCTAAAGATGCGAGTATTTTATCGGCATACAATTATCTTGTAAATATTGGCTAACAGAACATAGGGAAACTTGCCTGACTCCTGAAGTAGATAATGATGAAGAGCTAGGCAATTTACGCTTTGTACTTGTAATGATAATTTGACTAATTAAACGTAGAGCTATGGTGACGCGATTCTTGGCCTGTTGGAGTTAGAACTAGAGCTAGGGTTAGAGGTGGAACTGGAACTAGATCAAGACGAGCAGCGGATCCTCGCTGTTAGGCGAGTGGACCGCTGCCGTTGGCAGCACCAGCTCTTCCGCAGCGGCGTGCAGGCATACCTAGTCCAGCGCGTGGCCGTGCACCTGCTGCGGTTGTCGGCAGGGGACTGCACCGAGGTTACATGGTGGCATCAATGGATGGGTCGAGACAGGTATCTGGCCACGTGGATGTCGGCGTCGTTTGTGGTGTACATGGTGCCGGCAGCAGCGTGGTACAGTAGGCCTTAAAGGGGGGCTTAATATCGCCAATTCCACCGTCATTACAATATAGGTAGGTATGTAGGTAGGTATGCATTATGAAAGAAAGACGGTACGAAAGGGGGACCATCACAGGCATGGAATAATAAAACAAATGATGCATCAGTTAAAAAAGCAAATGACGCCCTTTTGGCACACTGGCTGGCTGATTGACTGACTGACCGAGACCGCCCGTCCATCAAAGTGTGCCGTGCTTTTGCTGTCAATCTACCCACACATACATGCAATGCATGCACACTGTCCCGTGTTTATGCCTGCCTCTCTGTTTTTTACAGCCCCTTTCTCTTTCCATTCCGCCCGCTCACCACCCACTCGACTTCCACTTTCACCACCATCTCACACCAGCTGGCTACCTAGGTGTCTAGTAATGCCCCGCCGTCACCCCATTCTCGACGGCAGCCACCCCGTTAGTGCCCTGATGCGGCTGCGACGCCAGCAGCTCGTCGAGCTCGAGCTTGGTGCGGCGGTACAGGTCCTGGGCCTCGCGCTCGCGGGTGCTGACGAAGCCGACCTCGGCGCGCAGGGCTGCCAGCCGCCGCTTGATGGCGGCCTGCTCCGACGCCTGCAGCACCGTGAAGCCGGCCAGGGCGGAGCGGGCCGTTTCGAGCGCGTCGTGCGCCTCGCCCGTCTTCTGCCGCAGCCCCGCCGCCCGCTTCTTGTACCCGCCCAGGTGCAGGTTCAGCTTCTTCTCGAGCTTATTGCCCTTCTCAGCTGACTCGAGGATCGTGTCGATTGTTTCCTGCAGGACAGGGGCGGTTAGTTTCCATCAGCTCGGGGGGTAAGAGGAGGGACAGAATAACGTACCTCAAGTGCGGCTTGCATGGTGGCAAGCACTTGGCTATCACTTTCATCGTCGTCGTCGTCGTCATAGCACCCGAGACCAAGGAGAAGAGCATTCTTGTTTTTGCTGGCCTTCTCCCACGCCGCCTGTATCTGCTCAGACTGTGGCTGGTCTTTGCTGCTCTCCATAAGAATCTGCAGGCGGGCCTCGGCGAGCGCTGCGTCGTCGATGGTGGGTATATCAACGAATTTGCCGTGCGAGCCGTTTGCGGTAGGGGCACCGGGAAGCGGGTAGCGGGCGGCATCGTGGGCCACCAGGAGGGCGGCCTCGCGGGCAATGAGAGACTCAGCCGGGTCTGCTGACGCCTTTGACGACGAAGTAGCCTCCTGCACGAGAGCGTCGTAGTCAACGGCGACGGGCCGCGGCAGGTCCCGCTGCATGACCTGTGTGCGGCGTTTTCGCTCCAGCAGCTCGCGGGCCTCGCGCAACTCACGGTCACGGCGGTCTCGGATGGCAGCGTCCTCCTCAAGCTCCTCAGTCGTCTGCACCTCGGGCTGGTCGCCTTCTGGCAGCTCCAGCTCCCATTCGGTTTCCTTGGGCTTGGGCAGGCTGGCCAGCCCCTGCTTGAGCTGGTGGCGGATCGACAGCTCACGCATACGCGCATCGTTGGGCGTGCCGCCGACTATGGCCATGTCGGCATCACCGGAAGCGTTGAGCGCGAAGCTGTCGCGCGGCGTACGCAGCGGCGTCTGGCCAACGTGAAGAGGTGTAGCCCCAACTCCCGTAGCGCCCGACCGTAAGGGCGTGGCCAGCGGGTTTGGCGTCGACACGACCTGTCTGCGCGGCGCGACCGAGTCGAAGCCCGTCGAGCCGACACCTTCGTGGAGTGGGGTGTTTTCGCCACCCAGCAGTGAGGATGTTGTTTGTGTTAGAGCGCGAATATTCCGGATTTCGTTGGCGATGTGGTCCTCTTGGGCGGGCGCCATGGGCGTGCGGATGGGTGCTCCTGAGTTGAGTGTCGGGTAGCTCGTCACCAGCCCCCGGGTGGCATCGTTATCGCTCTCTCGGGCCAGCATGTTGGCCCGTTCGCCAATCATGCCCATCTTGACGATTTCCTCGAGCTCGCCGTCGCTCACCTGGGGGGCGGGCAGAGCCAGCGCCCGCCGCTTGCTGCTCTGCTCTGCCTCGCGCAGCTTTTGCAGCTGGCCGGCCTTAAGAGCAGCCTGCAGAGATGCCGAGGGCCCATCCTTGTCGTTCTTCCGGCGCTTACGGTCCGCGTCCTCGTCCGGCTCCCCTTTGCGCTTGTTCCCGACCTGGTGCTTCTTGGGATCGAAGTTGGCACGCTGGTACTCGTTGCGCGAAATTTCCTCATTCGTGTCGTAGAATCCCGGCACGGCCTTCTTCTCGAAGGGGATGTCGGCATTGTAGTCCATTTGCCCGGGCTTGCGCGTCGTCACCTTGATGTTGATGCCAGCCGTCTTGAGCTCGCGGCGCTTCTGCAGCGAGGCCAGCCGGCGCGACTCATCCTGCTGGCGCTCGCGGGCCTTCCGCTTGGCCTTTTTACCCTGTGTGTTGGCCAAACGGGCGCGCGCCTCGCTCAACATCTCCTTCTCGTCCTCGTCAAGATCGATGGTATCGGGGCGGGCTGGCTTGGTCTCGGGGTCGGGGTCGACCTCGCCGGGCCGCAGACGGCGGACGTCATCGGCAGAGGGCGCTTGGGCTTCGCCGCCGTCAGGGCCTGTGAGGCCGAGCGATGACTCTTCGTGCTGCTCGGCCTCGTCGAGAAGGCGCTGGTATCGCTCCAGACACTGGTTGGCGGTGCGGCCGACGATGGGGGCGATGGTGCGCCATTGCGTGGGCATCAGCTTGGCCAGGTGCAGCAGCTTCTCGTCCTCCTCCTTGCTCCATTCTGTTTTCTTGATCGTGGGGTCGAGCCATTCGTTCCATCGCGCCTTGCACTGCTTGGGCGTCTTGCGGGCGAGCAGCGACGAGACGCGCGCCCACTGGTTCAGGCCATACTTGCTAACCGACGCCTTGAGGATCTCATCCTCGATGTTGGTCCACACGCCCCCCTTGACCACGGGCATCGTGGCGGCCTTGGCGCGTGCTTCGGTTTGGGCGCGAGTGTGAGTGTCGTTGGGCGGGCGCTGCTTTCTGGTGTTGAGGGGGTTCGAGGTTCGGTTGTCGACGTCAAAAAATAATTTGGCGATGCTGAGCGCCTGGCACGTCTGCTGTAGTTTACCGTTGACTAGCCGCCTGCAAGTGGCGTAAGCCTGGGCGCAGAACTAGCTGCAGTTTAGAGTTGTCTGGCTGCCCCTGATTGGCCAGCGGACTTGAGCCCGAGCTTTCCCAACCCCTGCAGATCGCGTCGCCGTGGGCGCGGCTGGTCGCAACCTGAGCCATCCCTCCGGCCTTGATCCATCCATCCATCGGCCAGTACTTGAAGGAGCGAATCTCTTCAAATCGGCTTCCGATGCACCAGTGATACCGCCGTTCTTGTCAGGCTAGATTAGCATACAAGTGTTCACACGTCGCAGAAATGCGCGTTTGAGGCGGACGTTCAATTGCCGTGGGTAGGTACCGATTCGCTGCAGTTTGCTTGGAGCTGTTCCAAAGTCCAATCGGCCTCAAGGTCACAGCCAGCGCATCCGGAACACTGCAGTGGCCCTCATTTTCCGTCCCTTCTCTCTGCACTGACGCACCAAAAGACAAGGACCTGCGCTTAGCTTGGATCTTCTGAAAGAAAGTTTGAGCTTGCGCCAGTATCTGCTCACCTGCAATGGCAACCACGACGGCATCCCCTCAGAGGGATCTCACGCCTTCAGGCCTGGCGTTCTCCTCGGCCATCCCGCAGAAGCGCATCCTCGAAGACGACCACACCCCGGCCGTCCCGTCGCCCCTCAACCCCGAAGTCAAGCCCGTTCCAAAAGTTCAAGTCCAAGCCCCCGACGACGGCTCCGCCATGCGTGAGAAGCGCACCAAGAAGGACTCGCTCAAAAAGCGAGAGGCCAAGGGCGGCGCTGGCGGCCTCGACAGCTCGAGGGTGACACCCGATCCCAAGCACCCGCAACATCAGCAGCCCAAAGACACCCCCCCAGGCGAATTAGCGCCTATGCGCTATAAGCTGGCACCGCCAAAGCCGTCCGATTTCGAGCAGTCGCGCGGCCCCGTTTTCCAGAGCCACCACGAGGTGCAGGATCCTGACGATAGGACCATCGAGTTCTTCGAGACCTCTGAACAGTAAGTTCCCATCAGTCGCGCCGGTAGTAGACGACAGGCGCGTTCTAATTCACATGTTCCATGGCAGTGTCTACAACAAGAAGAACTTCCACTACACCCACTGCATCGCCGACCCTGCCTTCCCGTCCATGTTCTACTACCGCCAGACCGAGCCCGCACCCTATGGCGCCCACTTGAATGTCGAGGACGCCGCGGCGCATATGTACTTTGACAAGGCCGGCACGCATGCCACCTCCGATAAAGGCTTCAGGATGACGCGCGCCAACGTCTCGGTACGGGAAGGGCGCTGGTACTGGGAGTGCCGAGTGACGCGGGGCCTCCTGAAGGAGCGCGCTGCGGGCGACCCGGAGTCGCACGGCCATATCCGTGTTGGGTGGGCACGGAGGGAGGCATCGCTGGACGCCCCGGTGGGGTTCGATGCCTACAGCTACGGGATACGCGATGTGGCTGGCCAGAAAGTTCACATGTCGCGACCCAGGGACTTCTTCCCCCCGGGGGAGGACCTGCGTGAAGGCGACGTGATCGGGCTCGAGATCCAGCTGCCCTCGGAGCAGCTCCACCGCAAGGTCGTGCAGGGCCAGTACAACCCGGCCGTCGACCTGGCCGAGGACGAGTACGCACGCAGCGGCGGGGCAGCGCGAGGCGCCGTCGAGCCCGCGCCAAACATCATCCGCGACCGCATCCCCATCCGATTCAAGGCACACATTTACTTCGAGAAGATTGACTACCACACCACCAAGGAGCTTGACGACCTCATGAACCCGTCACCCATGAACTCGTCTGGAACCAACGGCTCCTCGGAAACCCCCAACCCTCACCACCCGATCCCGTCGCTACGCACCCTGCCCAACTCACACATCAAAGTCTACAAGAACGGCGTGCTAATGGGAACGCCATGGACAGACCTGCTGGCCTTCCTCCCGCCCGCGTCCAAACTCTTGCAGCAGCCCGGCGGACGCGAGTGTCTTGACGACGGGTCGCTAGGGTACTACCCAGCCGTGAGCGTGTTTCGCGGGGGCGCGGTCGAGGTGAATTTCGGGCCGCACTTCTGGTACCCGCCACCAGGCCTCGAACTGCCGCTCGACGACGTCGACATGCTAGATGTCGGGGCGCTGGAGCTGCCGCCTGCGCCTGTGTCTGGGTCTGGACCCCAGCCGCCGCCAGGGAACCTCGTGTCGCTGCCGCCGTCGGCCAAGCTGCGGCCTGTCGGCGAGCGCTACGACGACCAGATCGTCGAGGATATTGTCTACGACATCATCGACGAGGTCGGCTTCTGGATGCAGGACGGCTGCAAAACCGTGGTGGACCGCTCCGGCAAGGACGGCAAGGCGGGCGAGGCCGTCGGCGTAGGCGTGCTGCCCGGCGGGCGGGAGGAGATTAAGGAACTCGTGCAGGATGATTGAGACAGGACCGAAATATTGCTGGTTGGCAGTTTTGGAGGCACGGACGCGCGCGGGGTGGCAGAGGACGGCCGGTCCTTGGCATAGGATCATTGATACCCATTATGGAGACGAAAAGAAAACGAAGAAAGATATATCAAATAGAGCAGCGCATGGCAGCGAGAAGCAGCAGCCCAGAGAAACAAAGTCTAACACCTGGAAAGCCTCTTCTGGGCCAGTCTATCCGTCAAGACCGTGTTGGTCTGGTATCTTGCATACCACAGCATAGACAAACGTGTTTAATAGTCCGAACGATACGGATATTCTTTTGTTAAAGCATAGCGTATTACTATTATTATCTATGGAGAAATCACAAAACCCTGGATTACGACGGACGACTGAAGAAGCTTGGCTCGTCAAGCGCCATTGATCAAAGAGAAAGAAATCTCCGAGGTAGAAAATGAAGTGAAAAAAATAGCAGGAAAAAAAAGCTGGGGTATCGTTATTCGTCCTATCCTGTCCTGTCCCGTCCTGTCCCTCATCATCTGTCATCCGTAATCTCGTCCCATTGCAACTAGCTTCCGCTCCAATTTTCGGCACACACACACACACAAACTACTCTCCCGTGGCTACTTTTTGCCTGCCTTGGCGAGCTTGGGTGATGCAACAGCAGCGGGCTCTGGGGATGCCGGCGTAGTGAAGATGGCCGGTGTCCCGCTGGGCGGCGCGGGCAGCGCGGGGTCGTCGGGCAGCTCCTCGATGCGGCTGGCGCCGTCGATGGTGCCGGTGGCCAGGTCGGCGTCAGACTTCTCCCGGTCGAGGCGCACCTCGCGGCCGCGCTTGTGGCAGTACCACAAGACGAACAGTAGCAGGAACAGCGCGACGCTCCAGATAACGTTGGTGCCGATGAAGGCCGGCCACCGCAGCTTGAGCGCGTTCATGATGCCCTTAAGCATGCTAACGACGGCGCCCGGCTTCGTCACCAGGTCCATCAGGTTCTTGGGATGCAGCAGGCGCTTGGCCGCACCCTTGATGCCCCCGTCGCTCTTGGACTCCACGCCCTGCGCCTCGGCCGCCACCGCCAGCAGCTCCGGTGCCAGCGACGACGTCAGCTTGTCCGGCAGCTGCATCACTAGCTTCTTGAGCGACTTGGGCAGCTTCTCGTACTGCTTCGCGATGGCCCCGTCGCGGTCCTGTACTAGTGCTGCTAGGTCGCGCCCCGCCGTCGGCACCCCGTTGACCAGGTCTTTGAGGACAAGCGTGAACTTGCCCACCAGTTCCGAAGAGTCGGCGCTGAGCGAAAAGGCCTTGTTATTGCGCGCCGCCAGGTTCAGGTCGTCCAGCACCCGCGACAAGTCGTCACGCTCGCGGTCGACTTCGGGCACCGGGACGGCTAGCTGGTTGTTGTTGTTGCTGCTCGAGAAGCGCTGCTTGGCGGCGAACGTCGCGCCATCTTTGCGCCGGCGGATTGATAGCGAGAGCCGGTTGAGCACGTTCTTGTTTTCTTTGCCCTTAGCGGCGGTAGACGTAGCGGAATCGGTGGCAGGCTTGAAGCTCTCGCTGTCGCTATCCCACGTCAGGTCGGGCGTCTTGACGCGCGGCGGCAGGGGGGGCCGCGATCCTACGTCGTCGTCACTGTAGTTGTCGGCCGACGACGTCGTCAGGCGCTCGAGGAATTGGGCGTCGTCATCGCCGAGCAGCTGGGCCGGGGTTGCAGTGCCGCCGACTTTGGGGCTCAGGCTCGGGCTGGCGGCGGTGGCATTGGCCCCGCCTTCGTCCTGCTTGGCCTTTTCCTTCTCCGCCTTGTTCTTCTTGTATTTCTTGTAGGCAAAAATCTCGAGCATAGTTGCGGTTTCTGTTTCTGTCAAAGAACCGAGAGGCGGCGGTCCTTGCAGACTTCTGTGAGCAGGTTGAACTGGAAGGCAATCAAGTTGGAAGTGGGGGCGAGCGGTGAGGACTGAGGCCGCGCCAATGATGAATTTAAGGTACGGTTACTAGTAGGGCAGGAGGCCCCCCGCCACTCGCGACTGCGCCTTCTCCTTAACGCTGGCTTTCAGCTGGCGTTTCACCAGTGGTCATTTGCGCTATTAATCTACTCCGTAGCCCGACTGTGCAGATAGTTGGCCATCTTTCAGCGGCAGCCAACAATCTTGGCCCAAGTTTGCCGACTTTCCTGACCAATTCCCAAGCTTGCGCCACACTTTTGCTGCACCGCCACATCCGGTGACGTCACTTTTCCTTGCGGACCTCGTTCCAGATCTCAGCCAACGCGCTGATCGTTGGGTATCATGATCCGTGCAAAGCTGCTTTTACAACGGAAAGCGCCAGTAAAACTATTCTTAAAAATCGATACAAAAGTACTCTGTATTGGATAACCGTATCCTGATTAATCCTCTGCTTCGTCGTCCTCTGCAACCCGTTCGCTCTGTCTCCCGCCGCGGCGGCCGCGGCGTCCCTTCTGGAAGGCCGATCTCGACGTCACGGCTCGCTCGCCCACAAAGTGCTTGCCGTCCCACTCGGTGTGGCACTTAGGGCACTTCTTGTCCTTGTGCAAGCGCCAGAAGGCGTCGGTGCAAATGTCGTGGAGACGCACCGTGCAGTCGCGCTCGGAGCAGCGCTGCCCGTAGGTCAGGATCTCCTTGCAGGCCTCGCAGAACTTGATGCGCTGCCACTCCTCGTCCGAGTCCGGGTCGTTGTACGTAGCCATGAGCCAGCTCATTAGCTCCATGAGGGACTTGGGGCTAAGGCCGTAGAAACCGCCATGGCTCTTCTCCAGCCAGCCCGAGGCCACCAGGTTCGACAGCAGCGCCAGCACCTCGGAGTGCTTGAGTCCGCGGTCCTGTGGTGCTGCGGACGAGCCCTCGCCCGCGTCGTCGCCGTCGCCGCCCCCGTCGGCGTGCCCTGCTGCCGTGCTCCCGCGCCGCGGCGGCCGCGACACTTTAAGCGCTTGTGCTTCGTCGATTGCCATCACCTCCATGCGTGGTGTGTTATACTCGTCGAACATGGCGTCGAGCAACCGCTTGAAGCAGGCCACCTCTTCTGGGGTCAGTGTCGTGGCTATCTGTGTTGACGGGTCGCTGTGGGCATTGATGAAGGCCCACACACGCTCGCCGCCCGATTGATGCTTCATGCTAAGAATGTCATAGTCGAGTGTTGACACAGCTTCTCGAGCTGTCCGCACGTAGTTCTCGAAGTCGGCCATTGTAATTGACCGCACATCCACGTGCTGCCCGTTGGCGACCGCCTTGATCTCGGCCAATATCTTTTGTGCTTCAGGGAAGGTCAGGGTGCCCCGGGCCATGAATGCCTGTATGAACGCGCGGTTGGTGTCGTTATACCCGGCAGGTAACGGGGGCTCCCACTCGTCGTCCATGTTGGAGTTTTCTCGCTTGTCGTTCTTTCTTGTAGGAGTACCATAAGATGTAAAGTTGAAGAGGGGATGAGGCTAGTTGGTAGTTGGTTTTGAAAGTTCGGGTTGTGAAAAGGCACACGGGAGCGGGAAGAGGCAAACGACGCGACGCGTTTTGGCAAGGCTCCGAGGACTTTATTCGCGTTGCGGGGCAATTACAATGCTTGGGGCTTGAGTGGAAGGCGGACTGCCCACTGGGCATTCTGGGGCAGGAGACAGGCGGCTCGCTTAACGTTCCGAGGTTTGCTCCTTCCTCACCTGAGGCTGCAGCGATTGCCGGCTACCGAAAAGGAACCTATACTCCAACCCCTGAATGTTTGTTAGTAGGGGACTTTCCAAGATTTGAAAGGCCTCGTTTTTTTACGGCTCGCCCTGTAGGTTTTCCGCCGACGGGGGTAATAACTATTAGAATCCCTATTCTAGAATCCCAGAGACCTATCTCTTCTCTAAAAGTACCTATTAAAGGCCATTTCTGCCGGTTTATTTGCGACAATCCTCTCCTTGTTCCCTGGTACCACGCCAAAAAAACATTCAGGGATTAGAGTGCACACTCCGAGTGGCAAAAGCTAGCACCGGCGGTAGGTCCGCCTTTTGACTTGCGCTATCGATTTCCCCAGGAGCCGAAGACATAGCCTCTCCACAGTCCACTTTCCCTTTCCTCACACAAAGACACGATGCGATGCGACGCGGCCGAAGATAGATTCAGCCCACGACGCAACAGGAAAGGCTCCAACCTCGAAGTGCTTCATGGGGCCGGGCTTCACTCCCGTTTCTGTGCCTCCAGGTCGCGGTTGGTGTCGAGTTTCGAGGTCGGCCAGTCTGGATTTCGCACCTTCTGCAGCGAGGGCATGACGATTCTCGTCAAGATGGTGTGGTGGATACAAGGGTGCTTCAGCTTTGCGTGTTCAATCCAACTCGAGAAATTTGATCGCCTAATTCGGAGGAGCTGCAGTATTTGACCATTTAGAGTAGTGTCAAGGTTGTGAGTGAATGCACGATGCGGCCCCCTCACTTCTGTCGAGATCAACATGGCGACCAACGGTTCCATCCCGTGGTTGCTGATGCTCTCCCGGATGCTTCGCCGGGCCCAGGTGCTACCCGCTCGCCGATCTGGTCCTGGATCTAGATTGCAGATTGGTTGCGTCCTGCGAGAGAAAGAGGCTCTTTCCAGCTGGATCTTAGCCAGGGTCACATCCGCCATGCCTGCGAAGTTGCAGCGAGCGGAGGTTGCGACACATCCGGAAGAGCAGAGCTAGGCGAATGCGTTTCAAGCCTGTCTGTCTAAGCTCTGCCGCTAAATTACGACACTACTTATGTACGTCGGCCTCTTGCCACGTGCGAGATATCTCCTAGTGGAGACAGGAGACGGCTTCGGGTGACATCGAGGCCGGTGGGCTGCCAGAGCTAGGACAGTCCAGGCTTGTCGTCAACCCCCTCGAGCCTCGGTGCGGTCAAGTTGTGTGTGCTCAGGCCTCGCCCTATCTCCTTTTGTCCAAGGCCCACCAGCCGTAGCTGTGTCTAGTTCGAGAGGGGGCGGAGATGTCCCATGAGTTCCTGCCTGCGCAAACCACTCGCCTCTCTAGCGTCCCCGGTTTTTAAATCTTTTGTGCCTGCATCTGCATGGCCCAGCCCCATCCTGTCCCACTTTTCCGCTCGAACCAAGCCGTAGCAAACATCTACAGTCCCCCTCTCCCCAGCCCGAAACTACCCCTCGGGGCCATCCTGCCGGTAACATGTTTAAGTATTGCCCTGCCGCCCTTGTGCCGCCCCGTTTTCCCCGTCTATTGTATCCCCTGAAGACACCAATACCACCATGGGTGCCCAGCTGCCCTCGGAAGCTGTCGGACAGGCCGCCGGCATCCTCGTTTACAGCTTCGTTTGTTTGGCCTGTAGCCTCTTCTTGGTCTGGCTGGTATGGATTCACAACGAGCGGAAGAGCTGTAAGTGAACCCGCATTTGTCACTCCCCTAATATCATGCTGATAGGTTCTAGATGTTGCCATGCTTGGATTCTTCATGTCCCTCAGCGCCCTGGCATCGATCGTCCAGCAGATACATACCATAGTGTCTTGGAGGGATGTCAAGACGGATCAGCACGAGAATATGCTGGCAAACGTAGGGAATCCGGAGCTCCACGTCACTGGCGCCTCTACTGGGTTCGACCGCATCCTCTTCTACATCCGTACGTCTCCTTTGCCTTGCAGTTCCTGTCATGTTCTAACCGGTAGCTCAGAATATTATACGTACAACGTCGACGCCCTGCTCGTGCTCTGCTGGTCCGTCGAGCTTGCATATTCCATCTACCAGTTACGGAGTAGTAGGCTTTCCCGATTCCACGGTAGTATAGTGGCCAAATCGGCGGCTGTGGTTCTGCCCGCCCTCCAGATTGTTCTCCTTCGACTCTGTGGTGGCGTCCAGAAAAGCACAGCTGGCTTCATTATCTTGGCCGACTTTATCAGTACGCACCCACTCCCAACTAGTGGGTGCCCCCTGCTAACATGCCCAGTGATCACAAGTTTCGCTGTCGGGAGTCTTCTCTTGCTCGCCATTCTCGGCAAATATGTGCACACAAAACTTGCTCTGCTTTCATGGACTGTACGGTACGGCCGGCCATCCCAGAGCACAGACGATGGCAGCGCAATGGCGAGCAATGGCGGCCAAGCAAGGCCTGCGCGGCGCACGAACATATACGACAGGTGGCTCGTCATTCGCTTCACGTTAGCCTTTGTTGCTCTCAGGTGAGACCTCGCGCTACATCTCGACGTTTTGAGCTAACGATGGTGTCTAGTCTCTTCGAGCTTGTCGTCATTGTGTTTCAGCTGCGCGCCGCCAGCAACAACAACCGGGCGAACATCCCAAAGGAGCCAGACCTGAGCGCTGCCAAAGCCCAGTCCGACTTTGCTCTCTTCGTGCCGGGCCCAAGCGCAAACCTCCTGACCTTTGTCGTGTTTGGTACGACCCGCACGTTTCGCGACTACATGTGGACGCTCTTCACTCCCAAACAGGTGCAAGAAAAGCGCTTGGCGAGGAGGAGGGCCAGGGAATCGGCCTCCCGGAACAACGCCATCCCCGCCAGCCTCACTCGCCAGGACGTAGAGGCGGGAGGCGGTGGAATCAAGCTCCAGAAACTCGACCAAGGGGAAGAGACACAGCTGAGAGGGAAGCACGACGACGATGAGTGGCCCATAATACTAAAATCGCCGTCACCGGCACTGTCGTCGGTCTCGAATTATAGATGAAGATTTCTCAGAGGGGGAGGAAGGTGCTTTGAAGGCATCCACGTTATTATGCGGGGCAGCGTAGCGGCAACCCCCTAATGGCTGAAGAATGTAATTACCATCTAGACACGACGCATATGAAGGAGTAATAAACGAATAATACCCCTTCTTAAACACATCGAGTTCATGTCCCCTGATGTCAAGACTGGTATGTTGTGGCTTAAATCAGAGCCCTTACTCTATGCCCCGATATGATATCAATAGTATCGAGGGAGGAGCAATAATAAGCCGGCGGTGATTTTATTCGTCAACCCCCCCGCCCCCGTTTCGTATGATCTTTCTTTCATAATTCATGCCTGGCTAGGTGGAGGATAAAAGGCACGCCTTGAAGGGTGGCTTAATATCGCGGATTCCACTGTCACTATCTGCTAGGTGTTCCAACCCGACATATACACCGATGTACTAGTATGTATGAAGCTACCCGACTATATTCCCCCGTGTATCTCTGCGTTTCCGTGCGTGTATTGTCATGACAAAATCATCATCACTCATACCCGTCCCGGCCTTCACTTCTTGATGCCCAGCCTGGGCAGCCTGACCTGCACCAGCAACAACAAACACACGACGGCCAGCAGCGTGCAGCCGAAGAACGTCAGGCGCAGCGAGGCTTGGTAGCTGTGGACGGCCTGGTCGCGATAGACAGGATCCAAGTCGCGGATGGCCTCGACGGACCGGCGCACGAGGGCGACGACTACGGCCTTGTCAGGGCCGTCCTCGACGAAGCGCTCGAGGTAGTGCCACAGGGCGTTCTGCAGAACTAGCGATGTGCAGGCGACGCCGACGACGGTGCCGAGGCTGCGCCACAGGATCAGCGAGCTCGTGACGACGGCCTGGTCGTCCCGGTCCGACACGGCCAGGATTGCCATGAAGGTGCCGGGGAACAGGAACCCCTGGCCCGCCGCCGACGGGACCAGGCACAGCAGGTACAGCGCCACGGGCCAGCCGCGCTGCATTGATGATAGGCACAGTGTGCCGACGACGATCAGCCCGGCGCCGAGCACCAGCGGCCATTTGAGGCGGCGCGTGTACGTGATCAGGAACCCCGTAGCCACGCCGGCCGTTGACGCCACGGCCGACGACACGACCAGGCTGAGGCCCGACTCGGTGGCGCTCGTCAGGAGCACGGCCTGGAAGAAGATGGGGCTGGCAAGAGGGAGAGGATTCAGTCAGCAGGGTTCAGTGAGGCAGGCCGTAACGGATTGAGATGCAGGACGCGGATGCCTTACACGTTAAAGTTGATGCCGTTAGCTATGAAGGCGCCGATGAAGTTAGAGAAGATAAGATTCCTGAACGGGGCCTTGAGAATCAGGCGCATGGGCATGATGGGTTTGAAGGCGTGGGTCTCGACGTAGAGTAACAGGGGGAACAAGACGACAAAGACGGCGAGCGAGCCGATGACGAAGCGGTCGGACCCTAACAAGACTAGATTTAGCATGGGGGTTATTCCGAAAAAGACACTATTGACTTTGACCATGCCACTTACATGGGAAGACATTCCCACCGAGGGTCTAGATCTCAGTTAGCCAGTGTGTCACCCTTCTCCATCTACACTTCACCATCAGACAAAAAAGGGGGGAGGGGAGGACGTACCAAGCCAAGGATGAGAAACGTCACCGAAGTCGACAAGAGAGCTGAGCCCGTAAAGTCGAACCGCTTCATGGCCTCGACGATGTCCTGCTTGGGCTTGTTGTACAGGCCAATGTTGGCGGGGATGGTGAAGACGCAAATAACGAACAAGACGGCAAGCAGGGGCACCTGGCAGCCGAATTCCCATCGCCAGCCCAGGTAGTCGGCCATGACACCTCCGAGGCCGGCCCCGAGCATGGCGCCCACGCCGTAGGCCATGTTGATGTACGACTGGAAGGCGCCACGGATTCTGTCTCGTTTCCTCAGGTCAGACGACGGCTCTCGCTGTCATGTCAAGATATATGTAGATAGACGCAGGAACGAAACAAAAGAAAAAGGGGGGGAGGGGTTAGGGATACTATTAGAGAACCAAAAAGAGTGAGAGGACATACTCGATCGGCACCATATCGCTAACCATGATACTCCCCAGCGCCATCTGGCCGCCAGCACCGAAACCACAAACGGCACGCGCGACAATAAAGCTCGTCATACTCCCAGCAAGAGCACACCACAGAGTACCAACAAGGAAGACGCCGGTAGTCACAATGAAGGGGATCTTACGACCAACAACATCAGACAAACTGCCGAGCAGGGGCTGGAAGCTGGTCGAGGTCAGCAGGAAGGCCGTCGACAGCCATGAGGCCGTGTTGCTGCTGCCAAAGTAGGACGTGATGACGGGGTGGCTCGACGCCATGATAGTGCCGTCGAAGCACGCGACAAAGTATATCACCTCGATCTGCACAAAGATGACCCAGAAGCGCGCCCGCGAGATGCCGCCGAGATAGGGGTTGCTGCTGCTGCTGCTGCTGCTGCTGCTGCTGCTGCTGTCGCTCTTGACGCTGGTCCCGTGGGCCGAGCCGGAGTCAGCGTCAGAGTCGTCGGCGTTGGCGTCGGCCTCGGCGTCGGCCTCGGCGTTGGCGGCGCCTGCTGAGGCGGCCGGCGTCAAGAGGAGAGGCGTCTCCTCGTCGGGCCGTCTTTCACTCTCACTCGCAACAGCACGCACGCCCGGAGAGTGCAGGGGTCCGGGACTGTAGGGACTGACAGCAGAGTCTCGCCGGCGTTGGCTACGTGTGCGTGCGTGGGCGCGGCTGCGGCTGTGTGTCCGCGTGTTGCGCAGCATGCTGTACTCGACCGACTCGGACTCGAGCATCACGGGCCCGGCGGACTGCACGGAGCGTGAGAGCAGCAGATCGAACTCGTTGGGGGCCATGTCCTCGCCGTCGCTAGACTCGCCGTTGCTAGACCCGCCGTCGGTGGATTCATGGTCGTTCCGGCGTCTCGGCCGGGCAGCCGGGATCGCGGCGGGCCCGGGTCCCGAGATGGGCTTCGGGCTTGACTGGGACGCCATTGGCTCTTCTTTCTCCCGGTCTCGTCGCAGCGTGTTTGGTTTGCAGTCTCAAGATCCAGTAGAAAAGAGACGGCGGCCGGGGCTAGGTGAGTCGGTACCTAGCCCCGACTGGTGCGGAACTGGGCCCCATTTCTAGGCCGGCGAGCCAACAGGCTGCAACCCTTGTCTCAGATATTTACTCGACTCGCTCTCGTATGAGCTTACTTACCCGTCCCCGCCTGGGGAGGAGCTGCTAGCTGCAATGTCGCCATCCGCCGTGGGAGCCATGGTTCATGGTGGTTGCAGTTGTGGCTGCCGGGGAAGCGCGGATGACTCCTTCGGCAAGCAACCTCGTCCAGAGCTATCACCGATTCGGCCACAGCAGTTTTGGAGACCTGCAGCCATCTCCTCATTGATTATCCCCAAGCCCGTTAGAAAGCCCGCGAACAATGGCTCGCGAATCACCGCAGTCATTATATAAATCAGCACCGCTGGCGGTCCGCTGCGGCTTGTAGATGATTTATATTGATGGTCGATCCCTCCCGGTCATCTCATATGTGACATGGCGCCTATTTCGTCAAACGTCACACAGCTGCCCCAGGGCAAACTACTAGGAGGACATGAACGAACGATAACGCAATTGCAGGGTTGGAGAATCCTTTGCCTCGCCCCGCAGAGCCATTGATAATGAGATTGGGGTGCATCTTCCGGTTAACGCCGATTACGGGGCGGAAGTCGATGGTATGGCCGATTCTCGGTCGAGGCTGCCAGTCTCACCCCATCTGTACCAAGGGCAACCAAGGCTCGTATCTATGCATGAAGCCTCCCTCGACGTCTAGACCACCGTTGGTGCCAACTCTCGTCTCATCCAGCAGCCAGTTCTAGTTCTAGACTCCCAGGCATGCGTCTCTAGACCAAACACGCCCCCAACGCCGAGCCTTCCTGGCGATTTACCCCGGCTTGCCGTAAACAGCATGCGCTGATGCAACTCCAATGAAGCTCAAGTGCTGGTGCTTGCCAGAGCTGACGGCACCAAAATCCCTGCCCCCGTGATTCCGCCGTCGTGGCAGGGGCTTAAAGAGATGCGAACGGGAGCCTGTCCACCAAACCTAATGTCCAATATTTCATCGATAAATCTCTGCGCATCAGCCAGATAGTTCTGAAAGTACTGTATGCAGCCCCCAGTATAGCCGACTACCAGCTCAGTAATTATACCGGGCCCCCATGCTGGCCCCTCTGGTATCTCTTCCGCACACTGGAGAAGCCCAACAGTCGAAGCGGCGACGATGCCAGCTGCTCGCACTTCGATCGCATGCGAGATACGGTATAGGGCATTGGCTAGGTGTGGTGTCCACTGGAACGAGTGGGGATCATCTCCCTCCGGGAACTCGCACATGAGCTGAACCACGGTACTTCCTTCGGGGCTCACAGGGTGGAAGTGGCTGATGAAGGTTGTCGTCAGACCGAACCTCTGACGCAGCTTCTTTGGTAAGGCCTCGATGGGTTGACCCAGCGCTTGGATGTAGTCGAGAAAGATAAGGCGTGCAAGCTCGCCAAGGTATCGGCCAGCCGTCATATACTCGAGAGGTTGAAAGCCGGGAGCTTCGCCTGATTGATCGAGCTCCTCGTCCCAGCGGCTGATGAGACCAAACCGGCGCAAGGGTGGCGCTGACCCATTGATACTCCACTCTGTGTTGACTGCGATCTTGACGTCTGCCGCGTCCTGGCCAGGCAGAACACTGATGGAGGCGGGCCGCTTGCTCGGGTGGAGGCTGCTCAGCTTCAGTGGTATGGTAGCGTTGCAGCCAGTGCCAACTATAAGACCCATGGCGGCTTTCTGGTAAACCATTGCTGGATACTGGTATTTGAAAGACACGAGGGTGGACACGGCATCGTTGGAGATGGCTGCGATCTTAATGGGTGGGACCTCGGCCGTCCGGTGCTTCTCATAGCCCCTAATCAGATGACCACCAAGATCTAGGTTAGATGTGATAGCAAAACCCTTTCCCATGGCCATAAGCGTTGCTTCGGACAAGGAGCTCTGTTTCATTGGAAAGCTGAACGTGACGCCCATGGGTAATGCGTCCACGGGAGAAAGACCAAAGGCTGTACATCCTTTGCGCACCACCTCAACGATCCGGTGGCCAATCCATGCGAACAGGCTATCCGAGTTCTCGTTTTTGAGGTGATCTTGAATGGGCCATGAGCGCTCCAAGAGGCGTTCTAGTTGTCTAGGATGCGAGTCCTCCTTGACCCGGCCATTAGCCTGAGATCCCGCTGCCGATCCGGTATCTACCGAGGAAGCATTGTCGTAGCTGCCGAACAGCTCAACGAAGGCAACCCGCAGGTTCGTGCCACCACTTGCTGCGAGATCAGGAAGCAGTTCTTGAGGTAATGACTCGGGATTGGTTCTCTTACATGTCTATAGCAAGAAAGCTGAGCAGCGCCGTCGAGTCAGCATCGCGTTTCCAAGCGGCAGCAGTGTCGAGGCGGCCCATGCAAGATCCTCCCGAACTGCATGATCTGCAGCCGGCTCGCAGCACGGCTACTAGACAAGTTTCCGAGCGGGAACAGTGGAGATGCCGACTTACCGGCCTTGATCGCCTCCTGTTGGGGGCGTCAGGATGGACTCGGAGATGGGGGTCGGCAAGAACTGCTCCAACGAGTTCGCCGACAAACTCCGGAATGTGGATGCCAGCTCTCGCGAGAGCCCTTCGATGAGATGAGAATTGACCTCCAGCGGCTTCAGAAATTCGTCGAGGGTGGGGACGGTGGTTGGCGCCATTGCCGGTCAACGCTTACTCGGGCCAGGACAGGGCCAGGAAGGCAGGCAGGACCACAGTGTCAGATATATCCAGTAATGACTCTGTAGTAGGAAAGTCCGATGTTGTGGTCGCTGCTGTATTCGCCGCGCTTCGCACTCATATCATGATCGGTAGACTAGGTATAAAACAGGCAAGGAAGGCGCATGCTAAAGAGCTGCTGGGGGGGGGGGGTTGTTGGTCACACGCAATAGATAAAAGATCAGATGCAGTGGCGTGCTTAGTTAGAGACTCTTGGAAAGAATCGCCAGTCTAGGAAAGAGCAGTCGCAGTCGAAGTTGCCAGTTTCCGTCTTTTGGTCTGATTTGGTCTGGTTGGCTTTCAATCTCAACAGATGTCACGTATCATCACGAAGGGTCACCCAGTCAAAGGGAGGACGGACGGGCCACAGGGAAAGAGCAGGTCTGTCTCACTGGTGGGTCGCAGCGTGTTTGGGTGCCTCCTGCCCTTCCGCCGCTGATGCCAGCGGCATTAGCGGGTGATCACCGCTCCTCCCTAGCCGGCCCCAAAACGCCGTGCCCCACGATACCGAACGAAAGAAACAATCAGGAGGGCGATGTGACGCAAATTGCGTGACGACGCGCCATTTCCATTTCAATGTATGCGCGACATGCGAGGCTACCCTAGAATATGGGAGCCGACCCCTAGACAACCGAGAGCTCTATAGAATTTTGTTCGTTTTGTGTAGAGAGCAATACCGCAGCGCGCCGCCATTGGTGATTACCCTCCTAGCGAGCCCCAGCCGCAGTGCGGGCGAGTTTGCGCCATCGCGGGAGATATCTTTGTAGCCCGGGCTTTTAATACCCCAACCGCGCCCAGCTGATGTGGGGTAAAGATGGATGGTGCCGAAGAGTGGAGGACGACCTTTTTGTTTCTATTCAGGAGAATTCCATCGATTCAATGGCGAAGGGAAAGTTTGTAGTCAACTAGGAAGAGACTGGCAATGGAAAATTACCTAACTGATGCATCGCTCGTTGGGCTATAATTTTAGGCTATAATTTCAAGGTACTGAGCTGTATTAGCGTGTTAGTGTAATGCAATACTAGACCCGTATTACACGACGTTTCCGGTAATGGAGGTTAACCTGACAAGGCTCGGTTGGAGGTCGGCACATGGGCCAACGCCTTTCGCGAGGACAACGACGCCATCGCAGAGCAAACCAAAACAACAAGCGAACGAACGAAACAATCCTCGTCGCAGCTCGCCGCAGCTCGCCGCAAAACCCCACCCTGACCATCGATCTTGACAGCACATCTTTGCGCCCAGCAAACGCATAACAGCCCGTTACTTAGCAGCAAATATTATAGTAGCGAACCGAAACCAAACAAGACCACAGCCGGCGATGGACGAGAAGCACCCGCAGCAGCCGCAGAAGCAACAGCAGCAGCAGCAAGCGCGCTCCATGACACCACTCGTCCGCCGGCGGCCCCTGTTGGCCGCGTGTCTCATTATCTGGAGTTTAATGGCATACGGCTGCTACTGGGGTTGGACGCAGCCGCACGTGGTGGACATACTCCCGCTCCAACCAGCTGGAGACTATCTGGTCTCGCTAGAGGCGCACATTATGAGCAAGTGCCCGGACGCGAGGGTAAAGTTTCTCCCCTGTCTTGAACATGTCGTTGTTGTTGCAAGCATGTCATTCTGACGTTGGCCGTGTCTCCTCTTTTATAGGATTGCTTGGAGCAGCTCATCCTACCCGCGATGGAGCAGGTCGCTGACCTCGTCAACTTCACCCTGTCGTTTATCGGAACGTAGGTCGAGACGCTTTCTTTCCTTTGCATAACCTTTCTTGCAAGACCCCAGAGTCTAGCCGACTGACGCGCTTTGCCTTTCTATCTAGACCTACAGAGCACAATGATGGCGTTGCCTGCATGCACGGTCCTGCAGAGTGTAAGTCGCGACTATGTTTACCGATCGACGCCACCCCCCTAGCCCGCTTCAAGTTGCCAGGAGCTGATTTTGTGTCTGTGTGCTTGCAGGCCTCGGAAACATCATCGAGCTCTGCGCCCAGAAGCTTTACCCGGACCCGAAGACGTTCCTCGGCTTCACCATGTGCATGTCGAAGGACTACCCCCAGATTCCGCAGCGGAGCCTGATAGAAGACTGCGCGCTGGAGCACGCTATCGACTTTGAGGCGCTCAACAAGTGCGCGAGCGACGACCTCGACGGGACGGGGGCTAGCTTGCTCAGGGACAGCGTGAAGAGGAGCGCAGAGGTAAGCAGGCAGACGAAATGTTTTTGTCCACGCAGAGTGGGCGGGATATGTCTATCTCGGAATAAGCTAATCGGGATTTTTAAAACATAGGCGGGCGTCACTATGAGCTGCACAGTCCGGCTTGACGAAAAAATCTACTGCATTCGCGACGATGGGGAGTGGAAGTCGTGCCCAACGGGGGCGGGGGTGGATACCCTAGTTGACGAGGTCAAGAAGTTGAGGTCCGGGTCGGTATAGCCGCTACGATGCCCCCTCATTTTTGATCTTCTGCTATCGCTTCTGCGGCCACCTTGAGCTTGAGGGGCTCGAAGACGTCGACCCACAGGTCACTCGCCTCACCCAGAGTGTAGCATAATGTAACAGCGTCCATGCCCGCGTCGTCGTCCCCCTGCATGACCTCGAGTTGGTCGATGACGCTGTCGAGGCCGACTGCCTTGCCGACTGCCTGCGTAGCGCCGGCCTCGAGGGCCACGTGCACGATGTGGATGTGGAGGTGGTGGTAGGTGGGCTGGTAGTGGAAGTACAACTTGAGCTGGTCGGGCTCGACGGTCGGGTAGAGGGCCGTGGTGGCCTCGATAAATTTGGTCTTGATGTGCCGGAGCCAGGGGATGTGCTTCTTGCGCAGGTCGCGCAGGCTCCACAGGTCCCGCCGCTCCACCAGGCCCAGAAGGTGCAGCGTGTCGAGCGTCTTGCGGTCCCAGTTGAGGTCGGGCAGCAGCAGGAAGCCTTCGTCGGCTGGCTCGGCCTGCCCGAACGGCGTCCGGTAGATGACGTCCTCGGCTTCCTTTCGGCCCTCGATGATGTTGAAGGCCCAGTTGAGCCGGCCGGCCTCGCGCTGCGCTTGCATGTACGGGCGCACGTGGTCGCGGTAGATGGCGGGCGTCTCGGTCACGTAGCGCACGCCCTGCTTGCTGTACTTCTTGACGTGCTTCTCGGTGCAGGGCCAGATCAGATTGATCTTGAGATCGGCAAAGGAGACGTCACTGTCGTCGGTGGAATCATTCTCGCTGGTGGCCGCGGGCTTAATGCTGCCGCTGTTGGCCAGGTACCAGTGGTAGATGTCGTTGGCGCCGAGGTTCTTGAGCGTGCGCAGGCTGCCGGCGACGGCGCCTAGGTAGTCGGCCGAGCTCGGGAACGAGGCGCGCTCGAGGATCAGCAGCGCCGGCTGCTCTTCAATGGTGCCATGTAGCGATGTGCGCCGGCCAGCTTGGTCTGGGGGGGAAGGATGGGGTGTTTAGCAACACATGGCTGACCGTCTGTTCGAGGTAATACGGGATTGGAGAGCTTGCTGCCCAACGCGCCCACACACCTTGGTTGAGAATACGCTCAAATTTAAATTTTGGAACCAAGGCCTCGGCATCTCCTTTGACGTCGGCCATTGTGTTTCCTCTTTTCGTGGTTTGTCCTTTGTTTTTTCATCAGTCCCCTTCACACAAGATTGTCGGTTTTCTCTCGAACGTGGAAGGTGCGCGGTGGGGCATTTCTGGGCCAAGCGCATCGGCGGGTACCCCGCAACCCCCAACCCCACCTGCCTGAGAGGGGCGGGAGCATTTGCCAAGGGACGAAAGGTGGGTCCGTCCCAAACTCCGTACCCTGTACTGTATGTAATACATGCAGATAGACACCAGAACCTGCCCAAACAAGGGAACGTACGGAACCTTACACACTTGAGCAACTGCGGCCTACCCTCCCTCCTTCCCTACCAAGGTCGGTAGCCTTGTTATCCGTACTTTGATTAGCTCTCCACCCACTGTTGACTGTACGATGAACCCATCGTGTCTTTTTCGCCACGGCCTTTTCTACGTCGGATAGGTAGGCCCGGTGCATAGCGGGTCGTGTTCAACTCGGCGACGGCTCTGCTGTGCCTCCTTTTCCGCGATAACCGACCTATTCAACTCTATAATCCGCAGGCTCTTGCCTTGTCGAGAATTCCCGACTCCATTTTATTCACATATTTACTACAATATTTGGAACTCCAGCAAAAAGATCATATGAGATGGGAAGCGCTGCTGCGTCCGAGTATAAGCGTACACCGCCTACATAATAGTGGCTGGCAACAAAGCTCAAGCACTACCTAGACGAGTGCCCATGATCTTTCAGGCAGAGAAGTGGGAGACACTAGACAAACAGCTCTCGTCTCCCTTCTTTAACCGCATACCAGGCAAAATCCGAGATGTAATCTTCGGCTTCGCGCTGACTGCAACCGTCGTCCGCATGCACTGTCGGGAGACCACGACTTTGATGTCCGCCAGGATCACGACGACGATGACGACGACGACGATGACGACGATGACGACGATGACGACGATGACGACGATGACGACGATGCTGTACAGCCAGACTCGCAGAATCCTGATGCCGATGCCATTAGCCCCAGCAGTCTAGACAGTAACACAGTGCCAGCCTGGGAATTCCCGCCGAATATCCGCGTCGAGAGACCCTGGATGACGACGCGAGGCTGGTTGCGGCCGGGCTGTACGGGACCGAAAGTCATACACGTTGCACTGCTCCGGACCTGCCGGCGCGTCTGTCTTGAGACGGCACACATCCCGGCCCGGCATATACAGCTGCTCAAGTACAACAACTCTGATGAGACACCACCATGGAGCACTATGAAGAGAGGATTTGACGACCGAGGCTGGCCGCATGCTCGATCTAGTCTGGCCGAGACTATCCCCCTCCACACCCTCGCCCGCGTCCGCGATATAGGCCTGTTTGGCTTCCTGTTCTGACTCGATGGCAGCTTCCTCTCTCTATCGCAAAGCTCCTTCTCCCGCAGAGCTCTCCAGCGGTTGCCGCAGTCACGGTCAAGGACGGCCGCCAGCCTACTGCTGCTACCGCCGCTGCCGCCGGCCTACGTCTTCCGCATCCTCGACCGCATCGAGGTGCTCCGCTTCACCATCCGCAACAAGGACTGGTGGTGTTCTGGGAGCCGCTACTCGGCTGAGAACCGCTACATGGCGGACTTTAACCCCTTCCAGAGAAACCACTGGCACGTTCTGTTTGGGCCAGGAATGATCGATAACGAGTCTGCGGCCATAGCGGCGGCGGCGGCAGCGTCGTCGTCGTCGTCAGGAGAAACACCAACTGCCGAGGCTAACACTACAAGGCGCCCGGACCACCTAACGGCGGCGCCGCCCCGCTCGGCGTCGTCAGCGATGGCCTTTGCGTTGATTCCCCAGCTGCGCAAGCTGGTGATCGACTTTGAGGTGAGCGCGGACCGGCGGCACAACGCCGAGGAGGTCGTGGCGTGGGCGGTGCGCGCGTGACGGGTCGTCGTGTTTCGCGGCTCTCCGGCGCTCTATAACTCTCCACTCACGTGGAAGTGGGTCGACGGCTTTTTCTAGCTGCTAGGCGTCTAGAAGCTGCTAGCTAACCTACAGCTAATGTCTTTGTATGACGCTGACCTCATGGCCGAAGCCATGTTCGACGGCTAGCCTGTGCGCCGTGCCTGGCTCACCTCCGATGCCTCCGGTGATGCTGTGAAAAGGTAAATTTGTGTGCCCTTCTACTGGGCTATCCGCTGTCTCGACTGCGAAATGTCTATCGCCGCTGTCACGCCGTCCTGTAAATAGTGCGCCCAGCGGGTGAGCATGCTCGAGAAAAGCAGAGGTCTGCGGCTCTGTGTTTAGACTGTCACCTAGAGGACGAGGAGCCGCCGGTAATCTCGGGCGGCAGCGGGGGGCAGGGAGCAGAGGAAGAGGAGATGCTCGAGAAAAGCAGAGGTCTGCGGCTCTGTGTTTAGACTGTCACCTAGAGGACGAGGAGCCGCCGGTAATCTCGGGCGGCAGCGGGGGGCAGGGAGCAGAGGAAGAGGAGATGCTCGCTATGGTAAAACATCAAGGGAGAGCAGATATTTTTATCTAGACCCAAATAACCTCTCTACGTAAGGTACGTACATAGCCCTAGATAAGGCAAGCTTTGGAGTCATGTTTCTGCATATAGTAGCCAGTCATTCGTATACTTATAATCCAATCCCTGAATATTTGTGATCCCGTGATATAACAAGATCGAAAAGGTCTTGTTGCCTACTGCTCGCCCTAGGAGCTTTCCTCAAAGAATGCGGTCAGCTTTAGAGTGTCTGGTGTGGAATTCTACCGACCCATCTCCTCTATGTAATAAAATTCCCTAAACACTATTTTTAGCTGATTTGTTTGCCACCATCCTTATTCTTCCCAAGTAAATACTACGCCAGAATCCATCCGGGAATTAGACTGTACCTGCCCTGCCTGCCTTGCAGTTTACAGACATTAGCGCAACAGAAACGCGTGCTGCTAGCTGATCAGAACCACACGCCCGTCGTGAACCTCACCATCATCACCGCTGCCTGGCTTTCACCTCGCAAAACGCTCCCCGACTTCATTGACTCGACCCCTCAAGAACTTGACACGTTGCCGTGCATATCAGAATCTCACACACATGACGGTACAGACTAGGTAGACACACGCCAGATACCCACTTTTACTTGCGTACATACCGTACATGCAATGCATACAAGGCCCTTGTGGCTCAGAGAAAATCCCCCCTTCCCCTTCCCCTCTCCGCTCACCTCACCTCACCTCCTCTCCGCACAAAAGGAAACAAAGTAGAAATAAGATCCTTGTTTTAGCTACGCTACCCCACGCTACTTACCTCGGCTGTAGCTGCAGCTGACAAGGGAAATGGAACAAACCGGGCATAGAATAAGTGACAGACATGAAAAGACAGGACAAATCCTTAGAACGCCGTGATATAATGTCGATCAATGGCTGCCGCGGAATAAGAAAAGTATGGTCTGATGCTGACAGCGCATTTCACACGCATACACGTGTATAAACACATACAGTGAATTGATTCGGCCCGGCTTCGGTAGAGTAGGCAGGAAGGGAAAGGAAGGGGGCGTGCAAGGTCAAGTCAAGGCAACACCATGCTGTCTGTCCGGATGAGTCCACATCTGGGATCGACCTACCGAGGAAATGGAGCCGGCTTGTACAACTACGTATGTCTGAACCAGCAGAGAAGCAAAGCGATTACAGGGTACCACAGACAGAAACAGTAGCAGAAGCACGAAGAGAGAAACAACAATTCTCAGCATCGTCAAGTCTATGCAGTATTATTTGTGTCCGTGTAATACGGAGTGGTTGGTTATGTAAGATTTGGCAAGTCTAGCATCATAAGGGCATCATCGATTCAGAAACGCTATGTTTGCCGTTCCAGCCGAGAACAAAAACGGCCTAGAACACGCTCCTTTCTTTTCTCCTCTTTTTTTGCCGAAAAAGACCGAAGAACGAGCGCGCAAAGGAGACCGGAATAGTGTGTGTGTGATATGCAAGAGCGAGTTTAGCGTTTCCCCGGACTTTTTTCTCATAGGAGCTAGGTAGCTAGGTGCCTCGCCGGGCGACCTGAGAAATCCAGAAATCCAGAAAAAAAAAGGCCCCTTACCCAACATGGGTGTAGCCCTAGAGAGTCCGCTAGAAATCCAAAGGTGTTTGTGGTTGTGAGATTCTCGCCGTTGGTGATATGTGCATGGTGGTGAGGTTAGGTATGAGTTTATGTGAGAGGAGAACTCCGGTGCTATGCCAATGCTGATATGGTTCGCCAAGGGACTTTGGTATCGTGCGTGTATGGTGATTATGCTCTGGCTTGATAGTTGCAGTTCGAGTCTGATCGCGCTTGGCTAGTATGGGACCACCGCCATGGCCCCAGTCTCGCACGTCATGGTTCTCGCCAACTGTCAACCGTGCCCGCTTTCCATGTCCAAAAAAAAAATCCATGCCCTTCTTTGTCGATTCCTTCAAATTATTGTGCGACAGATTCGAAATGATTCCGCCGAGTCAGTGATCATCCTGGAGAGTCTTTGCATGGTCCTCGATGGGCTCCAGATAGCTTCAAGAAAATCCCACCCGGCCGCCGCGAGCTGCCAGTACGTGCCACAGAGGGTTCCGGTCATCATGCTGGTGCTTTTGAAGGGAAGCTTTGAGCAGACTTCGTGTTCCAGTCCATGTCCTCGATGCCTTCGTCCACATCCATGCGGGCGGCAACCTTTATTTCCTTTGACGAGGAACTCCCAAAATCCTTGCGCATGATTTGTGGGCGGTAACTCCGTCCGCGCAGCTCCTCCTCGGCCGGTTTGACTCCGTCAGGAGGACCGCTCGTCTTGACGCGCTCTGCTTCCTTTTCTGCCAGGTCATTGGTGTCCTTTAACCGCCGCTGGATGTTAGACACCTCCTCGCCACAGTCGCCATCGCGGAGAAACTGGTGCGCCGCGTGCTCGCACATGCTTTGCACATATTCGAGACCTTTATCCAGGTCATCGTAGACATCTTGGGGATGAGATTGGCCCGGAGACATGCCTCCAGCGCGGTATGATCCTCGGGCTCCCGCTCGTGCGTACGAAGGCCTTGACAATGTCGACCGCGCCATGAGCATTGCATTCCCAGATCCCGGCCGCATCTGTCGCGTGCTGAAAAGGCGAAGCGGGGGGAGATCCGCGTCGGTGCCGCTGGATACTGGCCCAACCTCCAGCGGGGCGTCGTCGGCGGCAATGATGGGAGCTGCTGTGATGAGCGGCGTGGGAGCCGCTGCTATAATGGCGCCAGAAGAAGTCATGGCACTGGGGACGACTGTTGCGTTATCGTCCTCGGGTTCATCTGGCATCTCTAGCTCTGCCAACCGCCTGATTTGTGCTACCTTGGCGGCCATCTTAGCCTTCCGCATCATGTTGCGGCTGGCGCTCACAAACTTGACGAGCTCCTCGAAGAAACTTTGCACGTAGCTGTCGTAGTAGACGATGATCATGCTGCGGGTGCGGTACTTTGGCACGAAGCCCTCTGCGCTAATCATAGAATCTGTGCGTTGACGTTTGCGTAGCGTGGCGCGGGCCCGCGCCTGGCCTGCTGCCCTAACAAGGTTTGTCTGCCGCTGCAGTGCTGATGGCGAGGCCGGGTCTGCAGGGCTTGTGGGAGACTGTTGATCTCCTGCGGCATCGGCGGCCTCGGGAGCGGGTTCGGGTTGCGGAGTGGATTCGCGAGGGTGTGCCTCGGGCTCGTCGTGAGGCCTGAGGGACTCTGTTGAGCCCTTGTTTCTGATTGATCTGGCAGCTGGTGGTGAGGTGCGGCCGGTTGGGTTGTTCGAGTTCGCCGGTTCTGTCAGCTGCGCCAGCTCGACCTGACGCTGTTCAATTTGGCCATTGAGCTCGTCGAGACGCTTGAGCCAGACGGGAATATTGCTTCGCAAATGCCCTAGTGCCTCCATGGCGAGATCTCCCTCGTCACCGCCGAGTGGTGCGTTTCTTCGTGGATTGGCCGTCGTAGACAGAGGTGCGTCGCTAGGTTGATGAACACCTAACGCGACGACTTGGAACTGGTGAGAAAATGGCAGAAAGCCAAAGGGACCCACGAGGTCGGGGATAGCGAAGATGATGTATTGTAGCTGCCGGGGGTCAGGGTCGATTAGTCGTCGGGATTAAAACAACATTGGTACTAAACGAGAGCGGCGGCCTAATTCGCTAGCATTGATCGGCGGAGCTAGCCCCGGATAGCCAGCAATAACACGATAGCACGGGGGTGCCGCGTCGGTCGCGCAAGGGGAGGGGGTTAGGATGTTTCTTTTCCTGCCTTCCTATCCAAGGCGGCCAAGATGGAATGAGAGAAGATGGGCAGAGCGTCGGGAACTTGAGCATATAATGCTCAATCTGCCGAGAGATTTCTTTGTTGCAGCGTAATCCCGTGGCCTGGAGCCGTCTCTAGTTGCGAGTGGTGTGGTCGCGCAGGAGACGAGCGGACGTGGGATCGAGAGTGGGATTACGGCCGTGAAAGACGTCCAGGGCAGCTTTAGTGGGTTTGATCAGCGGCGGGTTTAGCTGCCTTCATCTTCCCTTGCCTGTCGAGAGACTCGAGACTGAAAAACAAGCTGCTGCGCCAAAAGAAATATAAGACAATGAGCCGCAGGTTACGGCTAGAAGAGACGAGCCCGTGTGAAGATCGGCCGAGGAAATCTCGCGTTGCCCGTGTAGGTGATAGTAAAAGGTACCTAAGGCCAGTCGGGTACCCAGAAAAGAAGGGGAGGCCTGGAAGGTAAGGTAACGCAACCGAGGAAAGAGGGGGGAGAGTCGGGTATTGGTATCTGCAAAAAGGCTGCCCAGGTTGAATAATAAAATAAGGAATCTCTGTCTCGTCTTGTTGCTGACTTGCAGAGTCTGGGCAGGACGAGTCCGAAATACAAATCAGGGCCAATTAATCCAGCAGTGGGCCTACGGCCGGGTACCTTCACCTGTCGAGTCTCGGGCGTTGACGCGGCACTGTGCGCTTGGTGCTGCAACTCTGATGCATGTCGATCACGAAAAAAGAGGAGAAACAGGCGCTTGACTGTTAAACAAACACTTGTATTACCTCTACTTTCGATCCCATACGTTGCCGTACGTCGACGTTGTGTTGGAGCCAGCCAACCTAATGTCCTCAATGCCCCCAATGCACGGCAGGTTATCTAGCAGTGAACCTGCGTTACTTTCTAACACTACCGCTCCACGCACAGTACATGTACGGCGGCCAACTGTTGGCCACCCACCCTCTCCACCTCAACTGCCCGCGCTGCCCTGCGTCCAGAGCAAACGGACGTGCTCCACACCTGCCATCCAATCTGCCCACCTCGGCCTGGGACGAAAAGATTCTGGCAAGATGCCGCCCTACGCACTTCTCGACGCAGTGGAAGGCCCTGCTAGCTCATAAACGCCAATTTGCCCCCAATGGCCGATGCGCCTCCAATGCCACATGGTTGCTACCTGCCGCTGGCATTCAATGGGCAGATATTGTTTTCCAGATCGAGCGATCGGTTGTGCGGAGAGGGCGAGGGTTGCGAATGAGTTGTGCGTCTTGACAAGGGGGTAACGCACGCGGGCGGTCAGGGATCAGAGGAGCCAGCGGGGGTTCAAGCCTCTCGGCTGCAGGTCGCAAGGCGGAGAGGAGAGGTGGTGGTTGTCTGCAGGCGCGGGACTGTCCTCTTGATCCGGCGTATCATCCGCAGGACTTAAAGTGCTTTTTCGCGAAGTATTCGATAGTGGGCTGGCAGTTCAGAGCTGCTGCTGCGGCCAAAAATACCTCTTGTGGCTGGCTTGGGCCTCCGCGGGCTACTGAGTACGTACGAGACAATTGTTATCTATCGCCTGGCCGCCAGGGCATGGGCAGGCTAGAACACTCTCGGAGACATTCTTATTTAACGACGCGACTCGAGGACAGAACAAACGGCCAGAGGCACTCAATCAAGCAAGCGGGTTGACGGTGGGAGCGCGGCTCGAGGTCGCCGCACCGCACCGCCGACGCCTTGCCGCATTCCCGCATTCGGCCACCTCGGGGAATACACGGACAGCGGCAGGACCTGCTAACCTACGCACCAGGGAGGGCAGGTACGTAGTAGGTATTTATGATGAGCAGACTGATACATGGGACGGAGGAAGAAGGAGGAAGATTAGGGGCATACAAGTTCGATGCAGACAGAGCAAGAGGCACTGTCAGTCAGCGGCAGACATCAGACATTTCTGGATGTCTTTGCATCAGTCACGTACGTGCGTCGATTGTCTCTCTCGGTTGATAGGCCGGACCGGGCGCCCCCAGCTGGAGCCTTCCATTGCGAGCGGAGTTCGGAGCGAAGCATTGGCCGACCTGCGGCGCCTCTGAACTCTGAAGGGGTTTAGTGACGGCGACTTGTGCCGGCTGAATTGAGACACTGGACGAAAGCCCACCACCGCCGGCTGGCTGCAAGGTAATGCGCAGCGCCGCACTACAGTGCAGCGCAGCAGCAGCAGCAGCAGCAGCAGCAGCAGCAGTAGCAGCAGCAACAGTAGCAGCAGCAGCAGCAACAGCAACAGCCATCCATGACCATGATGGAAGAAAAAGGTGCATGTACTCCGTACAGAAGGTATCCGTACGGATCAGGTTATGTTGCCTTGATGGCACAGAGTCATGGAGTCACCGCCACCACCTCCAACTGCCCAGCCCTGCGACCCCGTGATGCAGCGGACGGGAGCAGCTTTGATGGACTGTTACTACGTGTCTAGTCCTACCTACCACACATCTGTCACGGCGGGGCTAGTTAATACTCGGCCCACTGCACGCTGCCTCCCGCTCAGTGGCTGCAGCTTTGAGTTACAGAAAGTCGTGTAACACAGCCATAAGGCGGCGGCGCCTCGCTACAAAGGTCCGAGAGAATAATACCACCAGACACGGCGGACGACGCCCAAAAGGCGGACCGACGAAGGAACTCGGGCTCTCAGCCCATGGGTAATAGCAGCGGCATCAGCATCAGCCATCACCAGCAAGAGTAGCGGCAGCAGTCCGAGGCCGAAGGAGCCATTAGCATGAACGTGAGAGCATGACCATGAAGCGCCCGCATCGGCATCGCATGGCATCAACAACTCTCTGACAACTGTCGGGCTGCAGGACATGGACATTACCCCGCGAGACGCCGTCTGCATGCTGCGCTGCGCTGCGCTGCGCTGCCCCCGTTTAGGAGGGTGTTGATCTTGATTATTGGACTGAGAGTCGGATTACGGAACAGGCTACAAGCAACGTGAGCAATCTTGATTTACGAATAGCTCCAGAAGCCAGGAGCCAGGAGCCAGGAGCCACCCAAGACCACAACGGCTCTCGGGGCAGGTCTCTTTCTCAAACTAGCGTTCATCCACGACGGCAAAAGGCCTTGCGTAAACCGGCCACGGAACATGGAACTTTGACAACCAGACATGACACTCACTCGTGCCAAGGCTACGATGTGTGTTCTGCATATTCCTAGCTGCCGTTGCAACCCAGAATGGCAGAGTCTCTCCAGCTTGCTTTCGGTTCTCACCAGTTGATAGGCGCGTTCGCGGGCTGTGGGCCTCGCCTCAAGTGGCCAAGAGATTTCCAGCGCATCGTGCATCTGGTCATATACTGTACGTCTTCCTCGAAACAGGAAGACCTGCGAGCGCATTTGAGTTCTATGAATGAGTGCCAACTGACCGCCGCGGCGGCTGGTTCAAGAGTTCGATTCGTTCTTCGGCGACTCCCGAAGGGTCTGGCGGCACGTCTTGTGCCTCCCCGCAGCTGGATGGCAGTCAATAAACTCGATACGGAATACTTGGCGTCTACCTACCTTTACACGGATATGTGACGGTGATGTGGGAGCCTGTATCGGTAGCTTGTCGGCGACGCGAAAGGGGCCGCCCGGAAGGTCAACGGCCCGTCAGCCACATCCTTTAGGGTCTTCCCGCAAGTCCAACCGTTCTCAGCACCATAATTGCCGTCATCCGTGCCAAGGAGGGATTCGATGTGTAGATCTGCGGTCACAAGAGAGAGCGCGAGGGAGATCCACGGCATCCCCATGCCCGAGAGTGCTCGCCTCGAGTGGTTCGTCGTCGAGCCGGGGGCGGCCCATGGAGGCTGAATCCTTCCAAAGCTCTCTCTCGCACGAAATAAACCACTGCCATGCGCCCCCGCGGAGAACCTCACGGGCCCCAATTAATAAAAGCCCGACATATCGCCCGCAGTCTCGAAATCTAGCAGACCGCTAGTTCCAAGACACGGCGCGAGAAACCCCTCAGCATCTTTCCGCGCAAACAGTTGGACAGAGACAGAGACAGAGACAGCAGACAAACGGGCTCGGGTCTCGATCGACCCGGCCCCCTAAACCCAACACTCAAGTATACTGCACAGCACAGTACATACATACCTCCTCCAACAAGCATCCGGCGTATTCCGTGTTCCGTGCCGGCGACTGCATCTTCCGAGTGAAACACGCGCACAAGCACATTCACACGATCATTTCCATGGGAATAAATCTCTCGGCGAGCGCGTGCGCGGGCACTCGGGAGTTCGATGGCAGGAAGGGATCACACCCTGGCGTCTTATTGGCCGAGCAGCACCCCAAGCAAGGTTCTTTGTACAGTTTCTCTCCAAACCCCGATGGCATGCTTTTTTGTCCTCTTGCCAGCCAGAGAGGCAGGGAGGGGGGCGGGGAGATGCGAAAACCAGCCAACCACGTTAAAACTTTCCCAAACAGGAAAGAAGGTGGGGTGACCAACAAATCAAGAGAATGTGTTGCAATTGCATTGCTCCAGCAAACCGGCTTCCTTCCAGAACCATTCCGCGCAAATTCGAGAAGATGGTCAAAAGGAAAACGCCACGGATGTAAGTGCGTACAATTGATGAAACCGTCAATGAAACCGTCAAAAGCCATTGGACAGACAGACACTTAACAGTGCGAGAGGCTCTCTCCCCCGGCTTGAGCTCAGGGAAGTTTACCTCCTGAGGCGGCCGCTGCGAATCCCCGTAGTCCCCCCTCCCACCCCCCGCCGCCGCCCATCCGATCCGAAATGTTTCGCGAATCTTGGGGGCTCGCCTCTGTCTAAATGGACGAAATGTTCGGAATTCCGCCAGCCTATCGAACCACATCACTAGCAATCGAACCAATGAATGCCGCCACCCAGTACAGCACTGCCCTTTCCCTTTCTCGGAGGATCTCTTCGCTGACGAATCATGTATATTGCTTTCTTACTCTTGGCAGGCAGCAGCTTTTTCCTGTCGTCAAAAGGGACGGGATCAATTTGTTCGTGTCTGTACGGGGAACGGTAATTACGTATCAGGAGGTGCGAGAGTCAATCCAGACAGACAGTACCAGTACCGTAGCAGGCGCACGGATTGGCTACCTAAGCGAACAGCGAATGCGAGATGCATGCGAGACATGCCGCCTCTTTTTCTCTCGTCTGCCTTTTTTCCCATTCGGGGGGGTCCGGGAACCGCACGGAACTGGTTTGTAGTTCGGTCCGCTACATAATCCGGCCTACCTCGCCTAGGAAGAGCGCTTCGAGAGCCAGCCTCCGGTTCCGGACCCGGCTCCGGGCCTAGCTAGCGCAGGGTCGGGTATGCCGTGACCTTGTGTATGATGTGTCTTGTGACTTGTGTTTGCGAGACACAGCATGCCTAATCTGATATTCCTAGCGGCTACCTCCAGCGGTTCCAGCGGTGGTCGCCGAGATTGCCGCCCAGATATTCTATCGTCTTGTTCTTGGACCTTCAACTTTCAAGCAACCAGACAACCGCCCTGACAATCTCGGTTGCATTACAGTCTGTACAGATTTTGTGCCTTGCCTAGTCGGCCCGCTTCGCTGTTTGCCGGCGGCAACGGTTTCCGTCATGTTATTAGGGATTCATTCACAATTGTTTGTCGCCCGATGCGCTTCAAATGCTATCACATTAGATCAGAAGTTTCTGACCAAAATGTGGCGCCACCACAAGCCACCCCCTATTACTTCGATCGCTCCCTGAAGGCCTCTAAGCCATCGCAAACTGGCAAATGCCACCATCGTCATTTCATAGCTTGTACGGGGATGAACCCCGCAGGGCTAAGGTCTAGTGCTCACTCGAGGCTATGGGGGACAGGCCGAGCACGTGGGAAAGCGGATGGCTCGCCAAGAGGAGACCGGGGGGGGGGCTTGTGACGTGACGTGACGGGCCGCGTCGCGCACATCTTTAATATAAACCCCGATCGCATTCGCGCGGCGAGCTTCTTGTGTAACAACACCAAGAACTTCTCCAGGTCCCCGAAAACCACACAGAAAACACACAGCAGCGCGCACGGTACCGGAAGCACGTTACGGCAGCCCGTGGTGCGTGCTACAACGCTCCCAAATATATACGCAGCATCTTGTCTCGTATATTAGTCGGCGACCTCAGAAGATGCCCACACACCAACCACACACACAAGGTTGGACGCCGGCACGGCACGACATGAACCGACATGATGCTAGCTAGCCTGGCTAGCCCCTCCCCGCTCTCCTCGTTTGTTTTTTCTGTTTCCATGCAATCGCCCGTTGATTTTCTTTAACGGCCCTGTGTGCCTGTGTCTGTCTGCAAAATCTCCCGAGCCAATGCATTTTTAATTTTTACATTGACCTCTCTCGGCACGAGGTTCACGTCACAGCTAAGGGGGAGACCACAAGCGAGCGAGCCGAACGACACGACGCGACGGCCTTTTTTGCCTTGTGACGTCTTGTCTACCTCTACGGATACTCATTTTTAAAATAGCGGATGTCCAATGATTCGCGCCTTGCCAAGCCGTGTCTTTCTCGAACGCCTACCGACCACCACCACTCCACTCCAGCGAGCGGAAGGGAAGATAAGGTTGGGTGGTATTCCGTGCAGAATGCGGAATACATAGATGAGGCGAGGCGGCGCGCGCGGGTGGGTGCACGAGCCTAATAAAATAAACTGGGACATCCATAGAGCAGTATTTCCGTACCCAAGCCGTCGTTCTCTCTCGTCTCGTCTCTCGGCCTATTTGCAATCGACGTGTACTGTTCGAAGGGTGGAAGCGGTTGGGCGTGGAGCGGGGGGTGGGGGGGGGGTGAAGAGGTACAATCCCAATGCGCTGCTGTTCCACCAGGTAGGCTGTATTGTATTCTCTGCCGCCCGCCGGAAGGGAAAACTAGCATAATCTCCAACCGCCATGTTGAATCATCTGTCCACAGCGTCGCCAATTTTCTCAGCGGGTAGTTGCCTCAATAGTTCCAAGACTCGGATACCTACAGGAGCAAAGAGTGACAAAAAGGGCACCGTAAACATGCATGTTACAGACCCCTACGGCGCTACATCAGCATTGGGTGAAAGACACAGCACAAGTTGCACTGTGTGTTCTGCACCGGAGCAAAGTGCAGCACAGGGCAGTGAACAGGTCAGAAAAGACGAATGAAAACCGCAAAAACATGAGGGTGGAAACTCGGCCCCGAACTCCACAGCCTCGCCCTCCTCAACGCCTCAAGCTTGGCCTTGCTCCGCATGAGAGATCGCCGAGGATGTGATTCCGTTTGGCCTTGGCACCGCACAAAGGGCCTCTAGGCCGAGGCTAGGGGAGCCACGACACCCTGTTCGGGGGGGCCCCTAGGTCGAGGCTAGGGGAACCACGACGCCGTGTTCCGAGTGGAAACTACTGGGCCAAACCCCGCTCTGAGGACTGTCAAGTCTGCGGGGGCGCGGAGGTCCGCAGTCCATCTGGTGGAGGTGGATGGAGGTCTAACGGGCAGTGGAGAGAGGATGGTTTTTCAGATGAGTTCGATCCATCCCAGCCTCCTACAATACCTTACCGGAACCGAGTAGAAAAAGCAGGCAAGTAAGCAAGAAATCAGGTAAGAAACTAGGCGAGCAAGCAAGCAGCCGTCAAGGTCCTTCTGCCTAGCGACAGACTGCAGTATCAGACAGAACCAGGTTCGATCGATGACCTCTGTTCCTATGCTGGGTAGAGTACCCAGGAGCAGGGAGGTTGTCGAGATGCCTGCAAAGTTCCCTGAACGTGACGGTAATTCAGAAAGACAATCCGAGGTTAGAAGACACAATGGGACGTTCAATGGCGGATATAGAATTTGCCTGTTTACTTCATGACTTGTTCGAGTTTAATTCCCCAAGTTTTCCGTAAACGACAACCGCTCTTCTCGCAATAATAAGTTGCCTTAATTATCCCCATATCCCACAATTCAACGCTTTCCACAAACCGTACCTCAATAGCAGCCCCGGGAGTTGTCAAGCAACATCAACTCGCGTAGCCTGCAAAATCCACATTTGTCCGGTTCCAATTTCTTACGATGGAACCAATGGAGCCCCTCAGCCTCAATGGAGTATCCCCAACCTTCTTCTCTCGGCAGGGCTCTGAGCAGCTTGCATATTAGCAAAATCTGCACCCGCGTCCGAATCAAGGACGGCCAAACCAACCAAATGACAGTTAACCAACCTTGTATGTAACTTATCTCGGCTGCAAAAAGAACAGAGATCACCATGGACGCCTTCTTTTCAACCCGCTGGCCAGCCAGAACTCGGCAATACATTTCTAGTGAATCCGTAAAAAGAAAAGAAAGAGAGCTGTACCCACTCACCGCTAAGCCAAGGCCAACCGAGCAGCAAAAAAAATACGAGAGGCAGGCAAGCGGGCATCCGATTGGGCCGGACGTGGCTCCGGTCCCACACCCGGCCGCCAGTCCACCAGCCCGCCAGCCTTCCGACCTCATATGTCGAGCCTGACCAAGGTCTACACCTCAGGTGTCTATCAATGTCGTACGAAAGAAAGAATACGGGGAATGTTGTTGGTTCAGTAGCGTGCCATCATTGCACATCACTAAGCTAAGGTATCCAAGGTAGGTAAGAGGCTCTCACTCCAGTGGATGCCTGGTGATCAAGAGCAGCAGCAGCAGCAGCAGGAGCAGCATGTAAAGAGCGACCAAACCGTGTCTGTCCCCTTTCAATGGTGGTGGAAGGAGGGGCATAAACCACATCTCTACGGATACAATATTCCACATTGCGGTTTGATAAAGTCCAAGTCTGTTCGAGGGCGACAATTAACCTTTTTTGTTTATTTCTTATTCAAAAGTCAGGAAGAAAAACGAGGAGGCAATGTAGTGTCTTAGTTATTAAGATAGATACACACGGAATAGGGATGGACAGAACAGAGAGCAGCAGCCGCGTTAACTCATAAGCTTCACATCAACAAGTCTCTTCCATGTGTGTATTTGTACATCCAATACATACATACAAAGCACCACACGCCTAATCCGTAGCACATAGCCAGACATACCAGACCCTACACCTAGGCAGCCGTCAACCCGAGAGCCTCAACCAGGCTCCTAACCGCAGCCTTGTCGGCGCGGCCCCAGTCGACGCCCTTGAGCTTCTCCGCAGCAGCAGGAGCGTCGGCCCCGGCGCCGCCAAACGCCGTCAGTAGCGCCCAGACCTCGTCGACGACCAGGTTGCGGACGTGGGGCCAGGGATGGACCAGTAGGGCGGCGAGCCGCTTGCAGGCCTCGGCGACACCCCCGTCTCCACCTGCAGTCGCAGTGCCCCCCCCCGCGATGGCGGCGTACACCTTGACGCACGCCTCGATCTTACGCACGTTACCCGACTTGTAGCCCGCCCGCTGCACATACAGACACAAGCTCTTGTAGTTGACGGTTCCGCGAGGGCAGGCCGCGAAGATGCCCGCGCGACACAGAAACGCCGTGACCTCGAGCGTTGGTATCAGGACTCTGTCCTGGCCACTAGTATTGTCTGTAGCAGCTGTGCGCTTCTTTAGGTTTGCGACAAGGGCCGTGCAGATGGCGGCGGCATTCTGTTCCGCGGAGCCGCAAAACTCGCACAGCGCCGCCCGCGTGGCGATGACTAGCTCCTCGTTGCCCGTGTCGGCCGAGGACACGAAGCCCTCCATCAGCTCCTCCATCCACGGGTCCGTGCGGGCCGCCATGGCAGCAGCGACGACGGGGTGCAGCCAGTCGCCATGGGCGAGCAGCTCGAGCAGGAAGCGGAAGTACGACTTGGAGGAGAAGGTGGACCTCCGCAGGTCGGCGGCGTAGCTGTAAGAGTAAAAAACATAGATATTAGCAAAGATCCACTGAAATGTCTTCTGGTGTTATCGCGCAGGGACATATTCACCTCAGCTTCAACGCCAGGCCCAGCGCCGCCTGTGCCTCGACGCGGACGCGGTCAAGCTTCTCCGCCGCAAGCCGCAAGACGCGCAGGAACAGCTCCGACACTACATCCTGCACCGTTTCCTCGTCACTATCAGCGCCCCCTTTCTCTTCGCCCTCCCCAAGCACCACCTCCCACAGTGATTTGATGGCCCTTAGTGCCTGGAGGCGGACGTGTGACCCGACGTCGCCGCGAGCGTTAATCGTGTAGTCATCCAGGCCCTCGACCAGAAGCCCCAGGAACGCGCCCGTGTTCTGCCGTAGGAGGTCGCTGCGCATCAGGCTAGAAAGGATAGCCACCCGGGCCTCGATGTCCTTGTCCTGTGCCCAGCGGTCGACGAGGGCGCCGGCAACTAGAGCCGCTCCCTCCTCATGGCTCGGTAGCTCTAGGCTGGGGATAATGGAATACGACATGACCAGCGCCGAGAAGTAGCCACCGCCTGCCGCACTCGCGCGGGCTGCTGTCGAGGTCGGGCGGCGCCGCACGGCGTTGGCCCAACCGCGGATGACTTGCTCGCGCTCGGTGCGGGGACAGAACACGAGCAGGACAAGCCCAGCCTCGGATGCGGCCGAGATAACTTCCTGCTCTGGCCTAGCCAGCCACTTGCCAAGAATGGACTTGGCGAGGCTCACGAAGCGTTCCGTAGTCGGCTGTGTCGTTACGGCTAGAGTGTTGACGAGCGTAGATATCTCGGTGCTGCTGCCGTTGGATACCAGCTCTGTACCAGTGCGCAGGACCCCTCGAGACACATTAGCATTGTCTAGAACCTCTTGGCTGGTGAGCAGGGCACTGGCTTGTAGCACCGGGAACGATGCGATGGTGAGCCTGCTCGCGGCCTCTGCGACCAACTCAGGCCGGCGGTAGGCTTGCGTGTCGCAGTCGCTCAGAATATCTATCAACGCACTTGTTGAAAGACGAACGAGGTCGTCTAGTGCAGGCTTTCCCTCGCTATCCGCCACTTTCACTCCTCGTACAGTAGCAGGGAGCGAATCGAGCACGGCGGCAAAGCTAAGGAGAAGGCCGTGTCGCTCCTCAACCTGCCGAGCTTGCAGCGACTTGACGTAGTGCAGCACGAGCGCAGCCGAATCGTTGAGCTTCTGCACAGGATTCTCGCCGGTGGCAGCCAGCTCCCCTGCTATCATACCATAGGAGGCAGCCGCCGCGCGTCTCGCTGTTGCGTCTCCGTCGCCGATGCCGCGCCAGCCAAGGAGGCCGTCGAGGATCGCCTCGCCGTACTGAGGCGACAGCCTGGTCACTGCCATAGCCACGTCGCGCAGAGCGCGCGACCGCAAAGCCACAGCATGGTAGTCGACGGCCTGGACGACGGCGATGCCGTTGTCGACCGTGTCTGGGTGGCGGCCGATGAGCTCCTGCAGTGCGGCCGAGGATCCGCGGCGGATGTTGCCAGCGGAATCCAGGGACGCAGCGACGGCCAGCTCGGTCGCGAGGATTTGCAGGATCGATGCTTGCGGATTGTGCGCGCCGGCCACCGATGCCGACGTCGTCGGAACGGCAAGCAGCTCCTTCGTAGTGTAGCGGCGCGCGAGCGCCCAGATGCCAAAGCACGCGGCGTCGCGCACGTTGGTGCCCATAGATCCGCCAGAGGCGCTGCGCATCTCAAATGACAACCCTAGCAACAGCGCGTGCACGATGTCAGACAACGTTTCGGCGGGCGGTGACCGGCGGTAAAGGAGGTGGGCCAGTGTCAACATCAGCCCGTGCCATTCGAGCGGATTGACGGCGCTGAGGTTCTTCTTGGTTGGGTCTCCCTTTACACGCAGCACATTGCGGTTGAGCGAGTCGAGGACTGCCTCGACGACCTGCGACGCCATATCAGCATCGAGCTTGAGCGTGATGACGCTGAGGGCCTTGCTCGCCGCGAGCCGCACGGGCGTGTCGTTGTCCCCGAGACTCTCTAGCAGGAAGCCGATGGTCGTTTCGACCAGCTGCGTCTGCACGTCGTCTTGCTGGGGATGCCGTAGGGTTAACACGGCAATGGCGCGAACCACCTTGATCGCCATCTTCCGGGCCAGGGCCGATGACGACAGCACAGAAGACCGTGCTGCCGCTGCTTCTGGCCGGGCCTCCTCGGAAGCAGCTTCGTGCACCAGATTAAACAGCGTCACCAGGTGGCGGTCCATGTCGGACGTGTCGGCCGACGCAACCAGGATCCCCGAGAGAAATGACAGCAGGCCGATGTAGTGATAGGGGGTTTTCAGTTCGGCAGCGGGCTCAGGTTCGTGCTTTTCAGGCCAGAGCGCTGCCATAGCCCACGGCACCAGGGCGTCGAGGAGGCCGAGCTGCTGCATGTCCTTGCGCATGGCGATGCGGACAAGCAGGGCCTTGGCGGCGTCGCGCTCCTTACCGGGAGATGCGAGGTAGTTGATGGCCAGGGGCAGGATCCGCGTGGTGATGCCGGGCAGCTTTGCGGGCCAGCGGAAGCCGGCGATGCGCGGGAGGTCGTCGTCATCAACCTCGACCGACGAGATGGTGGCGAGGTCAAAGGGAGCCAGCATCAGATGCGACAGCCAGAGCAGCACCACGTAGCGCTCCTCCCAAGTCCACTGGGAGGCTGTAGCCGTGGCCGTCGCCTTGCGTCTCTCGGCCTCCTCGACGGCGGAGAGCAGGAGCTCGAGGTACCGTGTCTCGTTTCCGAGGAAGCGCACGATGACCTTCTCGCCGCGGATCTTGCAAAAGGTGTACAGCAGCTTGCAGATGGCGGTGGGCAGGGGCATCAGCAGCTCGGAGCGTGTCGACAGCACCTTTGGCTGGCGGCGGCGGGCCTCCTGGTACTCGAGAAAGGCATCGGCCAGGAGGGGCAGCCACCGTGGCAGGTGGGGGTCCAGGAGCTGAGGCAGTTCTTGAAAGGGGTCCAGCAGCTTTTGGGGCATGTCAGCTAGAACAGAAACTTTCAAGCGGATTAAAGGCCATGTGTGCCATTTACCGAGGAGATCAATCGCCCCGTTTCCCGGGCGCGCACTCGCGACCGCACCGGCGTCGTCTTGGTCCCGCCCGAACCCGAGCCCGAGCCATCGGCCTTGCGGAGAAATGGACCTAGCGACCGGTCGAAATCGGCAATCAGCTCGCTCGACGCCTTCTGCAGCTTGATGTCGAGGTCCTCCTCAGGAGCGTCCATGGCGTCTTTGGTGGCGGTGCACGGTGGCTAAGGTGGTAGCTACGTCGACGGCGATGGTGATGGTGATCGAGGGGTGTCGTTGCTTGGTGGGGCTCTGGAGAGGGAGGACAAGGCACAGTCGACAGCGACAGAGCAAATCACCCCGGCTCAAGTCATTTGCGAACACATATCCAAGGTGTATTCCATGTGCCGTGATTTGGCCGTCCTAGCTGGCCAAGCATTTAATAATAGTACTAGAAATTGGAAATTTGGCCACATCTCGTCCTTCAAACTCGAAGGAAGCTAGCTGTCTTGTTATTATTGCCCACCATTTAGAGCAGTCCCCCCAGGCTGTTGCTGCCTGAAGTAGCGCGCCACTGAGCCCAGTAACACAGTGGGGCTCCCTCTCTTCCCAAACTCAGTCACTTCCAAACGAATGGACTGCCCCCAGACAGGGAAGGTACGGTGTACGGGGTACAGTAAGGGAGATCAGAATACCGTAATTGCTAATGTGTAAGGTAAGGTAAAGTAAATAGAATTTCGGTTTCGGTTTCCATTTTATCCTGGGAGACCCGACTTTCCTAAACCAGCCTTCCCACACGGCCAGATTACCCCAGCCCATCCATCCACCGTTACTCCTGCCCCTATCTAAACACCCAAACAAGCCAGCCAGCCAGCCCCTTTCCCCCCGTTCATGCGCCACAATAAATGTTGAACGTGACCCCAGACAAAAATTAGTATTGAAGGAAATGCACTTCTCTACGTGCCCTACCATCCCTACTCCGCCGCCGCCAGCGCCGCAACAATAACGTCCATGGCAGAGCTATGCGTCGTGGCGTTTGGCCCGCCACCCGCCGACGCCGGGCCAGCCCAGTCGATGCCGAGCTGGTTGAGTTCGTTGCGGTTGTTGGCCCAGATGGAGTCAGCGTTCTTGTTGATGGCGGAGCGGAAGGCGTTCTGCGGGGCGGCAGCCTGCAGGTAGTGGAGGTTACGCACGAAGATGCCCTTGAACTGCGAGCCGTCGGCGCCGCAGTTGGGTTCGCAGTGATCCGTCTCGTGGATGATGCTTGTGGTCGGGTCCGACAGGGCCGACAGGGCGGCCGCGGCGATGGCTGTGGCCTCGCTCAGGTACGAGCCGTCTCCCATGGCCCTAGCCAGCTCGACGAGGCCGCCGAGCACGACGCCTTGGTTATACGACCACGTCTGCTGGCCGTTGTTGACGCAGCTGCCGTCGTCGTTGATGCGCAGCCCGTCGTTGATGAGGTTGTTGGCATTAATCATACCGCTACCCTTGAACCACGCCCACTCAGCTTTAGCAACGCCCAGGTAGTAGTCCTTATTGCCCGGTACACGATTAGCAAGACTCGCCGCCACGCTCAGGTATAGCTCGTTGGCGATGGCGTTCTTGTACGCCCGCTCCTTGCTCCACCAGATACCGCCTCCGCACTTCTGGTCCGTGCCGTTCTTCATATCTTCGAATATGTGTTCTGCCATGTCCAGGTAGCCCTGCTGGCCTGTCACGTCCCACGACCGTATCAACGCAAGCGCCCACCATCCCTCATCATCGTAAAAGTCGTTGATAAAGCCTGAGAAGCCCCGGGTATCCAACTCGCCCGGCTTCTGTGCTCTGCGGTGAAACTCGTACTTGGCCATGACCAGGCCGTTAGCAGCCAGTCTCTTTTGCGTCGTGACAGAAGTCTTTTGCGCATTGTTATAAGTGTTGGCCATGACGCTGGCCACGCCCAGGGCCACGGCGTTTGCTTTGTCCAGCAAGGCCCAGTCGCCGAGAACCGTCAGGCAGTTGGCGCTATTCCACCAGCCTGTCGAGAGCCAGAGCCCCGTCGACGTGTCATACCACGCCTGAAGGGCCTTGGCTGCGTCCAGCGAGTTCCTGGCGTAGACAGCATCGGCCGTCTTGTGTAAGGGTGACGACACGACGAAGGCGGTAGCTCGGGCGGCCCAAAGAAAGCCCCATTTTGCGGATACCATGTTGAAGGCCAGTCTTGTGATTTGCGGGAGCGGTGGTCGATCAAGTACTAGGTGGGCAAATGGCGAGTCTCCCAAGACGGTGCTGGGCCTGCTCGTAGGGCCGGCCGGAAGACAACAGATGGTATAAATACTCGCCAAGGCGGCCGCGGCAACCACGGCGGCCGTGACTCTGCCGCCCGGAGCCAACGGTTTGCGGAAAGAAGTGGACAAAAATGTGGGCAGCACGGTTGGCCGTGTGAATCCTTTCGAGGTTGTGGGGCGTTCCTCTGATGATCCCCCCCATGATGCCCGACCGTCCGACTCTGGCTTGGAGTCCGAGTTGTGCCCAAACATGGCAAGTGGTGGAAACTCTGCGGCAACGCCAAGCCGTCTAGTGTCGTATTGTAACCTTCACACACGCCTCCTACGCACCAGTGTCTACGCAGCAAAGGGTCAGTCAGCGGGATGGTATGGCAGCATGTGTAGATCCCCTTGGTGGACCTGGTGGCTTACCGATGTCGTGGCTGCATGAAGAGCAGGCAATAAGAGTAAATCGAGATGAGAAGATGAGCTATTGGCGGACCTTGGGCGCAAACAAGGCAAAGCAAACCACGTTGCCCCAGAGTTTTCGAGACTGGAGCCAAGATTAATTGGAGCTTCTGTCATGCGCCAGTCAAGGCGAGTGTTTGCAGGATGGCTGCCGTGGCCAAAGCGAAGCAAGTGCAAGAACAGCCCAGAGCAAATAGCAGGAGAGGAAAGTGACTCCGAGAACCCCGTGCGGCGCGCCAGCCCGTGTGGTTGGAGTTGAGATGGAGGTCCGCACGCGCGCGGTGCAACATATGACGCCGGTGGACTGGGCGCACGGCAGCTAGCATGACCTAGTCGACACCGGTGCGGGCGCCAACTATTGTCGGGAGATAGGTGTCAGCGGCGCTTCTTGTCGAACAATGCACGTCCATATCCGGAAGCTCAGCAGGCAGTGAATGCCGACGAAGCCGCATCAATTCTCGTTCTCGACACCAGTCATCAGGCATGGGCACTGGCGCGCATGTATGATACCGGTTTAGGAGACAGTTTCGGGCGTGATACAACGGCGCCCACGCGACTTGCCCAGTCCGGTGTCTCTTCAAATCTTGGAAGAAAGCTGCCTCACCCAACACATTCTCTCCTCTCTTCTTCTTCTTCTTCTTCTTGTTGTTGTTGTTGCACTACATGTTTCGAAATTGCGTCGTGGCTACGATGCGTTTGTGGGATACGATACTCAGTGCATCGCACATATGACTGCGCCAGGTTTGTGAGTTTGTTTCCTGCTCAACTCCAAAACAGCGGATAGAGATGAGGGCAACAGCGTGACTAGCCCATCAGGCTGCCAGCGGGTTGCGGCTGACCAGAATATAGCCAGCCAGCCACCTCGGCTTGATGTTGCTCTCTCTCTACCCGCCCTTGGACGTCTTGTGTTGCTATGACACGAGCCGGCCTAGGAAGGCGGCGCTTACCAGCTGGTTCAATCCACTAGAGCTCGTGCTCGGTCGGAGCCCAATCGATAGGGCGACGGTGCGAAGGTGTTGGGGTGGTGCAAGGTAGCCCGAGCCCGGGCAGTTGTGCCCATTTGCTGTTCCAAAAGATGTGGAGAGGGTGGTGAGGTCCAACGAGTTGTCTGGAAACCGAAACTGCAACCTCACCCGCAACCCCCTGCCTTCGTTGAGACCCTGGTAGCCGGGCCCTAAAACTTCCAACGGGAAACTCCCACTGCCCAGGCCCAGTTACCCGGACTTCAGTGGACTGCCTATTTTTACACCTACCCCACATTCTCAAGATAGGTGGCCAAGCAAAGTCCAGTAATGGCAAGTAGGAACAAGCTTTGATCCTTCTTGCGAACGCTGCGATGGGGAATGGAGGGCACTGCCGGCAGTGGGAATAACAATATACGGCGTATAGACAGCAGATCCCACGTCATCGCCCCCCTCTCATCCTCTGTCTCAGGGAAGATGTTTGGTTTTGTTAACAGGGCGAGGCGCTCTTTCCATTCATCGGTAACGTCCTGTATGGACTTACATAAAGTACTGTACGAATACTGTATGTACAGCCAGCATGGGGATCATGCATGTTCCCCGCAACCCCGCAGAACCCTCTCCAACTTCTCCAACCTCCACTCTGTTTGTACCCCTAGATTCCGGCTGGTCCTGCAATAAGGTTTTTAAACTGTTCGTTTTTTACTCTTCACGACGTCAATTCCCGAGCAACTAAAGGACGAAGACGTAAGGAGCAGCAAGATCAGCGCTTGCCTCAAGCACAGTATTCGTCTTAAGCTTGCCCGCTTCTTGGCTTTTTTTATTCAACTATTTATTTTCCCTTGGTCATGTTTTCACTCTCTTCGGCTTACCCCGCACAGGTTCGTTCCTTAGGTTGCGAGTCCGGCATCCGGACTCTTTCCCGGCCCATTTTTTATAACTCTCATTCCTGGATTTCCAGAAGGCAAATTTCTCTACGGAACTCCCTTGATTACCCAACCTTCGATGAGAAACTAATGGTTGCATGCTTGATTGGTTTTGCAGTTGCCCTGGGTACAGAGTGAAAGGGAGACGTCTCTGCGTCTCGGGCCCTAACCATGAATGGAACTTTCAGGGGTGTTGCAAGGGCCCCTGAGAGCTTCCGTGTTGGAAAATTCTAGAAGGAGGGGTCTCGAGAGCTCCTTGCAAAGAACTCACATGTCAAGATCAAGGTTTTGTCAGCTCCTCCCCGCCGTATCGTCAAAGGTATCAGCTATACGGAATATCCCAGTCTGGCTGCGCGGCCTACCAACGAGTCTCATCATCAGTTCATCACGGCCTCTCGCGTCTTCTTAGGAAATGCCGAGATTGGACATCTCCGGGCTCAAACCTCGCGCCTTCAACTTCGAGCCCTGATCCCGGAATCAGGATCAAGTAGCTGTTTTCGAAGGTCTTGATGAGCCCCATCACGGAGGAAGGCATTCCATCGCCGAGATACGAGTGCTTCCGTGCCACAAGACAAGACCTGTCTCGGCGGATAAGCATGGACCAGACCAAACCCTTGTCTGGGAGCCCTCTCGGTGCCGCTGCCTGCCGGCATAGTTTGCCGACGGACAAGGTTATTTCTCCCCCTGCGTTAGTTCGAGGCGGTTCAATTTACAAGACTGCCATTGGCCTCACTACGACTCTTTGACTGATAGTTCACGGCTCGGCATGTACAATACAATCCGAAAGCCAGGTAGTTGCACATCAACCTCACCATCACACCGGTGTGGAACGACACATCGGGTCTTTTCTAAAGGACCAGTCGGCATTGGCCCCCTGCTCAGTTTGTCAGCAGTGGCTTGCCTGGGCGCTGGAGGCTGGGGCCACCTTGAGGCTGACTGTCTCTTCGGGATTCTAAGTGAAACATCATCGAGGTCCGTGGGCGTCAGCTGAAATTTAGACCTTTTTCCTATTTTGGCCAGACTTGGGCTTGTTCCGGGGTCGGGAGACACAGGCGGCCGCGGGCCCCGCCGGGGCAGCGCCGGAGCCGGCTCCGCCTTGGCTTTCCTTGCCTAGTCTGCACTTGGGACAGAACGCCTCTTCTCTGCGCTTGGACATTTGGAGGGGCCAACAGTGGCGTCGGGCTTTTGGCGATCAATGACCAAGACGGAATGGTAGGCGCCTCCATGCAAGCCCGATCAGAATGGGTAGCCGCTGTGGCACATTATCCCTGTGCCCCTGTTAAACTCCCGAGGACCGGCCAGAGTGGGACAAGACTCGACAATGATGAGGGGGCGCGGGTCGGACATATGTATCGTACATACGGTGTACATGCATATAATATTCCAAGTTGCTCCGAGAACAACACACGTCGGAGCAGCCAAAAGCAAGACATTTCCGTAGTGTACAAACCGTCGTGTCAAATTTCCGTTTCCCGATAGAAGAAGCAATTGTGCTCGAAACCGAAACCAGGGGAACAAACATGAGGCTAAGAGCAGAGGAACGAAAACCTGAATCGGAGACATGGAAAAAGGAGGCAACGAAACAGTAAAATATTTCTGACACGTCACACGGGATCGGGGAACAAATAGGAAGACTCCGGTTCATCCCCGTGGCATACGGTCAAGCAAACACACGAAAGTACCCTACATTCCCAAGTATCCCGGCTTTTTAGCCAGGAGCTTTGTGAACGCGGTTGGGGTTTTCCTAGGCCGGCTCCGAACCCGTTTGACAAAACGGAACGCAGTTATGGGCAAAGGTGAGAATATAAACCAGCTACGTACGGACTATCTGTAAGCTTTCGGGAGTTACCTGTCATGTCTCGGAAGACGGACCAAGACAGGGGGAGGGGAAGAAACGCAAACCACCTACCTACCGTATCCAATACGGATGCTGGAATTTCTTCTCTCCCAGATGTTTCCAGCTACGTAACTACCTCGCAGTATCAACTACCGTTTCCTTATAACAATACAAAAGTCTCCTGCGTCGTCTTGTGCGACCTGATGTGACATGACATGACACGACACGGGGGTGGGGATCTGGGGGGGTTAAGATGGTGTGACAACCGGCCGGTTCGAGAAGCGATGATGCAGCCGCTTTTTTTCTCGAGGTCAAGTCCACACACGACGTACTATCACGACATGTGTATTCCCCAAACACCTACCTTTCGTACACAACACAATGTAGAACCGGACAAATTTTGGCACACACCGGCCGGACGGTACGAGAGACATTTCCATACTAGCTAGGCCTTGGCGCCAGGGCAAAAGAAAAACCGACAGGTCAGTTACACGAACACGATATGCAGACACCACACGCACATTAGAAGACTTGAGTGGAAAAAAAGGTGATATGATCGCCGAGTCGTAGCAGTAGCCTGACAAATCGGGACCCCCTTGCGTTCCCGTCACACCCGGTCATAGTGACTTATATCCATGATCCATCCATAGAAGCATCGGGGAACATTCTCCAATGTGGTGGGGACTGACTGAGAGAGAAAAAAAGGGGGCGGCGCAGCGCAATGTTTTACCTTGACGCCCCCTTGGGCAAACAAAGAAACAAACCACGTTTTAAAACACGAGCGAGACAGAAGCAAGCGTCAAATAATCCGAGGGTTACGGAAAATTAGGTAACTGGGTGGTTTAGGTAACTCTCTCTCGCCTTGTCAAACTACTACGTAGAGTTTCCTAATCCGCCTCATTGCAAGGATTTCTCGAAAATAAAGAAAGGAAAGGATCGTCCAAGTAAGGAAGAACAACCCCATCAATGTTTCTGGCCCAGCAGAGTTACTAGAAGCGAAAATTGCGAGAGGAAAGACAGATACGAGCAGACCAACCACACAAGTTACAACAAGTGGCGTGAAGTTAGACCGGGGAGGGGGGAGAGAAAATTGACAAGTCACAAATAAAGAAAACTCAAACCCAAACACAGCCAGTTACAACAACAACAACAATAACAACAAGTCTTTTCTTCTCTTTTCGGACGCCGTATCCCACCCCACCCCGCTGCCATTGCCCATTTCCGTTCCCAGCCGCCGTAAGGCGTATCCTTGGTCTGGTGAATCCATTCTGTCTAAGAAGTTTGACGCGCTGGAACAAAGGAAAATAAAAACCGAAAGCTAGATCCGAATCTCCCATCCTCTATGTAGTGTTTTTTTTTTCCTTTTTCTGTTTTTTCTCTTCAAGTCTTCAATCTTCTTTTCCCGCCGCCGTTACCTTTTTCCCTTCCCATTTTTGTTTACCCTGACGCCTTCCTGTAGAACGAAAAAGAAAAGGAAAGAAACGATTGCTGTTCCTCCGTCTCCCACTCCAAAAGTACCGATGCTCAAAAGTACCACCACGACAGGTGGTGGGCTGAGCAGGGGTGTGTGGAGAGAGAGGGGTGGGCGTGTAGCAAAAGTACCTTCTAAAAAGAAAAAAAAAACCAGACGAATCCCAAAATTCCCGACCAGCTGGGTAGGTAGCGGCGGCAGCGCCAGGGATGCCGTAGCCGACCGATGCTGCGTGGGCCCGTCCGTGGGAAGAGACAGGCCGAGAGGAGCGAGGGTTGGGAGTGGGTTTCGTTAAATTGGCGGCGTTACAGGATCCCAAGACACCGGAAACGGACCCGCCTTTTTTCCTTCTTTCTCTTTTAGAACGATATGGCCCCCAAAAAGCCGCGACGGAACGCTGCTGGAGCCGAGAAATCGAGGACGGACGGGCTTCGAGAAGCAGGCTGCGAGCTAGTGATAGATATTCGCACATGAATAGAAAAAAGGCGCCCGAGTTTCGTAATGTTGGCCGCAAATAGCGAAAGCGCCCAGAAAACAGGCGGGTGTTTATTTTCGCTCGGTAAAGGTCGTCAAAATTGTATAGCGGTCTCCTTCAGGCCAGGGCCAAACCTTGACCGTTCCGTAGCGGGCCGCCCACCGCCGGTCCGTTTGTCCATGGGTTTCGTTTTGGGTAGGACGAAGTTTTTGACACTGTTTGCCTGCCATTGCCAGAAGTCAGCCTCAAACGGTTCTCTCAAAGCCGCAGCGTGCGTCTATTGCAAACGAAGCGCCGAGACAGCTGGGAATTTTTGTTTTCCAGGGTTCGAGAGATGAGATCACGCCCGCCCCGCCGCCACTTGGGTGCGCCTCAAGCTCTCTCTCCCCCTCTGTGCCTGTGCCTGTGCCCATGCTCATGCCCCCCCCCCCCCCTGTCGGCTCGGCTTTGGTGTGCCCTGGAGACTCTGAGATGGAGGGGGCGTGCCCGTTCCCGCTTGGGGCGAGCTCGGAAACGCACATCACTGGACGAGGAGCAACGACGCACCTGAGCGCAACGCAGGGCAAGGTTGTACTGTACCTTACGGTACTGTGGACAGTACAGGACGGACTGGGCTTGGACGGACTGGGGGGACACCACCACACCACTCGCTGCTTCACCAGCCGGCTGCAACTCACCTGCCGACATCAGACCAACCACGGCCCTCCCTTCCTTCCAGCAACCCTCCCTGGGCGCACGCACCAGATCCGGGGTACCGTACATGCTGGGCCAGGCACAGGACCCGGCTTAGGCATTTTCTATGCAGGGACGACACGTGTTGATCTTGCAGTACCGGCATTCAAAGATCCACCAGTGGGGTCCCGAGTGGCAGATGTGGCAGGTCCACTGGATCAGTGTGCTGTCCGACTTGATCATTTTGAAGGAATGCGCGCAGTGGGTAGTATTAGCCATGGTTGCCGAGCCGCGGTTGTTTGCAATGAACCTGAGGTGAGGTAAGGCGAGGTGAGGTCAAGTTAGGTTAGGTAAGGTAGCAGTTGATGGTCGCTGCCGGGGGCCTGCAAAGTCGAGCCTTTTTGCGGGCCGATACCGAGACAAGTTGTGGACTGGGACAGGCTAAGCCGGAGGCTAATAAGTGTGCAGTGTAGTGCAGTGCAGTGCAGTGCAGTGCAGTGCAGCGTTAGAAAAAAAAAACCTGGCGCCTTGGGTTCCTTAGGTTGCCTAGCACAACGAGCTTTTAGCTTCGGTCCCGTATTAGTTGAGGGCGCCCGAGGACATCGGACGGCAACGGTTCGGCGGCCGTCGTCTTCACTCTGCACTCACCGAAGATAGCGAGCCCGGCTCCGAGATCAGATAAGAGGAAGAGTTGCCTGACTTTTTCGGTGTCAAGGTCTTTGTCAAAAAAGTGAGCCAAACTAAGTCTGTCTGTCTGTCTTGTCTGTCTGTCTGGGCAGGCGTGGGCGGGATGTGGTTGAGTTCGTTCGAGAAGTGTTGGAGTTGTTGCGGATGATGGGATGGAGTTGTCTGTAAGTGAGGAAGGAGGGCCGGCTATTTATCAACTCCAGGTTTGAGACAAGGACAAGGGACAGTCCGATCGATCATGTCCTGATGGCAAGTGGGCGGTGAGCAAAAGGAGGACGGCAAAGGAGAAAGGGAAAAGAGTACAAGATGGAATCTGGTCGAGTTGTTTGTCAAACGTGGCATCCGTGACGGCAAGGGTGATTGTCGAGCTGCAGAGGTAAACGGGAGCGAGGAAGCGGCTTTTGTCCTGTTTAGCGAGTCCAGAGTCTAGAGTGGAGGCTATCCGGGACACGAGGACGTCGAGGTCTGGGCTGCCATGCGGTAGTCGAACGGTCTTCTGACGACTTGGATGGCACTTCGCCAGGGGCGAGCCAGAAAGCTGCTTGGAATGGGCCCAATGATATGCGCCGCGTAGGCATGATGGAAGCGTGGGAAGACTTCCGGTTCCGAAGAAGGGGATCCCATAATCGGGGCATGGATCGAGCGAAAAGAGTGGGCTATTAGACTATCCTCCCTGTTTCTTATTAGACTGACGTGACGAGTAGCTATGATGTACCGAACATCCTTTTTTTCTCCCTCGCTGACGGGTCGAGCTTGAGCTTTCCCTGCGGGATTCGTCCATTGGCTACGCACCAGCCGAATGGCCCGGCAGGGCGAGCGTTGAACGCGGCCGGCCTTGCGATAAGGCAGAGCATCCATGCCTACCTACCTGCCTATGTCCCATACCCAGGTGCGAGGCATGTATACATACATAACTTCAGTTACCTTACCTTAAACAGTACTGTGTGTGTGTATGAGCATGTATGTACTTCGTACATACATACAATACCGAGTGCCCCGCAAGCGTTCCCGCGGGTTTACCGACGTCAACAACCCCGTTCGATTTTGCTCGGCCGCCGTGGTTCGCGATAGGCCGGCGTCCTACGCGTGCACTGTGCGGCACGCGTGGAACAAGCCCGCCTTGTCAGTCACGGTACGGGTAGTCTCGTGTGCACCTATGTATCTGGCATCATTAGGTACACGGTGCGTGTGCAACCAAGGTATTGTATCTACCTATCTTCCTACCTATCTACCAGATGTATTCGTACCTCAGGTTATACAGACAAAGGCAGCTGAGGTAAATACTCACACACAGAATTAACATCATGTTGGAATGACGGAGGAGACAAGAGCAGCGGGTGCTTTCCGACCGATCCAGCAGCACCACACACCCGAAAACCGGCAGGACGTGCTGGTTTTTTATGGCCGGGGGAACCCTGTCTGCTGCCGAAGGTTTTCCTGATGTGGCCCCCTTGTAAAGCTGCCGCAACCCATTTCGGCAACTCTATGGCCCTGTTGGGGGAGGGGGAGGGTTATAACAAGCCAAGTTAAGGATTGGGTTTAGCCAGCGAACCTTGGTTGAGTGTGTATTCTTGCTGCGGGCTCTCAATAAAATTTTTCTGGAGTCCAAACGAAAGGCCATCCTGGAGCCGGATAGGACGACTCCTGCCCATGCTACAAGGGTCGATGACCTGTCAATCGGCGGCTCTACTGCTGCTTTCCTGCTTCTCTGGACCAGTTCGACCATTCGAGCCATGAAGGGCGTGGGCAAACGGCTCCTCATTGGCTGTGCGCTCCAGATGTCAGTCGAGGCTCTCTCTCGACAGGGCAACTATACCACGGACATCATCATCCAGGCAGAACCCATGCGGGCACAACGACAGGAGTCCTGACCACATCCATCTCACACCATTCGCCTCTCTGTGCTGACTCGGCCGCCCGGATACGACCATATGGATGTGGTCATGGAGAGGCTGGCTGCCTTACATGCTCGGCAGCTGTACGAAGTATTGCTATTGTCGTCAACGCCCACCGCCACCCACCTAAGGTACCTACCTACCTATAAGCATTGCTGCCTGCACCGCTGATGGCCTGTCAAAAGAGGAGTCTGCCCCGAGCGGGCCCAGGGATGGATTTAGGTTGCGCGGCAGGCGTGTCGCGGGACTGGGCGTTTGGCGGTCCTCGCATCAGGCTTGAGCGACGTTGTACAGGACAAGACGGTACGGGGCCGGGCCATGGCTTGACGGCTTGTCCAACGCCGCGACACGGGTACCTTGCATGTCGTTTGGCGGAAATCGAGAGTCTTCAGCCGAGAGATCGCAATAGTCTATTGCCGCGACTGGGACGCCGGGGGATCTGGAATCAGCTCGGATAAAGAGCTGCCCGCGTACCTACCTTAAGGCACCAAACCTATTGGACCTGGGATGAATGGGCGTCGCGGCAAGTGCACGCCTGCCCTGTGCCTCGGGCAATCCGCCACTGGCATTGCCACTGGCAGCAGCTCAGGTCGGGGTAGGTCGTGGGCTATCGTCGCTGCCTAGGCAAGGTCAGGTAAGGTAGCTTGCCCTGGAGAGCAGCACAAGGGCTCCTTCCGACCTGGACCTAGAGTCTGGGGTTCCTTCCTTTCATCTTCCCGCCAGACCGTTTGAAGTCGTCGCGGGGTCTGTCGCTCTTGCCCCACCTCGCTGTCAGACGTTGGATGAACCGGCGTGAGCGAGGGTTTGCTCAGGCATATACGTAGATGCACGAGCAGCCGGGGGGCAGGACGGCTAGACACCAAGGAGCAAGCAGCAGTCTTAGATACCGTAGAGGAAGAAAAATTGCATTAAACGGCTTGCAATTGCTCACTGCTCTTGAGGCGTCGGGCAAGGGACAGGGCTTGGACTGCTTCAAATCACTGCTTTACGGAGCATGGGGTACAGCAATGTTTATTCGTACATGCTGCCCCCCCCCCTTGCCTCTCTCCACGTCGGTCAGTTACTACTAGGGCAGTAGCCTGGAAGGTGCGGGCTACCTCAGTTCAATAAGGTAGGCTCAGCCGTTCATGATACCATTATCATGGCAACTACTAAGGACAACCTACTTACCCTCCCCACCCCCGCGTCATAGGGAGGGCAGCCGGGGCAGTCGCAGGTCGGTGAGATCATGAGGGCGAGGAAGGTGCATTTGGCGGGTCTTGCCTCAGACACCATTTAACCATTCCATAGGTACCGTGCATCCCCTATGACTAAGGTTACCTTTACCGCGGGCAGGCAATGTATGTTTATGCATACATGCAGTACATGCATACCCCAAACCTTGCCATTTGTTCCAAGCGCACCAATGTGTTCTGTTGGGCTGGACCTTCCATTACCTTGGACATTACCTTACTTGGTACATTCGTTACACCACCTTACCTAAGGTAGGTGGTACCTACCTTGCGGATATATGGATTACTTCCAACGGAAGTCTCGACCCTTCCTGTACATCCATACCAGGTACAGTACATACGTCACTCTCTTCATTAAGCGTGTTGCTTGGAAGTCAAAGTACCTTAGCCCCCAGGAGTTAGTGCCTGGGGTGAAGTGGGCATACCCGCCGTCACCCCGACTTCGAAGGTTTCCTAAGCTTCGAGCCTCCCTCAGGCTTTGGAGATTCTCATCACCGCGAGTCTTGCTTAATACTTTGCCTAGGAACGCACCTGACCCAGCTAGGGAAGGCAACGCCCAGCAATAAGGGGATACGATACCGCCTAGGCTCCATTCAGGGTTGTCGGGTGCCTCCATACCTTAGGCTGTCTCGTTGCGGGCGCATTTGACAATCTGACTGGTAGTCCTCAAGTTGTCTCACGGCCCTCAGGGCTGAAGAAGCTCGCTCGTTCGTTCGACAACCTCGACCGCTGCAACCTGCGCTTCCCATCTACCCCTCCCTCCTCCGTTGCCCAGAAATCTCATCTCAAACCTGCCGTCTGTCCATCCACCTACCTTGCCCTGAGTGTATAACCAGACGCAACAGGAGGACGAAGATACGAACTGCGGATACCTAGGCGGCGAATCACTCGGCACTTAATATCGCCATGTTATCAAGGCAGATGCAGCGCGTCCAAAGAGGAAGTGACGCTCATTGTTCCCGAGGGGCTCAGACACTTGCAACGAGAGCCGAGCAGCCGTGGTAGCATGTCTGTGCAACCGGCACGCCAACGAAAGAAGGCAAAGGCTGTTAGTTGACTACCCCTACTCCGTACTTTATACATTCAGCACGGGAATTTCAGGACTCGCTCTGTAAACCAAAACCCTGCGTTCGCTCGGGACGAGATTGCCGTGCAAACCCCAAAATAGTCACTCGGCTGACAGGATCTACGATTTCGAGGGCTACGAGAGGCTCAACCCGGGCCTGTCTATCTGCTGTAGCTGCAGAATTTTGTAGGTGGTCCAGACATCCCGACCAAGTCGGTTGGTGGCATCGCAGAAGACTCTTACATGTGGCGTTGGAGCGAGGCGAAAGCGAGAAAAACCAGGACTTCTCCAGGCCACTCCGACCAAGCCCCCCCAGCAAGGAATTTTCTTCGTTGCTTCTAGCCTCTCGTAGCGCGTCTCGTCTCGCTAATAATGCGTCTGCCGTGCTGGACGAGGATCAGAGCTGATGCCATGAATGTTGACTGACAGGGGCACGTTCCATGGAGGTTCTAGCGCTCTGTGATTGTTCCAAAGTACAGTACTTACTCCGCAGGCGGCGCCCGCCTTACGGTCCACGGAACGGCGGTATAGGTTTCCGCGCCAAACCAACAACGGCAAGCCAGTTCATTACATTCCAGTGTACAGCCCATGTCCTTGCCCAAGGGCTGCATCTGAATCGCCGGTCGCCACAGCGTTCGTTGTACACCTCCCCCGGGGTTTAAAACCTTAGCAGAGTGGCTTTTAGCAGTGAATTTGCCAGGAATATAAGCCATAAACGCAGGGGGTTGGAAGTCACTTTTCTAGCAGGTTCTCACCAAAAAGTCACGTGGTGGCTTGGCTGTATCGCACTAAGGTTTTAAACCCCGGGAGAGGTGAATTGTCGACTGACGCACAAGATTGCGGTTGGCGAGCAATGCCTGGGCCCGGAGTGCCCGCTGACGCGCGGAAATGACTGGACTGCCATATTGTGCCGAGGAAACCGGCGGTGGCTTCGTAATTCGTCTTCTACTCTTTCGAGGGCGTATTCTCCTGGAAATGAGAGAGCGTGATGGCATCATCAAAGCGCCCGGCGACAGGGCCCTTGACATCGCGAAGCAACCCTTGAGAACGACATGAGGGAATTTGGCAACCTTAGGTATGGGCGGACACGCACAAGCCAACGCACAGGGCAGATCGTTGGTGGACCGGCTGTGAGCCCGAGAGTAGCCCGCTGTTGGGACCTTCTCTGACCAATTGCAGGATTCCTCCCGCTCTGGTGACTTCAAACACATGCACCTCATGCAGCAGTCTGGTCTATGCGCCCCCGATTTTCAACGACACCGCAGTGTGTACCCGTCAACGCTCGGTCGGTCTAGAGGCTCATTGACTCTTGTCAAGTCATTCACTTGGAACCGCGAGCAGATCAACCGAGACAGCCGCGTAAACTTTTCTTTTCTTCTTTTCGTGGCCCCCAACGGGCCAGCACTTCTCCGTTCGCGGCGCCTCCAATGAGGGTTGTGAGAGCCAATCGTGCAACCATGGCATGACAAGGCAGTTGACGGAGCCAGGGTCGTCAATTCTCTGGGAATTCCATAGCTTCCCACCAACGACCTTGCAGTATACTCTACGTATGTATGTACGACTAGACTGACTTACATACCCGTCTCTCGTCAGAGTTGCAGCGTCGCCATGAAGGGAATCTGCAGCCTGCTCAAAGCAGCAGACAGCCAAGTCAAGTCGTGGCAGGCCCTACCCCCCTCCAGGACACTCCGCATATCCGACACGTTGATGCACAGGATCAGCGAGAGATGCCCTTCAAAGCGGGGTGCTTCTTTTGGTCAATGACATGTGTCTAAGGCACTCTTGGTTCATTTTGTCCCGTCTTCGGTGTGAGCAACAATTACGCCTCCGCATATCAGGCACATCAGTCTTCACGAGCCGAGCTCTGATTGGCTGTTTTCTTCTAACAGCGCGACCTTGTCGGCAGCCGAGCCTTTCCCCACCACGTCTATCTCACTGCATACCACTGTACTTTGGTCGGCGAAAGGGCAAAGGATTTCTCGAATCGAGGGGATTTTTTTTGTCGGGCAGATGAAGGCAGTGGAGCATCGGATGACATCGCCTTAGCCAAAGCTAGACATAGGGCTCGAGCAGCGCGAACACTTTGGAACAGGGAATGTTGAAAAAAGCCGACAGCCTCATCTGCCGGTAGCGGATCGCGCATTGATGTTCTACGGCGTCGTCACTCGAAAACTGGACTTCTAAACGCCATCTCGTCATGAAGAACTTTCCATCTACGTCGCGCCTTTTGTCAGGGACTTCAACTTCTTACTAGTACCAAAGTTCTTGTTGAGTAAGCGTTCGGCCGAGTGAGCGGCCGCGCTTCCGGTCAGCCAAGAGAATGCTTAGAGGAACTAGGTTTCGATCCTCAGATATCTGGTTGTCTACAAACAAGTCTGTCAGACCTGCAGGCTGCTCAGAATGGGAATCACGGTACAGATCCGAAAGCGAATGGGGCCCCCAAAAAAACCTACGCGACCCCCCACCTCGGCGTGGCTTCCTTCGCGGCTTCTGCTAAAGCACATCCGCCGCTTGGTACGTATATGTATGTACAGTACATACATGCATATGGAATGCCCGTACTGTATGTACATGTACATACGTCCTGTACATACCAGGAGTGTCTGGATTCCACCAACGGCCAGGCCCTGGTTATCGGTGCACATCTTCTCACACATCGTTCCTCGGGTCTTGCCTGAAGCTAGCTTCTCTGACCATGGGCGCGCAGCGGACAATCGCCCGCATAGATGGTGACAGAAAGTCTGCGGATAGGCAGATCCTATTCAAGGATCAGTATAGAGGGACGCGTGCTTCCCTCCAGGGCTCCTTCCCGCTCCTCCGCTACCTCCACCTGTCCGAACTGGTTCATGATGGTTCGGACGGCCGCTCCCACTTCTTTTTGAGAACTGACGGGCCTAAGCCACCTTGAACAAGGGTCCCGGCAGTCACTCCACCCGGCTCTTCCCCCCCTTCCACAACCATCCACACTCGCCCCCCCTCTCCCCATGTCCCCCCACCTGGTTTGAGACCCGTTTGCAACCCTTCTACGCGTAGTTAGACCCCGAGCAGGACGAGGCTGTGATGTCACTTGCAGGTTCCGAGTGTGACTATGCTAGGGGGAGGCTCCATCTTTACTGGTATCTATTTCTCTTTCTCATGTCTCCTTCGCCGCGCGATACCTCAACTCAAATACTCTCAGACACCGGTGAAGAGTGTTAGTGGAGGTTTGCTGAGAGAAAGAGTGGCGTCTTCGGCCCCCCCTTGCACCACGCATTGGGCAAAGACGCGTGGAAGTCCGTGGGCTTGGCCGTTTACGCCTCAAGCCTTGTTGCTTGGCATCGGTAGTTTGAAATGTTCTGTAGGGTTGTGATGTATTTGCGCGTTGAGCCTTGTATCTCTTTTCCACTTTCTCCTATCCCCTTGCCTCTGAATCTCTTGTTCGTTCTTGAAGAGACCTAGAAAACGTTAGACTGCTTCGTCCGTCCCCCTGAAGAGAATAACCCTCCTCAACCAAGCAGACGAAGTGCGCTAAAGATTGATATCTCTTTTACACTAGTACCCTGCAACTTCCAATATCACCTTCCTGCCCCGTCCGCCGCCGCCCGTCTGTCTTCTGCATCGACCAATCTCGTCGTGGTGACCTCTGGCCCGTCCCGTGTCCAAAACAGTCGTGTAGTTTCCGCGAAACCACCGGAACCAGCACCAACAACTGTTTGTTTTTGTGATGAGTCACATTTTCGGTCCATACATGTAGTCGCGAAATAAATTCATTTCCATCTCCATAGGGGGGAGGGGAGGGGGGAACCCCACAGAGGGAAGTCAAGAGGGGAAAAAAGAAGAAAATGAAATTCTGTGTATGCAACTCTCCTCGCTGATTCTATGCTGTTTATCTAATCTATCTCGGGCGATCTCCGCTTGCCCCCCTTTTCGTCATGGATACAGCATATAGGAGGCGCACGCACGCAACGCACGCACACTCTCTATATCTCACACTCACCAAATGCCCCATGCCACCCACGCACCACATCACAATCGCTCGCTCTTCTGGGCCGTCCTTGCTCAACCGTTGAGAGAGATTCTCTGGCCGAGCGCAGGCTACCCCACGTACATGCCCTCCCTATTGGCCTTCTTTCCTCTCTCTGTTTTTGACCGTTTGTCTCGGCCTCCACGCTAGCGGCCGTTATGCTCGCCCCAAGACTAGCGGTGAAATGCCAAGCCGTCATCCACCGGGTCATGATCCCGGTTCTCAAAAAGAACAGAAGAGAGAATATTTTCCCTTCTTGACAAAAAGCCCCGAAACGCTGTGCTGAGAGGCGCCCAGGAATCCTGGTATAAAATGCAAATCTTCGGGGAAAACCCTCCAAAATCTCATGATTTCTGCATCAGACCTTGGGACCCATTCGGGGCTCATGTTCCGGTTTAGGGACAACTCATTAACCACCATTCCCCATCCCCCCGCTTCCCGTCCCTTCCCCCCTTGCCCGTTGAGCCCGCACCAGTCTGCTATAGTGCGACAAGAAGGTCTTGGACAAGATATAGAATGCGACTTTCAGTTCTCGTCGGCTGGCTCGGGTGGATCCGACGTTGTAGTAGGAGTCGTTGTGGCGTTCTCCTTCTCGGTCACTTTCGGCTCAAGTCCCTCGCTTTCAGTATCCTGCGCCTTCTCCTGGAACGAGAAGGCATCCGACAGGTTGACGGCCAAGAAAGTTTTTGGCAATTTCACCCTAAACGAAATGGTTATGGTCTGATAAGTCTCTTGCCTCGTTTTCTCTCTCCTCTCATTCTTGGCGGGTGATTCGGCAGAAAGAATACGGGGGGGGGGGGGTAGGGGAGAGAGCAACTTACTGATGGAATTTGGCTCGCAGCGTCTCGATCACCACCATCCAATCCGCGTGAGCCGTCAGACTCCGGCGCGGAGCGCAGCCTATGCAGTGTCTGCTGTCGAGCTGGACATCGAGCGGGTCGAAGACATGGCAGCCGGGGCTTATGGTGATTTTTATGCTGTACATGAAGGCCGGGGTGCCGTCGGAGTCGACGGGCGGGTCAGCAGGCATCTCATACAGCTCAAACGAGATCTGTGAGAGGTAGTCGAGCTCGGGTATGGTGGCGCGCTTAATCTTGGTCTCGAGGCCTCCCTCGAGAATGCAGTTGAGCAGCGTGTAGATGTGCGACTCCTTGGTAAAGTAAATGAAGCACTTGCCCTCGTCTGACGCCTGCATGTCCTCTAGATCCTGTACAATCTCCTTGAGCAGCGGGAGCGACGTCAAGAGTCCAATCTCGAGCTATTCGATAGGACATGCCCATGGTCAGCCACAGCCCTGCAAACAATACCAAAAGAGTCCACCATTTTGTGGGGGGTTCTTACCTTCTCGCTGTCAGAAATACCATATTCCTGAGGGCAGATAAAGTCGAAAAGGATTTTGGCGAGTTGGTACAGCTCTCGAAGAGGCTCGAATCGGGCATCTGTCTTTGCTTTGGTCTGGCTGTTCCCCCTGTGGAGATGGAAATATCTCTCGGGCAGCTCTGCCTCAACACCAGGCCGCAGGCCGCTGAGGAAGGAGCGCCGGTGGAAGATGCGTTTGACCGTCTTGCTGCTAGTCTTCTCGATCTTTTCGATACCCTCGGCCAGAGTACCGCTACCTGTTCTCTCCGTCTTGGAATCCTCGGAGAATCGAGGCGCACTGCCACCTTCCTCGGTACCCTTGGAGGATGGATTGGGCGACTTCCCGTCTTTCCCATTGCCGCTGGCCTGAACCCCGTATTCCTCCTCAAGCATGCTTTTCGGGGGTGTGAAGACCCACTCGAGAAACTGACGGTTGTGCAGGGCGTCGAACTTCATGGTATCATATAGCTCCGAGATCTTGCTGGGGTCAACCTTTTCGCCGTCACAAAACTCGGCGAAGAGCTTCTCCCAGCGCTCTCTGAATAGCTCCGAGTCCTCACCACAGCACCACCGAGCCTGGACGCTATTAACAGCATTGGCCTGAGACAGTGAGCCGAAGGAGGCGACCGACGACATCGAGCTGCCAAGCACTCCCTCGCCATTAAGCTTGTCCGTGCTGGGATTATTGATGGCGTTTAGGGAGTTGACGGCACCGCTGTACAGTTTGCTGTAGTTGTGCTGCATCACCTTGCGGTGGAAGTTCATCAGCTGGACAACACGCGTTTGCACCTCTGCGGGCTCGGGCATGTTGGCGGGCCAAGCGAACTGCGGAGGCCGCTCGTTTCCTTTACGCAGGAGGCCCTTGAGCTTCTTCTTTACCTTGTCCATCTCGTCCTTGGCAGCGTTGGAGTCATCTAAAAGGTCCTTGCGAATAGTGATGAGGTCTTCTGGCACGTCCTTCTTGTTGAGAAAACTGGCCGCCCAGATCTGGGCGCTCGCTACAACGCGCCGCTCACTGCTGCTAAACACATGCACCTCGTCCAAGACCTCGCGGTTCATCAGGCCAAGGTCGCTGCGCATGCTTTCGCCTAACTCTTGGGACTGATAGCGGGCTGAGTGAGTCGGCTCGCCGCCCCACTTGACAATGAGCTGCAGCTTGTCTAGCACCAGGCTCTCCTCGGCCGCTGTGAACTTGGACATTGTCACTCCAGAAAGTGAGTCTTGTCTGCGGGGCTTTTGGCGGGCCTTCTTATCTTCGAGCCCAGCTTTGTCCACGCTCTGCTCAGTTTCGTCCTCTTGTTTGGAGTTGCTTTTCGTTGGCGTAACCGTCTTGTCGTCGGCCTTCTTCTGGTCGCTCTTGTTTCGGAACATGGGCTTAATCTGCACCTTAGTGCCTGCCCAGCCGCCCTTCTTAACCAAGACATTACGCAGAGTCTTTAGCTTACCGCGGTCTTCTATACCGGCCAGCATAGCCTTGTCGACGGCGTCAAGCACACTAGCGAGCGCGGGGTCGCCAATAAGAAGCACCTCCTCCTGGTGGCCTCTAAGTAGCTCGATGAAGGGCTCTGTATGGAAAGTGAACTTGTACTTTTGCTTTGGTGTGCGATCGGCGTGACGGATAACAGAGACCACGCCCTTGAGTTTCCAACTAGGCTTGGGAGGAGGGGGAGGAGGGGGCTCATCCTGAGCATCCGCTCCAGCGTTCAAGACGGCATCCTGTAGGAGAGATGGTGTGACGGACACCGTCGAAGGTGCTGTAGACGGTGCGCTGTCGGCTACCGAGGTCGAAAACTGGCTAACTAGGGGGCTCGCAGGCAAACTTGGCAGCTTCCCGGGCGCCAAAGCGGCCTCCGAACTGGCGCGTGTCACAGGCTCCGTAGATGTGTCTCGGATTTCCAGTCCCCCCCGCTGATAAGCGGTGATGGCCTGCTTGTCCAAGCTCGTCCTGGTTTGGGCAGCTATGAGGGCAGAGAGATCTTTGTCTTTGTTGGACAGCACGGCACGGGCCGTCATGGTGTCCATATCGGACGCCGCAGGGGAGGGTATGGTCGGCGTGAGACCTTCCCGACGCAGCCTCTCCTTGATGAACATATCCTTGAGAATGGTGGAGCAGTGGTCATAGTAATCGTCGTTGTCCTTGACAAAGCTCCAGCCGTTGACATCGATGACGTAGCTTTTGCCGCCAGCCCGAAGAAAGTCGAAGCCGCACACACGCTGTCCAAATGTGGTGCTGATCTTGCTGGCAATTTCCTTTTCCTCGCCGCTCAGAGCTGTCACGTAACGAACCTCCTTGCCATGCGTATTACGGCGCACGACGCCGTCGACGACAGGTGATTTGCGTGTCTCAGCATGGCAGTACGTTGGCCCCACAGTGTACGCCTTCACATCTTCAGCGTTGTCGACTTTCATAAAACGTTCATAGATGAAGCTCTCGTCGGGCTGGGTAATGGCGCGCGGCACTATCAAGTCTTCGACGTACTCGCTGCTCTTGTTACCGATTTTGCGGAAGAGCTTACGAGCACCGCCGCCCGAAGACGAGTGGAAGTATATGATGATGTTGTGGTCCTCGCCGCTCGTAGGTTTCTCGACGAACGGCTTCTTGATCAAGGTTCCGTCGACTGAAAGGATATCACCGCCGTCCAGCAACTCGACCCGGCGCGGCGACATGGCCTTGGCATTGGCTGGGTCTGTATTTGTGGGCTCAAACGAGATGCCGCTGACCTCCTTGATGTGCTTGGCAATTTCGGGTGTCAGCAGACGCGGCCCGCCATCCCGGTTGACCTCAATACGTTGCGGTGTCGGAACACCGATACGGTCGAGGAGACGAAGGCACAGGCGGCGATCCCATAGAATCTTCTGCATGGGTACGTCGTTGACGCAAAAGGGTTTGCGTGCCTTGACGTAGGCGATTGCCTTCTCCAGCGGGAAGCCATCTGAGTAGAAGGAAATCAGGTAATCGCTGCAGCGTTAAATGAGGAAATGTTAGAAGAGGACATGTAAAATCAACATTGTGACTTGTTCGAAGAGGGAGGGATATCAACGGTTGAATAAGGGGGCCCAAAGGGAGAAGGATTCTACTTGCCATATCGGCCAATTCTCGATGTCTATTTTCTAGGTAGTTAGCTATACATCCCAAAAGACTCAGGAAATAAAAGGGTGAGGGAAGAAGAAAAGAGATAGCTAAAGGTCGGTAGGTAGGTAGGTAGCGCGTGAACTACTGACCTTCGTCGAGAATGACCTTGTCACCAAAGACACAGACATCAAACTCGCGATTCTGAATCAGGCGGTTGAGGATATTCCTGCTGGGCTTGCTTCTCGCTTTTATGTCCAGGGCGCAAACGCCAATGACACCCCAGGGAGCTGGGCGGACCCCCTCCTTCTCGACGCGGTGGGCGAAGGCCCGATCGCTACTCGGGCTGTGGCTGCTCGCCGCGGTACTGCCGCTGAAACGGCGCTTGGCCCGGCTTCGACTCCTAGTGAGCTGGGTGCGCGGGGTTCCAGTAACAGGAGACTGCTGCTGAGCCTGGGGCGTCTTCTTGAGGATTTCAGTCATTTGGTGGACGTGGGAGTCCCTGGGGGCGAGCTGAAGGGCGCCGCCCGGCGACCCCTGACTAGCTGTCGTGACTATCATGTTGGTGACGCCTGCTTCGGGCTGCGATGTAGCAGGGCCCTTAGCTCCCCCGGCTGACGATACCATCAGGCTGGCAGTAGATCGAAGTGCGGGAGCGCCGGTGACGCTGTTGTTGTCGCTCCCGTTAGCCGAGGCCGCCGAGCTGGGCACTCCACGGGCCGAGGCTAGGCTATACGTGGAGCTGATGCTCACACGGTTGCTGGTTTCGGCGTCGGAAAGCGAGGATCGGCCTGGTAGGGCGGGCTCGGGAAGATAGCCTTTCTGTGCCGTTTCGGGGCTGGCGAGCGTGGAGCCTGCGAGAAGACGAGGCGTCTCGAAGTCGTTATCAATGCCAGAAGCTGCCTCGATCGCGAAGTCGCGAGGCGAGTAGGGGACGGGGGATCCGGACAGGGCAGCCCCCTGCTCGCTGAGTGCCTGGTACCCTTCCAGGAAGCCGACTTGCTCTCCCCACACGTCCGAGCTGGATGAGTCGCGACGGCTGTTGGGGGGGGGGAGCGGCGAAGACTTGTAGCAGTGCCTGGAACGGGACTCGGGCCTTTCAAGGCCTGAGACGGGGCATGAGGCACAGAGTGGAAGGGGGGCGGGGGCATAGACACACTGTCCCGTCCGGCATGCGTGTCGGTGGTGCCGGGCTCAACGTGGCGGCCCTTGCGGCTGGCCGAAGACGAGGATGAGAGAGTGCGGGAACGCGACGAGTCTCGCGTGGGCTTGCTTCGAGACTGGAGAGGTGAAGATGACGATGCCGGCTGGTTTGTTGGGCTCGAGCTAGAGCTAGACCCCGAGCCTGAGCCTGAGCTTGGGGGAGACGTGGCGTCTGTGCTGGCATTGCCTGCAAGGTTGGACAGCGAAGCTGCCTCCATAGCCGCGACAGTACGCCGAATGGCCGAAGATGCAAGCTCTGCGTGCGGGTTTGGCTTGTTTTAGTTTTTCGTGGCTTTTTGGGATGCCTTCAACCCGCCCAAACCACGTGCTACATGATAGATAGGTTCAGCCAAGAAGCAGACAAGTTTGGACAACTTGAACCTTGCAAAGAACCCGGGGCTCATTAAAAGACAAAGGGATATGAATATTTACCTTGCGTGGACGCCTGGCGGCACTGGATTAAGTTACCTGTGAGAGATCAACCAAGTAGGTACCCAAGCTAGGTAATGTTTCTTTGAGGTAGGCCGCAAGCTAAATATCAGCCGTCCGTGGCTATCTCAAGGTGACACTGAAAAACAATGGATGGCAATGGAAACACCAAAAGGTTCCTAGGGCCCTAGGCAGGTGGCAGTATGGCAACATGCAGGAGTCGTGCAAATTTACAGCACAGCAAGAGCATCCTGGGCTAGGTCGGGCAGGCCTAGGCTAGGCTGGGGGTGGACTCCTGTCCTGAAGATTTCTCCACTGCTCGCATGCCCCCCTTCTGCTGCTATTGCATATGTTCCCTTCCCTGCTTTTGCTCCCGATCTCGCTCTTCTCACTACCTTGAGTAAGGTAGACAAGGTACTGTAGGTGGGTGTACGGATACAGCACTGAAGTGCGCTGTTAGGCTGTGTAGGAAGGCAGGTGCCCCGGATCCAATGTAGTACAAAAAATGGCCAGGCCGCGGCCCAACGATGAACGACCTGGAATTTCTCTTGGGTCAAACCGGCCGGTTGGAGCCTCAGGTACGAATACCCTGGGAATAGAGTCGAATGGGCTGATAGCCGAGGCACAGCGGAAGAAAGAGAGCTGGGAGGAAGTCGGCAGATCAATCAGATTAGGCGGGAAACCCTAGCAGGGCTGGTGAAGGAACAAGGGGCTACGCTGCTGATATCGCAGCGGATCGGCAGTCTGGCGGTTGGTTGGCGGCAGGCGACTTTTTGTTTCTTCGATTTTTAACAAAAATCTGGAGGGGGCGTGGAGGGGCACAACCTTAGGGAGAGAAGCATGATGACGCTGCTGGCATTTGGCTGGCCAGGAACGAATGTGATTGAGGACAGGGGTCCCGTTTCTCTCAGTGGGATGGAAGGCGCCCCGCATCGACCAGGGTACGAAGATGAAAGCCACAAAGAGCGGGGGAAGACGTGATAGCGATGTCGGCTACAGGTCCTTTTTAGCAGTGGTCGTGTTTGAAGTTTCTAATTCACCATTCGGGTTCTATCTTCCAGCTTTCCAGCGCAATCGGATATGGTCCTGGCACTAGAATTCTTCGGGTACGCCTCAGACAGACACTGCATCCTGCATTGTGCGATTCGCCAGTATTGAAGAGTCGCGTGACCATTGCAGCAAATTCGGTTCAATATTTCAATTTTAACTGGCTACTCTCATGCCCTTTCCGGATGCGAGATGCGCGTGTCTGCGGGCGGTCAGAACAACGAAATGCTGGATACTGCTTTGCAAGGGTCCCTGTATCCAATAACCTAAAAACGTTTGCCAGAGGACTGAGGTGGCGGTAGCAGCTTGGACAGGGACTGAAGAATGGGAAAGTGGGGCACTGCGGTGGGGATGGATAAGGAATCAGATAAGGAAGTGTGGCTGAAAATTTATTGGTGAGGCTGTCCAAAAACTTCGAATCGAGAAGGGGAAGGAAGCCATCACCAACCCAAGGCTGAACTGTACTTCATTGCGTATACGAGCTTTGCAAGAGGCTGCCGCGCAGCACCACCACCCTCAAGATGGCTCACTCCAGCCTGGAGCACCAGTCGACAAAGCGCCAAAAAACCAGCTCCGTTGTGAAAGCTGTGCCTGCGGCGAACCGAGGCTCGACCATCTTTGCACCCTTTCGCGTAAATGATGCTTCTCTTCTTCCGCACTTACATCTCTTGCTTTCGATGCTCAACATTGATTCCATGCTGACTGCCAATGCGCGCGCCATGCTCTAGACCATTGGTCTCGTCTCCCCCACCAGCGTGCCCTTCGCGTCCATCCCCCTTGGCAAGACCACCTTCCAGATCACCACGTCCGTCGGCCGCTCCCTCCAGACATACGACTTGAAGCGCGGCCTCAACTTGGTCTTCGTCACGCGTCCGCAGACCCCCACCGATATCACAGCCACATATGCCTGGAAGGAGAAGGTCTTCGCCGCCTGGGGTGACCCGCGCAATGCTGAACCCCACGGCCTCTGGGCCTTCCAGCGCGGCAAGAAGGCCGTCGAGCTCCAGCTGCCTGCCGACCTGGATCAGCCCATCCGCCAGATCCTCATCTTCGGCTCCTGGATTATTGGCTGTGCGCTGACGAGGATAGAAGTGTGGAAGTCGGCCACCTCTGAGCACTACACCACCATCTTCCCCTCTGCTACGAAAAAGGGGGACAATGATTTGACCGGCGGCGTCTGCAACATGCCCACCTTCCTCAACAAAATTTTCGTTGGCCGCGCTGATGGCTGGGTTGAGATTTGGAATGTCAGCACCGGCAAACTCATCTACACCATACTCCCGCCCTCGCCAAACTGCGGGGCCGTCACCTGCATGGAGCCCTCCCCGGCCCTGTCCATGCTGGCTATTGCCTATTCCGAGGGCCCACTGGTCATACAAAACGTACTTACCGACAGACCTGCTTTGCGACTGCATGCAGGCACAAGCGACGCGCCCGTCACATCCATCTCGTTTCGGAGCGATGGCCTCGGAGCCGGCCAGGACGGTCGTGAAGACGGCGTCATGGCCACCGCAACCAGCGTCGGCGGCGATGTGACACTATGGGACCTTAACAAGGGAGGGAGGATAATGGGCGTCCTCCGCAGCGCACACAACCCCCCATCACATGCCGGTGTTCGCGGGGGCATCAGCAAGGTCGAGTTCCTCCCGGGGCAACCGGTGATCATGACGAGCGGGCTCGATAATTCGCTCAAGTCGTGGATCTTTGACGAGGCGCCATTTTCTCCCGTGCCGCGCATCTTGCACACACGGAGCGGCCACGCCGGCCCCGTCAACTGCCTTCAGTTCTTGCCGACCGACTTTGATGGTCCCGAAGCTGGGAATAAGTGGCTGCTCAGCGGTGGAAAGGACAGGAGTTTATGGGGATGGAGTCTACGCCGCGATGGGCAGAGCACGGAACTGAGCCAAGGCAACATCCGCAAGAAGGCCAAGAAAATTGGCATTTTGGCGAGCACCTCAATGGGCCACGGGCCATCTACAACTCTGGACGACCTCAAAGCTCCCGAGATCACCTGCATTGCTTCGTCGCTAAACCGCGATGGCGGTATGGGCGCCATTCCGGGTAAGCAGGCTATATGGGGCAAGGGAGACGACAAGACCAAGCCTTCAAATGCCGAGCTCAGCGGAATGACTGGTTGGGAAAGCGTTGTTACGGCTCATAAGGACGACCCGTGGGCTCGCACTTGGTTCTGGGGCAGGAAAAGGGCTGGCCGGTGGGCTTTCAAGACTGGCGACGGAGAAAATGTGTCAACGGTTGCCATCAGCCCCTGCGGCAGCTTTGCTCTGGTCGGGTCTGCTGGAGGAAGCTTGGACATGTTCAACCTGCAGTCTGGGCGGCACCGGCGACGGTTCCCCTCGAGACTGACTCCCGCACAGTTACGGCAGGTAAAAATGCAGCAGCTGAAAGCGCTCGACACCGTCACTCTACTCCACGAGCGGTCTAAAGCTTCGTTTACCCCGGGGTCCGGGAAGCACACGCGAGCCGTGACAGGCATCGTCGTCGACTCGCTCAACAGATTTGTAATATCGTGCTCGCTGGACGGAACAATCAAGTTCTGGGACTTTGTCACAGGAAACCTGGTTGACGAGATTGACTGGGCACCCATGACACAGATCACCGGATGTCGCTTCCACGCGGCCAACGACCTCATCGCCTTTTCGTGCGATGATAACTCGATTCGCGTAGTTGACATCGAGACAAAGCGGACAATCAGAGAGTTCTGGGGCTGCCGCGATACCATCAACGACTTCTGCTTCTCCAACGACGGCCGATGGGTTGTCGCCGCCTCCCAGGACTCCATCATACGCGTCTGGGACCTGCCAACCAGCCATCTGATCGACGCCTTTCGTCTTGAGAAGCCGTGCACGGCGTTGGCCTTTTCGACCACTGGCGAGTACCTGGCCGGGTCAACGCAGGGCGAGCTCGGTGTGCACCTCTGGACAAACCGGACACTCTTCAAACACGTCCCCACGCGCCAGCTCTCCGAGGCCGAGATTGGCAGCGTCGCCGAGCCCACAGCATCGGGCGAGGGCGGCCAAGGCCTTCTCGAAGCGGCCTTTGACGAGGACGCGGCGCGCGAGGGTGAGGAGGACGACGGCGTTATCGCGGCCCCGGCCCTCGAGCAGCTCAGCGCCGACATGATGACGCTTAGTTTGGTTCCTAAGAGCAGGTGGCAGACCCTGCTGCACATTGACCTCATTAAGCAGCGCAATAAGCCCAAGGAGCGGCCCAAGGCTCCCGAAAAGGCCCCCTTCTTTCTGCCCTCGGTCGGCGGCGCGGGGAGTGGCGGCCTGCTCCCAGCGCCCGCAGAGCCAGGCGAGAGCAGAGTCGATGGCTCCGCTTCCAGGGTCACACAGCTCGACCGCGCCCGCGGCGAGCAGACCTTCAGCGCCAAGCTCTCGGCCGGCGCAGCGTCTGGAGACTGTGAGTAGCATATTCCCATCTATCCAATCTCTAAAAAGTCATACTAATCCAACAACAAAAAGACAACGACTTCATAGAACACCTCAAATCCCTCGGCCCATCGGCCGCCGACCTCGAGCTGCGGTCCCTGTCCATCGGCGACGGCTCGGACAGCGACACCAACGAGCTGCTGCAGTTCATTCGCGCCCTGACGGGCCGCCTCGTCGCCCGCCGCGACTACGAGCTCACCCAGGCCTGGATGACCGTGTTCCTGCGCCTGAACTACGACCTAGTCATGGCCAACGAGAGCCTCCTCGACGAGTTGCGCCTGTGGCGCGAGCACCAGGCCCGCGAGCGCGACAGGCTAGATGCTCTGGTGGGCTACTGCAGTGGTGTGGTAGGGTTCCTCAGGAGTCCGCGGACTTAGGTGGAGAGGAGTTGTACCTTTTGTGAATCATGCATACCCCCTGTGTACACAAATTTAGGTGTCTAGATAGATGTCTAGGATTAGTTGGGTGTGCCATGCTTTTTGTATGTACGGCATCAAATTAAATCAAAACAAATCAGATCGCATCTGTTTATTGAAGAGAATAGATGTTGGCAATTTATTTTGTGTCGCGTAACACTTAGGCGCTATGCATGCCTAACTGGCTATCTCTATGATCTACTCTGCTGCATGTTAACCCATTCACTGTTCGCCTTAGTTTCATGTCATAAACCCAATTGTTTCTCATCCAGCTACACAGGTTGCAATCGAGTGGGAGTTAGCTGCCCCGTCCTAGTTTCTTCCTCTTTCTAGCTCAAATAGTGAGGAAACAAATAAACTAGTCGTGAAATCTTCTAGGTATCTCAGGTAGATATCAAGGCATGTATTTTTCCCGTCTTTGCAGCAACCGAGAAATGCAATCAAGCGTCAAGTCTAACCAAATATCCAATCCAGCAGCCTGTCAAAAGCGTTCCTATATATGTAAACGAAACATGTCAGCTAACAAATTCCGTCCACTCAGACAAAGCATCTCAGTCATCAATTCTTGATGATGATGACGGCGTACCTGGGAGGAGTCGCTACAAACGTGCGCTGATACTCTTCGATCTCGGCAACGTTCTTGATCAGATCGACCTCGCTGGGGCGGTGGATGCGGGTCTTCTTGAGAACTTTCCATCCGAGGAACAGCAGCGGGCAGATGAAGATCATGGTGTATCTGAATTTTGATGTTTCCGCGGTCAGCAAGCTGGAGGGAGTAATCAAGGCCAAGGGGCAGGAGTGCGGAGGCCATGGAAAAGAACGCACGAAAACATAAACGTCGCCACGTCCCAGTTGCCCGGCAGGAACACCGTATACCCGCTGACAAAGGTCATGACGGAGCACCCGGCGAGGCCGTACCAGGCGGCGTAGGGCTGGAAACGGGCCCTGTACGGCAGGGAGCTGCGGCTGATGCCCTGGGCCTTGAGGGCGGCGTGCCAGCACAGGTACGTGATGCAGATGGAGCTGAAGTTGATGAGCTGGGAGGCCGTGACTAGGTTAACGAACCACTGCAAGACGACAGCCGAGTCATTAGAGACCTGCAGGAAGCTGAGCAGAGCAATGGCGAGGACAAGGAGGACGCAGTAGATGGGCACGCCCTTGGCGGTACAGCGGGTGAAGATGGAGTGGGCTTTTCCCTCGAGCGCGAGGCCGTAGAGGGAGCGAGAGGCGCAATAGACGTAGCTGTTGCCGGCTGAGAAGGCGGCCGTGAGCACTATGGCATTGACAATGTCAGGAAGGATGCGGATCTGGAGACGGTGCATGGCCACGACATAGGGGCTGGCGGCGGCACCCGGGGCACCGCTGGAAAATGCCAGCGCCATCTCGGTGTCGTCGTAGGGGACCAAGACGCCCACGGCTAGGGAACCAAGAACGAAGAAGGCTGTTAGGCGATAAAAGACGGCGTTGAAGGCGCGCGGCATAACCACGCGCGGGTTCTCGGCCTCGCCCACCGCCATGGAAACATACTCGGGCCCGGCAATGGTAAAGGAGGCCTGGATCAGGCATTGCAGAAATCCCAGCCACCGGCCCAGGTTACCTTTATGGTACAGTTCGGCAAATGCGCCAGGGTTACTCCAATACCTGAATCCGAAGCGGTCGTGCAAGGGGTTGCCGCCAAGCATGACGATGAAGGTGAATATTAAGAGACCGACGATGAGGACAAACTTGCCCAGTGCGGCCCAAAACTCACTCTCGCCGTACCATTGCACGGCAAGAAGATTGATAAGTCTGAAATAAGAGGACGGGTGTTAGCGAGGTCCAAGTCTGCCAATGAAGAGGGCGGTACGGCAGTGTATCTCTCTAACTCACGCAAACATGATAATAATGATTGTTATGATGGCGCCGACCAGAACAGCATCACTCCAGTAGTGAATGATGACGTTGCACGCCGTGATTTCGAAGGGCACCATGGCCGCCTCAAACACGAAGAAGTTCCATCCCGTGGCGAAACCAAAGGCTTCGTCGACATAACGGCCCGCGAACCGGACGAAGGGCGATGATATGGGCAGATACGTCACCATCTCCGCCATGGACGTGGTGATGGCAAGGATAAAGGAGCACCTGGGTGATTGGTGTCAGCACGTTGACCCGCTCGTGAACAGCAGCCAAGTACTGCCACTTACCATATTGTAAACGCAAGGAACAAGCTTCCCGGACCCCCATTGAGGATACCCCGGCCAATTTGCACGTATAAGGCCGTACCAATGGTGCCTCCGATGCCTTTAAATGGGGTTTTATTAGCACCTTTGGTGGCCTCAGGGAGGAAAAGTGTTCTCAGAGTATGTGGGACTGGAGCTTGGAGACATACCGATCAGTTGGATATGGCGAGATTTCAGGGAGCGATGAGTCTTGTCTCCGGGGGCGTCACTTGAGAGAGAGAGGACGTCGGAGGCCAAGTTCCCGGCTGCCGGCTGCTTCTCGCCATCGCCGACAAAACGTACACCCGATTCTCCCGCTCCTCTCTTGAGGGACGAGTTGGGCGCCTGAGCCTCGACGTCATCCCCCGTCGACACCATTTTGTGTCAAAGGGGAAGGATATAACAAAGGTCCTCGACCCCAAATTTAGATCAGATGGTGTGGGTGTAAGTGTAAACGAATGTACCACGTGTGGCCAAAAGCCCTCAGTATATCTGTTTGAGAAGTAAAGAGAAGAATTCGACGACGAAGCGCATTTGAATGGGTTGTTAGTAAATTGCAGGGCCAGTTATTATGGTTCGCAGATACCAAAGCGATGATAGGTTTGTTTATTGTAAGAAACAAGTCCTGGCTCCAATCAGTTTTGAACAGTTAAATAAGTCTTTGGCTCAAAAAACCCGATGTCTCCTGTCGATATAGCTTTTGCCCTAGCCAAGCGTTTTTGCGGCGTGGCCGTAGATTTGGTTAAGTGCCCTGGTCTAAGCAGGTGGTAGGTGAATGAAGCAAGGGATGACAAGCACGTCACTCAGTTTGTGGCTTCCAAGCTTGGTTTCGACCACAGAAATTGTAAAAAGGGGGAGAGTTCTGAGGCAAAATGGGCGCAAAGTGGGTTCGCCCCGGCCTTGGCTTCCTCTTATGATCGAGCAAATGCATCTTTGCTGTCTTCTTACGTTATGTGTGTGGGTTTGCCGGAACCGAAGGACATTAAAACTCTCCCTCTCCCCTACCCAACATTGAGATGGATCTCAGTGAGCAACGGCGGCAAGTTTGCAGCCCGAGCCAGGCGCCCCCGCTGGAGTCCAGCAACAGATGCGGACCTTTCTTGTGGGTTGTCTCCGCAACGGGGGCGAGTCGCCAAACTTTGTTTTGCTCTTGGCGGTAGGAGCCGTCTAGCATCTTAGGCCACACCTAGGTCACACCAACGGACATTCTTGACCGCCTCGTAGCACGGCCAAAGTAAGGTACGGACTTGAATATAAACGGTGGACTGAGGCAGGTATCATTCCATGCTTCCTGGGTTTTCTAGGCATGCGAGTTCAAAAACATTTTGAAACCAACAGCTGATGGCAGGGCTCAAAGAGAACGGGAGGGGAGGGAAAGAAAGGGCGATGTTGAAGAACAAGTTCAGACAGTCTTGATAAAACAAAAAATTGCAAAACAATGCTCAAGGTGCTGGAAGGTAAGCACCGTGACGTAAATTAAGGGGCGTACCCGACCAAGGTCTACTACTACTGGGAACACAACCCAAGTAGCTCCTGCCTTCTACACGGGGCTGGACTGAACAAAGAACATTGTCAAGGCGCCAAGGGGAAGGCACGAGCTGTTTCTTCCATGCATTCTTTGCAAGCTGGAAGTGAGGCTGGAAGGCCAGTACAAACTGCACTGTTATTCTTTGTTTCTCCAACCCAACTTGTCCGTGCCGGAATCCGATATCCATTATTTAAAAACGGCAAAAACGCCAGCCATACGAAGTACATCGGAACACAGCCATTTGACCTAAAGACGCAGACTTGCCCGATTGGACCGGTTCGACGTCTAGCAACATAACGTACCCCATTTATGTTCTCGTCCTCGCTCCCACGCTCGACGACGGCGCCGAAGATCAAGATACAGTTAGACGGCCAGCCCAGCCGCTAGCTACCACGCTAGCAATGTGCACCGGATACTCGGTCCAGGTGGTCTGCGGACATACCCTCATGCATTTCGCGACGCGCTGCCTCAAGAACTGCGCTGCCCCAGAAGGGCCCGTCAGTTTCATCCACGACACGTGTGCAAAATGTCACCCGGAATTTGTCATGAAAAATATTCGCGAGCGGTACTACACTGAACGCGAAAGGATCATGGCACGCTACCGTCACGCTGTCAGCTACAATCTCGGCGACGAAGCCGAAAGGTTGACTCAAGTTCTCGAGGACCTAGAGGATACTTGCAGAAAGAATATTGCCGCTGCAAAGTTCTTTAGTATAGGCCTCCAACCGGACGAGGTTATCTTCCCTGGAAACCCTGAGCAAGAGTAAGGCGTCTCCAGCCCCCGTCTGTTCCTCCAACCTTTGCATGCAAGTGCTGAAATCTCCGGGCCCGATATTCCACCAATGACGAATGTAAATAATACACAGTTTACCTACCTACCCTGTCTCTTAACCCCAATGCTTCGCTATATGAGTTTTTACCTAAATATTCTAATAATAGAGATATTTCCACTTCACCTGCCTTGATGGCCCCTGACAACTCACACTAACATGGAAGACGGCGGGACCCTAAATTCATGCTACCCGGGTAATACACACTATAAAACTACCGCAGTGCTCTCATCTCTTCTCATCCTGATGCTGCTGCTGCTTCTCTTCCAGCGGCACATTCTTCCAATCCTCCCCCTAGCCCCCTAGAAACCCCCAATAGTCCTCAGAGAGAGACAAAACCGGTTAGCTGACAAGTTGCTGCTTCTACTAGTCCCCGAAATACTCTAAACAACGTCGAGAGGCACTTTCAGATCGTCGAATTGCAGGAGAGCATGCCGAAATTGAAGATAGCCTCTAAAGAAGTTTAAACCTCCACGCGTTCCCAGGCATTGCGAATCGACACGCACGGAGCCTGCGGCGGTTTTGCTGTCGAGTCAGATTTACCTCCGCCCCCAACTTCTCGGGTTGGCACGGAAACATTGGATCTGACGTTTAGGCCGGAGGTTGTCGCCTCACCTGCTGGCATGGATACTCCTTTGGCTGTTGCAGCAAGTTCTTTTGCGATTTGAACCCTAGCTCAGGGACAGCGACGGGCATGCCGTTGTTGGGTTGTAGTTAAGCGGCAACGGGTCTTTGTATTCCCGGCATTTGTACTGAATATTCCTAGTTCTGTGTTGTATTTGTGTTAGCGAAGACAGTACTGCTGTCGCTGGTATACTTCCTCTTTTTGCAGTTATATTCGAAAAAGCGTGTTGTTGAACTGTCGTGCCCAGGGCCTGCTGGTGCCTGAACGTGAGGAGACTGTTACGAGTTTTGTGTGTATGCCCTGAAGTGAAACTGCTGTTGTTGTTGAGAATTTAGGGACTGATGGCGGTTCTGTTGCTGAGCCCCTTGTTGTGATTGCTTATTGAGATGCGGGAGACATCGTAACTTGAGACGGTATCCTGTGATATCTAGGTCGGAAACTGAAAAAAACCGATGGGGAGTGGAGAAGTAGATAATTATGAGCGATGTAACTCCTTATAGAGTCATTGATATCCCGCTGGTGTCCTACCATCAACAGAAGGGTATGTAAGTAGCTCGTCACCGAGGAAATAAAAGTAAATAAATCAACTATCTATCTATTATAACAACGTCTTCTCAAAGAATAAATTAATTCCAAAAAGACAGTCCTCGATTCTTCACGAAAGTGCAAGTCAAAAACTTACACATCATAACAGAACTACATCGATTGTCTGAGACTCTGAGGAGCGATCGACTAGAGCAGAACGAAAGCAACTAAACACTCCCATAGCTAGAAGTCGGAGATGTAACTAACTGTAACTTAACACTGCGCCTCTAGGGCACGCAGAAAAGCGGCTTCAAAGCAAGTAACCGTATGGTTGCCGGTGCCTGGCTCAATTATATATAATGTGTCACGACACACGGCACGACCACACTTCAGGACTGGAAGAAAGTAGGAGTTGAAAAGTAACGAGCTACAACAAAAAGACGAGGAAAAAAAGTAAAAAGGTAAACTATGCCAACTGTTGTCCTTAGAAGCATGAATCGCTGCTCACACTCAGATTTGAACTGAGGACCTTATTATTAAAGATGTAAATCTCTACTAGTAATACGCTCTACCCCTGAGATTTGTGTTTGTTGATGGAGTCCAAACTGAGTATTTAAAAAGCAAAGCCGCAACAACGAGCCTCTGTGCGCGTATTGAAGAATATTTCTCTCGGCGTCTCAATGGAGATGATATTTTGTACATGAAGGGTTCCAATGGAGTACAAATGAGTAAAAAAGAATATACACGCAAATATGCTTTCAAGGACAGGCTTTCCTCGAATCACTGAACAAACATGAGGGTGATGAGCTCCCTAGCAATGCTATAAAGATAGACCATATGCAATGGAAATATTACATTGATAGCTCCACATCCCAAAAACTTTTAGCCGCGAAGCAAGCCAACAAAGCCACCGGCACCAAAGGTGGCGGCAATCGTGATGAAGCTTGATGTAGAAAAGAGTGATAGGCCGCTGATGCCGTGACCTGAAGTGCAGCCGCCGGCAATTCTCGATCCAAGGATCATAAGGAAGCCGCCAATGCCGGCGTTCAAGGGCGAAATGGTAGTCGGCGAGACTTGGCCGAACACGGGGACGGCGCGGGTCAGGGCGAAGGCACCGGCAATCATGCCCGCCGAGAAGAGCATGTTGTTGTAGCGCTTGGGGACCCCGCCGTTGCCCCTGCACACACCCAGGAACCAGTCGCCAGCCTCCTCGTACGAGGTTGACGTGCCCACCAGAGATTTCCTCAGGACCACAGACAGCAGCTGGGCCGCGCCGATGCAAAGACCGCCGACGACGGGCGAGATCTTGGCTTCTGGGCCGAGGGACGTGAACGAAACGGCGGCGCCGATAATGGCGGCAAACATCAGCTCGAGACCGACGAGGGCAGTTGTTCGGCTGGCTCCCAGAGTCCCGTAGACAGTCAGGAACTTCTTGTCCTCGGGGGAGGACTGGGGGAGGCGCTTAGGGGTTTGCGACAGATAGGGCTGGAGGAAGCCGGTCCAGACGATGCCGGCCAGGACGGCGCCCTGGAAGGCGTAGAAGCCGGAGCGGACGCCGGCGCCGACCTGAGCCAAGACGGTACCGGGGCAGGCGCCCGACAGCATCATGCCCGTCCCGAGTAGCATGCCGCCGAAGACATTCCCATCCCACTTGGCGAACAGGCCGACCGAGGAGAAGCTGCGGGGGCTAAGCTTGAGGTAGCCAAGAGATTGCGCAGCCGTAACGATGCATCTGGTTGGTGGCTGGTCAGCGGCAGTGATAACGCGATAGGGGCAACAGGGTGCGAATGTCAACATACGTGCTGGCGGCCGCGGCGGTTAGAAAGGCTTGAATCATATGGAAGTTCTCGAATTTGAGCTGCGACACGATGACGCTGGGCTGGAAGACGCCCGAGGCCGTCAACGCGGCACCGAGGGCGGCACCTGATAGGAGAGAATTCATGATGGGTTCGTTCGTGTTGACAACAGGGGATTTTGAGGTTTGTGGGATTGTCTTGAGAGCTTTGCTCTCTGGTCCACCTCTTCGGGATAAGAGAGAACTTGGTGGTTTTTGGTGTCACTCCAAGGCCGATGCTGTTTCTTTTTCTTTTCTTTTTCTTCAAGCGACAGTTGAATAGAAAGTGCTGCTAAGCCACTTGAAGGATAGCAAGAAACGACTTTGGATCTCCCATGATGACGGCGCTGTCTAGCCCTGCCGTTGCCAAGAGCCTCTGGCTTAAATAACTCGGCATGCGGCGATTGTTTGCAGAGACTTGAGAGGGATGTCCTTGCACGGCCTTGTGTCAATCGTGTTCAAGTCGGGGACCTGGAGACTTTTGCCAAACGCTAGTGTAGCTCTTCCACCCGTTGTTGGAGGGTCGGGGGACTGAGGCGAGATCATGTGGAAAAGGGCTGGGAAGGCACGATGAAGACATGGCGGGCGCGCACTTGCCCGCTTCGCGCCGTGTGTGTGTGGTAGGCGTGCGTGTGCATGCGTGCCATTTCGAGGAGAATTACGAAATGAAGAGCGGCGATCCCAGATTCGTGGATTTGGGTTTAGCTTCAGCTTGGGGCGCCTTTGGTGGCGCTCGCCGCTCAACAAGAAAGACCACGGGACGAGGAAGTCCAGCGTGAGCTTGGTCGGACCCAGGTACCCGGTACTTCTAGATGTTCCTCGCCAAGCAAGCTAATCAAGCCCAAGCGCATTATTTCCAGGTTGCGATTTCCTTTTAGGGGCAAGACTTTCCAAGGGTCCATCCACATCCGTCACAATCTCCCCACAAATATGGCAGTTCTAACCTAGAATCCAGGGATTTTGGTTCCTTCCTTTCCATTCTATTTCGACTTCCATCTCGATGGCGCCTTTCGGGCACCAAGCCCGAAAAGCATGGCAGGTTATCACGTTATCAAGGCGCTGTCGCGCTGCGGGCGCCTCGTCGGACAGGTCTCGTCTCTTCTGCACGGCATTTTGAGATGGGAATAGCTCAGTTTCCGTTATCGGGCACCTCCAGACTCGACTACGACGCCCAGCACCGACAGATAAATATGCACACTTCTAGTACTACACTAACCACCCACTTGGACCACGAACAAAGGCAGTGGCCGGCATTTGTGTCAACCGCGGGGACCTCCCAGGAACCGCTAGCCCCATACCTTGCGTTAGGTCTCCCCCGTGCTTTACGGAGCAAGGACCTTGGAACACCTGCTGTGGTCAGTGGTCACCGATGGGTAAGAAAGCAAGTACGAATAGTGCCGGCATGAAGACGAGAAAGGAGAGACAGCTTCCATTTGTTCCATATTGTCTCACTTTCCATGTCTTACTTGACGCACATGGCGTGTTTTATTTCCCGGCCCAACCAATTGAACGAGTCTAGATTCTCCCCACGCGGGACCATCCAACCCACAAGCGATGCAATGTGCTATCCATGGTCGGCGATCTGCGGATAAGGATTTACGTGCGCTGTGGGTAGCAGGTACATTCTACAACAGATGCCTCAGGCGCCATCTCGGGCTCCCGGAATAAACTGGAGATGACATCCCGGTCGATTCCTCGCCAACTTCCCGGCATCACTCCTGCATTGCCTCCCGGGGACCCGCTATTCACTTCCCTACCTCTCCCTGGTCTCGTCGCCGAACAACAATGCGTGTCGCCGAGCAGCAGCTCTCTCTTCCCTTGTCACATGGATAGAAGGATCAAATGCTTACCTTGCGGACAGCACAGCATCCAATGCCCATGTTGGTGACTCCATGGGAGTTCTTCTATGGGAGAAACTTGCGTAGGCGTTCGTTCTCTGTTCAATCTTTTCGGGGATGCTACGATGGCATTCGGGTAGGGCTCTCCCTGTCAATATCTTGTCATTTGAAACGGTCTTTCTCAAAGACACTGGAATGCCCAAACTCTAAACGAGCCTTCCTTTGTCACCTTGTCCCGTTTGCGGATTTGGTCAGGCGCTTGGCAAGCATGCTTCGCCCTCCTTGCTCTCTCTGTGTGCTGGGTGTGGCATGACAGTCGGGCACAATGCAGGTCGGCGACTTGGACGAGATACGCACCCAATCGTGAGCATATTAGGAAAAGAAGGAGTTGCCAGGGTAATGTTCGTCGTCTACTTAGCCTCGTCCACGCAGTAAGCCGACCAAGAGCAATGTCCCCGATCTTGCAAGGGCCTGACATCGAGCTGAAGATGGTGGTGTGTATATAATAAGTATTATTTTGAACGAAGGAGGCATTTCCAAACCATGTTGATACCCTCGCGACCTCAGCGTACGCAACAAACATCCCCCTTTGTGAAACACGAACACTCTCGAGATAAGCATGGCTTCCTCTGAACCTATTGTCCACGCGTGCTTCGAGTCGAACACTGGCACCTGGCAATACGTGGTTGCCGACCCTGCCTTCAAAGCTGCAGTCATCATCGACCCGGTCCTCGACTTTGACCCGGGCAAAAACGCCATTTCCACCGAGACGGCCGACGGCTTGCTCGCCCTGGTCCGGGAAAAGGGGTACACGGTGGAGCGGCTGCTCGAGACGCATGCACACGCCGACCACCTGACTGCCGCCAAGTACCTGCAGAGCCGGCTGCTGTCGTCAGACTCCAAGCGGCCCCAGGTGTGCATCGGCCGGCGGATCGGCGAGGTCCAGGACCGCTTCGCCAAGCGCTACGGCATCCCGCGCGCCGAGTGCGACGGCGCCTTTGACGGGCTCTTGGACGGCGACGACGTCTTCCAGGTCGGCCAACTCCAGGCCAAGGCTATTCACCTTCCGGGACATACCCCAGACCATATGGGTTACATGATTGGAGGTTCGTGCTTCTTTCGCCCTCCCGCCTGCTTGTTGCTGCGTTGTTGTGGTGTTGGGATATCTAGCTGTGCCAGAGCATCTCAGAACTTGGGGGTCCAGTCACACTCGTTCTTCAAGGGGCCCTGTAAAGCATGCAAATGGTTCCCTACAAGCACACCCGTTCGCATCCAAGAAGAAGACCTGATCACTCGTGACTACTTGAGAACTATGACCAATGTCCCCGCCAGACAAGAGCTAACACCAGCCCCTTGAATCTTACAGCAAACGTATTCTGCGGAGACTCTCTTTTCAATAGCGACGTGGGCTCTGCGCGATGCGACTTCCCCGGCGGCGATGCGCATGAACTGTAAGAACCCCCCCCCAACCCCCCCCCCAACATCCCCCTTTTTTTTCTTTCCCAAGTCCACTTGTAACTCCCACACCAACAGCTACAACTCCGTCGCCAAGCTCTTCTCCCTGCCAAAGCACTATAAGATCTGGACGGGCCACGACTACCCGCCGGGCGGGGGCGCACGCGGCGAGCCGCTGGCGTACATGACGGTGGGCGAGCAGAAGGAACAGAACAAGCACCTCAAGGCGGGGACGGCCGAGGACGCATTTGTGAGCTGGCGCGAGGGCCGCGACGCGGCGCTGGCCGAGCCGCGCCTGATGCACCAGGCGCTGCAGTTCAACATCCGCGCCGGCAAGCTGCCTGCCCCGGCGGACGGCGGCGGCGGGGACATGTTGCTGCACGTCCCGGTCAAGATTGTTGGGGAGGTGGCGGCTTGGTGATGACTCCCGTAGTTTCTTTTCTTTCTCCCTTCTTCTTGTTTTCTCCTCACGCTACTTCGATGCCTTTCTATTTTTCTTTTATTTGGAGTCTTTTACTCTTTCATTCCACTCCGTCTTCTTTTTTTCCGGCCGTCATGAAGGTCTATAGCTCGCTAAACCACTGTCCTGCTGCCTACCTGCCTCCTACGGCGTATATCTACTGCCTTGGCTTGACTAGACCTTCGTGTGGTTTAGAATGACCCCTAATTCTCCCCTCCATATCTCAACTATCTTGCTCCAAGTTCGCTCCTATTTGAGTGCAAATCGCTTCCCTAACAGAGTCTCAAATGACACTCACAGTCAGCAGCAATTAATGACATGTCCTAGTTCCACCTCGTCAGACATAGCCAACCCATCTGCGCACTCCAATACTGGGTCAATGGCAGCGCATCAGGAGGCGCACGTATATATTAGGCATCAAGACACGCAAGACGACAACGTCGACAACCCCGAGATCTCAAAAAAATTTATATTGGTATTGCATCTCAGCCAGGGTCGTCTACCAGTCAGTGACGACGGGGTAGTCCTAGCGAATAGGCAAATCCTATAGAGCTGCAGAGAGAACGCGCAAATCGAAACAAGAAGACGGCAGGGCCGACTACCATAGGTAGCGACCTCGCGGCGTGTAAATGTTTCCGTGTGCCAAAAGCACAAAAATCCCAATTAAGTCCCGAAAACTTCAGCAGCAGCAATGAACCTCCAGACATGCTCTTCCTCTTCCATATCCTCCCATACTGTCTTCATCATCACGATCCAGGTTCCACCTCATCTCTGAACCACATTCCCGCTATCTGCTGGTTCTTTTCACTCACGTGAACATCCTGTTCGTGCTTTTCGCCCCGATTACCTCTCTCCATCCCGCCCGACCGCAATGCTTTCTTTCCATCCCTCGGCGGCGCGGCACGGCACCGATCCGGGGATAGTGGGGTATATAATGAGTGACGTTGATCATAACCCGTTCTAGATGCTCTCCCATCCGCCAGTGAGCCCCAAAAATGCCAGGTGTAGAATGCAAATATAAGAAAGGAGTGACAAAGGTTGGGAAAACCCGGGTATCAATGTTCGGCCAAATCTCAAAAACAAATGAGTGTCGTGTGACTCGTAAAAAGCAAAAAAAAAAGATCCCAACCAACCAAGAGCACGCCCAGAAAAAGAAAAACCCCTCCAGCAGAATGAACAGAATATCTGGGAATTCCCCAGGGGTTCTATCCCATGCTTTTATATCTCATGAACAAAAGGAGTGTATGAAAAAGATAAAGTACCGTGAATAGCGTTCTAATTAAAGCGGCAAGTTCGGGCTTCTTGCCTTTTTTCAAGATCAATCCGAATTAAAGCATTACGAATAAAAATTCAAGTAGATGAGGTTTCGCAAATTGACAACATCTTCGTCGCTTAGATGAATAGAGCCGCTGCAAAGATGGCAACTAGCAGCGAGAAGAGCGAAGATGGTGCCAGTCTGCCGGCCGCAGCGTGAACAATGCTGCTGGTAGAAGTGGTTGATGACGTGGTATTAGTGGGTGACCCCGTTGTCGTTGTCGGCGGCACGGACGACGTGATTGGTGACGAGGTTACTTCTGATGAGGTCTCTGAAGAACCAGAACCCGATGTCGAGGACGGCGCGGTAGACGACGAGGTCCGTGAAGAAGACCCCCGCGAAGATGATGATGGCGTGGTTGTTGGTGTTGCGATGGGACTTGGGTTGGTGTTTGTGTTTGGCGGCGCCTGCGATGTCACTTGGACGGAGGGAGACCCCGACTGTTGAGACTGAGGACCAAGACTCTCGCTTACCACAGGTTGTGGTGCAATAATGTCGCAGAAGGTAATGAACTGGGCAAATTTGGGCTCCAGGTAGGCCTTGGTGACAATCTTGCCCTGAGGAGCATTATCCACAATACATTGGTTGCAAGCCGCGTTGTAAAACTCGAAGGCCGAATCCGGTGCGCACAGTGCTGGAGTCTTGCCGACTCGTTGGGCTTCTATGTAGGCGTTGTTACAAACGTCATAGCATACGGCTGGGCATATCGTTTCATCCCGTTTGGAGAGGCGGTGCGTGGGCGGATCGGCACGCGGCCGTACTATCTCCCTCTTTGACGCCGCGGTTGGGGTCGGCGCCGGGTAGTGCGTCAGACTCGACTGAGAAACCCAGTTGCCAGTGACGACTGTTGTCGGGCGCCCGTTGACTGTCGTGACAAGCTGGGTTGCGGCAAAGATGTCATAGCTCAAGCCAAAGGCAGGAGGAGCGAGATTGAAGTATCCCTCTGTCGGAGGATAGTAGCTCGTCTTGTTCGGCAGCCATTCCACGAAAGGGAAGAGAGGAGCCGTGATGCAGTACTTCGGGTTACACTTGTAGTCGTCTTTTGGCGAGTCGCCAAACAGATTGCACTTCTCGGGCTTTGGAACATTGCACACCGATCCAGCATTGCATCCCCAAGTCTGGTTCGGTGAGGTTTCAATCGGTGCAGGCGGTGCAGTCGTTGCAGGCGGCGGAGGAGGTGGAGGCGGTGGAGGCGGTGGCTCGACCTTGCCGCCCTTGCCGCCCTTCTTGCCGCCCTTCTTGCCACCCTTGCCGCCCCTCTTCCAGTGAGTAGATTTGGAAAAGGGCGTGGTGGATGGAGATGGAACCGAGCAGACCGAAACGGTGGCAATTATGGTTGTCGAAATGGTAGTAGTCAGGCCTGGAAGTGTGATGGAGACTGGGAACGAAGTCTTTATCCCTGGCAAGAACGAGGTGACAACCGACCCGGATTGGGTGAAGGTGGTGGTAGTTGGGGGGATAAAAGAAGTAGAAAAGCTGACTATCGTAGAGGCAGGGAGGGTAATGACGATGCCTGGCAACGTCGTCACAGGGCCTTGCAATGATACTGTTGTGACGGAGCCCGGAAGTGTGGTGACAGAGCCCGGCAGTGTGGTGACAGAGCCAGGCAATGTTGTAAACCCGCCTGGCAATGTTGTGACAGAACCTGGTAGTGTAGTGACGGAGCCTGGCAGCGTTGTCACGGAGCCCGGTAGCGTTGTTACGGAGCCCGGAAGAGTACTTAGCAAGGTAGTTGTTGAGATGATTGTTGTGGGAGACGGGACCGATGTGGTAATCTCAGTAGTGACAGTCGATGTCTGTGTGCTAAAGATGGTAGTGCTGCCCGTCGTCGTTACCGAAACAAGATTTGTAGTTGTGAATGTTGTCGTGGTAGTAGTGGGGACAGAAGTAGTAGTGGGGATAGTAATGAGGGAAATAGAGACGCTCGTCGTAGTTGTCGTTGTCGGAGTCGTCTTTGTCGTGGTTGTCGGCGTAGTTTCCGTGGTGGTTGTGGTTGTGGGCGTGGTCTTCGTTGTGGTTGTTGTCGTGGGCGTGGTCTTGGTGGTAGTAGTGGTTGTTGGCGTAGTTTTGGTTGTAGTCGTTGACGTTGTTGTAGTCGTCGGAGTAGTCTTGGTTGTCGTTGTGGTTGTAGGCGTAGTCTTGGTTGTAGTTGTCGAGGTCGTCGTAGTCGTAGGTGTAGTCTTTGTAGTGGTAGTCGACGTTGTTGTGGTCGTCGGCGTGGTTTTAGTTGTGGTTGTGGTTGTTGGCGTAGTCTTCGTGGTAGTGGTCGACGTTGTTGTGGTTGTTGGTGTAGTCTTCGTTGTCGTAGTCGATGTTGTTGTAGTTGTCGGCGTGGTTTTAGTTGTGGTGGTAGTTGTTGGAGTAGTTTTGGTAGTAGTCGTCGACGTTGTTGTAGTCGTCGGAGTAGTCTTCGTTGTGGTAGTGGTAGTTGGTGTGGTCTTTGTGGTGGTAGTCGACGTTGTTGTGGTCGTTGGCGTAGTCTTTGTGGTGGTAGTCGACGTTGTTGTGGTCGTTGGCGTAGTCTTTGTGGTGGTAGTCGATGTTGTCGTGGTCGTTGGAGTAGTCTTTGTCGTGGTCGTCGATGTCGTTGTCGTTGTCGGCGTGGTTTTAGTTGTGGTCGTGGTAGTTGGTGTAGTCTTTGTAGTCGTGGTCGACGTTGTTGTAGTAGTTGGTGTTGTCTTCGTCGTGGTCGTGGTAGTTGGTGTCGTCTTTGTGGTGGTGGTCGACGTTGTCGTAGTCGTCGGAGTTGTCTTCGTTGTAGTTGTGGTCGTCGGAGTAGTTTTTGTCGTGGTTGTCGAAGTTGTTGTCGTTGTCGGTGTGGTCTTCGTCGTAGTCGTAGTCGTCGGAGTGGTCTTTGTTGTGGTAGTGGTTGTTGGCGTAGTCTTCGTTGTAGTTGTGGTTGTCGATGAAGACTTGGTTTCTGTTGTGGTAGTGGTTGTTGGCGTAGTCTTCGTCGTGGTCGTGGTTGTCGGGCTGGTTGCCGTCGTGGTTGTCGGGCTGGTTTCCGTCGTGGTTGTGGTGGTTGGTGTGGTTTTCGTTGTGGTTGTGGTTGTTGGTGTGCCAGTTGTGGTTGTTGTGTCCGTCTCAGTGTCCGTTTCGGTTGTCTAGTATCATGTAAGTGAAATGTACAATATGCTTAGAGGTGCTTAAGCGCGGCGTTTAGCACAGCAAACTGGTCCTGACCCCTGTCCGAGGCATCCCATAGAGAAAGGGGGCCCATCAACCCTCAGACCTGAACGCCAATCATCTTCGCAGCACGCCCGACTTCGGGGTCCTCCTCTTAGGGGGTCTAGGAGAGCTCTAGTAGCAGCTCATGGCTGTATCCTTGACTTTACGTACCGCGGAAGTTGTCGTCTGCGTGACAGTAATTGTGCTTGGCGGAATTGTTGTACTAGATTTCGTTAGTCAAGTCTCTAGCCTCAAGGTTTGGTAGTTACATACGTTACGGTTGGTGGATAGACCCAATACGTGCTGGTTTTCGTCTTGGTCGTTACCGTAGTGCTAGTCTTCCACCAAATTACTGTCTTCGTTGTCGTACATGGCAGCGGATAATTATCTATGTGGACCCCCGAGTCTTGGTTCTGGGGAGAATTCTTATCCTGCGAAGAATTCAGATCCGCGGAAGAACTCTGCTCGGGGGAAGGACTCTGCTCTGGAGGAGGACTCTGCTCTGGGGGAGAGCTCTGCACTGGAGGAGGGCTCTGTACTGGAGGAGGGCTCTGCACTGGAGGAGGGCTCTGCACTGGAGAAGGGCTCTGCACTGGAGGAGGGCTCTGTTCTGGAGAAGCAGTGATTGTATCGTTGGCTCTTGCGAAAACCTGTCCTTCATTTGCAATTGCGAAGTGGACGAGAGACAGGGTCCCAAGCGCCCTCATAAGCTTCGTGAAGATCATTTTGCTGAGGCGAGGCTTTCACACCAAGCCAGGCGCAACGAGTTGACGAGCGAGTGTGACGGTTCAGTGTACGAAACGAACGTGGAGGCAGCGAGTGAAGCTTGCGCCAGGAAGGTTGACATCGGCTGTGAACGTTCCTGATGGGCGTCGATGGTCCCTGTCGATCATATAAGGCGGCCAAGAGCTGTTTGAGGGGTTGCCGACCGACCCCAGGTAGCTTCAATAGCTCGACGTAAATAACAAAGACAGTGAGACTAATACCTTGGCAACCAGACCCTGCCTGATCTTTCCTCGGTTTCCCCTTGAGGAACTGACCAGCCAGCCGAAGCAACTCACGCTCTCTCTCTCACACTCTCTCGCTCTCTCTTCTGTCGATCGCGGTGCTGTTTCCTTGGGCTGACGAGGGAGGCATGGAGGAGGAGAGAGGAGCGCTCCGACGGTCTGACGCGGGACCGAGGAAAGAAGGCTGTATGCTCAAGAAGCTGGGGAACAAAGAACTGGGAGAGCTTCTAAGTCCCGAGAAGCAATCACTTGCATGGCACCATGGAAGCAGTCGGCCGTCCTATCACTGGGGAGCATTTGCCAGGGTTGGATGCCAATGATGCACGACGAGGGGTCTCGAGCTCTGCTACCCCTGCCTGCTCGCGGAGATGCAGGCCACATCCCACAGGCGGAACACGCACGGTACAGTACGACAAGTCCAAGGCTTGGGGAACCAATAGCATGGCACAATGGCCTCAGCCTGGCCGCCGCCAGCAGCCTGCCAAGTAGAAAGAACGGTACACACTCCACAACAGAGGCCGCGGGAGCTAGACGGCTTCGGGGAAAGCTTTGGGGTTTCTTTGACCTGAGCTTTGCCCGCCGCCCACCGCCCGCCACCCGCTTTCCGCCTTCTGGCGGACCGAACGAGCCGCGGGGCCAAGTACATATGTACATACACAGATACCGATTGTTCTTGTGCATACCCGTAGTAAGTGGTATGACGGCGGCGTGCTGCGGTCTGCGCCCCGCAACAGCTTGAGAAGAGCCGAGAGAGAACAAAACAAGCCACAACAAAACACACGAGGCATGCTGTCCAACAGGACTGTCCCAAATCTTGCTGGGCTTTCCTTGAGCACAATCCCTCTGAGAATAGGCACGGATGTTACACAACGGGGAGTCACTAAGGCGGGACAGGGCAGATCCGGAAAATGGGCACCAAGTACATACATACGAAGGTGGGGGAGAAGAAGAGGAGGGGGCGTGGGTTGATGAATGGACACAGTACCTGATTCCGACGCGAGGGCTTTCTCGTCCTGGGCGGCCTTCCTTCGTCCAGTCCACGAGCATGTTACCGAGCTTGCGAAGCTCCGGTTCGAGGAGGGCGAGCAAAGACGAGCGGGGGTGGCTGGCCAAGTAGTGGCCAGGCGTGGGTGACTGAAAGACAGGACAGGACAGGACAGGCTGGCCGAGGTCCGAAGGCTGAGTAAGAGGGGATAGGCATCGCAGGGATTCCAGAATCAAGCTTCGAGAGGACGAGGCCACCGGAACGACCCCTCCCCCTCCATTGTTCTCTTCCCAACCAGGTCCCGAATAGTGCCGCACTGCATGCAAAATTGCAGTGCTAAGGCCCAGTTTAAGCAGGTCCTCCGGACAAAGGCGACGGGACGGGAACGCAAGAGCTCTGGGCACGCAACATTCCATACGAACAAGAGCGACGACGGTAGGTGCCGAGTACGATATGCGTCCGGCGATACATGGTATATCAATTGGGGAGCTGGGGGGGTGTGTGACTTGCCTGACCCCTCCCTCCTCCGCCACTTTTTAATTGCCCCCAGTACAAATGGTGCCAAATGGGCAAGAGGAAACCAGGGCTTATCCGGGTCGACGCTCTTGCAGTTGATAATAATGCCGACCTGCTAAGAAGACCCCGAAAACCTCTTTGCTTCTTCTTCCAGTGTCCGGGAAGGCCAGCTATTCCTTATTACCGGCAGTGTGCTGCATTCTGCAGGGCGGTCTGACTGAGCTGGGTTTCTAGGAGCTGGACGGCAGCGAAGCTCTCGACAAGCGTCACATGCCGAGATCTCCGAGATTATGAAGCTGAAATCGTGATCCTGCCTGCTCTCCATAGCTTTGGTCCCTGTGAAGCTCGAGAGGGTGGTGAGGCGAGCGAGGCAAGCGAGGCAAGCGAGGCAAGCGAGGCAAGCGAGGCAGACAAGCCAAGGTTGGCTGCGTCCTCATGGTGTGGTGCGCGGGCCCATTCCAGTGTCCGGTGCGGCCACTCACTCGTCAAAGGATGACGTGAGTGATGTGATATTCCAATACGTCCGTCAATACAACTATGTAGACTCTGAGAGTTCGGCGCGGGTTGTCCTGTGGCATGGCAATTGAACAAACATCGTGGATGCGTGGCTTATCCCAACATGGAGACACCAAGACGAAGAGGAGGGGTCCAGAGCGGAGAGTCCATCGAGAAGAGACGGCCGAGGAAGGAATGGAGGGGTCGGGAAACTGGGGCAACGGCAAGCTATTCCTGCACGGAAGGTGCAAGGATGTTGATCTCACTAGCTGGCGCGCCCTGATTGGGCTGTGACCGGGCACCATGCCTGTCCAAGCTTAGCCTAACAGGGCCGGCTTGCGCGAGGCCCGATCGGACGGTCCGAGTCGACAAGGACTCCAAGGGTGTGTGAGTGCGGTTGCACTTGTGAGCACCCGCTGGCTTCGGACGGGAAGCTTACAAGCTGCCCCGCCTTTTCATCCAAACCAGCCCACAAGCGATGCTCGATGGAAGCTCACCGTCGCAATGGCGCTCCAACCGAGAAGACAGTCCGCGGAATGACACTACAGACACTAGATGAATCGCCGACCCTACCCACCGAGCACTGTCAGAATTTCATGCCCATCTGACACCTAGCAATCCATGCAGCGTTGCAACTGAGCAACAAGTCGACCGCCATTATTGACTGCTACATGGCTGGGTGCCTTTGGTTACCTTCCTTACTTACCACCCTAGATAGGTTACTTAGGTAATGGCACCACTAACAGCCACACACGTGCCTACCGGATACGATACGGCTTCAACAAGAAGACGCCTCGGCGGCGGCTATTACCAGTCTCTTTTCTTTTTTCCCTCTCCCTTTCCTTCTCCTTCTGCCTGAGCAAAACCAATAAACCCAAGAGTGGTTGTTAATATTCGGCCATGTCGGCAAATCGGCCCAAGAGAGAAGGTTGTGGCTGGGCTGCCCCGGAGTCGCCACCACGACGTGGTAGTATCTCTTCTGTGTGTGGCAGACTGAGGTGAGAATTTGGTGGGGGCCAGGCCGCTCGAGAGGTGCCCGCCCGGAGGACCAATACGCAGTTCCCACTTCGCGCCTGCACTACCTCAGGAACCCAATATCATCCCGCGGCCACGGCAGTCTCTCCGTTGTCGTACTAGTCAAGTCAAAAGGCCTTAGCCCACGACAGGAACGAGAGCGAGAGCGACAGGTGGCAGACGGCAGAGCACGCTTCTCTTGCTCAACCCGCTTGCGACTTCTGGGCACCTGCGGGGTTCCACGACACACTTGGCATTGCCAATTGATCGTGTTCTGCTGTGTAAGGTGAGGTGGCTGTGGAGGAATTTAATCAGCGAAGAAGGTTGATGGATGGGACGACAATCGACGGTTAGATCCGAGAGTTGCTGGATTAATATATCTGCCATATACGGCGGTGAGCTCGAAATGCCCACAAGGCTGAGAGAAAGCCGGGCGGTGTCGACGAGCACGAGACGACGGGACGGCCCCCTCAATGTCGATCACCCAATGGCAATGGGTGTTGTGCTTGCGGGACTTTGGGGAACCATCCCCATCCAACAAGCCCCAGGACACGAAAATGGGCTCGGAGCGTCTGGACTGGAACTGGAGTGGGAGTGGTGCGCTCTGCAAGTCTTGCCCAACCAGACGCTGCTTCGCCACACCTTTTGAGTTTCGAAGCTTCCTTTTGTGAGCCTTTGGCCTTGGTGCCTCTGCCTCTGCCCCTCCCACAATAGCACACCCAGATGCACACACGGCAGCGAACACCAAAGCGTGTCAGCCTCCGGCGTGAGCACTTGCAACCCTTTATTCGCTTGAGGGACCTGCGCCACTGTGGTCGCAACCCTCTTCATTACACCAGATACTTTCTTTTAGTTTTTTTAATGATCTTTTAATTTGGACTCTCTCTGAGACACCATACTATCTGGTCCCCTCGTCTATCCCACTGTTCAGCTCGTGGTTGCTCCTCGCCACACAGCCCGTCACCCTCCCTCCCATTGGCTCGTTGTCTCTGCGGGGGTCTCGGCTCTTGGCTCTTTGGCTTCGGCTCTCTTGGTCTGTTACGCTCTGGCTCTCTCGGGTGAAAGACTGGAAGACGGGATCCCGCTTCTAGGCCATGCTTCCTTTGTGCCATCTTTGTCTCTTCCTACACTAGGCCGCACCAAAGCAGACTCGTTGTCCAGGAAGGGCCTTCTGACACCGGGACTAACTAATATCCGCAGTCTTTGCTTTCGAGTGACTGGCCGGGCTTGCTGCTACACAGCGCTTCGCCAATGGCCTTGTTGTGAAAACCGCCTTGGCTGTTATCATCGCTTTCTCACTCTCACCGTCACTGTCACCACCGTCATCGTTATCTGTGCCCCAGTGCTGGGTCGGGGAATGTGTCTAAGCTGCCCGTAAACAGTCAGTCGATTTGCCTCATCTCATCTACCAGGCAGGCACGGGCCGCTACCGGCAATATAAATCCAATTCGCAATGCTCGGGCCGGGTCTGGGTGCACTGGCAGTGGTGACGGCCTATGCCTCCGTCGCCCGGGGTCAGTCAACATGGCCATCCAATCAGGTCGATACCACCTTGTGCCAATGGCAACAACCCCGAGGTAAGTGTTTTCTATGAGGCCTGTATACTAGACGTCTCCTCTGACCCGAGGGCATAGCTGCTGTCGTCCAAGACACGGTATACATGGACGGCGGACGCCTGTGGTGGCTACCTGGCTTCGATGATGGAACACTTGGGCCAATAACCTCAGACGGTAAGTATCTAGACGATTTAGCCAGAGGCCTGGGTGCTGATATTCGCGACAGACAATCCCCTGGGTCTTGTGTACACTCTCAACTTTAGCAAACCCTTCAACACGACCCAGAACATCACTGCCCTTTTCAACACTATTTCAAAAGCCCCGGCCGGCAGTGCTGCAAATAACCTTGCTCCCAACTACTATGACGGAGCCATGCTGGCAAACAACGACGAGTGGGTTCTCTACGGCGGCTTGCTAAAGAAGACTTCGGGGCTCTCAGACCCGGACGCAGACGAGGCGTTAGCCTACCAGAAGTACCAGTATGGGCCCCAGAGGGATTCGTTCGAGCCCGGCTTCGCAAAGGTGAACCTCCCGGTCAACATGACACGATATATTGCCTACGGCGGAGCCGCCAGCGCGCCGTCTGAAAACAAAGCGTGGTACTTCTCCGGGATGCATTCGCCTTCCTTTGGCCCAATATACGAGGCAGGCACCAATCTCAGCCAGACAGCAGTCGACGTCTCCAACACTCTTATCACCTTGAACATGTCGGTCCAGGGGAAGGAATCCTTCACGAACGACTCGTTACCAAGCGATATCCCCGGACGCGCGAACCCGGAGCTTGTATGGGTCCCCGTCGGCGCTCAGGGCATTCTCGTCGCACTGGGCGGAGTCGTGCTTCCGAGCTTCATTTCGCCAACCCGAACGATTTCAGCCAACATCACAGAAAGTGTAAGTCTCTTCCTCCTGTCTCTAGGTCTTGTTGACAGGCTTTCTAACCTCGAGCAGGAGGCACAGAGCCCTGGTTTCATGTCGACCATCAATGTCTACGATGTCGCTGGGAACAAGTGGTACAACCAGCAGACGGTGGATGGGCCTGGCCAGCTGACCCGGGGCTGCGCCGTCGTTGCCACTGCTCAAGATCGCTCGAGCTTTAACATATACTACTATGGCGGTTACGACGGCCTTAAGGAGACGAGCCCTCACAGCGACGACGTATGGATCTTGTCGCTGCCTTCATTCACGTGGACCAAGATTGCTGGCTCGAAACAGGGCCGGGCCGGGCACAAGTGCTTCATGCCGTATCCAGACCAGATGATGGTTATCGGGGGGTCCCCGACCATCCCCGACACCGTCAGCCCTCTCACTTGTCTAACAGAACCCATTCGCCTGTTCAACGTGTCAAGCGGCGCCTGGATGACTAGCTACGACCCGGCCAAGTATTCCAACTACAGTGTCCCTTCCGGCATCTCCGACAAGATTGGTGGATCTGCCACGGGCGGTGCCACAGCAACAGCCCCTAGCCCTTCGGGTTTTGCCTCGACTGGCCTGGCCCAAGTCTTCGCGACGCCGTACCCAACAAGCAAGCTCACGAGATTTTACCCGTACGCGTCCGCTGCGCCGGCCAACAACACCAACCCTAATACTCCTGCGGCTTCGGATCAGCCGAGCGGCGGAGGCGTCCCTGCATTCCTCCCGCCAGTGCTCGGTGTGGTGCTCGGACTGGTGTTCCTGACAATGATCGCTGTCCTGATACTCCTCTGGAGACGGCGCAGGCTGTTCAAGGCCCGCATGAGCGACACTGAGACCGAAGATACCAACGGCCATCGCATCATGTCGTGGATGCGTGGACAGACACTAACTAGCGAGGCCAAAGCACCCACCGTCACGACCTCTGACGAATTATCGTCGAGCCCAGCCGATGTCGAGAGCATTGTGGTACCACGGTCCACTATCGTCGAGGCGATGAACACGGAGGTGCAGCGACCACCCGTAGAACTTGATGGTATGTCCATCTCCTTGACTGACCTACTTCTTTGGATATCCTGTTGACCTTCATCTAGACACATCGCCCCGTGCTGAGCTTCACGATACGCCCGTGAGCCACATTGATGTTCTCAACAGATACTCGCGTCTCGGCGATAATCCAGTCCCAGGGTTTGGCTTTGGAACACTGAACAACCCGTCGTCCTACTCGAGCAGCACACAGCAGATTGACCACGCGAGCAGCCTGTCACGGTCCACCGCGTCACGGTCCGTCGCCGGCATGACCGCGTCGTCGCCCAGCCCACAGCCGCCCACTCCGCAACTGCCATCCGCCGAGCCGTCGCCCCCGCCGCCCGAGTTCCAGCCCGACGCTAACCTCCTAGCAAATCTAGGTACAGGCACAGGCACAACAGGATCAGGGTCGGGGACGTCCGCCACGGTGGCATCCTCGCCCACCATCACCATGGCCAACCGCAACACGCGCGTGCTGTCGGGCATCTCGAACCTCAGCGAACGCGACCGCGCACACCTGCGGCAGGTCAGCGACACGACGGTGAGCTCTGTGACGACCGGCGCCGGCGGCGACCGCATCCTCAGCCCGTCGGTACCCATCGTCGAGACCCCGCTCGAGAGCCCCGGGGCCTCGTCGCAACGCACCATTCTCGCCATCTCCCCGCCCACGGTCGGCATCACCGAGGAGGCCGAGGACTATCTAGATGCGCGCTCATCGCTACAGCGCCAGCATACTGCTGGTACTGCTGCGGGCACGCCGACTAGTCCCCTCAGGCGGAGCGTCTTCACCGAGAGCCGCGAAGACATGAACGACACCAGCCGCCGAGGGGGGGGTCCCTCTGCTTCGTGATGATGACGACGATGATTATGATAACCACAATGAAACACTGTTGTTAAAAACGCCTTTGTAATGATGACTTTAATGGGCAGGCTGGCTTACAGATCTGCAAATATTTCCATTTTTTGGGGTGGGAGGACCTGGGCAAGGACACACACATCAACTACAAACCTATCCTTACTTTACCCACAAAAGGCGTTTGCTTTTTATTTCCCTTTTACTATATGACGGACGACTCCAGGGGCAGCATATCAGGCGGCAGGCGGGTGGGAAAACGCTGCTTTTTTTTTCCCTCGTCCCTTTTCCCCTTTTTTCTCTTTCTATGCTTATCATTATACATATACGCGTATGTAACTCGGGCACCGTCTGGGTCTGTCTGTACCTAGCCTATCTGTATGACGCGCGACGAGCGAGATGATGGAATTGGATGGGGTTTCTTTGGGAAGAATACCATGCCTTGCCTTTGGCCTCTCTGGTGCGCAAGTATCTAGTTGTCCCATTGTTTCTTTCTTTGAAGGCGTGGATCTGTGCTGGTGTGTCTGTGGTGGGGATGGATATGTGCTGATAAAGTAATGGGATAGACATGTACCTACCTACCTGACCTGGCCTGCCGGCTTATTCTTCAGATATATATATATGTCATGCTGAATGCTATAGGATATGTGTAACGAAGCACATGTACGAGACGGCTTTTCCTTTTTTCTTCTCAGGATTCGCAAATAGCGATCGACATCTACAAGTAAATAGCCAGCGAGTTACTAAGTAAGTGATAGCCTGCTGAGATGCTCCATCTCAGAAAGCTAGCAAGTCTTCGGCTCAGCCGCACATCTCTCCGAGGCAAGCCAAGCCATAAATACCACACTATGTGTCTAGTGTATGCGATGGTAAGGTAGCTATGGAGGCATGTACGCGTGCCGTACAAGTGCAGCACTTGGGATCTGCCGCCGTTCCGCAGCCTCACATCGCTCGTTCTCTCTTCTCGCAGCAGAGCCACGGTGGCTACAGCCAGCCACATGGGTTAGGTGTATCCTCCAGCCAGAAAACGACCTGGCTCAGCTGAGAATCATCTAAAACGCTAGCAAAGGAAACTCTAAACGCCAGGACGGAAAGGATACACCAAAACATTTCCGCCCTTCTGCGCTGGCGAGACCTAGCAAACCTCTAAACAAATTCCAGGCTTTGTTCCTAATAGTGATGTTTTCTATCCCCAAAAATTGAATGAATCAATGACTCGGAATTTGAACGGCCCGAAGAGGATGACATGATGTAACAAAATCTACGCACCCGTTTATCGCGCCTGGTGCGTGTTAAGAGAAGTATTATACAGTACCTACTTATACCAACAACAACGACAACAACGACAACAACAATAGCAACCACCAAAAGGCAAAGGGGAAGTGGATGACAAAAGAAAAGGGGAAAAAAAGGGCCCCGACGAACCCACCCAGCCGGAACTCCAACGGGATTTTATATCCTCACAATGTCCATAACACAGAGGAATGGCACCTTGCCGCCCCCTTTCGCTCGTCTTTCTCTTTCACGTTACAAACCAATAAAACTTAACAAACCCTGCAAAAAGGCACGCAGACCTGTCTCTATTAGTCGGCCTTTCCATTGATATTGGTCCTGAAAAGAAGCGGCGACTTGTATTCTCGGGCATTCTCCTCAAGGCGGAAGTGACCGCCTCGTATCCTCCTCATCCTGCCGCGGTACCACGAGACGAGGCCAAAGAGCACGCCGAGAATGCAGCCCATGCTGAGGTAGGGGTGCTCAGAGAATGTGACGCGGATGTCAAAGAAGACCTTCTCGATGCTGGAGATGGTGAGCTTCGACTTGATCTTGGGCGGCGACGCCGTCACACTGAGTATGGTCTCAAGAATCCCTGTCCGAGAGGGGTTGATGGGATTGCCCGTGATTGTCTGGTCCCAGTATTGACGGTTCTGCCAGAAAATGTGTTAGTAAAAACTCGCGTATGGATTATCACATGAAACTCACATCCTCATCGTTTATGATGACTCTATCGCCGTCCTTGACATCTATGCCATATGTCGTCCGGATCCATCTCTGCCAGAAAATGCCGTCGACCCAGGCAAATGCAACCTCCTTGTGGTCCGCCTTGTCCATGTTAATCCTGATGCTCTTGGCGGCACGCAGCGCCCGTTGATCGCCCCGGTCCTCGGCCTCCTCGATCCGAGTTTGCTTGGCGTCGCGAAGGTCTTGTCGTTCGCGTTGGAATGCGTTAATCTGCTTGTCCATCCATTCATTGGCGGCGCTCTTCATTTCGCGCTGGGCCTTCAAGAATTTATCTGGGTCGTCCCTGTTCAGTATTCCCAGCACGACAATCTTGCCATCCATGATTTCACGAGCGTTGGATGCCGTCAGCTCGGGCACAATTGGCAGCCAGACAGATTTCATCCAGGTGAGGACCTGGTGTGTATCCCGCATCTCCCTCGGGGTAAGAGGAGTGTAATACGTCGGTCGCCCTTCACGAGAGACAATCAGCCGTGGCCAGGTGGTGATCTTGTACTGCTCGAAGAGTTTGGGGTCTTGGGTCTTGACAAGCTTTGCGCGTCCAATAAGGCTCAGCGGGAGGCGCTCCAGGGCTGTGAAGTCCTCGGTGGTGGTGGCATGGTCGTAGAAGTAGACGAAGATGACCTCTTCCTTGGCTTCGAGGGTCTTGAAAGAGGCGGCATCCACATCTGGCACGCCGCTTGCGATGTCTATCGCTTTGTCGGCGTACTGGATGAAGTCGCCAAGGCCGCGAAGACCGTCGTATTCAACTCGCTCGCCGCCTTTGAAAAAGAGAATCGTGGGATAGCCACGCAGCCGGACGTCCTTGCAGAGACGGGACTCAACGTCGCAGTTGACCTCGCCAACGTGGAGTCTACCTTTCATGTCCTTTGCCATCTGCTCCCAGTGGGGTGCCATGGCTTGGCAGTGGTGGCACCACGGGGCGTAGAACTTGATGAACCATGGCTCCTGTGTCAAGGTCACCTTGGCCTGGAAGGTCTCGGCCGATAGGGGGACCGAGGTGCCGTTGATATTAGGAGTGGGCTGCGGCTTTGACTTCCTGGGGGGTGCTCGATACGGGGCAATTGCGGCCGCCTTGGCTTTCGCGTCGGCATCTGCTTTCGCGTCGGCAGACGGGTCGGCCTTTGCCGCTTCCTTTGTCTTTGTGCTGTCTTTGGAGGGACTAGAAACATCGACCTTAGGGCCGCCAGGAGTCGACGCGTCGCCGGGAGCTGGAAGGTCCAACTTGGCTGGTCTCGTTCCAGGTTTCGTGCTCTCCAGCGCAGCCTCGATCTCGACGCTTAGTTCGGCTATGTTCTTCTTGCTGCCATGGAAGGTCTTGAAAGTCTCGCCGTCCTTGTATAAAATAGTCGTCGGATACGTAGTGACGTTATGCTTACTGCATTCATCGCCGTAGACGGTACAATCGAGTTCGCCAAAGCGGAAATCGTAGAATTCGGTAAACTTTGCGTTTTCGTTTCCACTGCCGGCGGGCGTCGATGTGTAGTAGAACTCGTACAAGGTCTGGAAGGTTGGAGCAAAGGCGATGCAGTGCGAACACCAGGGGTTAAAATGCTTGACCATCAACCATTTTGACGCGAGACGGTCCTGTTCCCAGGTGTCTGCCGATAACCGCTGCATTGGCGGGACCATCTTTTGGTTGAAGTATGTGTTCTCACGCGGCGCCTCGTCCTCGCCATCATCCCCGAGGGGCACTTCGGTGGCCAGGACGGCCGCGCCGAAAATAAGGGCGAAATTGAATAGCCTCATGGTTGCGGATGCCTCGGTATGCAAATAGACGGCTCGAAATGCGTTGGCGGGATGTGATGAACAAGTTACGGATTCGTGGTTGTAGGAAGCGGACTCGAGATTTCTCCTTTTCGAGACCAAGGAAGGCTACCTGTGCATCAGGGGCGGCGACCAGAGAAAAGCGCACGAGTGCGGCGTCGGATACAGATTCGGATACGGTCTCGCGCGCGCGCGCCTGCGATACGGATAGCTTATGCAGAATATTGTCGGAAGGTTGCTCACTCTCGGAGGAGGCTTGTTGATAAGAGGCTCATATTCTTTGGCAACGTTGAAGAGCCAAGGAAAAAGAATGGGAACCAGGAGGCGAACGCGGCGGCCTGTATCCACAGTGTCATGTTTCCAACGCATCTGCACGAGCCCCCTACAAGACCGACCCAGGCCGGCCGCTAGGCTTTGTGTGTTTTACCGCCTCGAGTTTCAGGCAGCTAAAACGTTCATGCATAGGGTTAGGGTTTGACAAACGCTACTCCTTCAACGGCGTGAGGCGGGAGCCTATTCGTTGTTAGTGGTATGGAGGACCTAGGTATTTTATTTCGCCAATGAGATACAGAGTATATAGGGCCTATATTCGTATTATTTCGTTACCCAACCAAGAAAGCTGACCCATGGCTGGAACTTTTGGTTGCTGTGTGAAAACGAGGTAATCGGAGCTGTAATAGCCTCGTATATTTATTGCTGTATCCGTACTGTACATGTACAGTGCATACTCGGTGTTCAATGAAAGTACACTACGGAACATGGGGGTAAAAGTCTTTACACAGTACACACTTGCTCGTACCTCACTTACGTAAGGATAGTGTTGTTCTAGTGGTGTGTTCTTTATCGCTTTTTTATTTTATATAGACGGTGTTAATAAGGCTCCTTAGTCGCAGGCACTGTCTCTACGTAAGCTAGGCTCAAGCAAGTGTGTAAAGACTTTTGGCCATGTTCCGTACATACCGCTCCTTTTCGTTCGTTTAGGGATCGCACTAACAGGGAGTAAATCGCCGTTCATCCGCTCAATACTATTCGCCCAGTTTTCATTCCCCTCCCCACGGTCCCGATCACGAAATGGCTGGGCCTTTTTGTTCAATCCAGTTGGGAAAGCGCAGATAACACGCTTCTCGATCAACTACTAGGCAACCGCCGCCACTTACCAGAGCCAGAGAATCTACCTACCTACCTTGGACCAGAGGCTGCTGGGGGCGTAAATAGTTAGGTCTTGAATCACCCAACTCAACCTGGTGGACACGAACGCAGCACTGTCTGGCCTGGAGAGATGAAGAAAAATAATAAAGAGAGAAAAGGAAATGGACCAATCGGCTCAACGACTACTTCTACGTCCCATAAGTCCCCCGCCAAAGAAGCGACGGATGATATCAGAAACACTCAAAGACCCCGGATACTTGGAAACACCTCCAGGGGAGGACAAGCCATGCCCGCCCCCTGACAAGCGGAGGTTCGACTCGCCCTTCCACCTTACCAGGATACGTGACCTGCCGCCCGAGCTCAATGTTGACACGATCGGGCTGAACGACATACTCGGCGATCCCCTGATATCGGAATGCTGGGAGTTCAACTATCTCCATGACATAGACTTCCTCATGCGAGCCTTCGACCAGGATGTCCGCCATCTCGTCAACATTCATGTCGTCCACGGTTTCTGGAAAAAAGATGACTCGAATAGAATAGAACTTCAGGTAGGAAGACGAATGCTTTGTCTACCTGTGATTTCATTCCAGTATAAGGACGAGCTTTGCTTTTGCCCGAGACGGCTGCTCACATTCCAAGTCAAATATATCGGTCTCTATCTGGGTCGGTATTTAAGCCACATCTATATTTCCTATTTCTTATGATATCTTTCTAATCACTGAAGCAGAACCAAGCGTCACGCTATAAGAACGTGGCCCTCCACACAGCATTCATGCCCGAGATGTTTGGCACCCATCACTCCAAGATGATGATTCTCCTGCGGCACGACGACACGGCCCAAATCGTCATCCACACGGCGAACCTAATCGTCCGGGACTGGACCAACATGACGCAGGCAGTGTGGCTGTCGCCACGGCTTCCCCTTCTCCCGACAACATCCACTCAAGACGGGAGCGAGAATTACAGCCCTGCTGCTGCTACCACTGTTGCTGCTGCTTCCAGTCAAGACGACCAGGAAGAAGAAATCCCCAAGACGGGCAGCGGCGCCAAGTTCAAGATTGACTTCCTCAACTACCTCCGGTCTTACGACACGCGCCGCGTCACCTGCCGGCCCATCATCGAGACGCTCAGCAAGTACGACTTCTCCGCGGTGCGGGGGAGCCTCATCGCGAGCGTTCCGGGGCGGCACAACATCCACGACCGGTCGCGGACACAATGGGGATGGGCGGCCATGAAGCAAGCTTTGCGCGACGTGCCCGTGCAGTATCACACAGCCACCTCATCATCAACAACAAAAACAACAGGTAAAGAAAAGGCCCCTGAAATCGTGGTGCAAATCTCGTCGATCGCCACACTGGGCCCAACAGACAGCTGGCTCAAGACCACCCTGTTCCGGGCGCTTAGCGGGGGGCGTGGTCGGGTTCCGGCTCCGGCTCCGGCTCCGGCTCCTACTCTCGCCCTCGCGCAGCCCCTGCTCAAATTCAAAGTAGTATTCCCCACGGCGGACGAGATACGCGCGTCTCTCGACGGGTACGGCTCGGGTGGTTCGATCCACACCAAGATCAAATCGCCCCAGCAGGCCAAGCAGCTGCAATACCTGCACCCGATCTTCTACCACTGGGCCAACGACTGCTCTGGCGCCGCGAGTAAGTCACCCCCTCTCCCCCCCTGTGACACACAAGCCCATCTTATCAAGAGTCCCCCCTTTTCCTTCCTAGAGAAGATCCCTCATGTTATCTAATCACTTACCACCGCTTACACAAGCCAACCCCCCAAGCATAGAACTCCCAGAAAACGAGCCCGTGCGGGACGCTGGACGCCAGCGGGCGGCGCCGCACATCAAGACATATATCCGCTTCGCGAACGGTAGCAGAGCGTCCTCGCCGACGATCGACTGGGCGCTAGTGACATCGGCCAACCTGTCCAAGCAGGCGTGGGGCGATGCCGTCAACAACAGCACGGGCGAGGCGCGCGTGGCGTCGTACGAGATCGGCGTGCTCGTGTGGCCGGCCCTGTTCGCCGAGGATACCGTCATGAAGCCAGCTTTTTTGACGGACAGGGTTACGGCACCGGCGGAGAAGACCTCGGACGAGGAGAGGCATGACGGCGATGCGGTACCGGTGGTGGCGCTGCGACTGCCTTATAGTCTCCCGCTGCAGGCCTACGGAAAGCATGAGAATCCGTGGGTCGCAACGGAGAGCTACGCGGAGCCGGATTGGAAGGGGCAGTATTGGAAGAAGGACTGAGAGTTCGACTGTGTTTTTGTTACCATTTTTTGACACCGGCGTTGGGAAAAACGGGGACGATATCAAGTGATCATAATGGACGACCTCTTGCCGAATGGCGCTTTAGCAAGGATGAGCAGCCAACGAAAGTCGCTTTTTAAGTCAAAAAATATATAAAGCGGATGGTGCTAAATGGCTTCTCTTCTCATTCATCTTCTTCCCTATCCCTACCAACACACCTTCCCACTCCACGTCAAGAAGGTGCCGCTCGCTCTCGGTCGTTGTCATCATCATCGCCGTCTAGACTCGTGTGTTCATTCCCTCCTACCTCCTGGATCTCAAGTATTTGATGAAATCACACGTCCTTCCTTCCCATTGATGACTTAAGCGGCAGTGCCAACGGCCTCGGGCTCCTTGGACGCGTCGAAGCCGTATGTTACCTTCATCTCCTCGAGCTTGGCGACGTACTTCTCCTTCGCCTCCTCGGCCGTGATGCCATCATCGACCACCTTCTGCCAGGCGTTGTACTTGGCCTTGCCCTGTTTACGGGGGATCAGAGTGTTAAAACCCGGTATATTTTTTCCTTTTATTTCTAAAGGGGGAGGGGTGGAATATCGCACCTTCAGGTCGAACATGCCGGGCTTGGACGCGTTCGAGATGTCCTCGCCAGTAGCAACTTTGTAGAGAGCTAAAGAGGGGTTAGTGTTAGCGCAACCGGTTCCAGTTTCACATGTTTTCAAAAGGGACTGCTTCCCGTCGCCTCCACGACAGACAGGCAAAGCATAGATTATTCAGGTGTGAAGTAGGCTAGCGGTGGGTATTTCTCACCATAGATCTCGAGGAGATCATCGTTGCTCGGCTTGGAGGTGAGCTTCTTGGAGTCCTCGGCGGCCTGGGCGAAAGCTTCGCTCTGAGGGGTAGGGCTCTGCGGGGTAGCCATTTCTGCTGGTTTGGGCGAGGAATGGTATGAAAGTCGATTGTTGATATTCTGTGTTTCGCTTGAAGTTGCTTTGGGCGAAACGAATTGAAGATTTGGTAGATAATCGAGACTGCGGTCAATTATGTGATTCTTGTTGAGGGGAAAGAGAAAGAGTAGTTCCGTTTGTTGAGCAAGGTTTGGCGGGGTCGCAGTCTTGGGAACACTACCACCGACACCAACCGCAGCACGCGGCAAGCTTGCGCGGGGTCAGGAGTTCGGCCAAGGCAGGCAAGGCAGCGACCTCCCCACCCCTCATTCATAGCATCATAGGCTGCTTATTTAGCATGGAAGTTCCTGGATGAGCTGGGTTGCCCCTTGCCAAGTCATCGGCCTTATTCTGCCAAGGTGCCTTGCCTGCCGAGGGAAAGAAAGAGCCGAGAGCGGTGGGCAGATGATCATGATCATGCCCGTGAGCTGCCTAGAGCTTACAGCCTAGGCAGAGAATAGAAGTGGAAGAAAGGAAACTGCACTGCCCAAGCGGGGCGAAAAGTTACCTTCGCTCGTTCTTATTTCTCGGTCTTATGTATGTCTTAGGTGTGCCTTCGTCTCATGGGTCCAGATTCTTACCCAGACAGCCGACCGGCACACCCAAAGGCCCGAGCCCATTGATATGCGACTTCTTTCTCTTACCTCAGCAGAATGTCGGAAGAGAAGAAGGCGCAACCCGGCATGGCTATGTCTGTTGGACGTCCAGACTGCAAGACAACCTCCAGTGCAGCTCGGTCCCGAGCCCCTGCAGGGCTGCACAGCAAACCGCCTGCACCAGGCAATCAATTAAGAACAAAGAGTAGCATCTCGGATCGGGTGCTCGCTTGAATGGTTCTCACATTGTCTCCGGCCCGAAAAGTCTATTTTCAACCCCCAGATTTCCACTTTTGGGTCTCTTACTTCAAACAATCCAACTGAAAACTGGAGCCCCACTTACAAAGACTTTGCACCGAGCACCTAATTGGCTAGCCTGTCCAACACCCGTTGCGTGGTTGGCCCCTTTCTCCATGAAATGACCGATGGCCCAGAGTCAGAAATAAACCAAAGCAACGGTTAGAAGGTGGTCGGGTACGAAGAACTTATCAGCAATGGCAAACACGCATCTTACGCTTGCTTACTTTACTTCGCATAATTACACTAGGAGTGTTGACCAATCTCCCCTGGACGCTGTATCGGCATTGTGTCTAACCTAGGTAGCCCCCTACGTAGTGTACGGATACCGATCTTGCCCACCTGCGCCACTTTTAAACGGATTCAATATTCAAGGTGGTAGTACAGCAGACAGGTCATAGTAGGACCAAGGCACGGAGTTTTTCAGTCCGATTACACAGCGGCGAACCTTCGGGTGTGTTTCCTGCGGGATCTTGAAGGAGCTAGTTGGCCTGCTAGCGGCTGCACCTCGCCATCACCCGTCCGCTCTGGTCGCCGTCCGTGGGTGTGGTCAAGGCGCCCCAGTCGGCAAAAGACCGGTTCGTCCAATCTCAGGTCGCCTTTGAAGGCATCTTTCTGTGGCATCTTTCTGTGGCGTCGTCAGCCTTGGTAGGGTCGTGGGGAAAGGCCGAGGAAAACAACGTTATGGTACGGATAGTCGGCGCTCCTCCGCAAACCGTCCGGGCTACATACCTATTATTTAGTAGTTTCTTCCAACTATGGTCTTCTTGTCCAAGGTAGGGTACCTAATGTTAACCCATTTGACGCACTACGGAACCCCGGCCATAGAACGAGACCGAGCCGTAGGGATGTAAGGGGACATTGGACAAGATAACCACCCTGAACAGGTAAAAAGTAATTAGTAAGGCAAAGTCATCAGCCACCACAACGATGCACCACTCCCAAATCCCAACACCACCCATCCCATCACAGTCCAAGGGTCAAGCTACTACCTAGGCTTGTCAGAATTCGGGGTTTTAAGCGCATCCATTCCTTTCGTCGGTTCGTTCTCAGAAACACGAGGTGTGGGCATGAAGGAACAGACAAGGCTCGGGATCGTCTTGCCCAGTGGCTACCCGTCCTCGGCGGTTTCGTGCTTCAGTCCGCTTCGGTTTGTGCCAGATACGTTCCTCTGATCTGAGTGAGTACCTTATTATAAAGGTACCGACCCCGAACTAAGTGCACTAGCTTGCGGCGAACACCCGACCCAACGGGCTACATTTAACTACATCTGGCCCCTGTCCCTGCTTCTGCTTCTGCTTCTGTTGCTCTGTTCCTGCCTTGCCGGGAGCTGTGCGTGCTTGTCCCATTATAAATTATAAATAAACTTCGTCCTAGGCCATCGATCGATCCACCTGCCCACCAACCCCTCATCTCTTTTCGCACTTTCGGACTCGCTCTTCGCACTTTCGGACTCGCTTTTCGCATTGTCGGATTTGCTTCTTGCATTGCCTTCTTGACGAAACAAACGTTGCCTGCTGTCAATCTCTTCTCCGTTTCCAGCAAGACGATTTACCTCGCATCACCTAACAATGGCCAAGACGGTTGTCATCCTCGGTGGGGCTTTCGCGGGCTTACACGTTGCCCATGCGCTGCTCAAGAAGCGCGACGCCGGCCTAAAAGTCATTCTGGTCTCAAAGGTGCGACCCAAAAGTCCTTCTCTTCTTCACTTCCTGGTTCTCTTTCGGTTCCTTCTGAAACCTCGACCCGGAATTCTCAAACCGTGCCCTCGCAATGCATGAACGCCGTGTATCAACCGCATGTGAAGTTCACGTGTAGCCTTACCAGGCGAAAAGGAGAAGTGGCAGTGGCAACAAACAATATGCAGAGAAGAAGGCAAACCGGGTGGGAAGGGAGTTGGGAGATGGCATCCAAACTAACACAACCCGACCTCACAGAATAGCCACTTCTACTGGAACATTGCCTCGGTTCGCGCCATCGTCCCGGGCATCTACAAGGATGAGGAAATCTTCAAGCCCATCTCCGAGGCATTGAGCCGGTACCCCGAGACCAGCTACGAGCTGGTGGTGGGTACGGCCGAGGCCGCTGACTTCGAGGCCAAGACGGTGAGCGTCACTACGGCGTCGTCTTCCGAGCCCCGCTCCATCTCGTACGACCAGCTTCTACTGGCCACGGGATCGCGGACTGCAGTCACCGGCGTGCCCTGGAAGGCCGCCGGCAGCTACGAAGAGGCCGTGGCATTGCTACACGCGACGGCCGAGAAGGCTGAAGCGGCCTCGCATATTGTGGTTGCCGGCGCTGGCTCAACTGGCGTCGAGGTGGCTGGCGAGCTGGGCTTCGCCTGGGGCAAGACTAAGGAGATTGTGCTGCTGTGCGCCGAAGACAAGCTGCTGGGCGGTGACATAGTGTCCAGCGCGGCCGCCAACGAGCTCAAGAAACTCAACGTCCGCGTCGAGTACGGCACGCGCGTCGAGGACACCAAACCGTCCGAGTCCGACGCCAAGAAGACCGACATCACCGTGTCTAGCACGGAAGCCAAGACCATCACGACGGACTTGTACTTGCCAACGTTTGGCCTCGTGCCCAACTCCGAGTTCATCGACGCTAAGTACCTCGAGGACGGTGCCCGCAAGGGTCTTGTGGCTGTCGACGAGTTCCTGCGCGTCAAGGACACCACCAACGTGTGGGCCGCGGGCGACCTCGTCTCCAACCCCCGCGCCGGCTTCATGATCACGCAGAAGCAGGCCGCCGCCGTTGCCAAGAACATTGAGCTCGCTCTCGCGGGCAAGCCGCCCCTCGCGGCGAAGGGCATGCCCGTCGACATCCTGGCCGTCTCGACCGGCCGCAGCCGAGGCGCCGGCCGCATGGGCTCCTTCCGCATGCCCTCGTTTGGTGTGTGGCTGGCAAAGGGCCGCCAACTCGGCCTCAACATGTTCCCGAGCTACTTGGACGGGAGCGTTGCGTAGAGCCTACCCTGGCCATTTCTTGCGAGTCTGTTGCGATTTTTTTAGTGATACCTAGACGATGAAGAGACGAAGACGAAGGGAAGTCGGGGCAGATCTTAGGGTGGTCAGTTTCGCGGTACCATCTACTCCAGAATGAGGGAGCAGAAGCTATGCAGTCTGTTCGTACATACAACAAATACCTAATCCCATATGACTCATTGTTTAATAATACTCGCTTGCCTTTGATTATATATACAAGATCCCGATTCGGAATTATCAAGGGCCATAGCCCAGTAGTCTCATGCTCCCTGACCCCCTTGCCGCTGCTTATTCCGGGTCCAGCGCCGCCCTCAATACCGCGGCTAGAGCGTTCCCGCCGTCCTACAAGGAAAGCCGAGAGCTGCAACATCATGTCTCTCCTTAACGGGGACAGAAAGGATATAGAGTTCACCACGGCCAGAGTTCCAACACACATGGTTAGGCGTTTCAACTCACAATAGAGGAGGGCATAGATCGATGGATATACCAAGGTACTGAAACGACGAGACCCGAAAACCCAAAACTAGCGAGCGGTATGTCATATCATTTCATTATTAAAAAAAAAGGGGGGGGGACAGGGGGAAGCAGCAGCTGCTACTGCTCTCATCTCCCCGTCTTCTCGTCGTCAATTTCCCTCCTCAGCTGCTCGAGCACCTGCTGGCGCGAGCGCAGGTGGGCCTCGAGGCCCTCGACCTGTTCCCGCACCGTCTGCAGGTCTTCGCCGACGCTCTTAAGGCTACCGCCGCCGCCAAGGCTACCGCCCTCCTCGAGGTCGCGAAGCGCCTTGCGCTTATAGTCGAGCAGCTGCTCGAGCTCGCGCTTGACGAGCGCGGGCTTGGAGTCGCGCTTGGCGCCGCCGGACCGGCGCGTGGCGTCGGCCTCGATCTTGGCCATCTTGTCCTCCATCTCGGCGAGCTGCTTCTTGAGGCGCACCTCCTCCCAGTCGTCCGTCTTGGCCGTGCTGAAGTCGGTGCCCGACGACTTGAAGCCGCTGCGGCCCAGGCGCGTGAGGTACTGGTCGCCGAACTTGGCCTTGCGCCCCGTGCTCGTCTCTTCGTCCGCCTTGGTCGCCCACCGCGACTGCCCCGCCGTCCGCTGCTTGTCGACCTGGTAGTCGATCTGACTGCGCTCGAAGCTCGCGCGCAGCGACGCCGGCACCGTGCGCGGGATCCGGTAACCCTCGTGCCGGTAGTTGAGTATGTGCAGGAAGGCCAGGCATGCGTCCTTGTTGATGGACGAGCCGGCCGACGGATTGATCAGGTTCCATGCTGAGCGGATGTCGGTGTCGGGCAGGTCGAGAGACTCGTAAAGATCCTCGAGCGCCGAGACTGCACGCCAATGGTACAAGAGTCAGCTAGGCCCGGCACTTATCTCAACTTGCCTGTCTGCCGCACGTGGGGCAGCACTTACATGATACCTCGCCTCGCTGGTCCCTGTTCTCCTGGTAGATCTGCTCGTACTTTGACTTGTCGGCGGGGCTCATGTACCAGTCGAAGCCGTCCTTGAGGCCAGGCTCGTCGGGGTCGTCATCGACCTGCTCGAACTGCACCGCCTTACCCGTGAGGGCGCGCGTTGCCTGGACGAGGTGGGCTTTGGACTCGGGGACCAGCCAGTCGGGGAGCGTCGTGGGGACGTCTGAGTATTCCTGGTGGGGAGCAGTTCAGTTAGCCCTTTTGCCCTCTCGAAACAAGCCCCTGAGCCACGGGAGAAGCGGCCTTTTGTGTGAAGACGAACCCCGTTTAATAGATCGAAGATGACGCGCATGGCCACGCAGAACTCCTCAAAGTCGAGGGTGCCATCGCCGTCGACGTCAGCTAGGTCCCACACGCGCTCTAGCTGGTCGTCGCGCAGGCCGCTGTTCTTGAGCACGGGCGCCGCCTGCTCTCCCGTCAGGTACTTGCCGCCATTTGTCCGCGACGAGAAGATGTTCCAGTACGTCTCGATTTCCTGAGCCTCGATGCGCGGCGCCATGGCCTTGGCTATCTAGGTACTGTGGCTGCGGTTGCGGTTGCGGTTGCGGGCGCCTCGTTGTTTGGGAACTGTCGGTGATCGTCCTGTTTCCTGCTGGCCGCAATTTCAATTGGAAACGTGGACCTAGCTTCTCCTCGGCACAGTATGCAGCTCAAAAACGCAAATATCGCACAAGCTTGGGTGGCGTATGGTGGTAAGCCCGGCGTGGTCCGGTTAGCGGGTAGAAGTGGAGGTGACGAGAGGTGAGGCTACGGATATCTCCACAGTCCACAGAACCCAGTGGCTGCAGTGGGGCCAGAGCTCCTGCCACAGGCCCACAAGGTCCCGCAGCGTTGCAGGGGGGGCAGCTGACGTTGCCCGTTGCGCACTACATCTTTCTACATATGGGCTGCCGTACTCTGTAAACACGCACCTCAACGCCCTCATTCACATTCTCCACCCACTTTCGCAAACCTATCCTAATAGGTGACAACAAGACTCGGGAGCATAGGCCAAGGTATACAATGCTTCGCACGGCGCGTCAGCTGTGCCCAACCATATTAGGCGGCCCATAGCACCAGAGTCGTACCTTTGCTGTCGTTCTCTGCGTCCCTGGCGTACTACAGCTCCCAGCACAAGTCGCGTCTTTTCGACTACAGCGAGACTGACATCCATCCAGACGACCTAGACGACGAAGGTGTCGTTGTGGCAGAAGATGGGTTGGTCTACCCAAGCGTGTAACCTGATGGTGAGGTCTCCTCCCCACCCTGTATGGTAATGTGCCTGTACGGTAATTATAGTTCCTTGACTAACATGATTCGGGCATCGGGTAGTCTCCAACGGCGCCGTCATGCTCCCAAATACATTCACCATGCAAGAGTGTGTGCGGAGGTACTTTGACGAGTTTCTTGACCGTGTAGAAGACGGCGAAGACATGGAGACTCCCCAGATATATAACATACCAAAGGGTATAAGTGATACCATGGGTCTAGTCAGTCTATTAGCCAGACAATGCTGATGTAACACACACGCAACAGGGACCGAGATTCCGAGCCATTTTATTTCGATCAACGGCCTCATTTCTCGTTTCTCTCTGCAACCATCCTACGGCATGACACTTTAAGGTTAGTGGCCCTACCGAATATACATGCAAAGGGTGTTAAACATAGGTGGTACTGACTGTGGCCAGAATTGAACGAAGCCTTGGATGCCTTCTTCGACAAGCACGCCGTCAATGAAACGGTGGCAGACTGGCTCGACAAGCACCCCGTTAAGTCTGCGGTAGCAGATGACGCAGAGTCCGTTTGGAAGGCCAAGTAAAGCTGGGAAGGAATATCGCGGATCACATGTATGTCATCCTTGGAGTGGTCCGGTCTGTTGCCAGGCACTTTTAGAGCAGAGTCCCAGATTCCACTTCTTCTAATTGCAAGTAGAAACAATCAACACTCTTCTCCACACAGGGTGGAAAGCTTTTGATGCTACCGCTCCAGACTCGTCTTCTCTCTCCAAGGCCGTGTACGTACAAGATCCCGATCGTTTGAAAGGAGGAAGCTCGGTTGCCGTAGAGTAGACCTGCAGCCACTCGTCTCTGGTATAGAGCCGTGCATGGTCCTGGAAGAAGCGCGTGATTTTCGACTTCAAATCTACACAAAACACAGAATGGGTGAGTGTCAAGTCTGCTTGTCATGTAAAATCTGCTGCTGCTGTTGCTTGCGGGAAAAGGAAGAGAGTCCCACCGTCAAGCCTCATCTACACTCCGAGCTGGAGAGAGTAGTGATCCATGTGCTCATGCACAAGGAGCAAGTCGTCAGGCAGGCAAGTTCCTAGAGGTTGAGTAAGCAGACATTCACTTCAGCAGTGTGACTTCTCAACTAGCTTAATGCTATTAATATCATCGCCTCAAAGAAGCGCTACTTACCAGCCGGGACCACATACACGACGACGTTGGAGCGCCTGGCCAGGCGAGAGACAAGAATGTACTGATATGGCGAGTTGGGTCTCATCGAGGCGCCGTTTGGGGCTGGTTTATAAGTATAAATAAATATATATATATATATATGTATATTAATCAACATGATACTGCTGCCTCCGAGTATTACTGATTTGTGTATGTCGACGGCTGCAGCGCCTGGGGCATGACACGGCCGTCGTCAGAAACAACAACGTCGTATACGAGCGCGCAAGAGAGCCATGCTCGACACGTAATTCGGGGTCCTTTGTTTACGCGAAACAATTCCTCGGGAAACGATCTGAAGACTCCGATCGAACCTGTTGGCGGCATTCTGAACCCAAGCTGCTGAAGACGTGATGCCAGCTATTTCTATAGAGTGAGGTGCATTCAAAGGCGGATGAGGATGTAAATATCGGGTAGGTAGGCTTGCGCCAAGGATCAATACGCCGTGTTTAGATAGTGCGTGTGGAACACGGAGTCTAGGATCGATAAACCGTGTCGCCGACCAGGGATACTGACAGCCTTCGAACCCCGCCAAGACATCGTCAAAGCACCGGAATATCCAGGTCCTTTTGAATTCCTATATAACTAGGTACCCCCAAGTGTAAACTCGATATTGGTCTATCTATAACAAGCCGTCCTAGCCTCTCGTATAGCCACCGGGGGAAAGGGAGAAAAAAGGGCCTGGGGCTCGCTTTTACACAAAAGTATCAAGCCAACACCGAACGCTCGTCCACCATCCAGTCCGCATATCGGCTAGATATTTACAGACAGACATACACCAAGCCATATACACATAATAAAGGTACCTCGGTACCCATTCATCCAACCCACCTGCCACTAGCTTTCTGTCTTTCCTGCTGTGTTCTCTGTCTTTGCCGTCTGAGAAATCAAAGGCTGGGCAGTGAGAAACTATGCGCTCCTGGCTGCCGAAACCTCCTTCGCCTTCCAGGGCCTCGTAATTCCCGGTCTTCTGGCCAACGTATCTCCCGAGACAGGATCGTAACCATTGTTATCTGACCATTGGAGAGTGTCCACCTCGTTGAGGCCCTCGGCATCGGCGTCGGCATCAACGTCGATATCAATATCAGAATCTGCTTCCGCATCCTCGTCCTCATCTGCTTCCGCATCATATTCGGAACCAGAATCGACATCGGCCCAGGCGTCAGTGTCTGCACCAGCAGAGGCATCATTGTCTGTATCAGTATCCGCATAGGCATCCACGTCCGCATCCACACCATCTACCTCCTCGCCAGACTCGAGTCGTCCAATTCCATGAGAAGGAGCAACATAGCTTCTAGGAGTCCACGTCCGGTACGCCAATTCAGTCTGTAGATGCGGTAGCCTACCGGTTCTCTCAAAGGGCCCCTCTTTCAGACTAGAAAGACCCTTCAGGACGTCTGCGTCTTTGCCATTGTAGCTATAAAATAGCTCTTGCTTTCCGCCGGTGGTAGTATAATTTTGGAATAACACCGGCTGCGGAGCTGTGGCTGGAAGAGCACGGGGTAGCAGTTGAATCTCTTCAGCTCCTACTACGCTGTGCGCAGGCTGATCTTCATCGACATCCTCTTGGTCGTCATCGAGTCTCCAGTTCTGCAGCGGCGGCTTTCCACCAGTCTTTGTAGTCTTAGACGGCGTAGGCTGCTCTTCATCGACATCCCCTCGGCCGTCATCGAAACCCTCTTGATCGTCATCGACTCCCAAGTTCTGCAGCGGTGCCTTTATACCGGTCTTTATAGTCTTGGGCGGTGTGGTTGGCATACTAGAATCCGCCTTTTGATGAGCGGCTTGTGTATTGGTGGGGGCTTGTTGGGAACCATCGGAGGGATGGGGCAGTTCTGCTCCCTCGGCCGGAAGAGCAGTCGTCTTTTTCTGTGCGCTACTATGCGGTATCTCAGCTGCCGGCTTTGAAACTTCCGTGGTAGTCTCCTGACTCTGCTGCTGCTCTTGCTTCTTTTTCTTTCTCTTATAGGGACCTCTAGAACCTCGAGGCTTCTTCTGTGCCGGCTTCGGGACTTCCGAGCCAGAGTCTTGATGCTGTTGATTTTGGTCATCATCCTTTCCCTTCCGCCTCTTTCTCTGGTTCTGTGGTCCTGGATGATACTGATTCAAGTCGCCCGAGATACCCCCAACAGCATCAGGAATGGATAGAGCGGGATGAGGCTGCTCCATCTGGTCTTGGCTACCGCTATTCTGGCTTGGCGAGACTGTTGCTATAGCATCCTGTATCGGTTGAAACTTCTCCCGGCGGAAGAAATCCTGAACAGACTGGCCCTGGCGGATTTCTCTCTGGATCCTATCAGCTAAGCCAGGATCGGCCGGTCGAGACACTACCCCAAAAGCCGGAGGTTCAAGTTGAGCGTCTTTGTGCTGATTGGTGGCATCTGTGGATTTCCGAGCAATCGTAGTAACTGCGACTGCGACCGTTTGGGAAGCGACCGTTATTGAGTCGAGAGCTGGGATATTCTCTGGGGCATCATCATCGTTGTCCGCAACGGGGTTCTTCTTAGGTCTTTCCCGCTGCTGGGTTTGTTTGGCCAATTCAGACGCGCCGCGAGACTTTCGTGACGGTCCCGATCTCCGAAGGGACCCTCTGGCAGCTCGTTGCGACTGTGCCAGTGTTGCTTGCTTGTTGGGTTGTGCCTTTTGTGTTTTCTCAACGGCCGGGGTATCTGACTTTTCCGCCTGAGATGATGGCTGGGTTCGCTTTCTTGCATTGCTCTTCTTTGGAGTTCGGCTCGTAACCTCGCCCACCCTCTCGACGTAGTCATCATCATCACGATCCTCGCGAAATGTGACTTTTCTTGCTTTCGGTGGAAAGAGAGAGGGAGCCTCTCTGTTACTCCTAAGACTAGGCGCCTCGTTTCCAAACCGACCTCGGATTGCGCTCTTGGCAGAATCTTTAATCAGGTCCTTGTATTTGTCCAGGTAGTTATTCGTAATCTTCACCAACTGCACTGATCGTTGCTGCAGTGGTAGGGGTTTTGCTGGCAGAATCCCTTCAAAATTAGGAGACGGGGACTTTCTCTGCGGCTGGACAGAGGTCTCGGGAGCCGGGGAACCAAGAGGCGGTGGTCGGCTCTCTTCCCTCAAAGTTAAATTTACCAAAGCTGGACCGGGATTTTCCTGTTGAGAATTATCATTCTCCCTGATCCTGTCTTCCACCCGTGGTTGGCCATCTAGAGGCTCCAGATCTATATCCATTGGGGTTTCAGGCCCTGCTTGAGTCGGCGTTGCCGATGGTGACTCTGCAGCCCCCAGATCCTCCATCGCCAGCCCCTCTGGCCAAGGGGAGTTGTCGAGCAATGAGAATACTCTATCATTAATAGTAGCAATATCATAGTTCTCGGAGTTTAATCCTTGAGCTGGAGTCTCTGGAAGAGAATTGTATCCCCATGTTCTTGGGTCGTACAGCTGATGGAACGGGTCAACTCGCCGCGGGTTGACGGTTCCGGGCGGAGCATCTATCATAACGAGCAACTCACTCGATGACATGGTACGCGGCTTTTTTTTGGCCCGCTCAGTGAACTTTCTTTGTAACTCCATGATTCTCGTGCCGCACGAGACATTGAAATGGGGCACCAGACACCGCACGCCGTCTTCCTCGAGATGATTCAAGGGGATGCCGTAGGCTTCTGCGCCAGCCGTGCCGTTGTAGTACCCCAACTTAGCCGCCACGCTGTTCAATCCCATGAAGGTCAAGAAGGCCTTTCCGCGCCCTATATCCTTGCTGGTGATTGTGTCGATGACTCTCGAGGGCCGGGGACGAGACAGGAAGTCGTCGATCCAGGAGACGTCTATGGAATCGATATATTCGAGGACATCATCCTCAAAATCCTCGGCCTTGTTTCTCTCGGAATCCACCAAGTCGATCAAATCCGATATCTCTTCGAACACCAAGCCAAGTTGGCGGGTTGCTCGAGTGAAAGACATTGGACATCTCGCCTCTTCGTAGTCGCTTCGGGTAAGCTCATAGATGATGATATACTTGATGCCGTTGGATAGCTCAGACCAGTCGGGCTGGCTTCGAGAAAGGGCTCGCAGCTACGCGGACCATTAGTTAGCAAAGCATTATATGCATTCGTCACACAACCAGTGCATATGTGCCGTCAATAAATACCTTGAATGACTCGTCAATAGCTAATCTCTCGAGAGTAGGTGAAGAGGCCGACGGTGAAGAGGCCGACGGTGAAGAGGCCGACGGTGAAAAGGCCCGTCGGCCTTGCTGTCCCGCCTCTTCGACGGTGCCAGGAAACGATGGTCTCCCTGAAATAGAAACGATTCTAGGTTTCTGCAAGGCCCGGTTATCGTTTGGTTTTGGAGGAGCGCATTGGGCGGGCGACCTTGGCCTCGTGATGATTCTGGCGACAACCCGAGTGGGATGCTGATCAGCCCCGGATCCCAGCGCCATAACCGTGTCGCCGTCCTCGTCCGTGCCGCCGTCCTCGACCGTTTGCGCAATGCCGGTATCGGCTAGCTCTTGGAGTGGCCCGTCTTGGCTGTGGCTACCCGGAGTTGGGCTTTCCGTTCGTTGTATCGAAATGCCCTGCACGTAAAGAATAAGGCGCTCGGTTTGTTCGGGGGCGGTTTGGTAGGACGAAGACGACGCCGAAGAAGATGCAGAGTCGGATTCGTTGCCGTCGATGTCGCCGTCGCTATCGTCGCCATCGCTGCTGCCACCGCAGAGAATGACCAGGACACCTGGATATCTGCACGTTGGACCTTCCTTTATAGCCTGCTCCTTCCATATTTCTGACGGCCCGGGGCCTGGGTAGTTCATGGGTAGACTGGGGAAGGCGCAATGCCCTGTGAGTTCCTCGTTGAATTCGACGTCGTCGCGCAAAAATGCAGGTCGCTCGGCCTCAGTGGGTCTGCTGTCTTCCTCATATCTGCCTGGTTGCCTGCGCGCCGTGCCTTCCCGAAGCCGCATCTGCGACTCGAGATGCAGCGTCATGTTTGTTTGTTTCAGCGGCAACCGCTGTTTCCGAAAGTGCTGAGAAAAAGAGAGGCTGTTTGTTCTTGATCCCTTAAGGGGAACAAGGACATGTGGTTTCCTAGATGTTAGCTCGCAGGCAAGGAAGAGGAATTGCTACGACTGTTGCGAAAGGAAGCAAGGACGGCGTGGCCGGAAATTTTGGTCGGGGAGAAGAACCGTCCTCATGCCCTTTAATCGATCCAAATAATTTGGCTCGGCCTTATCTGGGCGTATGATACGTGCGTTCCTCAGAAAGAGAGACCAGATGATGAGAAGAAAGTGAAGAGTGCAAAGATGAGATGAAGTTGAACGTGCGCGCAAGGTCGGCCAACAGATACGACGGCTGAACAGCGTCGACATCTAACTAGATGATAATGTCAAAACGAGAGAACTCATCAGTCGAGGTTGGCCCGTGAATTTAGGCAGCCGCTTGCTCCTAGCAAAGACGTAGAGAGGAGGTGCAGACTTTCAGGTAGGTGAAGCGAAAGGACAAAGATAGGAGGGTTTCCCGGACAACCACGCCCGAGACCGAGTACGTACTCAAGAAAGGGAAAGCAGCGACCCAACAAAAACACAAGGTTTGGCAAAGACAAGCAAGGAGAATGTTACAAAAAGATTCAATAGCGGCGGCTCTGTTTAGTTGTGCCATCACTCACCGGTACACCAATGTGTCTGCGTAACAGAAGAGGCTAGTTTTTGGCCTTTGCCATCCCTAAACCTAAATAACTTTACCTAGGTCTGATCTGATACAGAATAGAGAAAAAAGGTAACGATGCATTGCTCTCTTAGGTTATTCGCCTGCTTGCTCACGGTAACGCCGATAATGTCCGCAAACGCCTAGATTTCCAGATAAAGGGGGTATAAATAGATTCCGTGCCCTCGATTCCCAGAGCAAATTGTTTTCCCTTATACCATGCCCACAGCACAAAAACCCCCGAAGCCTTTGCATAATTTAGTTATGCAAACTCGAAACCTGATGACGGCTCATCCCTCGATCAAAACCTCATCGATTGCTCTTGCTCAACAAAGGGCGCAAATCCTCGGCCCGTGTACCGCTCCTCGTCCATCTCGAAATCCATCGCGTTGGGCCCGGTGCCGGACTCTCCTTCCTCGGTCGCTTCGATTGGCCGCTTGATCTGCGCTCTACCGGTGTCGCCGAAGGCCAATGTCTGCCCGAGCCGGGCATATTTCTCCTGGTTCACAATCCGCCTTGCACCGATGATATCCTCGTACGCCCTGAGAATGTGCTTGTTATCGTCGTCAAAGGTGACGCAGAAGCGCTGGAGAGAAAGGAACTGGGCTGCCTTGACCATGTCCAGCCCAAACACAGACATGAGATAGGCAGCGGCAATCATGGCTGATCGGTTGTTGCCTGTCTCGCAGCAGAGCAAGACTTTGCCACGCTTGAAATTCGTGTTGTCGATGATGATTTTGTCGTTACCCAAAGCCTGTGCATCTGCTGTCTGGATTGCCTGGTTCCTGTAGATGCCAAGTAGGTGGTTGTTGATTTTGTTGATGGCTCGGGGGAAAGCGGGAATGACATCAAGTTTGCCGGCAATATCAAGCATCTCTGCCTCAATTCCCAGGGCGTGGGCGTTTTTCACAACCGACAGGAAGCTCCCGGCGAGCATCGAGTCTCTCACGACCAGAATCATGGTGATGCCTTCTCTTAGCAGGTATGCCTGGTCTTTGGCCGCACTGACGGGGCCAAGATAGAGGAAGTCCAGGACCGACTGAGCGTCTCGTCTCATTTCATAGCGCCATGCGATCGTCCTATCGTTCGCTCTTTGGGTTCTGCCCTGGGTTATTATGCTCAAGTCTTCTTCGGCGAGCTGGCCCGGGTCGATATCGGCGAAAGACGGAACGATTGACATGGAATAATGCCCAGAAAGAGGGACAATCGGAACATTTATGTAGGGAGGACTGGGCGGTCTGGAGGCATATGGCGCCGTAGCACTGACGCCAGCGGCCAGTGCTGCTGAATTTCGTGGTTCCAGGGCTTCCATCAGAGGCTGTGAGTTTGGGATGGTGACTTTGATGAGACGAGCTGAGATGAGGTTTTGGGATACGACTCTCCCAGGGCCTAAGAAAACGCGGGTCAAAGAGTTTTGGCGTCTAGACGTTTAATCTGAAAACCGACAGAATGAGCTGCTAGTTGCGGGGAATTCGGGCTGGTGAACTCAAATGAGAATGCAGGCGTAGGTGATTGACAATGGCGTTGTTATTCCGGGCTGTCTGGTAGAGGACTCGGTCGCGCTAATTTTATGCGGAAGCAGGCATGAACTATAGATCGCGGAATGTTGTCTGCTGACAACAACAATATAAAGCAGAGGGAGGACACGGCTGACTTCTCTCGAGTTCGTATTCAGCCGTTGACGGATTTATGGCCAGTTGGAGAGAGCCTGGTGAGTTGGTTCTGGTTGGGAAGGGGCCGCCTGGGCGGACCGACTAGGTAGGCCCCAAATGGTTTCTTTCGAGGTCGCAGATCGCACAGCTGTGGTGGGGTGCCTGGCCGCACTGTGGGTACGGATACTGTTCCTAGGAGTTACCTTACGCTTGGGGCAACAGTTACATGCACTCAAAGTGGCGAACCGCGAAGAGATCTGGGGGCATAGCGTCATTCACATCCATGCCCAGTTACCGTAAGGTAAGTATTTGGGCCATGTCTTGCAACCCAAACCTCCATAGTTGGTTGGTCTACACGTGTTACTTAATCACGAGCGGCCCTCCTCCTGTGGACAAAAAGGCAGCATCACAGTGCACAGTAAAAAGCGCACAGCCTTAACTCCATCGGCTGAGGTTGGCAACTTGCCTATCCACCTCCCAGAAACTGGAATATTTGTATCATGTAAAACTTCGCACGCTAGCTTTACAGAGTTGTGCAAAAAAGACGGCGATCTCTCTTCATGGAGCTGCGGGGCCTGGTGAGCCAGCAGCATCGGCGGCACTTCTCTCCTTAGCAAGCGGCGACGGGATGTCTGGTGTGACGGACCGAGATTCTACTTTTGGTCGGGTTTTGGTGGCCGAGCCCAGTTTCTTCCGCTTCTTGTCAGACCCGTTAGATGCTGTGCTGGATCTGCGCATGATGCCAGGCTCTTCCGCTTCAAGCGTTGGCGTTGAGCTTCGCGACGTGTTTGACATACTTCCTCTCCGGACGCTGTTGCTCCTTGTTCGCCTGTGTTCTTGCACAACAGCCGCGTGACGGGGGTGATGGGCCTTTTCTGGGTCGGCCCGCACTATGTGAGGCTTCTCGGCAACCGACCGCCACCAGGGAAGCCACCAGAACCACCCGCCGTGTTCTTTGCGCAACTTGCGGTCCCGCTCTTTGAGCTTCGATCGAAGCAGCGCACGGCGCTCGTTCTCCTTCTCCCAGTACTCGGATCGGAACAGCTCCCAGTTCTCGCGGAAGGTCGGGGAGAAGGGCTTGGCAAGAAGCAGGAGCTTCACGTAGTCGCCGCCCGGCGACAGATCCTCCTCGTGCCCGCCCTTTTCTTCGTCCCAGTTGGTAACATGTACCGTAGGGTGGTTGTGACTTGCGAGGCTCAGCTCCTTATCAATCTCGCGCAGAACAGCCGGATCAACGTATCGGTACGACGATCCCGAGCTGGTTAACAGGCCGTAGGTCAGAAACCACCCAATGGTCGAGAGTGCCTCCTTCCACCACGGGCGCTTCATCACGACGAGCTTGCAGTTGAAGCCCCTCAAGCCACGGTTGGACATGGCAAACCAGCGGCGCGGCCAGCGCACGCCTCGCTCCCAGATGCCCGTAGCCCACACCAATAGGCCGGTCACGATGCCTCCCAAGAAGCACATCCTCTCAGTTGTCTCAACTACCCAGTACACGCTGCCGCCTACGCCGCTCCCGTCCTCGCGCGGCGCCAGGAAGAGAGCATATCCGAAGCCGACAGTCCACAGCGACAGCAGTGACAAGAAAAAGGTATGATGGCGACGTCGTGCACGGAGCTCGAGATACTGTGCGCGCAGCGAGGCCTCGAGTATGAGCAAGTTGAGGTAGATCATGGACGGCGAACTCGGCGTGTGGCTGAGGGGATCGCCAGCCTTGCCCGTCGACGAGGCGATAGGGCTGGTGCCGCCAACAGCCTTGGAAATGTCCCGCCCGGGCAATGCCACCGGAGCGCCCTTTACTATCGAGTCGAGCGAGTCGGCCATGGCTCTATAGGTCGGTGGGGGGGAGGACCCAGGTGCGCTGTGCAGAACCCGGGTTCCGCGGCCCCCGAGTAAAGACGGCGAGATCAAGAGGCTGGATGCTGAACGCCGGGATGCTGAGCAGTCGGTCGCTGTCAATGTCGCATACGGGACTCAGATCTTTATCCACCAGCTGCTGCGTAGCAGAATGAGGCCGCAATATTTAGTTCGGGTTGCTATGCACTAGGAATGAAACTGCGGTTTTGGGCTTGCTTGTGTTCGCGGTGGATTGTGGAACGGTTTTCGTCGGGATGTCGGGTGCTGCCGTGTGATTACGAGAAACCTAAGGCGCAGCTGAGCTTTTCTGGCACAGGGGCCATTCCCAAGGCACCTCAGCATCGGCACACGGAGCTAACCCGGAAGCGAGACCGTCTGCCTGCGGCATGGCATGGACTGAATTTGTCTGGACTTTTTTGAGCTCGGGCTCCAATCTCAGGCTACTGTCAACGTCATCGGATTTAGCGGTGGTAATAGTGGAGTGGAGGGCCGGGCTGCGTTGGCACGGCAGGGCCGATCCTCTAGCCAGCCACAACTCGGGGAGCGGAGCGATGCTAAATCCGCGGATGTTTGCAACTCCCCTTGGGCTAGGCTTACTCCTGGAGCATGGCAATCGGGAGGTTGCGTAATCAATGCACCCTCTTAGTGCGTATTCTGCGCCAGAGCGAATGCGAGACCCCTGATCCATAGGTCGGGAACGCAGTCGGCCAGAAAGATCGGACTAGCAACCGCCCCGACAAAATATGGTTTCGATAATAAAGGGCAGGTCCCGCACCCTCTTCGCTGCACTGGTCGTGATGCGGAATACAGTCTCTACATCAATTTTACGCCCAACGAAATTAAAGCTCGGCTCTCTCCTCTCGAAGTCCCAGTCGAACATAACACGCAGCAACCCCGTTTTGCGGTCCAACAAGATGTCCAACGACGCCACTCTCCCCTCGAAACCGGCGCAGCCGCCATCGCAGTCGCCGTCACAGACACGATCACCGCAAGGACCAACGGCCGATGCCGATGGTAGACCAAAAGGTGGCATTTCTTGGTTTCCCTTGGGCTACAGAGAGGCCGTACAACAGTGGGTATGTTTTCCTTCTCGTATTGTACCGACCTTCGGGCAAACAGGACTGATGCCCACCAGTGGACAAGCGTGTCGGCTCGCCAGGCCGAGCGAAACGTCCTCTCCTTCATCCCCCACCTTCGAGAAGCCGACGCCGATTCCTCGCCACTCCAGGAGATGGCCAAGAGCGACCCGTTTGGCCAGAGGGTATGGCGCCAGTCCTTGGTGAAACTCTCGGGAAAGGATCGCGCACTCAATGAAGTCTCGGTCGAGCGCGTCGGCGAGAAAGCAGATGACACTCTTGTCATGCTCCACGGCTATGGCGCAGGCCTCGGCTTCTTTTACAAAAACTTTGAGCCTTTGTCTCGCGTGCCCGGGTGGAAGCTATATGCTTTGGACATGCTCGGCATGGGCAACTCGTCCAGGCCGACCTTCAAGATCCACGCCAAGACCCCCCAGGAAAAGATCACCGAGGCCGAGAACTGGTTTATTGACGCCCTTGAAGAATGGCGGCGCATCCGTAACATTGAAAAGTTTACGTTGATGGGCCACTCTCTAGGCGGCTACCTGGCCGTATCATACGCTCTCAAGTACCCTGGGCGGCTCAACAAGTTGATCCTGGCCTCTCCCGCCGGTATCCCCGAAGACCCGTATGCCGTGAATGCGGACATGCCCGAGCCCGAAGAATCGACCATGGGCAACGAGTTCACACAGGACCAGGAAAGCATCGTCAACGGGAAGTCCGATGGTGGAAACATTAATTTTGTTCGGGCCACCGACAAGAAAGCCGCCGCGAAAGCTAACACAACAACTCCGGCTAGGAGACCAATTCCCGGGTGGGTTGTCTGGCTGTGGGATGCCAACGTCTCGCCATTCAGCATTGTCCGCCTCGCAGGACCGCTCGGGCCCCGCTTCGTATCGGGCTGGACTGCGCGCCGGTTCAACCACCTGCCCTCGGAGGAGAAGCAGGCGCTGCACACGTACTCGTACTCGCTCTTCCGGCAGAAGGGGAGCGGCGAGTACGTGCTGCCGTACCTATTGGCGCCGGGAGCCCATGCCCGCAGCCCCTTGATACGTAGGATCCAGGAGGTCGGGCGGCAGATCATCACGCCCGCCACCGAGACGACGCCCGCCGTGCGCGAAACCGGCTTCCCCATCGTGCTGATGTACGGCGAGAACGATTGGATGGACGTCGCGGGCGGATTCGCCGCAGAGGAGAAGATCAAGCAGCGCATTGTTCAGGCGTTGATCCAAGGCACCCCGGAGGAGAAGCGGAGGGAGAGCGGCAGCGCTAAGGTCCTCGTTGTGAAAAAGGCGGGGCACCACCTCTACCTCGACAACCCCGAAGAGTTCAATGCGTTTATCCAAAAGGAGTTGGAAGAGACAAGAAAACAGGGGCTCAAGCGGAAAGAGACGAGCTAGCTTGCTGCTTAAGATTCTTGTGTGACGGCATCCCGCCATTTCTTTTCCTTTTGTCGCTTGGATACCTTTGGGCAGAGAGGTGCGGTACTGCTAACGCCATTGCATGACACGGAGTTTAAACATATATTTGGTTTTTAGAAAGGCCTAGAGCCGGGTGACGGGCGCTCTTCGCGGTGCCGAATGCGAGGCAAGACTAGCTAGGCTTGACGGTGCCTAGGTCAAAGAGGAGGCAGCGATTGTTTTTTTGGGGCGCGTCCTTTTTACGAAAGCACTTTTGACTTTTTATAGTAAAATGCTGTAATATAGGCGGCCAAAAGTCGTCAGTGGAAGATGGGAGACTCGACCGTGCGAGACAGAATACTCTGCCGTTTGGTCTTGCTGGATTTATATACCTGCATACTTTTTTTATACAGTTGACCCAATAGATATAATTCAACTCTACGTGTTATTTGTCACCGAGTTTATACAAGTTTTAAGTACTGCTAGCTTTGTACACTTTATGTCTCATAATGTTCTATTGATGCCGTTTTGCGTTGTTGTGAGCGATTACTAGCGTGATACTGTTCTCTGGCCATATCAACTCGATCCATGGACTGAGCTGGAGGTTGTGAGACGACTTGGCATGATCCCAAGGCCTACAATAGACACTGTACTCTACGCCTTCAGACAAAAACCGGTTGCGTCTTTCACTTCGTGGACTGGAACTTGAACTCTCTGCGATAACTCCCACAGGTACCTAAGTCTGGTATTCACCATCGAGATAAGGCATTTGGTGAAGTAAAAAGGTGAGTTATCTTTTATTTATCAACTGTATCAAGATGTCATGATTGGCCCCTTTTACTCTATCTATTGTATGTGTAGAAAAATAGAGGCACTCCTATTCGTGCTTCTAGTAAGCGCACAAAAATTTCAATAGGGTTTTACCTTATCTCGACATGTAGCAATGCAGTGATCTATAGGGGCAATATCTGGCATGCTAAACCTCGTAATTCTAATATTTGAGATGTGTAGGGAGGGTAGGCAGATAGACATGTGTCCGTTCAAGCAAGGCCGGTTATTGCAGTGCTGGGGTATGAGACAGACACGGAAACCAAACAGACCAAGTCTTGTAGGTGCCCGTCTTGCAAGCATGGTAAGAGCTAGGATGTTTTCCTGGAGACAAGACGCACTTTATGTATTGGTAAAGTTAAGGGATGGGTAGGTGGTGAGTCGGGTTGGCGGAGTGAAACTAGGGCGGATGCGGAGCGTGAAGGTAGTGGTCGGGGATTTGGAGCGAGAGCTCTTTAATGTTCTGCGGACCTACCCGAGTTACATAGGCCGGTAGGTTGTCACTACGGCTTTGAATAAGTTGGTAGTGCGGCAGGCGGTCGAATGGAGAATATCTCCGGGGTTGAAGGATTGGCCGTTGGGCTTATTCACCGTTTGCGCTTTTCCTCCCTTTCTCTTTTATCATTATTTTCTCTTTCCCAGCGCAGCGTGTCAGTTTTTACCCGTTTCCTGTCTCTTTGCCTTTGATTCTGTGATCCAAAAAGCCGAGGACGTCGATTTTCGGGCATGAGGGTCGTGAAAACAGCCTCTTTGCTCCCATCGGCTGGCGAATGCAGGTCAGGGGTGCGGTGATGTGGAAATATTGACGTTCTCACCCCGGCTAGCGGCCGGCTGGATGGTGGTCTCCAATTTTCCCACCTATTGGCAGCAAGCAGCCGGCATATAGGCAGCCCCCCTTACCTGTATTACACCTCATTCGTCAATTCGACTTTTCCGCAGCATGCGTGCTGTGCGTGCCCGGTGGCCCGCGCTCGCACCACACTACCGCCGCCGTCTCATCAGGCCACCACCACCGAGGAAAAGCTAGGAGGTGGCCTCGAAGCGGGCCGCATGAGCGGATGCTGCTGGCTTGGAGGGGAGACGGGAAGGGCGAGCAAGGTGGCCGCGCCCCCTGTTTGGTCAGAACAAGCCATCAACCTCAACAAAAGGACTCGGCTGTCACAGCCGCGCGCACAGAGGAAGGATAAAAGAATAGAACGGTCAAGTCATATGTTTGTCTATGTCTCTGATGACATGTATCGTTTGCTTTACTTCTGTTATATATCCCGACAAGAGAAATTGCCAGAGAAGACCAGGCGGCAAGGTAAATGTCAAAGAATAAACGACAGCCCTACATACAAGATAGACATATCCTGAACGGATACAGATACTAAGGTAGGTAACGATAAAACAACCATTGAACAATAGGAGGTATCCTCCAGAAGCGTGGGCCTGTTCGGTCTAAAATGGAAGATTGTATCCAACGTCCGAGAGAAGAAGAGAAAACCAGCGAGGAGCTGTCCTGAGACACAGGCGCGGGCGCCCTTGCTTCTCTATAGGCTAGGGAAGAAGGTCCTTGTAGAAAAAGGTCTCGCCCTTTTTATCGTTTGACAGCACGCGACTGAACTGGGGCACCTTGCCGATCTCGATGTAGCCGAACTTTTTGAACGCCGCTTCGGCTACGCTGCCCGTCTCGGTATTTACACGCTATCAGGTTTCCATATGTTAGCAGCACGATACTTGGGCGGATTGGCTTACCCATTCGTTGGCAAAAGGGCCGTCAATTGAACCCTTGTGGCAAAAAAGCACAAAGGGATCCAAGCAGTAGAGAACAAATGGAAAGAAGAGGAGGACATACCAGCATGGTCCGGCCCCTCTTAGCAGCTTCGTACTCGAGGGCATCGACTAGGGTTTTGGCGCCTCCTTGGCGGCGGTACTTTTGGTTCACCAGGACGGCGTCGATGCGGCCGCGGAACGAGGCCGTCTCGGAGCTGGAAAGCCTGAGCATTGCGAGGCCGCGGAGGTCGGTGCCTACCGGCTTTGCGCCGGGGGCCGTCTCGGGCAGGAGCAGGACGATGACTCGGGTGCCCTGATTGGCCTCGGCAAGCCTCTCCTTCCACCACGGCAGCAGCTTCTCGTTGGTCAGGGGCGGCAGGAAGGGCCCTATCATGTGGTCGATGGTGATGCACGACGCATGCAGGGCGGCAATGTAAGGGACGAGGTGGCCATGCTGCTCCGAAGAGAAGATATACGTCATTAATGTTGCCATATTTTCTTTTTTGGGATTTTTCAAATGGCGTAGGCCCTTGGTCTATCTGGATTCCTTCCTGGTAGGGCGCGGGGTGGGCGATGGCCGCGCAGTTGCTTAGGCTAGCTACTAGCGACGACTCCAAGGACGGGGTACGGTGTGGGCGACCGAGAGAAAATATGGGTAAGGCGGGAGGCGGGAGGCAAGGGAGGAGACGGCAGTGAGCGAGCTATAAAAGCCGCCTGGTTTCTCTCTACCCCAATGCCGGATTTTCTTTTTCTGTTGGGATTCGGACGAGAAAGCTATGGCATTACGACGGCGTCACTGTCATGTCCCCTCGTCGCTCGATATCACAGAGCGTCTGCAGCGGGGGATAGGAAGCCACCAGTTAGCCAATTGCGCGCATCGCACGGCCGCTGGATAAGGTAGGTAGGTGAGGAGGTAGAAAATGTCTCAACCGGCCGAGTCTGGCGGCGGGAGGATGAGGAGGGTGGGTGGGAGGAAAGGATGGGGGCACAAGACTACCGACCGGATGAGGGGGGGTTCGTGACGGCGACCATCACCGACCTGACCTGGGCCAGCTTGCTTGCTGGGTGAGCCATTCCATATGTAGGGAGGTAGTAGGTAGTTAGGTATTGTACGGAGTACGGGTACGATATACCCAACCAAAGTCATGGAAGGTACAGAATACATACCAAAGAGGCGTCTAGATTACCCAACACACACCCAGTCGAGAATTAAGACGCAGTCGCAACAAGCCAGCGCTCCGCTCACCGGTCGCCTCGATAGGGCAAGCGAAGGCCGTAGCGGGTTTGGCACTTTGCAGGACGGGAATGCAGGGCCCCCAGCAAGAAATAAATGCTACGACGAAGAGGGTGTGAGGGCGTGTTTGGCGAAGATATTAATACGTTGGGAATGCGGTAAGAAGCTTACTTTTATTAGCACTGGAGGTGAGAAGTCTGTCTGTATGCATGTATTTACGGAGTACAGACGGGAGAGAGCTCAGAGCTTCAGGAACGGAGCGCAACTCGCCTCGCAACTTCCATGCTACTGGACAAGAACGGTGTTGCTGTCCGCCGTAGCCAGTTGTGTCAGGGCCCCTGGAGCTCAACCCCTAGTGCGGATGGACCCCCCCGTTTTAAGGCTGAATTGATAAACCTTCTCCCAGTTTTCCATGGCATGGAGAGTGGCAACGTCCCTGTCGGGCGAGGCTTGAATGGACGGCAGCCGTTTCGAGTGCCCAGCCCACAGGCACTGCGGTTCAGTGCCTTAGTGCGGGGGCTCCCGGCCTGGCCCGGGAAGCACCTGGCCTCCTGGCCTGGCGGCTGGCAGGGCCTGGAATTGAGTCTCGGCACCGCTCGTGCCACAGGCGCGGAAGCCGAATCAGAGAGTGAGCGAGCGAGCGAGCGAGCGTCACGAGCATTGGATGCACTGAACAATCACGCGCCCGATAGCTCCTGACTCTCCTATCCATCCATCCGTATTTTAATTCCATTCTTGACCGGGAATGACAAAACCACCATCTCACTCACACCACTAAGTCGGCAAGTTATTATCCCACCACCGACTCGACTGTGACCTCAGCAATTGGACCCATATGCATCGGGGGCCTGCACCCGTGGTGGCGGTCCCCCCTTCCAGGTTCCCCGTGGAGGGGAAAAGAGACGCCTGTGCTACGTCAGAAAGACTGTTTGCCGCCTGCCTCAAATAGGTTGTTCCTGTTGTGCAACGCTCTCGTGTGCCCAGAACGTGTCCAGAGCATGCCAATCATGTGCCAGCCCAAGCCATGGCGGAGAAAGCTTTCCCCCTCGTACCCCTCCATCTCCAGCTTCTCCCCGCTCGGGTCACCTCTCAGCCGGCATCGTCGCCAGTTCACATCACCGCCGGATGGCAGCAACTGCGCTTTGGAACGGAACCGCTCACTACACCAAGTACGAATAGCACACCTACCTACCCTACCTTGGGTAGGTAAGGTAGTTGTGCTAGCCAGCCGCCCGCAAAAAGCTGAGACAGCCCATTCCCGTCCAAGAACCGTTGAAATAATCTAGCGGAAATATTTACCTAAAATTTACTCCGTACGGCCATAATTTTCGTGCTTTTCCGGCTGTGGGTGCCCAATTATACGATCGTGACTTGTTGGCCCACGCTGGTCAGCATTGGCGCTTTAAAACACAATGTGGAAAAGCCGCTGGAGGCCGACATCGCATCATCGTTCTATTAACTGTCAAGCTTTCTGCCATGATTTCGTCACCCGCACTCCGGCCTGGTCGTTGACGGGGGAAGCTGTCTATGACGGCTTCCTAACCAGAGCCGAACGGGCCGCTCCCATGCCCGGGTCTATGGCCGATGCGGCGCAGGAGCTGGGGGACGTTGGGAACTCATGAAACAGTCGAGGCCAAACCCCAGGTCCGAGGCCAACCCCAAAATCCGCCTCGTTGACTATGAGTACCTAGCTCCCACGAGACACATTGTCGAAAAGACCCGAATTATATATTCTGGTTGATTGACACCGCTTCGCCTCTCCTTCGTGCTGTGAGATAATACTCTCCATCGTTGTTGAGAGTGCAAGGCTTGAAGGATCTTGTCCTAGTCACTGTCCAGATCTTCTTCCCCCCTCTCCGCCATTGGTCCAAAGCTTCAAAATATCGCAATGCCGCGATTTCAGCCTAGCAAGGAAGAAATATCCTTGTTTGATATATACGCGGAGAACGATGTTGCCAAAGCAGTCTTCATAGAAAACACGAACAGTTCCAAGATGGTGAATCAAGCCGACGGGGAGCCCTCTTTTATCCCCGTCTTTCTATATATCAGGGAGTATGGCATAGGCTCTACTGATATCGAACTGTCAGAAGCCGCTCCGGCCATTCGAACCGTAAAGGAGCCGGCCTCCAGACCACCTCCAAGACGACTACTAACATTTGCCTCCGGGCATGGCGATGTCCAGCTGGGGAGGGAACATCACGACGGAGACTTGCACTGCTACCTCTTTCTTGACCCCGATGAAGGCCTGCTCTTCCTCCATGTCCTCCGAGGTAGCGCCAATGTGATGGCCGACAACAAAACGCAAACAAAGTATCAGGAAGAGGGTATGCCGGGCTACCAACAACTCGTCCCTGACACTGCCGACAAGATTTATATCGATGTGGGCAACGCGAGGCTCGTCCTTGAGTGGAAGCCGCTTCACAAGCCGCCGAACCTCGGCAGGTCCCGCGAGGTACGCAAAGTAATAGCTCGGCGAACCGTCCAGACGATGGAGATGCAGGACGACGTTCCCGAGGAGGAGAGAGTCTGGATTCTGGGCCGCCGTGTACAATTCGGCGACAGCGAGAAGCCAGCGTGGCGCATACTCGGTGAGGGATACTCTGGCATCGTTTACGAAGCGGGTGCGCCGGGGGGGAAGGTCTTCGCTGCGAAGATGATCAAAAGCGAGGTCCACGCCTGGAGTATTGGAAATGAATACAAGTGGCTCAAGAAACTCAAGCACGTGAGTACTATTTCGACCAGTCTAACAATCCCTCAAGACCTAGGAACTCCGTAGTCCCTTTGTTTTTCGTGCTGACATGCCCGGTGGTTCGGCAGGAAAATGTCATCGAACTTGTCGGCTATCAAGGAGACGAGCACGAAGGCGGCGCTTTCAGGCTATCCCTTCTCCTATTCCGAAAGTATGGGGTTCTAGACCAGTTAGAATGGGGCCACCGCCATTTCGACTCGGAGAGGCAAAACTTCACCAAGGATTTCGAACTGTGTACGAGTCCCGTGATGACTGATAGACTCGTGGACGACCTAGCCCGAGATCTATGGCGCGCGTTTGACTTTCTGGATAGGCAAGGAGTCGTGCACAGAGACATCAAGGCTGACAACGTCCTATTTGATCCATGCTACTATCCCTCGAGTCTAGATGGCGCACGCTCCGATAGGGATCCCGGGTATTTGTTTATCCTTACAGATTTCGGCCTGATTCGCGAGTCGAGTGACAAGCCTCCGAGAGGCCATGAACTTCCAGAAGAAACGTATCGCCCACTCGAGACCTTGGACGATAGCTTAGACAAATGCTCTGACTGGTGGGCAGTGGGCATCTTGCTTGCTACGGTCGCCGGTTACATATGCTTGGACGAGGTTACATTATCCCGAGACGGGTGGTGTATAAAGGCCCAATCCCTTGGCGCAACGCCACCTGGGCTAGAGGAGGATCTCCCGGCGGCGCTTGGGAAGCCGGGAGGAAGCAAGACGGACGCGGAAACCGACACACGACGACATGGGCTCAAGCTCTGGTTTGCTTACCTCGAGTGGCTCACCAAGCAGAAGGACAAGGATGACGAGTTCATACTCCCGCAGGCGTACCGTGACTTACTGGTCCAGGATCCCTCGAAGCGCAAGTCCCCAGGGCACTGCCTGGAAGAGTTTGAAAAGAATCGTTTTTACTTGTTAAAGGGAGAGATGGCGCATGCAGATACGGAATCATGATCTCTGGGAACGAGCCACGAAGTTAAAGCCCAAGTAGGTGTAATTACTAGGACGGGAAAGTACTACCTGAAGAAGCCGTTGTGTTTGTCGTAGGCCGCCTTGATATAGGTAGTACCCGGTCGATTGTCGTCCGGCGGGAACGCCTCTTCTAATAAGCATTTTAATACGATCGATCCGGAAAGGTCAAAAAGATGGAGTGCCAAAAAGTGCAAACCCCACCGTTCGGCTGGCTGCGGCATAGCGCAGCTTTAATGGCAGCATTGGCTGCAACCGAGTCCATACAGTACATACATGCATCTAAATCGCCCGAGCCGTTATCGTGACTGCGAGGCAGGAAAACACGATAGCTGCCATCGCATCACCTCAGCCCTACATCATGCACCATGTACGGATATGTATGTCAATGTACGTACATACGGCGGCACTACGGTACGGTACGATTGAGGACGGGGTGGCTGTCCAAAAGTCACAAATCCAAATCCAGAGAGTCAAATGGCAAACGGCAATTCACGATTAGCAATTCGGAGTTTGCAAATCGCGTCGGTCAGAGGCGAGCTGACCTGGCCCTCATGCGCAAGAACCTCATGAGGATGGCATGGGATGCCCGCTCACCTCTCCGTCAGCCCACGTAAGATCCGGTAAAGGCTGGTTTCGTCTCAAGTGTGAAGAGGCTGGGGGAATCTCACGGACACGGGCGGGCATGCGGACGTGGGCGGGCTGACTGGCGAATTGATAGGTACTTGGTGACTCTATGCAGGCCAATGGCAGTGCCAGAAACCAAGATCCCTCGTTTCATCTCCTCAGCTCTGAGGCAAATACACGCACCCAGCACGCACCCGCGGTACACACTTGGCAGCAGCATGTCTAGGTAGATAAGCTGCATTCAGCTATGGAGTATCTATCCGTAGCTCGTGGGACTTAGTAGCACCCCGCACTGGTCAAGGGTCTTCTCACGCTCGGCTGCTCTCTCACTCCACAGTACACCTACACTCACTATTCGTGCTATCTTGCACAGCACACCTTGACTTAGCTTCTGTCATATCCGGCATAAAATAGCCACTTCTTACGAGTGAGTGTTTGGTCACATCTGTCCTGTCCATCGTTGCCCACGCCTTCGTCCCGTCTCGTAGCAACAGCACAGCGGTTTTCCGTCTCCTTGGCCGGTCTACCTTCCCCGCACAAACGAGCAAACACTTGGCTCTGCTCTGTAGCTTCTCTGCTCTGTAGCTCTCGAACCAGGCACGGTATAACCGCCCCTTGTTCCTCGCCCTTCTGGTTTAGGTAGTTCTGCTGCTGCCATGGGCCTACGCACCATGTTCAAGAAGATGGAGCAGAACTTTGAGGAGTTTCTCGCCGGCGAGAAGCATTCTCACACCCATCTCGGCCACGGCTGCCACGAGGACGAGTCCCACGCCGAGTACAGCAGCAACCGCTACTGCTCCTTCGCTCCCCAGTCGAGCGGCCATGCCAAGTGGTATGTCGACGGTGCTTCGTACTTTTGGGCCGTGTCCATGGCCCTCGAAGGTATTTGTTTATTTATTTGCAAAATTATCATTCCCACCCCCCCTCCCTTTCGAGGTTAATCCTTTCCTCAGGATTGAGTGGTGCTGACTATTTGTCCCTCCAGAGGCACAGGAGAGTATCTATATCCTGGACTGGTGGCTAAGGTAACAATGCTCATTATTATCATCGTCGTCGTCATCATATTCCTGTCTTGTTCCGGGGCTCCCTGGGTTGGTCACCAGGGCCCAGTAAAACTAGGTCTAACCCAAGAACCACCTGTAGCCCGGAGCTGTACTTACGGCGGCCTCCTGCCCGCAATGCGCGGTACCGGCTTGACAACCTGCTCAAGGAAGCCGCCGAGCGTGGCGTCAAAGTGAATGTCATCGTCTACAAAGAGGTCGAGAAGGCCTTGACCTGTAAGTCTCAGTCCCGGGAAGTGAAGGCATGCATGCAGTTCGTCAGCTAATGGCTCCATAGTGAACTCGATCGTAAGAAAGCTGGCCGTTCCGGAAAACCTGCCCCTGACTAACAAATGCGCCTGCTAGCACACCAAACATGCACTCGAGGCCCTGCACCCCAACATCAAGGTGTTTCGGCATCCCGACCACGCGCCCAACGGCAACGATCTCGTCTCGAGTTTCAAGGACATATCCCTGAAGCCGATCGACCTGGCCAAGGCTTCCAAGGATGCTCTCTGCGCCCTGTACGGATCGTCCGACGACATGGTTCTCTTCTGGGCCCACCACGAAAAGCTGTGCCTTGTTGACCGAAAGGTGGCCTTCATGGGCGGCTTGGACATGTGTGAGTCCTGCCAGCCTAGACTGCTAAGTAGTGCAAGAATTCTGACAAGTTTGGCTTCCCAGGCTTCGGAAGATACGATACCAACAGTAAGTCTGAATGGGGTCTACATGCACACAGTTCTTGGGCTTACGTCGTCGCAGGTCACCCTATTGCGGATGCGCATCCCGGTAACCTTGACGACATCATCTTCCCCGGCCAAGACTACAACAACGCCAGAGTTTACGACTTTGAAGACGTTGAAAGATGGGAAAACAACAAGCGTAAGACAAGCCGTGACTCGTTGCTTGCAGAGTGAAACGCTGATTTGTTGATGGCAGTCGATCGTACCAAGAGCTCGAGGATGGGGTGGTCCGACATCAGCATCAGCCTCTCGGGCCCCATCGTCGATAGCCTGTTGATTCACTTTGCCGACCGATGGTGGGTGGCAGCCCCGAATCTCTCTCCGCCCGTCTGTGCTAACAACCGCAGGAACTACATCTTCAAGCAGAAATACACGAACCGAGATATTGGCAAGTACGGGCTGATCGAGTCTCCGTCTGGCCACACGGGCGCGCCCAACAGCCTCCTTGGCGGCGGCGACGAGTTCTTCGGAGGCCTGCACCACCATTTTAGCCGCCGCATGCACAACATCTTTGGTGGCGAAGAGGGCGAGGAAGGCTTCGTGGAACAACCGCGGGAGAATGATGGCGCCCATATCCAGCTGACGCGGAGGCAAGTTCTAAGAACCCTTGAGCCCCTGTTCCGGGGCCGCATCTCTAACGATGAGCAGTTGCACCAAGTGGTCCTCGGGCCTCAGCACCGAGCACTCGATTGCCAACGCCTATATTTCTGCCATCACAAATGCCAGGCACTACGTCTACATTGAGAACCAGGTCCGTGGGTTTTCTGTTCTCTCGGTGCCTCGAGCACTTGCTCACCTGTCTGTCTCCAGTTCTTTATCACGGCCACTTCGGACGAGCAGAAACCCGTTGCCAATAAGATCGGCCGCGCAATTGTCGACCGGATTGTCCTGGCTCACCAAAACAACGAGGACTTCCACGTCTTCATCCTGATGCCCGCCGTCCCTGCGTTCGCCGGCGACCTCAAGGACGACGGGGCCCTCGGAACCCGTGCCATCATGGAGTTCCAATACAACAGCATCAACCGCGGCGGCCACAGCATCATCGAAACACTGCAGCAGGAGGGAGTAGACGACCCGCACCGGTACATCAACTTCTATAACCTGCGCAACTACGACCGCATCAACACCAGCGCGGCCATGGGCGAGGTGGAGCGGCAGTCGGGGGTTCCGTACGAGGACGCCCGCCGCGACTACGACAACGAGTACGAGCACGGGGACGGGTACCGGCCCAACGACGCCCCCTGGTCGGAAGAAGGCGAAGACGGCCAGTACCGGCGGTACCAGGAGGCGGCCAGCCAGGTCACCGACCAGACGTGGGACACGATCGCGGCGTGCTACATGGACGCGGGGCCGGACCTGCACGGCCTCCCCTGGAACGGCACGCCCGAGTCGGAGCTCGACGCGTTCGTGTCCGAGGAGCTGTACATCCACACCAAGGTGCTGATCGCCGACGACCAGCTCGTCATCTGCGGCTCGGCCAACCTCAACGACCGCTCGCAGCTGGGCAACCACGACAGCGAGATCGCCGTCGTCATCGAGGACCCAACCCCCATCGCCAGCGCCATGGGCGGCCAGCCGTACACGGCGTCCGCCTTCGCCACGTCGCTGCGCCGCCAGCTGTTCCGCAAGCACCTCGGCCTGCTCCCGGACCAGAAGCCCGACGCGCCCAACGGGAACTGGACGCCGGTCACGCACGAGCAAAACACCTACGACTGGGACTCACCCGCCGACTCACTCGTCCGCGACCCCATCGCCGCCGAGTTCCTCGACCTGTGGCGCGGCACGGCGCGGCGCAACACGGACATATTCAGCCGCGTGTTCCACCCGGTGCCTAACGACGCGGTGCGCACGTGGGACGACTACGACGCCTTCTTCTCGCGGCACTTTGTGCTCCCCGGCGAGGACGCCGGCAAGGCCCAGGAGGCCTACGCACAAGGCAAGGTCGACTACGGCCACGTCGTCCGCGAAGAGTTCCCCGGCGGCGTCGCAGAGCTCAAGGACTGCCTCGCCGGCGTCCGCGGCAACCTGGTTGATATGCCGCTGAGCTTTCTCATTGATGTGCCTGACATTGCCGAGGAAGGGCTCGAGCTCAACCACCTCACTGCGGAGCTGTACACTTGAGCGAGCGATGCCTTTTGATTTTTCTAGGGAATCGCTTTTGCGCACGCTTCAGGGTAGCTGGGGGTTCTCTTTTGGTTGGTACTTGTCTAGGTGGTGCCTAGGTTGGATGGGCCATGCGATCTATCGTCCAGAATATTGTCCATTTCTTTTTTTCTTTCTTTTCTTGGCCCCTACTTTATCTGTCTTCAGTTACTTTTCAATATCTTGGTCCTGCGTCGCAGGGAGCTAGCTACGCACCTACTTAGCCTCATCTTGGGGATATGTTTCTTGGATCTCCTCCGTCATTGTTTCTGCTTCGCTCCCGACCGTTCAATACCGGATCCCTCTCCCTCCCCATTTGCTTCTACCTGCATGTCCCGTAACAACGGTTGGTCGTGTCACAAGGAACAGTGACTACCTCTCGAGCATTCCCAATGGGTAAGGCTGCTAGATCTGTAATGCGCCATTACCTGAGGTAGGTACGTAGGTGTTTACTTTTGTGATGCCTGCGATGGTATTCCAAGTCTTGAAAGAAACCCGCAGCCAGAGCCATAGGAAATATGACTAGCATTGGTAAGTAGCAGCTCGAGTAGCGTAACAGATGACAGTAAACAGTTAAGGCCTGCACGGGTTATGTACCTAGCTCAGAACCAAAGCTCCTCTCGTTCTCATTCCATTTCATTTTCCAGTGTAGCCCTTATGTATGCATATTATGCTACCTACCTTGTCTCTAACGGGGGTTGGCGATTTCAGAAAAAGGAAGCACTCATTCCCGAGAAAAATCTACATACCCCCGCGGGTAAACAAACGAAAACACACACACGCAGACACACGCACTGCCAATAACCGCCGACGGGCATCGCCGAAAGTACTACTTTTTACTACCTGCAACAAAATACGCCCCTAAGACATAGACACCTGATCACCCAATAGTCTCTCACTCGTCATCACCGAGCTCTTCGACGCGGGGGGCTACGTAGCTCCGTTGGTGCGGCTCCGTCAGGACCTGTGTGGCGGTGGCGGTCGTGGTTGCCGTGGCCGGTGCGGGCTGTCCCGTAGTAGCGGAGAAGGTGGAACCGGCGCTAGCAGAGACGGCGGATGACTTTGACTTCTTCTTCTTCTTGGGGTTCGGCTATGGCAAATATCAGTATATTCTTCTGCCTTTAATAAAAATCAGGGACGACAATACGAAACTTACGTCATGCCAAGCCCAGACGGGCTTGAAGCTCTCGACAACTGACACGTCCTCCCAGAGGTTGGGGAACAGCCAGAAGCCAGGGGCGAGGACAAAGTAGGTGATGCAGAAGAGGATGACGCGGAAGATGGCCATGGCGAAGAAGAGGCCGAGGAAGATGAGGAAGCCCCAGCTGAGATAGTAGACACCCATGCGCAGCTTGGCAGGCCACAGCGGGTACAGCACGACGGCGAAGATGACGAGCAACGCGAGCGCCGCGTACACTTTGCGCATGACCTGGCTGCCCTCCCACAGCCACGCGTAGTACATGTCTTCCTGGGCCTCCTGCTGCGGCTCGATACGCACCGTCCACAGGCCTTTGACTCGCTTGCCCTTCTTGCCGTGCGAGACGCCCGGCCCGTGGTCGTGCCCCTCATGCTCGTCCACTTGGGTTACGCGCAGCGCCAGCATCGACATGGGCAGCAACTTGAACGTGTTCTCGAGCGACGCCCGGTCCGTGATCTCGGGCAGCGCCGGGTTCTTCTTCCGCGCCTTTTCGTACTCGGGCGACTGCAGTGCGCGGAGGGCTCGTTTGACTGCGGTACCGCCAGGTCAGCTTCGGTTCTCTTTTCTCTTCTGTCTGCTTCCTGTGTCATATGGAGACTAGATGGGAGGGTTTCCAGCGTTCTCACCTCTAAACATGTCCTTGCGCTCCCCGTTGAGGATACATGTGCGCGGCTTGAGCGGTTGACTCCGCAGGAACTTGGCGAGGGCTACTGCGACGGGATTCGGAGGGCCTGGCACGATAGGTTGCGGCTGTCCCTGTTGCTGCTGCTGTCCCTCGTGCTGGTGGGAATGGGGATGGGGGTGCTGGTGCCCCTGGGCTTGCTGTTGTTGCTGCATCTGCTGCATCTTGGCAATCTGCTGCTGCTTGATGCGCTCAATAAATTGGGGAACCGTCATGCCGGCCTTCTTCGCATCGGCCTCGAGCTGTCTCTGGAAGGCCGCCATCTGCTCGGGCGATGGCTGGGCTATGGGCCCTGGAGGGGGCATTGGGCCTTGGCTTTGCATGGTGACGGCGATCGAATCCCCTGGCGACGGGCTGGCCGAGTCTCAAATACCTGCAGGAATCGATGTCGAGATTCAGACCTGCCCAGTGCGATTGTGTGGTGCAGAGTGCTTGGGGCGGAAACAGCTTTGCGGTGTTTGGCGATGTGGATGACGCCTGAGTTTGTGTGGCCTCGGAAGGCAAGCTGTACTTTACGGATTACACGTCTCATCATCCAAAAATCGGATAAGGACCCCTGTTCGTTTTCCCCAGCCGCTAGCTGGCGCCTGGTCCTTGCACGCTTTTGCCGGGTCCCTGTGGTAGGGTCATTGGTTTTCAGCCACAACTCAATCGTGTTCTGGAGCATTATAACTCCGAGCCCGCTTGCTTGGCAAACAGGCGTGTGGCTGACAGTCTGTGGCTGTTGCGAATTGAATTCGCAGCAACCTGGGTTAGGGGGGATGGTGGGGCCTGCAGGATAGGGTCGCGTTTCTAAAGCCACAAGCCACTGCGAATGCAGATCTGAGATCATCGAACAGCGGGTCCTGGTGTGGCTTGGCCATCGTACATGCCATGTCTGGGATCGGAGAAAAAGCGGCTGGCCTTGGGATAGGCGACGGAATATATGGCCGCATTAGGTCCGGAATCCACGATCAGGTCGCTTCTCTGTCGACCTAGAGTTGTTTCAGCCCACCTAGGGCAGCCTATCCAGCGGCACGGAGTTTCCGGTTTGGCTCTGTAAGCTGCTAGGTACGGCTGCACGAACGACCTGGAGGCTCCACCGGGTCGCCTGCGAATCTGCGATGAGAGATTCCGAACGCCGTCGAGATGGCGCTAATTACGACGCCCGGCTCGGGAAATTTACCTCAGGTCTTGCTGCCACGACCTCAGGAGTCTGGGCCTGAACAATTGCGGCCGATATGTTCGCAGGGCAATTCACTACTGTATGAACATACAATACGAACTGATCTGGGTCTAGGTATGCACAATCCATCCGTACTGTACCTGGATCCCTCAAGCCACTAGTCGGCGACAAAGGCGTTTACGCGGCGAAGAATCAATAAAGCAATTTCAACCTGCACAGGCGACTTCGGCTCTGCCCAGGCCAGCGCTAAAACCCGCCGGTTCGATGCAGACTCTCTGCAAGTGACGATATTTGACATCTGCGTCTTAATTATTCCACAGCCTGGTTTGGGCCACGGGCGAACACGAAAAGAGGTTTCCTCTCACCTCAGCTTGAAAGTGCCTTGGCCGGTCGGTGCCCCTCCAGATCCGTGGCATTGGCGTGCGTCACGGTTTGCCTCTCGGCTTCTGGTCCACTGGAGGCGACAGCACTGGCACTGAAAGGACCGCAACGGGACGCTAGGGGCGGGAGAGCCAATGATAGGCTGCGCTCGACGAGGCCCAAAAACCCAAATGGAGAAGAACGAAGAGCGGCAAACCAATCCGTTGCGTCGGCCGGCTATTCAGGAGAAGGCAGAAAACTAATGGAAAAGAAACAGAGAACGCCCTACCGGTTTTGTTTTGTGCAGCCGCGGTGCCTTGCATGTGTCGCCCGCAGCCAAGTGAAGTTTAGTGGGTGAAGATGGAAGTGTCCGTGTTTCGCGACTCTGCGAGTGCAAGCCCTCCCCATTCGGGCGGCCGCGATCGAAACATGTCGCCAGTCGCCAACAGTCGCCAATCGCCAGTCGCCAGTCGCCAGTCGCCAGTCGCCAGTCGCCCGCGGCCAGTCATCCAGTCGTCATGCAGTTACACTACCTTGCCTAGTGCCCGGCCCAGGGGCTCATTGCGTTGCACACTCCCTCTATTCCGTAGGTAACTTATTGATCAACAAGCCCCGTGAGCGCGAGGGGGAAATGTTTGGCAACATGGATGAACGAAGAATGATGAATGGATGGCTCGCTGGAAGGCATCCGTGACGGAGCCTATCCGACCCCTTGGGGCCGTGCAAAGGAAACACGGCTAGATACCGGCCGCGGATCGTTGCGGGTCCTGCTCGCTGGCTGGCTGTGGCCTCGTGCTGTCTTCTGACTTCTCTCATCCTGACTGCGCCGACGAGAGACCCTAAAATGGGAAAAACAGCTCAGTTTCAGGAAAGAATAGAAGGCACTACGTCGGGCGTGCTTAGGTGCTGTGAGCGGTGGCCTTGTCAACCTGGCTGGCTGGCATGTTGCTTCCTCCGGGGTTATAGCGGCTCTCCTGATGTCTTGGCCTCTGTGAAAGCGACCAGCGACCCCGAGGGGAAGAAAGAAGGGGATCCGAACGCACAAACGATAACTGGCCCAATCTGGATGGCCCACGAGACCCCCCCCTTCTCGACTCTCTCGTCATGGAAGAGCGGGCCCTTTTGTGGCAATGCGGTGCAGTAGGTCGCGACCACGGGCGTGGTGTGCTCGCGTCCAAGAAAAGACTGAGACATGGACTTTGAGTGCGGCACCGTCGACGGCACACGACTGGCTGGGGCGCCGAGCCTGGTGTGTAGCGCCCCCCATCCGATACATGATGGACCCCCGGTTTTGTAAGCGCCAACTGGTCCTCGGCCACCCCCCGCCAGCCTATCAGCGTCGGCCCTGCTGCAACCTCACCTCTGCCCGCAGTCCCTTCCACTAACTGACGTTGGAAGTCAGCGCTGAGCACAGAGCCGAGAGGCCAGAGGGCGGCGCTCAGCCCGGACGACAGGCGCACTTGGGCATTGTATTACATGTACATCTCTACATGTACACACACTAGCCATGTGTGCGTGCCCATGGGTGTGTGTGCGACTATGTCTTGTCGGCAGGCTAGGTAGGTAGGTGTGAGGTGTGTTGTGTGTGGTATGGGGAAAGTGGAGGGGCGGGCCTGTCTCTTGACAACCTGCCTGCACCACGACAGGACAGCAGCCAGAGGCAGAGGGAGGCAATAAAGATGCAATGCTCCGCCGTCCGCGCCGTAGCTTTGCGAGCCTCCTCGAAGTCTTGTCTTCCTCCTAGTCCTAGTTCCCGCTCCCGTCATGGTGAGCTTGCTTCTCTCCATCTACTGAGACGAGTCGCTGGTCGCTCTGTCCTTCGTTATTCCCTCCTCGATGGGCTCGAAGGCATGAGGCACCTGCCCCGTCATCGCCGGCATCGTCTGCGTCTGCGTCTGCGTCCGCTCCACCTGCACCACCGTCCCCGACGGCAGCATGGCACCACCTGAGCCGCACAACTCGTGGCTCCGTTCGATATGTTGCGGGTCCGACGAGCCACCTCGCACGCCAAGTAAGTCAGACTCCAACTGAGCCCACTCGGCGGGGACACACGGACTCTCCGTACCCAGTTCTTGTTGCCTTGTTGGCAGTTGAGACACATCTCACCCCCTTTCTCTTCTCTTACTTTCTCATCACATCACCACGGTTGCTTATAAGTCAACAGCTAGCGAGAAATCCATCACCGTCCTTCGGGACCAACCCGCTTTCATCCCACAGCCCTCAGCAGTGCCGGCATGGTCCAACGAGAGGACTTATGAGAAGACTCTGCAGCGAGAAAGAGAGAGATTGGGCACTTGGAGGTCAAGCAGCCGAGGCAGCGCCTCGTCATCCTCCTTCATGGCGCACTGGCACCAAAGGGCGTCGTCCTCGAGGCCGTCATCTCGCCGGCCGCAGATATCGGGTCCCACGAACTTCCGCCATCTGCAATCAGAGTCGTTCCAGTTTGCCGGCACCCAGGGCTCGCCGGGGACTTACATGTCGCCGTACATCCAGGAGCGGCCCATGTCGTTCCGGCCGCTCGAGCTAAGCATCTACGCGCCCGAGAACCAGCTCTCACCCATATTACCACATCTTGCTGGCGTCAACGACCTCGTCTCGCCGCCGCCACCTGCGCACACCTCGCTCGGCTCCAAATGGGACTCGAGCACCGCAACCCTCACCCACGAGCGGAGCTACTCGTCCATGTCCTTCCACCTCCCACGCAAGCACCTCCGCCAGGGATCCAACATGTCTCAGGCCTCGCAGAACTCTCTCACGCCGCCCAGGCAAAGTTCGCTGAACCCGCCCAAGATCCCACCAAAGTCGAAGGCGCGCGCATACACGGCGCCCAGCGTCGACAGGATAGTCGAGCGCATCGCCAGCGCCATCCTCGAGAAGGAGCGGTTGGAAGCCGAGATCGAGTCTGTCATTGAGCGCCAGAGCATCTACATCAGCAGCCGTCCATCGACTGCCTACAGCGTACGAAGTGAGTCAGATCGCGCGTTCCCCCTTTCCAGTCCAATTCAATTTCCGTTCCCATTCTCACTCCCATTCCCCTTCCTCCACCCTCCACCTGCACCTCCGCATCTACTTGTGCCTATGCCTGTGCCTGTGCCTGTGCCTGTGCCTGTGCCTATGCCTACACCACCCCCGGGATTTCCATGCTGACAGGCTCGCCCAACCCAGACTTTGAGCCAATGCCGTCGATTCCGGCGCTTCCTGCTGCGGCACCGTCGTTTGCAGAACGGCTCAGCACCGAGGGCCGGCCACGAACTGCGCCGTCTCGGATTTCCAACAACGCGTGGGACTCGCCCTCGCCGCCCCCGCCGCCACCGCCGCCCTCGCAAGACAAGCCCCTGGCACTAGCAGCTGCCGCATTTGGCTCTCATCCAACGCAGCCGCAACTGCCGCAGCAGAGACGAAGGAGCCCCGGAGACAGCCGCTCCGGGCGGTCCGGAGAGAACTCGCTATCGTCGTCGCCCAGGCAGCAGTTCAACGACGGCACCGGCGGCGGCGGCGGCAGCAGCAGCAGCAACCGGCCGCTGGCCCCGCCGCTGCCGCTGGTGCTCCGGCCGCCGCTGCGCAAGAAGAAGTCCTTCTCAAGGGTGTCGAGCTGGCTCTTCCCCAACATCGGCAGCAGCAGCAGCAACGCCGACGACGACCAGATACAGCAACAGCAGCAGCAGCACCGCCGCGACATCAGCCTCGACTCCATCACCAACAAGCCCAAGCCGGTGCGCGGCGGCGAGGGCTTCTACCAGTGCGTGGCGCCGCCGCGCACGAGCATGGACACGCTCGAGTCGGCGTCGTCGTCGACGTGGGAGACGCGCGACGAGGATGACGAAGACGACGAAGACGACGACGACGACGACGACGAGTTCAGCAAGACCCACACCGTCCCCACCACCACCTGGTCGCCCGGCAGCAGCCCTGTCATCCAGAACACGCCCAAGCACACGCCCACCATTGAGCAGATCACCGAGTTTGCCGCCGCCGCCGCCTCCGGGTCCGTCCTCAAGGTCCCCGGCAAGGCCCAGCCGAGCCAGACCCACCAGACCCAGACCCAAACCCTGTGTGTCGGTCAGGACCAGGGCGCTCGGCCGCTGAGCGTGGGCGTGGCCTATTAATATCTTCTCACTTTGCCGATTTTTTTTCTTCATATTTAATGCAAGGCGATCGATTGTTTTGTTACGTACTCGGCATATATAGATTAACCAAACTAGGGAGGGGGCTTTTTTGCTTGTTTTCTTTCTCGTCTTTGTTTTACATATATATACTCCCTTTTTGGATCCCCGTTGAGGGCGAAAAAAAAGGTGCACTACTGTGGCATTTTGTCTACGCGGAAGATAGAACGGACAAAAACATTTTGGACATACCTACTTGGTCGGACCTGGCCTGGACTGGACTTGACCGAGCTGGACTGGAACAGGGAGGGAAGTGTGGGGGCCGGTGGCTTCCAGGGAGAAAAGGGCTTGATGTCTTTTCTGGAACTCGTGCGACGGGACGGAGGGTGGTTTGGGAATTCGGGGCCATGGATCGTGTAAGTTACATGTTGGTGGTGGTGGGTTGGGTTGGGTTGGTGGTTGGTTGGTTGGGGCCGTTGTCATCAGCCTCTGTTGGGGGTGTGGGACGAGGGACGGGGGGTTACATGTGCTGGATTCGTGCTTATGATACCATTGCTTTTTTTTTTTTGCTGCAAAATTGAAAGAACCCGTTTATTTGGGGACTGTTCGCTGCGTATATCCAATGGATCGTTTCGTTTCACGACTTGTTTACTGTGGTGTTGCTGATGTTGCTCTCGGGTGAGGCTTGGAAGCAAACACCCCTGTTTGTGAAACATACATTAGGTGGCGGTTTTTCGAACTCAAGTGTCAACCAACAGAGTTTGAACAGACAGAGAAGCTCACGTAATTCGCACCGCGCAAGTTGCTGCCGGTTCCAGAACGTAACAGCACTGCCGGACTAGGGTTCGGGGTTGCAGTTGGCGATGGCCGTCATCTCGGTGCGAGTGTGTTTCAAATTCCCACCCAATATTGGTTGGCTACAACATGACGGCTTCGCCCGCTCCCTCTCCTTCTCCCTCTCCCCGTGCAAGGCCGCAGGGCTGGCTTTCCCGCTCGGTTACCCGGAGAATAGGTGCTAAAAATAGACCTGTCAGAGAATTGACCGCCTTGAAGTGATCAAGAGTCCACTTTTGGGGGCAGCGCTCACACGTGGCCGGGTCGTGATGACGATCATTTGGGCTTCTTGATTCCTGTTGTTGGTGCTGTTGCTGACCACCTTACACAGCTGTCATAAAAACACTGAATACAAATCCGCGCGTAGGCGCTGCGTCATTTGCGCAAAAGTTCCATACTTGCACGAGTGTGTCTATGCCCAATAGGCAACAAGTGAAATCTGGTTGCGGATCTGTCCGGATTTTCTCGGCCGAGATGTCAGAGATGAACCGAGCCGTCCTCAGCCGCAGTGCTAGCAGCGCACGAACTCCCAGCCATTCTCCCCAATTCCGAGATAGCGATCACAGTTAATTCGCCGAAAATCTAATGTGAAGCCTGTACACTGAACCCTACGCGCTGTTGTCAAACGCGAGAATATACGCGACCGCATATGTATATCTCTGGCACGGCCGCCATCACCAAGGTTGCCGCGCGATTCGGGGCGCTTCGTACCTTGCAGAGAGCGGCCGCCCTGGCGTGAACTGCCAGGTCAGCAGCCATTCCCGAGCCTTATAAGCTTCCGGGCAATCAGCCAGCGAACGGCGAGGCACCAATGTCTGTGCTGTTTGGTGCCAATATCCGCCCAGTTCCTCCTGGCTTGGCCATTTAGAAAGCATGGCGACAAATAAACTCTCAGTTTCACAGGACTTCGTGCTTCTGGTGTCGTTGAAGTGAATCGTGCGCACAGACTTCGAGCCTCTTCCGCTAGCGGGGCCCAACTCAGCCCGTCTTGGGATGTGGGGTGGTGAGGGGGGGAGGGGGGATCTTCAGCTGGCCCCAAACACAACTAGTGGAAAGGCGGCAGGTCCCCTACGAGCAGCATCCCTGTTAGCTAGCGACGACGACGGTCTTCTCCAAGACATGTGGCGTCGCAGAAATGAAGACAATTTCTGGGCACCCTGATTGTAATTCTCCTGGAAGCAGTATACATACTCCGTAGTAGGTGTCTTGCCTCATGACTGCATCTGCCAATTGTCGACAAATCTGCAAATCTGCGGTGCCGCCAGTCTGAAGGACCGTTTGCGCCCGGACGCCCTCACGCTGCCCCTCGGTCCACTCCTCCGTCACCACTGATGAATCCCGGCAAAGAGGGAATCAAGGTTCGATACTACCCAGTATAACCGAGGCACGCTGCATACGCGAGCCCGGCCGGTCTAGACTGCCGCAACTATGGGGTTCTTGGACGCGATGGCGTCACTCAAGCGCCTACTCCCTCGTGGAAGCCCACCCAAGTACACATCTCTACCCAATGACGAGCCCCATCGCCGCCGTGAGGACGAACAGCCCGCGAGCGCCCGCCCGAACCACAACAAGCTTGCACTCAAGCCCGCCGCCGCTGCCGTCATGATGGTGGCTGTAATTGGCTTCGTGGCTGTTGCGTCCGTGTAAGGTGTCCCAACGTTGCGGCAGCCGAACGCCCAAATCTTACGTCGGAAGGGGTAATAATGTTTACCTATCTAATGCTGACTTTGCCGCAGAAGGAGGGGACACAAGGGCAATCAGCCCGTCGTTAACGCGTCCCACTCGTGGGGCCAGTACTCGCCCTTCTTCTCGGTGCCCTCCAATATTTCTACCCACGTGCCTGCCGGCTGCGCCCTCACCTTCGTCCAGCTTCTCCATCGCCATGGCTCCCGGTTCCCGACGGCCAACAAGTCGGCAGCCTACAACGAATCCATCACCAAGATTCACGACACCGTCACCCACTATGGCCACGACTTCGCCTTCATCAAGGACTACCAGTACACGCTGGGAGCCGACCAGCTGACCCACTTCGGCCAGGAAGAACTGGTCGACTCGGGCGTCTCCTTCTACCAGCGGTACAAGTCGCTCATCAGCGCCTCGCCGAAGCTGCCCTTTATCCGGGCGTCTGGTCAGGAGCGCGTCGTCATGTCGGCCCAGAACTGGACTCAGGGCTTTCACGACGCTCTGGTAGCAGAAGATCCGTCAGCCGGACCCAACGACGACCTCCCCTACGACATCCTCGTCATCCCTGAGGCCGATAACGTCAACAACACGCTAAACAACAAGCAGTGCCCGGCTTTCCAAAAACCCCCGTACTCGGAGGTTGGCGAAAAAGCGCAGGAGGTCTACGGCGAAAGGTTCACCAAGCCCATCATCGCCAGGCTGAAGAAGGGCCTGCCGGGCGTCGAGTTCTCGAAGCCGTCGCACGCCGTCGCCTTCATGGACCTGTGCCCATTCGAGACGGTAGCATCGCCAGCAGGGCAGCCGCCGTCGCCGTTCTGCGGCCTCTTCTCGGCGCACGAGTGGGCCGGCTACGACTACTACCAAAGCCTGGGCAAGTGGTACGGGTACGGGCGGGGGAACCCGCTGGGGCCGACGCTGGGGGTGGGCTGGGTCAACGAGCTGATCGCGCGGCTGACGGGCAAGCACGTGGTCGACCACACGAGCACCAACGCCACGCTCGACGGCGACGCCGCCACCTTCCCTCTCGGCCGCACCCTCTACGCCGACTTCAGCCACGACAACGACATGACCGCCATGATAGCCGCCCTCGGCCTCTACGCCGACACGCCGCCCCTCTCCAACACCACGCGCCACCCCGCGCGCGACACGGGCGGCTTCTCTGCCAGCTGGACCGTGCCCTTTGCCTCGCGCATCTACGTCGAGAAGATGACGTGCGGCAGCGGCAGCGCGGAGCGTGACGCCGCCGACGAGCTCGTGAGGGTCATTGTCAACGACCGCATGGTGCCGCTGACGCTCTGCGAGCCCGACGACCTCGGCCGCTGCGAGCTGGGCAAGTTTGTCAAGAGTCTCGACTTTGCCCGGCACGGCGGCCTGTGGGATCTGTGCACTAAATGATAACGAGATATATGCCCTCTCATCTTCTCTGTCTTGATTTTAATATCATGTTCGTATATATGGCAAAACGTACGTTGACTTTTTGTGGATATGAGCTTGCGTTGTTGCGCACAGAGAAGCTGGCGCATCTAGTGCAGCTTGTTGGAGCGTGGTTCAGCCCCGTGCTATTTACGTAGTATGTCTTGTACATACCTATTTAATTAGTTGGATTTACTACTGGGTTTGGTGTTTGGATCTATTGTACCGTTGAGGCTAGGAAAAGCGAAGAACCGTGTTAACTCATAGGTGCGGTGATCGCAAGTCAATTCTTCATTACTTCATTTCAATCGGTATATCTAGGCGACGAGAGATGAGTGGCCGAATTCGTCACTTCGCAAGTCAGATTCGAGTTCCTTTCAGCAATCAAACGGGTGACGTGTTGCACAACCAGCACCTCTTTACGGAATACTCTCGTTTTATTGGAGGGCCGTCTTTGAGACATGGTTCCCTTTTTGCGTTTGTGTTTGTGGGTGTGTGTGGTTACGGACCCGGCCGTCTGGGCCTGTCATGGCATCCGTCCCGTGTTTCTGTCTCGTCCAAGACATTGCACCCCTCTGCTCAGTACCTTACCCAGACAGAGCCTTAACTTGCAAGCCACAGAAGAGAACCCGTATGCCGTGTCCACGTATGCACCAAGTGACTCGTTTATTTCTATATAAAATATTCCCTGGGTGGCGGTTCAAACGAGATGCACCTCATTGGAGGCGCAAAGGCGTACGTGTTAGTGTCTTTGACGTTTCTTGGCAAAGAGGCTTATTCTTTAGCTAGGCCTTGGCGGCCGTACCCAGCAGCAGGCGGGGCCGCAGGCCCTGTGGGGTGGGTCGGGTTGGGGCGCGCCGGGGGGGCGGGCGGGGGAGACGAAGCTGGAGCTTCCTTGCTGCACCCGCTATCCCACCTGCCCAAAGAGACCGAATGGTGCGGCTTGGTTACACAGCAGGGCAAAGAGGAGAGAGGAGACCGAAGAAAGCCGCGCCCGGCTCTGCTCTGCCTCACTCTCACACACGCGTATCGGGTTTCTCGGCCCTTCCCTTGCATCCCAGGGCTGAAAAGGAAAAAAGGAGACAGCCTTTGAAACCTGAATTTCTTGAAGCCTGCTCTTTTTGTCAGAAAAAGATCCACCCCCCAAGCACCACTCTGCACTGCCGAGCACCACGGCCTACGAACCCGACTCCCGACGCCAAATGTCCGCACGTCGGTCGCATCAATCGCTCTCGACTCCATCGCTGTCGTCGTGATCGCCGTGATCGCCGCTTTTGCTCCACCCCTTCGCCCGAGTAGTACTTGTCGCTTCACACACACGCGCGCGCGCCGCTCTCCCCCCGCCCGCCCCGCGAGAGGCCCGAGCAGCCGAACCGCCGCCTCAGTACGATGCATCCCGCCATCATAGCCGTTATCGTCATTGTCCTGCTGCTGCTCGCAGCAGGCGTCGGCTGGGTTGTCTTTGCCAGATTACGAGCGCAACGGTTAGGGGTGAGTTTCGACTTTCTTAGAGAGAGGGGGGGGGCCGAAAAGGTCTCCTGGTATCTTTGCGTTGCGCATCATACAATCGCAATCTTCCGTGTTGGATTGGGGCCTTCCATGTTCTTTGTTCTACACTCCTCTATGATATAAGACCTACAACGGGGAAATGAATGGGGCTAGATGGCCGGGATGGGTGTTGGGAGACGAGGTTGCTTTTGCGGCCGTCCGGGACGACGCGCAATCCCCTTTAACACCTCATTGCACTGCCACCTGATACCAGTCTTCAAGAATCACCTCCAATTTCCTTGAGGGTGGCCGCCAAATGAGAGATAGCTAACTCGAGCCCTTCCGGGAACAGCTTCCCCCGCCCCCCTTTACCTCGTATCTGCCCTTCGTCAAGTCCAAGCCGTCAGCGGCGCCGTATGGCCCGCCGCAGCCCGCGCCCGGCGGGATAGTGGGGTGGTTCAACGACCGGATCCGCATGTTCAAGAACCGCAACTCGCGCACGGCAGCGGGCGCCTACGAGCAGAGCGGCGGCCCCGGCGGCGGGCGGCGCGGCTTCGGGCCGCTCGACCCCGACGAGGCGTGGGACTCGCGCGTCGGCGGCCACCACGATGGCGGTGACGGCTACGGGTACTACGAAGAGCAGGAGCTCGGGCTGGCCCCGCAACACTCGGCCGCCGTCGGCGACACGAGCTACCGAGGCGGCGGCGCCCCGGCCCCCGACGACGACGGCAGCTACCAGATGAACCTGGCCGTGGACGAGTCGCGCGGCCGCACGAGAAGCCGGTCGCCAGGGTATGCCGTAACAGGAGGAGCCCAGCCGTCGAATCCCTTCGAGGACGACGCCGAGCCGAGCAACATGAGCCTGCGCGGCATAAGTCCGCGCCCGATCGACACGACGAGTGCGGTGGCGGCCGGCAAGAAGCCTGCTAAGGGGCCCGGGGACGACGACAACAGCCCGACGGAGAGGAAATCCATCTTCCGCGAAGACGTCTAAGAGGACGGGCGCTCTTTTTTGCGGGCGGAGGAAAGGGGATCGAAAATCTACGCACCGGAAGCAAACAGGCTAGCCCGGGCACTCTGGTTTATCGACGGCAGGTTGCTACTCTAGCGATGCGATGCGAGTCTTTGAAAAGGGGGGACAGAGTTACTGTTTTTCATCACTTTTCGGGGTTTGTCGATGTGTACAGGCCGGTTAACACGAACACACACGAAAACGTACAACACAACCGCAAACATGTTCTCACCTTTTTTTCTCTCTCTTGTGGGATCCTGGACGAATCGTTATTTTACGGGTTTCCCTTGTTCTTGTGGTAATTCTCTTTTTATAAGAGAAGACAAGAGTTACAAGCCTAGGAGGAAGGAAATGGACGCTGGCTGGGGCGGTAACCTAGGAACTTACACGGCCGGTATATGGTCTTTTTCCTTTTTTCTTTCCCAGGGAGTTCAAGCAGGGTGCTTTCTTTTATTTCTCTATCTCTTGGTGTTGGATGTGTTTGTTATACTCGGCCTGAAGACAAATACCTTACCTACCTTACCTCACCTTACCTTGCCTTCCCTAGTTCTTATTGACGAAAAAGAGACGAAGCGTTTCATGGGCAAGTGTGTTTCGAAACTGGGTACCTTGATCTCAGACAGTCGTTCCTCGGTTGAACGGCTTATAGCTCGAGTAACCGTTACGGTTAGTAATATGCACCTGTTTCCTAACGGCGAGGAAGCATCCCTACTCGAATCAAATCGGGGAAAAGGTGATAGGGGGAGGTACAATGCCACGCCAAGACTCTAGAATGGGATCGAGATTTCCAAAGGGAGCTGGAGAGCTGCTTTTGGCAGGGAGCATATTTGCTTCACGAGAAACTACAATTCCGGAGTGCCTTCGATCCCTTTTCCTTCCCCACATGTACCTTAGGTATGATGCGGTACCAGATTCATCTGACCCAGTTTTATCCTTCGGCGGGTCCATGAGGAGAAGGGCCCGGGTGTGTTTGGTAATGTGTTGCGCGGCGTAGGCACGTCAAACAGCCGCTGCTGGGGGTTGGTTTGTTGGAGAAGGCACAGACAGCATTCAAGTCATCTTGCACCACGCATCCTCTCGACTTTATTCTACTGCTCCGACACCTTCCAATTCACTACAACCAGTCTTCAAAATCTCAGCCAAGGAAGGCGGGGGAATAAATAAACTCAATTCAAAATGGCCGACATCGACCTCCAGCAAATCCATGACACGCTGCTGTCCGTCGCCTTCGAGGCGGGCCGCATGATCTTGGCCGCGAATCCCCACGACATCTCGACGGGGACAAAGATGAACTGTGCGTATATTTTATTTCATTTTTTATCAACTTTCCCCAAGTGCCCCACCAGGAAATTATCGGCCGTGTCTTATTTAAAGATTGTGCCTCCTCTACACACGATGGAGCTATGTACAAATAGGCCATATATCCCTTCCCCCTTTTAGCTTTGCCTGAAACTAAACAACCCCCTTCGCCCCTTAATAACAGCGGCCGACATCGTCACCGAGACGGACCAGGCCGTGGAGAGCATGGTGTCGACGAGGCTGCGGCGTGCGTACCCATCGTTCCAGTTCGTCGGTGAGGAGACATTCGTCGCCGGCAGCACGCACATCACAGACGCGCCGACGTTTGTGGTGGACCCCATCGACGGGACGACCAACTTCGTGCACGGGTTTCCGCACGCGTGCATCAGTCTAGGCTTCGTCGTGGGCCGCGTGCCGTCGGTTGGCGTCGTCTACAACCCCTTCCTCGACGTGCTGTACACGGGCGTGCGCGGCGGCGGCAGCTTCGTACAGCGCAACGCCTCGCTGGCCGGCACGCCGGCAGCCGGCCCGCGCCAGCGCCTACCCCTGGCCGGCGGCGCCGCGCTCGGCGACCTGAGCTCGACGCTCGTGGCCGTCGAGTGGGGGTCGCAGCGCGACGGCGAGAACTTTGAGCTGCGCGCCCGCGTGTTCCGCGCCCTGACGGCCAGCAAGCAGAACGGCGGCGGCAGCATGGTCCACAGCCTGCGGTCGCTGGGTTCTGCCGCCCTGAACCTGTGCGCCTGCGCCGCCGGCCAGGTCGACATCTACTGGGAGGGCGGCTGCTATGCCTGGGACGTCGCCGCCGGCTGGTGCATCCTAAACGAGGCCGGCGGGCGCATGGTCAGTGGCAACCCCGGCGGCTGGGAGACGCAGCTCGACTCGCGTGTCTACCTGGCCGTCCGCGGCGCCAGCAGCGGCCAGGAGGCCATCGTCGAGGAGTTTTGGAAGGTCATTGGTGACGGCAAGATGGAGTACATGCACTAGTGATACGCTTTGTATCTGCCAGCTGCACGTTGGAGGCTGCCTGCGGTCTGCAACACGCTCGAGCATCGCAAAGGCTGAAGGTCGGATCTCACGGAAGAAAGGTAGAGTGTGCGGTCAAAGGAAGACCATAACTACCTAGACAGACTAAATTTCCCGCCCAGTTAGTTCTCCTGTAAAATAAACGGAAAGCGACTCGTAGGGCATTCCGTCGAGTCCTCTCTAGCCCGAGCCCACTCGCTTTCTTCCGCATTCAGGGCGCGGGGGCGGCGTTGGAATGTCCGCCGACAGACAGATCAATTCGGTCAAACCGCAACTCGCGATACAAAGAAACAGAGACCCAGCTAGCGCGCATCGCCGTCGTGAAACGAACTGCCTGTGAGAGTAACAAACACCGTGTCTGCCATCGCCGTAGTCGAGGTCCCAGTCATGTGTGAGGGTGCGCCAAACACAATATCACACCACGAAAGCCTGACCGCGAGACGATGACGCTTGACGATGCTGCAGACACCATCTTCCCACTGCCAGGGTCGATTCCCAAGGCCTGGGACCCCGAGGAGCTGCGGCGATGCGGAGCGGTAGGTGAGTTACAGTACCCAGCCATCCATCACCTAGGTTTCGATACTGGAGAGGGACTGGGAAAGAATCTTAACACGGCACCGCGCGCCAAAAAAACGCTGCAGAAACAAGTCTTCGTGCATCATTCGACCTAGAGGGTGAAGTCCACCCGGTCTTCTGCAACTGGGACATGTCCGGGGATGGCGACGCCGGCGAGGAGCTGATGTTGCGTGAACTGCACCGTAAGTTCTTCTGTCCACGTCCACATATTACCTAGTCGTCCTTGTAGTCTGTGCCCCTTACATTCTTCTTTTTTTTGTCAGAGTTGAGAAAAAGCAAGTCACGCCCTATCACCTGCCCCTTAACCCACTTTTTAGCTTCTTTTATCTTGGCCCGTTCCACCGGGTGTCTCTCCTGTTCACGGCACCGATGACAGCACTCACCGGCTGACCAAGGACTGTGTGTGTGTTTGTGTATCCCCAGAACCACTGCTGCTGGCGAGCAGGCTCCTCGAAGGCGCAGGACTGCCCTGGCTCTCCGAGTTTCTCATCGACGACATCTTCGGCGCCTCGTACCCGGGGCTTCCGCCGCCGGCTCTTCCCGATAGTCATCATGGCGAAGTCGATAAAGAAAGCGATATCAACAGCATCTGCCAGTCTCGGACGCCGGTCGTGATCGTGCGCCACCACCGCGCGGCCTGGGCAACGCCGCGCCTCGTGCGGACGTGGCTCGACGCGACGGCGCGCGAGCTGCGCACGGCGCTACCCCGGTGCGTGCTGTGGCAGCTTGACGGGGTCATGTTCGCGGCGTTTGGGTGGGTTGGATACACGTGCCGGCACCTGTTGCGCGAGGGCACCGGCGGCGTGGACAGCAACGTGGACCACCCGAACGTGATTAGAGACGCCGACGCCGAGGCGAGGAGACGGGGGGTTCCGAGCCGCTTCTTGACGGTCCTCGTTATACGAGAGTACACGGCGCGGCTCTGTGCCCTACGGCAGCTGGGGCAGTTCGGTGGCGAGGAGTACATGCTCACGGCCTTTATGTTGGCCGTGACGGCGTTGCATGAGTGAGTTCGTGCTTATATTGACTAGCAGGGGACCGAGTGTTGTTTTTGTCCCCCCATTAGCCCCTGAGTGCGGGAGTCTACATTAGAACACGCCAAACCACTAACGAGAGAGCACAGACTGGGACATGCAATCTACTGGAAGGACCTGCGTGCTGCTAACCGGTGCATGAACGAGCCCTACTTTGGCGGCGATCTTGAAATGGAGCTTGGCGACAGCTTCATCGCCTCCATATTCGGCGACTGGACGCCCGTTCCTATCGAGCACACGCACGACGAGTTCGGCTGGCGGGGGACCTTTGAGCGTGGGCTGGCCTGGAAGCAGCATCTCACTTGGGATTTCCATCGGACCAGGCCAAGATACCGGGCTCACTATTCCATACCGGTCAAGTAGTAAGATGGTTCTGTCTCTTTCCCTCTTCTCTCCCCTGCCTGGTGTGCCGTGCTCCCACAAAGATGAGTAGACGGGTCTGATAGCAAGAATGCAGTATTGCAGCACTTTTCAGTAACGAGGTTTGGAAGGTGGTCCCACGGCCAGAACAGCCATCGACTCTCCTGGCTTCGTGCATCAGGAGTGTTGACATGAATCTGTCAGCCTCCGGGGGTGATCTCCATGCATGCGCGGCGCTACCCGACTTTGTCGAGCATGCTGGAGCGGCGGCACGCTGGAAGCGTCGACCGGCAGCCGACTTCCGAATTCCCTGGTATCAAGACGACCTTGTCTGCAGCCGCGGCAACAGCGGCAGCAACAGTAGCAGCAGCAGCAGCGGTTGTCTTTCCGGGTGTGAGTTGATGATGCCTGACGAGCCCGATGCCTGTGATAGGGGGGGTTCAGCCATGTCCGGATACGTGCTGACGCTTCCGAGCTCGGCGGCATCATCCAGCCTGGCTATGTGCGGCGGCGGCGGCGGCGGCGGCGGCGGCGAAGGCGGCAGCAAGCGCAGGAGCCCTAGTCGTGCCACTATGGCATGTGAAACACACAGCATTGAGCTGAAGGGTGAGAAACACAGTGACAGGGTAATGATAGAGTCTTGGCGCATGCAAATTATCTGCATATGCAGATATGGCTGGGAGTGACGGGCGTGCACTATGTCTCCTCTTCGCTATGTATACGGAACTTGCGTTCTTCCATCCTACGATGTATCTAAAGTTGGTTGACTAGAGATACCTCTTGGCCAGTAGGGAAGTATTTGGAAAAGCAGGATCTGAAGCCAAGCAGTGGAGAAGAGAGCAAGAGGGTGAAGAGCAATGGTCAACTATCCCGCCCAGTTCCCTTGCCTGGAAGCCGTGCTGCACGGCCCGAGAAAGGGCTATGAGCCGAGAACGTACCCACAGTGTTAAAACCAAGACAGCCGAGTGGAAACTGCTTCATACCAAGCTGAAGTTGCTTGAAAACGGGCTCCCTCACTCTGGTAACATTTTCCTCAAGCCCCTTTGTGTGGGAGGGTATCACTTGCGTTGGTGTCTCGCGGCACTTGGCCTGAACATCTAGTGGAAGGCAAAAGGCGTCATAGATAGACTATCAGGTCTAGATTGGAGATTGTTGGACATATATCGGCCTCCTTCGAGGTGTTCCGGTCGGATTGGAAACCTTGACGGTGTAGGGGCAAGCTGGGAGACTCGTTCGCCAGCTGTTCGTGGGTCCCCCTGCTTGGAGGGTCCGGGAACAGGTTGTGCATGCGCCTTGCATATAACTGCATGCAGCCCACAGTTTGAGAGACAACACTAGTGCAGTCGTCTTGGAAGCGCTGTCGAGAGCCGAGACTAGCTGGGGCAGAAGGGCGGAGCGGGTGGGGAGAGAAGATAGAGCTGGTTGCTAAGACTGCACAACGATAAGCTTCTGGCTTTTTATTGCATCTGTCGTGAGCTTCGACAGCTTGGTCATCCCAAGGCAATCATCCATTATCCTGCAGAGTCGCAGTATCGCGGGCGAGCAGGTCCCCGGCCGCCGAATGCGATGCGTTGTTTGTGCTAGGAGGCAGTAGTAGCTGGTAGACAGATATTAGCCGGGGGATGCGCGGCAGCTTCTATGCTCAGCACTGCATTGCACCTCGGGGAATCTAATTCAGCTATACTACACATAGTAAACGTAGGATGTGGTTTCCAGATTAGATGCGGAGCCGCCGGCTACGTTCTGGGCCCCGCCGGTGTCGGCCGTCGACAGACGAGCGGAGGCAGCATTATCCCCCCCGCCTAGTGTTGGATCGTACTGGGTGATGCCGGTTCCGTCTTTCTGCGGCGGTCCCGTTAGTCTGCAACTACTTCTTAGCGAAGACAGGCTCGGCGTTTATTGTATGTAGAAGCTCCCATGCCGTGGAGTGCAGTAGGTAGCACTGTACCGTGGAAGACTAAGGTAAGTCTGCCGTCCAAGGCTCAAACAGAGTTCCCTTCTCAAGCTCACCGCTACCTGCTAGCTAACGGTGGCTTGGCGCTGGCCGATATGCCGAACCAAGACCGGGAGAGCAGCGGAGGGGCATCAAGATCGGTCCACAGTCCAGCCTACGGAATGAATGAAGCACTGTGCTCGCCGAGCGGGGTCTGGTTGACGTAATTAGTACTACTGTACCTTACGTATGTGCGCCTGTAAGACGACAGCATGCCTCCTGGAAGACATCAGCCATCAGCCTCGAATCCGTCCATGTATGTACATGCGTTCTGTTGTGATACGTTGCAGAATCGCGAATCTGCCCCGTTTGAAGGCCCGGCGCGTCAAAACAAGGGCCGAAGACAAGATAAAGGGAGATAAGCAATGATAAGAAAACCACTAGAGACGCATCGCTGTCACTGAATAGGTGGTCGAGCCGTCGATGATTATGTCGTTGTCGGTCCGTCTTCTTGTGCTGGTGCTGGTGCTGGTGCCGCCTCCCAGGGCTGACCTTCGGCAGTCAGTCGAGGTAGCCAAAATACTCGGCAGCTAAGCGACCCGGGCAGCAAGTGTCTTGAGCTTCAGAGAGGTAGTCACGGTTTGAGCGTTGATTATTATAGCGTGCACCTCAACCAATGCGAGGATTCCATGATTAACTCGCCGTCTCTGATGAGTAAAAGAAAACCACCAAAACTAATTTATTTAATATCAGCGGCTCCTGCAAGCCTCAAGCCCGCAGGCAGGCAGGCATGTTCCAGGGGCTAGCAACCTGCTTCCCCACAAACTCTAGCTCTCTCCAATGGTTGTCTCGAAGAAGCTTGCCACCCTTGCTACGGAATACTAGCGGCTTCGATGGGCACGGACCCAACGGGCTACGGATGGAAAGTACTCCGTAGAGACATCGATAACACATGCCAACCAGCAGAATTTTGCTCTTTCCAACCTTAAACGGTTCGGAACAGTGGTGCCATCATCCATCATTATGGAGTACCTAGCTCTGCTCACACAGTTGCCGCGTGTTCTGCGCGCACGGCGGACCGAGCTACCGCAGCTTCAGTTAACCGACGCTTGAAAAAGCACCGCGTCTTGTTGTAGCCCCGAATCACAGCTCATTCGATGGCTGTTGGGGGCTAACAGGCTATGCGCCGGAACTGACTCGCAGCATCCGGATTACGGCGTGGTTCTCTCGCTGGCGCCCCCGTCACGGTGCAGCAGGTCGACGCCCGATGAAGGAAATACCGTCCCTATTTCTTTTTGGCCTTGGGAAAGCGCGGCATCACCTCATGTCGTCCCGTTGCGGGATGAAAAGAAAAGATGCAATACGATGTACATGTAGCAGCATCAGATAACACGCGCAGTCAGGCAAATCAAGGTTTGGGCCGTGTGTCTGGGACCAGGAGACCGCGGCCCAGGAAGCCCGCTCCAGGCCCCATCCTTGAAACCACAGATGCGTCTCCATACTAGTACAGTAGTGTACAGGAGGTACATACCCAGGCTCAGGCTTCCAGGTTGTGCAAGAAGCTGCAAGCTCACATCCAATTCTAGTATCATCCACCTCCCCATCATCGTAGGGGACAAGGCCCCTTTGGCCGGCAGGTTGCTACCTCAACGCGGAGTACATCGGACGGACTGTAGGCGACGGCTTCGTCTAGTCCACACTTATACCCACAAAATGTTTTCGTCCCTCCCCATGGCCGTTTCTGGCTCCAATCGTATTTCCATGATACATAGACAGACAGTATTTTATTGCCTACATCTTCCGGGCCTCTGCCACCGTTCTTTGCTCCCCTCGTTCTTGTTCTTGTCTAATAATCACCAACAGAAAGACACTTGCACACGCCAGCCATAGTGCTGCTTACTGTCTGTTGCTGCCCCTGACCAACACCGTGCACATCTCTCCGGCGCATCACTTGCTTCCTCTGGCAATTGGTGTGTTGATTTGTTTCAAGGGCAAAGACCCAGACCCACCAGAAAACAATGACTCTAGCTCGTAGAAGGCCTCGCGACCCGGACGAGTTCCCTACTATTCAGCTTTTCATCCTCGGTAAGAAGACCCGCCTTGGAGACCGTGCCAAGCCAGCAGCTAAACTTCACTTCCTCCCCGCCAGCTATCGTTCGTCTTGCAGAGCCGATCGCGCTCACATCCATCTTTCCCTATGCCTGGCCCCTTATCAAGCGGTTCAAGATCGGAGACGAAAATGATGCCTCATTCTACGCCGGCCTGCTCGTCTCGTCCTTCGCCCTCGCCGAAGCCCTGATGGGCATGTACTGGGGGGCCTCTCAGACCGAGTCGGCCGCAAGCCCGTCCTTCTGCTAGGATGCGTGGGCACTTTGTTCAGCATGATCATGGTCGGATTCGCGACCAATATCTGGGTAGCGCTCCTTGGACGTGCCATCGGCGGACTGTTGAACGGCAACATTGGCGTCATCCAAACCATGGTCGGCGAGCTGGTAACAAAGTCTGAACACGAACGTAAGTTCTAACCCCCTTTTTATTCACATTGTTCAAATAACAATCCGCTAACTTTGGATCAGCACGCGCATACTCTATCAGTACGTTCAACTCCGAAATCCCCCTGCCCCTTTTTTGTCTTGGCAAAATTCGTGAAATACTAATGCGTCGAAACAGTGCCGTTTGTCTGGAGCATAGGCACTATCATTGGACCTTTTATTGGGGGCACCTTCGCTGACCCCCACGATGCCTTCCCCAACGTTTTCCCCAAGGGGTCTCTATTTGAGATGTATCCATATCTGCTGCCCAACCTCATCTGTGCCGGGTTGCTCCTCGTGAGCATCCTGCTCGGATACTTCCTCTTGGAAGAGACGCACCCGGACATGCAGCCCCGTGTCATGCTGCCTGACGACACGTTCCAATCGGAGAACACGCCGCTGATCGGAACGTCGGATGCCTTGAAGCGGCCGGCCGTTGACCTCCGAGATGACAACTACGGCTCGATGCGGGGCCGAGGCTCGAGTGGCGGCAAAGCCTGGGCCAAGGAGACGGAGAAGCGCCCTACCGGCAGCGTCTTCTCCAAACGAATCATGGCTGTGATTGTCTCTCTCTCCATCTTCACCTACCATTCCATGACCTTCGACCATCTCCTACCGATATTCTTCGAGGACGACAGAGCGCCCCAGGACTCTTTCCACGACGCCGTCAGCCACCCAAGTCCATTTTACTCTCCTGGGGGTCTGGGACTCTCGCTCCAGGCGGTCGGCATGGTAATGGCGGTCCAGGGCGCCATCGCCCTCTTCATGCAGGCAGCCGTATTCCCCATAATGGCCGAGCGATTGGGAGTGTACCGCCTGTTCATTTTCATCACCGTGTTCCACCCGATTGCCTATATCATCGTGCCCTACTTGCTTCAGGTGCCGGAATCGCTCTTATACCCTGCCATCTACGTCATCCTCGCCGTCCGCAACTTCTTCTCTATTCTACTCTACCCACTGCTCCTCATATTCATCAAGGAGGCTACGCCGAGTCCGACAATTCTGGGCAAAGTCAATGGTCTTGCCGCGAGTGCAGGCGCTGCGTTCCGCATGATCGCCCCGCCAATTGCCGGATACCTCTACACCGTGGGCCGGAAGATGGACTGCACGGCTCTAGCGTGGTACGGCAGCGCCATCGTTGCCGTCATTGGCTCGGTCCAATGCTTTTGGGTGATCCGGGACAAGAACCATGAGCGACTATCAAGCGACGATGGTATCCGAAGCACCGCCGCCGAAGAAGCGCCCCTCTTGGCGTGTCCTCCCTGAATATCCTGACCAGGGACGCGAATGACCATCAAACAACACTAATATCGACATTAATCATTGAAACGGAAGCTCGTTAATGGAATTTGGAGGATCCTCCCGAGGATCCCATTGGAGAGAAGGTCACAGCTGAGCAAAGTGACGAAACACGATGAACGAATTGTACAAAACACAATGGACGACATAACATTTGAACACGCGCACAACTCATGGCATTGATGGAGCGAGCAGCAAGTTTATATATTCCTAGGGCATTGTCTGGAGTTCGGGAGCTTTTTGGCGTTGGCTTTTAGACGATTTGTTTTCGTAATACATGAGATATACAGATGGACGGATGGTATTACATATAGAGGTTGGGCGCTGGACAGCGTAGAAGGATATCCATATTAGAAATATACCTACTTAGATATCTTTTGGCACAATAACAACTTCATTACAGAGTAAACATGATTTCCGAAGTTGCCAAATCTGCAACGTGCTCATTGGCACAGTTCGGAATAGGGGGGGGGGGGGAAGCGTAACGGACGAAAGCGATAGAACTCTGTAGACGGGGGTCCAGTTATTGCTACAGTAGGTATCTAAGGTAGGTTTGCACTTTGCAGAAGGCTCCGCAGACGTTGCCCCATCTTGGCCACAACACCAAAGAAACCCAACACCGCCAAAACAGTTTCGAGCGGGTTCCAGTGAACCGCCACGACTAAAATTTGCTCGATAGCTTGTCTTTCAGGTGATTGAGTTTGCGCTCGACCCTCTCTTCTTGGCGGTGGCTCATTCTCTTTGAATAGGAGGACGACCTCGAAAGGCGAGCTATTCCCAAGGGTGAAAATTCGTCGCTTCATCGTTCTCGCTCTCAGCCACATACGGCCAAAAAGGTCGGCCTGAGAAAAAGGAGAACAAAAAGACTGCAAATTCTTCCTGAACTATAGAGAGTAGCAATGGCAGAAAAGATAGAGGAAATCATAAAAGGCATCGCAGAGTCGATGAAACTGGCGGAAAACAGCGACCAGCCTGCCGCCATGCTGCCAGAGCTGTCGCCCGGGCGGGCGCCCTACGCGGGCATGACGCTCGAAGAGACAGTCGCAGAGCTCAAACAGCACCCCATGTTCATGACGGACCTGGACGCCGACAACGTGGGCGACAACCGGGAGCTGGCCGCCATGCAAGCGCTCGCCTTTGACGGTACGCCGCTCGAGAACGCCGCCAACTTCAAGGACCAGGGCAACGAGTGCTTCCGCGGCCGCCGCTGGGCAGACGCAAAGGAGTTCTACACCCAGGGCATTGCCCTCCTCGTTGCCGAGGAGCGCCGCCGCGCGGGTCTGGGCAGCGAGAAGCAGCAGCAGACACAGTCGCCAAAAGAGTCAGAGCCAACACCAGAAAAAGCGTCCCAGGAAGGGCAGGGAAACACAGAAAACGACACCGACTACAACCGCGATGACCCGGACGAGGTGCGCAAGCAGAAGCAGCTGCTGGAGCAGCTGTACGGCAACCGCGCGGCGTGCCACCTGGAGCTGCGCAACTACCGCAGCTGCACTTCGGACTGCGCGGGGGCGCTGCGGCTCAACGCGCGCAACGTCAAGGCGTTGTACCGGTCGGCCAAGGCGCTGGCGGCGGTGGGGCGGGTGGCGGAAGCGGACGATGCGTGCGCGCGGGGGCTAGCCGTGGACCCGGACAACGCGGCGCTGCGGGCGGTAGCGCGGGAGATTGCCGCACAAACCTCGGCGGCGGCGGCGGCGCGGCGGCGCGACGAGGAGCGCGCGGAGCAGGCGCGGCACCGCGAGCGGCTGCGGCGGGCGGCGGTGGCGGCGCGCGGGATCCGCATGCGCACGTCGGGCCCGGGCACCAAGCCGCCCGACATGGAGGATGCGCGCGTGCAGCTGGTGCCGGACCCGAGTGACCCGGCGTCGACGCTGGCGGTGCCGACGCTGCTGCTGTACCCGCTGCACTTCGAGACGGACTTCATCAAGGCGTTCAACGAGACGGAGACGCTGGACCAGCACCTGGCGGGGTATGTGCTGCCGCCGCCGTGGGACCGCGAGGGGCTGTACAGCACGGCGGCGGGCGTCGAGTGCTTCGCCGAGACGGCGGCGGGCGGGCTCGTGCGCGTGGGCCGCAAGGCGCCGCTGCTCAAGCTGCTCGGCGGCGGCGCCGTCGAGATCGTCGACGAGCTGCTGCGCATCTACGTCGTGCCCAAGGCCAAGGCCGACGGCTGGGTCAAGGACTTTAAGGCGAAGAAGGCGGCCGAGAAGGGCGGCGGCTCGGCACCCGTGGCATCTCCGGCGGCATGAACAAGCAAAAAAGGGGGCTGGCACACAAATGAAACCAGAAAAACATGATGTAAAAAACAAAAAAGAAGATAACTTACACATGTTGTTCAATGATACCCTAGGGACACGAGACAAAAATACCTAAGCAACAATGCTAGCCTATGTCTTACTACGAACCGAAATGATGCCGTTGCCTACACAGTGATTTTAAATCTAGAATACCTACCTGTTACCTAAAGTGAAAATAGTGAGATACATACAAGGTAAGGTAGTAGGAGGCATCGGTAGCTTACACATCAGTAGTCTCTTGATGGGCTACACTATCTTGCGGAATCTTTAATGGACCTAGTTGCTTTATTGAGAGGCACAGAAGAATAACAGGAGATGGGAACAGGGAAATGGCAGCAAGAGCTCATACATGTTTAACTTGAAGTCTATTGCGGCAAGTTTAAACTAAATACTATTTCATCACTGTATACGCCGTCTTAGAATACGACTTACTTCTCTCTTCCCCAGTGTTTGACCTAGGCTTAGACGGCGCGGGACGACGGGTTATCGCCGCTGCCATCAGCAGCATGGTCCTGGGCCTCTCTCCTGGCCTTGGCGCCGGCCTTAAGCTTCTCCCAGCGCTCGCGGTACTTGTCAACTGTGCCCTGGAGCTTGTCACGGTCCTTCTCCATGGATGTCATCTGCCGGATGAGGGTGGCGACCTGGTCTTCAAGCTCGCGGATCTGCTTATTCTGTGCCTCTTCTGTGGCCGTCGTCGCCGCCACCACCGGGGATCCCCCGCCGCCGGAAGAAGACGACATGGTCGGCGGCGACCCGGGACGCTGTAGGCGCAGGCTCTGGGCAAGAGCCAGATGCGAGCTCTGCGAGTTCAGCTCAAAGGCATGCAGGCGCTTGCTGAGCTTGTCGAGCATCTCCTTGAGGCTCGCGTTCTCGACGTGGAGCTCCTCGATGACGTTCTGCAGCTCCTTCTCGGTGCGGCTCCTGCCGAGCCGCTTGCGAAAGCTCGGAGATATTGGCATCTGCGATTCGCGGGCGTCTACAAAATCGTCTTCTTCGTGGTCGTCGGCCGCTGCTGCCGCTTTGCCCGCTGCCATGCTAACATCGCTATGAAACGACGCCGCCATCCGCCGCTTCTCCTTGTTCTCGTGGTTGAGAATGCTCGCGTATGTGGCTGTGTGTCCACTGGTGGGCACGACGTAGAAGGAGTCATTGCCGCCATGGCCGTCACGGACTAGTGACTGTAGTATTGAGCGCGAAAATATTTTGGAAATGTCAGGCTCGGGCCCCCGAGATGACCTTTTCTGCACGGGCGGCGGCGGCTCGGGGACTGCAACGGGTTGGCTAGTAGCAGGAGACGTCTCTTCGTAGATTAAAGGGAGCCCGGCATAGGCGAGAGGCGCCGAGAGCCGGTTGATTAGGTTTCCAAAGCTAGTGTAGAACCTAGAAAATCCCTCCTCGGCTGGCGGAGGACTAACTTGGTCGGCTTTTGGAGACTCGTTGGCCGAGGATGTGTCTATCTTGACCCCAGATTGTTGAGTTGGGGGCAACCAGCTGGGCTTTCGAGCATTTTGGTCTGCGGCCTCGGACGGTGCCTTGTTCCTCGACGAGCCCTCCCTCCGGGGATGGACCTCGAGGCTGCCGGGCGCCTGGTCATTCGACACGCTCGGGGTTAGGGGCTGGCCTCGGTATTTGGATTTAATACCCCGGGCGGAGGCGAGGTTGCTGGCAATAGAAGACGAAAGGTCGCGGCCGGGATATCTCCGCTGTTGCGGTAGCAAGGGCACTGGCTTCGCGTGGTTTGGCAGGACTGCAAGTGAAGGCTTGGTCTGCCCCGATGCTTTCGCAGAGCCGTCTTGCTCGCCCGGCTGGCTCTCCTTCTCGTCGCCCTCGGCAATATCGCTATCGGCATTCGAGTGCTGGCTACTGGGTGGCTCGAGCGGCAGTTTTAGGAGCTCGGCCAGCCGCCGGTGGTGCTGCTCGAGCAGGCTGAGTGTTCGCAAGGCCTCGACACTGGTGGTGCCTTTGGCGGCGTTGGCGAATTCGCCGGCAGCAAGTGAATGGTGGTTGATAGCAACAGTAATGTCTGATGTCTGGGTAGCCACCGACGCGGCTCGGGCGTGGTCGTGGGCCTGGACATTAATGATCAGCAACCTACTTTGAAGCGGAGCGATGGCCGCGGGGTCCCCAGTATTCAGCTCAAAGGTCTCCTCCCAATTTTGGAGGGGTTTACCTTGGTCAACGGCGACTCCTCCATCTCTGCGCGAGGTCGAGGCGCATTGCAGACTTCTTTCCCCCGGGGTTGTAGGGCGGTGCGCGTTTGGAAATATGGCTGGTCGGCCTTGGATCCTTTCGAATAGTTTTGCGTGTATCGGAGAAGGCTGGCTTTTGCAACCGGTCCGGGTTAGGTGTTGGACGGAATGCGCAGGGCATCCTGAGGCATGGTAAATTACCTAGTGTTGAGGGGCGGAATTTACGTATTACTATCCACGGATACGGAATAGGCAAGGCCGTAATCGATTGTTTGGGCACCTGGAACACTAGAAATCATTGGGTGGGTTCTTGGGGCCCGTGGGACGCTGGAACCTGGAATTCTTGTGTCGCTGTCGGGGGCCACACGATAAATGGCGGCCCAGACAGCGACACAGACACTCCTCGTAGAACTCCCTGGGAAACTCCAACCTAGATACCTAGGTAAGGTAGGTATACATCAGCTTGCTCTGATATAGTCCGATCTGCACATGACGATCTGGGGCACACGGGGTGAGAGTCTTTTGTTACTTGCAGGTCAGACTGTAGTCCGTACTGCAAGTGCATTATTATGCTTCGTAACTGCCTGCGGCAAGGTACATCCTGTATCCTGTACGTATCCGTATTGGTAACTTACCTTAGGTCCTCGTCTCCTCCCGTCAGTGACACGGCCCGGGCTGGAAAGAGGGCACCAACGCTCTGACTAACGCCGCTGATGCCTGTGGCAGCCTTTCGACACCTCGTGGCAGCACACCTTGAAGGCTCAAACATTGAAACAGCCAAGAGTCAAAGACAGCCCGCCCCACCGGTGCCAACCGCGGCCAGTTCGCATAACAGCGTTGGATTGGACGGGGAAGCTCTGAGAGCGAGTTTAAGGGAGGCCATCCATCGTCACCCAATATCTCGCGTGTTTCCCGTCGCTCAAACTCACTTCTTCTTCACCTGTAAACTAAATTGTGTCTTTTCAACCTAACAGCTACATCGCTCCTCATTGCCGTCGCTGGCCGACTGGGGTCGAAAACCGGTGGGCCATCTTTGTCGCGGCTTGGCAGACTGGAGGAAACGACGATGTCATCATAACTTGTTTGCAGCCACCCCAATCACAAACCCCTTTTCGGCCTTTACCCTGCTCAATCAATTCGCGCTCATTCTGCCGCGCCGACTAGTCGTCGGTGTCCCGACATCACAGCTTGATTCATCAGCGATCTTGGCACCTGTCGAGTCCAGCGCCCGTCATGGACGCAGCATCAAACGGGCTTGGAAAGCTATTGCCTAAGGGCATCACAGCCAAACGTCGGCGTCACAAGGCCTCGTCCATCAGCAGCAGCAACGATGATGGGGCACGAAGCGCTCCTGTCAGCCGCACCACGACAAACAGCGGGGCTTCTTTAACCGACTTTGACAATAATAATAATCACAAACAGCACCAGCAGGGCGGCGACAGCAACAACGCCAGCAACAGCGGGCACGACGAGCACAACGACGGCGTCCCGTACGACTCAGACCCTGATTCGTGAGTATTTTGTGTATTTTCTTATTCGCTGTGTCACCCCGGCTCCTCTTCCCATCTTTTCCAGGTAGCCTTGTCTTCCGTTCGTCTTGGCCCGGACGGGCAGCCGAGAGGTGGAGGACAAGAATCCTGCCTTGAGGCTGTGGGAAGGTGAGGCGAGGCGTTGCTGGCCTGCAGTGCAGCTGCAGTGCAGGGCAGTGCGTGGCGTGGGCGAGTCGCTGAACGGGATTCGGACTCGTCGTGTCAGCCCGCGTCCGTCTTCCAGTTCATCAATTAGGGGGTTTGGCGGTCCAAGCACAGTGGAGCTGCAGTGCCCTGGCGGCTGACATGCCCTGGGCTGCGCCTCCCCCAGGCTGCGTTTCTCCTCAACCAGCGTTGGCCGCATCATCAACCTCACCCGTCCACGTCGGAAGCCGCGTAAATAATCCAATTACCCCCCACTCGTCCTTTTGCGCTCGTTACTGTTCTTCTATGACCCCTTTGAGATTTCTTGAGCCCTCCTCTTCACCATAGTCGTTGCCGTCGCCGGCTGATGTCGAGTTTCAACTCGGAGCGCTTCCAACCGACGAATCCGCTTTCTTAACTAACAAAGCTCAATACCTAGGCCTGTGAGCCGCCCCGCCTTTGTTTCACCACACCCATCCCACGTCGGTTACCTAACCACGTCGTCACCGCTCGTGCAGGCAGCCCATAACCCCGAGCCGCAGCCTCAGTCGCAGTCGCAGTCGCAATCACAGTCGCAGCCGAATTCCCAGCCGCAGACCCAGTCGCAGTCGCAGCCCTTTGGCAACCAGACGATAGTGTCGGCGCGCTCGTCGACCTTTTCGCACGCTAGCGTCGACAGCACCGACTCGGCCGCGTCGTCGCTCAAGCGCAGCGAATCGCTCGCCGCCCCCCACCAGCTGTCAAAGAAGCCCTCAACAAGCGGCCGCCTCCGCGACGTCTTCCGGTCTAAGAAGCCGCTTTCCGAGAAGTCGGACAAGTTCGAGACCGACGACCGAAGCCCCCTAGTATCTGCCGCTGATCAGCCGGCCGGCTCTGTGCCAAGCATTCCGCCGCTCGACCCCGAGCCTCCCAAGGCTGTTGCAACCCCGGCACAGGTCCAGCAGAACCGTCGGCTCTCGCGCGGACAAAAAGTACCTTCTATAAAGCCCCCGGTGACGCCGCCCTCGGCTTCGACTGGCGCGGCCACCCCCGTAATCGTCAACACCCCTCCCACCCCGACCGACCCTGTGATTCCCACTCCCGGCCGCGCCGTTACGGCCAGCCCACGGGGCACCCCTGATGCATCCCCGGGGAACATGATCAGCCAACGGAGAAGCAGGGCCGGCTCCGGCTCCATCGGGCCTAGCAAACTGTCCACTATAACCCCCGCGCCATTGACGCCTACCCCCGAGAACGGACCGGCCACGCCAGGCAACCCAGCCGCTACCTTCTTTTCTTCCATGTTCTCGGCCGTCCAGAACACGGCCAACTCACTCTCCAACACGATCCAGAACTCGGCCATAGCCCAGAACGCCAATAAGAACCACCCGGCGAACAGTTCGGCGATCCACACCCCGGTCAAGGAGCGCCAAGAGAGGGAAGACAACGTCGAGGTTGAATCATCGTCCGAGGCCCAACCCGACCAGTCAATGGACTCCAAGGAGCCCGCGGTCAAAACACTTGGCATGGGAGATCTGAGCCTCAGCCAGCTAGGAATTCTAGACACGGCAAACCACGCCGCGACCCCCGTCTCGGCCCGGTTTGCCGAGTCCGAGTCTCGCGCCAGGTCTGAATCGGCCCCTATCGATGCTCACACCACCGGCACTAGTGTCTACGAAGACCTTGTCGGCCGGCCGCGGTCACTCTATGAGACAGCTTTGGCCGGGGCCTCCGCCACAGGCGAGCGCACGCCTCCGGCTGGCAGTGTTTACGAGGGCAAGACAGAGATTCACCGAAGCGGCAGCATACGCAGCGTCGTGGAGAGGAGGAGGCACCGAGGCAGCAGCGCCGCTACTGGTGGGACTATTGCCGCCGCTATTGCCGCCGCCAACTCGTCATTTGCCAATCCAGCTGCTGTAGCCATGGCGCCGAAACTCACCGGCTTCGCCGTCGCCACCAAGCGACGGAATCGCGACTTTCACAGCCTCTTCAAGAGCGTCCCAGATGACGATTATCTCATTGAAGATTACAGCTGCGCGCTTCAGAGAGAGATTCTCGCCCACGGCAGACTCTACATATCCGAGGGCCATCTGTGCTTCAGCAGCAATATTCTAGGCTGGGTTACGACGCTGGTCATGAGCTTTGACGAAATTGTGTCGGTCGAGAAGCGCAGCACCGCTCTGGTGTTCAAGAACGGCCTCGAGATATCTACTCTTCACGCAAAGCACATATTTGCCTCGTTCGCCAGCCGGGATACCACCTATGACTTGATCATCAAAATCTGGAAGCTCGGCCACCCTCATTTGCAGAGCTCGCTGAATGGCGTTCGCCTCGAGGAGCCTGGGGGTGACAGGACTGAGAAGATCGAGACCGAGTCCGTCTCTGCCGTGAACGATAACGACCACAGCGTTTCTGGATCTGACGCTGAGAGCGAGGTTCGTGATGATGACGATGACGTCTACGACGAGGACGAGGACGGAGACGACGGCCAAGAAGCATCTCAGGCGACTGAAGCTCAGGCTACGGAGCCTTTCCCTGGGGAGAGGACGGTTACGCGCAAGGCCTCTGCGGCGGTCGGTCCCGCTGCGGCCGAGAAGGTAGACGAGAGCGCTCCGTCTGGGGCTGGTGTTGATTTCCCTGGGCCTGCTGTTCACGCACCTACCGAGTGTGGCGATGCGGCAACCCACTATGACAAAATTCTGGGCGACGACGTTGTGCCCGCGCCTCTGGGCAAGGTTTATAGCCTCCTCTTTGGCCCTGCCTCGGCTGCCTGGATGGGCAAGTGGCTCACTGTAGAACAAAAGTGCACGGATCTTCAGATGGAAGACAAGAGAGCGCTCTCCGATGAAAACAAGACTCGCAGCTTTTCCTATATCAAACCGCTCACGGGCTCTATTGGGCCGAGGCAAACAAAGTGCATGGTAACGGAGCAGATAGACCACTTTGATCTCGAAAAGGCCGTCAACGTAACTGTCAGCACCCAAAACCCCGACGTCCCAAGCGGCAATATCTTTGTCGTCAAGACCAAGTACTGTCTCTCATGGGCCGAGGGTAATGCGACTCGCGTCCAGGTCAATTGCACGATTGAATGGTCCGGCAAGAGCTGGCTCAAAGGTATGCCGGCCCTCCCGCTCCACTCCACTAACTTGGATATGTTCCTGGCTGACTGATATCCGCAGGCGCAATTGAGAGAGGCGCGAACGATGGCCAGACACAGTACTGTAAAGACATATTCGTCGCGTTGAAGGCGGCCGTTTCCTCCCGCCCTCGATCCGGGACAGTTACCAACGGTGCGGCACCAAAGATTAAGAAACGCGGCCGCAAGAGCAAGTCGGCTCTAGCGTCAAATCCAGCAAGCGATGTCGAGGGCGTCTCGAAGACATCGGCCCAGCAGGGCTGGGGCTTGTTTGAGCCTCTCCATCCCCTGTTTGGCCCCGTTGTGGACACCTTCAGACCTATTGTCACGGGCAACGTAGTTTACGGGCTGCTCGTCGGACTCCTAGTAGCCTCGTGGTTCGGCTTCGGCGCCAACCGCCAGGCTGTGGCGCCTTACGGCCGAGACATGGGTTACGTCGGCTATCCACAACGGCTCGCCGCGTACGAGGAGATGTGGAGGAAAGAAGAGAGCGATCTTTGGGACTGGATAGAAGAGCGAGCCGGCCTAGACCGCCTAGGAGAGCCCCGCGTGCAGCCGAGAAAACGGGTTGTTGAGCCCAGGACGGTGGAGGAGAAGCTTCGCGAGGCCAAGATGGACGAGCGCGAGATCAAGGAAGCCCTGCGGGTCACCGAGGAGCACCTGCAGGTTCTCAAGTCAGTTGTTAACAACAAGAAGGTGCCGCCAGCTACGTGAATGGCAACCCTGGATGGACTCATCCAAGCCATTCAGCCATAACCGTTATTAGTCTTTGTCTTGTCTCCGCTCGAGTTTGTTTCTACTCTTCCCACCCATATATCATATTACTTACAGTAGGAAGCAGGCGTCCGGATTAGTCATGGCGATTCCTATATTAGGAACGGAATAGTAAAAGTAGTTTTTTATTTAATGCATTTTCTGTGATAGACATATTTGTAGTAGTTTGTTCACATTTACCCGCTAATGGATCTATTTCATCCATAACCCTTGGGGGAAAATATCGACTCTTGTTCGGTTCCGAGTGCCCCTGTCTAGTGTTGAACCAAACCATGACCCTGTCCCATCCACCCCCTTCTTGCGAGGGAGACTTTTAGCTCGACGTTGCCTAACCCAGGGCGTGATGGCCATCTATATTGCTTTTTCCGCTTCAGATCCCTTTCTTTTCCCACCAGACCTTGCAGTTCCGACATGCACCGCCCCTTCTTTTTATATTTACAGTTAGATGTTATTTCGCTAGGTAGCTATAGCAACCCCGATCAATATTTGGCTCTTATATCATAGATATAGTAGGTGAGTATCGTTGTATATCGCCACTTGGTGACATGCATATGTGTTGAAGACGAAAGAAAACGAAAAAGTGGGCTGCTTATGGTTCATATAACCCCAACCACCACCCCCTACGTCTTCTACCTCGGGAAAGCGGCGGGGGAACCAGGCTGAGGCGCATCAGTACCGCCAGATGGCATCGGCCATGGCGACGACCTGGGCCATCTCGCGCACGTCGTGGACGCGCACGACGTCGGCGCCGCCCTGAACGGCGGCGGCAACGGTGGCAGCGGTGCCCCATATGCGCTCCTGCGGCGTGGGCACGCCCGTGACGCGGCCTATGAAGCTCTTGCGGCTGGAGCCGACGAGCCACGGTAGGCCCTGCAGGCCCGGCCAGTGCCGGAGCTCGTCGAGGTGGCGCAGGACGTCCACGTTCTGCGGGCCGAGCTTGGCGAAGCCCAAGCCCGGGTCCAGCACGATTCGCCAGCGGCGCACGCCCGCGGCCTCGGCAGCGGCGACTCGCGCCACTAGCTCGCGTGCAATGCCTGCGATCAGCCCGCCCTGCTCGGGCAGGTAAGACGCTAGCGAGTTCATAGTCGCCGGCGTGCCGCGCATGTGCATCAGGCAGATGGTGGTGCCGAGCTGCGCCGCCGTCGGCAGCATGTCGGGGTCCATGGAGCCGCCCGATACGTCGTTGACGATGTCGGCGCCCGCAGCGACGGCAGCGGCTGCCACAGACGCGCGGTACGTGTCGACGCTGATGAGCACGGGCCGCTCGGCAAAGTGGCGCCGGATCAGGCGCACAGCGGGCAGGACGCGCGCAAGCTCCTCTTCGGCCGAAACCTCGGGCGCGTTCGGCGCCGTCGACTGTCCGCCGATGTCGATCATGGTGGCGCCGGCGTCGAGGAAGGCGGTGATGGTCGACAGGAGGGCGGATTCATCCACCGCGACGTGCTGCCCCCCGTCCGAGAAAGAGTCGGGCGTCATGTTGAGGATGGCCATGACGTGCGTCTTGCGCGACGGTTTGAGCGCCTGAATCGGCGGGTGGTGTGCAGAGAGCGGCGTCATGGTGGTCAGCGCCGGATCGGCCACCGGCGCAAGTGCGTCCAGGTAGTCCCGGGTTAGCGTCCAGGGCCGGGTGTGGTCAATGGGCTTGTCGGGGATGAGCCTAGCGCAAGCGGGCGGAAAAGGGGTGCCGTTGGTTAGCCGGGAATAGGGGTATGGGGGCAAGCTAGACCAGTGACAACAGACTTATGCATGCGGTGTGGCTGCACTTACTCGGCCAGGGGCTTTAGGACAAACTCGCGCTCGGCAATACCAATGTGAGGAATTTTGAGACGGTCATGGTCGACACTGAGGTTCTCGTAAAGGAGAATGTCCAGGTCGATGTTGCGGGGCCCCTTGTCGATGACCTTCTTGCGGCCCAGAGAATTCTCAATGTCCTGCAGGGCGTCCAGGAGGGCCAGAGGCTCGAGGGTGGTCTCAACCTACAACAGCCATTGTGTTGGAAGGCGTCTACGGGATAAGGCAATCGGCACAGCGGAGGGGAGGACAGAACGTACCTCGCAGGCCCCATTGATGAATCTATCCTGGTCTAGCACGTACATGGGCTCCGTCTCCCACAGGGAGCTGGTCCGGGTGACCTTGATGCCGCGGGCGTCCATCTCGCTACAGGCTTTCTCGATCCAAGTGATGCGGTCGCCCATGTTGCTGCCCAGAGCGATATAGGCAGTGTGCTTGCGCGGCGTGGCCAATGCCGTCACCGCGCCCGCCGTCGTTTCTTCGCGAGCACCAGCCATGGTGGTTTCTGCGCTTGCAGACGGGGTATAATTATTACGGGCGCCCTTGGGCGGGAGCGAGTATCTCTTGAAGGAGAGCGAGTCCGCCGAGTCAGCAGCGTCGCGTCGCGTTGAGAGCGAAAAAGGCCTGTAGCTTAGCACCAGCAGGCGCTGGGCGAAGACAACACGGGCATGTCTGGAGGACGCTGAAAACACGTTTTGCTGGATCAATGGCCTGATCGAGACGGGTTGAAAGCGTCCCATGGTTTGGACATGGCCGGCAGCCTTTTTTTTTTTAACTGTCAGGTCCTTCCAGATTCAATCGCTGGTGGATAGCGATGCGGGAATTGGAGAATGGCACAGAACCCCCCCACTGAGATCGACTGAAGTACAGGGTTAGGGCTGGATGAGATCGACAGAAGCAACATGGGATGTGCTGCAGCCACCTGCAGTGACGTTTTCCGGGCGTCCCTCAATGGCGCCTTCCTCTTATAAGCCTTAGCTTAGTGGTTGCTTTCAACGTGCGCGTCGCAGTTTACCGTCTCTAGGAGAAACTTTAAACCTTTTGGAATAGGTAAGGTACCTTGGGTTAGGTAGTATGTAGATCGGGTTCCCCGACCATCAGACCCCTTTGAGCTTGTAATACGCGCAACTGGACACCTTTCGACTCATGCCTCCAAGTTCCATACCCCTAGTCAGTGCGATCGCTCAGATGAAGATCATGGGGTCACCTTGCCTCGGCTCAAGGCGTGCCCCTCCACATCCTCCATAGCCTGTCCAACGCGGCGGCATTGCCCCAACGCAGTCTAGCGTTGAGAACCCCCCGGTCATGGACTGCCTCGGCACATGCGCCCCCCATTGTCAAGTGAGCGCCCCGGGTTTTGGTTACCGAGTGATGTAGTTGGAGGTTTCCCCATATCTTGGTTGACGGCCAGCGCCTCTTATCTACGCAACATCTTAACTTTTCTTTCCCATAGCAAGCGTATTCTGTCTCTTGAATTTTGAAGGAAGAGTTACTCCCAATTCACCGCCATTATGTCTTCTCCTCGTGAGTATTCAGTCCTGACCTCCGCTCTCTTGACAGCGCAATGTCGCCAGTCGCAATCCGTCTTGCCTGTTTGCCTAAGCTGACAGCCTGTCCGTTGCAGAGAAAATCCGGACTCCCTTGACCGATGTCTTCAAGATCAACCACCCCGTCATGCTTGCCGGCATGAACGTGGCGGCTGGCCCCAAGCTGGCCGCTGCCGTAACCAATGCCGGCGGCATTGGCGTGCTCGGCGGCATCAACTACACTCCCGAAATGCTCCGCGACCAGATCGACGAGCTGAAGGAGCACCTGACGGACAAGAAGGCTCCCTTTGGTGTCGACCTCCTCCTACCCCAGGTTGGCGGCAATGCGCGGAAAACAAAGTACGTTCGATATCACTGTCAAGCACACCACCCTTGAACAGCAGATAAGAGAGGGCCAGGGAAGACCCCAGAGCTAACCACCCAATCGCTATGCAGTTACGACTACACCAAGGGCAAGCTCAACGAGCTCGTCGACATTATCATCGAGTCGGGCGCCAAGCTCTTTGTGTCGGCCGTCGGCGTACCCCCCAAGCACGTGGTCGAGAGATTTCACAAGGCGGGCATCCTGTACATGAACATGATTGGGCACCCCAAGCACGTCAAGAAGTGCCTGGACCTGGGTTGCGATATCATCTGCGCCCAGGGCGGTGAGGGCGGCGGTCACACTGGCGACGTGCCGACAACGGTGCTGATCCCGGCTGTGGTGGAGCTGTGCAAGAACGCCAAGTCGCCGCTGACGGGCAAGCCCGTGCAGGTGGTGGCGGCTGGTGGTATCCACAACGGTCAGCTGCTGGCGGCGGCGCTCATGATGGGCGCCACGGGCGTGTGGGTCGGCACTCGCTTCGTGCTGTCCGAGGAGGCGGGCGCCTCCGAGTCGCACAAGGAGGCCGTGCGCACTGCCGGCTTCGACGACACGATCCGCACACTCATCTTCACGGGCCGCCCCCTGCGCGTGCGCAAGAACCCGTACATTGTGAACTGGGAGACGGAGCGCCAGCAGGAGATCCGCGAGCTCACCTCGCAGGGCAAGCTGCCTTACGAGGCCGACCTCGACAAGGTCATGTCGGGCGAGATGGAGCCGTCGGCTGCCACCAAGGTCGCCGGCAGCCTCAACGAAACTAACAACGCTCCCGCCGAGGAGGAGGACGTCGACGACCTGCTCGACCAGTTCCGCCCTTACCTGATGGGCAAGTGCGCCGCCGTCTGCAACGATAAGAAGACGGCCAAGGAGATTGTCGACGAGTTTGTTGATGACGCGGCCGCCTGGATTAAGACGGGGAATTCCTACGTCCTCAAGACGGCTGCCAAGTTGTAGAAAATTGGGGGGGGTACATTGAGAAAACTTCGGGTGTTATCAGAAGTGGTTCCGAAATCGGCCAACCGCAACGTATCCATGCCGACTGGGAACAGTGAATAGCATCAAGGCCAGCTCCCAAGGAAGCGTCCTCGCCTCACGGCCCACCGGCAAATAATGGAGAAGAGGTGAAGAGGCCACGTACGGCAGGCGTCGAGGGGATGTGCATCCGTTGTGTGCACTGTACTGATATTATCGCATATACTTAAACATTTTACTGGTTTTTTTCCCCATGTAATGAAATGAAGCCATGGAACTTTTACTATTTTGCTGTACACGTGTGGGATAAGAGACAACGCACGCTATTTTCAGTCCTTGTGGAAAGAAAAGCAACATCCTGACACTCATGCCGCCTTCTTAGAGCAATATCGTCACCCTAAACTATCACATACGACCATACCTAGCTAAAAACTCGGGATCCCGTCCGCTCTCCCCTAAATAAACAACCAAGGGCCAGACCAGTAGTTGGGTCGGTGACGACCAGCGAACCCCTGGTGTTTTATGTTTTTTTTTTTTTGGGGGGGGGGGGGGTTTCTAGCTACCTAGTGTGCATAGTAGATCCTCAGCCGGCTGAGCTGGCATGGACGGTTGCTCTTGGGCTGATTCAAGTTTTGCTGATCATTAAACAAGCAAAGTGGTTGGGTCTCTGGGTAATATTCTTCCTACCAGGTAATCTTATTCAAGATGTAGCTGTGTGGTTGTGGTTGGACAGTTGTAGTTGGCGGTGTGTCCTGATCTCTATATATACCTAGGTAAGTACATACAAGTTTGTTTCTTCTGCTGACCCCTAGCAAGACCTAAACCAGGCATGATTCTCAAGTCGCGAGCAAACTGATGGACTAGCTAGGGTAATTAAAAGTGGCTTTTCATAGCTCTCTATTCGCAACGTCTCCGAAACCAGCGGGATTTTCCTCTAAGTGTGCACGTCCATTCGTTTGGTTTTGGCATGATTAAACGATCTGGCAATCTAGGGGAGTGAGAATCATTCACACGAGGATTGCTTTGAGTTTTCTTGTTCATGTTTCACTGTGGTGATTCACGGATTTGATATGCCTTTTTGGCCGCTTCCATGCAAGAATCGGGACAAGTTACCTAGGCGGGCAGGTTGGGTGTTTAGACTAATTGGGAGTCTATCTTTTGTCCCATTTGTGTCTCAAGATCGATATTGTTGTGTCCAATTTCCTCTTTACTCAACATGGATTTACATGTATTCGTGGTATATAGCAAATAACACGTATGTGGTATAAAAGGGTGGCTAGCTCCGGGCGGAAAAGGACTGTTTTCTTGAACGCTTGCAACAAAGAACGGACGATGCTTGGCTGGCTACAGCCTGGCGGGTCTTGTTACAGAATGTTCTCGGATGGAGCACAACGTAAGGCAAACATGGCTTTTGTTTTCTTCTCCGCAGGGGTTCATAGACACCGGGTTACTGCGGAGGGATTCCGCCACTTGTTACTCTAAACAGATATTGGTAGACGACATTGCAAGGCAAAGTGTATTATTGCTTCTGCTCGCCTAGTAAGGCTTGGGCGCGCGTGTTAAAATGCGTCGGGCCGGCAATCGGGCGGCCGACCCGGTCCGGCCGCGCCATCTTGCAATCCCGAACAAGGATTGTTTGAGGTGGCGACACGGACGGCCCGGGCTGCAATATGTGGGTGCGGGGGTTTCTTTGGTTTCTTTACACCATTTTGCTTGCTTGGCTAAATCCTGAGCGCTTTGCTTTGCTTTTCTTGTCCTGCCCCGGGGGGGGGGGGAGGGGAGCCGGGAAGGCGAGAAAAGGGGGCAGCGGGAAGCGGGAAAAGAAACAATAAGAGAAAGCATGGACTTGTAATGTAGGTACACACATGACGTGAAATGTGATTTTTATTCTCCTATCAGCATTGGCTTCCAATATTCATTCTCTGTCTCTACCCTGTTGCAAGTACCGAGGCCGTAGTCGGCCCTGTCAACGCCGTCCCTGGTAAGCGAAACGGCGCAGCCGCAGCCAACCCAAGCCACGGCCGTCCGCATCTTGAAAAGGTGAAGCACTTGGGAAAAACACCAGACGACAACCAAGATCGAGTCTCCCCACCGACCTATATAGCTTTGCGATATCCTACAGACTACTCGATGCGGAATAGATATATTTACTCTGCTCTGACCTCGACAGCCGTGTTTCCTGCCCGCCAAGACTAGCCCTCTTGCTTATAGATTCTCCGTATTTCGTCGGGCAATGCAGCCTGTACTGCCCCATTAAATGGCCGCCGCAGCCTGCCGAGACGGCCATGTACCCGCGAGTGTATGTGTGTGAGACGGGGAAAAGGTACGGCTAGTGTTCTAAACGCGGGAGGCCATGGGGTCTCGACCCACACTCCGACCATGTGGCCCTATTTCTGTTGTGCTTCAGAAAAGCCTCTCTCGAACAACTTTGAAAGATATACCCACTTGGCAGGCCGGCGTTCCATAGTCAGCAGTTTTACTATAGCAAGCCATGTGTAGTTTACCTCAGCCCAGCTCCGCTACGGAGTTCGGACTACCCCTTTCGACTTCAATCCGTCTGAAGTCAGGGCAGCAGAAGTTAAACCGACTAGGGACCTGGCCATGGACAATGCCGCGAGGCGGCCTATTGCGGCCATGGCTATCATCCACCTTCAGTTTCGGCAACTTCTGCAGTGTGCATGTTGCCAATCCCCCCCTGTTCTCCGATCTCTCTCACCTCAGCCCTCCAGCTCGGCCCATACAGACGCCCTGGGCGAGTTATATATATTTGACGAGGTCCAGTGGCCCACTGATTGTGTGTCCCCCCTCCTTGCTCATGCCCTTCTCTGCGACCACGTGGATATATCACTAATCTCGTCTTCTCGATATCCGACCCTTCCTATCTGGCAGTGCTAAGAGAATAGCTTTGCGTATCGTATTCCTCTCTCTACCTTCCAACACCCCACCGCTGGTTCTTCGCACACGGAACCAAGGTGTGTTTTCCTAGCTCACACAAAGTAGAGGAACGTCTCCCGAGACGGGGAAAGCTCCATCGAACAATAAAACGAGCGACACCATGGGACTTTCCGACGTGATTGTGATCTGCACGGACCTAGTAGCAGCCTTCCTTTTGATTTTGGCTGTCTTTGCCACTCTAGTTTCGAAGGTAGGGAAGGACATATTTATAGTCAACGTAAGTCGGGACGACCCATTCGAATGCAGATACTTGCTTCTGTGCTAAAACACAATCTTGCAGCTTAACCTGTCCAAGCTCCAGCTTGTGCCAGATGTTAAAAAAATCGACAAGGTCAATTTAAAGAGACAATTCGGCGGCCTTCCCATTTCGTTGCCAGCGCCAGACCAGATTGTCAAGACGGCAACAGACGGAGCCAACACTGTTGCCGACGGGGCCAAGGGCGCGGCGGAGACGGTAGCCAATGCCGGCATCGATCTCGCCAACACGGTTACTGGCGCAGCCACCGGCCTAGCCAACGGAGCGGTAGACGCTCTGCGGAAGCAGCTCGGGATCAAAGACTACTACGCCGTCACTATCACATCGCTCTGCCAGGGCAACGTGGAAAACGACCAACCCACAGATGTGACGTGCTCCAAGCCTTTCACGGCAGGTGAGTAAAGACAAGCCGCGGACTTCCCCAGAAACCATTGCTTTTGCTCTTACTGACAGCGGGCGTGTTGGCTTGTTCTAGACGCAGTCCAAAACCTCGTGGATAGTATTGGCAAGCTCCCACAACCGATTGTCGACCTCTTGCCAATGGATAAATTGAAACAGGTCCCGAAAGTTCTCAGCGTAGGGGGAGGGTTTTTCGTGGTCATGGCCGGGATGTTCCTCCTCTCTGCCGTGCTGTTCGTCTCGACACCGCACCTCAGGAATGACGATGTTCGCAGAATTGTTTCGGCGGTCAACAAATTCATCCTGGGGCTTTTACTTGCGTTCAATATTGCCATGAACGGATTGCTCGGGTATTTCAGCTTTATTATCACTCAGAAGATCAATGACAAAGGAGATCAAATCCACGTCACCACGAAAGCCAACTATGTCCTATGGTCCCTCACGTTCGTCGTGCTGGTCTTGAACTTTATCTCCTTCGGCATGGCGTTTCGTCGCTCCGACCAAGTCAGGCCCGGATCAGGCGGCACCGAAAACGGGCTGGTTGGTTCAAAGTCCGAGACGGACACTTAGGTACAACAATTATAAAAGAAAAAGAAGAGCAGTGAAGCGGTTTCTGGCTACGACGGAGCTGGGTGAAGAAAAAAAAATCCCGGATGGGAGAGGCAGCACTAATACAGTCCTTGCGCCGGCGCAATAATCCATTTCTCTTTTGCTAGTATCACGAACCCTCCATACCAGAGGCGGGCAGTACAGTTATCTCTGCACTATCTCTTCTTCGGCGGTGAGAAGCACTAGCGTTGGAACTGGCGTTCCGTAAAAGATCCTTTAAAATCTCTCGAGACAAACTCGCTCCCTTCGATTATTTTCCTCCAGCAAAGGCAGGAAATCGACGAGGTGGGGGCAAATTCATAGATATTTCACTCTCTTTATGTTATTCTTTTTTTTTCGTCGGGTTTTGTACGGGTTTTATAAGGTTCGGAATTTTGATACCTCGGCATGGGACGATATCTGAAGGATGGAAAACAAGAGGGGACGGAAAGAAATACTACTGGGTCCTCAACTTGACAATGTGGGTAGCCGTGTAACTACAGCTACATAGTAGTTCTGATAGAAGATAACGTTAATGTGTGCGCAAACTTTTATTAAGAATGGAAGGATTGGAGATGAAATTGCATCTTGTTGTCATCAAACACACTAGTCAAAGGTTGGGCATATCCGTATTTTGTTGCCAAATGAGAGAGAGTGAAACGCTGCCGTTCGTTTCGTAAGCAGTGCCGAATTGCCAAGCAAATGCCCGGTAGGTAGTTTGCTTCAGGCACGTGGCCTGGACCGCCTACAACAGCCTGCGAAATGGCAGTCAAATGGATGACGTCGTCCGCTGCCAGGGAATAAAGCCTGCCCTCTTGCCACTAATCCGTTTATGGTCAACCGCCAACCACCCACGGCCGCGACACAGGCCTGCTTCAAGCCTTCAGGAATGAGGCAGGCAGGATCAGTGGCCAGCGTCGCGGACCCGCCGCCTGCCGCTTGTTCTTTTATCCATTCGCAGGTTCCCCCAGATCATGATCTCGTGGGGAAATCTATCAGCGAGCATTTCACTTACCTACTTCCTAATCAATTATTTTTAGCACGTATCTAAACTGCACTGTAATCCCTATATCGCCGTTACGGGTTGAGCTTCTGCTGCGTGCACACGCGTGATTTGTGTAGCCCGCCGCCACACTAAAAACCTCACCCCAACGCCAGAGTAACAAGCACACACCCACTCCTCTCTCCCCATCCATTCCCCTGCTTAACAATGCCTCCCCGGCTTGGCAACAATGGCTACGAAGACGACGACGACCAGGACCTGCTCGACGAGGGCCGGCGTAGGGCAAGTCGGATCCTGTCTGGCTTCATCGACTTTGCCTTCCAAGGCAACGTGCTCGAGATTGCCTTTGGTTTGATGTAAGTCCAAGTCGTATCCATTAGCCGCCGGCAAAGGGGGCTGGATACAAGTCGCGACTACTAACTCCGCCTCCCCGGCTCGGAAATAAAACAGTCTGGCCTCCATGTTCACGGCTGTTGTCACGTCGCTGGTCAGCGACATTCTGCTGCCGCCCATCTCGGTCATCCTGCCGCTGAACAAGAACTTGGAGGAAAAGTTCGCTGTCCTGCAGGCGGGACCCAACCATGACCCTGACACGGGCTACAACACGCTGAAGCAGGCCCAGGAGGACGGCGCCGTCGTCATGGCGTACGGGTGAGCTAGGAGAGATGACTGCCCCGGAGTTTGCGGGGGCACCGAACTGACTATCTTGCCTGCCTAGATACTTCCTCAACAGGCTCGTTAACTTCGTGGGCGTTGGGTTTTCTCTGTACGGGCTCGCCTCGATCTACCAGTGCTTTTCCAAGGACCCGATAATTAAGCATACGGTTAAGTGCAAGTACTGCCGGAAGCGGATTAATGAGAAGGTAACTTTCGACGACAGCTCCTAGTGAGAACGGACTTATGATAGCTAATACCGAGTCAATAGTCTACGCGGTGCATCAACTGTACCAGTTGGCAAGACGGAAGAGAGGACAGGCCCTACGGCCGTTAGTAGTTGGCACTCCGTGGTGCCTCATATTGCATGGACTGGACCGTACCAAGCCTGCGACGGCGAAGAGCTTCGAAGCTACCGTCCGGGCCTGGAAGGAGATGAGGGGACGTCGTTGGTTTTTCGCACTGGGCGCACAAATAGGATACCCAGGTTGCATCATTCGACATCAGTTTATTGAGACGTATTTATAGGCCCATCGATGTCGAGGCCAGACTCGCTCACATGAACATGACACCGCCCATGGCCGCGACGGCAACACCTGCAAGTACGGCGTTTTGCGTCTGCCGGGGCACACCGTTCGTCTTGGTCGCTAGCTTCTCCAAGCCCGCTGTTATGGTCACAGGTTCCAGGAAGGACGTGTACTGCTCAAGCGTGGAAACCCCAGCTGTCGATAGCGAGCCAATAGCATAGGTGAAGGTGCACTGTGCTTCTCCCGCCTTCAACTGGCACGCTATGTCCTGGGCCGTCTTTTCCAAATCACCACTATTTTTTGGGGACTGTTAGCCCACCGCCTCTCCCTCGGCTACCTTCCATGCCAGTGCATATAGTCTTGGGTGTTGCGTGAACTTTAAGCAAATATGCAGGGGAATAACGTACGATGCTTCGAGGGTGATATGGACCTCGACGATTGAAGGGCCATGGATGAGGTTGTAGCCCGCCGAGCAGAGATTGGCTTCTACGTCTGTCGGGCAGGGGATGAAAAAGGTCGTCACCGTCGGGTTGGCGCTCACCACCGACGCCTGGATGGTTGGGCCGTAGTAGGCCGGCATCAAGAGGTCGAAGACGCTCTGGGTGCCCGTGGCTGTAGCAGCAGTCGTCGTCGCGGTGGTCTGGGCGACGCCCATGGCGGCGAACCCGGCGAGGGCGAGTGACTGGCAGAGTCTAAAGGCCATTTTGCCCTTCGAATGTTTTATTTACTCGGTGAATGATGTACTGGATCGATCTGTATCTAGACACCTGGATCTTTGTGTAACCCCGGGTGTGGCTTGCAGGGGATCGGCGGGAGGCTGAAGATGGAAATAAACACCAAGAGAAGAAAAGGTAATCCTTGAAACAAACAAGACAAAAGCGACCGGAAAAACAATTCAAGATTGAAGAAATGATGGACAAAAAGAAAACCGGGAGACACACAGACTTAATAACTACCTACTACATACCTTAACTACAGGGTTTTGACATTGCATCGGAGTTGACAGGCGTCTGCCTTGGCGTGTCTCATATTCCCGTCTACGGAATTAAAGGCACCATTTTCTCCCCTCTCACTCCGTGTCTCTCTCTGGTCGCGAACCGGGAAACCAATCCTGAACGAACGGCCAAACGGCTCCCTGCTGCTGTCCCAAAAACGGGTCGATCCCCATCTAGCCTGCCAGCGTTCCAAGGGTGAAGAAAACAGAGTGGACCCCTGAAATTTCCAAAAGGGTTGCTCGGCATTATGTGGGGGTCGAGAGAAAGACCGCCACCCCCTGCTCTTAATCTGCGTGATGACGGAGTTCGGTTTTTTTTTCGGTTCGTTATACGTAGTATACATTCAAGGCATCTGAAAAAGGGACGACAAATAAAAGAGAAGTTCGAAAGGCAATTAAACTTGAAAGGACTCTTAGCTCCTAACTAGGTACTAAAAGGAGACGATGCCAGGCCCAGCGGCTTGTAACTTGGCGACCTCCTATCTTCAAAATGTAAACAATCGACCCAAGTAAGGTACGGAAGCCTCCTGGATTGACATGTTCTGCTCTCTCACATCAAGCGACAGAGTGCCATTGGAACATTCTGCCACAGTATAAACTTCCCAGCAGCAATGCCTTCGCTGCCGTCATACATGAGATATCTTCCCATGCCCGTGGGAGTCACGAGGCGGAAGTGGCATATATCAGCTGTTAATCTAGTCGAGCCATGCTTGGGCGATCCCTTCTCCCTGTTGAGGCCCGCGTTGAATACTCAATATGCATCATATACGCATCTGCAAAGTCTTGCTTCTATCAAGTTGATTGCATCTTCTTGAGTGAATGGTCAAAGATCTTCCTCAGGGCTGCATTGTATTTTTTTTCTTTTCTTGACACCGACTTCTACTCTATCTTGCGAGTCGGTTCAGAACATCGACAAAGAGGAGAGAGAAGGTCAAGATACGAGGAGTTTGTCGTCTATCTAAACATGACCCCTAAACCGGGTAATATCATGACGCCTTTGCGACTATAATTTTTGTTATTGGAGAGGTGCCTGCTCTTACGCCTTGGATGACGGATATACACCACATGAGGCAAGGGGGGCATCCCATTGCTGGTTACTCGTGTTCGTCTTTTCAATATGAAAAGACCCAGCCAAATGGTTGGTTGTGGGCTGGGGAACGACCGCCAGTGGTGTGATTTTCTTTTGCGCGGCACACTCCAAGGAAAAAGCTGAGACGTAGTTTTGGTGTTCCAGTCTCAAGTCCTGAGTGACATAATTTGTCGCACTCCGAGGCCGAACGTGCATGTTTTGAAGTCGCCAGGTCATGTCTTAAATGTTGGAACCCGCCCACCCATTTTGGAGAGGAGAGATCTGCCATTGTTTTGAGCTTCTTGGATTTTCGAAAGGGTTTGCTTGCCCCCTCCCTCTCCCTCCATTTCCCGTCTGCCGGCGGCGCGGGTGCATTTTGAACGAGGTAACTTGAAGTCTTGGCATTTGCTTGGCTTTCCTCGTGTTGAAGAATTGACTGAAAGCGCTGCGAGCATGCCAAGCCCCCTAAACAACCTAGCTTGTTGCCAAGACACGTAAAAAGGCAACGGCAGAGGACAAGACAGACAGACGCCGCTTGAGACCGGGAAGACATACTCGAAGGCGGGAGTGTGTTCATTTTTATCTGACCGCGTGCATACACTCCTTGTTGGGGAGGTGCAGTGACACATCCACCTCCTGTACACCCTGTTTAAGAACACTTCATCGTTTCCTGAGGGAGAGACACGGGGAGAGAATTGGGCACTTGAAGTTTTCCTTCTTCATTTCCAATGGGTGCCGGGTATTGAAGAGAAAGAGCGGCTAAGCTCATCATGAATCATCGCACCACCTGGGATTTAGCAGCTCTGCTGCTGCCGATCGTCGGGCTCGCGGCAGCGGCGGCTGGCGACATCGACGGCGCCGCCAAGCCGGTACCCACTACCAACAACCCGCGTGCGGCCCCGACCACAGTCTCGGTCTACCTGCCAGACTATCACGAATGGACTGCCCTCCGCGGCAGCATCCTGAGCACCGTAAGCCGGTCCCTATATTTCCTCACATCTCCTGGTTGGCGGCGAGACAGAGAGGTTGCGGCCCCAACGAGCCTACCTACATCAAAGAAGAGAAAGTATCCTGGTGCCATTTAAAAGACGGCCACAGCGGACACGAAGATTTGCCCGTGCCGGACATTGACGGCGGTCAAACACAGGACCAATCCGTGACGGCGTATACAATCTTCTGCGCAGACCAGGCCCCGACGTGTGAGGTGGCCGGCGACATCCCCTTCATCATCTCCGAGGGTCCCACGACGCTGCATTATGGCGGTTCCGCTGCAGGTATCATGTCTGTACCGACCTTCCCTCCTCTTCTTCTCCTCTCTTGCTAGTCGGCGCGTGTGGTTTATATCCATCTCCGTAACAAGAGTTTGGATTTGAACACCTTGCCCCCGTCTCCTCGTCCCCCCCAATGTCTTAACATGAGGTATTTATACATATATATATGAGGACTTTTCTACAGAACCGCCGATCTACGTTGCGACCTCGCCGGGACGACCGAGGCCATCTGCACAGGCTCGTCGTCGCTAGGACCCAACTACCGCCAGGGCACGCTCACTGGGCCGACGCAGACGGTGTGGACGAGGAGGTTTAGCGGCACCGACGTGAGCTGGGGCGTGCTCACTCTGGCGACACCCGTCCCAGGGGCCGGCACGACGGACATCGACGGCACGGTCGCGGCGTCAAAGGGAAGCGCTCCGCCGACGGCAACTTCTGGCGCGAGCCGCCAGTCCGAGACAATACGAGGCAGAAGGAGCTTTCTGGCTATTACCGCTGCCTCGATGGCTGCGGCGGCTGCGGCGGCGGCGGTCTTACCATGGTGATGCCTATTTTATTTGCACACGTGGGAGTTCGGACTTTTCCTCTTATATCTTTCGGCACTTACCACAGCTGCTCAAGGACTCGACAGTCTTGGTTATTTGGGGGGCGGGCTATCTTTGTTTATTCTTCTTAGGACAACAAATAAGGTACAATACCCGTCGGTTTCAGTCATGGCGTATATTCTGGGAACGGGCAGCGTTGGGCGATTTGTTTGTGTTCGGAAGTACGAAGTACAGATATGCGCATAGCGAGAGCAACAATTAATCGGCATTTGAGATCGAGAAAGGCGGTTGGCCTGGTGGGGAGAATTGCGTGGACCATGAAAGCGGCGAAGCTGTCAAATGCGAGTTGGCCTTCTTCCTGCTGATCCGTTCCGTGAAGCCCGTCGACGACTCCGACTCGCGAAGAGGCAGAGAGGAGGAGGTCTTGTGCCACTCTTACTTTCGCGGTTCAAACCAGGCTTCCAGTTTATTGTCCGAGTTTGGTTTCGAAGCCCCATTACGGAATACTGGATCAAAGAAGCTGCATACAATACGCACGCAAATCAAGAGCAGCTGACGCCTAAAGCCCTTCAAGGCACTTGAATGGTCCTGCACGACAAGCTTCGCAGTCGCGCGGTTGCCCTAGCTTTCAGGCCCTGCTAGCTGCTGCCCTGTCATCTCAAATTTAAGGTCGTGTTTCACGTTTCGGCGAGCCCACTGCCAACGCGGGTGGCTTGGGCGCGGGGCCAATCAAGGAGGCCGCGAGCCCCTTGGCTGAGCTGGTGGCTGCCAGAGGTTCGACAGTCAACTGGCCCTGCATTGGATCTCAGGGCCTTTCCAGGTTGCGCGGGCACCACTGCGGGTCTTCGCGAGGCGCAACCACAGTGGACCGAGTCCTGGCAGCCGTGGCCCGATGCTGATTGGTGCGCCCCTTTTTAGGTTCTGCCACGGTGCCACCGTTGCCGATCGTCCTTCCATCTACTGAGTAGCAACCGTCACCTGGGTTCCGGTTGGGGTTGGCACTGGCGGGAGGTTTCTTTCTCGACTGCCTGGCATGATCGCAACTGCAACCGCGCGCTCCTTTGGATTGAGGGATCTAGCTGGCCTAGTAGTAGCAGGTGGGCGGCAGTGCAAACACACACGGAAACAACGAAACGAAACATGCTTTCCAACAGAAGGATCTCGCTTTCTCGCCCACTGGAGCTTTGTCCGCGGGCAGTCAGAGACATTCGGCGACAGCCCGCGAGTCTCGCAGCTGCAGCCCAGCCCACGACCCTTCTGGCGGGCATTTCAACTCAACTCCTTTGCACGCCGCCCTATTGTTCGCAACCCCTCTCGCGCCGAACAATAGACAACGAACAGTAGGCAACTAATCCGTAACTAGTGTAAATACACACCTTCATACGGATGCCTCGACGTGTTATACGAAGCTAGTGTTCCGTAGACTGTGACCACTCACGGCTCCCAATGTCTCCTTCCCCTTGTGGGGCCGGTCCGCCTTGGGCAGGGGATGCATGTGCTTGTTTAGGCCCCCTACCCCGTCCCTGCCCCGTACCCGTACCGACGACCCTCGCACTTGGTGAAGAGGCGCCCAAGCTCGGGGCAGACCCGAGCCAAGCCTTGTCTCCTTAAAGGCCGGTTTGCCTGCCCGCTCACTGCCCGACTGGACCTGAACACGATGGGATCCCGTCCGTCCCTCGTTCTTTCCTATTCTTCTTCGTTGAGCATTGTGCGTGCATGACCGAACCGCAATCGTTTCCTGTCGCTATTCTAACATTGTTCTTTGCGGGTCCCCTATTCGTTTTGCTTGTCGTTATTGTTCAAGAGCAGGCTTTTGCCGTCCGTTCTTGCGCCCCTTGCCACAGCCGGCCCACCCCTTTCGCTTCGAGTCTCGCAGCCTCCTTCGTTTGTTGGCCACCTGAGTACATATACGGCGCCTTTCAGTCGTGACTCGGGATCTTCTTCGAGTCAGCACTGCAGCCTCAGTATATTTTCGTTTTGCAAGCCGGACTAGCTTCGCACTTTTTCAGGTTTTGCCTCTAACTTCTTCGACGCTCGCTGTGCGATATCCCGATTTTGAAATCGACTTTCACTTTGCAACTCAGACAAATCGATTTGAGCTCTCTTCAATCATTTTCTCTACGCCTCTAGAGGACAATATAGGAAAACCAAGGACAACATGAAGTTCTTCAAGTCGATCAACAATGCCGCGGCGGTCGCCGCTGTCATTACAGCTGCTCCCCCGAAGGAGCTTAACATCAACCAGCCATGTGCGTGATGTCACTCTCCCCTTACCTTCTCATGAGATTATTACTGACATTGATGTGCAGCTTCTATTCAGAGCGTTGCCAAGACAATCGCTGCCGGGGCTATGTCGTACTACCCCGGCACGACAAAGTCGTTCGCTGACCTCCCAAAGCCGTACTATTGGTGGGAGTGTGGTGCTCTCATGGGTGCTATGCTAGACTACTCTCACTACACCGGGGACAAGAGCTATGACGAGACCATCGCGACCGCCCTGCTGGCCCAGGTCGGCCCCGAGTTCAACTACATGCTACCGGCGCACTTCGGCGACGAGGGCAATGACGATCTAGGTTTTTGGGGCTTTGCTGTCATGTCGGCTGCCGAGAGGAACTTTCCGCAACCCGACCCCTCCATCCCCCCCTGGCTGGATCTTGGTGCGAACATCTGGAACTCACTAGCATCGAGGTGGAACACGACGGCGTGTAGCGGTGGTCTCCTGTGGCAGATCTTTGCCTCGAACCCCAACGGTCTGGACTACAAGAACACGGTCAGCAACGGCGGCTTCTTCCAGCTCTCGGCGCGGTTGGCGCGGGCTACGGGAAACGACACGTACCTGGAATGGGCGAACAAGGTGTGGGACTGGACCCAGGGGGTCGGTATGATCGACGACAGCTACCACGTCTTTGACGGCGCGAGCTCGAGCGATAACTGCACCAAGATCAACCCCGTATCATTCTCGTATAGCGCCAGCATCTTCATGTACGGCGCCGCGGTCCTGGCCAACTACACCAACGACACCAAGTGGGTAGACCGCACCACCGGCCTCCTTGAAGGGTCCAAGTGGTTCTTCAGCCCTTTTGAGAATGCCACCAACATCATGTTCGAACACGCCTGCGAGCAGGTCGACAAGTGCAACACGGACATGCGCAGCTTCAAGGGCTACTTCTCACGCTTCGTCTATGCGTCGACGCTGTACGTGCCCTCGATTCTTCCCACCGTCAACGAGCTACTTCACACATCGGCCGCGGCCGCAGCACAGTCTTGCACGGGCGGTGCCAACGGCACGACGTGTGGCCACAAGTGGTACGTGGGGGGCTTTGATGGGTCGGTCGGCCTAGGCGAGGAGATGTGCGCCCTCGAGACAATCCAGGGACTGCTCGTTGCAGAGTCCACCCCGCCGCTAAAGGGTGACGAGATCAAGGTAGTGCGCGCCTTTTCGGGAGCTGCGTCCTCGTCGGCGCCCACGTCTACTTCTTCCACAACATCCACTGCTGCCGCGACGGCCGCCCCGTCGTCCACGCAGTCATCGTCAGCTGTTAAGCGCTCTCGTCGGCGCAGCCGCTGAGCAGTTGTCTCTCCGTTTCTTTCGTTGGATGTAGAAAAAAGGTTGACTCTTCGCCATCACGGACTCTTTCCGGGTTCGATAACTCGATGTTGAGCTAGCATTTCCCCTGCACCTTTCCTTAGGATATCAAAAGTGCGAGTGGGAGAATAGAGGCAGACCGCCAGCCCCCAAAACCTTTGCTACCACAACACATTTATTTCTACTTTTCTGTGTATATAAACATTTTTTCTTCTTTTGGCATACTAAGCCTTCCTTTTTTTTTTGGGGGGGGGGTTCCTAATAGATGACGGATAACCCCCGTGTGCGTTGGCATTGGCATTGAAATTGGCATTAGCCATGGACTTGGAGTCGGAATTGGTATACACGTTTACATATTTGACAAGCAGCATTGGGAGGAGGGTCACAAAAAGAAGCCACATGAATATAGCATAGCCGTGATGCACGGCTTTTTGACGTTTTCTTCGGTCGTGAAAATTTGCCCGTGTTATTGTCCCTGACGCGAATGAGCACTTGTATGTGTGCAAGTTATCTAATCTGATGGTGGTCAAGCACTAAGCAATGCTCAACCCGGGCTCGCGCTGGCTAGTTTAGATGCCGAGTACCTAAGAATAGGTGATGGTCTGCCACTTGCTAGCTCTTCTCTTCTGTCGCCTAGTGACAGTTCAGAAGTGCTCTCCATGGTTAGGTATCCTCTTCGCTATGTGTGAAGGTACGCATATTTTCTTTCTTTATCCGCTCTCCATTCTTACTCTCCCTCCCTCCCTCCCTATCTATATTTCCCGCGTGAGTGTGAGAAGACAATAATAATTTGACAACCCCCTGAGAGCAAGTAGCTAGTGGAGAAGGACAGTGTTGACGATCATCGCCCAGGATATACGGCAGGCCGCTAGAGGAGACAGGTTGCTTGAGAGGTAGCACGCACGTACAGACCCAGCAGAAAGGGAGGGATAGATACACTGGTCTAGTCATTTATGCAACTTACCTGGCCGATAGAGAACGATGAGAAGGAGTACGCATACAGAAATTTACCAATGCTTTTGTATTTCCTGCTGCATATCACATCCTCTATCAGACCCAACAACTACACACCGCGGACCTCGGCGAGCGTCTGCTCTAGCGCGGCGAGGAAGCGCGTCACCTCGTCCTTGGTGCCGACCGTGATGCGCAGGCAGCCAAGGCAACCGTGCTCCTTGCCGCGGAAGCGGACCACAACACCCTTGGTCTCGGCGAGGCGCTCGTAGACGGCCAGCGCCGTGGCGTTGTCGGGACGGCCCGCGGCGTCGAGCATTTCGTACAGGAGGAAATTGCTGCTGGTCCCGCCGCGCAGGCGGCCGACGCCAGGGATGAGGGGCAGCGCGGCGAGCAAGCGGTCGCGCTGTGCGAGCAGGCGCGCCTTGTTGGCACGCATGGCGGCAACCCCCCTAGGGGAAAGGCCGTAGGTGGCTAACGCGCTCGTCGGGCTCGATACGTTATAGGGAGCTTTGAGGTTGTTGAGCAGGCGGGCGATGGGTGGCGAGGTGAAGGCGGCGCCGAGGCGGATGCCGGCCAGCCCAAAGGCCTTGGACAGAGTCTGCATCACTACTAAATTCGGCCACTCGGTGACCCACTCGGCTAGGGACGCCTCGTCAGGGGCAAAGTCGATGTAAGCCTCGTCGACGACCACGATGCCGTTCCACGTCGGGTGCTCGAGCAAGCGGCGCACATCCTCCTTGGCGATCAGGGCGCCCGTGGGGTTGCCTGGCGAACATAGATACACGAGCTTGATGTGCTGGGACGAGTTGGCTAGCGTGTTACATACGGCATCCGTGTCGACGGCGAAGGTAGGCGCCTCTAGCAGTGGCACTTTGACAAGGGCCACATCGTTCGACTGGGCCGAGACTGAATACATGCCGTATGTGGGCGGGCATACGAGGATGCGATCATGGCCGGGCACGCAGAAGCAGCGCAGCAAAAGGTCAATAGCCTCGTCGCTACCCACGCCGACGAACAGGTTTTCGGGCGTGAGAGTCTTAGGCGTGTGGGCGTAGGTCCGGAGGTTGCACAACAGCTGCTTCAATCCGTGCTGGTGCGGGTCTGGATACCGGTGCAGGCCGAGGAGGTCGACGCCGGGGCCGTCAGCATCGGTGCCGGAGCCGGAGCCGGAGCCGGAGCTGGAGGCTCGGAACAAGCCGTTGCTTGCGTCGGCAGCCGTGATGGGCGGCCCGTAAGCATTCTCATTGGCGTCTAGCAGGATGTTTAACCCGTCATCTTTGTAGTCGCTGTTATTTGGTGTTAGCGCGTGGAGTGTATTTGGGTTTCTTTCGCCAGAGCCGTCAGGGATAATAAGAGCGAACGTACTCTCTAGCGCATCGATAGGGCTCCAATGCGAGAATGTTAGGCCGTGCGCAGGTATCGAGATTGAAGGGCGCCATGACGAGGGGGGGGGGGGGGAGAAAAGACGCGGGGGTCTCTGGTTGGATGCAAAATAAGTTTTCTAAAACGGCCTTCAAAATCCCTGAGAGACTGTGGTAGAAGTACGCCAAGATATATTTTATATTTTCAGTTGTCGACGGGGATGTATCGTTCGAAGAATCACTGCATTGAAGGAGGGAGTCATGTCAAGACCAACGAGCCAATATTCGCCTAGCGCGTTTCGCTGCCGGCCCCGACTCCGGAGGTGTGGGTCCCTTCTGTTCCATTTCCACCGCCTTCATGTCTCGGAAAAAAGAAAACGCAACAGGTGGCTGAGAAGCACGTCCAGGCACAGGTTGGAGCTACGAAATGGGGATAATAAAGCCTGTAGATCCTGGTTTGTGACGTTCTACGGCCATGGAAGTCGAAAATTTCTACAGGAATAATCAATTAAAAAATCGCGTTGTAGCAATGGGGTTCGGGAATTTCACGAACTCGAGCGCGCTTTCCCTCGCTGCAATTTTAGACACGACTTCAGCTAGACTTGTAGGTATCAACTCAAAATGCTCTTCCTTGATCAGGCACTTGGCTTAGCTTACTTAGGTACCTACCTTAAGAGAACTTGAACCATCCGTCCTATGCATAACCCTGACTCCCAAACCGTCCCGCGAAAATGGCGTTGACCACTATCGCTCTGATATTATTCCATACATATCAGGCCATCACCTCGTCGATCTCTGCCTCGGTAGTAGGTTTTGACTCGGTCATAAATTTATCTGCTAATTCTCGTGCCGATCTTACGTCTATCGGACCTCTCTGCTTCCTCATATTATCGGCCCAATCTCTCGGGAGCTGGTGCTTGTCAGAGGATAGCTCACTGACGACAACCTCGGGCGCCCTGTTAATTTTAGGTGACTGACCGAACGCTGATTAGACAATGCTAGCCCGACTAAACCGTGTTGGCCGTTCATCCACCGCGGCTAGATGGGCAGCGAGGCGCTAGGCGATGTCACGGCATCTGCAAAGACGAGGAACGATGTGACGGCGAGGCAGTCGCCATTTCCCCAACTTCCACCTCAACCCCGCCTCGACTATGATTTTTCTTGAAAGTCTACACTCTCTCGCACAAGTCTTATATTGGTATTCAACACGGCTTGATCTGTGCATATACCTCTTGCCTACACGGGAGTGCGTGTTGTTGCTCGTCCCCGCTGCTAAAAACAGAAACGCTACATAGGGGAGGGTGATCGCGCTTCTCCAACCCGCGCCTAGACGTGGGCTAGGGCCTCGAGGTAGCATGCTCGTCATGACTATACCTATTCACACCCGAAGTTCCGTACTCGCTCCGTCTCCTCGCAGGGCCGTCCTCGATGTGGAACCAATATAGCCTACAGTGTCCCGTCGGTCCTCGCTTTCATTCATGCCCGGGTGAATGGGACGATAGATTGATCAGCTTACCGAGTGTATAAATAATCCTGTTGGCCTCGTCTTGTAAATAGACAATCTTGGCTTCTTCTCTGGCTTGCCCTTGACACCCGAGCCAGACCTGTCTATCTTGTGGGCTGGCGAGCTGTGAAAACGAGATACTATCGTCCCTCTTCCAATATGTTGCTCTCCTCGGTAGTTATTGGTGCATTTGCTGCCCGAGCTGCTGCAGGGAGAAAATCTGGGGATGGCTTCGATACTCTTGTGACGTTCGGGGACAGTTACACAGACAACGGGCGCCTAGGATACTATATAAACCACAACGGGAATCCTCCGGCGCCTGGGCAGTACCAGACTGTGTCAACTACTACTGCCAGCGGCGGCTTGACTTGGGCACAGTTCGCTGCTCAAAACGCCAAGGCGAGCCTCGTCGACTACGCCATCAGTGGTGCAACATGCTCCAACAAGATCATTTCGCGCTACTTCTCGGCCATCAACAAACCCTTCCCGTCGGTCTTGGACGACGAGATCCCCTCGTTCAAAGCTGATGTCTCGTTCAAGGCGCTCTACGCTGACCGGACGGCTGACAATACCGTATATGCGCTATGGATCGGAACCAACGACCTGGGCTATGGCGGCTTCTTGTCCGACTCGCAGGCGCCGAGCACCACCATAACGAACTTTGCGAACTGCATCTGGTCAGTGTTTGACAGCATCTACAAGACAGGGGGTCGCCGGTTTGTGCTCCTCAACGAGGCGCCCCTAGAGTTGTCTCCCCTATATGCCACCCCTCAGAACGGGGGGACATACGACAGCCAGTTCTGGGGCAACAAGACGCTCTACAACGTGACCGAGTACAGCTACAAGATCAAGGAGTACACGACTAACGTCAACACCATATTCGAATACGGCGTGCCTTTCCAGCACAAGATCAAGTCGCGGTGGCCCCAGGCGACGTTTGACATCTTTGATGTCCACAGTCTGTTGACCGAGATTTATATTAAGCCATCTCAGTACCTGGATGCTCCGTATAACGCCACGGGGTATTGGCACCACTGCTCGGCCACAAACAATTCGGCGTGCACTGATCTGACGAACCTGGGGCCACGGTCTGGCTTTCTGTGGTATGACGAGCTGCATCCTTCAGAGAAGACAGGTAGGTTTCGACTGTGTTCTGCCTTCAACTCCGCAACACAAATATGCTGGCAGAGTGGCTAACGCGCAAATCTAGACTCTATCATTGCAAAGCATTTTCTTGACGTGGTCGCTGGGAACTCGACATTTGGAACTCGCTATGACTGAAAGTGGCTGAGGAGGAGATGCCAAGGGGGAAGTCGGTCCTGAAGGGAATCGATTTGGGTGAGGCGCACTCAGAGTTCCAGCGCAAATACCTACCTGTTGGATGCTTAATGAAAGCTTGGCCGCATCAATAGAAGGCGCGCATGCCATAGTCAAGGCTGAGGGTGACGTCGAGTACCGTGCCGAGTGTAGATACAATCCGCTCCTGGCAATATATGGCACGACATTGCAGCTCTCTGCAAGGGGCCCGAGCAGGTTGTTGTACTCACTGTAGCAGCAATTAACCGTCTGTTGAATACTCGAGGACTCGGTGATTCGCAGTGCTGTGGGCAGTGTTCCCAGAGAGCGGGGGCGACTCGTCGGCCTGTGGCCATTGCCAGTGGAAGAGGACGGATCTGTTTATGCAGGACCGACAGCTGCTGGTGACAAGGCGGCGACGGGCTGCCCACTCGGCTCAGCCCATGGCCCTGTCGTTATGTCGTGCTACCCCACACTAGCAGGCCCAAAGGTGCCAAATTAGGGTTAGCCGGGCTTTGGCGCGAGTTGCGGAGACTCGAGGGCGGCCAAAGAGCACCCTTGCCCGCTCTTTTGCCTTTTGAATTTGCATTCTGGTCCTCGTGGGCATTTGCACGACGCGCAAACCTCGCTCCCCTCTCTCTGCACCGCGCCCACCGCACACCCGCCTCCCATTGCCCATCGTTCGACCTCGGCCAACATTAGCGATCAAAGGCAATCGCACGTCCCCCTTGGCTCCTTGCGTCACCTTGCTATAGCCTTTTAAATTTTATCTCTTCCGATCCCCCCGCGGCTCTCGTCACCCCTCTTGGTTCTGGTGTGCCTTGAACCACATCAGTCTCTGGCCATCTGGCCATCCCATCCCCGGCTAACGGCTGCATCTCTGGCGTCCCAGGTGCCACCTCTCCCGGGCCAAGATCCTCCCATCCAATCCCTACCACTTGCAAGGCAATAATAAGCCGCAAGAACAGAAGGGGAAATCCCGCAGACACTTCTCTACGGAGTAGACATATTGATAGTCTGCAACCCCCCTTGCATCTCGGGCGTGTCCCGTACACCGTGTTAGTTGCCCCACGTCCGTCGTTTGGGGGGGCGCGGCAGCAAGACTGCGGTGACGACTGCGGTGACTGCGACGACTGGCCCGCCCTGCGCAGGACAAGAAGACAGGCAGGCAGACACTTCGGCCCAGCCACGTCCCCAGGGACCAGATTGGCAGCCAATCGCCCGCCGATCTCAGCGCCGTTTCTTCAGTCCCTTCCGAGGTGGTTGCCCGCAAGGCTTGACAGCTTTTGTCAAGACACGCATCCGCCCTCACCCCGGCACTCTTCAGTGCGTCAGCAGCCATTTCTTGCGCGCGCGTTGTCTCTCCCTACGAAAGCACGCCGTACTGGGCCCCAACAAATAAGATTCGTCGAACGAATTGCCTTGGCGCTAGCACAACTACCTCAGGTATCCGTACCTCCACCGGATTTGATGGTCGTACCCATTCCCCACATCGGCAGCCGCAATTCCTGATCTCGACGACGCTTCCGTTGTCCTATCTGCCCGCATCCCCCCCTCGCCCCCCCTCCCCGGCGCTCGCCCTCCCGCTCGCCCTGCCTTTGGCTCGGGCTGTCTTTGAACCCACTCCCGATACCCAGCCATGTACTCGGCCCCCTATGGCTACCCAAATGCTTCGGGTGGCCCATCCTTTAACGGCGCCCCACCCCCTCAGAATCCGCACATGCAGCCTGGTCCATCCCCGAACCAGACCCAGCAGATGATGTATAACACGCAGCAGTTCCCCATGGGCGGACCCCAGGGCCCTCACTTCCCTGGCGCTCCGAATCCAGCCATGATGGGAGGTGCTGGCCTGGGAGGAGTCATGCCGAGTACCGCCATGCATCCTATGGCGGCTGCCAATGGTCAGAGTAAGCCTTTCCCGATTACCTGATGCTGCCTGCTCTCCGATGTGATGTATCCGTTTCGCCTTGTGCCTCTTTCCGTTTCTTCCATCGAATAAGGTTGTCAGCAGTAATGTTGTTGTCTCGTTCCAGTGTGCCGCTGGCCAGCACCTAGCCGTATCTTCATCCTGGAAAGACTAACACGCTCCCCCTTTGACAGTGGCATACCAGACGCCATACTCAGGCTCGCCATACGGGCCTGCGATCCCGTCCTCGGCGCCGCCTCAGCCGCAGCTCCCCGCAAACTACATGATGTCCAACTCAATAGGACAATTCCAGATGAACCAGATGATGCCCCAGCAGCAGCAGCAGCAGCAGCATCAGCAGCATCAGCAGCAGCAACAGCAACGGCTACAACAAAATGAGCAACAACAGAATCAGCAACATCAGCAACACCAGCAGCAAATTATGCAGCGTATCCAAAACCAACAGAACATGTCCATCTCGACTCCTCAACGCCCCTTCAACACAGGACAAGGTACCCCGAATAGCTCAATGCCCCCCCAACAGCCAGGACAAATTTCTACCCCACAAGGCCACAGTACACCCCAAAGTCAGACTCCAACCACGGCTCAGCCGATGAGCGCCTCCGGAGCAACCCCACAGACACCTACGTTTCCATCTACAGGGCAGCAGGTGCAACTGAACGGCACATCTGGGGCCATGACTCCGCAGAGTCCTGGCACAGAGTCAAGGGATAAGGAGAGATTCTCAGTCCTCTTGGAAATTAACCAGGAGCTTCTATACGAATCAGTATCGTTGGTCAATCATCGAGCTGAGCTGAAGAAAGAGCAGGCAGCCGGGGAGGTTGGTGAGGTAAAAAATGGCGAAGTAGACTATGTGGAGGAGGAAAGGCTGTCAACACAGGACTATGCGCAGTAAGTTTGGACTGTTTTGTTGGACCGCTCTCACCAAACGCTAAACAAGATACAACAGGTGTATGCGCAGGTTACAGGCAAATCTGACGTATTTGGCCGCGCTAGCCGACCGCAAACCATCGGTGCAGGTCCCGCCTTGCCCCGCCTACCTAATGCCCCCTCCATTGAATCTTAACATCAGGCTCCGTGTACCTCAAAGCACACCGGACGACTCTACCGAGCCGTCAATCAACCCGAGCGTGGATCGACCGGATAGAGACAAGCTCATGAAGGACTTGTACAGGAAACTCCAAGCCCTGTTCCCCGGCATTGATCCGAGGAAGGAGCCTGCTGCCCAAATGCCCAACACCAGGGCCCCACCAGGACAGCACCCAAGCCAAATGGCAATGAAGGCGCCGAACGGCCAAATTCCAGGACCTAATGGCAGCCCTGGTCCTGGCGCGCAGGCTCAGAGGACTCCCCAGATGACAAATTCCGCCGCACCGATGCTGCAGTCCTAGGAAGATCCAGCCGTGGTGAGCACTGTTAATGAGCTATGGATGATGAAGCATTAGTTTGTTGGTGTATCTTGGGGTCTCCCAGATGTGTTTCTGATTCGGCCCTGCAATAAAGATTGTAACGTACATGCCTAACGAGATACCTCTAAGTTTTAAGTCGCATAGTCGGAGTGGGGAGTTTATACCGCGAGTGCTGTTACAAGTGGCATTGCGGATTCTATCCCGGGTTCTTTATAGGGAGTGGGGTCGGGAAAACTTCAATTAACAAAATATTTGGCGTTGGGTCTTGTCGCGTTAGTCGGTTCATTGTCTAATCAAGAGTTGGGTGTTTCTTTGTGCTTGTCAGGTAGACCTGTCGTTGGACTGGGTGTCATCGCTCCGCCAACGCGCTCGCTCCGATTCCATTTGGATAAAGTGCTCCATGGCCGTGTAAGAATGTCAGAAGCATGTGTTTACTAGGGTACGGAGTAGCGACCTGGATATCAGGTCCAGAACGAGTGTGTTTCTCTTCTTTTGGGAGAAAGAGACTCGCGAATGGGTTTTCGATCTTAATGGAGACAACTCGACTCAGCAGCCCTGAGCTGGTTGCTAGGGATGGCAGATACAAGTCACTGAAGGCACTAACGCCTTTCTGTTACGGGCTACACCCAGTACACACTACTTCTTTTACCTTCAAGTCGGCTGTCTCGATGGTTTAGTGATCGAGGCGTGTGGTCGAATTGCGCTTGTTGTAGTCTAACGGCGGCGAGAGTCAAGGCCAAGGTCATCATCTTACGGGATCTATATAAATCTTGTTACGGCGGCGGCGGCCATTTAACAAGCGACAAGAGAAAGCCCACACAGAGGGTAGAAGACATCGAGGATCTAATCATAAGAGCCAACCAAAGCCACCCTTTCCACACAGAGAGGTTGTTGGTGGATGGCATCGCTTGCCGCCTGACATGCTTCAAATAATGGATGTGTCCACCAGTGTCCCAACGCAAGGCGTCTAGAACTGGCGCTTTAAAGTAAAGTTAATCCTCAGTGCGAAAGGATTGTGGGCTTTTGGCTGTGCGTTAGGTACGGGTGCGCCGCTCTTGGCCCGGCCGGTCATTGACGAGCCGCATCCAAAAGAAGGGACGACCGGATAGAAGGGCGCCATGCCCACGCCCGGTCGAATCTCCAAGGCCATATCACCCGTCAAAAAAAACCGTCCGAAGGAGGCCCAAAGGCACGTTGTGGCCAAACGGCAACACCGCCCCCTTAGATTGTTGGGGAACAGGTCATTTCCTCGCCTGGTCGGCACTTTTACGGGCAACAAGAAATTCATGGGCCCCTTACGGAGTATTGAGGGAGTGCCCGTTTTGCCACGGGAGCGCTTGCTGATACAGACTTGGCAGGATAGCCGACGACGCAGACAATCAATGGGGCCAGAGGATGTATCTCCGTTCGCTGTTCGCGCCTGCCTTACCTAATGTTTCCTGTGCTCTAATTAGCATGTTATTGTTTTTTTTTCTTCAACTAAGTATTTGTTGTGCTCTGTGCACTACGTTCGCCTCAATCTATTTCCGACGGGTGAACGACTTTCGGATGAACGTGACGGGTCTACATATCAGGTCGTCATCGGTTGTTGCTTGGCTCATTTCGCGTGCGGCCAAGATACGTTGGGCGTGCGCGCTCCGGGCCACCGCTAGTGAAGTCCCTTTCTGCCAATTTTGCCAGCGAGATAAATGACTGAACTGGCCTGATGACTGGCCGGACCGAAATCAAACATTCGTAAAAACCTGCGGTCACACTTTCTGTCCCTGACCAGGGAGGAAAGCTTGTTCGGGTTCAATTGCCCATCTCACCTTGGTAGGTGGGCATTATATCATCCCTCGCGCCGGTCTAGGTCATGAAAGCAGGCGCGTCCAATGGGTTGGTCATGCGCGCAAAGCTATCAATATTCACTCGCCAATCACTTCAGCAAGGGCAAAGAGTCGAAAACGGCAGTTGAAACCAAACAAGTCCTGGGCGGGTTCAAATCATTGCCGTTTCTTTCCTGCTGTTGATGACGCTGAGGAGAATGAAAGAGCGATCTAGTTCGCTACAATTTGTAAACTTCAAGTTCGATTGACTTTTCGGGCGCAAAGCCCGACCTGAGAGGTTCGGTGACGGTGCTGTCCCGGGTTCCTGGCAGCGCGGAGGCAGGAACAACGCAGGTACACAGACACCGGGCAGGTGCCGTTGCAGGGGGGAACGGTGCCCAACTTAAAATTAAGGAGATCGCTTCTACGAAAGGTGCATTACCGGGAAGGTACCTTCCCCGCGCAGTGCCGCTTAGGAGTACCTACCTGCTCTTTAGCCCCATTTTTCCTTTAGCAGGAGCCAACCAACGCTAATCACCAACGCCCAGTCCTCACGCCCGTTCATTAATCCACCTCGTTTCCCGTCGATTCTCTGCTCCATCTCCTTTCACCGTTTACCTTCTCTTCACGCCGAAGAAACCTGTCACTCCTTTAACCACCTCAGAGACCTGTGCTCTATCCATTCGTTTTCGGGCATACCTATGTACCTCATTGACTAGCGAAGCTATTGAGCTTTTTCGTTTTGCAACTCTCACCCTCAAACAACCCTGTTGTCCTCGAAACGCCGACTCATCTTAAGCGCCCTCTTCCTCCGATCAGATCCTCCTGTCGCGATCCGCGAAACAAAACGATGCTCGTCCGATCTTTCTCCGCCCTAGCGGCGCTCATGCTCACCGCCGCCCATGCCGCCGCCGAGCCCATGCCGTCCAAGTCGAATCCCCAGTTCACGAAGATGTCGACCCGCCAAATGTTTGGTGTGCTTCGTCGTGCGGACGATCCGTATCTGCCAACGCCGTTCTCCTGCGGAACTGGCAACACGTGCGCGGAGGCTTGCGGCGCCGGTTTTGAGACCTGCACGGCTACCGATAGCCAGGTTCATTGCTTCGATCCTACAGCTGGCGAGACCTGTTGCCCCGATAGCACCGGCAGTACGTGATAGCTAGATAATAATGGCGAGACAAGTAGGCGACACGGCTAACTCTTTGGCAGACTCTTGTGAAGCTGGATTTTTCTGCGCGGCCACCACAACGAAGAGTACAGTGTGCTGCAATAACGGCAAGTCGTTGGAAGACTGTGCCAAGGATAACAAAGTCGTTGGGGTTCTGGTCTCGGAGACTGCCGCACCAACAACCTCGTCGACAACCGCCCCTATTTCTTCGTCCACGCCTGTCACAACCACCGCAGCTTCCTCCACGGTAGATAAGAACACCACGACAGCTGCTACCACGACAATCTACTCGACGACGTCGAGCGCGGCACTCATCCCTGTGAGCTTTCCGACGTCTAACATCACGTCGATCATCTCCAGCCTGCCGTCGCAGCTTCCGACGAAATCCGCGGTTCCGACAGGCGGCGCAGAAAACCTTGCCACTCCGGGGGGGCTGCTCCTCCTTGCGGCCGGTATCGCTGCTCTTCTCTAGACTCAAAACTGCATCAAGCCTCTGGACATTCTCCCCGAAATGAGCTCCACGGCGAGTTCGGGCCCCCGAGGCCATGACTGCTTCTACGAGATATGAGACACGACAAAGCCGACCCACGCACCCCTCATACCTAATTCACCCCGCCTCATAATTTGTGCAAAGTTGGGCGTGTTGTGTGATGCTTTGGCAATTCTACCTTTTTCGACGCCCGGCTGTTCGGCGCAGGGGTGGCGTTCGATGGCGAGCCTGTTTTCAAGCACTTACTCTTCTGATGATCCCGCAACCTGAGGGGCGGGAAAGGATGTGTCTGGTCGTTGCCCTACCAAAGGATGGATGCATCCATATTATCTTATACCCTTCGCTCTGGCGCTCTACCGGAGCATTTTCTCTAGGCTTCTGGCTTTTGGCTTTTGGGGGGTTGCGTTTGAGGGGGGATCGGATCCTACTTATTCATGTTCCTATTATTAATTTGCCATGCACACAATAACATAACCAACTTTGCACATCTCTACTCTGCCGACCCATTTCTGGGTATTTCTGCGTCGTCCTTGTCGTCCTTCTTTACCTAAGTCCCGTAAATGTTTCGCCTTTCTTGCCGTCTCCCTTAAACGCGCGAAGGTGTGGATGGAATGTCGTGCTTTCTGTTGGACACATCCCATTTTTGGTTGAAATGGTGTGTAAGGCCACGCAAAACGTGTTCTCGCCAATGATCATTGGACACGCCCGCCGTAGAAAATTTCGGGCGCCGTCGCAGTGATCCATGATCTGCACAAGGAACAAGAACCGGGTTCTTTGAGGAATTGTTTTGCTCGATTTCCTGTACAGACGGTGCCCCGTCTCTTTGGCTGTTTTGTCTCGGCCTTGCCGCGTTTTGTCAACCGGCTCTCTTCTACTAGCCACGTTTGTTCGATGAATATTCCTATGCCCCTTCTCTTGCCTATCCGTCCCTTGATCCCGTTGCTCTGAGTTTCTAGCTATCCTTTTCCTTCTGCCCGGTGGGTGTGGTGTGTTCCCTGTTCTAGGTTTGTGCCCCTTCTTGCTCTCCTGGCTGTTCTTGTTCTGGGCTCTCTGGCTATGGTCCAATCCATGAATAGTTGCTGGCGCGGTATCTTTGAAGAGTAAGGAATATTGCCAGAAAACAACCTGGCCAGGAAAAGCCTTAATTGACCATTTGTGGCAGAGATACTCCGTAGGTCTCGCAAGTTCTGTGTGGTAGGTACCAGAGGCCTCACGAACTACCCCATCCCTTGAGAAAAAAAACATTGAAAGTGAATCGGAAGGCAATCCAGGCATTTTTCACACCACGATGTAAGCATTCGGGGAATAGACTGTCTACGGGTACCTCCAGAGAGTGATTACAAGGTTGGAAGCTGGCCCCATCAGCGCTCGTGTTGGTGTTCTCGACGTCATGTCGTTGGTCGTCTCGTCTCGTCTCGGGGCTTTATTGGAAATTGGCATGGACACAAGTTTCTTGGAATTGTCATGGTCCATCATGTATATCATGGAACGACACCCTCCCCCCTAACGAACTTGAGGGTTTAAGATTATGTTGTTGTCAGATCACTGGCATCTTTGACGAATCTCTACACAAGGGCCTAAGTTTATCCATCCCCTTTTTGTCCCTCCATTCAAAGTTCTTTTCTGTTACTCGTGCTCTCTTCCCTGTAGCGAACAACCGCTGTTTCCCGTGCTGCATGGGGCGGCATTTATCTCAAGCAGTTTGCAACATAATTACCGTACTAGCTACGCAGATTAATTCCACCTGATGACAAGCAATAATGACAAGGTTCACGCGACCGCATTAAATGAGGCGCTCCATGACTACCCATTACTCTTTAAATTATCAATAATTAAAACGGAAAACGAGCGAAAAATACCTACCGTTAGAAGCAGGAGTCCAAAAACGTTTCTGAAAACAGGGTTCAAGACCTGGATGTAATTCTGGGTATCCCAAGGTTTCGGGGACCATCGGCGGGCGGAGGCTGGCTGAGCTTTCGATCTTTTTCTACTTCTCTTTCTTGTCTAAAGTAACTAACCCCGTAACATCTTTCTTTATAGCACGTTGGGTAAAGGCTTGTGAGTAAGGTGATCATACATCATTATTTTCCCCAACGGTCTCCTTGACGTAAGCACCGAGCTAGCCATATATATTTCATACCTTCCAGGCGCACTTAGAGCATCAGACGCCTGTGATCTCCAAGAGTATAAATCTACTTGCCCGTCTCAACACTAAAGACCCTACCCTGCCCGGCACGCTTGCTGCGGACATGTCTCTCGAGCCTTCTGGCAGCTTCACCGACGGTAGCCACGAACCCGGCCTCGCCATCGGACAGCACCTCGCGCGGACTCCCGTCGGGCAGGTAGTAACCTGAGCACAGGATCACGGTCGAGATCTTGCCCCAGGTGCCTACCCAATCCACGGCATCATGATCCGCAGAATCCCAGAGGGCGGGGCTCCAGACAGCGCAGCCCGTCAGGTCGAGGTACTCGAGACCGTAGAGGGCCTTGCTTAACTTGCGGAGGACCGCCACCGCTTCAACCCAGTCGTTGTCGAGCGAATGGCTATAAGGACCCGTGCCGCCGTATTGGACAACGCGGCCCTGGGGGGAGACTACCGAGGTGAATTTGGCATTGGGTGTCAGGGTCGGTTCCGGCCAGAATGCCAGGCTCAGGTGCGTGAGCGTCGGACCGCAGTGGGACACGAAGGCTAGGAGGTGGCGCCACGACACATTGCGAGGCAACCACAGGTCGAGTGCCAGAGACAGGTGGGTGAGATTCGGGAGCAGGGCGGGCGGGATGACGAGTGCGGCGTCCGCTTCAGGAGCGTCCCATCGATCGAGAGTCTGGCCCGCAAAGTCCTCGTCTGACGTTGGAGAGGACGAGGGAAAAAGGAAACCCGACAGCTCGCGCAGCTTCAGCGACCGTCCAAGGCAGCGGGAGAGGTCGAGGTGGTGGACGTCTTTGTTCATGATACTGGGACTCAGGTATTGCTGCTGACCCTGATCAGACGACGAGTCCGGCGAGACGGGAGTGGCGTCTTCGCCATCCGCAGGCGGGGGTAGAAGAATGGCTTGTAGGTCGGCGAGAGACACGCCTTCCGTAGTGTATGCGGCTAGATACGTGATTAGAGCAAGTCGGAGATGCGTGGGAAGATCATAGAGGTAGTAGTGACAGTATTCCTTCTGGAAGGGCCAGTCGAGGGCCAACCGACGCAAAGCGATGTCGATCAGGCTCCCGGTACCGGGACAGTAGGCGCCAGGTAGAGGGCGGCGGTCGTCCCTGGGCCGGAAGGACGTCCGGTCCTGGGGACTGGCAAGCGGGGCGGATGGTGAGAGCCAGCTTCGCGGAGGAGCCGGGCCTGCCGGCGCAAGCCTGCCAGCGCCGAGGCGGGCAGGCCGACGGGGCCGTGGGGCGGGTGTCTCGGGAAGGTGGAGGATATCGCGGATAACGGGCGGGACCGACGGCTGCACGTTTAGGGCAGGGGCCTGAGTGGCGCCACTCAGGCGTACACGGCGCAGGTTGCTAAGTAGCTCATTGACGCTGCGGCGCTGCTGTGGAGAGCTGTCTGTGAGCTGGTTAGCAGAAGCTCAAGCAAGCTAACTCAAACAGGGGGAGTAGCAGCAGCAAGTAGGGGGCACGGGGAAGAAAGGAAAGAAAGAGGGAAACAGAGAGCAGCAGGGCAGCGACGGAAGCACAGGGCACAGCTCCGTCGGCACACGACAGGGCAACTCAAGGTAGACAGGGAACTAAAGTATGGATAGACGCGTGGGTGGACTGGGAACAAGAGGAAGCCTAACGCACCATGGTCGCTGCTGGCGCCCGAGATGCTGAGCGACGCAGGCGCGGTCGACTGCGGCTTGGTGAATTTGGAATGGTATCGTTTCTTCGGCATCACATTCTCCTGAGCTAGGGTTGGCCGGGGCGGACGGACAGGCGCAGGAAGGGTTGATCACTCCTTGCCTGTCGCCGAGTTGCAAGTTTCGTCTTGTAACTCTTTGTTGCAGGCGCAAAAAGACTACAAGATCCTGACAGACAACCACGTTTGACGTTGGCGGGGCTGACGAAGGCAATAAAGTGCATATCACAGTACAATACATACATACATACATTACTGTACCCTGTGACTCAGAGACGTAATATCACCACAGCCAAGGTATTATCGGCGGAGTATTTTCATATTTCATAAGGAAGGAACGCAGTATTACCCGGCCCCTTACAACGAGCTTCCTGCACTTGGCTGGCATCCTCGTGAGCAGAGAATAATGGATTGTAAGCCATACGCAGTCCAGGCAAACATACTACCATATGCATACCTGCCCTACATACCCTCTAAGTAGTACGTACGCCTTTTCTTTTTCGGCCGATTAGAACCTCGAAACGGGCAGGCAGAGGAAGGCGTAATGCCTCAGGAAGCTCAGACACCTTCCCGTGATAGCCAAGCGACAAAATAGCGTGTAAGGGTGTGAGTCCATCGCCTTGTCCCCGGCAATGCTTGTCGTCCGGTGTTCTTTCTGAAAAGGAAAAAAGTTTGAGAGAAAGGGAACAAAAAATGCAATGAGAGTCTCGGACAGTGACTTGTTTCCAAACATTAGTTAGCACTGTATATGCATGTACTCCGTATGTGTATACATACCGCCCTGTACCTATCCGTACCTCGGTTACTTTGAACTCCGTAATTACACTGCCTTCCATTGCTTGCGGGAGTTGGAAATATGGAAGCGTCTTGCGGAGCAGTGCCCGGGACAGCCCGAGAAGGACCAGACCCACTTGGACCTTTTTAGCTGCTGTGACTTCGGCATGGAGGCGTTCCTCCCCCAAAACAGACCAGGGAGAGATTCCCTAGCGCCTCTTCCCCCCACGCTAGCTGGCGGGGAGAAGGTGCCCGCAACGACTGGGAAGAGAACCTGCCTTGGCTTCCATGCCTGGAAAGGTAAAAGCAGGCAGGACGAGTTTGATTCCTCCCTCACCCTTGTTTGTTGTAATTATAGTCATGTGTAAAATGTGACCGACATCTGCCCGCTGCCCTGGCTATGACTTGCATTAACCCGATACACAGAACTCCACAGCACTAACGTACCCGGGGGGGCTAACGACGGGAGATACGAACGACTTCGGAGGTGGGGCACGCTGTGCACGTCGAGCTGAGCAGACCAGGTCAACCGAAACGGACTAATGCACTAACACAACGTCCTTTTCTCGCAGCCGTTCCTGCCTCCAGTGTACATTTTGGCCCAACTATCTTTTAGATGCCTTGGGCTATGGTATGGATAATCAGACCACTTGCCAGCCCTGGATTTCAAGTGAGAATGGGGTGGCCAGTCACCTCTGAGTAGGAATCTACATGGACCACCTTACTTACACGACCTCACAGCTCATTTTATCATTGGCCATTGTGTTGGATGTAGGTATGTACTTGTTACCGTCCATACAATGCCTTCCCCTGCCTGCGTCTATATGCCATTGTCTGCCTGTTTGCCTCGCAACAAGCCGTCGTCGTCTTGGTCGCGTCTTGGTCTTGCATTAGCCGTGGTTCCGGATCCGATGAAACCGCCGGCTGCAGCATGCAAGCTGCTCGCATGCTTCTCTTGCATTTGTCGTGTTCGAGCTGCTTCTATACTTGACCAGCCTGCCTGCTCGACCACCATACACCCCAGCCTTCGGGTGCGGCAAGACACGAGATCAAAGACACGAGATTCTAGGGGGGAGGGAAGAGGGGATAGGGGAGAGGAACAGAAGGGGGATGGGGGATGGGGGATGGGGGATGGGGGATGGGGATGGGGATTGACCGAAGAATTTCCCTTCTTCGCCGCCCGTAGTCTTCTCTTGTCCGAATATCCAGCCCCTTCCCGTATTGCCATGCTCCGAGAATGACGGCATCCACCCAGTGCGCTTTCGCTACTATTCTTGGTTTTCCATGATCTGACAAGACCGCCGTCGCGGTTGCCGCTATTTTTGTTGTTGTTATTGTTTTTATTGCAGCCGACACATTTTGCGGGTTCGGCGTTGACTGTTAAGCACGCGTCAGAGCCGCTGAATCTGTGGCGGCTTCGTGGACATTTGGTATTTCCGCAGATTGAACACACAGACCCGTCTGGCCAGCGTCTGGCCACTGGCTCCCACTCTGCGTGCCTTGCGCGTCCGGGCTAGCCTCTGTTCTGCATCGTAACTCCGTCGTCTTCGCTGCCATGCCGTCCTCAACGGGAGGCAGGAAATAACACTTGAGGATTGTCCCCCTACTGTTTTTCTTCTTCTTCCTTTTCGCCACAGTTCGTTGGACATCCCTCAGATGTTTTGTCAAGTGAACGTTTGTCTCTTTTGCGCCCAAACAATGGGTCCCTGGCTGCGAGGCCTCCTTGGCAAACACCTAACGAGATGGGGTTGGGCTCCTGCTTGATGGCCGAGACATAGAGACCTTCTGTGCATCTTGTCCGACATCAGCCACGCGACGGATCATGAACCGGCCACCATCCGGCACAGGGGGGCTTGTTGAGACAGCGAGAAGGGTTAATTTTGGCCCCCGTATTCTTCTCCCCTTTCTTTCTCCTTTTCTTTGGCCCGGATGAATCACGGCGCTTTCCTATCACTCGTCCCGCGCCCCAGCTCGTGGGACGAGCTGCTGCTCCCATGACAAGCTGACGGGCTGGCATGAGGCTAGCAGCCTGCCCTTGGGCGCGTCAACAATGGAGCCTAGGCATCATATGTCTGTCGTACAATCCCATATGGACCGAGTGGGGAGAAACAGCGCCCTGCAGAGACGCCAGCTGCTCTTTGGGAAACTTGGCTAGCGGCCCGAGATGTGACGCGTGTAGTGACATGTTTGTAAGACAGGCCATGCGGGATTTGGTTTCGAGACAAAGCACTAGCCGCCAGTCCTGATCTTTCTCGCCTTCTCCATCCTTGAGTTCCGTCTGCAGCCCCAATCCCGAAGTGTGTGCCCATGTATCCTGCCAGGCCGAAAGTCATTAGGCTGGCGCCCCATAGTTTATCGAAGATGGCCTCCTTATCCCCACCTACATCGGGCATTGCCTCTTCTGTCCTGGCATAAGCTGTATCGAGAGATATAGGAGTTGACTGCGGTCACAATGGAGACGCGTAACGGCGCGATAGGGCGGTTTCGACTTTGAGGAGGATTCGGTTGCAACAGGAATTGGCCCCTGGGCTTCGCTGGCTGCCACGATTGAGGTTGATAAGCCAGGTCCTATCTATCCGGATTGGGAATTGGTTAGCGAACAGATCCAGAAACTGAGGTCCGCCACACATAGATTCGGGGGCAGAGAAGGAGGCTTGGGAAACCTCGGCCGAACCCAATCTACCTGATGGCTCACAGAGCTCTAAGCACCACCGGGTGCCCTGGGGGTGGAGGAAGGGGGCTGCGCATGTGCAAGCCCGCCGCTGCGGTGGCCGCTCCCGATGGAGTGGTCACCATACAGAGATTTACTCTTTCTGACACCCGCTATGAAGTCAGGGGCTGGCCTCATCCAGCCATCGCTGCCCGACGTGCGCCGAGTCACTCGTGTCTGGGGCACCATGCACGCCATCTGCCTTCCGACATTGAACTGCATGGCCATACGGTTCGTTCGGAAAAGACCAGTGTTGGTCAAGAGACTACCGCAAATAACGGCACCGGTCGTGATTCCTCTGACTGGCTATTCTCCATCCTTGAACGCTCTTGACCATGCGCCTTGGTTTGGTACTGAAGCCTCGAGTATCGACGTTTAGGATTTGGATAGCCTCTTTCGATAAAGCTAGGTGCATTTCTACAGCCTCCCTAAACAGGCACGTTGCCTCGTGCAATAATTAATACACCGAATCGTGATTGGGTGTGTGTCTTGTGCCTCGGAACCCCGGCAGGAGTCACGGCCGCCTATGGAAAGGACCGGGCGCAACACGAAAAGGGTCTCCTGTTTTCTGCTCCAACTGGAGTACGTAGTGAAGCTTGTTATCGCTGATTGGGCGTGGTCCAGAACATGTAATCTTCCCAGACTTAGATGCTTCTGATTCACCGTCAAGGCCAGTCTCCATAAGCAACTAAACCGCGATTACTGCCCAAAAAATAGCAAAAAGTGTTGTCGCCGTTAGATTTTCTATTATTGTGGAAGGAGGTCGGTTTCTTAATTGACAAGCGCCAAGAGACACCCTAAGCCATGTGTTTCTCAGCTGTGCGGTTATATAGGGGGATACCTTCGAAGTCGTTTGAGGGTATGACCATCGCCAATTTCATGCTCGCATGGAGGAAGAATAAGTTTTCGGGGTCGAAGAAACAGACAGGCGCTTGGATAATATCTCAACTGCGCAGGGAGAAGCACCCGAGGCAGGAGTAACAAGTACATGTACAGTGCGATGATCCAAAATCCCCTGTACAAATGAGGGCAGGGAAACAAGCCGCGTCACCGAGAAATCGAAGCTACACGTTCTCGTTACGACATGGCAGATAGCTACTATGTCAAGGCGCGACGGTGTAATGCTTTAGACGAATAGCTAGTCATCATAGAACTGACTATTTTCGTGCTCGCACCTCGCGCTCGGGGCGGCAAGGGCAAGACAAGCTGACGATTAGAGGCGGATGTCGGATACCCAGCGAGCTCGAATGATTGCAACACCCGGCTCTAGTGCACGTAGTATCAACCGTGTGCCCACCACCTATGCTGGGCTGTCCGAGTTAGGAATGATGTTCGGAGCACGTCGTCAGGTCTCGGCGGGAAAGCCGATCAGTGAATCAAAGCTATGCAGTCTTCCCCGAAAGGAGGATGAAGGAGATCAGGCTTCGCCGGGGACGGCAGTGCTCAAGTTAACATGTGCCTTTGCCTTTTCAGAACCTGGCATGATGAGTGGGAAGGGGGCAGCCTGGTACATAGAGTACATGTACATACCTACTGCCATGCAGCCCACAAATCTGCTCCACGCCCGCAACGAAGAATGGCACGCAAGGCGACAATCGGTACCTCCTCTGTCATCTAGGTATCTGCCCGTACTATGCTGTCTCATTTCTTACCAACCTGGTACGTACTTTCTTGCCAACCAGGCTGTTCCCTACCCCCCGGTGCTATAACTCGC